GTATGTATGTCACCAGCAAATAACAAAGAAGATTACATATGCCTAGCCAGGCTTAGGGACACACTAAAACACCAACTCGCATAAATTACCATGTCCTACAGCTACTAACAGTTTCTTGGAATCTGACCCTGGCAAGGGGTGGATCTCGCTGGCGCTTCGCTTTCTCTTTCTTTCTTTTTTTCCGGGTCCTAGGCCTAGATTTTTCTCCTCCGCGTGTCAACAGCAAGCGTTGATCTAGAAGCCTTTTCTACTCTTGGGAATATTTCATATTTCCACTTTTGGAAAGACAAGCATGAGGGATGCAGATTAGCTTTTTGGCCATCGACCTGCTGGTAATTTGGCTCCAAATGCATATGCATAAGTCGGTCCCGAGGTTTGTCTTTCCAACGAAAGCCGGGGTGCTGACCAGGTTTTGACACGCGCTCACGTCAGAACCGTAAAAAAGCCCTTCCCAGGCAGACAGTACTAAGTGCTGTAGCACGACAACAGCAACACGAGAAGTAGCAGCCTCCTTTCTCTTCTAGTCTGCCTCTCAAGGCTTTCATGTGGAAAGCATGGTGCTTATCAGAAGCTAGAAGCAAGCCCGACGCCTTCTTTTTGTTTGGTGTGCCCAAAATCCTGTCATAACTCACGCTACTACTATTGCTCTATGGATTTGAACAAATGAGAGAAAAAAACATGCTGACTTTCTTGGCATAGGAAAAGATGAGCTAGCAACATCTCCAGTCATCCGGACCATTTCTCCGATATGAGGTGCCCCATTTCAGCCTTGTGCTGCTACCCATTTCGCGTGTTCGGTCAAGGATAATGCTGCTTCTTCTGGTATTGAGATGTTGCTTCTGCCTAGGCGGCATGTCATCCATCGCAGTCACCCTTGTCGGCTCCTCATCTTGCGTTTTTTTTGGTAATTCGTACGGAGCTAACGTATCTCGAGATGGAGAAAAGAAGATGATTTCCTTTCCCCTTCTACTCAAAGGTTCGGAAGTCATCCATCCGAATCATAACTGAACCAACATACACTAGGACTATTGCTCACCTGAGTCAGCTAAGCACATATCCATGTCCTTGTCCATGTCAGTTTCTCTTCTGTCTTCCCAGTCATTGTTGTATACTTGGAGGCATGGTTTTTTTTATCGTTCGTACACTAATCATTAGCCGCCTCCCTCACGGATTAGCGATGAGAAAGTAAGCAGACAACTAGTCCGAGAACTAGAGCTGTCAACGACCAACCATTCGAAAAGTCGCTGGGTATGAGTATCAGCGACCCAGCTAGCACAGGGGTAGCTCACTCGGGAGCCTCGCCCACCTCGTCTCCGAGCGAAATATGACAAATCTTTGTAGTTTTTTTTTATTCCCTTGTTGGTCACTTTTCTGCTCCGCGAGGCCCTCAGAGCCTCACAAAGTCCGATTCTTAATTCCATTTTGTGATTGAGATGACATGCTTTTCCCAATTCGAGGAGAGAGGCTCGGCCAGGGAAGTTCACAAGACCTGGGCAGTTGCCAAAAGGGGACCTTGAAAATCAGTCAAGTCCCCGGAGCGTTGGGACAAGTCTATAGGTTGCCCCGTACCTAGGCGATGATGTGGTGGATAGAAGGTGCCCGCTTACTCGCATTGTTAAACAAGCCCATCGTCATACACTTAATATGTGTCATAACATACGTCGAGGTCCGACGAAACCACGAGTCCTTCCAGAACGCAGCCCTCGTTGGAAGCGTGAATGAGAAAAGGTAATCAATAAGGTTATGGACTAGGAGCAATAAACTAAAAGAAAAGAATTTGCTAGTTTACTACCTGCTGCAGCCTTGAACCGTTCAAGCGAGAGAAGAGGGTGGGAAGAGAAGGGCAAGACTGGGTAACCAGCTTTCATCGTGCGTATCAAAAACATTAGATTAGGAAATAGGTACTACTATCGTACATTAGACCCGAAGCAACCTAGTCCTCCGGCAATGATTAGTCTCATAACATGTCCCCAAAAGCAGAGAGAATGTGCAACAAGTAATGTTTATTGATATGAATAGTGAAAAATAAAAGTAGAAGGAGAAAAGAAAATGACAAGCATTCATCATATCGTCATAATATTCGTAACCCTAATAAGCTGTGGAACAAGAGCAAGGGGGGAGAGTGAGGCGGAAAGGGAAATAAGAAATAAATGTCCAAGACCCCTGATCCCAGCTCTTTTTTGTTTTCATCTTTTTGACATTCCAATAAAACAAAACTTTGACTCCATATTACAGTGCAGCTTAATAAAAAGCCTTGAAACGTGAGGAATAAATAACAGCGGAGGGAGGGGAGCATGCAAATCAAAGATAATGACATGGCCAGCCATCTACCGAGAACAAAAGATAGAGAAGAGAAAGCAAATAGGAAAAAAAAAAAAAAAGAGATGTTGAGAGATGAACAATGGTGTAGAAGAGACAAAGTCTGTAAACAAAGAAATGCAGCGATGCGCCACCCATGTAAAAAGACATACTACAAGAGGAAATAGGACAAGATAAAAACGAGTACGCTGCGCCTCATGACTCGGGTTCATGCGTAAGATGATGCAGCCATCTGCTTCCCCCCCTTGGCGGCGCTATTTTCGAATCTTCTAAGCGAACAAGTTCAGTAGCAACATGAAAGAAGGCAAAGAGGGCAAAAAAAGAAGCGCAATAATAATTAGCGAATGCCGATTTGGTCCGGTCGAAGTCCCCCCCCCCCCCCCTTTTTGGAACGATTAAGCTTTCTCCCCCCCCCCACCCCCCTAGCCATCTTTTTTCGCTTCATCATCGCATCTCTTCTGGGGTAACATTGGCTCCGTAGAAACCTCCGCCGCTGGCGGCACATGCGAGACAGGCTCCGCCACCGTATACGCGTGTATGGCGAGTCCATCCAGCTCCCTCGCGATCGAGGACGGAGATGATTTCGCCTTGCAAATCAACGTTTCGGTGGCCATGGCCATGGCTGTAATCATCCGCGTCCAGGTCCAGACCGGAGGGAGGCGCAGGCGGCAACAACCCAGTCGACGGGGGGTAGGAGCTGGGCGAAAAGGCTGAATCAAGGGATTCAGCCTCGGGCGACTGCGAGGGAGGAGAGTGAGACACGGAGACGCTAATGGGGAACGTCTTAGTGTAGGATCGACGCCGGGGGATGGAGGCAGAATCAGGGCCGTCTGTGTGAAGGGCAGTGGTGGACGTCGAGGACATGTAGTCGGGGTTGGGCTGGTGAATGAAGCTCTGGCTGCTGGGCGACTGCTCGTCCAACGTGAAGACGGCTGTGCTCAGCTCCGGCGGAGTCAAAGGTGGCGCGGGAGGCAGCCGGGAGATGAAGGGCCCAGGCAAGGCGCCACCGGTGCCTCTCCAGTGCGGGTGCCGATCAATGGGAGAAGTTGTCGTAGTCATGGTCGTCGTGGTTGAGGCCGCCGTCGTGGCCGGATTGACATGCTCTTGTAGTTGGTCGTTGACCCCTTGAATCCTCTTTTCATCGTCCATCGGGCCCAGGTGTGGCTGGCACAGTCTTTGCCGCAGCAGGTTGTAAGTGGGGGAGGACGGTGCAGTGGTGTTACGCCTCGCAGCTGGTCTAAGCCATCGGTACGTCTTGTGCACACAATAGCGTGCAATGACAAACAGGGCAAAGATGGATAACGCAGTTCGAACCGAGTCCCAAGCGGGCGGCTGGGCTTTCAAGTAATTGTAGTCGGCGCCGGGTAGGCCTCCACGAGTGGTTGCGGGCATGGTGGAATGGAGGTGACTGCTTATGGAAATTTGGCCTGGCGCCGTCAGCCGGGGTCCCTGCCAAGTCGCACTATTCCTGCGGTCAGACGGCACTCTTCTGCCCTACGGCGTCTGGTAGGGCGTTTGCAGGGAGGCCGAGATACGATGAGGCGGCTACTGGTGATGCGCGCTGCCGTGGGGCAGTCTGTCTGGCAGCAAGAGCAGTCCCAAAAGGGCAATGGTCAGGCCTGGCGTTGGCGACGTTTTCGAGGTCGGCAGCCTCGGATATTGAGTTTGCCAACGACGCTTCCTTTGAGTGAGGCCCGGGAGGCTGAATACGGGCCAAGCCGAAGTGACACCGGTTGATGCGTAAATGTGGCGATTTAAGCGGGCGAATTATCTAGAACCAGGCGTGGCTATGGTCGCAAAAGGCAGTCCCTCGGGCTGTCTCGTATCGGAATAGGGTTTAAGAAGCAGGCACAACATCGATGGGCCGTCTGCTGCCTGTGACCTGACCAGGGAAGGGGATGCGCGACTCAGTTGCAAAGGCAAGTCTCGTTTTCCGCTGCTGGCGGCGAAGAGCAACGGCTGGCCGGAAGCGAATGAGTGTGTAAGAGAAAGTGTAAGAGACCAAGACAAGAGGGACGGACGATGACCACAAAGGAAGAGGGGAAGAAGAGTGAAATGTTTGTCGGGGTGAGATGAACCTTAATATAATTCGAAATGAGATGGGACAGGATACGGTGTGTCGATATGCGTGTGGCTGTTTCTCTTGTTCTCTCTTCTTTTGCAAACAGAGGGGCAAAGCGGCGAGCGAGATGCTTCCCACCGCGCTAGATCCCACCGGGGAAGCGCATGCTGGTCGTCTGAAGAAGCAGCAGCACAGCGGGAGTAGCCTCTCAGCCATTGCGGCTAGCATGAGAGAAACATCCGAGCCCAGAGGGGGGTGGCAGTATGGGCAGTATGGGCGTAGCACGGCCAGAGCAGTCTTGGGCAGCGAACGCCATGTACGAAACAGGAGACTCATGTACAGTAGCACCGCTCTCCAGGGCCACGATGCTGATGGCAGCTGGAGCATCGTCGAGCTGGGGGTGTGGCATCAGAGGGTCAGTGCTTGTGATTTGCCTCGCATGGCATGGCATTAGCATTACAGTAGCATATACCTGTGGTGATGGTGGGAGGCAGGCATGGAGCATGAGCATAGTGCTGTACTTGTAGCATGTCCATGTCCATTTCCACACATTGGCCCCTCCCTCTTCCAGCTACTGGGTATCGGCGCCGGCACAGATTCATGGCGGGTCGCCGTCGAGATGCGGAATTTGGGACGCGCCAAGCGGTTGATCCTCGTCGAGGGCTCGATGGATGGGCCGTGTCCTGCAGCAGCAGCAGCAGCAGCAGCAGCAGCAGCAGCAGCAGCAGCAGGACAAGACCCCGGGCGGGGACAGCAAAGTCCAGAAAGCAAACAACGGGCAGCCAGAGCGTCTGGTGGTAGTCTGATGGCCATTGGCCGGCTTACCCAGCAGCTAGGCGCAAAAGCAGCAAGGCCCGAGCAAAGGGAGTGTTTCGAGGCCCTGGCGGCACGACAGAGATCCCTGTTTTCAGCAGCCATGAACGCAGCCCGAGGGCCTGACGGCGTTCCTGACTCGCCCGCGCCGGCAGCAGCCCCGTCGCCTGGCATGGAGCTTGCTGGGGCTCTGCAGCGCCTTCGGTACCGTCTGGCGAGCCACCAGCCCCCCGCGCATGGCTCGCTCGGTAGCGAGATCCAGGGAGCCAGAGGCGATTTGCTCAGAGGCTGGTGTCAGTATTAGCGGTGCCCGCAACCGGCGGGAGCTGGCACCCGGCGACTGAGCGAGGAGGGGGATTCAGCTGAGGTGAGCCCTATCGAGACGCCTCGATGCGAGGCCGGCGGGCTTTGGCCTCTGCGCTTGGCGACACAGGCGCTGCTGGCGGTGCCTTGGATTGGCCCGAGGCTGGCCATGTGGCCGACCCCGACCGACGATTGACGGCCTTGCAGGACAAATGGAATCGAATGGCGGGCAGACAGCCTGGCAAGAGGCGGCGGTACAACAGCGCGCCTGTGGCTCTGCCTATTCGGGCAGCCGGCCAGGATAACTGCTGCACCGGCACTAGCAGCGACATCATCTCCAGTCAGTCAGTCTGTCAGCAAAGGCCAAAAAACCGACGATGGATTGCCGTCAAAGCTAAGCTGGCCAGTTTCGGGCACAAGATCAGAAGATGAGGAGAAGAGAGAAAAGAGGGGGCGGGACACGTACCTGCGAGAAAGGGCCACCCCTCCGGATTTGCTGCAAAGTCCTACCTGCCGCCGGGTAGCAGAACCTCGCCGGCGCCCATCGTGTACGGGTGCAGGTACAGTCACATTATGCACGAGATACGGCAGGCGGCACCGCGCCAACTCTAAGCGTAGCGGTACCCTGACGGGCCCGGTCAAGTACCTGCCGCGTACCGTCAGCCCTGTGGCTCTTGTACTCGCCGTACCGGTACCCGGCCCAGCGGTGGTTTCGGCCGCATGGCTCGTATACGTTGCCAATCCGGGTCGCCTACGATTACTTTTCGACGAGCTGCCAGCGGTCCGTCAGTTCGGCTTACAGGACCTGTTGCATACGAAGCACAGAAGAGGTGGCTGGCCCTGGCCAAGCTAGGCGCTGCTAAAAGCGTATATGCACTGGCCACAGCGCATCTGGTGGCGTCCTGGGCTACCGTCATGGGCTACCAGAAATAAAATTGCACCGGGTGGCACCGCAGGCGATAGACTTTTGGCTGTGAGTTTTGTTTTCTTGCTAACATGATCTTGCACAAGTAGGATGCAGGTATCGAAGCATCTCCAGGGGCCTTCCAATCGCTGCTGCCCGAGACGGGGGGGGCCTATGGAGATGTACATGGGTGCTACATGGCTACTGTGCTGTACATGCCCAGGCACGAGACCTGTTCAGCTGAAAAGGCGGCCCCAATTTGGCGATCGGCGGAGCTACTCCTGTGCCTCAACGAACTTGGAAAGGAAAGGAAAACAAACAAGATGGAAGCAATATACGAGATGGGGATGGGGATGGGGATACGAGCACTCGCCACAACGCCAGCCACAGCGCCTGGGCTGAAGATGAAACTTGCAACTGCCTCCTCTCATCAATTGTCAAATCATGTCGCCAGATTACCTGGCCAGACTAACACTTGGTACCCAGGACTTGGACACTCCAACAGACCGGGACCTAAACGGCGGGTGTCAAACTGCGGCAGGGGGCCTGTGCCAGTCGCGCATTGATTCTGGAAGCAAATAGAGTTAAAGGTGCGTCACTTGCGTGGTCCAAGGCAGCTGAAAAAACCTGGCCGCTGCGGGAAATCGCGCGGGCCATCGTGCGGAATGTGGTGTGGCGGGTAAATTGCGTGGCCAATGCCCGGGCAGAGATACCGCCAGCATGCAGTCACGGGGGTGGATGAGATGCTGCAGCCCCGACATTACCGCCTGTGGGATGCGACGAGCACGGAAGAGGGCCGAGGGGTGCATCAGTTTTCTGATTCATGAGGAGATGCCTGGGTGGATATGGCAGCATCATTCTGCATATCCTACGTGGAGTGTGATGTGTATATGTCCGGGTACAGGATACAGCAAGCCGCGATATCACATCGGCAGTCTGCTTGCAGAAAGGCATCTAATACCACTGCCACTAGTATGATTAGTAGCGTTACAGATGGATGGATAGTCGCATCGGCTTTTCTTGCCTGGAGTGTATGAATTAGATACTCGGCTGTATTTAGCAATAGACAACAGGCACTCGAATCCTCTATCCGCTTAACCTTGGTATAAGCCTTCATTCTCGATATTGACAACCAACTGACTGTTCCGTCCTCGTACACTAACACGAGTCTGCTCTCGGGCCGTATTGGGTACATGTAGTCGTGGAGCATGGACCCTGCTTCCGCATACGTCACTCGTATCATACATGACATGCGATAGATGGCAATACCTCAATACCAGCACATGCGACCACTCCCGCGTCTGTCAGATTCATCAAGTCTCTCCGCCGGCCTTTTTTTTTTCTCGCTCAGGATGCACGTTGCGGCAATGACGCTATGGCCACAGGGTGTGCTCTGCGCTGCGTGAACAAGGTACCCGAGTCGCATTCTCTCCCGCGTGTAAGACTTGCGCAAATCGATTCCATATAGCAATGCCGCAGAAGACGAATAGTGGTGCTGCTCTGCCCGCATCGGCTCTCCAACAGTACATCAGTACTTCAAAGAGGCGTTCTCCCCAACCCAGAATACCGGTAGCGAATCATGCTGGATGCAGCCCGTGCTCGTTCGTCATCGCCATTTGGCTGATACTTGCCCAGCTGACCAGTGGCCAGTGGCGGCCTTCTAGAACACCCATCAAGCAGCCTCTGCCGATCCCCACAGCACAGGCCCCGGAACCGAGCCGCCACAGCTGTCCCTTCAGCGCTGCCGGGACAGCACAGCGACTGGAGTTACAGGGCCTCTGCAGCAGTGCGCCTTCCGCTTTGGCGGACACTTTATGCTGCCTGGGCAGATCCAAGGGAGCTGATGCTTATTGCTGCCGCTGCTGCTCTTCCTCCTCAACTCTTCCGCTTCAATCTTCTTTTTCAAAATCAAAATCCCATTGCACCTCCACAGTGGCCAGTCCAATCTCCTTCAGCCTCAACGATCTCGGCGAATCAACCTGCACAAGCGCATCGTCACTCTCCCGATCGATCTGAGAAACCAAGGAAAAAAAAAAAAAAAAAAAAAAAACCAGGCTCCGACTATTGGACTATCGGACGCTACGCAGCACAGCGCACCAGCCAGCTACGCCCAACCGCCCGCCCATCCAGCTGCGGTTGGTCCAGCTTCACTTGCTCGTGGGGCGCCAAATCTCTCCGGGCCATGGACCAGACACTGCTTCGACTTTTGACTTTGGTTTTCAGCTCGCCGTGGCACGAACCCTGGCAGGCCTGACCGCTGCGGCTCAAATGCGCGACTGCACACTAGCACTGCTAGCCATGCATATGCATGCCACGGCGTATGCATCCATACTGTACTGCTTGTACGAGTCTGATAGAGCGACTCCGAGCTGCTGCGTCCAGCATGATGCATGCGATGTACCGCAAAAGTCATGCCAGTGCCAGTGCCAGTACCACCTCTACTACTAGCAGTATCAGCAATGGATCGGGCACCAGCAAGCCACTGCCTGCTTTTGGGCAGCCTGTCTTGGATCAGCTTCAATCCGACTCTGACTTGGACGTTCTGGCTCTAGCCCGGGGTTTGCTCCTCCCCCACCAAGTCTGACCGTGCCGTAGTCTCGAAGAGGTCCCTTGATGAGCAGCCTGGAGACTCGATTCTCTCCTGCTCGTTCTCGCTCTGTCTGCCATGTCTTCTTCGCCATGCTGTGTCAGCAAGTCAGCTTAGGCCGCTGTACTTGATGCTAATGGCAGCCGGCGTCGAGGTACCCAGCAGCTACGGTCTTGTTACGCCCGTCAGTTACAGATGCCTACCTCATCGGGGGGGTTTCCGTCAGCCTTACACACTCGGGGCACCCCTCCCCCGCTGTGGTCAGCACGTTAACCTCTGCATCTCCATGTCTCCATGATGCAAACGGCCTATTTGCTTGGATCTGGGCTTCCCTGGGATGGCATCTGTCGAGTGCACAGGCGCCATGCTGTGGTGCCACATTCGCTAGCATGGGCCACGCAGCAAATCACGGCCTGCATAAGAGGGCATCTCCTCACCGTTCAGGCCACAACGGACATCTGAACTTCAAGTTATAGGCCGAGGCGGGTTGGCGGATCCCACAGCGCAGCCATCACGACGTCTTGCTCTCCGACTCCGCAGGCACACGTCGCCGTGCGTGTTGCTCCATTCCCCGGCGGCATCAAGCATTCGATACCAAGTCCAAGTACGGCACATGTACGTACTTTGTACACCGCACCGGATCCCCCCCCTTTACCCTTTAGTTTCTCCCGCATGACGCTCTCCACCATGCTGTGTAACCACCGATAAATTGCCAGCAATATCAAGTCTCCATTGTTGGATGCCACGTCGGCCTGCCTCGTTGTCTACGTGGGGCAGAAGAAGCCATTACTTCACATCCGAAGCCATTTTCAGGTCGACAGGCATCCGCCTCTAAGCGATCATACGGTGCTACCTCGAGCATTCATGAGTTGTTCTTTGCCACTCTGACGGTGAGGCTCACCCAAGCGGCTACAGATGAAATTATTACGCTTTCGTGTGGAGATGGTTTCGGGCTCAGTGCTCAGAGTATTGGCCCAGCTGCATGTGTCTGTCTGAGATTTTGGTGGAGTCACCTGCAAGCTATCGGATATCTATCCATGTTTCAGCTGCAATAGCTCTGCGCCCAAATATCTGGATGGCGGATGTTATTCTGTATGACGGCTTTCGAGCCACCACCCATCTTTTATGCTGGTGTCGAGCTATCGTTTGCGTTTCACAGGCATGCACCTGTTATTTCGTCTCGCAGATACCGAAATCCGAACCCTGGACAATGCCTCGTGACTGGTGTTTCACCGCATTAGGCCGCATGTCGGCGTGGTCATTGGATTTTCCTGGCTAATGTACCAACTGTGTACGTAATGTACGTAACCCTCCGAAGAGCTCGTAGGGTGTACAAAAGCAGCCGTCATCCTCCCGAGTGGTTTTAGGAATACGCGCCACTTTGAGCTAGCACGCATAATTGCACCGAATAGCCTTTCCAGCACCCATGAGCCATCTGTTCCCTGGGCTACATGGTCCATGAGAGCCAGCGGCCGAATTGCATACATGCTCCTAACCTGGCATGACTCGCTAGATGGCCTCCAGGCGTGGCCCCTATGCATGCAGTCCAGTCGAAGCAGCGTCGGGGAGCGAATGGCTGGTCCTACGCCCAAGCATACTTATACCGAGCGGCAGGACGGCGTCTAATGCCTGGCCAGTCATCTCCGCCATCTTACGGTGCATTCACTCACATAGGCGCCCTGACTCAGCTGCTCACCTGACGCCCATACTATGCAGGCCGTCTGAGCCAGTCGCCGTGGCTTTAGCTCCTCCAGAAGCGGCAATCCTTCAGTCGCAGTCCCACCGCGCCGAGGAGGATCCAACCAGCCGCTGGCCGGGTCTCTCGCGTCGGGCAGGGGATGTGCCTCGGACCTTGCTATTTTCATCATGATGGAATCTTTATTTTGACTTGACTGACTCACAACGGCCATGATCATTGGCTTCGATTTTTCTTCTTCTTTTCCGTGCTGTGGGGCATGTCCCGTGGCATGTCATTGTCTTCTCACTTTATAATCTCACGCAACTCCAAAGAGAAAAAAGCAACTACCCATTTGGTTGATGTGGACCGAGTCGCCCGGACACCCGTCTCCGGAGGGGGTTGGTCCATTCGGACCGGAGGTGGCCGCTTGGTTTCCCAAGCTAGGACCTGGCACCAAGACAGCATTGTGTGGATTAGCGCCTGGCGCATAAATACTGACAACATCAGCATCAGCATGTCGCTATCCATTCTTCATTTCGAAAACGTCATGGCTGCCCATTTCCATGCAGCCCGTCATGGTCGCAGTAAGTGACACGCCGTAATGCTACCCCGGGGGCAGTCGGGCTCCACAAACTTGTCCCCAGCGCCGAGTCTGCCGGGCCGAGATCCGCCAAAATTCTGGTTCTCTAGCAACACGGCGTAACGATTGCTTGAAAAGAAAAGAATAACGGGTTTTGCCATGCGGCATGGAAGTTGCCGTGATTTTTTTTTTTTTATCTTTTACAAAGAAGCTGATTCATCATGATATTAATAGATTTTGCCTCAATGTCATGTTTGAAGCAGAGGATAAACGTCGACGAATAGACATGTGGTAAAATTGCTGAACCTCCCCCAGCGCCGGATTCGCCGCCAAAGAGCCATCCCTAGGTTTGATATATGCGTTCCGCTCAATAACTGCTATATAGTGCTCTTCCATGACATGAAGATTTAACCACCAACCCGCTAAAAAACGTATCTCACCAAAATGTCCTTACTACCGTCAATATGGGTAGATGGGCAGTCAGGCAGCGAGTAAGCTTTTGCCTGCCACCCCTCCCTTCTTTCTTCTTTCTTCTTCTTATTCTCCTTCGCCGGCCACGTAAACACACATACACGTACATCCATTTCCCACTTTGGAAAAAAAAATAGAGAGTGAGAGAGAGAGAGATGATAAAAAGGGGGAACAAGAGTAAGCCCGGATGGACTGTGATGACTGTGATGACTGTGATGACATCTCATATAAATGAAGGGGGCGGGAATACACTTTTTCAGGGATATATATATCCGAGGAAACAAGTAAGAATGGATGAATGAAAAAAAAAAAAAAGGGAATTTTGCGCATGAAATATAGTGCATCTTTTCCTTTTCATTTTTGCTCTTCCTTTTGAAAAATTGTTTTCTTCCCCAAGGGAAAAGGGGGCCATCTTCTTGCCCACTCTCCGCCCATGAATATGCCTGCTCTTTTCTTCAAGCTGCTTGTTGTGAGAAATAAAGAAGAAAGACAGCAAAGTGAGAGAAAAAAAAGCCGAAACAATAGCAACAATGCGTGAGAAAATCACATCACTGCAAAATCCATCGGGTCGCCCCCCACTGGCGTTGACCCGTCCAGGTCGTGCACCTCGCGCTCCTCCTCCATCATGTCAATCAGACTGTCGAGGTTCGCGTCCAAGACTTCTCCGTCCTGCGTGTCCAGGCAGCGCTTCAGGAGGCGCCGGTACTTTTCAATCTTGTCGCCGACGCCCACCATGCTCAGGGCGTCGACGTACTCCGTCTCCGCCTGCCGCTGCTCCATAAGCATTTGGCTCAGCTGGCGCGCGAGCGTAAGCCTTTCCTCATACGAGTCGTCCTGCATGCCGTTGCCGCTGGCGCTGCCGTTGGGGTTGCTGCTGCTGCTGCCGCCGCCGTCGCCATTTAGCTTGCTCATTTCATTTTCCACCGCCTGATGGATATGCAGCCGGTTCTGGTGGGTGATTAGTGATAGGACGTTGTGCCTCACGAGATTAGCCTCGTTCATGACCTTGGCGGCCACGTCGTCGGCCTCGAGCTGGGTTTCGAGCTCTGTGATTTGCTGCCGCACCGCATTCAGCTCGGCCTGCGTGTTTGTGAGTATGCGCCGGGCCTCTGCCTCGGCGACGTCCTTTTCGTGCCACTCCTCGTCATAACTTTTCGCGAGCAGCTGAAACTTTTCCATAATGAGCGGGGATATACGCGACTGCACCGTCGTGGCCGCCGCTGATTGGAAGGATAGAGGGAGCTTCCGCGCCTTGTCGCCGCCCGCACCCGAGAAGGCGTCCCGAAACGTGGCGCGCCGCTGCGAGTCCGGCGCAAAGGGAGACGATGACCGCTGTGGCCCACGGTCTTTCTTGGAGGCGTTGAGCTCCATGATGAGATCTTCTGCGCGGACGCCCTCGTGGTTGGCAATGTCCGTCGAGGCATTGCGGCCCAGCAGAGCGCGGATGCATTTCCTCGCGTTGCGCTGTGCCGCGAGATGCAGGGCGGTGTTTCCTTCGCTGTCTTGCATGTCGATTAACCGCTGGAAAGCACTCGGTTCAAACACCTCCTGCAGCTTGTTGAGTATGTTATCTAGGTAGTATCTTGAGCAGGATGGGCTGTAGACACGACCGTTCTTCATGATGGCAGCGTGGTGGATGACGGTGCATCCTTGGTTATCCCGGACGTCGACCGTCTCAAAGAGCTCCTTAATAACTGAAGGGAACGTCTGTTTGTCGTAGCAGTTTGTAAAGTTGACCGATCTCATAAAGGGCGTCTCGCCACGAATATTCCGAACGGCAACGTCTGCATTGAATCTCTTGAGCTGCTTGATCACGTCCACGTCGCCCATAGCGGAAGCCCAGTGCAGGGCTGTGTGATTTTCAGCATCAATGAGCCAGTTTGGCTGAAAGTTTGGCGGCGGATCGGGCTTCACTGCTGGCTGCTCATTTCTGGAAAGGAGGAAGTAGTCGAGAAGCTCGTCCCCGTACACGGCGTGCTGCTGCTCTGTGAGGTCTTGTAACTGCTCTTCTCTCTTTCTCTTTCTGTGCGCTGTGGGCATGTGACCCATGTCGTAGCGATCATCTTCGGCCATGTAAGAGGCTGAGGCTACAGTGAGATTGTCTGGCGTGTCATCCTCGATGCCGGCCATGACGCTCTCGCTGTGCTCATACTCCTCGACGACAGGCATGACAGCTGAAGCTGCGTTAGTAACGCTGGGAGGCGCATGGCTAGCGACCTTGGACCTACCCGTATTCCATTTTGGAGGTGGAGGACGGGACTTTGGTGCTTTGGGTTTGCTTGCGTGCCTGGGCGCGGGGGGAGGACTCGCGTCCCCGGGGACGAACTCAAATATGGGTCGAATCTTGTCGTAAATGTTGTGTCGCTGGGCGAGGGCCTCGCCGGTCTCGAGGGGGATCCATGTTCCCTGGTATTTGCCATAGCCTCCCTGAATCTTCTCGTGGACATCCTTCTGTACGTCTCTTTCTAGAATTCTCGTTCGGGCTGGTTTGTCGAAGCCGGCGGCTTTGAGAATGTGCGTTGCGTTGATCCAGTCGTCGTGCCTCCTTCGCATGACATGTTCTTTCTGGTCGCCGCCGAATTGGAATTCGTAAACAGGGATCTGAGAGAGAAGTGTGTGTTAGTTTATTTGGCATATTCCTTTTAAGCTTTGTTTTGCATGTGATGATGAAAAGACGTGCGGATAGAATATCAGCAGAAACGGCAGCGACATGACGAGCTCTCATGTTTATCCAATGCATCTTCTTCTTCTCATCTTCTCTTTCTCTCCTCCTTCTCCCTTTGCAACCAAATGCCCATGATAATGCCTTTATAAAAAGCCAGTGCCTTTTCTGCTTTCCACTTTTTTCGTCCTTCTCTTCTCTTCTCCAATTTAATACATTGCCTCCATGCATGCATCCCACAGTCCAATGCCGGCCGCACAATCATCGTCGCATCAACGGGGGACCTCTTACTCCACTGTACGTGGCACTGAAAATGCCGGTGCCCGCACTGGCCTTGACCATCTCGACGGTAGCAAATGCGGCACAATATCAACAAAACAGCAGCAGATGGGGAAGCAAGGGCCAATGGTGGCAGAGCAAAGAGCGATGGCGGTCGAGGCTGCTTCACTTCAAGCGCAATGGTCGGTCGTCGGGGTCGGGCAGAGCTTTTCCAGGCCTCGCCATGAGGCAGATTGAAGAAAGCTCGGATCGATGTCACGTCGGCGACGCGGTCTGCGGTGGAGGAGACGCGCAGCCACGCGAAACCACTTTAACGGCCGCCTTTTCCTGCCTGAGGCGCCACAGCCGGCGGGATTGGCCCCACGTGATGCGGCTGTGGCTTGCGCATTGGACGCAGTGAAGCTGCCAGCGCGCCTGTGGCTGGAATAGCTGAGGAGGGAGCTCCATCCAAGTGCATGCGAGAGATGATTTGATTAGACGGCTGGAAGCGCCAATCACCCACGACCACAACTTTGGAGCAGGGACAAGGCGCTGAATGGTCATTTTGAGCTGCAAGGCCTGCAACCTGACGGCTTCGTGCGCATGTGAATTCTTGTCAATCGACCCGACGACGAGAGAGACATCTTTGCCCCTCACCGACCCAATGCTGTGGAGACCCTGAGCGAGAGAGCTGGATAAAGACAACAAAAGACAGTAAGGAGAAACAGCCAGCCAGAGCAACGCTGCGGACGATACAAAACGACGGAGATTGAGGAGGATAGACGGCACGACCAAGTCGTGACTGGATCATTCGAGCCTGGGCTCAAGACGCGAAAATGACCGAAATACTGCACAATGCCCCCATTGTGCTAGACAACGGCTCGGGGACGATTCGCGCCGGTTTCGCGGGCGAGGATTTGCCCAAATGCTTCTTCCCGTCGTGGGTTGGCCGGCCGAAGCACCTGAGAGTCCTGGCCGGCGCGCTGGAGGGCGATCTCTTCATCGGAAACAAGGCCTCCAACGAACTGAGGGGCCTGCTCAAGATCCACTACCCGCTGGAGCATGGCGTCGTCACTGACTGGGACGACATGGAGAGGATTTGGGAATACGTGTACGGCGAGGGACTCAAGACGCTGAGCGAGGAGGTTTGTGCAACAACTCGAGCGTTGACGATGATTTGAAAGAGAGGCGGTTTCGCGCTGACACCACAACAGCACCCTGTATTGCTGACGGAGCCTCCGCTGAACCCTCGAAGCAACCGCGACACGGCCGCGCAGATTCTGTTTGAGACATTCAACGTGCCCGCCTTGCACACGTCTATCCAGGCCGTATTATCCTTATATGCCAGTGGCCGGACAACGGGCATTGTCCTCGACTCGGGCGACGGCGTGTCGCATGCGGTGCCCGTGTACGAAGGCTTTGCGATGCCCAGCAGCATACAGCGGATTGACGTCGCGGGCCGAGATGTGACGGAGTATCTGCAGACACTATTGCGCAAGAGCGGCTACATCTTCCATACGAGTGCGGAAAAGGAAGTGGTCAGGCTGATCAAGGAGAGTGTGTCGTACGTGGCGCATGATCCGAAGAAGGAGGAGAGAGACTGGATCGGCGTGAAGCCGAACGAGAGCAAATTCGCTGAATACGTCTTGCCAGACGGCCACAAGCTCAAGGTGAGAGAAATGGCGACGAGCTTAAGATGAGCGAGTTGCATCTTGTTTGTTTACTGACACTTGGATAGATTGGAGCCGAGCGATTCAGGGCACCTGAGATTCTATTTGATCCTGAGATTATCGGCCAGGAGTATCCTGGTGTGCACCAGATCGTGGTCGATGCCATTAGCCGCACCGATTTGGATCTCCGAAAATCACTCTACAGCAATATCGTCTTGTCTGGAGGCAGCACGCTGACAAAGGGCTTTGGCGACCGACTCCTGACGGAACTGCAGAAGCTGGCGGTCAAGGACATGAGAATAAAGATTTTTGCACCTCCGGAACGCAAATACTCTACATGGATTGGAGGAAGTATTCTTGCTGGCTTGAGTACATTCCGCAAAGTAAGTGGCCTTTTGTGCGATTTGATGGGTGTGTGAGCTTAGTGATTACATCTGCTGACGGTGGGATAGATGCTTGTGAGCATTGATGACTGGCACGAGAATCCGGATATTATTCACACGAAATTCACATGATTGATGACGATAATGGACGCTGGCGTATTGGCATAGAGGAAGAGCGAAAGTTGTCTTTTGCATGTCTGGTTGCTTTACTCTGAAACGAAAGTGCGCGTAGTTGATGAATTTCTTTCAAAAGACGACAAGCTGCTTTGATACTCGGCAGCAGAAAAAAAAGGGGAGAGAAACAAAACAGAAAAAAAAAAGATAAAATTTCCAAAAGAGGGGTTTAGAAGTTCTTACGGTGTACGACTAATCTTCTTTTCTTTTTCCTTTTTTCTTCCTTACGAAAAAAGACATTAAGACTTGGTTTATATGATACAGAGATGGAAGGGGTGGAAACTTTTTTTTTTTTTTTATTATACACACATTGGAGCAAGCGGGCATTAGATGAGGGAGTTGTGTAGGACTTTTTATCTGATAGATCAAGAGAGCCTAATGATACCCCGATTTTGCGGATGAACTGGTGGAGAGGGTTGGGTTGAAGCTCTTGTATGTAATGTATGTTGAATGTTGAATGTTGAATGTTGACTGAATGAATGACTGGCTGTATATGTGTTGATGAAGAGATGTCGAGGTAAAATAGACGTAACTTGTGTTTTTGTGGATGGCAAAGGCAAAGCTTTCTAAGGGACTTGTGGCCTGCCGATCCGCAACACAAGCTCACGATCGTGAAAGCTTGGAGAAATTGGCTGGTTTCGTGGTCTAGTTGGTCATGACATTTCGTTAACATTCTGTTGACACCACCGAAAAGGTCCCCGGTTCGAGCCCGGGCGAAATCACATTCTTTTTTTTGTGTTGCTGAATTTCTTTTCGAAGAATAATTATTGGATTGATTTGGTTAGAGAAGAGGAGTCATTTTACACTGTGGTTGATTGGCTTTTGGAGAAGAGGAGGGGTTGTTTTGTCTTGGAGGCTCGCTTCTATAAGCGGGGTACGTCTGTTCTATGAAAGCAGAATGAAATCGAATTTCGCTTGGCTGCCAGAAATAGCAAAGGTGATGAAATGTACTCTGTACAATGTTGTAGCCTTTTTTTTTTTTTTTAAATTATGTCTATTTTTATTCAATATTCTTGTCAATGGCTTCAATGCTGTGTTACCCCGGAGCATCTCTCCGTCCAAGAGGCGCCGCGGAGATGCTGGATTGAAGACGCATGTTGTGTAACACCTAGAAGGCGGAGTACGAGAACAGCGCACCTTTCTATGACACGCATCCGACGTTGGGAAAAGCAAATCAATGAGTCAAGAGATGATAGAGGCAAATACTCGTAATCGTTCGAATTAACGCCAAGAAGTGAATAGGAGAAATATCATGTAAATCAATGAGGAGAATCTTTTAATATTGATCGTCGTCAACTATGTATGTATGGTATATATGCGTCTTCAAGTAACTTTTTTCCCCTGTTATTCTCAGGATCATCTGCCGATCCGTGTTCAACTCCTATTCGCAAATCCCAGATATGCAGTCCACCTCTCCTCTCCCTTGCTTAGCCTAATTCAAGTCCAGGCGGGTATAGTAGTAATAATAAAACGCGGTAGCATGGCAGTTGCTCCGCATGCAGTGCGCTGGTCGTAATCGTAACCCCAATCAACACCAAATTGGTGTCTTTGAGTTGTTGCTTTTTTAGATTATTTGTTGTATGTTGTATGTAGTAGTATCGCTTCCAAGGTGCCCAATTCCCAATTCCCAAGTCCAAGTTCAACGCCGAGTCTCTGTTTCGCCGGTCCAGCAGGCAATGTAGTAGCAGTCATGTATGTCCTGCTCCTACTTGCGTCCAAAAGAACTGGCCACTCGCGTTGCCCACAGCTTGGCCTTGTCGCTCACCGAGCTGGAGGCGCTGTCGGCGCTCGACATGCTGCCGGCGTCGCTCGTCTTGCGGCGGTAGACGTTGCCCGCACCGCCACGGCCGACGTAGCCCACGGACGGGTTGTGGTCGGCGGGCGTTTCCAGCGAGCGCAGGATCGCGGGCTGCAGCTCGGCCGCCTGGTGGACGTTGCCGGCGCCGCCGATGCCCGAGAAGAAGCGCTGGCTGGGCAGCTGGCGGGGGGTGAAGGTTGCGGCGGGCGAGGATGAGGATGAGGATGAGGACGAGGTTGAGGATGTGGTGCGGAATGTGTTGCCGGCGCCGCCACGGCCGGAGCGGTAGAAGGTGGACTGTGAGGGGGCGGATTCGGTGAAGATGTAGCCGGAAGGCATGATGGCGGTTGTTTGGATTGTTTGATTTTGGTGGGTTTCGTAGCAGAATGCCGTAGCAAGTTGGATTCAGTCTCTGGCGTGGATGATTTATAGGCGGTAGGTATATGCAGTTGACGATGACTCGTATCAGGTGTGTTTTGCGTAGGTGCAAGTGAATTGAGCTTCAATGTGCTGAATGGGTTCGAGGAATCGAGCTTGAGTATTGAAGGAGTCAAGGAGCAGCAGCAGTATATGTGTGCAACAACACCGACTGGAAAGGCTCGGCTCACGATCCGTCTTATACGAAACGAAGCTCCTGACCAACAACCTTGGCCACACAAGCAGCTGCAGCCAAACTTGGGGTCACCAGACCCCAAGATCCAATTTCAGACTAACCAGGGCCAGACGTTAAAAAAAAAATCTTTTTTTCTTTTTTTTTTTTTTCTTCTCCATAGCTCCTGGTTGCGGTTGCCCCTGGCTCCGCTTAGGATTTTCTTGCTCTTTTTCTTCTTCTTCTTCCCTGCTGATCCATCAGATCCATCGGCATCCACTGCCTTCCACCCAATGGCACGCCGCCGGATGCCGTAATAGTTTCTCTTTTTTACCAAATTGCAATTTTTCCCCCGCAAAACGCTAAGCCCGGACGTGGCCTGGTCGGATGGGGCCCTGGCACCTGGATGGAACCATGGCGAAAAAAATGAAAATGGCTACCAACGGTTGCTTCAAGCTTACGAAATTAGCAGCCAGTCAAATTGTTTTCAGCTCCTCAGGTGGGCAGTTTTAGCAGGCAGCCCCTCCCGCTGCGAGTCGCGAAGACTAAGGCTGTTGGATGTGTACTTGCCATCTACTTATATCCCGCACTTTCATCTGGTGACAGTACCAAGTACCTCTGCCGTAGCTTCCGCTATGCTACCATGGCGTGGCGTGGAGCCCAAGTGGCCAGACCCGACGCTGTAACAACCGGAGCTCAGCGATGCATTCGCCATTTCTCCAGCGCCTTACAGCGGCTTTTGCAGTAAAAGCCAGGGGGGGCCGCTTGCAGAATCCTCTGGTGACCGATGGCGTGCGTCACGCGGGCCTCGGAGCGCCTGCCCTACGCGAGTTTATTGTAGGTAATGAGAATGCCGGAAGGGGTAACGCTGCGAGCTGGACTCTTTGACTCTTCTTTTCTTTCTGGCTTCAGGTGGCGACTGAGCTAATTGCAAGATTCCACGTGTTGTGGCATTTTTTTTTTTTTTCTCATTGTCTAATTGTGCTGCCTGGAGGTGTGATTCCTGATGCTACTGTACGTGCAACGTGTTGAGGCTATTCAGGGGCAATCCAAACAGACTTGATGCAGAGGCCACGAGGGGTCAAGAGTCGCGTATAAAACTAAAAATACGCATCAATGCTATGTGCCGTAGCATGGGATCATTTGACCGGCAAATGATGCTACAGGCACAGCATCGGCAAGGCATCTCACCAGCATTGAGCCATTGAGCACGTTATTTCGCAGTATGGGGGGGCTACAGCGCCCTTAGGTAAGCCGAGCGCAAATTAGCCCAGTCCATCACGCGCTGCAATTGAGTTTTTTTTTCTTTCTCCCTCACCTCAGCTGCCCCTTGCGTCATTGCCACGCCGCTTGAGTAACCACAAGCAGAGCTCAATTCAGGGGGGATTCGCTTTCGGCTCCGGAGCTCCCTGAGCTATGCTACAGTACTTGATCCTTCATCCAGCCATGCTACTGGATTTTTAATTTTATATTCTTATTAGGACTAGTATTAATAGCGCATTTGCATTTGCAGGCTCATATGCTACTGTGCAATCAACGTTGCACCTTGGACCTGGTATGGCCTGAACCTGATCTGATCCCATCGGACCATCATGCATTGTCTAGCTGAGTGATTAGCATCCAGTTGTAGCATCATTTCTCTCTTCTCTTGGTCCTATACTCGGTTTTAGGAATCACAGCTGTGACTAATCCGCACACATGCCCTGCCATGCCCTCCGAGCTCCGATTTCCAAAGCTGTACAATGACGCATATGCTTTTCCCCAATGGAGATCCCGAATGATCAACAGGCTTCGCTTGCCTGATTTGAAGAAAAAGGCCCGCAGTAGATTCTTCTCCAATTCGGATGCCTTCTTCCCTTTTCTTTTCTTTTCTTTTCTTTTCTTTCGGAAATCGGATTCTTTTCTTTGGGATTCGGATCTTGCCGCTTGTCTGCAAGCTGCCGGTAGTTTGCCGGCGACAGCATGCATGGATCGTCATTTAGGTACGCGATTTTCGTGGTAGAGAATGACACCAGACAGATTTTGAATACTTGAGATCAAATCACCTGTCGAGCTGATACATCATCTACTTGTGGGCCAAAGTCTTCATCAGAAATTTGTATCATTTAAAAAAATTAAAGCAACAGGTACTGTCTTAGCATGTAGTTACTATATTCGTCATTATCCTAGACGACAGCTTCCGCTCCCACCTCCAAGGCGAACATCAAAAGGGGAGTGGAAGAACTAAACAAAAACAAAAGACAATGCTAGAGAATCCCTGGTAAAATGTGCATCCCAACGCCGAGTGATAGTAAAGAAGTCGTAAAAGTGCTTCCAGTCCATCCCCTAGATAGCCAACCGAAACACCATATATAGTCTTACAAAGCTTGGCTGCAATGGAACTTTATCATAAGCGTAAGACCATTTGTGTTTTTTTTTTTCTTTCTTTTGTTTTTTTTTTCCCTCTCTTTTCTTCTGTCCAACACGAGAGACTTGAACAAGTCTACTCTCGGAGATGCAAAGCCAGCTTACGCGCCAAGGCTCATCCAGCCGAGCAGAGAGACGGTGGAGCAGACGACAATGATGGTGACTATTGAAGCGCCAGCCTTGTCGCCCGCCGTGATTGGCGTCACAGGTATTTCGAAACTGTTCGGGTTGGCGCCAGCGTTGGGATTGCCCTGCGACGTGCCACCGGTGCTGTTGGTTACTGGGCCCTTGCTGCCGCCGATGAGAAGAGAAGAAACGGCGCCCAAGACATTCATCTCTTGGCCCACGCCAGTGACGCCATCATACTTGCCCGAATCCCACTTGAAACCGCATTGGCGACCGAAAGCGCCACCCGTGCATTGCTTAATGGCTGCCGTCGCCGATGTTTTGAGCACGGGAAGAATCTTTCCAGCCGTGAAAGGAGCAATCTGCGTTGTAGTAGCGTACCATCGATGGACATAGCCTTTGAAGGATAACATATCGGTGGAGCAAGTGCCCCAAGGTTCACAGGTGGGCTCGTACGCAATGCCTTTGGGGAAGAAGGTCTCGAGGCCGTGATCGACGAGTTTGTTGACTCTGGTTTTCCATACGTCGCTCTTGGTCTGTCAAACCGGTTAGCCTGGGAATAAGGAGTGGAAAGCGGAAAGCGGGAAGCGGGAAGCGCAAAGTATATAGACATGCGCTGGCTGATGGAACCAAGACAGGGGAAAACGTACATGATTCCACATGTATGCGGCTCCGAGAAGCCAGACTGCACTGTTGTACGAAAACTCGGCCTTGTTGATGTCGGTGCAGTTCACCGCAACATCAGCGCCGTCATAGATGGCATATGTTTCGGCATCCAAGAAGCCGACGCCTGCCCACCAGTTCCACGTCTTCTCCGCCCAGTCCAAATAGGTCGTGTTGCCAGTGTAACGGGCCAGACGTGCTCCTATATTGAAGAAACAGCCATTGGCAATACCTGCAGACGCACTGGTTAGCTGCCGTCATGATTCACGCCTCGTCTTTCGTCAGGCTCAAACATGTCTCTTACTGTTCTTGTATGGGTATCCTTTGTTGGTCGGGGGAATCTGCCATCGCAAACCACCGTTACAAGTGTCATCGTGACGGTCGGGACTGGCCTGGGTGTTGAAGACTGCCTGAGCCAGGGCCAGCCACCCGGGCCTACCAGCAGGGGGGTTGGGAAAGTTCTCCTCGGCAGCCAACATGGCCGTCATGCCCCAAAAGCCTTGGTCATCGTTTCCCAGCGAGAGCGTTTCGTTGCGGGGCTGGAAGTCGTCGTCGGTTCCCGTCTGGAACTGAATTCCTGCTATGGCGAGGTCGTTGTAGGTGCTGTCGCCGGTCAAGAACCAGTAATCGATCAGCGTGCCAAACATGGCACCGGCTTCCCACCAGTAGTAAGGTCCAACAGGAGGGGGTCCGGGAAGAAGGCCTGGGGTTTGGCCGGACTCATTTCCTTTGTAATATTGGAGCAGATCCCACGATAGGGTGGCTGCTGTTTTCTTGATGTCATCTAAGCCAAATGAAGAAAAATAGAGGCCAATGTCAGCCGCGAGTCTCGCCAAGAGAACAAAGTTGAGGGAGATGTATGTAGAGGACAAGCTCACCGGTTGAGGAAATGGAAAACGGCGTCTGTTGCGCGGCAGCGATGTCTGCCGCAGCTAAAAGGGCGGCGATGGCGCCGGGCCCAAAGAATGACTTCATGATGTCAACACCCGAGGCACAAGTCGATTTTCAAAGCGCCAATCGAAGCATGCGAATCCGCGAGGAAAGGCCAGATGGCGAGCGCAAAGTCGGCAAAAAAAGCGAATCGCGACAAATTGCGACGGTTGCGTGTCGATGCGTTTCCGTAATACGTGGAAATACGAGAATACGGCGCTGACTTGACGATACAGACAGATAGCGAGGGGAGTGGGAAAAAAGCGAGCGAGCGAGAGAAGCGAGAGTCGATGGATGGCGAGAAGCTCAGCTGCGATTCGCGACACCTGGCGATGGCGGGAAACGAGAGAGGCGGATGGACGGTGAACGAATGGATGATGGTCGAAAAGGAAAGCAGGAAAGCAGGAAAACGAGAAAAAGAAAAAACCGCAGTGACTTAACGCACGCTTCTGAAGGGGGGCCGCAAAAAGTCAGCGGTTTGACGATTGCTACTGTATGAAGAAGTGAGAGTCTTGCGACTGGGGATTAACTGGAGCGGTGGCGCAAAGACCGGCGATGGGCTGGGCGCTACGGGGCTCTCAGTGAAGGGCAGAGCGGCAGCTGCACTGGCATGTAGGTACCTGGCGCGTATGTACTGCTGCACCTTGGGCGTGCCTGGGGATACAAGCAGAGACGGGTAGCAACAGGTTGCATGCCAGCTTTTATTTACGTGCAAAATGCCGTCTTACCGATTTCTAATGGCAAGCCGTAAGCTGGTCGCGAGAGTTTTTTTGTTTCCCAAGCTCTTTTCTAGCTATGCTCCCGTGATTTTGCTGCTCAGCAAATGCGAACGAACAAATCAAAATTCATCTCTAAAAGCAGCAAATGGCTGTCATCCCCAGGTTCAGTGCGGAGATGAATGGGATGGACATGGGGCATCAGGCGGGGAGCAGCTCGAGTCTTGTTGAAATGCCCGTTCTGGCAGCTGCTAACCGTTCTTTGCAGAGGAATACGAAGTGGTGCATGCGCGTATCGTATTGGTGCCGCCATGTCCGGATTGCTGCAGCTTGATTTGGCCGATGGTCATTGAGGCTATGTTGAGATCCCTAATATACCTATAACATTCATGGCCAACGAGGAGCAGCATCCCACGTAGTAATGACGACGGACATGGTTCTTCCGCCGGATACGAAGCAGCAGCAGCTTCCTGCTTTATAACTGGGAGCAGAGCGAAAAAAGAGCTGGTGGCTTCTTATATTAGCCTTTGTCGCGCGTGGCTCCCTTTTGGTGGCGCCCGTCTAGTCATTGGCCCGCCTATTTTTGGATACGGCCCGTATAAGCAGGCTATTGCTGTGGTTTTTCTCGCTCTTGTCAGCAGTGAAGCGGAACCCAAAAAGCACGCTCGAGAAATAAAGATTCTCGCCGTCACGGCATGTGCAAGCCACGCTTCGCCTTTGCCTGACAGCCGCATATGTCGTCTGTCCATCTCAGTCTAGTGATCGGATCAGGACGTTCCAAGCTGTGAGATCGTGCCTAGTGGGCAGAAGCCGTGCTGCCTGATTTGCTGCCCTGATTCCACTCCTGCTTGGCTCGCCCGGTCGTTCTTTTCCCAGCGCCAGGGCTCCTGAGCCTCTTTTATGCTTTTTATGGGGGGCTTGGGTACCCGGCTGAACCTAGTCGCGAACCTTGGCTGGCGATTTTGCGGGCCCAGCAAGCCTTTTGACAGCCCAGCCCTGCCGATTGGAACAATGGCCGTCCATGTCGTAGTGGATGAATTGCTCGTGCTTGGAGATGTCAATTCGCGGTTGCGCCGGTGCTGTGTTCCGTGATTCAATAGAGAGCAGTTCTCCAAAGCTGCTGACAGAAGACATGCCCCGGAGATGTAACAACACCTCCAATGTCAACAGATCTTCTTCGATCAACATCCAGTATAGCAGTCTGGTCCTGCAGCTTCTGTCGCTAAAATGCACGCCATATCCATCCAATGTCTTGCCTGTCTGCATTTCAGCGCGCTCAATACAGTTGGATCCATTGTTAGTCCATTTGGCTGACCAAAATCCAGGGCAGCTTAGCATGCCGGTGGCCGTTCCAGAACTCCCCGGGCCGGGGATAGTCCGGTCGCAGCCACGCACCCAATCACCGTCGAGCTTTCGAGCAGGGAACTGAATCGGAGACGTGTCCACGAGCTGAATGCGACTGAGATGCTTCACATGCGCCGCAGCTCGCCACGCCTTGGAAAAGACTTGGTTGAGGCTGAACTGTGAAGCTTACGCTGCGCACGACCTTGTTGGATCGAATTGAGTGTTTGGAGCAAAGTGGTCGGCAAGAGATTCCGTGGAATGAGGTAGCGACCAACGACGAACTGTAGCTCGCATCTCGACGGTGGGCTTTGGTGTCACTGCGCTTCTCTCCCTCTTTCGGCCTTGATACTCGATGACAGTTTCAATCATCCAGTAATATCAAAGAAAAAAAGAAGGAGAAACTTGCATCATTGGTACTAGCTTCCCTGCAGAAAAGGGCGCAGCATATTATCCAACATGGACAACTTCGAGAAGCATGGCTTGAACGAGGACGACTTTGGCGCAAAGACGGGCATCGTCAGCGCCTTTGATGCATTCCGTACGCTACACACTTGAGTTCCTAGCTCCATGTTTTGCTTTTGCCTGCTAACATCCCATAGCTAAATCCAAGCCGCAGTATGTGACGCAGACGTCTGGTGGTGGCAAATGGACTGTTGCCATGCTCCTCATCTCCAGCATATTCATGTGGACTGAGCTGGGCCGCTGGTGGCGCGGAATCGAGGCCCATACGTTTGCTGTCGAAAGGGGCGTCGGGCACGACATGCAAATCAATCTCGACATCGTCGTCAAGATGCACTGCGACGATCTGCACGTCAACGTCCAGGACGCCTCGGGGGATCGCATTCTTGCTGCGGACAAGCTGGCTCGCGAGGCCACCACCTGGAGCCAGTGGGTCGATGAAAAGGGCATGCACAAGCTCGGCAAGAATGAGAATGGCCAACTCGACACGGGCCTTGGCTGGCACTCGAAGCACGACGAGGGCTTTGGCGAAGAGCATGTTCATGACATTATTGCCCTCACTCAGAGGAGGGCCAAGTGGGCGAGGACTCCTAGGCCCAGGGGAAAGCCGGACAGCTGCCGCATGTTTGGAAGCATGGACTTGAACAAGGTGCAGGGAGACTTTCATATCACGGCCAGAGGCCACGGCTACATGGGAATGGGCCAGCACTTGGACCACGATAGTATGCTCTCCTCCTCCCCCCCACCTCTCTTGAACTTTTAAGCCAGGCATGTCTTCTAACGTTACTATAGAATTCAACTTTTCTCACATCATCTCGGAAATGTCGTATGGCCCGTACTACCCATCGCTCGTCAACCCTCTCGATCGTACCGTCAACTCGGCCATTGTCCACTTTCACAAATTCCAGTACTATCTCTCCGTGGTCCCCACCGTTTACCTCGCCAACCGCAGAATCGTCAACACCAACCAGTACGCCGTCACTGAGCACAGCAAGACAATCTCGGACCATCAGATCCCCGGCATCTTTTTCAAGTACGACATTGAGCCCATCCTGCTGAGCGTGGAAGAAAGCCGTGACGGATTCTTGTCTTTTGTCATCAAGATTGTCAACATCTTCAGTGGCGTCATGGTAGCTGGCCACTGGGGCTTCACGCTGAGCGACTGGATCCGCGAGGTCATTGGCAAGAGGCGCCGGAGCAACGGCGGTGTTGGTGTTTTGGGCAACAAGCATGGCTTTGACGAGTAACAGTGGCTCGTCTTGATACAGTGGTTTGGGTTGGACGCAGTGTACATACTAGATGGAGTGCAAAAAGCTTCAGATTGGGTTAAATGGGCGTTGCCGGAGTATGATTTTCTTGCTTTTTCTTGGCATTTTGTGTCTGTGGATTTTTTTTTTTCTGCTTTGACAGATATTATATCATAGCACAGGTATCTCGACGTATAAAGCTTGTACTTTTGAGTTTTTGAGGAACACCTATCAAACCAGGCATACGTATCGAACAGCCATTCTCGGCATGTCTCAGCGAAATCGACCCTTGCAACCAGCTGAGGATCTCGGGTCGGATATCTATGTGACTTGTTTGGCTCCCATCTGTAAGGGGCAGCGGGTTCTGGCACAGGTCCCCGTTGGGCTCATCTGTCGGCTTTCCGGGAGGCTGAATGACACCCAGCATTGGGTCCAATCACACGGTCACGCTCGGCAGTTGGCTGCCAGCAAGAACAGTGCTGTACTGCCAGCAATATAGAACGCAAGGGCCGCTCGGGCTGTGGGCTGATTGGGGGGCTCGCCGTGATCGAAGGAATGTGCCCGTTGCGGAGCTTTTTTGCGGTCCATAGTAACTAGGCTGTGCATAATCGGCGTGGGGGGACTTTCTAGCAGCGATCAAAAAGTTGAGGATAGTGGAAATGTGATTTGATGTACTTGTAGGTATAACGGCAGAATGACAGCAAGACAGCATTGAAGCCATGGACCAGAATAGAGTCTACAGTGGAACTGCAAATAGTGGGCTGTTTAGAAGACAGGCGTCGCCATGGCGCTATGACGCCATTGCCGCCCAGCCAGGGCTCCCCTCTTCGCTGCAAGGTGCTGGAATTTTCTATTCCCACCCACTGAGGCACTTGGCACGGCATCTCCAGGTACCTGGAGGGGCTTTTTAGCGCGGAACGGCGCGAGGCGAGCCAAAGTCGAAAGCCACAGGCTCAACCTTGTGAGTGACAGCAGACGTGACATGAGGTGAAATGACAACAACGCATCTTGCCTCGCCAAACGTGTGGTTCTGTTGTCGCTGGTCTGACCTGGCACCATGACGCTGGGGACATGCCAGCACAAAAGAGGGAGAGCGAGGCGGGGTCACGGCTACGAGGCAAAGGACTAAGAAATTAGAAACAACAAAAGTGAGGCTGAGACGTCGTGTCACCACACTTGGCTGCGTGAGCACGAAAAGAGACGCCAGCAAACAACAGAATCGGGTGGTGCTGAGCGCTTCGGCTCTGCGACGGGAAAAACTCGCGGCCCCTCGTGGTTCCTGCGAAGAGCAGCGACTGGACCCCGCGCCACGCTTCTGCCTGGTCACAAGGCGCCGGCGGCTTTCTCGCAGATTCATGCAGGTGACCAACCACGGGTGTTTTGTTGGGAGGGGGGCTGGAAGGATTTCGGGGTTTGGCACAGGTCGACGTCTAACAGGGCTACGGTGCTGGTGGCACTGTAGGAGAGGAGGACGGTGCAGCGAATGGAGGGGACCAAGGGCTACTTGAGACGTTGATTTGACGATGACGGCGTTGATGAGGGCGATGGCGATGGCGATGTTGTTGCGAGACAGAGGCGATGACGGCAAAGACAAGACCAGACATGACACATTCGACCTCGTCGACCAAGACAGCCGCCATCACCGGGCAAAAGAGAGCGCAAAAGACCAAGAGCACAGCACTCTTTAGCCTCGTCCAGCATGAGCCCTGCCCTTGTCTAGCCCTCGTTAGCTGGCCTCGCTCTCACGCAGCCCAGAGTCAGCCGCCCACCTTCGACCGGCTTCCAACTGCTGCTCGGCCCCTCCTCCCAATGAAACATCGTCATCAGCTGTCCACACCCAGCCAGGCCCGCTCTCGACGCTATTTGTACTGTCCTGACGTTATCCTGCAGCAGACTCTGCGCTGCCTCCTCCGTTGTAGCCGCCAGGACGAGACAAGACAGGGCAGGGCAGGGCAGGACGGGACCCTCTGCTGTGTGAGCGAGCGAGTGCCTATTAGTACACTCTCAGCAGGGGACGGCATAACTTGGCGACTCTTCTGCGTCATATCCTTTCCCTTCCCAGCTCCTTCGTTACCCCTCCTTGTGTTTTTTTCTTCAGCCTCTCGGAATCCTTTATACTGTACTTACTGTGTCTGCCTGTGCGCCTCGAGCCACTCCTTCTCTCCCGCGTCATAATTGCCTGGTACCTCATACAAGCGACGGTTCACAACAGCGGAGAGGAAAAGAGTGGAAAGACAGTGTGAGAGATAGCGAGAGACAGAGAGATATACCTGGCAGGCAGCGCTAGGTTGGAGAGATGGCCGACTATAGAACTACAAAGGTCTACCGAGAACGGAACGATTCTGACGACGACCACTTTCAAAAGAGCACCACTGTGACCCGATACAAAGTCAACCAACCCAAGGTAGAGCGATACGACCGTGTCGAGAAAGTCTATGAGATGGACGACGAGCGCCGCTCACGCTACTCTGGCGAGCGGGATTTTGTCGAGTATGAGCGAAGGGAGCGGGCATATGTGCCCGACAGGCCACGCTCGGCCGTAGACGTCGACGCTGATCGCGGCCGCACCGCCTACTATGAGCGCGATGTCGAGCGCCGGGAGACGGACCGCGACTGGGACAGACGCCCTCGCCATCATGAAGAGGATGTGCGCGTGGAAAAGAGAGTCGAGGAGCGCTTTGACGACGGCCATGGCCATGAGGTTGATCGCTATCGCAAGGAGACTGAGTATTACCACGATCCAAACCATGCGTCTTCTCCCGTCGTGGTCCGCCAGCGGGCTCCGGACCAGAAAATCATCGTCCAGGAAGCCCCGCCGCAGCAGATTGTCATTCCCCGGCAGGAACCCAACATCATTGTGCTCAGAGAGAGGGACGGGGACCGAGAACTCGCTCGTCCCGCTCCTTACGACGAAGAGTATTACTACCGACGGGAACGGAGAGAGGTTGGCCCCTACAAGGGCGACCGCCGCCCGCGACGCGGGGACGACTACCACAGCGACGACGATGACTATTACTACTCTCGCCGCACCACTCGCCGCGAGCGAAGCCAGAGCGCGGATCACCACCACAAGCGTCACCTCGCAGAGGGAGCCCTTGCCGGCGCCGGCATCACGGCCCTCCTCTCCAGTCGCCCCAATGAGTACGGAGAGGTTGCCGAGGGCCGTGGCAAGAAGGTCCTTGCCGGCGCTGCTTTGGGGGCCATCGGAACCGAGGCCATCAGGCGAGCCCACAGCGCCTATGAAGACCACTGGGGTGACGGTAATGAATCCCCCGATCGCCACTCTGCGCTCAAGAAAGGTCTAGGAATCGCCGCCGTGGCCCTCGCCGCAGCTGGCGCCGTCAAGTATCACCAGGCCAGCAAGGCCGAAAAGGATGAGCGACGCCGAGGACGAAGCCGAAATCGAGGGTACTATACATCTGACGAAGAGTACTACTCGGATCGCTCGCGCTCGCGCAGGCCCAGCCGCAAGCGCAGCCTCTCCACCTTGGCCAAGGCGGCCATTGGAACCGCCGCGACTGCTGGGCTCGTGAAGCATTTCCGTGACAAGTCAAAGTCGCGATCCAAGTCACGACATTCTCGACCTGGCAGCAGATCTCGCAGCAAGTCTACGCTTCGCCGTGGTGCCGAGCTTGCCGCCGGCGCGGCCGCAGTTGGCGTAGCTGGCAAGATGTGGAAGGACCATCATGATAAGAAGAAGGAAAGGGAGAGAGGGGAATCGACCTCTCGTGGGTATAGCGACGAGGATCGCGAGTACGATGGACACAACTCACACAGTAGAAGCAGGAGCAGGAGCAGGTCGAGAGCCAGATCCCTTTATTCCGAAGCCGTGGCTGATCCTGGGCTAGGCTTGATTGAGTACGGGCACGATCCCCTACCACCCGATCCGCGCTCTCCAACTGGCCAAGGGTATGAATCCGAGGCCGAGGAGAGGCGGCGAAATCGACGGAGAAGACGTGAAAGAGACCCATCATCCTCTTCTGAGTCCAACGAGGAGAGGAAACGAAGCAGGAGTCGGCTGCGAGACAGCGCTGCCGCAGGTGCTGCGGCGGCGGGAATCAAGGAATACAAGGACAGAAAGGAGAGAGAGCGGAAGGAAGAAGCGAGACGGGAGGAAAAGCGAGAGGAGAGGAAAGAGGATAGAAAGGAGAGACGGTCGAAGGAGAGGCGCTCGAGGGAGCGCGAGGAGCAAGCACAACGTAAGATTACCCCCTCCCCTTTATAAGCCCAAGCTATCTTGGCTTCTTTCTTTCTTTGGTGCGTCTCTTTCAAACGATAACTTACTTTTGAGCTCCTGTAGGCTACCCCAAGGTCCCTTCAAACGGGGCTTACTTTGAAGACCCAAACAGACCGCATTCACCACCCAATGCTTCCGGCGGCGCCTACTTCGGGGCCCCCTATCCTGTAACTCCAGGAGCCAGCATCCCCGGAAACATTCCTCCCCCGGCCCCGCAGCCGCCGACAACCAACGTCCCGCCGCGAGAGCACTCCTACACGCCGTATACTGACCCCAGTGTGCCGGAACCTCGTGAGTACCACCCCTATGTGCCTCAAGACTACCATGGGTACGCACCTCCGCCTCCACCGGCTGGTCCCCCGCCACCTTCGGGACCGCCGCCTCCTGGTAACTCTTCCGGAGTGCCGGGATACGCACGCCCGCCAGGGCCGCCGCCTTCGGGCCCGGTTCCTCCCCCTGGACCTCCCCCTCCAGGGCCACCGGCGGGCGGTAGCTTCCCGCAAGATTATGTGAGTGACCTCTCCAAAAACAAGAATCCACCTGAACAGAAGGGCGGACCATCCGAGGGTGCGTTGAGTCGTACTTTTTTCTGCAAGGACTGTTTTTTGATTGTTTTCTCAAATTAGACAAAAGTTTTTGGGATAACGAATTGTAATTCACTGAGACTAACCTGTATGTTTTTTTAGAGGCCGTAAAACCGCTCAAGCAGCTGCCGCCGCCTCGCATCGAGATTCCACCGCTTGGGTTTCCCCTCGGTAGAAGAAAGTCTGTGTCGTTTGGACCGCTTTCTCCAACGAGCACTGTAACAATGAAGAGGCATAAAAAGGATCACGAACTTGAATCCGAATCAGACAGCTCGGAGTCTGAAGATGGATCTCGCGGTAAACGTCGTGAAAACCAGTTCAACCGATCAAGTCGCCACCGTCGGCAATCATCCGATACGACTCACGATCGTTCTCCTAACCGTGACCACGAGAGCAGGCGTAGGAGACGTCACCACTCGGATTCAGACGAGGAAATCGAAGATTTGCCTGATCGTTTCGACTCGCACGGGAGACCATTGGATGGTGGGCGTCATGGCAGGAGCCGGCTGACGACTAGAAGCGGCAGTTTTCATCGTTCGGCAGAAAAGCCTGGTGGCTTGAATATCCATGGTGCATGGCAACTTATGGCTAGCGATCCGGAGCAGATCCAGAAAATAGTGGGCGGCGTGACGGGAGCTCTGTCGGGGCGGCGCAGCTGGGTGAGCGTGGTTGGGGATGTGCTTGGCGGTGGGCTTGGTGGTGATTTATTGGGACAGTTGGGACCGTTGGCGGGAGCGCTTCAAGCTGGTGGTGCAAGTGGAGCGGGAGGTGATGGAGAAGGAAGACGAAGGGGAGGAGGCGGCGATAGTGATGATGGAGATGGGAGACATAAGAGGAGGGATGATGATGATGATGGCAGACACAAGAGGAGGAGATGATGGGTCTTGGAACGATTCGATGACGATTTGACGATGACGACCTTTTGACGACGACATATTTCTGCTTTGCTTTTTTTTTTTTTCTCATTTTCTCTTTTGACGTTAATGTTATATGATTTATGTTTCGTTTGTTTTACGATTGATGATTTCTTCTCTTCAAAGCTTGCTTTATGAATGAAGTTTGGGTTTCTAAGAAATGTATGGCTTATGCTGGTTGTTTAATGAGATATAGAAAACAAGCGAGTGCTTTGCTACTTTTTTCTTTTGATAGTAATTTAATATTGTGTGACTTGTTTTGTAAATTTGCACTTTGAGATGATGGTAATTAAAGTTGAAAGCCTCCATTGTACTAGGCCTTGATAGCAGATGCTGGGCAGTGCGCCTTTACACTAAATTACAGCGCTATAGGCGTCTCTATCATACACGGATGTGTTCACCCTCATCTCCTCACTCAATTTCAAATACATGAGGTAATAACAATGTGGAATAGTTAGTAGTACTGACTCATAATATGCAACGATGCATGTAAAAGTCACATGCAGCTGTTTTCTTCCTCCAAGGGTTGTTAGCACCGAGACGGCGCAGAGTGCGTGGAGATTATTGCCTTTGGAGGCAGAGCGCGGTGGGAAACAATTCCCTTGGAGGCTTGAGGTCCGGCGCGTGTTCTTATCGGCCACTACCCCCAAGTGTGTGCACTTAAAACCAACCTTTCCTTTAGACGGTACTGTTGCGAGAAGTTTGGGAGATGGGTTGTACGTAACGGGGAGTGGGATTGACGTGCGTTGATTGAATGCTGCTGAGTCAAATATTTGGTGGTGTATAGACTGGGTATAAAAGAGTGGCTTGAACCAAGCCAAATCACCACATATTGAGCACACAAATTCTTGGATTTATAGCAAAAACTACACAAAGAAACACGGGTTTATCTATATATTACCTGCCATGGCATCGTACTACCCGCACCCATTTGATCCCCTTTCTCCCGAGGAGATACAAAAGGTATTGACCCCATGTCTCTCAACGCTGATGGCTCGCGCCTAACCTACACCCTCCAGGCCGCATCCATCGTAAAGCCATGTTTCGCAGGCCAAGACCCGAATTTCCGCTTCATCACTCTAAAGGAGCCTCCAAAACAGCACATGATTGCTTTTCTCGACCGGCAAGGCAATGGATTTACCGCTGAAGCCGCTCGACCCGCACGCCAAGCTCGCGTTCAGGTTGTTGCCTCGCCAGCTCCCAAAGAAGCGCCTCAGCTGTTTGAGCTGATTGTCGATTTGGACGAGCAGTCTGTGGTGAAGCTTGAGAATCTCAAGGGCAAACACTCGTATATCGATTCGAGCTACATGGGGGAGGTGGAAAAGGCCTGTTTGGCTGATGAGCGGGTGCGGGCTGAGATACGGACGCTGCAGCTTCCTGCTCAGGCGGTGGTTTGTGTCGAGGCGTGGGCTTATGCGACGGATGGGATGAATGATATGACGGAGAGAATTACAATGGTGCGTGTCTTGAAGCTTGCATATATCTGCTGATGCTAACTACGTGGCTCAGTGCTGGTTCTATATGCGTCTTACGAGCAACCCGGATGCCAATTATTACGCATATCCGCTAGACATTTGCGCCGAAGTAGATGAGAAACTACGGGTTGTCAAAGTCTATCGGCTTCCGTCAAGCTCAACCGAAAGAATCCACAACGAAGCTCGGCCATTTGATCGCAGCAAGATTCACCCAGCCACAGACAGTGAATATCACCCAAGTCTACGATCAGAATACAGACAGACGACAAAGCCATACCAGGTTGTGCAGCCAGAGGGCCCGTCATTCCAAGCCGACGGAAACTCAATAACCTGGGAGAAGTGGAGTTTGCACGTCGGCTTCAACTACCGAGAGGGCCTCACGCTGCACGACGTCCGCTATGATGGGCGCAGCCTCTTTTATCGCCTGTCGCTGGCGGAGATGTTTGTTCCGTATGGAGATCCGCGGTCGCCGTACCAGAGGAAAGCGGCTTTTGATCTGGGCAATGACGGTGCGGGTATCAACGCCAACAATCTCCAGCTTGGGTGTGACTGTCTGGGGACGATCAAGTATTTTGACGGGTGGCATAACACGCGGGCTGGCGAGCCGCTCAAGATGCCAAACGTGATTTGCTGCCACGAACAGGATGATGGTATTCTATGGAAACACACCAATTTCCGCACAAAGAATGCGGTTGTGACGCGGTCTCGCATCCTGGTGCTGCAGACCATCATCACGGTGAGCAACTACGAGTACATCTTTGCGTTCCACTTTGGCCAGGATGCCTCGATCCGTTACGAGGTGCGGGCGACGGGCATTTTGTCGACTGCGCCGATTGCCGTGGGAGAGACGGTGCCGTATGGGACGGTCGTTGCGCCGGGCGTGCTGGCGCCGTATCACCAGCATTTGTTTTGTCTGAGGATCGACCCGGCGATTGATGGGCATGCGAATTCGTTGCTGGTGGAGGAGAGCCGTGCCTTGCCGGTTGGGGATCCGGATGTGCATAATCCGCTGGGAGTTGGGTACGTGACGAGCAAGAAGATTGTGGATGATGAGCAGGGCTTGGATCTGGATTTTACTACGAATCGGACCTTTAAGATTGTGAATGAGAAAGTTGTCAATCCGATAACGGGCACGCCGGTGGGATTCAAGATTGTGCCGTTTTACAGCCAGATGCTGCTCTCTCATCCTGCATCTCACCATGCACGGCGCTCAGAATATGGACAGCATGCGATTTGGGTTACTCGCCATGACGACGAGGAGTTTTTCCCGGCCGGTCGACATACGATGCAGTCTGCGGGAGGGGATGGGATTGCGTCGGCCATTGAGAGGAGGCGAAGGGATCCTGTGGTTGATACGTCTGTGCGGAATGAGGATATTGTTGTTTGGCACACGTTTGGGTCGACGCACAACCCGCGGATTGAGGATTGGCCGGTGATGCCGGCGGAGAAGATGGTGGTTGGGCTGAAGCCGTTTAATTTCTTTGGGGGGAATCCGGGGCTGGATGTTGCGGTGTCGACGCAGGAGCAGAATCGGAGTGTTGAGGTGGGAGATGGGATTGGGAGGGCATGTAATAGGTGTAATTGAGGTAGCCTGCATTTCATGTTTGATGAGAGTATTGAAATGTTGTACTTAGCATGGCTATGGTACAAAACGTTATACGTGCTCCTGTGTCCTCTTTTTGGTTATCCGTTATCAAAATATGTTACAGTAATAGGTTGCTCCCTTGGGGAGCGCTAAAATTGCTGTGAAATGTGAGTTGCATGCGCACTGAAAATGGCACCGCGCGGATGTACAGCCTGGGGGGAGGTTAAAATTGCTGTGAAAAAAAAAAATTTGTCAATTAAGAGGCAGTTTTATACATGTAGTAATAAGCAGCATGCAGTTCGCAGACACTTTGGAAAACCTACGGAGAGGTTATAAACACTGTGAAGAGGGCGGAAGTTTGAGGACGGTAGTGAACACTTGACCTCTCCAACTGAGAACCTCGTGTGATAGAGGACAAGACATAGAGTCAGCATGCCGAATTGAAGATTATAGACATTTGCGATGGAAAAAAAAAAGGTACTCTAGAAACCTACTTTTGGTTGTAGGGAAGGTCGAACAAAAACAGCTGGGCATCGAATGTATAGCCTTGAAGTGAGTCTCTTTGTATGCGAGGACGTGATATCTTAGAGTAGAGGCAATTGCTCGCTTTGGCACGAGAAAGTGTCAACAACCCGAGTGTTGTTTGGATTTGGAGACATAGCATGCTTCCAGGTCTTGGGCGTCTGTCCAAGTGTTCCGACGATTCTGAATGATAACAATACAGTCTTGCATCTGAAACTTACATTCATTCGTGTACCTAATCTTCTTGGTTTACTGGCTTATTGTGTGTGTGTAAATGCTACTCTGTCACCCATACTTAAGATATTGAACGATTGTTACTAAAATTACTTTGTCTTTATGTATACCCTACGTATTGATTATCTCTTCGCTTCCGTACCAACAGATGCGTCTTTAATCAGAAATCTTATATCGCAGTAGTAAGCATTCACAGCCTCCAGTCTATTACTCTGATTTTAGCCAAGTATCATTGGTGTAAGTGCTCCCCTACTGCCACATTGTGCAGCTTTCACAAGCGGTGACTAGAGCTTTATTACAGGAAAAGGTCTTGAGAGTGTTATAAGATAATACTACTACTACTACTACTACTACTACTACTACTACTACTACTACTACTACTACTACTACTACTACTACTACTACTACTATTACTCCTATTATTTTAATAAGTATTTAACAGCTACATATTTAATATATAAACTAGCTGCCTTATTATACTACAGTTATGGTGTTAAATAATAAAATTAGGGGCTAGATAACTTCTCCCTAAGTATATTATGCGGGGGTTAAGCCTTGGGGGGGAGTTAAAATTGATGTGAAATATTACTAGTACTGACAACGTGACGGAGCAGCATACCACCCCGCAAGTACTTGTTATGGGACAGGCTTGTAGAACTCGCTTGAATTTCCTTCAGCTTCGACGCAATCAAACTGATAGGTTAGTGTATACTGGACCTTAGGTATTTGTTATGTGACAACAAGTATTTACCGTTTCTCAACGCACCTATATTCAAAATTGACAGCCTGGCAACAAACATCGTGCATTCAGCCAAGTTGCTGCGTCTAGTCTAACTCATTCAAATCTCAAACCATCTAGATGCTATTGTGAAGCGATGGCTACGTACGTATCCCTTTGTCTTCTTGGTTTAACGTGGCAAGCCAACACACACCAGCTCCAGGCAACCGGGAGCTGGATCCAGCTGGTTAGTCTTCGTCCAGGCGGTGCTTTAGCGTGCGTGGACACTAACATTTCCCGAGCGGGTTTCGGTTCCACGGCAAATCTAGGACTCAAGGCAGCCGCATTTGCACTGCCCAGCTGAGATGAGATTGACAGTCAGAAGGCCAGAGTTTCACTGATGATTTGGCCTCTTCTTCCTCTATTTCATTTTTTGCAACTTAATCCTGAATCCTGCCACTTGTTCATAAAAGATGATGGAATGAATGTATTTAAATAGCTGATCGTGCTCTTGCTGCGTCATGTCATGTCATTCTCGTATACAATTATAGCTGCCTATAAGCTGCATATTTAGGCAACGCATCAAGGGAAAAAGTGTCGGTCAAGCCCCGTCTTATTTTCAGCCTTAAGTCTTATATATTCGCCCTTGATTGGACCCCATTCATCATGTTCTCCCGGTTATTCAAATCCGCCTCTTCATCTGCAGCAGCTCCTTCAACAACACCTGCCAAAATGTATTCCAGCATGTCATCAAGTGGCTTCCTCCGCGTAGACTACAAGTCTAATCCTGTGGACATTCCCGACACATTTCTCACCGGCCCGGCATCTGAGCCCGTCACAATAACACCCGTCCCGTTCAAAGAATCTGGGCTGCCCGAGTACACTAAATGCAAGGCGTGGACCCTCGACAACGTCCTCTCTCGAGAGGAGTGCAGGGAGCTAATTGCTTACGCCGAGGCTTCTGCCGTCCTGGAGAAGCCAGGCGAGTCTCCCTGGAAACCCGCTCTTGTTAGTGTAGCCCCAGGATTGGAAGCGTCAGCCCCAGGATATCGCCACAGCGATCGAATCGTATGGGACACGCAGCTTCTCGTTGACCGTCTATGGGACCGCTGTGCTCAAGCCGAAGGGCTGCAGGAGCTCGTTGCCACGGCTCCATGTCCAAGACCAAACACTAGCCAGGGCACATGGAAGTTTGCCGGCTTAAACGAGCGCATGAGGTTCCTCAAGTATGGGCCTGGCATGTTCTTCAGGAGTAAGTATACCATTTGCCGTGCACGAGAGACAATTTCCCCCTTTCGTGCTCCTGAGTATGTATCCAGAGGCTAATGAGCCATCCAGGGCACTGTGATGCCGCGTACCGATCCGAAAAAGATAGCGATGTTATTACGGAGACGTACTATACGCTGCATCTCTACCTCAGCGATGAAGGTCTCGTCGGCGGAGCGACCGCTTTTTCATCGCCCAATGGAAAGAGGCGCATGGATGTCAATCCCAAGGCAGGCAGCGTCCTCATCTTCCAGCATCCCATGCTCTACCATGAAGGAGCAGATGTCATGGAAGGTCTCAAGTATACGATGAGGACGGAAATCATGTATCGGTGGGAGGATGCGCCAAAGGCTGAAGCGCAAAATTAGAGTATCCTTCATTCTGTGGGGAATTATGATTATGTATGTAGTAATATACCAAGCCCTACTAATTGCAAGGACGGCAATATCAGTCTCGTCGGTTTTGTTTTGGCATCTTCTTTTCCTCCAACGCTTCAATATCTTTCTTCTTGTGAAAGTGAGGCGCCAGCTCCGCTAGCCATACAGCCTCAATTGGCATTACGCTGCGCATATACTCCTTTGTTGTCTGCACCAGTTCGAAATAAATTACCATCTTTTCTGGTGGATCTATCGACATCAGCACGCTGCTCGGGTGAATCCACACTGTTGTGCTGTTCTTGACCGTCCGATAGCTGTCGCCGCTCTTCTGCAGCCTCGCCGCGTTGGGGAAGAACCCAGCTGTGATGGCACGCTTGATGGGCCGTAGGTTGTTGGCACCGCATGTTGACGGGGCGACTTCGACACGTTCGCAGAGTTTGGCAAGCTGATCTCGAACATCGCGGGCGCGTGTTAATGATCGCTGCTGTAAAAAGTTCTCTTTGGCCCAGATGGGTGAAAATCCGCTATCGACCCATTGATTCCAGACATTGAGTAATGAAATGTGGTCGCCTCCATCCTTGATAGTAAACCGGTTTCGTGCGCTATCAGCATGTAGCTTCTTGTCTTTTGGTCTGAAGAAGAGAGCAGAGGCTTCACCCAGCATAGAGACTATAGAGAGCACCTCTTCCACACAGCCTTCCTTATCAGCTGCTAGGACTGCTTTTGCCAGCATGGGATCAGTTGGGAATTCGGCCATTTGACGACCAATCTTGGTCAGCTCGCCCTTGTGGTTGAGAGCCTGCAGGGCAAAAAGTTGGTTCAAGGCGCCGATGAGAGCTTCTGTCGGAGGTGGATCCATAAACTCGAAATCCAGCAGCTCATTGATACCTAGTGACTTGAGCTGCAGCACAACTCCGTTGAGATTTGTCCGCTGAATTTCGGGCAGCGGTGACTCGTCCATCTCGTTCATATAAGCAAACTTGGTATATAGTCGGAAACACTTGCCCGGGCCAACACGTCCAGCACGACCGCTTCGCTGGTTGGCTGATGCACGGGAGCATGGAACGACGACTAGATTCGACATGCCTGTGGCCGGGTTATAGACATTTTCTTTGACGTAACCGGGGTCAATGACATATACGATGCCGTCAATGGTCAAACTGGTCTCGGCAATATTCGTCGCTAGCACGACTTTGCGTGCGCCCTCGGGTGTTGGCTCAAAAATCTTTGCCTGAAGTTCTGACGGTAAGTTGGCGTAGATTGGACAAATGACTAGCTCCTTTATTCGATTCCCCAGCTTCTTTGCCGTCTCAGCAATCTCCATCTCGGCGGCCTCGATCTCGTCCTGTCCGGTCAAGAAGATGAGAATATCTCCTTTGCCCTGGGTGGTGTGGATCTGGAACACGGTTGTGATGGCCGCCGCCAAGTAGTTGGCTTCGGGCGCAGGGGTATAGTAAATATCCACGGGATAACGTCGTCCAGGGATGTTGAAGATGGGGGCGTCGTCGAAATACTGGGCGAATTTCTCGGCATTCATGGTGGCGGAAGAAATCAGGAGCTTCAAGTCTTTTCGCTCTCTCGCCAAATCTTTAACCAGGGCCAGCAAAATATCCGTGTGGACCGTCCGCTCGTGAGCCTCGTCAATCATGATTGCCGAATATCCGGCCAGGTCTGGCTCTGTCATGAACTCTCGCAGCAGCATACCATCAGTCATATACTTGAGTATCGTCTTTTCACTTGAGCAGTCTTCAAATCGGATAGAGTAGCCGACTTCGTGGCCAATCTTGACGCCGACTTCTTCCGCAACACGCGCAGCCACACTCATGGCTGCCACTCGTCGTGGTTGTGTGCACCCAACCTTCATACCGTTCTTTGTGTATCCAGCTTCATGGAGATATTGAGGTAGCTGAGTCGTTTTTCCACTACCGGTTTCTCCTACAATGACAAGGATCTGATACTGTTCCAGCGCCTCCAAAAACTGCTCTCGATATTGGTAGATGGGTAGACTCTTCCTTGTCTCCTGGATCGACAAGGCCTTCTTCTCGGCCGCCTCGATCTGTGCCTCCAGAAACTGCTGCTCCTTGGTCAACGTCTTTCTCTCGCCCGGCATCCGTGAGTCCAGGCTCCACTGGATATACTGCGCGTCATCCAAGACGTAGTCGTAGTCCTCATTTTCGCGCTCTCGGCCCTGGATCTGCGCTTTGGCTTTGGTGGTCTGCTCCCTCTCCCACTCGTCGTGTTCCGTGACAAATTTCTCCTGGCCGTACTCGTCCCGCTCGACATGGCGCTTATACAAGGCATCTTCCTTCTTCTTACGATCCAGTTTGCCCTTTTCGGTGATGTAGTCCTCCGGCATCACGTATCCATCTTGATGGTCATCGATTCTCAGCCGCTCTTCAGCCAGGCGCAGAAGCTCTTGGTTCTTGGTAAACTCTGCCTTTTCCCTCTCTGACAACCGCACTCCGCTCCTCAATTCTGCCGTCTCCTCGGCGACTTGCCTCCTCAGCAGGGCCAAGCGCTCTGCCTCTCTTTTCTTGAGATAGTCCTGCCGCGATCTCATGCGGCTCTCCTTGTGGCGATCCGAGGAGTCGCCATCGTCCATCGGAAGGAAGGCATATTTCTTGGAACTCATCGTCGGAAGTGATGGCAGCCGTGCAGCTCTCACTGAGTGTATAAACTTATGTGTTTTGCCTTCTTTTTGCCTCCTGGAATCTTCCCGAAATTTGCCTTCACACCACGGCAGCCTGCTGAAGGTGAGACGCGATGCTACCTGGAAGCGAGTGCAGAAGCAATAGCTGCCATTTTTTAGTGGAGACCCGATTCTAAGGGTCCATAGTATTCCCCCGTAGTTCATCCGCCAGCCAATGGGCGTTTTGCGATAGCCCTGCCGGCAGCTTATCAGCGATGATGCAGCTGCCAGCAGACCAGAAAAGCCACTAATTTACCTACACGTCAACGCAACTGGAAATGTTAACACGCTGTAACTTACAAGCTGCATATCCAGCCTTTTTCTCTTTTTTGCACATCCACGAGCCTTGCTAGAGAAGCAGCTCGGAAAGGAATCCTACGACACAGGTTATTGATGCTTGATTGTTTTATCAATATCTTTTTTACCACTGGAAGGGCCAATTAGCACCAGACAGCACCATGATACTCCGCGGGGCGATCTTCGTCTTGTTGGCTCTAGTATCGCTTGCCTTGTGCGCCGAAGACTTCTACAAGGTGCGCCAACACTTTTCCGTTTCTTCGCACACAATGATGCTAACAGTCATGGAAAGATCTTGGGAGTCGATAAATCTGCGACAGATAAGCAGCTGAAGTCTGCCTACCGCCAACTTTCGAAGAAGTTCCACCCCGACAAGAATCCGTATGTCGTCTCTTTGCACTTGCGCCTTGCCATTTACAACGTTTACTGATTGCAATTTTACTTTCTTTTAGAGGCGATGAAACAGCACACGAGAAGTTTGTTCAAGTCTCCGAAGCCTACGAAGTGCTAAGCGATTCCGAGCTTCGAAAAGTCTACGACCGCTATGGCCACGACGGCGTCCAGTCCCATCGTCAACGTGGTGGAGGCGGTGGTGGAGGCGACCCCTTCGACCTCTTTAGCAGATTCTTTGGCGGCCATGGACATTTCGGAAGATCAAGTCGCGAGCCCCGAGGCAGCAATGTCGAGGTCAAAGTAGAAATTTCCCTTCGCGACTTTTATAACGGCGCCACTACCGAGTTCCAATGGGAGAAGCAGCACATCTGTGAGAAATGCGAGGGTTCGGGCAGCGCAGACGGAAAAGTCGAGACTTGCAACATTTGCGGTGGACACGGTATCCGAATAGTCAAGCAACAGCTTGCCCCCGGCATGTTCCAGCAGATGCAGGTTCGTTGCGACCACTGTGGTGGCACAGGCAAGAGCATAAAGAACAAGTGTCCCATCTGCCGTGGCAATCGGGTTGAGCGTAAATTGTCAACGGTCAGCCTGACTGTCGAGCGCGGTATTGGCCGAGACGCAAAAGTGGTGTTTGAGAACGAGGCCGACCAAAGCCCAGACTGGGTTCCCGGCGATCTCATTGTCAATCTTGCCGAGGCTACCCCGTCGTATGATGATAACCCCGATCAAGTCGACGGCACCTTCTTCCGACGCAAAGGCCACGATTTGTACTGGACAGAAGTTCTCTCTCTGCGTGAGGCTTGGATGGGCGGCTGGACTCGCAACCTCACTCACCTCGACAAGCACGTTGTGCGCCTCGGCCGCGAGCGTGGCCAGGTCGTTCAAGGTGGCCTGGTAGAGACCATTGCTGGTGAAGGTATGCCGGTATGGCACGAGGAAGGCGAAAGCGTCTACCATACGCACGAATTTGGCAACCTGTACGTTACGTACGAGGTTATTCTGCCAGACCAGATGGACAAGAAGATGGAGAACGAATTCTGGGACCTGTGGGAGAAGTGGCGATTGAAGAAAGGAGTAGACCTGCATAAAGATAGCGGGCGACCCGATATTAAGCATGAACGCGATGAGTTATGATGCGGCAAAAGAAGGATATAGCAAAAGGGAAGCAAGAGGAGTTATGTAGGGTACTATGTCGTGTAATTTTCTCCTATTATAGACTTGTGGATTGTATATATACATGGCACTTGCAAAGGACATGCATGATTTATTCTTTTGGTGTTCGCAATTGAGTCGTATATCCACTTCAAATATCACATTGTCACGTCGTCAGGGGCTCCAACTGAGGTACATTAGTTGGCGTATACCTTATTTTGAGGCTGAGATGCCAGTACTACAATTTGGAGGATTATGTGGCTTCTGGGAGAAAGACGTCTTCAGAAGCTTACGACCTTGGTACCCATTACGCGTCGGGGGGCTCTCTGGTGGCATGTTCTACAAAGTATCTCCTCTGGTTGCTCCTCTTTTGCGCGTTTTTGTGCCTCTCAAAGGCCTATAGGGGAGAAAATAACACTTGGCATCTTGCCACAAGGGAGTATATCGTCACCAACATACGAGGTGGCGCGTGAAGTGGGTAGGTATCTATCAAGTAATAAGTAGATATCGCTGAAAACGGCCGAGTAGGATAAGGGCATCTGTTCGTCTCGTATAACGACAGAGGACTGTATACTCATGATGCTCTTGGTGGAGTAGAAGAATCTATTGATGGCTTTTAAGTTCAGCCTCAGCAATTTTAAGCGACATATTTATATAAACTGAGCAGTTTTCCTCTGTTTCTCCCTGACCTTGCATCGCCTGAGAGTTCCAACCCTCCATCCACTGAATATTCCAACCTTCAATCGTCAGAGAATTCCGCCCTTCCATCGCCTGAAAATTTCACTGTTGATCCAAACTTACCTGGCTACACGACTCTTTTCAACACAACAGCCCGTTCACCCGGTATCAAAACCCAATTTATCGTCGCACATTTATCGCTTGGGTTCCATCTTGTCATCGCTTGTCATCGCTTGTATCTGCTTGTATCAGATCTGTCTCTCCAATTTCATTCTTTTTCGATCCAAGATAATTTAATTTCCAGTCTTCTCGTAAGTCCTCGTCGCAGATTTGAAGGGATTCGCTCTGTGCGTATCTCAGACAGCTGAATCGAGACCAAGAACATAATAAGGACTACATAGGCGAGACTGGTAAACCAGAGAGCCACAATGGGCATCATGGTGGCAAATAAATCGATTGGCTCTGAAGGAGCGTTGACTTTGGCAAAGGTCTCGAAGGCGTACACCGAATCTACGTCCCAACCCTGGCTAATAGCAGTCATGGCCGGTCTGCTAAGCCTTGGGGCTATTTTTATACTCGCGGCTTTAATGGCCATGCGCTCGAAATATCGCGGACGAATTAGGTGGAGGAATAACCGGCATGAAAAATGCTAAGGGGGTAGGGTGGTGATGAACTCCCGTTGAGAGGCTGTTCATCCTTAAGGACAGCTTTTGTTGCCGTATATTTTTTTTTCTTGTAATTGAGCCTGAGAATTACACCTGAAATATATAAAGGAAAGGTTAGTCTGGAACTTTCGTTCTATCATCCAACATCCCAGTTATAACATAGCTGATCTACATGTAAAATCATGTGTGTATGTATATATAGAGCATCAATAGCACCAATAGCATCAGTAGCATCAGTAGCATCAGTTGCAGCATATGATATATCTATAATGTTAGACAGTAGAACTAGGATGCTGGATAACCTTTCCCTATTATCAATCATCGGATATGGAGGGGCAGTCACTCCGGGCAGATATTCTCGCAAATAATCAAGTAACTTGGTGGTGGAAACATAATTCTTTGTTAGCTGCAAGATCTCTGTCTCGAGATAGAAAATTGAGGCTATTTATGGGCAAGTAATCGACCGTCAGAAAGACAGCGCTGGAACGTTGGCGAATAGGCATTCTGTCCATTTGGAGAAGAATTTTGGAGATTGGGCTGTAGGAGATGCCTCTCAAATTATAGCCGTGGTAAATTGTGATTTTATGATCAATTATTTATGCGTCAATCTATTTGATTCCTTCCCTTTTTGCTTCAATACCTGCCTAAATATTGAATGTTGCCACATAAGAGGCTGCGCAAGCTAGGCTTGCGCGAATCAATTTGGAGTCTGCCAACTTTTCCCCTCGTCGCCATCGCTATGTATCTAGCGGCTGTCATATTGTCCTTTCACCTTGACTCTGAGATTTGTAGCTTTTTCATCGCCAGTCTTTTTAATCAAAGAATATCTTCACGCGGTCGCCGCTAGTTTGCATATTTATTATTCAGAAACTTTGAATGCGGTGATGTTGGAAGTTTAGTCGATCGTGGTGATATCCCGCATGTAGCATCCCTTGTTGTAAGTGGGGTGGATATTAACACGCTTGTTTTATTTAGAAAAAATTTCTTTTAAGTAATAAATAAGGGTGTTAATTTGTGTTTCCCATAGCGTTGATTTTGGTCGTGCTTAGGTAGGATGTTTGGTGTGAGAGTAATGTCTGCGGATCATCAGTGGAGGCGGTGTTTGCGAGGAATTCGATCTTGCTCTCTTGACCCTAGATTCAGAGGAATCGATGTCGTTTCATTTGTGGATAGTAGGCGTATTGCTTCTTATAGACTGCAAAGCCTGTGTTGATAATTGGATTTGACTCATCATCACGTAGAGTTGGCTCCCGTTATCTGCAACCACAGATTATATCCAGCAGCTTCAAGGACTGGTTTAACCCACAAGATACTGCTCAGCTCTTCCTGGAACGTCATCCAGCTGTCTGGGCTGGCCATGTCGCTCTCACCCATGGCCATAGCTGAATGCTGTAAGAACCACTGCTGTTCAGTAGTCCCATCTGAAGCAGCGATACTACCGATAAATAGCTTCCATCGCGTTAGAGGCGATGGAGAGTGCAAGCAGCCTTGGATAGAAGCTTGTAGCTTGCGAACCAAGTTCATCGAAGTTGCGTTGAAACGCCCAACTGATGTAAGAGACTTGATATATAAGATCAGAGAGATGCGGAGGCTGTTGTCGCAGTCGCTCATCTTGTCCGATTGGCAACTGAGAAGGCGATTGTAAAGCCCAAAGACAGACTCATAGAGGTTATCCGTATCCAGCTTGATGTTGCGAGTCATGGCATCGTCAACAACGGTGTTAAGCTGTGTGATATCGTGGAAGATGCTTGATAGTCGCGGCGGGACTCGGCACTCGGTTGAAGCTAGCTCGGATTCTGAGTCTAAACTGTCTTCTGAAATAATTTCTCTGCTTGGAGAGTCTCGGAGGCCTTCATCTAGTAGTGGTGGCTTATCAACGTCTACTGCAATATCAAAAACGCCGCTTAAAGATAATATGAGCCACAGCCATGTATGTTAATAGCAGATGTAGAGTCCTTACCGATATACTTTAGATCTCATCCTATTATCGATATTGGCAAAGCCGCCTCGCACTTTGACGAGTTCTGCAAGACCTTGGGCATGAATCCAAGCTTTATCATGATTACCTTGGTCATTCTTCATCGAGTTAGTATAAGTTAATGGTATAATAGTTGCATAACAGAGTAAACGAAAAGTAAAAGCAAGCCCCAGTAACTTACGCTCCACATGGCCAAACATGATATTGCACCCAGCGTCTGATCCGTGGGAAGAGAGCCAGACGCGACCCGGCTCTTGAGTTGCCGCAGCGCCTCATCAAGAAGAGAGTGAGAGTCGACGTAATTGGAGGGGGAGCCTGTCAGCGAAGCCAGCGCGTTGGCCGAGAGAGACAAAATGATACACCGCCAAGCTTCGTCTTCCATCATTTTGGGAAACCAGTCTCTTTTGGCGGGGTTGAAAAGAAGACATGGTAGGGTATATGAGTCAGCGGCAATTGAATGAAAGTCTTGAAATACAGTGAGTTATGCCGTTCTGAAAAATTAAGAGGTTCCTGACGAGAGTAGACATAACAACATACAATAATTGATGTAAAGAAGAGCATGTCCTACCAGGGCAACGGGAAGTTCCGGCGGCATAGGACTTGGGTTGCGAGACAACCTCGGTTCCTTTTTAACAGATACCAGAGAGCGATCTTTTGGTGGTGTAACAGAGCGTTTGGTACGCCGACCGCGTTTGACCTCTTTTGACCGCTTTGTTAACTGTTGTCGTTTTCCAGGTGTGTAGGCGACAAACTCCAGAGCATCCCCATCGATGCTGTTGGCGTTTGATTTCGACTCATTGTTTCTGTCGACTGTCACGGATATACGAGGCGCCAGGTCCGGAGCGACGCGCATCGACTTTGTGCGAGTTTCCCATTGAGATCCTCGACCGGCTTTGGTTCCGCCAACCTTGTGAACTAGGAAGACGGCATTGCTAGGGAGGATGACGCTCTCGCCTCGATTCGACATGGCGACGGGCGAGGTTACGGCTGGCGCATAAGTAGATTCAAGAGACTGTCGTATTTAAGCGCCAAGTATGAGATTATATACTGGGTATGAGTTGAGGTTTTGGCGATGATTGAAGATTACTGATGGTGAGAAGCAAGCGAGGTTAAGAGACAAGCTGACAAACAGGCCCTTTTTCTGACCGCGGTCAGCTGCAGTTACGGCTTTAGTGCTGAATCTTAGAAGAGACGCGCCGCCACAGCTCGTGCTAAACGCACTAGACGGCTATAAGAGCCCTTTTTATTCGCCCAGTTGTGCCGATTTTTATGCCTGGTTATCTCCAGCGAGTTGTAAGGACGCTACGTGGTACGTGACGTCAGAATAATACTGCTCATACGATAGGGCTCAGTTCATGAAGGATGTGAGTGGGCAATAAAGGGCGTTGGGCATAAAGCCGCGATGGTATTATCATTATTAATTAAGCCAACTGTAAACCTCTTGACAATGCGATTTGCTGAGCTTCTAACGCTTGATAAAACACTCCTATTCAATTTTTAGTTTTTCTCTTGTTGACGATCTGACTCGATTTATCGGCTTACCTGCCAGCTTCCACCTCTTGTCTAACCATAATAAGGCGCTCTTGAGCTTCTCTACTTTTGGGTCGCTCCAGTTTTCATCTTGGTGATTTTCGATTTTCAAGAGAATTACAGAGGCTTGGTATATCAACTGTATTAGAAACGGAGAAATCTCATCCTGTCCGCGCTGAGCAGCTGTGACAAGATCCTCATAGTCAGGAGCGTTTAGAGCATCGGCAAGCGATTCAATGAACTTGTCTGGCATCTCAATCGGAATGGTTGAGCAGGTATATATTGCTATCAAGGAGCTTTATTAACGTGATTAGTTGTCATGATTGCTGAACCATCAAAAATCGCCGAGTATATGTACTCACATCTGAGATACGGAGTGAAATTCAGAACTGGGTAGCCCAGTTTCCGGTTTACGCTCTATTCGTCCGAAATAATAGAGAGCTTTAATGGCCCGCTCTAGCCGTTGCGCCTCTTCCTTTAACAGATGTGGTGGAATGTTTCGTGAAGAGGACGTGAGTCGTTGCACCTTGGACATGAGAGCAAAAGCCTGTATTAGCACTGCAAATCTCCCAAAGTCTATGTTGACGGGATTCTTCAACAGCGGCGAACGGGGCACTTTCTTGACCTGAGAGAAATATGTTAGTAACCCCAAGAAATACCACCCGCACAGCAGATACATGTACATACGCCCTCGTCCCAAAGCTCATCATCCGTCGGTAGAGCATCTTCTGGTTCTGGCTCATCAACAGTAGCTGGACACCCTGGACAGCTCAAGCTAACAAATCTAATCCAAGTCAGACTGCTATGAGTCAATGCATCGAATGGCTGTACATACCGATCCAGCAGAAACGCTGCCCACCAGACCCTCTTCCGTTCTTCCTCTTCTACCCACGTCAGCGGTAGCTTTAGTCTCTGCAGCCCCCCTGGATGTATGCCTAATGCATGTGCATATCGCACACACGCTGCTATAGACATGAACGCGGCGGGATAGATTGCATGTCCAACTTCATAAAACGCCACGAGAAGTAGCCCTTGGAGCACTCGGAGAGAGAACATGCCGGATGCCTCGAGCTCGAAGCCAAACCTTTTCGTCTCAATGTACGTCGCAGTTCGAGCTGTCTGCTTCACTGGAGAGACATCATCTTCTGAAAGCGGTTGCCATGTCATCAGCTTCATGCCCAAGAGTAAAAAAGCCAAGTCGGCAGAGGCGCTGAGGTTTTCAGAATGGATTCGTAGATCTTCATAGAATCTTTTCCGGGATACCATGGGTAGCCATGCATGAATCGTGTTAAAGAACCGGTTGCCGATTTCTTCCTGTTGCTGACTGTTACCAAGCTGTCCTGTGATGGAGCTGGGCAACCTGGCAAACGCCTTGGGAATGTCGATGTTGTGATTGCGAAAGACGGGCGGATCAAGAAAAAACAGAGCTGATAAATTGGAAGAAGGAAGCGCATATTGGTTAGTTGTAGAAGTTATAGGTTGAGATGAGACATTGTCTTCTTGAAGTGAATCTGACTGCTCAGAAGAGGCCAACATTGAACCCCTTTTGACGTAATCGTAGTCGCAGCGCCTTTGTTTCCTGTGCCTTGCATTAGCGTCACTTTGGTAGAGAAGAATGTTTTCTTCTTTTTATTTTCGCTTCTTGTTGGTTCATCCTTTGGATTTTCAACTTTTGCTTACTTTGCACACTCAAGACAACTGGGGAGTTTCTTGTCGCATCGCCGCTTTCTCACCTTGCAAGAGGCGCATGCATTTGGCGCGAGGCCCGACCTTTCCATCCCGATAGACTTGAATCGCGAGGAAATTCCAGTCCCTAGCAATCTCGTGTATTTTCTAAACCAAAAACGCAGCGAGATGAAAACCAGCGTCAGGATCCATACTGCGTACTTGAGAATGGCGAAAGGCGTAAGATGGAAGAGTTCAAGACTATTCTCGGAAGTCGAATCACGTAAGCACCGCATAATTCGTTTGTTAAGCGCCGTTGCAGCATGGCCGGAATATATGTACAAATGATTCATGGAGGCGTCTCGTAATCCCCAAAACACATTTCCGCCCATTTACAAGTGGTTTTAGAAAGAAGAAAGAATTTGACCATCCTTCGAGATTGTACTAGGACAGCGTCATTGATATGGCCCTTGAGCTTGGATCTGGACCAAATCTCATATTACCAAGTCTGGCGAAGGCTCATCTGACCTGTAAACTGATCCACTTTAACTTGCCTAGACAGTCCATGGTCTCGTTCTTTATTGTAGCAATAGACTTCAACTATGACGTGTTATGACTGCATCGTCTATATACAGCAAGCCCGCTACCTGATTTGTTTGATGCCAGCATTTGTCATTGCCGTAATTACTAGATGGCTGAGAGCATCATTTTCATGGGTCCGAGCAGCTTCTATCTAGTAGCTATATTACTGATTGACGACAGAGACTGTAGAAATTGAGGCATCAAACTTTCTAAACTCTTCCACCAAATCTTTCCACAGCTCTCTTTGCAGAATCTCCCCTTCCGAGGTCGAAGTATAGGGGTGGCGGCTGTAAATAATTATCAGAAAAAAATAAAGATAAAATAAGATTAAGGGCGAGGAATGGATACAACGGCCGCAGACCACTTACGGAGCAATCGTATTATCATCGAGAAATTGGCCATGAACGTCATCGTCGCCGACGATAGCAACGAGATAATGCAACGCAGCGTCTTCTGATGACAGACCTCTCTCTTTCAATACCTGAAAGGCCCAATCTTTTCCTGGGCCATCAGGATAACTGGATCCAAAGTTGCTCCAAGTCCATGTCGGAGTAGGCTCAACGACAACGACTTTACTCTTGTCGAGGCGGCTGGCTAGCTCTTTGGTAACTAAACCGAGAAGAAGTTTGACATCATTATATCTCCGAATGGGGTCGAATTTCTCCTTTTCGTCAAGGTATTCAATTATTTTGCGCGTGAGCTTCTTTTCGGCAATCTCACTCTCAAACTGTCTGTAGCTGCCGACTAGGACAAGGCGACCTGGTCCGTTATTTGAGGCTGCTGCTTTCTCGAGTAAAGGTACCAATTTTATTGCCAAGTACGCAGTTGACAAGAGGTTAATCTGTAGTATTTTCTCATGGTTAGTCGACTTTGCGCGACGATATTCGGCACCTCCAACGCCTGCGTTCATTATGGCGACGTCCAAAGCAGGCGTCGTCTCGTATACTCGTGCAGCAAATGCCTGCACGCTCTTGTAATCTTCCATTTCAAGCTCGAATACGTCAATTTTGGCATTGGGTTTTGCAGCCACCACGGCCGGGTCACTGAGGAGCTGCCTCTTGACTTGTTCGCCTCTGGGCACATTTCGGACGCCCATGATTAATCTGTCAACCTTGCGGATGAGAACGTGCTTGCTGATGGCTTCTCCAAGGCCATGAGTCGTTCCAGTAACCAAGATTGTTTTACCACTAAAGTCAACGGCGTTGAGGATGTCAAGCGTCTCCTTTGGCAGAGGTGTGCCTGTGCCCTCGCCTTGGGTGCCATTGCCTCGGGGGACCTTCATCTTGAGTTTGATGAGATTCAGCTTTAATTAAAAGATGTTGAGAACGTATAGTTGTGATGATTTATATCGATTTGGAGGAACTTAGCCTGCTATTTATGTAGCAGTAGGCAAGCAAGCCATCTACGTGTTGCCGTACATTGTCTTTGATGAGGTAAGGCCAGACTTATAAGTTATTACAGGCTGAAGTCTGTATTGGACTTAATGCTGATGGAAATGAATTTTGAATGGCTTACATAGGTACTTGCTAGAAATTCTGAGCATTTCCTGAAAGGCTACAGTGTGATAAGTTTATGATGTGGATGACGCGCCCGCATGAACGCCGCCACCATTACGTCTGACGTTCTACCTCGGAACAGAATGACGGCTCTGATTCAAACGCCAGCAAGAATATCAATTTCATTGTTATTAACACCATTCGTAAGATTCCTCGGTTTTATGAGAATGCTTACATAAAGAGGGAGCCTGCGCACTCATGCGGTAGCGACCATCTTAAGCTATCCAATGAGCATCAACGGTGTTCATCTTATGGTGCTCGAAACTGCCATGTTATAGTGCCGTATAATAATTAATTTGTGTTTAATAGAGTAACAAGACAACAAAGACCTCGGATTATAAGTGCTGTGGCGTAAATGTGATTTGTCAAATGTGAGTCATGTTGCGTGGCTATGAGAAAGAAAAGGCGAAGACTCTCTCTTCCAGAAAGGATTAAATAGGCTACATTATATAATATCTATAAATTGCTCTTCTCAATAGATAAATTTTTATGTATGCATTCATCTTCAGAATAGTATTGCAACCTAGCCTAGGCCGCATCACTCGGCCTACTCTCCGATATGTCTTCAATACTCACTCAGTGGTATTTTCATCCAACCATCCAATAACTCACTTTACACTTCTTTCTATAATGAAAAAGAGGTGAAAAGTAAAAATAATGAAAAGCTCCTCTTATTCTATCTCCCAAAAATATGAATGCCACGATTCACAATCAGGAGCTTATAAGAGTGAAATCACGCGAGATAAGGTTTGCATCGCATCGAGCGGCAAGTCAGCCGTGAAAATAGTGAGAACTAACCAAAGTCTATACTCATCAAGGAATTTGCAATTGTGAATGCTGCTTTAATCCTTTGTATAGGGGCCGCGTAAGAAGGGTTGACTTTTACGCGCCTTTTGAAACCTGGTCGAAGAGTACCTATGTTAGGATTGAGCGAAATGGCGATGTTAGTTACATGTACCAGCAGTTACAGCAGATCTATAGGCCATTCAGCCATTTCCCACCCGAGCTTACGGGTCTAGCATAACTATGTTGGAACCTGTAAATGCATTCAATTCTCTGTTTCGAGTAAAAATGATGGGAAACGAATTTACGAATTCGAACCCTAGAATGTTAAGAGAAGCTGCATAGGCTGCTCGTAAGCTGCATCTTACTTGAGCTATACGATGTTTCGATCAGCATAAACAAGGCCCGGCGCGAGAGCCCGATGTCACGTCGGTGAGCCTGGCAACACGGCAATGTCGGCATATCGTACATGGCAACGCCGGGCACTGGCTCGACTCAAAGCATTGTCCCTCTCTATAGGATTGGAAAGGATTTGCTGTTTAGAGTAACTCTGAAAACGACCTTTCCAGTTTTGGCTCAGTCTCGTATTTTTTCTTGTAGGATAGTAAGGGGGAAATCGAAATTTCAGGACTATTGTTTTCGGCTGCGAATCCGAGAGTCGTGTTGGCAGCTTTGTTGATCCACAATTTACGTGATTAGAGTTGAACAAGGCTATTGACCTCCTTGTCGTGGGAATGATCTTCGCGATGCTTGGAGATGGAGCAACGACTTACTTTGTTTGGGTTAGTGTGTTTATATCTATAACACGGCGATTATGGAGAAGCCCGATCAGCCAGGGGTAGCGATGGAAAAGAGTAGACATTGTTGAGAATAGGAAAAGATATAAAAGATGTCAAGGTTCGAGCATATTCGTTTGTTCAGTCCATCAGTAGCCTACATCTAGTTTCATAGTTGATATACATCCAATCCCTCTAAACATCATGAAGTCTGTCGCTACTCTTGCTACTGCGGGCGCCGCCTTCGTCGGCCTCGCCTCTGCATGCAGCACCTTCAACAATGTCGAGGTGACTTTCTATGGCTGGCCTGACAACTCTCCTCCTGGGCCCGGCACCGCCTACGACTGTGGCGGCCGTAACTACGTCGCTGGTGGTCAGTAGCAGCTCTGTTCTGATTTAACTTATAAGACTTATAAAGTTGTCTAACAAAATGGGCTATAATAGGTAGCGGAACTTACGACGACCCCATTACTATCGCTACTGCTGAGAGCGAGCTCAGCGTTTGCGAGACTGTCTACATTCCTCTTTTGAAGAAGTACGGTCGCCACGAAGATGACTGCACTCAATGCGGTAAGATGTAATGATCTGCAACTTGAAGATTCTTGCTGATTCATAAATGACAGAGTCGGACTGGAACAACGGCCAGGCTCACATTGATATCTGGACCGGCTCCAACTCTTCGGGTGGCGGCGATGCTCAAATTGACTGCGAGGACAACCTCACCTCTGGAGGCCAATACTCTATTGTCAGACAGCCTGCAACTGATCTCGAGGTCGACAGTACGTATTCATCTTTTACAACACTCTACACGGCTTTGAAGCTAACGTGAATAGCCACTCCCTTGTTCGTCCCTCCTAGCACTTGCAATACGGGCAACATTTACGAGGGCAACCAGGCTTCTTGCTAGGTTAATGGTATTTGGGCCAGGTTATTTGATGCTTTTACATAAAATGAACGACTGATGCTAATGTAAATAATTATTTCATGTTTCAAGTATATAATAGACCTATAATAGTTACATTTTCTCATCTCCATGCGTAAAACCATGTTTGACGACTCTTCTTAACACTGATGAAAAGCTGTAAAACGGCCTCGAAGTATAACTTATTTGGAGGCCTAAGTTGCAAAAGCGCGTCGAGTTCAACTGCGGAGGAGTATGAAGACGGAATCCTCAATATTCAACATTGGCGGACTCCTGCTTTTCGAGATCCCCTTTCCCAGCTGACAGCTTAGGCTGTCTTAATCGTCCCTTTTGCGTGGCCAATGGCCCACGAGCAGCGTTGGTGATAGGCTGGTATTCTTTTCCATTGATGATCACAGGCTTGTAGATGTTTGCTGCCACAGCTGTTAGTTCAAACGCAATAGTCGTCTGCAAACTTTGATACGTACCAATACCAGTGCGATGGTTGTTGACGTAAATGTTCTCCCAGCCCTTTGCCGGCGCATTGTACATTTCGTGCATGATACTGAGATGAGGATGACTTGCGGTGATGTTATTCCACCAGTCCCAAGCTTCGCGGTGCAGAGGTGAATGAGCAAAGCGATGGACATCCTCTACGGTTCGGAAGTAGCAGCATGTGGCAATGCTGTTGGCCTTGGGACTATGTGTCAGTCAAAGATTTTCCAAAATTTGGTTAGAAGACTGCTTACCGTGAGCCGCTCGCCATTACACAGGTAGGACGACGATCCAAGAACTAGGTATTGCTTCAGCATCAGAACAAAGTTATGCTGCTGTTAAAGTGTGGAAGACTTACACCCACTATCCTCGTCCTCGGTAAGGTTTTCGATCATTGCACTGAAGAAATCTCCGATTTGTTTATATCCAGGCCCAAAGATACCCATGGGGCTACAATGATGCCATGTCAGCAGTCATATTCCATACAAAGCGCACAGACGGGATAACGCACTGATTTGACCTTGAGGCCAGTTTAATAACCGCAATCTGGTTTTGTGCTCCCTCGGTCGGCGCGTTGCCAGCCGCGTCTCCATGCTGCGCCGAGAATTTGCCCATGATGACATCGTCCATATAAGGGTTATGGAGAAGACCGAAGCTCTGGAGGATAGTCCGCGATAGCTTATATAACAAAATGAGCGCTGCCGGAGCAACCGCATACGTTGGTCGAACAAAGACAACCAAGAGGCCCTGGATAACGGCTCCGATCGCGAGCCACGTTGAAATGGTGAAGCAATCGCGGATCATCTGCGGAAAAGGCGGTGTTAGTGTTTGAAGTTTGATGCTTGTTCATCGCTGATGACAGTTGCACCAGTGCCACTGATGGTTGTAGTATAGAATAGGAAAACAACTAACGTTCCAATACATGATTTTGACGGTATCCTTCCGTGAACGTTTGGGGATTTTGTCAATCCGCGGGGCGAAATGTTGGAAATCCATCTTGTTGAATATCTCTAGATGCTGTCGACTGGTATGATCTTAAGGTGGTGTATAGATAGGGACACGTAAAAAAAAACTGATCAACAGGAGACTGCTTTCATTTAAATATCCAACGGTACAAAAACCTTCGTCGTAACGCCAACATATCCCTTGAAGCTTAAACGTCGAGTAGGGCGGGCGTTGGGCGGCGCCATCGTCTCGCTAACGTCATATGCCAAACAGTGCGTTGCTTCGCATCTCGCAGATTCGAGACTTGTTAGTAGCCAAATAGCGGGGGTTGCATTTCTGCAGCTTTGCGGCTTGTGACTTGTTATTGGTGCAACCAGATCTCGCGATTGTCAAACACTTTTCCGAATCCGAGGCACGAGGCGTTATGCGATCTTGAGTCATGGGGATCTTGAGCTTGGTCCGAGATGTCGAAAAAGCCACAGCTGAGACAGGCGTTATGAATGGTGCTTACTGGCATTGGCCCAAATACTGTAGTGGTTCAATTTAGCCCAATAATGAGGTAGCAGTGTTAGGATACTATCTTTTTGAGGATTACTCCCGCATGACTAAGGTCATCTAGTGATTGATATCAAGGACATTAATAGTTGCTCAATACCTGGCACCACCGACACACGTTATACCGGCGGACCATCGGATCACCGATGTTTTCTTTCCACCGCATAGTAACCCAAGAATAAAGCCCGGTATTTCCCCCCAAGCTAATGGTATACGTAGCAACATGTCTTTGGAGTAGCTACTACTGCGGGGAACCGATGAAAAATGACAGGTATTTGGAGATCAACAGGCGAATGCGAGCTTCACGTGTGACAGACACAAGAAGAGAGACGGCGGGAAAAAAAGGAGGGGCACAAAAGAGAAGTCAGAAACACAAGTTGTTAAAAATCCTATATTTAGAATAGTTTGAGCAGTGACTTTTTTCAAGTCATCGCCAATTGACAACCGTCCTGATATGAGAGCGTGAGACATAGTCTTACAGCTTAGACAGCTTAGTAGGCACTTGCAAGTGGCAAATAGGTAGCTGTCAGGAGGCGTATCTGCCGCAAGCCTAGCCTCTGAGCTAGGTCAAGAATACGCATCATTAGCGTAAAGGAGCATTGGGAGTTTTGTCTCAGATGACGAAACCAACGCAAGCAGCGGGGGACAGAAAAACCGGGAATGCGAGGTTTTCAACACACAAATTAAAACTATACACGTATAACATCGGGGAGTTTGGTGTGTATATTTAGGTTGTTGTTGTGGATTTGTATGCACTTATTGGTCTTGCGGTTCTTGTTTTTCTGTCTGCACTTTGGTAAGGAGGGGAACTTGGCCAACCGCAATCATAGACCGTAGCATCGGCTTCTCATTCGACTTCATCTCAATGGAGGACTGAAAGAATGTGGAGTTCTGACGTTGCAGGATGTGACGGACTCGACGCGAAAGTGTGTCATGTCAAGATGCAATGAAACGGGAGCATCAAGATCACACCACTTGTATGAACCGGCAATTATTTTAGAATCATTTGGCTGGGTAAATGTGATCAGCGTAGGATGGCTACACCATCAGGATATTTATAATGCGAATAACATACTGATGACGATGCCATCATCAAATCAGGCTGCTCGATTTTGCAGGGCATATTGTAGGAATAGAAATCGCTTCTTCACCGCTTTATACATCAATGAGGGCTCGTCGAATCGGATCCGTGTATTATATTCATCTTTCTCTCATTGTCTTCTCATTAGAGTAACCTGTATATACCTTTCGGCTTCTCATAAATCACATCCGTGACTTTGAACACATCTGCCCTGGCGCGTTATTATAACATGCGCCTCTCTCCAACAGCTCAACACTTGTGATCCTTATACAGAGTCGCCGAGTCAAGAACAGTATTGTTATTACTCGCAACAAACTCGTGCGTAAGATGCGTAGCATTATGAAACGTTAACTTGCTCCATCCATAAGTCGCATTGTTCGTATCGAGCGAGAACCGGCTAAACTGCTGTCGAGGACTCTGCAGCGTGTCCAATCCATCGTAGTGACCAGCTGCGCCATTGGTAATGTACCATGGTGAGCTTGGGTTGTTTAACTCCTTGGGGTCAATCTTGCCCTCGGCAATGGGAGCCTGACGCTCGTAAATGTGGGCGTGACCAGAAAGAACGAGATCCACATCGTATTTGAGGAATAGCGGCTCGAAGACGTCCTTGCAGCTCCAGCAGATGGTGCCCGTGACGTTCTGGTAGCTGAGGTACCAAGGGCGATGGCCGCCGACAATGATCCACGGAGTTAATTTGCGGTCGACGGCTTTCAAGTCGGCTTCTAGCCAGTTGACCTGGGCGTTCATCTTGCTATTCACGGGACTAGCACCCTCACCCTCAGTGCCTCCAATCTCATCTGGACCAATGAAGCCATGTCCAAGATCGGTTTCAGTATCGAGCTGGATAAAATGAGCCATGCCGCTGTTCCAGCTGTACCAGAAGTTGCCAGTGCCTCGGGAAACATCGCTGGGCATGCGGAAATGGTTCTTGAAGCCGGTGAAGTTGGTCTGTCCGGGCATGCAGATGCTGAGGTCGTATGTGATGTTGTGCGTCTTGTCAGTGGTGCCGCCATTGTCGCAGTTCGCCTCGTGGTTTCCGGGCCCGACCATGTAGGCGCGAGATGCGGTGACGGGCATCATTTCGTTGTAAAAGTCGTTCAGGATGGACTCGTACACCTTGTACCCTTCCTCGACGGTGGTGTTGGGCAGGAATCCCTGAATCTCCTCCTTCAACCAGTAGTCGGCGTAGGCAATGTCTCCAACGTGCCACAGGAACTCGTACCCCGGCATGCTGCTGATGAGCGAGTCAATGGTGTTTTTCTCGCCTGGCTTGAGGATGTTGTTGCTGGAAACACCCTTGCCGGCGGACGTGGATAGTCCCTCAGATCCCATGGTTCCCAAGTCTGCGACGACGGCGACTGAGAATGGCGTCTTGTCGCCGACTCTTCGGCTAGTGGTGAAGTTGAACGGCTCATAACACGTGTCTTCGTTCAACTGTGCCGGTATGTAGTAGTAGGTGGTGTCTGGCCTCAGTCCCTGGATCAACACGTGGTTGTTGTAAGTCGTGGAAGTGGGATACGTGACAGACACGGCCGACGACGCAATGTTGGTGAGGTGCTCCTTTGACCTGCCCCAGAATACACTCGGACGAGGAACACGATCAAACGTATTCCAGCTGACTACCATTCCATCGTCGCCGTGGAAAGCGACCCGAATCTGGGGGTTGGCAGCATCGCTATCTGCCGCCACCAGAGGCAGCAGAGTTGCCAGGACAGTGCTTTTCTTCATCTTGTCAACAGCGCGGATACCAGGGACCTGTTGGGCAAGTCATCGCGGTACCAGAGGCTCCGAGGTCGGTATATATATGCATTTCGAAGCGGCTAGGATGTGCGCCCCAGACAATTTCTGCAATCCTTCAACGGTACAAAAGCACCGGAGATACATGTTGAAAAATCCTCAACGTATTGACAATTACTTTGCCTGCATTGGCTGGCCGTTATAGCGTACCTGCGGGGAAGATCCAGTGCAGCCTCTAGCATTCTTCCGGCACCGAAGACAGGGATGTGCCATTGCATGTGCTCACAGTGAGGCTTGAGATTGGCTGTGGCGTTGGATCTGCGGCCAATTCAGGTACCGAAGAGTCAGATTTCAGCCATCTCCCCCGTTTTAATAAACGAATTGAGACTTTTTGGGAATTGCAACGTGGATTCTCGGCAACCGGCAAAATATGCGCCAAGAGCTGAATGGTTTCAATTACACGTAATGGCAGAGGCGTGTTTCTTTGAAGCTAGTCTCCTCTCTATAAGATGGGTTGCGTGAGGTATAATTGTAAACCAACAGCTTTCCCGGGTTTAAATCTCTTCAAAATGTGGTATTTATACAAAGTCGAAATGGCGTATTAAGACTGCTAGCAGTTTGAAACGATAAAGATGGCTTGCTCATACTTCACGTGCTTGTAAAGCCCGCTATTGAAAATCCGTGTGCAACCAGTCAAAGGTATCCAGCAAGTCAAAGTTGAAATCTAAAGGCTCTGGGAAGTCGTACGCTAGGGCTGCCCACGGGCTGTCGCCGTTTAGGCTGCCGTTCAAGGTATGATCCAACACTCGTTGTATAATGACTTTGCAGTCCATGCATAAATCACCATTTGGCGCCGATGGACGCACCCAGTCAAGAAAACCTACCAAGAGACTGAGATTCTGTATGATGCTCGAGCGAGTTATTCGTTCTTCCTTGGGGTGTTTCCCAGTAAAACTTGGGTTGAGTAGTTCCAGGCAGAGGATGCCGCCTGCTGGTGCGGCATGGGCCATGAGCTTACCAACAAGTCAGCAAATCTTTATAGAGTCTGCAATGGCAATTGAGGCATCAAAGGGTACTAACAAGCCATTCAAAGTTACGCCGCATTGCTGCGAATTGGTCTTTATGTGTCCACAAGGTAAGTGTCAGCGTGAGCATTTCGAAGCTCAAGACCAACAAGTTGCCTTGCTCCAAGCTGCCATTGATGCATAGAAGCCGCTCCAAGAAGAACATGACCTGTAGATGGCCTAGACGGATTAATATCTTGGCGTAAACATTTTCAATGTCTCGATTTGGATCTGATAGATCTTGTGGGTCGTATATGAGACAGGCTGGAAAACCAGCAAGTGTTTCTAGCTGTCGGACCTGTATGTTCCTACGCAATGCTGTCAGCCATTCTATTCGTCCGAGGCAACCGGAACTGAGTCTCCGCAACACACCGCAGTTCATCAAGCGTAGTGCAGACGGTACATCCCAAGGCAAGTTCCATCACTTCTTCCAAAATGGATGCCATCATGCGACGAGCTCGAATGAGCGTAAATGGATACATTTTACCTTTTTTGTTCCAGCCACGCTCATCCAGCTCTTGAGCCGCTTTCTGCAAGGTTGCCTCGTCTGCAAGATCCTCATCCCGCAGATCCAGCGGCAGAGGCGTCATGCAGTATTTGCGATTAAGCAGCGCGGGCCGTCCCGAGAACGCGACGCTGAACTTGTCGTGGTTGTAGATTTGGGCAACGATCCGCCGGTTATGCTCAGAGCAGAGCGTGGGTGTATGGGGAATCTCTCCCACCTGGGCATGCAGGCCCATGAAGGTAAGCATAGATACAGCGGCGCCGTGAGAGTACCAGCACGATGCAGCTATTGAGCCAGCGTTAGTATGAGAGTACGCAATGGTCTGAAACAGAGCCTTACCAGCATCGCCATCCAGGTGAGACACAAAGGTCGTTTGTCGTCGAATAAGGTCCAGTAGTATAGCATTGCCATCGGTGAACTGTCGCGCAAGATCAATGCAATAACTGAGATGCGTCCTGGATAGCTCCCTATCACATTTGCCAGGAATCCATGCAACGTGACAGGGCCGAAGAGAGTTGAGAGTGTCTGTTAGGCGCTCCAGATTTCCCCATATCAGGCCGATTGACTCCCATCTAAGGTTGTCACCACAATACTGGTCCATCCACTGCTGCGAGTCATCCATATCTCGCAAGGGCTGAGCAGAGTTGTTGCACAGGATTTCAGCAACTCTCTCCAAGTCAGGCCCAGACCCATCGGGGTTCTTCTTGAGCAAGTCCAGGACTGAATTCGTGATGCGGGCCAGCACGAGCTGTGACCAGCGCCTTTCCTCGGGATCCTTTTCGTAAAAGACAATCTGCTCATTGGATTGGCCTGGTAGAGCCTCGAGAGCATAGATGCTCATATGACGCACTATAGGAGGGAGCTCGCTGAAAGAGAGCCTCGGGGTCGTTCGACCGCGAGCACCAGGCCGTGCAAGGCGTGCATCCGATCCTTGGCCCTGGAGGCGACTCAGGCTTCGTTTTGTCTCCTCATAGACGACGGCATGGCTGGTGAAGCCAAAGAATCCGGAGCTGGGCGATCCATTCGTCTTGGCCGTCCCGTTCACATTGACATTCGCAGTCGCGTTTCTGGCTGTGCTTTCGCTTCCACTCCCGCTTCTTCCACTCCGATGGCTTAATGTTGGAGAAGCCTCCTGGACCAACGAATTATTGGAAGACCTAGTCTTTTGCTGCTGCGCGCGCCTTCGTGGCTGAAGCACCGAGCCAATCGTGTAGGTGCAGCCGCCGGCTTGGTTTCTCTTGATGCATCTGTTGCAGACGGGATGCGCGTGATCACAGGCGACTTTTCGCGCCCTGCACTGATCGCATGCTTGGAGACGGCCGTTTAGACGGCGTAGAGGCTCTTCGTTGTCCATGTCGATGGATATTCATGATGAGATGAGATGAGATGAAACGATCAGCTAAAAGTCGTTGCCCACTCGCGATAGTCGCCGGTTCGTCGGCCGAAAGGCGCCGTGGATTAGTCATGCGCGATCGATGCTTGATCATATGACTGGACTTTGAACAAGATGATTGAAGCTGCACATGAATTGCTCAGCGTATAAGGCACGGCTATCTTGAGAGTCATACTGAATAAGTAAGAGATGATGGAAAGCAGTTGGAAAGCTGTTGATGCAAAGATCGAGATTGATATGCATCAAACCCGGTGCGCTAATGGCGCTGGGGCTGGTCGATAAAATTACATGTATGAGTCGGACAAGTTAGAAACAGCCAAACACTCTGGCGCGCATAATGTGCATGTGCGTTCAAATATTTTTTTTATCTCACGAAATATATTCAATCGTTCTGTATTGTCTATTGGATAACTTGTACCTACTTTACTGAAAATTGGCCATTGTGCGGTTAGACCTATGATAATGCTCAAAGCTGGATTACACGCATGTACGCTTCACATACAGGACCCGTTTGCATCTATCTAACACCTGTGCCTAAAATTCAATACGGCCTGAGCTTTGGTAAAAGTATCAATGAGAGAACGAGAATTTAGCTTGCAAAGATTTGTCATGTCATGTGTGCGTTGATCGCTTCGCTGGAAAGATATTCATATTTCATAGCATAGATCGTTAAACATTAACCGCTTTCCCAAGCTAATCCTAACCCATCATTACATTATACGTGTATATCCTCTTCTTCAATCTTGTATGTAGCAAATTTCCTTGCGGGTACGTTTCTCTCAAACATGATGTCCAGCTCTTCGTACGTTCTGCCTTTGGTCTCGGGCTGTGAGGAAACATATTGTTAGCTAATGGTTCCGAAGCGGGAAAGGCCACAGTAAGGATGTACTCACCATTCTAAAGATGGTCCAGATAAGAGAAAAGACTGAAATGCCGCCATACAAGAATTCAATCTTGGCTCCGGCGCCTGCAGCACCCGGGTTGAGCAGATACGGTCCAATAACAGAGGTAACTAATCCGGTAACAGCATCAATCATCGTGGCAATGGCAATTGTCTTGGCTCGCAGCTTCGTGGATGGCGTCTCGCAGACGACGACGTATGTCAGCGGGCCGAGGGTTGCCTGCCAGACAAACTGAAGGATAATCAGCAAAGTAGCCTGAGCCCAGCGGTAGGAGAGCTTGGTTGTATAATCGTGAGCGAAACTCAAAAGAGCGACGATGAAGAGTATAGTGACCATGAAGCTGAGACCGAAGATGTAGGCGGGACGGCGACCAAGATAGATGAGAGGAATTGCGGACAGAAGAGTGCCGACAAATCCAACTCCGTTGAGGCCAACTCCCATGTCGAATGCTTGCACATTGTTGAGGCCGATTTGTTCGAAAAAGTAGGTTGCAAAGCCGACTGGGTTACCGCTAAAGTTCTGGATGACAAACAACAAGATGCAAATCTCCATGCGTCGTCGGTTGGGCCCCTTCCAGCAATCAGCATAAGTGGTGCCAACTTCCAGCTCTCGCTCCAGAAGATCTGTCTTGACCATCATGGCAAGCGTATCCTTGGTGTTGATGCCGGAGTCTGGCTGAACAAGCTTCTTGAGGGATTGCTCGGCCTTTTCCATCTTGTTCTGTCGGATCAGCCACCAAGGCGACTCAGGGGCAAATGGCAGACCGGCAAGCAAGACGACAGGCCATGCCCACTGGATAGCAAAGGGGATTCGGTATGCCCACTGGTCGGGCCGGTTGATGAAGCCACGAGTGATACCTGTTTGGATGAATTGGCCCATAACGTAGCACAGATTGATGTAACCGGTGAGGAAGCCACGCAGACTGAGTGGCAGCACTTCAGACGCATACGTCGTTGCAATAACGCAGTAGCCTCCCCACACGATGCCGCTGAGGTACTGGCTGGCCGTCAAGACGCCAATGGTGTTTGCGAAGAATTGCATAAAGGTCAAGATGGCAGTCAGGACAAGGCAGACGGCAAATGTCTTCTTGCGACCAAACATTTCCATGGGGTACGAGACGAGGTATGCTCCGAGGATTTGACCGACCAAGCTGCCCATGCTCATGGCAACTTGCCACCGCGCCGGAATCTGAAATCCCCCGTGATCTGGGCCGTAGTCAACGCCAAAGTGCTTCTGGAACGCCGGCAGCGCAAAGAAGTTGCCGCTGATCTCGATGTCGTAGGCACGCATGATGATGCTGAGCGAGATGAACATGGACCAAAACGCTCCCTTGCGGTATAGCTTGAAGGCCTCCCAGGCGCCAAGTCGATGCTCCGTGGCCGTTCCGCTGTTGGCCATGGCCTCGCTGATGCTGGCCAGCTTGCCAGTGGCCTCGGCGTTGGTCAGCTCATGGTCGATGTTGCTGACGACATTTTCGAGCGTGGTGTTGACGTCCTTTTCCTTCTCCATGATGATCTGCTGGATGAAGAGTTCTTTTCACAATTATGAAGAATGAAAGAGTAGCCCTCGCAAACAAGGCACTTTGAAGGACAATCAAGAAGACCCTGTCCACTGTAACCACATGAGAGTTGCATGCATCGTATTTATATGTATGTATATGCCAGATTTTGGCTAGTAATTCCCCAGACTAATAAGGTCAAGTTGCGGGGCTCCGCAAAGATCATCTTAGCGATGCGTCTTGGTTCCGGGGAAGCGAAACGAGCCGCATGGGGAGTGAGCAGAGATGTTGCCGAGACTAGCCTTGCTATTGGCAAGAGAATAGATGGCCATGGCATGAGAAGATCAGATCCGTCGGACAATTCAGGCAGGTCTTTGTTGGTTATGGCATGATGACTTTTGCTGCTTATGCCTGCTTTACGTCCAGGGTATCAGGCCTTTCCGCGGAGGGTTGTTGGTTAAAGCAGCCTACGGGTAATTTCATCTCAGTATACCGGTTCTTTAGAATCCTTCAGCTGAGCTACAGACAGTTCTTCTCAAAGATTTGTCCATGTTTTTTGGATTATCGAAAGCCTTCTTTGATATTCGGACGAAAACCCGGGATGCAGCATCTGGTGGCGTTGGATCTAGGCCGCTCAACTCTCGGGTCAATATCCGGCTCAATATCCGGGGCCAGCTAAGACCAGATCAACCAATCAGTTGGTGCTCTTCTCATGCTAGCCATGTGAGGCACACAAACCTGCCGAACAATACGCCCGCGCCCTAAAACCCCACGCGCAGCTGACTATTTTTTGCTCCGGCTAACGGGCTACCGTGGCCGGGGAATTGCAAGCTTGGAACTCTCAGCTACCTGTTTAGTAGTTGTGTCAAGGTTTATTTCGCAACTAACAAGGCCTCTGGACTCACGGGCTGTATGCTCGCGGGGTTCATATGCATAGTAAGGCTCCATTGGTCAAGCAGCAGCTGCATATGTCATAGAGAACCATTTGTCCAACGTTGCAACTCAGACTTGAGAGAATTGACAACAAATCTGCAAAATGTCTTCAGAACATAGGCTCTATTACACTACGCCTTCAACGAGCTTCCCTACCTCTCTGGCCCTTGGCAATGGCCGGTTTGCTGCCTCAGTGCTTTCCTCTCCAGAGCATGAGACATTTTTGTTGAATGAAGTTACTTTTTGGTCCGGAGAAGCTCGAAATGCGGGCGAGGGATTGGCTGAACGGCCTGAAGATCCCAAGGCCGAACTGAGGAAAACGCAAAACTGTTATCTCAATGGGGACTATGCTCAAGGGAAGAAGAGGGCAGAAAAGTACCTCGAGAGCAAGAAGAATAATTTCGGAACCAACCTTGGAGTTGGGAAGCTTGATATCGCTGTCACCGGCCATGGAAATCCTGCCGATATTCAAGATTTCGAGAGAGAATTACGCTTTGACGAGGCTATAACTGAAACGAGATATAAAGTCAACGGCCACCAGTATAAGCGAAGAGCTTTTCTAAGCCATCCACACCAAGTCCTGGTGATACAATTTGATGGCGATGATCTGAGTGGGCTCGAAGTTGCCGTCAGTGTGCAAGGCGAAAATGAGGCGTTTACTTCCAAAGTAAACAGCGAGTCAAGGCTGGAGTTTGATGCGCAAGCTCTCGAGACTGTGCACAGCGATGGAACCTGCGGCGTCAAAGGCTTCGGTATCGTTGCCGCAAAGGTTAATGAAGGGAAGGTTGAGCAGAAGGACGGCAAGCTTACCATTTCGGCACAAAAGAGCATAACGATATTTGTGGCCTTCAATACCGATTATAACGAATCGCGCAATGAGTGGAGAGAGAGAACTCTTCTACAAATAGAAGACGTTCTCCAGCTTCCTATTGATGATCTTTTGAAAGAACATCTGGGAGATTATCAGCCGCTCTATCGACGGATGGACATCAGGCTGGGGCCCAAGTCCAACCCCAACTCCAACATCCCCACAGACCAGCGTCGGGGCAACTTTGAGTCCTCAGGATATGCTGATCCTGGAATGTTTGCACTTTATTTCCACTATTCGCGGTACCTCACAATCGCTGGAACACGCGAAGACTCCCCCCTACCACTTCATCTACAGGGCTTATGGAACGATGGCGAGGCCTGCAAGATGGGCTGGAGCTGTGATTACCATCTCGACATTAACACGCAGATGAACTACTTTGCAATTCTGAACAGTGGCCTGGCGGATCTCATGAAACCTCTCTACAAATACATCTTCAAACTTGCTGTCAAGGGCCAACAGACTGCTCGCACGTGTTACGGCTCCCGTGAAGGCTGGGTAGCTCACGTCTTCAGCAACGCGTGGGGCTTTACGGATCCTGGCTGGGAGATATCATACGGGCTCAATGTCACGGGCGGCCTTTGGATGGCAGCGCCTCTGATTGAGATGTATGAGTATACCCTGGATGATGGGCTCATGATGACCAACTTATGGCCGCTACTGTTCGGTGCAACGAAATTCTGGCTTGACTATATGATTGAAGATCCCAAAACCGGTTGGCTACTCACTGGCCCATCTGTAAGCCCGGAAAACAGCTTCTTCGTTGTCAATGAAGATGGTACAAAGGAAGAGCACTCGGCTGACCTGTCGCCTACTCTTGATGTTGTCTTGCTTCGCGACCTCTTTGCGTTTTGCGAGTACTTTGCTGGCAAGTTGAAAACTATGACGGGCTTCCCTTGGGATGAAGATATCAAGGAATATCAAAAGGTATTGGCCAAGCTGCCACCGCTCCAAATTGGCAAAAATGGCCAGCTTCAAGAGTGGCTGCATGATTATGAGGAGGCACAGCCCTACCACCGACATCTTTCTCACACCATGGCTTTGTGTCGGTCCGCTTTAATCTCAGCTAGGCATCAGCCTGATTTGGCAGAGGCGGTGCGTGTGTCACTTGAGCGAAGGCAAGGCCGCGACGATCTTGAAGACATTGAGTTTACGGCCGCTCTTTTCGCTCTCAATTATGCTCGGTTGGGAGATGCTGAGAAGGCTGTTGCTCAAGTTGGCCATCTAGTGGGCGAGCTGAGTTTCGACAACCTACTTAGTTACAGTAAGCCCGGTGTAGCTGGTGCCGAGAAGAACATATTCGTCATTGATGGAAACTTTGGTGGTGCTGCAGCCATTGCTGAGATGCTGATACGGTCAATTATTCCTCGCTTGGGAAGACCGGTTGAGATAGATTTGCTTCCAGCCCTGCCTGCAGCTTGGTCGGAAGGATCGGTGAGCGGGATGCGTATTCGAGGAGGATTGGAAGCTAGTTTTGCGTGGTCTAAAGGGAAGCTGGAAGGTGTAACGTTTAAGGCGTCTAGGCCTTCATCTCTGGTTGTGTTTTATGGCGAGCACCGATTCGAAACGGCTTTTGAGGAAGCAGAGGTTATTCAGCTGGGGCCGTCGCTACAGAATTGGAGCAGGTAGAATGACTGTTCTAAAAAAGAAGATTAGGTCAAGGGAAATAAACAGCAAGATCATGTTTGTGTTTATCATGGAAATAAGTTAAATCAATAATGAACTAAATCTGTTTGGAATAATCCCAGCAGTCTAGGGTACTTACATGCTACATCAAGAGTGGTCTAATACCATCTTAACATATAGCTCTAGCAAGGTCATCTAGTTCTATCCGTGTTGTCTGGCTCTATTGCTCCTATTACTACCATCGCTTTTTAAAAATTGATGTACAATTCATGCGTTAGCCATTAAGAATTAGAATTACGTGTAGTACAACTCTACAGTTATCCCCCATGCGTACAGCTAGTCACTGTGTAGAGCATAATCCCAAACTCATCCAAATTCTCCAACCAGTTGTCCACTCTATGCCGCCTTTTCGCAATGAGAGACTCACTCAGTCCCTCGGGTATAGGCCACAACTCATCAATGCAGAGACTACCCTCAACCCACTCTGCTAAATGCACATTATAAGCCGCTTCCCAGTCCCGCCTTGTCGGAGCAACCCAAAGGTCTCTGCTGGCCGCAGCTGGTAATCCCTCCAACTCGGTGCCGAGAAACGTCGGCAGCCCGTCTTCAGATGAAAGAACGCTATCAAAGAGATACATGGTATAGAGCGTTCGCCGTTTAGCCTCGGCTATAATCCAACTTTCCCATTTGGGGCGTGTGCGCTGCTGCTCGGATAAGCACATGAGGCCACGGCGAGATGTCACGCATGCCAGCTCTTGTAGATTCATCATGGCCTGACGAAGAAATGGACTGGTGCCTTGGCTGAGCTTGAAGAATAAGACCATTGTGTACATGAGAAAAGCCTGAAATGCGCTGAGAAGCGAAAGGTCATCGAAAGTCTCACGCTGCTCATATAGACTATTCATCTCTCTTTGCAGAATCTCTGCCATCACGTTTTCACTGCCTAGCAATGGTCTATCGCATATCCGTATGATGCTCAGACAAGTGGTGAGTGGTTGGCTTAGCCCCGTCAACTGAGAGCCGTGTACAAATGGCGGGAATCCGCGGCCGTGTATGGCCATCCCGGTGTAAGACTTTAAGATGCGATAGATGAACGCGGATACCGTAGGCGGGTAGTTTTTGACGCTTTGGCCGGGGATGGGAATGTACGCATTGAGCCAGCGGTTGCTGATTTCTTCGGCGTTAATTGGACACACAAGACCGAGATTGGAAAACTCGAGCATGTCTGGCTGCAGCGCTGGTGTTGGGAAAAAAGGACTTGAAGGCTGCGCAACTGGTAATTGAAGCCTTGTAGGGGCAGCAGCAGGGATAGTTGGTGAGAACTCAATGATTGAGTTGTTATCAGCCAAGGCCGGGTGGATTGAAGGCGTCGGCGGATCTTGAGGAGTGCCTTGCGTTGGAGTCGACACATCGTCGCGCTCAGGACTCAGCAGAGGACCGCCGGAACTGCGCGCGAAGCTGCTGGAGAAGGGAATCGGCCCGCCTGTGGTGTTGACATAGACACAGGACAGGCCTCGTTGGGCACATCGTGAACAGCATTTCTCTCGACGGTCGCATTTTGCCTTGGCTGCTGAGCACTGTTGACAGGCCTTTTGCCGAGATGTTGCGTATCTTGTCGATTTCATGTTGTTTAGAAGGAGTAATATGGCGATGCTTGAAGAAGCTTTGGCGGTTCCGCTGGAAAAGAGCTGAAGGCGTACAGTATTTGTACTGTATAAAAGACTGTATATTCAACGTGGGTGGCTTGTAGAAGACTTGTGGCATGATATTATCGGTCAACCAAAGTTTTGGTCTTGGCTTTAAAGTAAAGTATTTAATAAGAATTGTAGTCAACTACGTCTGTCTTAGTATACTTGATAAATCTAGGTGATGTGGATTGAAGTATAGTAGATATAAAAGGGGCTTCATAAGACAACCCTGCGCTACATACATGTCGGCTTACAGCCTATTTTATGAACGTTCTAAGGCTTGCAGAGCTTCTTCCAGCGTAATGACTGGCAAATTCATTTTTTTCATGAGAGATCCTAGTAGTACAGCAGAATACTGTTTGTGATGCGGGACTGGCAGCTCCAACACGTTGTCGGAAATCACGTAGACGGTGTAATCCAAATCAAATAGTCGATAGATTGTGCTCATGACAGCACCGGAAAGACTAAGCCCGGACTGTGATGGCAGTTAGTCGTCAGTTACATCGACGTTTTGTATTCAATGCTAGATGAGGATCTGACTCACAATGATAACTGTGTCGATGTTGTTCCTTTTGAGAATGCCCTCTAAATCATTCCCCGCGCCTCCATACCACCGTATCTTTTGAAGCACAATATCTTTATCGTCAACATTGAGGTACGATGGGACCTTTACGATGGGACTGTGCTCATCGAATTGAGCGAAATTGTTTACCAGTTTGGTAAAAGGGGCTCCAGCGGGGAGTTCGGCCTGAGAAGGAGTAGAGAAATATAGAGTCGTGAAGATGTTCAGAGGTCGAGCATCTTTCTTATGCACAGCGTCAACCCAGCGAGTACAGTTTGACACAAATTGTTGTCCTTCTGGGGCACTCTTGGCAATGTCGAATAGAATATTCATAAAATCGAGATTCAAGACGGCGTAGTTTTTGCCGAATGTTAATGGGCTGCCGATGCCGTTGGAGTCCGTAGAGGCAGTCATTTTGGTGGACACAATGATATTAAGGATTGAAATATTAGGTTCGTCGAAACGAGCAGGTACTTTTCTATATTGGCCCATCCTTATGTTCCCACTTTAACAGAGCTCTATGATTCAATTCAGGGTAATTCATGTGAACTCCGGACCATACCGGAACTCAAGTTTTGAAGTATAACTGGGCGCTTGCTGTAGGGGAAATGCGAGGTGGATCATGGCTGGAGCCGCCCATGTGGTAAATAGTACTACTGCTACTACTGCTACTACTGCTACTACTGCTACTACTGCTACTACTGCTACTACTGCTACTACTGCTACGCTATATCTAAGATATACTATTGAATAATAGATTTAGGGGCGCTGGGCAAATTTAGCATGGTCTCTAGCTAATCGGTATTACTGGATTCGAAAAGCTTGGGTGGTAAATTCATATTCTTGAGGCTATTTTCAATCATGTCTGAGGAAATCTCGATCGTTTTCTCATCTTCGTTGGCCCTCTCGTTGGTATCTGAGATGTGAGCTGCATTCATAAAGCAGTCTTCATCATCGTTCTCAGCGACCTCTTCCTCCATATTCTCATCCAAATCTTCTCCCGTTGTCTTATTTTCATGCCAATTGAATGGGTTCTTTCGTAAATTTAGATCAATGCCATACAAATCCTCATCAACATCTGAAACGAAATCACTTAATTCTTTGTTCTCTTAAGTAGAATCGCGGTACTCTTGCATAGGCTTCTTCGATAAAACATTACTTGAATTTGAGACAGAGGCAGGATCATTTTATTTCTCCTCAACAATTTTAGTCAGTCTCCTGCTTCTATGAGTAATACCTGGGGTAGCGGGAGGGACATTTAATGCAGCTCGCTTTGATGCCATGGTACAAACTAGGAGGAATTGGTAGTATCAAGTTGGTATTAACTGAAGAATTACTTGCGTAAAGTCAAGAACAACTCCGTGAACTCCGCGATCAACTCCGGCAAATCGGTCGTCAACTCCGAGATTGCCTCGCAGTTCGCCCCTTGTCTAAGATATATAGAATGATTAGATCCTTCAGTATCCAAGCTAAATCGGAAGTTGTTAGTTTCAGTATCCAATACCATCAATAATTACAAGCCAAAGCCAAAAATGTCATCAACATCAAAGGACAACCTCGATCCTGAGAGATCCTCGCCCACGGCAGAAACACCACCACCAGCAGCTACAGAACCAACTGAGCCTTACAGTATCTTTGATAGTCGGCAAAGGGCATTGATTGTAGTAATTGTCTCCACAGCTGCTACTTGTGAGTAATCTCAATCTCTACTAGTTATCGCAGCGGTTGCTTTCTTGTTGCTAATAATAGCTTCTACACTGCAGTCTCCGGATTCGCATCCAACATTTACTTTCCCGCGCTACCAACCATCGCTCATGATCTCAATGTTTCCGTCGAGCTCGTCAATCTCACTGTCACTTCCTATCTCATATTTCAAGGAATCGCCCCGAGTCTGTGGGGTCCCGTATCCGATGTGAAAGGACGTCGAGTCGCATATTGCTGCACGTTTCTTGTCTTCATTGGGGCATGCATTGGCCTTGCAAACACAAGAAACTATGCGATATTGATTGTCCTTAGATGCCTCCAGAGCACTGGTAGCGCGAGTACAATTGCTATTGGGTCTGGTGTAATTGGAGATGTCACTACTCGCGCGAATCGTGGAAGTCTCATGGGTATATTCCAAGCTGGCCTACTGGTTCCTGTTGCCATTGGCCCTGTGATTGGAGGTGCAATTGCTGGATCTCTAGGATGGAGAGCCATCTTCTGGTTTCTTACGGCCTACGGTGGTGGCTTTCTTCTTGTTCTGATTTTGCTTCTCCCTGAAACACTACGATCCATCGTCGCGAATGGCAGTCGAACACCCTCATCTCTGATAGGAAGATATCCTCTCAACATGTATCAGAAGTTTTCGAAGATTGAATGGAATCCCGAATCATCAGCGGCAGCACCAGACGCAAAAAAGCGCATCGACATTATTGGCCCGTTTCGCATACTCATCAGCAAACATGCGACTCCTATCATCATTTTCCTTGCGATATACTACGCCGTCTGGCAAATGAGCATCACAGCCATGTCAACTCTCTTTGAAGAGAAATACGGCTTGAAGGAGACACAGATTGGATTGACATTTATTGCAAACGGAGTGGGCTCTATGATTGGAACACTCATCACTGGTAAAATCCTCGACATGGATTACAAGAAGGTCAAAGCTGCCTACGAGGCCCAAGTGGCCCAAGGAGATCTTGAAAACGGCAGTGGACCAACGCATTCCATCTCCAAAGACGAAGATGATTTTCCTATTGAGAAGGCCCGACTCCGTTTGGTTCCCGTCTTCTCCATCATCCAGTGTTTATCTATCCTCCTGTTCGGCTGGACGATTCAATACCCCCATCGCGTGCACATTGCTGTCCCAATCGTCTCTACTTTCATCACGGGTTGGACTGCTGTGTCTACTCAATCCATTATCATGACATATCTTGTCGACATCTTCTCGGACCGGAGTGCCGCTGCTAGTGCCAGTCTGAACCTTGCCAGATGTCTTTTTGCTGCTGGCGGTACAAGTATCGTCATGCCAATGGTGAATGGCATTGGCGTCGGACTGGCATTCACAATCTGCGTCATTGTTCAGTTTGTTGCTCTAATAGGCCCAGCCATCCAGTGGAGATTTGCCGCAGGTTGGAGAAAGCAGTCCAAAGCGCAAAAGAACTAAGTAAAGAGACGTATCAATTGCCTCCTTTGGATCAAAAATGCTTCCTTTTTAAAATTGAAAGTCTTAGGTCGCTGATAGCCATTACTGAGAGACAGATAACTGTTCTGCGATATAATAGACAAAGTTACCCGCTACTCGGGTGCTGAATGTGTTGTTAAAAACATTTATAGAAGCATACTAGATTGTAATATTAATAGACATGGAATTCTTAGGACCTTGAAAGGTTATGAAGGGAAGTGTTGGTCTTTAGAAGTCTAAATATTGTTTATTGTAAGTATATTACTATTAATTCGCCATCTCATAGTGTTGCTTTCTCGTTATCCGTTAAAAACTCATTATTCGTCAATTAATCATTGTTCCCTGTAGCTACTCCCCAGAAATATGTTGCCCAGGCTCCTAATAATAGGATTATCATAGCAACGAAGCAAGACAAGCTAAAAATCCTGTGTCGCTCTCGGTTTTCGCCTTGTTCAAAGTCTTCTTTGAGAGCGTTGATCTTTTCGCCTCTGATGATTCTTTGCTTGCGCGTCCATTGTAATCGATCCATGGTGGGACTAACGAAGCTGATTCCGACCATCATCATGCCCACTACAACAGAGCCTGCCGCAAGCACGACATAGAGGATAATGACCCTGTTGTAACTGTCATTATCATGGTCTTGGATGACACCCGCAACGATGCCGATGATAATTGTCATGCTGTTGTTGATGGCAATCTTGATGGCATAGCCAGATCCAAACACTTCCTGGTACCACATGCTTGTTCGGATGCTGTCGATGATGACTGTTGGGCCAAGAGACGCTGCAAAGGCGTAGATGCCGAAACTGGCTGCGGTCCCTCCCACTGAAGGCCCAAAAGCGGCAAGGCACATGGAAAGGAGCATACCGAGACCGCAAACCAACATGATGGTGTTGCGCTGGCCAAGTATATCAATGAAGACGCCCAAGATTGGTACCAAGAAGAATCCGAGATACTGTGACATGGCTGAATACCAGCCTGCGGTAACTGCTGAAATATTGAACCGTTTCTGAGCGAGTTCGGTGGCGTTGGAGGAAAAGACACTGGCGACTGAAGTTTGGAAGAGGGAAAACAACGCCACAAGCCAAAATGGCCAAGGCAGCCTCAGCATTTTGGTGAATTCGAACTTTTTATTCTTCTCAGTCAGCCTTTCACCGGTTGCCGGATCATTCGTGCCGGCATAGCGTCGTTCACAGTAATTTGTAAAGACGTAGAATACAGCAGTTACCGCATTAGTGAAGAGGTTAATGAACACGGCGCACCAATACACCCAGCTGAAGTTTCCTGTTCTCTTTGCAATGACATTGGCGGATGCCTGGCCGACAAAGCTGCCAATCTTGCCGAGGCCCAGCTCGAAGCCAAGCGTGGAAGCGAATCCATTGGAGGGGGCGAACCAGGATGAGAAGACCTTGTACTGGGCGCACTGCGTAGCGACATCTCCAAAGGCTTGAATGACGCTTCCGACAATCATGAATTTGAAGCTGCGGACTTGGGTGGCTGCTGCGATGAGAATCGCGCCAATGCTGTACACGGCGTTGCCCCAGAGCATTGCTCCTGAAGATTGGAGAGTTAGAAGATGAAGCAGAGCAACCGGAAATAAGAGAATTATGCTGCTTACTTGCACCACCAATTCGATCTGTAACGACGCCACTGACGAGAATCAGGGCTGTCTTGATGAAGTTTTCGCTTGCATCCAGAGTTGCATATTGAGCGTTGTTGATGTGTAATTGCTACGGGCGTGTTAGTACAGAACCATCAGGCAAAAATTGTTGATGAGAACCAACCTTTTTCAAGGTGCTTTTCATGGCTCCCGTCACTCCGCTGCTCCAGTGAGAGCCAAATCCAACCAGACTGACGAGCACGACGGAGAGAATTTTCATGCTCCATGGGATGTTGGTGCTTCGCTGCCGCTCGGATATGGTGTCCGATTCGTCACCAACCGACACGTCGGCGACGGTGGGATTCTTTTCTTCATCGCCCATGATGTGCAGTATTATCGCAACAGCACAGAGAAGAAATTGGCGATATTAACTAGAGGCAGTAAAGCAACCAGACACCTCAGCAGAATCGCGAGCGATGATCGGCGCCTTTAAGCAAATACATGCGAGCGGGGATCTTATCTGATTGATAAATTTGGTGCAGATTGATAAAAACCACCACTGACGACGACGGTGGATCGGGTGCCACATGGCCACCAGTTTTTTGCTCACTTGCTCCATGCATTAGAGCGCATTCGGGCCCTTCGCCGGTCGTTCGGTATGGCCATGGCGTTAGCGGACAAGCTTGATGGAGCCAAACGTGGAAGAATGCCGAGAGGTGGTTCTTCGCCGACAAATGCCAAGATCGGTGAACAAGGAATATGCATGACAAGCGCTGACTAGGCACAGAAAATTTGAATTGCCGTGGAAAACTGCCTCTGGATGCTGTTAATATGCTGGGCAGCCTTTATATGTGAGAGGACTCGGTCTGAGCTGAGTACATGTAATACCTAGTTCTCAGCTGTGAGAGCTGGCGCTTATGGATATGTCTGGAAGAAGCAATAAGAATTTTCTTTATATAGGCAATTCATTGATCTTGTAGAGGCTCTCCCAAATCAATCTGTTCAGGTATTATCAACATCATAGCTCTATTACCGCAGACGGCCACATTGTACGAACACGATGCTAGTGGAACTGATACCAGGGCTGTCTCCTCTAATTAGTAACAGATGACTCGGAAAAAAAGCTGCGAGGGAATTCATGAAGAATCAATATTACTCCATCCAGTGACATGCTATAGTGGTTCAATTCGTCGTTTAATGGTTAAACGCCCCATTATCGAGCTGCTTTTTTGAAGTAGATTCTGCTTCGCTATCCGTCGGATAGACTCAGTGATCCGGGCAACTACAGACCCCGCCTGTGAGTGAGGTGGAATTTGAGCTGCTATATGCGTTTCAGTTCCTATATGAAGCTCAATTTTAACATGTCAAAGATATTCAGTGATCGCCGGCTGGAGTCTGAGATACCTGTTACGCTTGTACCTCAAGTCCGTCCAAACAACGAAAATTTACGACAATAAAAATAGAAGACATAGACTAATACGAAAATCTCATAAGATTCTTCTAAAAACACACAAGTCTAAATATACGATTATTAGTAAAATAAGCCATTCACAACTAAATTCAACTCAGAGCCGAATCTCTGCAAGGCTAAGCATCTATATCGGAAAACGAACTATAGCTGCAAATTATAGGTTATAGGAAGCCTAAATTAAGCATCACCTGTTCTGCTAGCACTAGTGCAGAATGGGATGTAGGCTTCCACAAGACGTGTTTGCATGTCGCTCTGAGGCATATGCTCTTACAAATCTTACACGAAAAAATGCTGGGAAGACTTAGAAGGCCAAGAGATGGAAATTCTTGCCAGTAGCTAAAATACGGAGAGACGTTGAAGATGGCGTCTGCGAGATTGTTCCAAGGATTCTCTGCTAATGCAGGCCAGAGCTATCAATCGCCCCATCAGTGCGATAATCGATAAGATAAGCGCTACAGCGGCCAAAAAAAAAATTTCCCTAGCAAAGCAATTGAAGCTTCATTCAATCCACAGCGAGTCCTGGTTGGAAGGCTGGTTTGCGCCAAAATGTCCGCCTCAATTGTGTCGCCTGAGCCGGCAATTCCAAAATCAGAAAAGAAACATAAAAAGGACAAATCATCCAAGTCAGAAAAGAAGCGCGACAGAGACGAAGCAGCTACCGACAGCACCCCCCGCAAGCACAAGAAATCGAAGAGCGCATCTGTCGAAGAAAGCGGAGATGACGAGCCCGAGGCCTCACAGTTAGCCATTGACGATGACGAGTTGACGCATAAGAAAAAGAAGAAGGAACACAAGAAAAAGCACAAGGAAGAGGAGAATGATGTCGAGGATGCCAGCGGAGAGAAGAAGAAGAAGAAGAAGTCCAAGAAGCATACGGACGAGGACGACGAGGAAACCGAGAAGCCATCAGCTGCCGACGCCGATGCCGATATGTATGCTAATACCATGGACGTCGATCAGGCCTCTGAGCCACAGACATCTGAAATCTACCAACCTCCCGACATCCCCGCCAATCCTCAGTTCCCCTTCTACAGCCAGAATGTGTCCCTCTACGAACCCATATACCCCACCGGCTGGTCACAGCCAGTAACGAGCAGCGAATACCAGCACCTTCAACACCTCAAGAACAAATATGTTCCGTCTCTGCGTGGCGTCTTGATTAGTTACAAGAATGTCGCACTTGGCGAGAACCCAGGGCGCACAGGTGCCGCAACTTCAGACGACGACTCGGCCATTCTGAAATCTGTCAACGAGTTCGGCGTCGGTTTTGGCTGGATCACTGCCGAGGTCGAGTTATTCGTTCCTAGCCGTGGTGCGTGGATGGAAGGTAGCATCAATCTCCAGACCGAAGGCCACATTGGTGTCGTTTGCTTTGGCCAGTTCAACGCATCGATTGAAGCTCGACGTTTGCCATCTGCCTGGAAATGGGTCTCAAACGAGGATCCCGAGGCTTTCGGCATGGAAGAGACGGCATCAGTGATTACCGCCGACGACCACGGAGTAGTGCGCCAGATTCACAGCACCGGTTTCTGGGTTGATGGAAGCGGAAACAAAGTTAAGGGCAAGATTCGCTTCCGCATTCGCAACTTCGATGTCGGTGTTAGCGGCGAGACGAGCTATCTCAGTTTGGAGGGTACCATGTTGGACAAGGAGGCGGAAAAGGCACTTGTTAGAGAGGAAGCAGCCACGGCTGCCATGAGAAAAGGAAACAAGGGCCGCAACGCCCACCGAAGAAGAGCACCGGAGTTTGCCATGACACGGTTTATGGACGAGGCGGAGCAACCGGCTGAGGAACCAGTGGCGGCTCCCGAGCAACTTGTGAGATTTACAGACTGAGACATTGTTTGGTTGTAGAGGAGGCAAACTAGGTCACGGGGGCATGTTTTTGGAGTTTGTATGATACCCTCCTCTGAGGGGGCTTGTCACAATATTATTGAGCGATCATGATTTAAGAATTAATAGGAAGAAAGAATTATTCCATTAAGAGTCGAACATGCTAATCATGTTTGAGAGATGAACAATCCATGTCTGTTCCTAAAAGTTTGCTTTATGCCGATGCCTTAACCATGGGTTCCCATGGTCGTTCCAAGTTCCAAAGATATAGCTCTTCGGCGGGTTCATTTGTGGTGTTCTTCACAAAAATATGCTGGAATGCAGACATTTCTGAAGCTAGTAACGATGAGGAGTCAGCCCAGTATGTGGCATCTTCCCAGCTAGGCTGCTCGCAGAACTGGTCGACTTGTTCTCGAAAGCTGTCCCAGTCTTCAGAGCGATCATTTACGACGACTTGGAATCGAATTCCTTGGATATCCACAAGAGTGCGCTGCACCATGCTAGGGAACTCTCCAGAGCACCCGCTGCTCAGAAGCCATGAATAGTCCGTTCTATCGCCGTTGCTTTCCCAGTCGTACCATACTTGTGTTCCTTGTGCCGAGAAGTCGCTCAACACGAGTCTTGATTGCGCATCGAAGCTTATTGCGCAGTGCTGTTTCGATATTCCCTCCACTCGTGGGAGGATGATGTCGCAGGTCCTCGGGTCTGTGCCGAGGATGAAGCTGCCTGGACGTTTAGGCGGCTGTGAGAAGGTGAGTTGGATGGCCCTGTCCGAGCTGTGGTTTGTGAGGTTGGAGAGGCGAGATGAGAGATATGAGTTTGAAGTTGTGGAGGTGATACGAAAGGCGTTTTCGGGTATGTGTATAGATTTGTCGGCCAAGGAATGATGGGCCGTTGGAACGAGCCAGGCAATGATGTCGTTAGATTGAGATGTCATGGTTGAGAATTGTTGGGTGTGGGTGATATTAAGTATGTATAATGATGTTGAGTATCGCCGAGATGAAAGAATGTTGTGTGATATTACAAAATGATGGAGCGAATGATTAGCTGAAAGAGCGAGTTGGGTATAGACGATTGCAGATTAAAATGAGAGAAGCAAGTGAATAAAAGCTGCGAGCAAGATCAAAAATGGTCAAAAGAGAGAGTTGTACAGAAATGATATTGGTAGACGAGGAAAGAGACACAAATGAAGTCTGCATTCTCTCTAATTATATACTTGTACCTACGATGCATCTCGGCCCAACCTCTCTCTACTGTTCAGGCAAACGCGTTCGCTCCAGAGACAACGAAGCCATCGACTGGCCAGCATCCAACGTGGCCGCGTCGCGAAGGCACGAAACATGCATGAACTATACGCAGATGACGCATACTCGAATGCCTCAGATCCCAGTTGAGTGGTGGCCATTTACTGCTGCCGTGAATCAAGCGAGTCTTTGGGCAGCAATGAGATTCACGGCGCAGTAGCGGGCGGCTGGGAGCCAATCATATGCTGTAAGACGACCTAATTTGGTGCGCGGACGCGGGATGCGCGTTTGGGAGTTTTTGTCGCGGAGCGCGATTGGGATTTGAGGGCGAGAAGTTGTGGTAAGGCTGGGAGAATTACTCATGGCTGGGCAGTGTCATGTTTCAGTATTGGGGCTGTCGTGATGGCATCCATATCTTCGTTAACGATGTGTTCCAAGCTTGTTTGAGGTGCTGTTTACCGGTGCTGGACTGATTGGATGGGGCGCCATATACGTAGAGGGGCTTCTAGAAATGAGTCAATGGTAACAATAAAAGCTCAGTCAGATAGTGTCTGAGTAAGTAAAAAAGCTTCGTCACAAGAATTCCAAATGAAATGAAAGCCCAAACACGAGCAACAAGTTGGTTTGCTGCTCGCTGAAATATGAGCTGCGTGATCAGCAGTAAAACGGTCGGTACTTGGTACTTGTCACAAGCGGCCCAAGTTGGCGCCTCATTTCCAAGGCCGAAACAAGCCACGGCTAGCGACAGGCCTTCACCCGAACAGGACCTTGCGGCATCTCGATAACCTCATCCCACGATATCGTCAAAGGCCAATTGAACCGCAAGCATGGCTTCCGACGCGGCTACAGATGTGCGGCGTAAGTGCAGGCGCTCTCATTCCACACCCAAGATCCCCCGGAGGCGATCCATGGCCGCTGACTTTTACCGCAGAGGCGACCCGCGAGGAGATGAGCGATGCCAAGCTCCCACTCGCCTACAGAGACAGCTGCGCCCACCTTCTGATCCCCCTCAACAAGTGCCGACGAGAGACGTGGTATGCTCCGTGGAAGTGCACGGTACGTTTTATCCGGCTGGAAGCTGCGGGAAACCAGCGGAAAGGGAGCAGGGAGCTCCAGGTGCAAACGAACTAAATCGCTAATTTATCCCTGCCGGGGACACCAGGACGAGCGACACAGCTACGAAAAGTGCCAGTACGTCGAGTTCAAGAAGCGAGTCGCCAAGATGAACGAGCTGCGGGAGTCAAAAGCCGGTGCGCGAAGCAACTAGGAGGGTGCTGGAAGGACGAAGAAACAAAGTGTACATATCCATGCATGAGAAATGGGAATAGAGAAATTTTCAAGGAACAAGGCCTCGAATGGGTGCGCAAATAATGTCTTGGTAATATGATGAGAGAGCAGGATTCAGAGGCCTGAGTTGTTTACGCGAACGAATAGTGATTTTGCTTGAAGTATACGATACGGAAGAACATGGAGCGGACTATTTTCTCGACGACAATCAGCTGCGGCATTGGATTTATCGACCAAAATTATTCAGGTTTCCGGCACTAACTCGCTCTTCCCATCCAACCCTGTCCACTTTGGCTTGCCATCCGGCAAGTCGACCACCCTCTGAGGGTAGAATATATGACATCTACATGTGGAGTCAGTTACTTGCTCCTCAAAGCCAATGTCCAGAGATACATACTGAACCTCAAAATTCCTCTTCTGGGTTTCATTCTGGAATTTCAGAAGCGTCGGAAATAGTAATACCATGTTCCGTCCCTCGTCCATGATGAGTGTCCCGCACTGGGAGCAGCTCACTTTGCAGGGTAGCTCGTGTTCTAACGACTTGGAACTGGAATTGTAAAAGCGCAGGTTTTCGGCACCACTTTCAAATGCCATGTCTGACTTTTGGAATATCGCTGCCCATTGAAAAGGGGCGCCTGATCATCGTATGAGTCTCTGGCAACAATTTTGTATACAATACAACAGGCTATTGGTGAAGTGATAAGAAGAGAGACAAAGAGAGAGTTATATACCATGAATCACTTTGCAGTCACCACAATGACAGTACTTGGAAGCCAGAGGGCCATCTTTACTCAGCCAGTATTTTACTTGGCCGCAATGACAGCTGCCTTGTAACACCTTGCTAAAGGCTTCGTCGGGCTTTTGATATGGTGGCTTGGTTTTCCAGATTTGATCAGACATGTTTTTCGAAGACAATAAATTGAATCAGGTCTGTTTCAGATAGAATGATCAAAAATGCAGAAAGATGTAGTTTTTATTTCTAGATATGTATATTGATGCGAAATGACTTTTGGGCCTATCAATTGTAGCAGTTAATGACGTAAGGAAGGTGACAATGTAGTGATGTAACTGTGCAACGAATACGTATAGGTAGTCTTTCTACTGCTAGGTGGACAATGAGATTGAGTAAAATTTGCATTAATGGAGGAACGTGTAAAATATCACTAGAGAAAGCGCAACATGGCCTTTAAGCAATAAATAGAAGAAAAGCATCATATCTCCAAGGGGCACTCGTCTCCCTTATCAAGACCGCTTACACTTAACTCCATTCAAGTTCGACTTGTAAATGCCAACTAGCGGGAGAGTCCTTGAATGGAGTTAACACGGATTTAAGACTTCATGCTAACCTTCAACTTTAACTCCTTTATTTCTACGGATTACGGTAAAGATAACAGTCCGTAGACCATGCACTGATAGAGTTGTTGAGAGTTGGTCGATTCAGTCAAGTTTGCTTCAGCCTTTATCCCGCTGAGCTCAACTCCGCGCTAAAAGCGGGGTGAAGAAAAGATCAAAACCACCCCGCCCTTACAACAAAACGTGTTAGTGATTGGCTAGTACTCTTCTGTTGGTACCTGAAAGTTAACTTTGCTGCACGTCAACGATAAGTCGTCTTGCAGTTGAGTGCCAAAGCAACTAAACGACGGCTTTGAGAAACTGCAAACACAATCAAGATCCCCTTAGATATCCCATTATCGACTTGTCAATTGCTCTAGTGGCTAGGGCGAGCCCCTCTCGGACATTAATCGCCAGCTCCGCTCACCTTGAATTTGCCGGATCGGCACCGACGCCGCCTAAATCATCGGCAAGACTCAATGCTTTCAGGATGGAGCCCTTGAACCGCCAATCCGAGCTCTCGATTCTCGTTGAAGATCCTATTTTGTGACTACGAAGCAGCGCTACTTGTTTCCAAGTTGAAATTTGTTCGCGTAAGCCCCACTTGAAGAAAAAGAGGTTCAGATGAGTATATATAGGTGATCAAGATGAAGCCCTCCAACATCTCATCAAGCTTCAGTGCCTTTCACACTACTACACCATCATATCTACTCTTCATACCTTGACTCAACTCAGACACCATGGCTAGCGAGGCGTGCTGCAAATTAGCGCCTGTTTCAGCTGACTATGACCCAAAGGGAAAATACGAAGTCATTGCCGGCGTCAACACCTGTAAGAGGAGCTTCCTTTGACGAGACTCCAGGATATATCCAACAGCCTTCCTGATACATCAAACCACAGACATTGTCGGACCTGAGGATGCTAAAAAGGGTATCATTGATGTTTACGACATCTTCGGCATCTGGCCTCAGACTATCCAAGGCGCTGACCGTCTGTCCGCCCAGAGCGGTGCTCTGGTTCTGGTTCCTGACTTTTTCGATGGCAGCGGTTTGGATATGAATGTCATCCCCAATGATACAGAAGAAAAGACCAAAAAGGTGCATGAGTTCATCGCCACCAAGGCCAACCCCGAGACCAACGTAGCCAAGATTTTGGCTATCCGCAAGGAGCTGTCTGAGAAGTACCCTGCCATCGAGGGCCATTGGGGACTCTTCGGCCTGTGCTGGGGTGGCAAGCTGACTGTTCTGGCTTGCGGAGCGGGCAACGAGGGCGTTGGTCGACGATTCGAAGCCAGTGGAACTGCTCATCCTGGGTGAGTCTTCATCATCTCTTGCAAGAATGTTGTGTTTCTCTCTCTTCCATGCTAACAAAGGTCAACTCGAATAGTATGCTTGATGAAGCTGATGCCAAGGCCCAGACGGCTCCTCACATCCTGCTTGCGTCCAAGGACGAGCCCGCCGACAAGGTTGCCTTGTACAAGGAAGTCATGGGTGACAAGGCCGAGGTCACTACCTATGAGACTATGCACCACGGCTGGATGGGCGCCAGATCTGACTTGAAGAACGAGGAGAACGTCAAGGAGTATGAGCGTGGATACAAGCAGGCCGCCGATTTCTTTGCCAAGCATCTGTGAGCGTATGGATTAGTCATGGGAACGTTTTGAAGCAAGAATCGCGATGATGAAGAAATTTATACCCAGAGCTATCTTAAATTAAGATGTGAAATTCTGTATATGCTTTTGATCTAGTGATGTTTGAGGCAAGAATTGGTCGTATTGAGGAAATTGGAATATACTGAGAGTTGAGCGGTTAGTCGGCGAAACTTGCCAGCTTTACTTATTTGATATCGGTAAAACCGAGCGTGACTTTCTCGCCCACTTCAACATTATCATTATTGCTCCCCTTTGATGTCAATGATAATTGCCTCAGGGGTGATAACCCTTTCTATATAATCATGTCTGCGTATGGCTTACTGGCTGATCTATGTTGTAAGCTGCAAGCCAAGAATAAGTCTCCAGGTAATACTATTGGCAAACCAAGTAAAGGCGTGTATAGTTACGTAACACTATCCCGCCACTAGGTTATCTTGCAAAAGATTAATATTCATTATTGGATATAGTAAAAACATTAATCCAGAATAAGTGCAGTTTTCAACTTCCTAACAAGCTATATACAAAACGGGTGCTTGGCATAGTCTTGGCAGGTAGGCTAGGCAAGTAATTCGATCCCAGGAGTGGAGGCGTAAGCGTGAAAGGAAAATTAAAAGCATTAGTTTATATGGAATAGGTGTTGAACAGACCACCTAGCAAAAGTGAAGTGATCACTCCTCTTGCGGTAGTGTGTATCTGTACCTATAAGCCCCAGTTCCACCAACAATAGGCCTATATCCCTGCTTATTTTACAAAGGTTCAGCACCAACAGAGTAACTTGAAAAAGGTTACTGTGAAGAGGCACTGTCACCACTTTAACAACTGACATTACTCAGTTCCAAAAGTTCAATAATACTCCTAGGCAAAACATGTATACATATATCATTTTCTCACACGCACTCTGATATCCCTGTCGGTGTGAAGCAAGGTTGACGTGACTCTAAATGGTATATGACGCGGTATATTGTAATTACCCTGTCATGAACATTGACGCAAGTGTTAAAGAGCGACCTTCCATTTCGGTTGCCAGCTATTTCTGCGAACATTACCCCTTGCGCTCTTTATGTAAAAGTCCCAGGAAGGGTGAGATACATTCTAGTTTCGAGAACTGGGTCTCATTTTTGAACTTATGGATGTAGAAGGGTGTCGAATGACGACATATTGGCTGGGCTATGGAGTATCGCTAATATATCAGTCGCTGAGATAATTCATGTCGTTTCTTTCGCTTCTGTTTCTAGAAAACAGTACATGCACTAGCTAGGACTAGACACTCAACCCAGCCTTGGGCTTATGCTTCATGTAACCCACCTGCATGTAGATATTATGCGAACCACTCAGAGTGTGATTAGGTTGACCAAGTGATGATGACTATGTTCGTTCACCTTATACTCTCGAACGTATAATGTGCCCGAATCGTTTGAATGAGACATATATTCGCTTATCATAATCTTTGCGCAGGCCCCAAATACGCCTAATATAAGCATAATACTCGACTGAAGGAAAAAAAGTAAGGCTGAAATGGGCACAACGACAACCACCGGTATATTTATCAGGATCTTCTTCTTGTGCTGATACTTTCTTAGGATCAATTTTGGAATTACGATTACGATTTTTAAAAGCAAACTTTTTTGCGCATATGAAAAATTTGTATATTATTGTAAGCTGTTCCCATTCTATCTCACTCTCTGCGTTTTCAATTTTTACCCTGAATCCATGTTTTATATTTATTTATATTCAGTGATAGAAAATGGACCAGTATGGACATTCTTTTCTACAATTCTTTTTGGAGTTTTAGTAGACTTCATTACTCCGCCAAATGGTCCACTCTTCCACATGCAGCATGGACTGCTGACTCTGGCAAGACCAGGACCCGAATGAGATTTGTTGTCAATGCATCTCCACGCCTACCCAGCTGATTACTTACCTCTGTCTATTATACACGTACTCACATCGCATTGTTATATGCTAATTACTTAATTTAGTCTAGTCTACAGGTACTCGTAGCACCTTGACACATTAACATATTACGCTTTTACAACTTTGGGGACATCGAAAGGCTTGGCATAGACTGCTGTGATTACTATAGTGAGCGGGTGGTACGAAATAGTAATACCGCTACTAGAGCAAGACAAGGGCAAAAAAGAAAGCACTGCCAATCATATCTAGATTTGGTGGCCGAGTTTCTTTCCGCCAATTATCGGGATACAGGGAATCCAAGCCAAGCCCCTTATGCATGTATACATAGATAGATGTCTTAGGAGTCTGACACTTTTATAGCCTGTTCCAATAGCCTGAATTGGGTTTTGTTCGTTTTATGCCCCAGCTACTCCAGCCAAGCCTGAGATTCCGTCATGGTGCGTCAAGGTTCTTGGCTGAACCGACGACCTGTCTGACCACCTTCCTTATTGAGAGATAACAAGGATCGGGGTCTAAGTGAATCGGAAATATTGTGAGTTCCAATTACGAACGAATATACCTTTTTGATGTGAAGTGTGGATGCTTTGTTTGAGAGAAGGCCTCCAAAAGGTGAGAGGGCGCGAGGAGCGTTTTTGCCAAGCATAGTTCAGTCTTAGCTTTGATGAAAATAAATATAAAAGAAGGTTTCTGCCTTCTTTGTAGACAAAGAACTTGAAGAAAGCAGCTGAAATCGCCAAACTCCTCATTTATTCAAGAACTATTATACTTTATACCAAAATGAGATTCTCAGTTACTCAATGCCTTACCATTCTGGGCCTCGCCAGCTCTGCCGCGGCCGACTTTCACATTCTGACTGGCCCATGCTCTATTGCCCCTGGATGGGGCGGCTCCCTCTCAGACGCCACAATGGCATGCCCATCCAACTACTACAACTGCAGCTGCTTGCTAGACGGGGACCGCGCCGGCCATGTCATTAATGGAGAGACCCCAACAGTTGGTATTACCACCACGGGGTCCAACTATTTTAAGCTTGATGGCATGTGTGGCGTGGGCAACATGGACTTTTATCTCCAGGATGACGGCACTTGGCTTTTCTATATTTCTGGCGGAGACGGCAGTGTACAGGGCACATGCTATAATGGAGACAACAGCATCAAGGACTGCAACGGCTTCAGCGCGGCTTGCAGTTTCAGCAACATTTTAGTTTGCTATTCGTACATTTGCAACTAATGGAAGAGAGAAAACTTGGTCGCTTTGTAAATAACCACATTTTCTATTCTGAAGAATTGTGCCCGCTTGTGGGCGGCTATGGAGTAACTGGGCCAATGGACGAACTGGCGGAAATTTGGGACATCGTTAATTAAATTATTCTAGTGTCCCTTTCATTTAAATCCAAATACAATTATTCCTATATGTTCACAAACTGATACAGTCATGAGTCTATGTCCAGATATTGACGCTGTTTAAGCCAAATGGCAAGTAGCTAGTGAGATTTAATAAGAGACCTACGTTTCTTGACGATCAGACGGTATCTAGGCTTGAACCAAAAACATAATTGTATGTAATTCGTAAACCTGTAGTATCGCGGTGTACATATATAAAGGATCGATTTACTGTCCACCTTGAGGCAAACTACTATTTTTCGGTCATATCAGTTCAGAATGAGTCGTTTCTTATATACCGTTACATGAATGGTATCTTAGGCTCTAGGCTAAAACAATAAATCGAATATCCACCTTTTTAAAAAACCCTGTGGATTGCCCGTATAACAATAATCTGTGTCATTTGCACAAGTCGATGCAATCCTCTGCAATTCTTCGCGCACCTTATCCATAGAATATCTATTCTCGGGCGAGGGAACTACCATATGGTTGACAATAAGGGCCAAGAAATCGTGTATCGCATCAGAGCAATGTTCGTTGTTGCGTAGAAACCTAACCCACTATTAAGATTTAGCTAAGACGCTATTATATAAACAAATATAACTCACTTTTTTAACAGACCTCTTGACTCTGGGTGTGGACCTTCGAGACAGGATAAAAAACTTGTCACCTGAGTGCTTGCCGCCTGAGTGCAGAGGATATCCATCTTCCTTTTGCCTCCTCGACCTGAAACTCAATTCTTTGTGTCCAGATGAAGTTTCGAAAGTGTCGTTGCGAACGGCATCGTAACCGAGTAGATACCAAGTAATAATTTCTAGATAGACGCACCCCAACGTCCATATATCATAACTTTGCGTGACGTTTGGGCCAAGTTCGACTTCAGGAGGACAATACATCCTTGTATAGTCTATTTGACTCGCGTGAGTGTTATTGATAGTCCCGTCAGCGTGAAAACGCATCAGGGTGAAGTCAGCAATGACAAAGTACCATTCACTTGACTCTGTATCCTTAAAAAAGAGAATATTTTCAGGTTTGATATCCCCGTGGCGACCTTGATCTTGAACATTCTCTTCAATCTCTTCGCTCGAGTCCCTTAGCCTTTCCGGTGGACGGTTGTGTCCATGGACTTTGCTTAGCCCATCAGACATACCCAGACATTGCTGAATAAGCCATGTCCAACCTTCTTTTTTTTGGGGTTCACTGGGATGCTTTTCCCAGAACTCGGCGAGATTTCCTTGGGCCCAATGAAATATCATGTAGTATTCATCTCCTAATTGATAAGACTGGAGTAGCTTGATGAGATTTTTGTGCTCATTCCTTGAATCGCTGAACTGCAGCAGAGCAGTCTGCTCTTTGTCGAATTCAGTAGCATCTCCCGAAGTAAATCTTTTTACTGCAAAGTAAGATATTCTGTGGTCAGAAATCTGCAGACAGTAAGCTAACGTTTGTAGCCAACGCCAATAAGCAAAACTTTACCGAATGTCCTTCCCACCGTTCATGGTGCGGATGAATCTTGACTTTAGCTATTTCGCCATGCGTACCCCTGGCTTTCCACTCTAATCGCTCTAAAAAGGGCATTCGAAATGATTTATCCAGCTCGAAATGCTGAAATTTTGTGAAGTTAAACACAGGAGCAGTTAACATATACTGTGAATCGCAGAAACTGTCGATTTGGTAGTCGCCCCAATGCCAATTCTGAAAGCATGTGTCTTCCGGGGCTAATGGCAATTGATCATCCGACACGCCATGTTCTATAAACTGACCAATAGAAGAAGCCTGTTCAATAAGTATGAGAGTCGCAAAGATTTTGAGAGTAGGCTTGTCTTTGTCCTGAATTTTGGTACTCAGGTCCGCTGGCTCTGAGACTAGGATCTCCTGTAGCACGCTTTCTATAACGTCATGCGTCAAAATTGACTCCAGTTCACCAACTGGCAAGAACTTGCTTCGCGGATCTCCGCAGCTGGGTATTAACTTTGAACGAATTTGTTTGGCTATGGATGGCAATACACCAGGGGGCAAGTCGGACGCGTTTACTGGAATATGCATTAGCAGAGTCTAATTGGTTCAAGATTCTAGTTCATATGGTACCTAGCTGTTGCTATTCTCCGTGCATAAACGTGATTAGCGTGATAATATGAAAAGGAAAAGAAAAAAAGACTAGAAAACGACTGGTTATTAAACGTTACCTCCATTTGCAGTATCAAAGAATGCCTGAGCTGTGCAACTGTCGTATCACCAGAAGAACAATCTAAAAGATCATGGACAATGAATGGGCCAGCAAGAGGTCTCAGTGTGCTAATGAATCACAAAATTCTAATGATATCGAGAAATAACCACACTTAGAATGTGAATACTTGAATATGTGTACCGTCTGCGACGTTCAAGAGGGGGTAGAATAACTAAAATACGTCAACAATCATGCACGGCTATTTGTATTCTCTAATTACGTATATTAACAATTAGATGTCCAAATATCTTCTGGTGACCACAATGCTTCTTTCCTTCAGGTCTTTATTTCGCCCCCAAACTCGGTAGGCTTTCGGTCAGGGAGTATATTAAATAAGGCTGCGCAATCTGCGCAATGGTTACCCAAAGTAGACAGTACTTCGACGCTTTGGTATTCTTTAAAATAACTGTCTTACCCATAGAAGTAATGACCCGCTATCTCGGTTATGCAATAGGTTGCACATCATGCAAAGCATCGGTGATATAGGCGCCACTGGTGTACAAATGGCCACCCAAGGCAAATATTGATCACATGCACCGTTTTAAGCGTTTTGATTCGTCTCACAACTATATTGCCAAGTAGAGCATGGTAAGACATGCGTCTTGTGAAGGGCGAAGTTGTGAGCACCTTTTCAATTTAATTGGTGTGTACGGAGCCTTGCATCTGGGTAAGCCTGGTTCTTTTAAGCAGAGCCGCACATTTTGGGCAGCCAGCCTTTGGGCAACTGGGACGTATCCATGCAGCCTACCGTCCACTGATAGCACGCTACGTGGCATGCATGACTAGGTAGCTTTTAGAGTGGCGACAGCGGGGATCTCATGATGCCGAAAACCTATATTAATACGTCAGGGACTGTTGACCTGAAGCGGAGGATGGGATATCACTTCAGATGGCTCACGTATCAAATGGTAGCTCAGATAAGGGGGTCGATATAGCCGTGAAGCGGTTGACTCAAATCGGCAACGAAACTGACGTGGCAAAATTCTACGACAAAGAAAATTCTACGTTGGAAGTGATGAGAAGTTTGAAGAAAGACCATTTGATTAGAGCCATTGCGACATACAAAAAAGGCAATGACAGGTATTTCTTGTTTCCATGGGCTAAAGGTGGGAACCTGCAAGACATGTTGGAAAAAGATGAAAGAAAACTTGATAAAGATCTGATAAACTGGATCGTTTGCCAGATTGTTGGTCTGTCTGAAGGCATTGCAGCTTTACACGCAAATAATATTCGACATGGAGACATCAAGCCATCCAACATTCTTTGTGATGGGCCTGACCTCGGAGCGTCCAACAAATCAATCCTACTGATTGCAGATGTTGGCCTTGCAAAGAAGCATGAAGAATACACCCGTTATCGACCTAAAATTACGACAACTAGGCACGGAAGTATCACATATGAACCCCCAGAGGTATCCCCAAAGAAGGAGCTTGGTCGTCTTTCTCGAAAATACGATGTATGGTCACTGGGATGTGTCTTCTTGGAGCTCATCATCTGGGCAGTCTATGGCACAAATGGGATTAAAACGTTCCATAAAGAACTCAACAAAAATGCCACGCCCCAATTTTGGAAAGACCGCAAGGTCCACTCTGGTGAAAAAGTTCACTCTATTGTGAAGAAGAGGTTTAAAGATTTGAAAAAAGATTTGAAGAATCTACCGGCACTTGCTCATCTTGTTGAATTCATTGAGGAAAAGCTGTTGAAAGTATCAGTCGATGAAAGACCATATTCTACGGCAGTATATGATAAGCTGAAAACTATTAAACAAGATATTGACAACATTCCAGAGGATCGTTTCAATGCTGAGCTCACAAAATTAGTACCAAAAAGGGAAACACCAGCACCAGCTGAATCTACCAACGCAGGCACCAACCTCGCAACTCAAGTAAGCTATTCAATCTTTCCTGCCTTGGTTTACAACAACTAACAGGGATTATCAAGTATGTGAGAAGTCCCCGCTCATGGTGTTCATGGTTACTAAAAACTCGTCCCGCACATAAATAAGCCATTGATTTTCAATAGATTCGAGATTCTAACAAGTATATAGTGGGTAAGTCTATTAATAAGATAACAATGCCTAGGTTCTCTCATAAAACCATAATAACAGGAAAAATAGCGATCAAGCCGACTTGAAGATACATGGCGCATTTTACCTGAGAACGGTTGGGTGAAGACTTTGAGATCTCAACGTGATTGGAGCTCACCAGCGTTGGCGAGGCATATTTCTAAGTCCTGTCAATTTTATCAAATATTTGAATCTGAGTTGTTAAGCTCAGATCTAGATGTGAGCATTAGCCAATTACGGTTTGACTCTCGCAAATGTCCCCTATGTCGCTTCCTTCTCCTCTGCCTGAAAAGAACATCGTTGAAACTGGAGGAATCCATGAAATTGCTTTTGGATGAAAAGTCGCACGCACTGCGTATCTCTTCTGATGGCACTCTCATTGCGTCAATTTATTCGGATCCAGGTTTGTAGTAACTGACCCGATATGTCTTGAATATGAAACTAGCTAAAGTATGCCCAGCATCTAAACTCAAATCATCGTACGCACAAGTCGGGCGGCCACTTCTTCCCAAATATCCTGGTAAACAACGCATACTCATGAAAAACTGGGTTGATGAGTGCAATAAAACGCATGAATGCATGTGGCATAAGACATCCGCCTATATGCCCACAAGAGTCATAGATGTTGGGAAGGGCTCACTTCGGCTGGTTGAAACTCGCAACAAGATAATGAACGATTATATCGCTCTAAGTCATTGTTGGGGTATTCTAACCAAGGAAGAAAGATTCTGCACCTACTCCAACAATATTGAAGCGCTAAAAAGAAGCATTCCTTACGATTCACTACCAAAATCCTTTCAGCATGCGGTGGATGTTACCCGTCTTTTGGGCGTCCAATATCTCTGGATTGACTCTCTCTGTATCATTCAAGAGGATAAGCAAGACTGGGAATTGGAGGCTGCAAAAATGGAAGATATATTCAGCTCTGCATACTGCACTATTGCCGCCTGTTCAGCTGCTTCCTCCTTGGATGGTTTCCTCGGCAAACGGAACTCGAAGATTAGCTTCAAACTTCAGACATCTAGAGGACCACGATACCTTATTGAGCCTATCGACAATTTCCAGGAAGATGTGGAGCAAAGTGTGCTGAGCAAACGGGGATGGGTACTACAAGAGAGAGCACTATCTCGTCGCACAATATATTTCACCTCGAACCAAATGTATTGGGAATGTGGCGAGGGTATCTTTTGCGAGACTCTCGCCACGCTACATAAGTAAAGACACCACACGACACGTCCTCAAATTGATAGGTTACTAATGAATATCTGCTGCAGTTCCGTATCACAATTTCTGAGTGATTCCGATTTTCCAAATTATGCGCTCTCACACTACAAAAATGATCGCATACAACTCACTCAGCATTTATACCAACTCTATAGCACTCTTCACCTTACAAACGTTACCGATCGTCCAAAGGCAATATTGGGGCTGCAAAATCGACTTGCCCGCACGTTCCAGTCCAGAGCTGATTATGGTGTGATCTGGATTTATCTGGAGAGAACACTGCTTTGGCAAGCCGAAAGTCCTCGTACCATGTCCCGAATATCTTACCAAGAATGTTCCAGGGTACCTTCTTGGTCTTGGATGGCATATACTGGGGCTATAAAGTATATGAACATCCCTTTTCAACAGGTACATTGGACTCAGAACATTCGAAGCCCTTTTGGTGCCAAGGATCACGATTCTGGACAGGATAGTACCGAGAATCACAATGCCGAGTGGGATAGCCACTTACATGCTGCAGCAAGTGAGCTGTTGATTGATAAGAAGCAACTTTTGGACATGGCTATTATAGATTCTGAAGATTCTATGTCCAACCTGAAGGATTGGAAGTGCATTGTGGTTGGGAAAAATAAGGAGACGGTTATTAATTACGTCTTGTTAATACGTCCACAACTTTGCACTTCTAAGATCTATGAAAGAGTTGGCGTAGCTGCTCTTTCAGACACCGATATCTCACCAAAGACTGAAAGCATTATTCTAATATAGTGTTCATAGGTTTTGCATAGATATTACGATAAGTAGCTTTCTGAATCTTTGAATGAATCGGATAGCTGTCGTTATCAACCAAAATAATTTTATTCCAAAAGTTGCTTCTTATCAATCAACAGCTCATTTGCTTCAACATGTAGTTGATTATTCTATTCAGCATCGTAAAACGTTGCTCTCTTCTTCGGCTTCGGTAGTATCTTTGACAACTACAGGTTTGCAGCAGGGCAGGATAGTTTGAGGCTATATCAGGGCGTAGAGTTATCAGTTAAACTACAGCTTTGGGTCTCTGATAGGCTATAGTACCAACAAATTAAAGCAAAAGGCGTAGTTTTAACTTTATTTCATTCAACTGTGATAATGGTCGAAGTTTGATACATGACGTTTTATATATGATTACTACGTCGTAAACGCCGGGCCGTATGTATGTCGACTTTGCCGTATTTCAGATGAGACATGACAACAATTTTGCTTCTATAAAGAGATCTATTGCTTAAGGTAAATAAAAAACCAAATGAAAACGAAAAAGAAAGAAATTAAAGTATAGGATAGAATGAAAGGAAAGCAACTAAATACAATGAAATCATTCCTGCTTTATGTTGGCTTTTGTGCTGTGTGCACACGCCTAATGACACTCCCCTGCTCAACATCGCCAAATCCGCTTTCTGAAGAAGGAATAAATCCGATTCTTCTGAGATATCGCACATTACTCTTGATCGCCGCCTGTGTATCTTTGTATTCTGTATATTCTATACCTTTATACGTGAGAATGTTTCGCGGTATGCCGAGCTGACGTAGAAATTGCTGCACTGTCCACAACGGATGTTTGGTGCCAACTTTTTCCATTGACTTTGTTGCACGATCTAACCATTCTGCCCATGGTATCGGCTTGCACGGCGTTTCTAGCTCAGAATTGACAAGGTCCCAGAAAACAGGTACCGGCATGCCGCTTCCAGAAATGGAAAATGGCGCGATTGTGCTATCGAAGATCTTATTTATGATGCCTGAAGCGACAGAGCCTACATCTTGGATGTAGTTCCAGTGCGCTTCTGGTTCTTCGGGATAGGCTCGGATTGACGCCGCTGTTGAAACAACACGCCATATGAAATCGTCAGTGTTTGCGATGCCATCTTTTACTGTGCCTATGATTCGCCCAGGTTTAACAATCGAGAGCCGGTTCTGGTTGGTCGGAAGGCTATTAGTGATGTTCTTGATAACTCCATCGCAGACGAACTTTGTTTGCATGTAGGCGGTGGCGTTCCTGAAGAATACAGCAGATATAGCCTGGTGATCGTCTGGGGTTGTGAATGCTCCACCAGAGACAAAGACAAATTTTGGTTGCATAGGCGATGTTGCCGCCATCATTAGTAAGTCGACTGTCGAGTTGACATTAGGGAGGCAGAGTGTATCATAACTGGCATGCCAATTAACAGAAGCCCCATTGTGGATGATAGCATTGATGCCGGTCTCTGACTCGGAAAGCCCTGAGAGTCGCTTCCAGTGAGCCTCAGTGAGACCTAGGCGAGCCTTGGAGAGATCGCCTGGCCAAACTTCCAGCTTATCAGCGTCTTTTTCGCGCCACCAACCTGCGATTTTGGCTGTCTCTCGGATTCGCTTCATTCCATCGGATGCCGATTTTGAACGAACATGTACAATGATAGACCGCACTGCTGGATTTCGGACCAATTGATTCAGAATCTCAGTGCCAAGGAAGCCAGTGGCTCCGGTGAGGAAAATTGTTGACTGGTCGCGGAGTGTAGTGACGGGGTTTGCCTGTAAAGCGTGTGGGTGTGATACCCAAGATGCCTCACAGATTGACTTTATCTTGGCCATTAAATCGATGCCCGAAGATGGATGACATGATGGTGAAGCTCCGCACTCTACAGCTGTCTCAATCAATTTAGCCATATGACTGACCGTCGTGTGATTGCTGCTAAAAGACTCTTCAATAGGGACACCAAATTCGTCGTTTGCTAGTTTCAGCATGGTAATTGCTTGGATCGAGTCACCACCAAGCTGGTAGAAGTTGTCGTCTATGCCGATTGTGTCTGCAGGTATGTCGAGAATCATTGCCCAGTGCGCCCGGACCCAGTGCTCAAGAGTAGATGAGCAACCGCGGAAAGGCGGGTGTTGGCTGGCCAGATACCTTCCGAGAGTTCCAGTAGAAAGCTTCATCGCCGTTCGTGTGAGTGCTGCCTTGTCAATCCTGCCGCAGCTTTTGAGTGGCAGATACTCGATAGGGATGAAGTATTTGGGAAGCATATAATTTGGCAAGGCAGTGGTTAAATCTCTAAAGACTTGAGACAGATGCTCTTGCATTTTGCTACTAGACGGTGCCAGTTGAACAATTGCAGATTCGTCAGCGATCTTATGATCACTGAAGCTGATGAATGCCACTAGGGATTGTTCAATATCGCTCGTTATTACATCAACTGCTGCTTCTTTGATTTCAGCAGAGAGCAACCTGATCTGGGTTTCGATTTCATAGGATTCAACCCGTTGACCCCGAATATTGACTTGCGCGCTTTTGCTACCAACATAGTTGATAGCTCCGTCGCAATTATATCGAACTAGATCACCGGTCTTGTAGAATTGATTTATTTCAGTGGCTTCGACGTCTGGAAGCCAGTCAAAGTCATCAATGAATGGCCGCGTAGTGTTTTTAGAGTCATCGTTGTAGTAATCGGCAAGTGCATGACCTTGTAACACGAGCTCACCCACGCACCCAATAGGAGCAAGTTCATGATGGTTATCAGTATCTACAATCCAAAAACGATGAGGAGCCTGTAGTAAGACTTGGTCGTGAATAGATGACTTAGATGACTGAAGGCTGGCCTTGCCTTGTTGGATTGCCTGCTGTATGTCCCACGGACTTGTCACAGATACAGTTGACAGCGTTTTCTCTCCAGCATTCAAGAGCTGGTCAAGAACGAAATCGAATTGCTCGAGGACAGCTTGAGCTTGGAAGTCTTGAAGGAAGTCGGAGTTATAAATCAACGTCAACTGTAAATCGCTCTTGAGCAACTGGCATTGCAAGACAAGCGGATAATTGAAGACATCACCGAGTAGTTCACGGTCTGTGATGCCTTCAATAGCAGCCGAAAGTAGGACAGCTGGTGAGGCTTCATCTTGCACTGAAAGAATTTGTTCTTCATCTGATTGAATGAGAAGAAAGTTTGTAAACCTGCATGCATCCTTGGCAGAGGCGCTAATTCGTGAAATATTTGCAAGCCCGTATTGTTCATGGGCCACCATTTCAGAAGCTTGAGTTTGCAAACCTTGAAGAAAATCTGAAATGGTTCGCTGCTTGTCTATGCGGACTCTTATGGGAACTGATGACATAGTAGAACCGGGAATATCCTTAATGCCCTTTAACGGGGCTTGTCTACCGGAGACGGCTGTTCCAAAACATACATCATCGGTTCGCTCATACTGTGCCAGTATCATTGACCACGCAGCTCGGATGAGTGCTGTGGAGCAGCTCGGTGACGGTGCGAAGTGAATCAATCTACTCATTACATTGGCAGCTTCTCTTGATGCTTGTGGCTTGTGACATGCCAGGCGCGTGGGAAACGCGGTGCGTCTGGCGCCAGAAAGCTGCGTGGTCCAGTATTTGCGGGCAGCATCTCGGTCAAGATCCTGAACGTACTGGATAAAAGTGGTGTATGGCACTAGAGATGCTGGTTTGCTCTGCGTATAGATTGCTTGTAGCGTCTTGATCATCATTGAGGAGGTCCACTCATCAAAGATGGCGTAATGGACGTTTAACGCGAAGTATGTATCGCAGGCTTCAGAGATTATTCCAAAGCGGCAGAGGCGCGAGCCATATGTCATCTCAGTACTCTCATGCGGCAGAATGAATGAGCGGAGGTCAGTGTAAGTGTCAGACCAAGCAATGGAGTCTTTGACAACTGCCTGGATTGTAGTGCCTCCTGAGAAAACAAATCGAGTGCGAAGGTTAGGTAAGAGAGTCATGGTTTGCTCCCAGGCTAGCTTGAAGCGACATGTGTCGATTTCCGGACCTAGACGATAAACACGCTTTGAGATGTAAGATCCGGGCTGCGTGATGGTCAACGCCATCAAATTTTGTTGTAGTTCAGTGCAGGTGTACATATCTTCGATGTCCGCTGGGTCTGAGAGCTTGCATTGAACCATGACTGCCTGCTGGACGTTGGATCTATCATCTTCAGGAATGAGACTAAACTGAGAATTGTCTTCTTGCACCGTGGAAGTAGGCTGGATGGACTCTGCCATAGATGAAAGGTGGTGATCGCTGAAGATCAATGCCACTGAAAGATTCATGTCGTGGTCTCGAGCCAAAGAGACCAGATGGATTGCGCTGATTGAATCGCCGCCGAGCTGTAAAAAGCTATCGTATTTTCTAATGGCTGTTGGATCGTCTATATTAAGAACTTGGGCCCAAAGATCCCGCAGCTGCAGCTCTGTCGTTGTTGTCGGCGATTCACTGTCGCGGACATTTGGGGTAAAGCGCAAACGATCTTTGACGGAGATGCCGCGACCGTATTCGACGAAAGAGCGACGATTTACTTTACCAGATGTCATCTGCTCTGGTTTCCCTTCAAAGATGACATAGGACGACGGAATCATGTATCTGGGTAGAGATGTGGCTAATGACGAATCCAGATGGGAAATGAGGCTTTGTTCTTGCTCAGACACGTTTTGAAGAAGGCGGAAAGTCTGTGACAGAGTAGCCTCGCCTTCGGTATACCAAAGGAAGGCAAGAAGAACATCTTTGGAACTGTCACCGTCTGCTTTGGCAACATCAACCATTGCAGCCATGTTGAGAGGAAGGAATTCCTGAATCCGCGATTCGATCTCACCAAGCTCGAGGCGCTGGCCATGTATCTTGATTTGTGTATCCATGCGGCCCAGGTATTCAAATGTACCGTCAGCAATACGTCGGACGAGGTCACCTGTGCGATACACTCGCTTCTGGCCCCCAGGAAGCCAGTCAACATCTTCCATCCAGTTGGCCGCGACGTCGTCGCTAACATTCAGATAGCCTCGAGCAAGCATAGGGCCCTCAATGAGTAATTCCCCTACGCATCCTACAGGCACAAGCTGCCTATAGTTGCTCGGTTCAACAACCCAAAAGGCACTGGATAACGGCCTACCTAGATTCGTTGATCGTCCCGATTTACCGACAGTAGGATTCCATGCGCAGATGGACGCTTCAGCCGGTCCGTAAAGGCCATGTAGTTCAACATGATTGACCCAGCGGTCTGCGCACTTCTTGCTAATGGCTTCACCACCAAGGCAAAGGATCTTCAAGCTAGGCACCTCAGCAGGAGAGAGCAGGTCAGCAACTGTAGGCGTCAAGAATACCCAGTCAGCCTTTGTAGACCGTATAGCACCCGGTAAGTCGTTTACTCGGGCATGGTCAGAAGGTACACAGAGACACGCGCCACGCATAAGCGAGACAAGGCAGTCGAGGATTCCAACGTCGAAAGTGTAGGCCGAAAACTGGAACACTCGTGTGCCCGGTCCAATACCAAGGTCAGCGCCGTATGCGTTGCTAGACGAGCAAATGTTATTGTGCTGAATAACCATGCCTTTTGCTTTACCTGTAGAGCCAGACGTAAAGAGAATCACGCTGGAATTTTCAGGCTTTGCTGTTGACACTATCGTCTGGCTTGGATCAGGTAATTCGGAAAGCGTGGTCTCATCAATGAGTAAGACTTCAACTCCGAGGCCATCGAGTGCGTTGCCACACGCTGGACTGACTATGGCAAGGCCGGCATGAGTATCGTCGATGATGCCTCGTAAACGACCAGCCGGAGACGCTGGATCAAGGGGAACAAAGGCTCCACCAGCCATAATAACGGCAACCATAGCTACAACGGCGAATACCGATTTATTGAAACACAGAAGCACAAAGACTTCAGGGCCAATGCCATGTTCTTGAAGTTTCTTTGCCAGACGCGAGGCCAAAATACCTACTTGGGAGTAAGAAAGCTCTCCATCCCAGGACGTGACGGCAATTTCATCTGGTCTTGAACGGATTTGTTCTTGAATGAGCCAGTGTACGCACGTCTCACTAGAAGGACTCAATCGAGTTGATTCAATTGCGTGTTGAATGTCCCAAGAACTAAGAAGGGAGACTGAGCTAAGAGAGCAGTTGGCAGACTCAATGGTGACAAGCTGTTGGATGACATGATCCAAATGAGAAGACAAAGCCTGGACTTGAGCTTCGGCTAATACTGCAGAGTCATAGAATATGTTTAAACCAAATTTATCCGGAAATTGGCTGGCGATGATTGCTAAGGGATAGTTGAAGTAGCCATCCATAGAATCTAATGTGAAGTCGTCTGTAGATTCGTCAAGAATAAAGATAGCATCGCCTGTATCATCTGTCGCGAGGGCTGCTGGCGGCTGTATAACAAGGAGACTTGAGAAGTCACAAACCTCTTTAGCGTATGTGCTGACTTTGGATATCTTTTGAAGTCCATATTGCTCATAGGGAATCATATTCCCACTCAACTTTTGGACATGGTGAAGGAATTCAGATATCGATGCTTGTTTATCTAGGCGCACACGCAGAGGGATTGTGGCAATCATAGGGCCAGCCACCATATCCGCTCCTGAAATTGGCGCCTGACGACCCGACACTGTTACTCCAAAAACGGCTTCGTTGCTATCACAGTACCTCGCGAGGACGATAGACCATGCAGCTCGAAGGATTGTTGCGTGAGTGATTGAAGTTTTAGCAGAACTTGTAAAAGAAATCGTTGAGCGATAACACTGGCTTTCAGCTTTATGTGGGCCGGTAGGACGAGGTGGGAATGAAGCTCGCACTGCCCCTGAAAGCTCTGTCTCCCAGAAGGATGCAGCAGCGTCTCCATTGGTCTCTTGGACGTATTTAATAAAATACGAGAACGGGCGTATCTCTGGAATGTAACGGTCCGAATATGCCTGATACAAGACTGAAAACATAACTTTGAGTGTCCAGCCGTCGTAGATGGAGTGATGGGCAACCCAGATAAAGTAGTTTTCGCCTTTCTCAGACACAATGGTGTACCGGCACAGAGGCGTCCCATATCCCATTTGTGCGTTTCGTAGTGATCTAGTCATTGAGTCGAGAGTTTCATTCTCGGCGGATTGCCAGTGGCTGTCATTGTCAAGGACAACCTGAGTTGTGACACCATCTAATAACACGATTCGTGTTCGAAGGTTACTGCAAACTTCCACAACAGTATCCCAAGCATTTTTAAATCTGGAAACATCTGCCAATTTTGACAAATGATAGACATATGTAGCAACATAAGAGCCAGGCTGCTTGACAGTGAGAGCTATAAGACCTTCTTGGAGTGGGGAACATGGGTAGGCGTCTTCAATCGTTTGTCCATCGTCAAGGCCGCACTCTTCGCGGATCTCATCTCCAAGAGCAAGGCTTGAGCGTGATTCAGATAACAAACTGAAAGGTTCTAGTGGAGATTCTGTGATGTCCGCACTGCCATCTTGGATCAAGATAGCTTTCAAAGCCACGGCTGATAACCTAGGGTCATCAAAGACGTCCTTGACAGTAAACGCAATTCCATCTTCTTTGGCTGTTGAAACAAGGTATATGCCCATAATCGAATCACCTCCCAGCTGGAAGAAAGTATCATCCCTACCAATTGAGTCCATCGGCACATTCAAGATTTCCGCCCAGATTGTCTGCAGTCGCCTTTCCATCCGAGTCTCTGGTTCGCGTTTTATCCTATTCGATGGTGAGTAGGCAGCTCGCTGATCCCAAGTTAGCGAAGATAGTTGCTCATGTAGAAGCTTTCTATCCAATTTGGTAGAGATAGTAAAAGGCATATATTTGCATGGAATGATCAACGTGGGAATCATATATTTGGGCAAGACAACACTGAGCTCGTCGACCAACGCCCCCAATCGATTTTGTAAGGCCTCATCAGATGATACAAAGAGCGTTTCTGATATGTTTGACTGGATGCTTGGTGACTTTTCTTCGTCGTTGGTGCAGAAGTAGGCAACAAGTGTAGAGCTATCATTGTTCTTGAATACGTCAACGGTCACCTGGCGGGCATCAGCCAAAAGCTGCTGGATGTGGAATTCAACTTCTGTGGCTTCGATGCGAAGACCATTAATTTTGATCTGCGTGTCCTTGCGAGTTGAAAACTCGATAGTTCCATCAAGATTGAAGTATCCGAGATCGCCCGATTTATAGCACCTATCCCAGTGTATTTCATCTGCAAGGGGCAACCATCCAGGAGATTGTACAATGGCAGCATTGGTACGATCTGGATCAGCCAAGTACTCTCTCAATAGGGTAGGGCCTTGAATGAGGATTTCGCCAATCGTGCCAACAGGTGCAAGGCTACTATGATCTTCGGGATCCACAATCCAACAACTCGCACCAACTGGCTTTCCAATCGTTGATGGAGAGTCATTGACCGATATACACTCATACAGTGTACTGTAAACACAGGTTTCCGAAGGGCCCCAGCCAAGAACTAACCTGACCTTGCCAAACCAAGAGTCGAGTATATCCCGGGGCACAGCCTCGCCGCCGACTAGCAATAATTCTAGACCAGGTACATCGGCCGGCTGCAATGTTCGGAGGAAAGAAGGCGTCAAGATTGCCCAGTTAACGCCTACCTCACAAATAAATTCCGTAAGTCTATTCAAGCGTGCCTCTTCAGAGGGCACACAAACACAAGCTCCAGACAACAACGGCGCGATGATTTCGCCGACTGAAAGGTCGAAAACAAACGACGCAAATTGTAGCATCCTGATACTCGAATCCAGACCGAGGCGTTTGCTGATGGCCATCTGACTCGTGCACACAGCACCATGTTCCATAACTAGGCCTTTTGCCATACCCGTGCTGCCTGACGTGAACAAAACGTAGGCGGCGTGTTGAGGCGAAATTTGAAGATTGGGGTTGTCTTTATTGTAGCTCTTTCTTATTAAATCAATGTCCAAAGAGGGGGTCAACACAATGGCTTTGGAAGTCAACAGGCGGGCTGTCTCGACATTGTTTTCCGACGCTAATGTAAGATGCGCTTTTGTTTGGCTGGCAACCTGTTTTTGGCGCTGAAGAGGATGGGAGGGATCAATTGGTACCCAAGCGGCACCGGCCTTGTTAATAGCCAAAATGGAGACGATGTGCCAGACGGATTTTTCGAAACAAACGAGAACGAGATCATGAGGCTTCACGCCGTTTTCTATAAGATAGTGGGCGAGTCGGTTGGCTGTCTCATTCAGCTGGCCATATGTAAGCTCTTTGTCCCATGCGCATATGGCCTTGTCGTTTGCGCGAATCTCAGCTTGGTGCTCAATAAGAGTATGGATGCAAGAATGGATAACTTCGGGCAATTCATCGTTTACCTGTTGTGAGAATTTGAGGTCCCAGCTACAAGATAACGGCAAGGCGTTGAGTTGAAGTTCTTGCTCCAACACTAGTTGCCTTATGATATGTTCAAGTTGGCAAGACATTGCCTGTATTTGTTGCTCAGAGATGAGTTTTGAGTCATAGATGAAGACGAGATTGGCATGCTCATCGTCAATATGACCTTGTAGGACAAGAGGATAGTTGAAATAGTCTCGCAACATGGTATCTGCCTGAGCATCATCATCCACTGGTACCATAATCGCATCTCTGTCATCTGATAGATGCTGGAGTGGCTGAATGACCAATAGCGCCGAGAATTTACAAGCCTCGTCAGCTTCCGGGCTAAGCTTCGAAATTTCTTGCAGCCCCAGTTGTTCAAACGGAACCATTTCTGCAGCCTGGGTTTGTATTCTTTGAAGATATTCTCTTATAGTTTGTTGTTTGTTTAGTTGAACACGAATAGGCACCGTGGCGATTGTAGGCCCAGGCATTTCTGATAGTCCATGGATTGAAGCTTGTCGCCCAGAGGTGGTAGCCCCAAAACAAACATCGTCCGTATCACAATATCGTGCGAGAAGTAGAGCCCACGCAGCCCGCACTATCGTAGCTTTGGTAACCGATATGGAAGCCGTATTGAGTTCTACCGGTCTTGTGAACGTTTGACTGGAGCTAAAGCCGCTATTTGAGGTGGAAAATGGCGGGAAAATGGCTCGATTAGCGCCCTGCAGTTGTGTTCTCCAGTAGTTGCTTGCTGCTTCACAGTCGACATTTGTGACATATTCCACAAATCGATTATAGGGCATCAAGTTCGGAGGTATACGGCCTTCATAAAGCGAAGTCAATACATTCATCATGATTCGCATTGTCCAACCGTCAAAGATAGAATGGTGTAAAGCCCAAGCAAAGTAGACCGCGCCGTTGTCTTCAACAATAGCATAGCGGTTTAGTCGTGAACCGTAGCCCATGGTAAGCGAGTTCATTGACTGCATGAAATCCTTCAATCCCTGGGATTGTAGCTCCTCCCAAGCAATATCATTCTCAATGACAACTTGGACCATTGCTCTTCCGGCAACAACGCATCTGGTACGTAAATTCGGACACATCCTCACCGTCTCTTCGAATGCACCGCGAAATCTAGGCAAATCGACATTGGGATGGAGACGATAGATAAATTTCGCAACATAAGAACCGGGAAGCTTCTCTGTTAAGGCTATTAGGCCTTCCTGTAACTTCGTACAAGGATAAGAATCGTGGAAAACAAGATTCTCAGCAAAATCGTAATTTCGCCGCAGCTCCTGGCTGAAGAGTGGCTTTCTGCATGACTTGTCAATAAGACTGAATGGCGGAATGTTTAATATCTCATCATTTTTCTGGATGTTGGTGGCCCTGGCAGCAAGAGCTAAGAGCCTAGGATCGTCAAAAATATCCGATACAGCGAGTTTAATATTATCAGCATAGGCGGCATTAATGAGATGAATGGCCAGGATGGAGTCGCCGCCAATTTGTAGGAAGCTATCGTCTCGTCCAATGGACTCTAGAGGAATGTTCAATACCTTTGCCCAAAGCTTTTGGAGATGAGTCTCCATTTCTGTTCTTGGACTTTGCTTTTCTGACATGGCAAGAGAATATCTCGCAAGATCCTCATGATCAAGAGCAGAGGCCATGGCTTTGAGTTTCTTTCGGTTAAGCTTTGTCGATGACTGAAGGGGAAGATACCGGCAAGGGACAAACGCGGTTGGGATCATGTAATGCGGTAGTATAGCTTGTAGCTGGCTTAAGAGGCCATGAAACTGTTCCCGCATGCAAGAATCGAGAGGAAGGAATATATCAGAGTCGTAATCATCGTTTGGATCCGATTGTCGCCATCTATCGAAACTGACAAAAGCTACTAGGGTAGTTCCGATTGAAGTCGTTATAGCGTCAACGGCGATATCGCAAGCGGCGCCTAGTTTATCGCGAATGTGATGTTCAACTTCACCAAGCTCTACACGAAGGCCACGTATCTTAACCTGAGTACCGCGGCGGCCGCTGAAGACAATATTGCCATCCTCATTGTAGAAGCAAAGGTCACCAGATAAGTAAAATCGGTTCCAATGATGAGGACCGGGTAAAGGCGCCCAGCTGGGTCGAGGAATCAACGAAGCCTCCGTCTGACGGGCATCATTGAGATATTCACGAAGCAGTGTTGGACCCTGGACAGCAAGTTCACCAACCGTGCCGATTGGTGCAAGACGTTCAGGCGTTTCTGGGTCAACTACCCAGCAAAATCCACCCACTGGACGGCCAATAACACTAGAAGATTCTTCTGCAGATGTCCATTCATGTATGGCACTGATTACACACGTTTCCGTGGGACCCCAAGCACTAATCAGTCGTAAGCTCCCAAACCACGTTAGAAACACATCTTGGGGGATGGGTTCACCGCCAACCAAGAGAAGCTCGACACTGGGAACTTCTCTAGGTTGGATGGTTCTAGCGAAGGATGGTGTGAGGAAAAGCCAATTAATGCGTTGCTCCCGGATAAAGTCCACAATGCCATTCATTCGTTGTTTTTCAGACGGCATGCAAACGCATGCACCAGAAATTAGCGGGGCAATGATTTCACCAATTGACATGTCAAAGATGAATGTAGCAAACTGCAATATGCGCACAGTTGGAGTGAGGTTGAGTCTCCTAGCAAGTGCATTCTGGCTTGTGCATAACGACACATGCTCAATGACCATACCTTTTGGCGTGCCAGTGCTACCACTCGTGAAAATCACATAAGCAGCATCTTGTGGAAATACTGCCACTCGAGGCACATCCGACTCAAGAATGGAGTGAGCCAATACGCTATCAAGCTCACTCGAAACCTCGATTACATCTTGAACCAACCTCGCACAGAGGGCGGCGTGCTTTCGCGAAGACACTGCTAAGCGAGCTTCAGTTTGAAGGGAAATCTCCAGCAAACGTTTTTCGGGCTGTGATGGTTCTAAAGGGACCCAAGCAGCGCCAGCCTTATTAACTGCGAGTATGGAGATTATATACCACGCGGATTTCTCAAAGCAAACTGGTATAATCTCGCCAGGCTGGACGTTATGAGCATGGATCAAATGGTATGCAAGTCTATTTGCAGTAACCATTAACTGATGGTATGTAAAATTCCCGTCCCATGATGAGATCGCTTGTGCATTTGGCGCAATCTTGGCCTGCCTATCAATAAGTTCATGGATACACGAATCAATGACATCGGGCACATCACTGTTGGATGCAACGGCAAGTTCAAGGTCATAGGAAGACGAGATCGAAATGGACTGAAGACTGAAAGTGCTATTAGATGTAAGTTGATGGATGACGTGGCCGAGGTGGTTGGATAACGATTGTACTTGTCGATCAGTCAAGATGTCAGAGTCGTACAATATTACTATTTTCAACTCGTCATTATCGTAGAGATGCGCTTGTACGATAAGAGGGTAAGTGAAATAGTTTTCCAAAGAGTCGGATAGACCTTCTGTCTCTTCAGTGGTGAGAAGCGAAGAATCTGTATCTCCAGTCAAAGACATGTGGCGCATTGGCTGAATTACCAGTAAGCTGGAAAATTGACATGCGTTGGAGGCATCTTCCCCCAATTTCATTATTCGTTGCAGCCCGAACTGTTCATATGGTGTCATTTCTCCTGCAGCCTTTTGGACGCTTTGCAAAAAGTCTGAGATGAGCTGTTGTTTGTCTATTTTGAGTCTAACAGGGAGAGTGGCAACTGTCGCTCCCACCATGTCGAATATGTCAGCAACAGGGGCTTGGCGCCCCGAGATGGTTGTACCAAAACACACATCATCAGTATCGCAGTATCGAGCGAGGACAACCGCCCAAGCAGATCGAACAACAGTGGCCACAGTGACGCCAAGCTTGTCAGTGTTAACAAAGCCTATGGACCTTTCCAATGAACATGTAACACCAGGCTTCCTAGACGCATCGTGCAGAGGGGGAAATCGTGACGGTTTGGCATTTTGCAGCTGAGATGCCCAGTATGAGGAAGCTTCCTGCATATTCATTTGAAGGATATGACGAATAAATTGCGAATAGGGGGTTATCTTGGGGATATCAGCTGCAAAATATGTCTTATGCAAGATGTTCAGCATGACTTTCATGGAGAGACCATCAAAGATTGCATGATGCATGGCCCACAAGAAATAAGCATTTCGCTGCTCGTCTTCCGCAAAGGCAACCTCACAGAGTGCTGACCCATAGGTCATTTGAAGTCCACGAGCATGATTCCAAACAGACTGGAGATTATCGTACTCTCGTGGTTCCCAGACTGAACTCGGTTTAAAGACAACTTGGATGCTTGAGCCGTCTGATGCCTGGATGATGCGGGTGCGTAAATTGGCACAGAGTTCCACAGTGTATTTCCAGGCTGACTTGAAACGAGCGACATCAACGTGAGCTGGAAGTCGATAAAGATGCTTTGCAATATACGATCCTGGCTGTCTTACAGATAAAGACATGAGGCCCTCCTGGAGGGATGTGCAGGGATAGCCGTCTTCGATGACTTGTTCATCAGAAAGGCAGCACTGCTCACGGACAGCGTCACTAAAGACTTCATCTCTAATATTGTTAGAAAGCAGACTGAATGGTACCACCTGCATCTCAACTTGGTATGCAGTCTTTTTAGCTTTTGATGAGATTGCTAACAGTCTTGGGTCATCGAACAAGTCCTTGACTTCAAAATAGATGCCCATTTTGCGGGCGCGGGACGCCAGTTGGATGGCCAACACGGAATCTCCCCCAATCTGCAAAAAATTGTCGTCCCGTCCAATAGACTCAACTGGGATATTAAGGAGGTTTGCCCAAAGCTCTTGCAGTTGGATTTCTATGTCAGTCTCAGGCATACGCTTCTGAGCAGTTTGGAGAGAGTACGTGGCTTTTTGATCATTATTCAAAGAAGTCATGAAGCGACGCAACATGTTCCTATCCAACTTGGTCGAGGTAATTGAGGGCATAAAGCTGCAGGGAATAAATAATGTAGGAATCATGTAGTGCGGCAATAAGACCTTGAGCTCGCCCAGCATAATCGTCAGAAGCATGCGCAATTCATCTGTCATTGCCTCAAATAATGCACTTGGGTCGACATTGCTTTCGTCTGACAAGCTTCTCATATCCATATTAAAACAAACAAATGCAACGAGGTTATAGGCACCGTTGGTTTCGTATACATCCACAGCGACTTGACGTATTCCCTCTAGAGTCGTGCGTATGTAATGTTCAATTTCCTCTAGTTCAACTCTCAATCCGCGAATCTTGATTTGGCTGTCCTTGCGGCCGTTAAAAACGATTGTGCCATCAGTGTTATAGTACCCAAGATCACCAGATTTATAGAACCTATTCCAATGCTTCGAATCTGGCCGAGGCGCCCACCCAGGAAGCGAGGATGTAGTTGAAATGTTTGTACGGCCAATGTCTGCCAAATATTCGCGAAGAATGGTAGGGCCCTGGATAACAATTTCACCCAAAGTGCCAGTAGGAACAAGACGTTGATGGTTATCCGGGCTAACAATCCAACAGAACCCTCCCACAGGCCGGCCGATGATAAGAGGTGATTCATTGATAGAAGACCATTCGTGGAGAGTGCTAAAGCAACAGGTCTCAGCAGGGCCCCATCCATTGACCAGGCGAACCTTTCCAAACCAGGTGCTAAGTACATCTCTCGGAACTGCTTCACCGGCTAATAATAATAGCTCAAGATTGATTGTGTCAGGATCAACTGTGCGTACAAACGAGGGAGTTAGATATGCCCAGCTGATTTCCTGTTCATTTATAAAACCTTCCAGACCGTTTAGCCTTGTGTGCTCCGACGGGACGCAAACGCATGCTCCAGTAATAAGTGGCCCAATGATTTCGCCTATAGAGAGATCAAACACAAAGGCTGCGAATTGTAAAATCCTAACCTGAGGGGTCAGACGGAGCCTTTTGGCAATAGCCATCTGGCTTGTGCAAACGGCACGGTGTTCCATGACAAGGCATTTCGCCACGCCCGTGCTGCCAGACGTAAACAACGCGTATGAAGCAAAATTAGAGGTAACAGATATTTCTGGGCCCTTGTCGCCATCTTCTTTCATGGCCAATGACTCATCTAGTGCGGCATCAACCTGAAGAACAGTTTCAGTGAGCTTCGAACAGAGACTGATATTGTGTACCGATGTTAAAGTTAGCGTAGAGCACGTCTGGTCTATCACTTGTCGTAGCCTTTGCTCTGGGTGCGAAGGATCTAAGGGAACCCATGCAGCCCCAGCCTTGTTAATGGCAAGAATAGAAACAAAGTGCCATGCCGACTTTTCAAAACACACGTGGACGAAATCTCCAGGTTTGACAGCATATGCCTTGACAAGATGTTGGGCAAGACGATTTGCTGACTCGTTAAGTTGACTATACGTGAGATTTTTATCCCACGAGCAAATTGCAGGAGCCGATGGATTGCGACGGGTCTGTGCCTCGATAAGCTCATGTACGCAAGCGTCTATAATTTCTGGAACCTCGGGATTAAATTTGAGAGCCTGTTCGACATCCCAATCGGACGTAGTCGACAAATCTTCCAGTAAAGTATCAGGATGTGAAGCAAGCTGAGTGATGATATGTTTGAACTGATTTGAAAGCGCGACAAGTTCCTGCTCAGCTACAACAAGCTTATTATAGATGAAAACGAGCCTATCTCCACAATCATGCAGGTGAGCCTGAATGACGAGAGGATATGTAAAATAGCCTCCCAGAACCTCGTCTGCCTTGTCATCAGATTGCGGGATAAGAAGAGCTTCGCTGCCTTCATTGCCCTGTGACAAAATTTGCCTTGGCTGGATTACAAGCAGGCTAGAGAAGTCGCAAGCATCTTTTGCATCATCGTTCAACTTCCTAATATTATGCAGGCCAAATTGTTCGAATGCCACCATCTCAGATGCTTGTGCTTGAGTATTTTCAAGAAAAGACAGTACACTTTGACTTTGCTGTAGATGAATGCGAACTGGAACAGTCGCAATTATAGGGCCCGGCATCTCTGTTATTCCAACCACTGGGGCCTGTCGGCCTGAGACTGTTGTGCCAAAGCAAACATCCATGGTATCAGACCGATGAGCGAGTACAACTGCCCAGGCAGCACGCAACATTGTAGCTTTTGTGATGCTGGCAGTAGGCTTAGGAACACTCATCTCTAAATCCATATATCCTGTGTTATTTGTGCCCCTTTCTTGATCCATGGAACTCAGTCGACCCGGATAAGTGGCCCTCTTAGCATTATGAAGTTGTCTAGACCAATACTCGCTTGCTGACTGGTGGTCAAGGTCTAGAGTATATCGAATAAATCGCGAAAATGGCTGCGATTGAACTGTTTTCATGCCCTCATAGACGCTTTGCAAGGCTTTGGAAATCAGACGTATAGTCCATCCATCAAAAACGGCATGATGCATAGTCCAGACAAAATGAATTCCATCGGTATGCTCAACTAGACCATAGCGACAGAGCGGAGAGTCGTATCCCATCCTTATGTGTCGCAGGCTCTCCAGATAGTCATCTAGGGATAAATGATCTGTTGAATCCCAATTAATATAATCTTTGACAATGACTTGAATAGAGGTACCATCTACATGGGTGATTCGACTTCGCATATTCGGAAACATTTTAACAGTCTTTTCCCACGAAGCCTTGAACTCGCTCAAACCTACTCCATCATAAATGCGATAATGAAACCTAGCAATGTAAGAAGATGGATTTTTGGCAGCTAGGGCCAAAAGACCTTCTTGGAACTTTGAGCAAGGATATGCATCTTCCACTCTTGCCTTGTCAAATAATGTGGTCATGTCATTCGAACAATGCGTAAAGAGAGCTTCCATATGGCTCTGGGTTAACATACTAAATGGCTCAATGAACTTGACATCATAATCCTTCTTGGTCAAGGTTTGAGCCTTGGCAGCCACATGATGAAGTCGAGCGTCATTGAACACTTCCCTTGCACTGAGACCTAAGCCATTCTCACGAGCAGTAGAGACGAGCCGTATAACGGCCATTGAGTCGCCTCCAATTTGGAGGAAATTGTCGTCCCTCGCAATTGATTCAATAGGAATCTTGAGAATATCGGCCCATAGCTGTTGCAATATCTTTTCTGTCTTTGTTTCCGGAGCACGCTTGCTGCTATTGACCAGCGAATATTCGTCAAGTTGCTCCTTGTGAAGCAGGATAGTCGTAGCTATGAGTAACTTCCGATCTAATTTAGCCGATGTTCCAAGCGGCATATAATTGCATGGAATGAAGATTTTTGGAACCATATAGGATGGAAGGACATCGGCGAGTGCGATGATGAGGTCTTGAAACTGAGATATCAAGCGATCCGATAGAGGAATAAACAAGTCTTCGCTGTCGTAAGCACCAGCTAGACGCGATGGCAGCGTATCATTACTGAAGCAGCAGTATGCTACCAGATGTGATGTCTCTTGTTTGTTAATAACATCTACCGCAACCTGGCGAATTCCGGGCAGATTATTCGTGATTTGATACTCAATCTCGTGGAGCTCTATACGAAGGCCACGAAGCTTAACCTGAGAGTCCTTTCGGCCACAAATTTCCATGGTGCCATTTGCATTGAGAACGCCTAGATCGCCAGTCCTGTAGAAACGATTCCAGCATTCTACTTCGCGTTGAGGCGCCCATTTGGGAAGCGAAGTGACTAGAGCTTCTCGAGTCTTTGTTGAATTATCCAAATATTCCCTCATGATTGTTGGTCCCTGGAAGACAATCTCGCCAACACATCCGATGGGAGCGAGCTGTCTGGGATCATTTGGATCCACAAGCCACCAGTGGCCCGTAAAAGGTCGCCCAATAGTCATTGGTGAGTCAGCCGAGCTTTCCCACTCGTGAACTGATGCAATGACACAGCTTTCAGTTGGACCCCAGGCATTAAAGAGCCGTAATTTTCCAAACCACGTCTGGATGATATCCGACGCTGCAGCTTCCCCACCTACAACAAGTATCTCGAGGTTGGGTAGTCTTTCTGGCCTTAGGCTGCGTGCAACAGTCGGCGTAGCAAATGCAGCCGTTACAGAAGCTTTAGACATGTAGCCTACTACATCGTTCATTTGCTCATCCCAAGATGGCATGCATACACAGCCGCCGACGAGAAGAGGTGCGAAAATCTCGAATATTGACGCGTCAAAGACAAAAGAGGCAAATTGGAGCATCTTTACACTATTTGTGAAACCAAGTCGACGAGCAAGGGCGATCTGTGATGTACACAGCGACTTGTGTTCAATCACAACACCCTTACTGGTGCCCGTCGTTCCTGATGTGAAGATAATGTAGGAAATGTCTGTTGGTGATACAGGAACTGGTAGCGGTTGATCATTTGTCCCTTCTGCAGTAAGAGCCTTGTCTAATTTCGAGGATACTTCAAGCACATACTTTACCAGAGATGCGCATTTGGAAGTGGTAGTCGGAGAAGTTAGGATCAGAGAGGCAGCGGTTTGTGAGATAATCTGTGAGTATCGCCTAGTTGGATTACTTGGATCCAAGGGCGACCACGCTGCTCCGGCTTTGTTTACAGCGAGAATTGCGACAATAAACCAAATCGATTTTTCGAAACAGACGTGAACAATCTCACCGAGCTTCAGACCAAATTTCATCACGAGGTAATGAGCTAAGCGATTTGCAGCGCTTTCAAGTTGACTGTACGTGAAGTCTCCATCACAAGCCAGTATAGCATGAGCATTTGGGTATATCTTAGCCTGAGCTTCGACGAGCTTGTGAATGCAAGCGTTGAAGATTTCGGGTTCGTATTGGTTAGATTCAATGGACTTTTGGAGGTCCCATTCAGAGGACAGTGCTAGCTGTCGTATAGGGATATCGCTTGACGAGACAAGCTGGCAGATGACGTGGCTAAGCTGGTGAATCAGCGCCTCAGCCTGATGGTCCGTCACTGCACTTGGTTTGTAAGCCATAGTCAATTTGACATTACCATTGTAAACGTGTGCTTGGGCAATGAGAGGGTAGTTGTGATCTGTTTGGACAGAACTCGCGGTTTCATCTGCTTTAATATCTGCGGAAACCGCCATATCATAATATCCTTCGTTTGCAGCATACATATGTCGAAGTGTAAGAAGGCTAGAAAATTTGCAAGCCTCTCTTGAATCCTCGCTCAAATTGGCAATGTTCGATAATCCGTACTGCTCATAAGGAATCATTTCTAATGCCTGACTTTGCACAGCGTGAAGGAAAGAAAGAACAGGCTGATCTCGGTTAAGACGAATCCGAAATGGAACTATGGCCATCGCTGGCCCTGCCGCATCCATTGCACCAGCTAAATTTGTCTGCTGTCTGGAGACGGCTACACCAAAGCAAATATCATCTATCTCACAATAGCGAGCTAAGATGAGAGCCCAGGCAGCTCGGACTAGCGTTGCGATTGTTATGCTCGAGCCTAGCATATCGGACAACACAATCGCTTTATCAATGGATTTGGTAAACTCTTTCGAGTCCCTTATAGCCCGGGGTATAGGGGGGAATGTCGCCCGCTGGCAGTTCTGCAACTGCGTTTTCCAATATTGTTCAGCGTCATGAAATGAATTGCGTCGCGCAAGATGCTGAGAGTGTACGGCGTGTTCTGTATTCCGGTCTCTGGAGAAAGATATTGATTCCAAATAAACATCTTTGCCAAGCTGACAGATAACATGCTCGATTTGATGTGACAATGTTACAATTTGCTGTTCATGAAGTATGCTTTGATCGAACCAAATGCGTAATTCAACGCTATTGCTTGTTACTATACAAGCGAGAACAAGTGGATATTGAAAGTAGGACTGCATCGAATTTTCAGTAAATGACTGTTCGGAATCTCCAGAAAGTAGTATTGCATCATTAAAGTCTTCACCAGAGAATTCCTGAGGTTGGATCACGAGTAGACTTGAAAAGTTACACGCTTCCTTTGCGTGAGTGCTCACATTCGCAATATTCTGAATTCCGAATTGCTCAAAGGGCACCATCGCTGTGGCCTGATTCTGTATTCCACTGAGAAATTCAGAGGCCTTTATTTGACCACCAAGGCGAATTCGAACTGGGACAGTAGCAATTGTTAATCCTGGCATTGCTTCCAGTCCAGGCACAGCTGCTTGGCGACCGGATACAGTTGTGCCAAAAGTGACATCGTTGCTATCACTGTATCTAGCCAAGACTATTGCCCAAGCACCACGTATAATAGTTGCCTTTGTTATTGATGATTTTTGTTTACCGGGTAAAGCAATTGTTCGTCGATGCACTTGACATGACCGGCTGTCGCTTCTGTTGGAATAACCAGTAAGCGGTGGAAATGCGGCGCGTTTAGAACCACACAGCTCTGTGCTCCAAAAACTAGCGGCAGCGCTATGATCAAGTGCCAAGTTATACCGAATGAATGCATTGTATGGCCGCAAACGAGGCACGTCAACTTTTCGGTAGATGGTTTCGAGAGCCTTCAAAATGACCTGTATTGTCCATCCATCGTATATGGCGTGATGTGCTGACCACACAAAATAATTGGCTTCAGCTTCACAATGCAATGCGTACCAGCAAAGAGGAGCGCCATAGGTCATCTCGAGGGCTCTAGGTGAATGAACAAGAGAGGAGAGAGTTTCGTTTGTTGTTTCTTCCCACTTGACCAAGTGCTTGACAATCACCTGGAGAGCAGAATCCTTCATAGGTATAATCCTGGTTCGTAACAATCCGCATAATTCGACTGTCTTACACCAGGCTTCTTTGAAGCGTGGAACATCAACGTGGTTGGCTAATTTATAGACGTATTTGGCGACATAAGAGCCAGGCTGCTTAGCAGACAATGCCATTAAGCCTTCTTGCAAAGATGTGCATGGGAATGCATCTTCAATAGCGCTCACGGGGACATGACATAGCTCTGATGCGGTTTTTAAGGCTGCGTCTCGGATGGCCTCTTGTAGAAGTGAAAAGGGCAATATGGCGTCTTCCATCTCCCTACCACCGGCGCTAAGAATGGCTTTTGAAGCAACTGCAAGCAGTCTAGAATCATCAAAAATATCTTTCACACATATCTCAAGACCCTCAGCTCGTGCTTTAGATACTAAATGTATAGCTGAGATGGAATCACCGCCAATCTGTAAGAAGTGATCGTCTCTTCCTATTGAGACAGCCGAAATGTTCAGAATTGATGCCCAGATACTCTGAAACCGGCGTTCAACTTCTGTTTCCGGGGCCCTCTTCTCATCGTCAATCGATGAAAATGCCGATAGTTGATCATTGCTCAGAAGAGACGTCATCTTGCGAAGTGTCTTTCTATCCAGTTTTGTAGAAGTTATAGACGGCATGTATTTGCAAATGAGAAATACAGAGGGTATCATGTAATTAGGCAACAACGTCTTGAGCTGGCCTACCATAGCAGCGAGCAAAGCCTGGATTTCAGCTGTTGGAGACGTAAACAGTTCATCTATGCTGGTGTCTGATATGGCCGGCAAGCTTCGAGTTTCATCACTAAAGCAAATATAAGAGACTAAAGTAGAGCCTCTATCAGTCGCGAGCATGTCTACAGCGACTTGACAAACATCTTCCAGTTCCTCACGGATGCGATACTCAACCTCGCTGAGTTCCACCCGTAAGCCTCGGATTTTAACTTGTGTATCTCTTCGGCTGCAGAATTCGATTGTGCCGTCATGATTATACATGGCTAAATCGCCTGATTTATAAAATCGCTTCCACTGTGGGGCTTTCTGTAGCGCCCACTGGGGAAGCGAGGTTATCACAGATGAGCTGGTGCGTTCAGCGTCCCCAAGGTATTCGCGGAGTAGCGTGGGGCCTTGCAGCAAAACCTCGCCTACAGTCCCAATGGGAGCTATCTGGTCTGGGCAGTTGGGGTCGACAATCCAGCAGAATGCCCCGACTGGCTTGCCTACAGTCAGCGGCGACTCGGTAGCAAACTTCCATTCGTGTAGTGAGCTGAAGACGCAAGTTTCAGCCGGACCCCAGCCACTGATAAATCTCAATTTGCCAATCCAAGTATCAAAGATGTCGCGGGGGGTGATCTCGCCACAAAGAAGAAGTAGCTCAAGGCCAGGGACCTCTTTTGGCTTTAATAGCCTGACGAAAGAAGGGGTAAGATACGCCCAGTTGACATTTGTTTCACGAATAAACCCAGCAATATCGTTCAGGCGAGCTTTCTCTGACGGCACGCAGACGCAGGCACCTGATATAAGTGGCGCCACAATCTCTCCAATAGAAAGGTCAAACACAAATGCAGCAAACTGTAGCATTCGAACGCCAGAATGAAGGTTCAACCTTTTGATAATTGCCATCTGACTGCTACAAACAGCGCGATGCTCCATAACAAGACCTTTTGCAACGCCAGTACTACCTGAGGTGAAAAGAACGTAACTTGCGTTAGAAGGTGTTACGCCAGTAACAATGGCATTCTGTCCGTTTGAGCTATCATGAGATAATTCTTGGTCTAGGGATGCCGTTACTTGGATTACCAACGGTACGAGGCCACTGCATAACTCGGTATGTGATTCCGACGTCAGTGCAACCACAGCATTTGTTTGCCTAATGATCTGGCTTAGTCTCTCCTGAGGATGAGACGGATCGAGAGGAGCCCACGCAGCTCCAGCTTTGTTAATCGCTAGAATAGAAACGAAGAACCAAAGTGACTTTTCGAAGCACACATGGATAATCTCATCAAGCTTGACAGTATGCTTAGCCATCAAGTAATGCGCCAGCCGATTAGCCGCACGATCCAACTCGGCGTATGTAAAGCTGCCATCACAGGCAAAAATGGCCGTGGCATGAGGGGTACGGGCGGCTTGCATCTCCACTAGAGTATGGAAACAGCTATCGATGGCTACCGGCACTTCTGAGTTGAACATTTCTGACTGCTGAAGGTCCCAGGAAGACGCAACTGGGATGGCGCCCAGGCTCAACTCCATGCCCAAGGCTAGCTCTTTCGCAACATGCTGGAATTGGTGCGATAATGCAACAATTCGCTTTTCGTGCAGAATCTCAGAGTCATAAATAACTACAAGTCGCGCAGATTCATTGTTTAAATGGCCTTGAACAACGAGTGGATAATTGAAATAATTTTGATGCGTGTATTCGCCTGTTTCTAGCGCTTGATCGGTGGACACTAGAATTGGATCTTCGCCTTCACGGCCACCGGCGAACTCTAATGCCTCTTTGGGTTGAATAACAAGCAAACTAGAGAAGTCGCAGGCGTCAAACGCATCGGAACTCAATTTACGTATATTCTGCATACCAAATTGCTCAAATTCCACCATGGCGAGGGCTTGTTCTTGAACACTCTGGAGGAACGAGAGAACCGATTCTTGACGGTCCAGACGAACTCGAAGCGGGACGGTTGCGATAGCTGGCCCAGCCATATCCATTATTCCGGGTAATGGAGCTTGTCTGCCAGATATAGTTGTGCCAAAGCATACATCGTCGGTATCGCAATATCGTGCGAGGAGGAGAGCCCACGTAGCACGAAGGAGAGTCGCTCTTGTGATGCCAGACGCGCTGATATCAGGAAGCTCAATATCTGTCACAAAGGTCTGAACGCTCCTGGAATCTTCTGATCGCTTGGTAATGCCTGCATTAGTTGGTGGGAATGAAGCTTTCTCCGCCTTGTAGAGCTGCTCAGTCCAGTACTTGGAAGCAGATTCATGGTCAATATTCATGGTGTACTGAATGAAGCGAAAATACGGCGTGAGAGATCTGGTCTCTAGCCCATTAAACACTTTGTGCAAAGTATCAAAGAATATTTGCATCGACCATCCGTCAAAAACTGCGTGATGCATTGTCAAGATAAAGTACGTTTCATCTTTCTTCTCTTGTATCAACGCATACCGACAGAGCTGGGATCCGTAGGTTAACTGGATCTCCCGGGTAGATTGTACATAAGATGCTAGAGTCATGTCTTTTGTATCATCCCATTCATCGCCAGTAGTAAGCACTTGGATGGAAGAGTCGGCTAGATGGACAACTCTAGTTCTCAGAATGCCACATAGTTGAACAGTTTTCTCCCATGCATCTCGAAACTTGTCAATATCAACATGCTCCGATAGACGATACTGAAAGCTTGTGATGTAGCTACCCGGATGCTTTACAGTCAAAGCTAAAAGGCCCTCTTGTAAGCGGCTACATGGATAAGCATCCTCAATCTCGGATGCATTCAGTTTCGTTTTCATCTCATCTGTCAAGATATAATTTCGTTCATCTTCGCTGAGCAGTTCAAATGGCTCAATTGAGCTTGTTTTTTCCGAGATTGCTTCAACATGTCGGGCCGTGCTAGCTATGGCGAGTAAGCGAGGATCACTAAAAATGTCACCGATTAGAAGTTCAATCCCACGACTTCTGGCAGCAGTGATAAGACGGATAGCCGCAATCGAGTCGCCGCCAATCTTGAGAAAGCTATCATCGCGACCGATTGACTGAGAGGCCATATTTAGTACTTCGGCCCAAACTTGCTGTAAACGGCGCTCCATATCAGTCGCTGGTGGAACCTTGATTCCATGGGCCAAAGAATACAGTTCGAACTGCTGTTGGTCGAGAGAGGCAGCAAGTTGAATCAGCATCTTTCTATCCAACTTGGAAGACGTAACCAGCGGCATTGCTTTACAAGGGATGAAAAGCGTTGGTACCATGTAGGTCGGTAGAACAACATTTAAACGTCCAACCAAGGTGTTGATACTGGCTGTGAGTTGGGACGTTGGCGTTACAATAAGTTCCCGTACGGTCTCATCATTTGCCATGCCAACTGGAAGAGTATCATCGCTGAAGCAAATGAAGGCCGCCAAGACGGTGCTAGTACCACGATTCAACAAATCGACGGCAACTTGAGAGACATTATCCATCGCGTTGCTGATATGGTACTCGATATCACCTAGCTCTATGCGGAGACCTCTGACCTTTACCTGGTTATCTTTACGGGAAGAATACCGAATGGTGCCATCTGGGTTGTACACTGCCAAGTCGCCGGTTCTGTAGAACCGGCTCCATAGATTGCGGCTAGGTGTCCAGTCTGGGAGTGGACTAACAACAGCAGACGCTGTCTTTTCCGGATCTGCGAGATATCCTCGCATCAACGCTGGTCCCTGGATAACGATCTCGCCAAGTGTACCTATGGGCGCCAGTTTTTGAGGGTCGTTGGGGTCCACAATCCAGCAGCAATAGGCTGCTATAGGCCGGCCAATCGTGAGATGGGACTCACTTAGAGACTTCCATTCATGAATCGTAGCAGCCACTATGGTTTCAGCAGGGCCCCAGGCGTTGAAAAGGCGCAATTTTCCAAACCATTTCTCGAATACATCTCTGCTAGTTGCTTCTCCGCCCAAGACAAGAGTTGTAAGACATGAAACAGTTTCAGGAATAACGGTTCTGGCGACTGAGGGGGTTAAGATGGAACATGTGACCTTGGTATCCTGTATATAGGCCGCAAGTGAGGTCATCTGTGTAGCCCATGAAGGCACACACACGCAGCCGCCGGCTAAAAGAGTGGCTAGAATTTCGGCAACTGAAGCGTCAAACACATAGGAAGCAAATTGAAGCATTCTTGTGTTGGCATCAATGCCGAGTCGGTTGCGAAGGGCAGTTAGACTACTGCTAAGAGAGTTGTGCTGAATAACCACGCCCTTCGGCGTGCCAGTCGACCCAGATGTAAAGATTACATAGGCAATGTCTTGGGAGCTAACAGCCACAGCTAGTTTGGTCTCGTTGGACTTGTTTGACGCAAGCTCTGTGTTAAGTTTAGGTGTTACCTCAAGGATATTTGACACCAGGCCGAGGCATTTCGAGGCATTAGTAGGCGAACAGAGTGCTAGGCGTGCCCCTGTCTGACTGGCAATTGATCGATGACGCGCTGCCGGGTGTGATGGATCAAGTGGCACCCAGGCTGCGCCGCTTTTGTTGATGGCTAAAGTTGCGATAATGAACAGTGAAGACTTGTCAAAGCATACAAGGACAAGATCGCCCACTTGCACGCCAAGATTGCCAACGAGATGATTAGCCAATCTATTAGCAGCATCATCCATTTCAGAATATGTGAATTGACCATCCCAAGCATTAATGGCAATGGAGTTGGGGTGCCTTCGTGCGCGCTGTTCAATAAGGTGGTGGATGCATTCGTTGACTGCAACGGGCTCGTCACAATTAGCAGAACGAGCAAAGTTTACGTCCCAGTCATTTGTCAGAGAGACATGGCCGAGGAGACTGTCGTATTGTTCAAGAAGCTGTGACACAACTTGTTCAAATTGAGAGCATAAACCTTGAAGTTGACGCTCCACAAGTATATCTGCTTTGTACACGAGCATAAGGTCAACGTGGTGTTCGAGCAAACTACACTCCATCACTAGCGGATAGGTGAAGTAATTGCCCAGTGCCTTTTCTGCGCCAAGGCTATTATTGTCAATCGGTACAAGGATGTCATTTTCTGAATTCTGCTGTTTTGGTTGTACAACAAACAGGCTATTGAAATCACAGGAGTCTTTGGCGCTTGCACTAAGCTTGGAGATCTTTTGCAAGCCAAACTGCTCATGGACAATCATTTCGGAGGCTTGAGTTTGGATATCTTGGAGGAATGCTGATACAAGTTTTGTTTGGTCCAGGCGAATTCTAACAGGCAGTGTACATATTGCTGGGCCAGCCATATCTAACAAGCCTTGAACGGGTGCTTGCCGACCTGAAGTAGTCACTCCGAAGCACACGTCGTCAGTATCGCTGTATCGGCCAAGGATAATCGCCCACGCTGCTCTAAGAACTGAGGGTTTTGTGATGGACGATTTGTCAAAAGATGGAAACGCAATTCGGGTATTCAGAACTCGCGTTGCGCTGGTGTCTGACGCCGCGGCTTGGAAAAGAGGGCCAGCAGGTGGAAATGTAGGCCGCTGAGCACCCTCCAATTCAGAAATCCAATAGTCTGCTGCAGCCTGTTGGTCGAGTTGCCTGATGTAGTTGATAAAATTGGCGTAAGGCTGCAGCGTTGGCGCAGGCCTATTGTTATAGATTCGCTGAAGCGTTTCAAGGTTGATCTGTACTGTCCACCCGTCGATGACGGCGTGATGTGCTGTCCAGACGAAATACTTTGGCCCGTTTGAGTCGCCGACAATGGTGTAACGCGACAAACGCGATCCATATTCCATTACAAGCTCTTCATCCAAATAGGCTGCCAAAGACAGATCGCTTGTCTCATCCCAGCTGATATCATTGTCGATGACGACTTGCAGGGATGCTCCCTCGTTCATTACAATTCTCGTTCTCAAATTGCTACACAATTGGACAGTCTGCTCCCAAGAAGCCTTAAAGTGGCCAACATCAATAGTCTCTGCTAGCCTGTATACATGCTTGGCGATGTAGGATCCTGGCTGTTTTACGGCGAGTGCCATGAGCCCCTCCTGTAGCGGTGTACAAGGCAACACATTTTCCAGTTTTTGGTTATTTGGAAGTGAGCATTTCTGCCGAATTTTGTCGCATACAGATTGTAAACTAGTCTCCTCAATCATCTCAAATGGCGCAACCTCAAAGCTTGTTGCTTGTCCAGACGTTATTGAGGCAGCCATAGAAGCAAGTCGAGGATCCTTGAAGATATTCACAATTGGCAGAATTAAGCCCTCTTTTGCAGCAAGGTTTGATAGGAAGATTGCAGAAATTGAGTCGCCGCCAACTTCCAAAAAGCTATCAAATTTAGATATACTCTCTGGATCGACTTTCACTATGCGAGCCCACAGGTTCCGTAGCCTAAACTCCAATTCAGTTGTTGGCAAGGTCTTGTCCCTCTTATTTATCGAGAATTTCGATAGCGTTTCCTGGGACATGTCGGCGACTAGTTCACGCAGCATCCGTCTATCAATCTTTTGAGAGGTATTATGAGGCATGTCCCACAGAGGGAATATTACACTCGGGATCATATAGCTTGGTAATGCTTGTCGCAAGTTCTGAACTAGGGCTTGGAATGACTCGGTGACCGTTTCATCTTTGATAAAATAGTCATCGAGAGTCAAGGCACCTGTTGCGGCAGGGCGCGGTTGGTTTTGGAATGTGACGAATGCGACAAGCATTTTGCCGGCTTCGCGCTCCACAACATCTGCCGCGGCATACTGCACACCTTCAAGGTCGCTCATGATGCGATGTTCGATCTCACCAAGCTCTATGCGTTGGCCACGTAGTTTAACTTGCGTATCTCGTCGTCCAATAAACTGGATGGTTCCATCAGAGTTGAACTTTGCAAGATCACCGGTCCTGTAAGCCCTGGTTGAGCCTGTAGGCAGCATCCATTCAAGGTACTTGACAAATGAAGCGTTGGTTTTTTCTTCATTGTTGATATAGCCACGCGCAATCGCATGGCCTTCAACAACTAATTCGCCAATGCATCCGATTGGGGCAAGGCGATTTATGTTATCCGGCTCAGCAATGAAGAGCCGGTGGGCATAAGGCCGACCCGCGGTCATTGGGGATTCATTTGGTGATTTCCAGCAATGAGCAGAGCACATGACACAGGTCTCTGCTGGGCCATAAAGATTGAAAAGCTCTACTCGTCCGTGCCATGTAGTCAGGATATCTTTTGTTGGGACCTCTCCGGCAGCACACAGTGTGATCAGTGTTGGTATAGTCCCAGGGTCAATTGTTTTGATGAATGATGGAGTCAAGGATGCCCAAGTGACTCGTGCCTGTGTCATAAACTGTGATGTACTGCTGAGTCTCTCAGTGTCGGTAGGCACACAAACGGTGGCTCCAGTGATAAGCGCCGCAAATATGTCTACTACGCAGCCATCAAATGCATAGCTAGAGAATTGAAAGACGCGTGAGGTTTTCGTAATATTCACTACTTTAGGCTGGCGAAATAGTGCCGTACATATGGCCGAGTGTGGCATGACTATGCCTTTGGGTTTTCCTGTAGAGCCCGAAGTATAGATCACGTAGGCCGAGTTGTGTGGCTTTGGTTGCTTATAGTTGCGGAGTGCTTGATGATTTGTAGGAGTCCCAGAGGGCAATGACAATAATGAAGCTGAAACTTGTATGATCCCTTCAGCCATTCCTTCACAGGATTTGGCCGTGGAGGGTGAACAAATCATAACGCTTGCGTTGACTTCTTTGACCAAGGCCGACCTCCGTGCCCCTGGATGAGAGGGGTCCAAAGGCATGAATGCACCGCCTGCTTTCAAAATACCAACCATGGCGACCACAGTCCATACAGATTTCTCCATGCAAAAAGGAACTATTGTTTCCGGTTGAATGCCAGACTGCAATAGCTGATAAGCCACACGATTAGAGAGACGCTCAAGTGAGGCGTAAGTCAACGAAAACTCCGTCGAGTACAATGCTTCGTCATCGGGGCATAACTCAGCTTGCCTTGAAACAGCATCATGTAAACAGTCTTGTTCAACCACGATATCATGGGCATTCCAATCCATGGCTTGTTGTAAGTCCCACGGCCCCGCTATAGATACGTTGCTGAGCACCTTCTCTTCACTAGATGATACAAGTTGCTGGACTACGTGGTCCAGTTGATTATGCAGTGCCTGAATCTGGAATTCGGATATAACACCCGTATCGTATACAAGTTCCAATTCAACTGTAACATTGTCCATATGGCATTGCACAACAAGCGGGTAGCTGGAATAATCTGACATTGATTGCCACGCCAAACGTTGTTCTACTCTAGTGGAGACAAGGATGGCCCCATCTTCTTCAGAGTTGCTTATCAGTTCCCTCGGCTGAATGACCAACAGGCTGGAAAAGTTACAGGCGTCTTTTGCATCCGGGCTAATTTGAGCTATCTTCTGGAGGCCAAACTGCTCGTGCGCCACCATATCGGTGGCCTGTTTTTGAATGTCGTGAAGAAACTCGGCCAAATTCTGGTCTGGATCTAGACGAACGCGAATGGGGAGCGTCGAAACAACTAGACCAACAACGTTTTCCACACTAGGAGCATTTCGGCCAGATACAGAGGCACCGAAACAGATGTCGTCTGTGTCGCAGTATCGTGCAAGAAGAATAGCCCAGGCAGCTCGAAGGTATGTTGCTTTGGTGATAGAACTGTTTGTTAATCGCGAAATGTTGATATTTCTTGATGAAATGCCCATATTCTTCTCAGACTTCAGGACAGAAATACCACCCATTGGTAGGGGAAACAATGCTCGTCTAGCACCTGATAATTGCGTCTTCCAATAACATTCGGAGCTTTTCGAGTCAAGATCAAGTGCATACTTCACAAACTTAGAGTATGAATCTAGTTTTGGTGCGTTATTGCCGTGATATATTGTGCTGAAGGCGCGCATCATGAGATCCAATGACCAGCCGTCGAATATCGAATGATGCATGATGGATATAAAATATCTATCGCCGCTGGTATCCTGAACGAGTGCGAAACGTGAGAGTCGCGTTCCATAGGTCATATGGATATCATTTGCACGCTTTAGGAAAGCACCAATGCTCAAACCGTCCGTATCCTCCCACAGCGAAGCCTCTTTGACAATGATTTGTATTGATTTGTCGCCCAATGTGAGAATTCTGGTGCGTAAGTTGCTGGAAATAGTAACCGTGCGCTCCCAAGAAGCCTTCAATTGGTTAATATCAACGTTTTGAGCAATCTTGAAAACCATTTTTGCAACGTAAGCACCTTCTTGCTTAGCAGTCATGGCCATCAACCCTTCTTGTAGTGCCGTAACGGGGAATGCGTCCTCGATCATATCCCAACTTGCTATATCACATTGACTGAGGAGTTCCTCTTTGACATTGGTATCCAACTGGCTAAGATTAAGCAAGCTGAAAGGTGAAATTTGGGAAACCAAGTCCGACTCTGAGTATGCGTCATCTGCCACAGAGGCTACTTTCCAAAGTCGTGGGTCGTCAAAGACATCCTTGACGGTGAGCGATATTCCTGTTTGGCGGGCTTCAGCCACAAAATGGATCACAGCAATGGAATCTCCCCCTAGTTCCAAGAAGCTATCGTCTCGCCCAATAGATTCAAGGGGCACATTTAACCTTTTAGCCCAAATTGCTTGCAATCTACTCTCCATTGCGCTTTCTGGTGCGTTTTTAACGGATTTGACCAATGAATAAGTCGAAAGGCTTTTGGTATCCAGAGATTCAACTAAGCGCTTCAACATTCGCCTGTTAAGTTTCGTGGAAGACACTGATGGCATATATCGGCATTCGATAAAGAATGACGGTATCATATATCGTGGAAGCGTCACAGACAGCTGTCCAACCGTGGAAGCGATTCGGCTTTTCAAGTCATTCGTTAACGGAAGAAAGATTTCGTTGACCTCCTCGTCAGTAATACGATCCGTTGTCATCATTCTTGTTTCGCTGCTGAAAGAAAAGAAGGCAATCAAGCTGGAGCCAGCCTCTGTGGCGATCTTGTCCACCATAATTTGGCTGGCTCCCTCAAAATTCATTTTGAGATGGTACTCTATTTCGCCCAATTCAACACGGAGACCTCGAATTTTTATCTGTGTATCTATTCGCGAGACGAACTCTATGGTTCCGTCCGGATTGTATTTGCCTAGATCGCCAGTTTTATAAAGTCGGTTCCAACCGTCGGAATGGCGCTTCGGGATCCAATCAGGTAGTGACTTCGTTATAGTTGCCTCGGTTTTCGCAGAATCCGAAAGATATTCCTTTAGAATTGTCGGGCCCTGGATGACAATCTCGCCTATAGCTCCAATTGGCGCTAGTCGGTTTGAATCATCAGTAATCCAGCAAAAGCCACCAACAGGCCTTCCAATCGTAGACGGCGATTCTTCGAGAGATTTCCACTCATGCAGTGTGCTAAACACGCAGGTTTCAGCTGGGCCCCATCCGTTGATAAGACGAACCTTTCCAAACCATGTGTTTAGAATATCACGGCCAACCATCTCTCCCGCGAGAAGCAACACTTGAACGCCAGGGATTGTATCCGGGTTTAATGTGCGCGAGAATGAAGGGGTTAAGTACATCCAAGTAATATCCATAGAGAAAATGTAATCGGCCAGCCCGTTCATTCTAGTCTCTTCAGACGGCACATAAATGCAAGCACCAGCAATCCAGGGGCCTAGGATTTCTCCAATCGACAAATCGAAAACGAACGATGCAAATTGGAGCATTCTAGCATCTCGCGTCATACCAACTCTCTTCACAGTAGCAGTCTGGCTCGTACAAGCCGCCTTATGTTGCATAACGAGGCTTTTTGGCGTACCCGTGCTTCCAGACGTAAACAAAACATAAGCTGCTGCATCCGGCGAAACCGGGTGTAGATTTTGGCTGTCTTGTTGCCTCGACTTCAGCGTCTCATCAAGGGTAGAAGAAACTTCAACGACGTTATCGACCAAGCCATGGCATATTCCAATGTTGTTAGAGGAGGTTAACACCAGCTTTGCCTTTGTTTGAGATACAATCTCTTGGTGGCGCTTGATCGGGTGTGAGGGGTCCAAGGGGGCCCATGCAGCTCCAACTTTATTGATTGCCAGAACGGAGACAAAAAACCAGACAGTCTTTTCGAAGCAAACATGGACAATGTCATTCTGTTTAACTGCCAAGTCAAGGAAAAGATAGCTTGCTAGCCTATCAGCAGCAGTATTAAGCTGGCTGTAAGAGAGTTTCATGTCCCATGCGCAGACAGCCATTGTATCCGGATGTTCTCGAGCATGTTCTTCAACAATCTGGTGAATGCACGCGGAAATAATGTCTGGTTCTTCGCTGTTATACTCTATGGCGCGCTGGATGTCCCACGAGCTAGTGCCTGTAACTTGTCTCAAAGAAACGTCTTCCAAGCTAAGAAGTTGTTGGGTGACATGTTCAAAGTGATTTGTCAATGCTTCTACTTGACCTTGAGTCATAGTGTCTTCATAGTATGTCACTTGGAGGTCGATGAAGCCGTCCCCCACCCAGGCTTGCAGAACTAATGGGTAGTTGAAGTAGTTCTTCATAGCTTCTTCAGATATTGCCATTTCTTTCGATCCTTGTTGGAGAATCGCATCTAGTGTAGAACAAGCAGTTGAAGAAAGATGATGAATGGGTTGAATAACCAGCAGATTTGCAAAATCACATGCCTCCTTCGCATATGGGCCCAGTTTGGCGATATTCTGAAGCCCAAATTGCTCATGGGCGACCATCTCTGCAGCATGCGATTGTATTTGCTGGAGGTACTCTGACACAAGCATCTCTCGGTCAATTTTGACGCGCACGGGGACTGACGCTATCATTGGCCCTGGAATATTGTCCAGTTCTGGAACCGGAGCCTGCCTGCCTGATAAGGTCATGCCGAAGCACACATCATCGGAAACACAGTACTGGGAGAGAACAAGGGCCCAAGCAGCGCGAATTATAGTTGCTGCCGTGATCGATGCCTTGGGATTGCGGAATTGCATAGATCTCCTAAACACACGGTCTTGAGATTTCACAGAAATCGGAGTATCGGGAAATTGAGATCGCTGTGCCCCTTCCATTTCTTTTTTCCAGTATAAGCTTGAAGCATTAGAGTCAAGTGACTTGATGTACCGAATAAAATTTGAGTAAGGCGACAAGACAAGTTCAGCGCCATTATAAACGTTGTGGAGAGCATTAAGAACTATTTTCATGCTGAGCCCGTCGAACACTGCGTGGTGAACAATCCAGATGAAATAAACTTCACCGTCATCCTGGTAGAGCAGTGTATATCGGCTAAGGCGGTCTCCGTAGCTCATAGGAATACTTCGTGTAGTATGTAAATAGGTATCAACATCCACGCCCGACACAGGATGCTCCCAGGCGTCGTCCGTTGCGATGACAGCTTGTAAGGCGTTCGAATTAAGCAGAATAATTCTGGATCGTAGACTGCCACAATGTTTTATGACTGTGTTCCACGAATCCACAAACCGCTCAATGTCGACTCGCGGTTCCAGCTTGTAAACCTGGCGATGTATATAACTCCCAGGCTGTTTAAGGCCCAAGGCTAAGAATCCCTCTTGAAGCGGTGTACATGGATAGATATCCTCGATACTGTCAATTTGCAATCCGCACTTGTGTTGAATATCAATTTTGAGATTTTCCATGCCATCTCTTTCAATCAAGCTAAATGGCACGACTTCTCCAATCATCTCAACCTCATCAATGCGCGCCACTGCAGCCATCTGCCAAAGCTCAGGGTTTTGCACAATGTCTACTGGAGACAAACGCACTCCATGTCGATAGGCAGCTGTTACAAGCTCAATTGTTGTCAAAGAGTCACCACCAAGAGAGAAAAAGTTATGCTGCCTTCCGATATCTGCCATGGGAACTTGAAGAACGTTGCGAAGGATGTCGGCCCAGAGAGCCCGCAGAACCAGCTCTGACTCTGTTCCTGGTGCTTCGATAGCTGAGTTCGCTGAAGGGACTATAGATGCTGCTTCTGAGATCAATCGGCTGCGCTTATCCTTTGGCGAAAGAAACACAGTTTCGGCAACTGAGAAACTTTCCTTGCCATAGTCGGCGTAGTTCAACGGATGCTCAGGCAACCCCGACACTTCCTTTCCCATGAATAAAGGGTCAAGCTTCAACGCCACAGATGCCTGCCATAGCCTCCCAATCGCAGATAGAAAACTGACATGGCAATTGTTTCCTCGAGACTGGGAAGTAACATATTTGCAAGGCATATTGAGTTTGTTGCAAATTTGAGAGAGCGGACTGGACAGAGCAGAGTGGGGTCCAATTTCGAGGAACAGGCTATTAGGAACAGTATTGAGAACAGACTCAATAGCAGAGGAGAAGCGAACAGGCGAGGTCAGGTTGGTCGCCCAATAACTGGGAGCAACTGCGTCGCTAATAATGCCGCTGTTAACACTTGACACAAAAACAGCCTGTCGACTTGTTTTCTCCGTCGGGGTCATTTGTTCAGCCTCTAGCAGTGCCAAATATCTCCCAGATACTAGTTCCATATGCTGTGAGTGGAATGCCGTATTAACATGTAGCTTCCGCGTAACAACCTGTGGTCTAGACTCATGGATAGAAGCAATCACTTCCTCCACAGCGCCGCGGTCGCCAGAAATCGTCGTGCTGATGGGACTGTTTTCGCAGGCCACGACAGCGCCAGGGCGCAAGAATTGAGTCGTCTCTTCTGCGCTGAGGCCAGTAACTGCCATAGCCCCGTCGGATTTGCACATTACGGCAACATATCCATAGTAGTAGGCGACAGTAACAGCCTCCTTGAGAGTCAGAAGACCGCCGGCGTAGGCTGCAGCGATTTCGCCGCTGGAATGTCCAACAACGGTCTCTGGCTTCAATCCTACTCGCTCAAACTGATGAAGAAGCCCAATCTGCAGAGCGGTAGAGAGCATACAAGCAATGTCCACAGAATTGATCCGGCAAGGAGGATCATCAGCCAATTTTTGCATCTCTTCTTCAATAGTCCAAGTAGGTGGGTTCTTCAAGGCTCGCAAGACCATATCCATACCCTTTATGTCGTTTCTAAATTCTTCCAATTGGAGAAGTTCTTTCCCCATGCCGGCCCATTGAGCCCCTTGGCCGCTGAATACCATCACAATAGATGAAGGTAGGGCAGATGACTTTGCATGGTGTGTGGTACTAAGCATCTTGCCACCGGCCCCCAAGATCGTGAACGCACGATAGTTTGAAGGTTCCTGTCGAATCGCTTGGGCGTAGGCAATATCGGAAATGAGCTCTGGGTGCGCCATTGCGTATTCACTATACAGCCTTATCTGCTCATTCAATGACGCGAGATTGTTTGCAGAAAACAACATTAGTTCTGGCGCTATACTGCCATTTCGATTTCCATTTTCATCCTCTTGTTCCTTGGGTCCGTCAGCAGAGCCACCGAGGCCGCTTTGAGTTGCTATATTTGCAACCGGAATAGACATAGCAAAGTCCGTATCCTGCGAAGTAGAACAGTAAGTAAAGAGTGATGAGAATAAATTTGGATTTTCAATGTATGCCTTCGCAATGCATTGAATTGTAAGGTGAAGGAAAGCTGAACAATACAAGATCCAAGAGTTGCTCGGTAGCCGGTAACCCGGCTTACAGCTACGACTAATACCAACGATGGATATTACTGTTCGGAGTGAGACACAGTAGTAGCCAAGGCTGCACAACGGCTTGCCGGAAATTGCATCCATGTTTCACCAAGCTCTTTACCGCTATTGCGTATGCAAACGCACAGACAGAAACCCTTGTCCTCAAAAGAATATCCATGTTCTCTTGGTAGATAGTAGCTGGATCTTTGAGACATACAGTCTTGTAGCTAATGTAGGGGTAACAGCGCTATAACAAGTCTTTAGATCAAATACCCACATTATAGCTCCCGCGGTTCGGCAGATGAGTTTACACCAAGCACAAGATTTCTCTATGCACAATACAGAGTAGGTAGATAAAAGAAACATGCTGTAATATAATATTCAAGATACTACTACTATGTTATAGTAAACATATATTCTTTTCATACGGTTGTAGGCCTACAGTAAATATGAACCGAGTAATAACTGGTATTAATGCCTTCGACGACCCTTATTCTAGACAGGAGAGGAACGAATATATGAATTTGATGGATTTCGAGCTCTTCCACGCAAATTATGCCTAATTCCTTTACCCATCAAACCCTAGGGTAAATATAGTCATTGACATGGCTCATACCAGAACATTTTGTAGTAGAGATTGGGGTGATCTGAAAGTAAAACGGCACAATACACTGCAATGCTTGTTGAAGAGTGAAGAAGTGAAGATAGTGTCTCCAATCAATGTCAAAATGCCAGCTGCTGCCAGACGGCATCAACCTTTACACCACAACATGCAGCTGCGCGCACGAGCGCCAGTTTTCCTCATTCCATTTACAGCCCTTATTAAGAATCTGCACGCGCAAGTAAAAGAATAGTGAGAGGGAGAAACAAAAACTGTGCGTGCGTCTCTTTCATCCCTCTTCAACCTGCCCACGCCCACCCTCCTCACGCATCCCTGCAGCAGCGATCACGATACAAGGACTCAATATCTCGCCCGAGATGCCGCCGGCCATCAAAAGAAGTGACTCAACACTGAGCAGATCGCCGAAACGCCACAGGCCTGAAACTTCGACGCCTCTCAAGCAAGAAGATGTTGACTCGCCACCCCATAACGAGAATGCACAAGAGGAAGAAGCCGACAAAGTCCAGATTCTGCATACCATCAGAAGAGAAGACGCACAGCAGCTGTTGCGATGCATAATCGAGCCACTTCGAGAAGGCAACATGCCTATGGCTTCACTCGCCAGTCTAATTACGCTCCCTTTTCTCATGGTGCTCCCGCGCGAGGACAAGGCGCGAATCGTGCTCTGGGCAAAGTTCAAGCGACTTAAGGAAGTTACACAATGGGAAATGGGTATCTCCGAAGACGTTCAAGAACATCATTGGTACGAAGCCCTATCCGACAATCCGACGGACGGCGAGTGGAAGAGAATCGAAAAATGGCTTTTGGAGAACCCGACATGTGCGATTATGACAGATTTACGTCAGTTCAAAGAAGCGATGCAATACCAGGCGGATAGAGTGTTTATGAAGGATTTTCTGCTTGAAACTTTGATGCAGAAACTCGAAACGATGTCAGCCGCTCAGGACACAGCCAATATTCAACTGCGCAAGGACATAGAGATGCTGAGGGGAGCGGTCAACAAAACCTGTGGGGACACGAAGTAAATGCTCTCCGACGAGGAACTGTGCGATATGGGATAATGGCAAGGCCCGGCGTATGAATGCAAATCTGCGATGGATGGATTGCGAAGAGGGAATCTTCATTGGGGACGCACAGTATCCGTATTGCTACTCACGCCACTTAATGGCTGGCTGCATTGCCATTTAGCTAAAAGAATCAAGTCTCATTTCCCTACCGTAATTCCTTCACCATTACAGAGTTACCCGTGAGTATGAATCTCCAGAGTAAACTTGGCTTGCAAATCCTCCTCTTGTACGCGATGTAGGCGTCATTTAGCGGCACCCCCTTGATATCGCTTACGATTTATATCTGGTATAATAAACGAGTGCCCTTCGCAATAGCCTTACAATTATTTGATCATGCTAGATCTCGGCTGATCAGTCAAAGACCTAGCACAATTGCGGCCGACCATTTTATGCGGTTGCGTACGACGCGAGAATCAGTCTCTCGGAGCATACAAACGGCCAAAGGTATCAAACACGGATCCTCACGTCCGCAAAGCGTCTGTATAGAGTGGATCGAAAAGCTTGGCGTAATTTTCAGATAACACATTCATGCAGGGCGGCGATGTACCTCTCCCTGCATACGGCGATTCTTGGGCGTCACACTTCACTTCTCCTATCCGCCGCGCGTAGTAGTAATATAATGATAAATATAATGACTCCATGTCTTATTTTTTGTCTTAGATTGGCCAAGATAGCAATACGATCTTGGAAAGAGAATGGCAACTATCGTGGACGGATAATGATATCTCGTGGTGCACATGTCTATTATCTATAGGGTATTGCATGCGATTCACTCTGCTTTCTCTATTACATGCAGTTTATTTAAGATGAAAATGGTTTCTTGTGGGATAGGTGAGTCTGGCTGTGCCCAGGTGGTATGTCTTCGTGCGATTCAACCATGTTCCGCTCATAAGCTCTGATGTAGGGGCAAAAGCTGGCGATCATTGAACGAAAAGTTCCTCGTTTTCGTATTTTCGTTGCAAGGATCCTAGACAGCTAGCCGTCATTTCAGCTGCCAACTGAACGCCTTGTATTCAGAAGTGAATCACCCGTGCCGTGTTTCCAAAATTGCGTCAAGCTCCAGCATTCTAAGCCAATAACACTAAGTGATGTTGGCTTAAAAGCGGTTCAACACCTAGTACTACACCAAGTACTTGTCTATTCGGAAATCCCTCATGCCGTGTCCCCAAGTCACCGCACGTTACATTGTTTTCGGCCAATAGCGTCAAGTGGCTGTCGCGCCTTCAAGGCACCTCTACCCTTGCATGATACAGACGTATATTATGTCGCACCTTGGTGCCAGTATTGCGAAGAAATATGTCATGTGCAGAGCCAATAAAACATCACTGTATTGGCTTAGTACATGTAAGTAAGTGCAGCAGACAAAGTAGTCGCCACTGATCTGCGGAAGTCACTTACATTTTTGACTGGATAAAGACACGGCACGTTCAGTCATCCTCAGGCCTGGGGCTGCCCTTCGCCGGATTGCCTCATCTTGTTAGTTTCTCCATATTAACATTAGAGGAGAGATCTCTGTCAAGACTGCCTTATGTCAGATAAAGCTCCACCGCCACCAGTATGATCGCTTTGAGTCGGCCTTCAAACTGCCCAAATTACCTCTGTCCTTCCACGTCGAACTTGTGCTACGGTTGCCTCGCGTAAAATTTAGGTGGCAAGAGGAAGCTTATGAGACTGGGGTAGCACAAGTCCAACGCCTGTCCCTTGATAAGACCCATGTGATTTATATTAGTATAATCTATATTATTAAATAACATACGGCGAGCAATGCTCCTGTAAATCCAGATGTTAAACCATTCTCTCTAGGTTTAATTGCCACGGCCCGCGATGACGATGTTGACAGAGCTTCTTTGGTTGGCGTTGGCGTAGGTGCCCCGTATGTAGTAATTGTAGCCGGGAAGTTTCCATCTGCGTCTGGAATTCGGGGCCCATTTCCGATCTCCAAAACTTTATTAAACCCTGGGCTAGGATTAAGTGGTGCCACAGCGGCAAACATGTTCTCATAATCCACAACCAAATACATATACCGCAGGAAAATAGCCCCGATTTGTATCTGGCTGCCTGGTCCAACATCCTTCTCTGGCTCATAGCTGTAGATTGCGAGCTCGCACGTATTGTTTCCAAGAGATTGGACCAGAGCGCTCCAAGGGGCTGAAATGGTTGCGTTGCCAAACAGCAAGGAGATGGTGTGGTTCTCCGAATGCTGTCTAGCGCAGTCGACGTAGGGAATAGCAGTACCAAAGTCTGGTACAAAAGTCGGCGTGATGCCAAGATCGGCATAAATCTTCTGTACTGTACTATTGGGAAGAAAAGTGTGGCTGTCGACCGTGGACAATACTGCCGGCGAGTCGAGATCGTGCCTTGTACTGTTGCCGCTGCTCTCCACGACAACTGATGCGATTGGCAAGCTTACAGTACCATTTGCTCCTGGAATCTGGCCTGGGAAAGGAAAAGCTTGGAGCGTCCCCGTGTACAGTCCTTGGTTAACCCCACCGAAGAGCAGATATCCCTTATCTTGCGATGTATCGCTCCAGAGGCTGAATGACGGAGAATTGATTAAGCCTTGATCCACCAATTGAAATGGAAAGCTCAGTTGTTGCCCAACACCCAGAGTACTGTCTAAATAAGTGATGAATCAGTTATTTGACCTTCATTGCTAACCTCGGAACACTTACAGGTATCTGTATCGATAGTAAAAAGAGACATTGAAACGTTTTCTACTCTCTGGCCGCCAACTAACATGGAATCCGAGCCGGTGGGGCCGTAAGGGTCCGATATATTCTTGAATGTAGACGACTTGTCGGGATCAAAGTAACCCATAAGTGTGCAGTAATCATCATCAGAACAGTTATAGCCCTTAAATACTGGATGGTATTTCGGAATGTCTGGCACAAGTAGAGAATTGGAAGAGCGTTGAAGGTCTACCGCAACGCTAACGACTTGTGCTGGCGTTCCGACAGAAATATTGATCAGGGGCGTGGTTGCCTCTGTGATAAATTCTGATGATACGGGGCGGTATTCTACTGGAATCGAAACGACGGCTGGTTTCTCTCGTTCAGTCAGGTGTATTGATAGGGCGGCAACCTGTCGGAAAGCTGGCGCCGACGCGGTCAGAGCCATGAGGAGTAGGAATCGCATATCGAACAAGAACGGGGCAATAGCCCTCTAACTTGACCTAGAGCAATTATGCCCCGAGTAAGTTGGCGAAACGGGATGAGTATCCTGAGAGCCGGGCGTGTTGTGTCTCAGAATGCTCTTTGTTTTCATGGAGTCTAGAGATGTTGATGCGATAAATAGCGGTCGCGTTTTTTTTTCATGAGCTGAATTTCGGACGACGAGACCAGGGTCACTTTTCCTGCTGTTGGTCGGCGCCCTTTTATTAGCCTGTTTCCTGCGCTTCGGAGATTGCTCAAAACGGCTGAACGTGGACCTAAGAGCCAACAACGTTACATTATTTCCTGCTATCTTGTCAGTTGAGCTCCTTTGGTGAGATAGATGCTCTGTTCATATCCACCTTATATACTAGACAAATACTCGGCACAATTTGCCGTGTAGCAGGCCTGGTCGATCAGGCCTGGACTGCTCAGAACAACACAGGCTCCATCTAGAGCTCCATAGCGATAGGAATTGGGGGTCGTATGCCGCTAGATTCAATGGCTATGACATGGAACATTTTTCTACTCATTGCATCACTGCATGGCAGGCAACGCATGTTGGTTTAGCCGTATATAAAAACACCGATACTGCAAATAACAGATGTCTTAGGTAATAGAGGTATTATCAACTTGCCTGTCATGTGGAATTTGCCGTATGCTGTCCATTTCACAAAAGATAGTCTGAGACTAATAACTCCACTCGTTTTGTTCCGCGTTTGAGGCCTGCCAGTGGCGCAATCGAAGAGGCAACCGAGATGAGTGCTGTAGTAGCGTAGCAGGAGGCGGTGACATTTAATGGAGCAATTCTTTATTCTTTTTTTCTTGCAGATGAATCTTGTACCCCATATTGAAGCTGCCATTTCGCAGCCTTAACTGGACCGTCTCAACGGCCGGAGGATTAAGAGGTTTTAAAAGCAACATTGACGGAGTCTTTAGAAAAACATCTGACCAGCAACATATTCCGAGCATATCGGTGATGCAGTGATATGTTGTCTTCTATCGAGGAATAGAAGATAGAGGGAAAAACACAAAAGGAGATGATTTGCTTTCCCGTTTTCAGTTAGCCTGATTTATGTTGTCGGGGAATAGTAATGTCCCATAGGCCATAGGATGCTACCCTAAATTTATAGCAGCTACAGAAGCATGTGTGTACATTTGAGCACTCATATACGCATTCAATTCGTAGGCTTATTTAGAGCCGAGTTTATATGAGCCTATCATGCCTTGTCAAGAAATTGAAAAAAAATAATAATAATAGTAGTTCAAAAGACTCGTGATAGTTCAATATCGGAGCATTTGAATGCAGCTGATGACAAGCTTTCTTGGCGCACCCGTTCTATTCTACGTTCATAGGCAGTAGTATGTCAAAAGAAATCCGAGCTGATGGCTACTTCTTTCTGTAGAAGTTTGGTTATATCTCTCTCTCTTTTCCTCTTTTTCCCCCCAGTTTGTGCGCAATGCGTAGATACCTATTTAATCTAGGTACTTCAAATACTTGCACGCGCCTGCTCTCTGGCATGTACTCATGATTTCAATGCAAACGATGCTTTGTAGACTTCTAACATGTAGCTTTTCTGGTAGATCATTCCTCTTCTGTTTAAAATTTACAGAATATTGAAGTAATGTACCTAAATTAGCAAGTTAATACATACAAGTTTACAATATCCTGAAATCGACTTAGTAAGTCATTATCTAATGAGATTCGCAAGATAGCTCCTCTTGTTCGCACGGCTTTAGCCCAGCCAAAATGTCCTAAAGTGGCAGTTTCCCATCATGAAGAAACTTCTAGAGAAGCGGATCCGCTTGTTTCCAAGAAGAAAGTGGATGTTTCCTAGTTGGTCGATTTCCGCTCCGCTCACTACGGAGAGAAAAACTCCGTCGTGAAAATTGCCATTGGCGGGAACAGCCGAGGCTCGGTTTATCACTTAGATTAATTGATATAAGTTGTATGGCGGCGAAGGAAAAGAAAAGATATCAAATTCTTTTTTCCTTTCCTTAAATTTGAGCTCGTAAGCAAACCGAATACAGCATGCCTACAACTATGCAAGCGTGGCAAATTGCCACTCCCGGGCTTCTAGAAGACGTGTTAAAACTTGTCGATAATGCAGAGAAGCCTTCTAAGCCCCTTCAACGAGGACAGATTCTTGTTGAAGTCGTCAGTGCTGGACTCAATCCTGCAGACTATAAAATGGTGGAATTGGGATTCGCATCCAAGGCAATTACATCATTTCCCAAGACAACAGGGATGGACCTAAGCGGCAAAGTCGTCGCTGTCGGAAATGATGTAACAGATGCCAAAGTCAACGACGCTGTATTGGTTCGCCTGGATCCTACAAAAACACCAGGCGCACTGTCTCAATTTGTTGTCGCAGACTTCAATGGTTATGCTGTCTTGCCAGCTGACTTCGATCTCGACCTCGCAGCCGGCGCGCCGACAACTGCTTTGACAGCATACCAATCCATTAAGCCTTATATCCAAACCGGCGCCAAAGTCTTTATTAACGGTGGATCAGGCGGTGCCGGTACCTACGGCATTCAAATCGCAAAAGCTCTTGGTTGTCATGTCACTACATCCTGCTCTACTGCGAAACGAGAGCTCTGTGAGCGATTAGGAGCTGATGAGATCATCGATTACAAGGCCGGTGACGTTGTTACACAGTTAAAGCAGAAGGAGATCATCTTTGATCTAATTGTCGACAACGTCGGCTCATCCCTTCCAGATCTCTACCAACAATCTCATCACTACCTCAAGCCGGAGGGAGCTTTTGTTCTGGTGGGAGGGTCTGCATCTCTGAGCAGTATCAAGAATGTCATGAAGGCAAAATTTACGCCTTCATTTTTGGGTGGAGGCAAAAGCAAGTTTATTACTTACATAACGAAGAATGATCACGATGACTTAGCCCAAATAGCAAAGTGGCTAGGCGAGGGAGTGATCAAGACGATCATTGACTCAACTTTTGAGTTCGAAGACACCTTAAAAGCATACAAACATCTTAAAAAGGGCTCAAGCGGTGGAAAAGTCATTGTTCACGTCGCAAACAAGGCATAGCTTCTTGCTCCTCGAGACACAATTATTGCTTGACATGGTTGAACTTTTCCGCCTTTGGAGCAGCCGTCGTTGTCTAAAAGCTACACCGAAAGGCGATTTACTACCATCTGAAGCGCGACTTCCACGAGTAAAACGCCCAATGTCATTTGGCATGATACCCTCAACGTCACTATGGCTAGACATATCGACATAGTCTTTGAGAGACAGGCTGAAATGGGTTACATCGTTAAATATATAATAAACATGTATATATATTTTTGCTTTTTTTCTTAGACACAACTGTTGGGTACATGTACCTTTTCTCTTTCTTTCAGGCTATCTATAATCACTAAATAGGTAGTTCGGACTTTTTTTATTCTCTACCGTTACACAACTTATATGTGGAAAGCAGTGCTCTTAATCTCAGCGTCCACCGACTCCCCGAAAGTACCTTCATAGCCATTTTCCTCAAGATAGGCACGAAATCGAGCATCTTCACTCTCAAGATCCTTCTCCTTATCAGGAATTAGGAACCAGGTGATAAGGCAACCAACCATGGCAAAGGCAGCTCCGATGAGAAAGACGCCTTGAACACCCTTTTGGGAATCGGAGAAAGAGTTTTGGATAGGAGTGAAAACTTGCGTGCCTATGGCAGCTCCAGCTTTACCAACAGCGGCAGCAAAGCCTAAGAAATGGCCTCGTACAGGGGTGGGGAATGATTCCGCGCCGCAAAGAAAGGTGCCGACCTGGGAATAATTAGCTTTTAGATCCCCTTCAAATTAGAAGGGGTTTATACGTACACCTGGACCCATTTCTCCCAAAGTGTTGAAAATACCATACAAGACGACAAAGAGTGGGAATACGCTCGTGATGGGATTGAGAGCGCCTCCGATGATGAATGCGAGGATGGACCACAAGAAGAATCCCAATGCCATGGTCTGCTTGCGACCGATACGATCCATAAGAAGGCCTCCTATCAATGTCCCAGGTAGATAAAAGCAGTTGAGAACAGTGCCGTAACCAATGTTTTGGACAAGAGTGTTGTTGGGGTTCAACGTCCCAATGATGGTTGAGCCAAAGATGCCAAAAGGATAAGTCTGTCCAGCGGAAATTATTGAGTTGGCGCGTTCAATTTAACAGTAGGGAAGTAGACGTTTACTTACAACAAAGTCGTACATGAACCACGCCAGCGAAGTTCCAAGCATGGGCTTCCAATAGCGCTTAATCACCAACCAATACGGAATGTTTGTCTTCATCGCATGCTTTCGGTACTGAGTTGAATTGATCAAGCGCAGACGGAAGAACAAGAGCCCAACCGGAAGGATGAAGCCAAGGCCGAAAGAAACGCGCCAAACACCATCGTTAATATGCTGATGATAGGCAGCCAAGACAATGAGTACAATGACGCCGGCCATGACAAAACCGAGATCGATGGCGAAATCTGTGGCTACAGCAACAAGCATGCCGCGGCGGCGTCTTACAAAGGCAGTTTCATCTGAGGCTTCAGCACTGCCTGTACCACAAGTAGGATACTCCCCTATTTTCCCCCAACCTTTATTAGTCGCCGATCAACGTTTGTGAATGCGAGTCTGAGACGTGTCACTCACCTCCAGCCCCGAATCCCGCGACTCCCCTTCCTACGATCATCATCCAAAACAGGCCAGTGGGAGTTTTGCCGTGCGCCGCCGTGGCCAACACAATTCCCAAGATCAAGAACAGAGTTGCAAAGACGATGCCCGTCCGACGGCCCAGCCTGTCGATCCCCCAGCCGAAAAACAGCATCCCAAACACTTCGCCGATGAGAAAGGCATTCGAAAGTCTAGTCTTGATGGTGGAAGTGAATGCGTCCGGGTATAGCTGTGCGAATAGAGGGTTCATGTATCCAATGACTTGCGCATTGTAGCCGTCTGAGAATAGGGCTAAACCACCAACGAGGACCATGAAGATTGATGAGACACGGCTGATGCGTGAAACCGCACTTGGCTCAGCGACGGCATTTTTGCCGGTGTTATTACTTGGCTGTAGAGTTGGCGACACAGCTACTTCATCAACATGCGCACTCTTGGAATCCATCGTTGCGAAGCTTTTGTCAGTAAAGTTGGCGACGATCTTCGGACCGCAAGAGTGAAGCAAGATACCAGCGCCGTGTTCTCTGTAGTCTTATCTCAGATGCAGCTCGCCTGGATATAAGTGGCTTCCGTGTCCATGCAATCTAACTTAATATATAGTATACGGCGAACAGAGAAAGCCTTGATTCGACAAATCAAGCACAATGCACGTGAACAAATGCAGGAACAGATAGCTGGTGAAGTCTGGAAACGCGTATTCAAGACCGGATAAGCGCTGTCTCTTCGTGGCCCCGTATAAGACAAGTTGTGATATCCTTCAAAATCCACATTATTACGAGATAAACGGCCTGGGTGTCATCCCTGAGGGGATAATCGAGCATTCGAGCAGTCGCATTTTGACGATTTCCACGTGCGCATGAACGTGAGGGGTATTCCTAGGTACATCTCTGGCAATCTAACCGTTTATCCTGTTCATGATACACATTTGTTGCTGTTTTGTTGGTGTTGTAGCATCCCAAGAAGGCGCTTGCTGTGCCGATCGACCGGCAGCGAGAGCCACGTGCGCCGAGAATATCTCTTGATTCATCGGGAGGCGTTCCGGTGTGGTCCACATTCGGTAATGGCCACTTGGTGGGGCAGTCTGCAAAGCCATAAGTTCTTCATCGTGGGCGAAATGGGACTAAAGATTCCCGGTAGGAGCGGTTTCATTCCCGTAAGAGAAATGCTAGCTTGACGGGGAACTTCCGGATGCAAAATAGCAATGTTGAGTGTAAGAAAGGAAGACAAAGGCAAAGGGAAGAAGAGCTGAGCATTGAAAAAGGGCCGGCTAACTCTGTAAGTTATACGCACCCATGTCACATATCGTTAATTGACGTTGCATCGTATAACCATGTTGTCCTCAGAACAAGTTGCTTTTTTCAAGGCGAATGGATATCTCATTGTTCGAGATATCCTCAGCGATACCGAGACTGAAGAGTTGCAAAGATGGGCACAAGAGGTTCATGACTGGACTCCAAATACCGACTCTCAATTCATGCCATACGAGGTAAAGTCGTTGCATCAAATACATACAACTGGTATGTCATTGAAGAGAACTCATGCTCATAGATGATAGGAAATAAATTCTCGGGGCGAGACAGTCCTGTGCCGCACGGAAAACTACGCTGGGTTCCACGAGGGCTTCAACGGGCTGCTGCGAGGCAAAAAGCTTTTGGGACTATTGGAAGAACTTTCAGGGGAGCCCATGAATCTTTTTAAAGAGAAGATTAATTACAAACTCGCAGGAAGCGGTATGTCTTCTTTTCACTAGAAAGTGCGAGCACGTTTGCTAACATGAATAGGTGGATTTGCGCCGCATATCGATGCCGTTGCCTATAACCACATCAAAGATGTTAAGCATCTAACCATTTTGCTTGCCGTGGATAAATCTAATTTTAACAATGGCGGGCTGGAAGTTGTTGATGCCAGCCATACTATGGATATTCCTCTGAATGATGACGATCACTGCATCACCACTGAGTGGGTAGACGCTCATGAATGGAAGCCTGCTGAGCTAGAGCCCGGTAATTATTTATCCCTTTTATTTCAACTTTCAAAGCAGTTTGTTAATTTTTTCTAATCATATATGAATAGGCCAGCTGCTCATTTTCACATCATACTTGGCTCACCGTAGTGGGCCAAACCACAGCGATGAGAATCGCAAAGCACTCTATGCCACTTACAATCTCGCTAGTGAGGGAGACTTACACCAAGCATACTACGAGCGCCGAATGAAGGAATGGCCTGCAACTCACAAGCGTAAAAAGGGAGAACTGTATGAGGATGGAGCTTTGAGATACGCTTTCGGGTCACCAATGTTAAGCGTCGATGCTGGCCGCCAATTGGCTTTCTAGATATGAAACCAGTGTATAGTGAAAGTCGTTGACATATCCGCAATGGATGCGTAAAATTTCATGGAAAGTATTTTCTCTCAATATACGATAAGCTTAGATTTGCGTATGCGTGGCCTTCAGGCCACTATCCGATCCAGAGGCGTATTCATTGACTCTATGGAGATGTAGCATGTTAAGTGGATTAGATCTACATGTTAAATCTCAAGAATAGCGAGCCTAGTCAATGAGATTCGATCCATCCACGTGCCTACCGCATAATCCCGAGTGGACAATCTATCCACGTGTTCATGCATAGTGTGGAGCCTTTGAGCCCATATTTCAGCATCTCGTATTAGCAAAATAGCGCTTATCTATAGTCTCTCATATAGTATCTACAATCGCCGTATATCAAGTACGGTCTCATGCTTTGCATGACGGCACTTCAAGCTTGGCCTTGTATCGCCCTGCTGGCAGCCTTCTCTTACAATGACCATCCCTACAGTTCTCGAGCCAGCGACCATCACTTCTTACATAATATCCATTCTCGAAGCTTCAGATCATACTCCTTACATCGGGGAGCCTATCTCTCAGCTTCAACACTCCTTGCAATGCGCTGCTCTGGCCGCCCAGGCATCGCCGCCTGTAGACGAGGCCACGCAAGTAGCGGCACTACTTCATGATATTGGCCAATTCGCTCCAGCAGAAGATCTTATTGCTTCATCAAAACTTCCCATCCAGAATCTAGGAGATGCTTCAACCACACAAAGCGTCGGCCGCGTCGGCCACGAAACTCTAGGAGCTCGTTTCCTTCTCTCGTTGGGCTTCTCCGACAAAGTCGCTCGTCTTGTGGAATCCCATGTGGCAGCTAAACGGTATCTCTGCGCCGTAGATGAGTCTTACAACAATTTCCTCTCTGAAGCCAGCAAGAAAAGCCTTTTCTACCAAGGAGGTCCCATGTCCGCCGAAGAGGTGAAGGAGTTTGGCTCTGGGCCGTGGTGCAAAGAGATGTGCAAACTGAGGAAGTGGGATGACGAAGCGAAGGTTGAAGGTCTGACAGTGAGAAACCTAGATAGTTGGAGAACGGCCATCGAGGGGCAGATAGAGCAAAAATGATGGCGAAATGATGGAAGTATGGTATGAAGATTTGTATGAACCCTAGCTTGAGCATGTAGGGCGAGGCAGAGGGGGTATTATTTTCGTGGACTTTGCACATTGCCGAGATATTTCCAAGTTGGTGGAGGGCATAAGCCAATGAAGGTTAGCTGCTTCGACTCTTCTTCTTCTCATGCAGAATGAGTTTTGTGGTAGCTCTGGCGCGGTTGCACTAGCCCCCATCTCTGAGAACCAGCAAACCTGCGGATTCTCGTTAGGATACATCCGTACTGTCTTATCATGTGGCCTCAATAAATAGAGGGTACGCCGCCAGCATTCTCGCTAGGCCTTTGCCGTGCATGGTGCCAAGCAGAGAGAAAAAGTCATCGTCGTCGCTTGTTAGTTCAACAACTCAGCAAAATTATAGAAATAAAGCAGAACTTCCCATCACGGTGCACACAGTTGTAATAAGGAGTTGGGTCATCTTGATTAACATTGTTTACTCTAATGTACTAATATGGGTCTATGGACTGCCAAGTTGCTCCTAGCATGGAAGATGTTTCTTGGAAATTATAACCACCTAGCATCTCCAAAACATCAGTTTATGTAACATGACTTGGAATTGCAGAGGTAGCAGAGGTAGCGAGCACTTACTTTTAACCATTTGGTATAGCATCATTAAATGCTTTAATAATGGGATCGTACAAAGTATTCGGATCCCGTGGAGTGCCAGTGAAGAGGCCCCGGCTCCCTCTCGGAAACAATACATCTCTTATCGCCCTGCACAAAGGCTTGACGCAGTCGAAATTTTCTGGGAATTCTCTCAGAATGTCTTCCAGTCCATATCCATCCATATCTCCGCGCTTGTTTTGTGCGATGTTCCGGTAACTACTAGTATACCACCGCGACAACAGGCTGCTTTCCGGGCGCCGGCCTGACACTGTGGGTAACGCCCATGCTCGACGAGCGCAAAGCCACAATAGAACGTAAAACAATGATTCGAGATCGTGGCGATACGTATGTGAGGTTCCTATAAGGACTTCAATTGCCATAAATTCCATTGTGCCCGTCCGCTGGCGGGCCCCACTGCGACTATTGCCTTGTTCTTTTGCCAAGTCAAGGTCGATGAGCATGCCCCTGAAGCCATCGGCATTCTCCGGATTGGTGATGATAATAATATTTTTGGAAATATCCCGATGAAGAATGTTCCCATCCATGTATAGTGATTGATGTGCTTTAATGGCGTCACGAATGCTTTCGAGGAGCTCCTTAGGAGTCTTGAAATGACAAATTGATCGTCCTGCAGGCGAGATGGCCAATACGTGAAGGATGCAATTTGCATAAGATAACTCATTGTCAGGTACCTGATAAAGACTAGTGCCTTGCGGCTTCTCGACAGAATTAAGGTAGTTCGTTCCCGCTGTTACCGAGGTAGTTTAGAAAACTTGGACATATAAAAGAGAGATTTTCCATTATAATATACATGGTTGTAATAAAAAGAAGTCAGGCCATCTTAATTACTATTGTTTACTCCTATGTATTAACATCCATTTGTAAAATCTGTAAACTGCCCAGTTACTCCTCGGAACGTCGATGTTTATCATGTCCTCGACTTACCTAGCTATTCTAGTTACGCTGACGAACAATCATATAAAGACAATCACTGAGTATAGGGGGGGGGTAGCTTGATAGATTGTCAATATTTTACTAATTTCTTTTAAAAACACATTCCCGTGTTTTTCTTCATAATACATTCTGATCATACAGACATTCAAGCTTTGCCATCAAATATGAGCAGCGGCGCCGACATCATATTTACAAGCGGCTAGTTGGCCTCAAGAGAGATTCCCTCGGAAGATCAAAGCGATCCAGGTTCGCAACCTTTGTCCAAGCAGCCACAAAGTCTTTTACAAACTTCTGCTTGGAATCGGAGCTGCCGTACACTTCCGCAACAGCCCGCAGTTCAGGGTGAGAGCCGAGGACCAAGTCAACGCGGGTTGCAGTCCACTTCTTAGCACCGCTCTTACGGTCGCTGCCCTCAAAGAGATCACCGTTGGAGGGGTTGGGCTTCCAGACAGTTCCCATATCTAGGAGGTTGACGAAGAAGTCGTTGGTAAGCACACCAGGCTGGTTGGTGAAGACACCGTGAGTTGAGCCGTCGTAGTTTGTGTTTAGAACACGAAGACCGCCAATGAGGACTGTCAGTTCAGGCACCGAGAGAGTGAGGAGGTGGGCCTTGTCGACCAAGAGGTGCTCCAGCTTGACTCTCTGCGTGGACTTGCCGTAGTTTCGGAAACCATCAGCGACAGGCTCGAGGTGGCCAACCGACTCAACATCAGTCTGCTCCTGAGTAGCATCATTGCGGCCAGGAGTAAATGGAACGGTGATGTCGTGTCCAGCGTCCTTAGCGGCCTTCTCAATAGCCGCAGATCCCGCCAAGACAATCAGGTCGGCAAGGGATACCTTCTTGCCACCGCTCTGCGAGCTGTTGAACTTCTGCTGGACCTTCTCCAATGCCTGCAGAACCTCGGCCAGCTGGGCAGGGTTGTTGGCCTCCCAGTCCTTCTGTGGCGCCAGGCGAATGCGGGCACCGTTGGCACCACCTCGCTTGTCGCTGCCACGGAAAGTTGAAGCAGATGCCCAGGCAGTGGAGATCAGCTTGGAGGGTGTAACCCCGGATGCCAACACTTCCTTCTTGAGAGCGGCGACGTCACTGTCGTTGATCAGAGTGTAGTTGACGGCGGGGATAGGATCCTGCCAAGAGAACTGTTCCTTGGGGATCTCGGGGCCCACGTAGCGGGTGGATGGTCCCATGTCACGATGCGTCAGCTTGAACCAGGCCTTGGCAAACACTTCCGCGAACTGATCGGGGTTCTCCAAGAAGCGGCGAGAGATCTTCTCGTAAGCCGGGTCGACACGGAGCGACAAGTCTGTGGTCAGCATAGTGGGCAGCAGCTTCTTGTTAGGATCGAAAGCGTGCGGAATAAACGGCTCGGCGTTCTTTGCCACCCACTGCTTTGCTCCAGCAGGGCTCTTTGTCAGCTCCCATTCGTACTTGAAGAGATATTCGAAGAACTGGTTGCTCCACTTGGTCGGCGTCTTGGTCCAGGTCACCTCGAGGCCACTGGTGATGGTATCAGCGCCCTTTCCAGAGCCAAAAGTGCTGACCCAACCAAGACCCTGGTTCTCAAGAGGTGCGCCCGCAGGCTCAGGGCCTACGTGGCTTGAAGGGCCTGCGCCGTGGGTTTTGCCAAAGGTGTGGCCACCGGCAATCAAAGCCACCGTCTCTTCATCGTTCATCGCCATACGGGCAAAGGTGATGCGAATATCACGGGCCGCCGCAAGAGCATCAGCGTTGCCATCAGGGCCCTCTGGGTTGACGTAGATAAGTCCCATGTGTGCCTATTTTGCATTAGCAAATCTAGTCTTTGAAGAATGTCTGAAAGCAAAGATACGTACTGCTCCTAGGGGGGCCTCGAGCTCGCGAGAGTGGACATCAGTGTGCTTCCTCTCGTCGGAGTCGACAACTCCATGATCTTTGGAAGCTCCCGCGAAACCGTGGGCATATCGGACATCGTTGCCCAGCCATGTAGTTTCGCCACCCCAATAGGCGGCCTCGTCAGCCTCCCAAGTGTCTGAGCGGCCACCTGCGAAGCCTATGGTCTTGAAACCCATGGATTCAAGGGCCACGTTGCCGGACAGGACAATGAGATCAGCCCATGAGAGCTTGTTGCCATACTTTGCCTTGATGGGCCAAAGAAGACGTCGGGCCTTGTCCAAGCTCACGTTGTCGGGCCAGCTGTTGAGAGGCGCGAATCGTTGTTGGCCTTGTGCTCCTCCGCCGCGGCCGTCAAAGACTCTATAGGTACCAGTGGAATGCCAGGCCAGACGAACAAACAGACCTCCATAATGGCCAAAATCGGCGGGCCAAAAGTCTTGACTATCGGTCATCAGGGCCGTCAAGTCCTTCTTGACGGCATCATAGTCAAGGGTTTTGAAAGCGGCCGCATAGTCAAAGTCATCACCCAGGGGGTTGGTCACGTTTGTGTGCTGACGAAGAATGTTCAGTTTGAGTGATTCGGGCCACCAATCCTTATTTCGAGTGCCACCGCCAGCGGCGTTGATGTGGTTTACGGGACACTTTCCGGCGTCGCCCATTTTTGCGATTTGCGTATATCAATATACAGCAGACAGAATAACAAAGGGGAAAAAAGTAGGGTTCAAACTTGGCTGCTTCAAAAGCAGAAACAGAAATGGGGAAACACTAACAAAGAAGGAACAGAGGGAGCGGGAGAAGGAGTATAAAAAGAAGCAGCAGAACCCGAAAAGAGAAAAAGATGGACATCTGCTCGCCACCCAATAACGAGGAGGGCATTAGAGAGGGGTCACAGACAACCCCGCGTTTGATCAGACAGTTAGCACGTCCACGGGTCTCCGAGATGTCGCGATTGCGCTGCTCATGGTCCTCATCTGGATCTGCAGTGAAACGCCATGTGCGGCCGTTGTGTCATCGCTCACGCTGCTGACGAACCGAAGACTCGCAATTTCAAAGGCCCACGGCTTCTAAGCTTTAAGCCGGCAACCAAGTGGACAAGCGGGGTCATGGTGGAGGGGAAGCTTTGATGGATCATGGAGGGGAAATTTGGTCACGGATTGGTTCATAAGAGGCGATGTGCCCACGCTTATTCGTTTCGGATTGGATGGGCCGAATCTGGCACAGTATGCGGTGGCTTGACTCTGGTGAGCTTTCGGTACAGACTGTTCGAGTTGCGAGTCTGTTCGGAGGCTAATATGAACGGTACATGTAGCTACTGAGTATTCCCAGTTAGGTTGCTAGATGACGCACTTTGCTTGAGTCTGCTCCGCACTGTTAACTAGGAGGACAGACTAGAGGAATCTAGTGCCGGGCTACACTCGGCTATCGTAGTAGCAATTTTTGGAGTACCTTTCTGTCCGATGTTTGGAAGGGGGAATTTACTGAGAAAGGGAAGCCAGATTCTGTTATCAAAGTTGTTGAGCTTCTCGTTGGAGGACAAGCATGCAGCATATGCAATAGAAGGTTGAAGCTCATTCATATGAAGAGAAAGCATTGTGCTTGTATACATGCGACATATGGTCCTTGTATTTAGCTGTTAGATACTCCGTACTCGACTCTGCAGTTAAGTGCAATTGACAGGCCTGTTAGCCAATAATAACGGTGACCGCCCTTGCCGCTGAGATGATAGTTAGGTATAACGCCTATGAATTGAGCGTAGGGAAATGACCTTTAAGGGCTTATAGGTCTATTGATAGCACTAGTAACTTACTCCCGAACATTCCAAGGTCGTCCATCTCCCGTGGGGCCAGGAAATAGATGCGTGGAAGGATTTCGCAAATTGGCACATAGCGGGGTGATCATCCTACAGGAAGTATGCAGCCCTTCTTTCTCGATCGAAAGCCCAATTCAAACCAGATGTGCATGTTACAAATTATGGAATAAGCAATCAGAGTAGTAATGGCTCTTTCTCACATCTTCACAACTATTGCGATCAATCATCATCTAATTCTTTCCATTTTATCTCGCTAGGGAAGCGTGTCGCGAGATACGGCATTCTAGAGTAGGTGCACTTACACTAGACAACTAAGCCTAAAGAACCCCACATGTGCGCTATTGTCCTCATCGAGTAAAAGTCAAGTTAGTAGAGAAGATCAATCTCCGACTACTACTACTATTATCCAGGAAAAGTATTATTAGAATTGGAGTTAGTGTCTCCGGTTCTGACGCGAGCGAAGATCTTCGCAACTCAAGAACGCGCTACCAAAGAAAGTTCTAGGCTGTCCAGCATCAAGCTCCAGGTGTGGACGTAAACTCACAACAGCACCTGGGCCCTTTGGAGTAACCAACTGGAGCGCCTCCTTGTTTGCCCATTTTTTACTTGTTCATCTTCTACTTCAATACCAACAGCTCTACCTCAATAAACGATTCTCAGGTGACGAAGCCCACCTTTTCAATTGGACTATTGAACGCTAGTAACTGCAGACCCTCCGAATAGCCAGAATATACTATCCGAATGGCAAATATTAACCCTCCGAGTAACAAAAATATACCCTCCGAATAGCATAAATATACCGTCCAGCTAGCAACACTCTTGATTATTTGCCGCTGTCTAGAATAGAGAACTCTAGGGGGCTTGAGTTCTACTTGAGATCCTTTGCTTCCATAAGAGCTCATTTACCAAGTAAAAACATCAAAGCAGTTTTGTGTTTTTTCTCGACTGCCATGACGAAGTTGTCCGGCCGTATGTACTGCTTTCTGCTTTGTTTTCGAAAGCATCGTCATCCATGCAAGATTATGAGAAATGGGCATCTCAAACCGCACCCAACTGGTCCGAGAAGATGTATCTGCTGATGATATGATCATCTTCTCCACCGAAATCAGCCGACAAGCTAGCGCCAGGACAGAATAAGCTTAAATACCTAGATCAGGCAGACCGCTGCGAGAAAAGAATGTGCTTTGCGGATTGACAATGGTCAATAATATCTTAGCTCTGGGTTGCCTATGAGCAAATTTGCGCTAGGAAACACATCGACACTTGGTTGTTTCAATATAGTTTTTTTGGAGTTGAAACAAATAGTCCAAACCATGATCTAAATGCAGTTCCAAGTTGTAAATAACCTGTAGCGCGCTATCTATGTGTTTGGCGCAAAGTGCATTTGAAGCGGCTTCAGAGACCGGTTAGCGACTAAAATAATATACAAAGTCTGAATCAGTCACCAGATTATCTTGGTCTTAGATTGTAATGGAAATGTTGAGGTTGAGGCGAGTTCATTAGGTAAAGTGCCGACGGCTGCTCATTGAATTGGCTGCTCAGGATGTTCTCTGATCCAACGTTGAAAAGCACCAATCATGATCCTGGTATAATTGTTAAGGATCACAATTCGTAAACTTTTAGTATAATCGGAGTTGCAGTGCCGAATTCACGGAAGCACTTTTTATGGGAATCAGTCGGCCCTTTTGCCCTTGCCATCATAATACTCACCTCTAAGAAACGTCGTTTGAAGGATCACATCTCTGAAATGCCAAGTTTAGCCGCTTTCAACCGGCATGTTAAATAGGTAGGTATATGTGTCTTAATAATATCACGTATGCATCTAGAAGTCTTATGGCCAAGCACTATTGTAGGTAGATCCATCGTAAGCATGAGCTAATTCGGCTCTATAAATATACCACGCAAAACCGTCTTATAAGAAACACATATACGTTGGAACTAACACTACAATTGATACAGTACTTGTCATGGTAATTATAACTCAATAGTATGTGATTCATTGAGAACCCGCCCATTTCACACATCGTCTCTGTTCAATAAAGAAGAACACAGGTATTTGAGCACTGCTGTAGCAAGCTACAAAGACTTTTCAATTACGACATGTCATAATGTGCCGCACAGAGACGTTATAAGCATTTTTGCCGATATATTATTGTACTTATTAGTAGTCAGCCAACTCGGCATAATTAGCTACAACGGATGCGTAGGGCGGAATTTTTTTTCGCCAATGCTACTTTGTGTATCCATCTTGATCACAAATTCATTTCATCCACCATCCTTTTATAGTTAAACAAGCTGCATTCCGGCAGATAGATAACTATGGCTTGGTCCCATAAATTATGACTGGTGGAATTAATTCCCGGTTCAATGAAGATACCTATATAAAGACAATCGGGTCACGTCACTCAACAATCAGATTTCTTCAAAGTATTCAGCATCTTAGTCAACATCTCTTTCAATATGAAGGTATAGTCTGCATGCCCCCTTTTTACATGTCTTTTATTCTCTTTCATCCCGATTAATTAATAGAGCAGGTCATTATTCTTTCGGCACTTGCTGGGCTAGCTTCTGCAGCCACCACGACATTGGCTGGCGTCAGCTACGAACAATGGTTTGACTCTGGTTGCCCTGGCCGAGCTTTGATGTCAGGATCTCTGACCGATGGATTCTGTACCGTTTTTGAGAACTTCCCTGGTCAAAGCATTTTGTTGACTCAGACATCGCCATGTCCTGCCGGCACATCGCCACAGGTTACAATTTCCACTACCAATGACTGCGATAGTCAGCCTGATTGGACGTTCGACACTCTGGGAGAATGTATTGAAGTCTCTATCCAGCCACAAGCGGTTCATCTGAACTGCGTCTAATTGAGAAGGAGAACATACATGCTATAGCGGAACTTTATGAGCTATGAGGAAATACTGTGATCTTGTATATTTTATGCGCATAAACGATATATAAAGAACATTCAATCTCGCTAGATAGATCTCTACAGGATATCGAAACGAATTTGAGAATGTTGAAGCAATTACTAGTGGTGTAACTAAATATCTGATCGAAGCCAGCTCGGGAAGTTGAGAAATACCAAGCTCGTACATATTACTGTGAAGGTTTGTTCCTCCCTTTTTCTTTCCAATACTTTGTAGCAAAGCCGTTATCTGACGTAATACAACTCAACCTCTTTCCCATGAAAATCCTCAACATATCACAATAGTTTTCAAATTGACGAGAGCCAAAAAAGATCAATAGGTTGAACACATAAATTCTTTCGGCGTTGTCACTCGCAAGCTTAAAACTTGATATGTTTCATCAGGCCAACACATCCGGATTATAGAAATGAAATCTCTCCACAATGTATTAATGATGAGTGATGCCAGATACAAGGTCCCTATGTATATTGCATAATAGCAATGGGTATACTTGTGAAACCTGTTTAAGATGTGTGGGTATTGTGTCGCGATGAGTGCATGTGCTCCCCCTGACTCGCTATTCGGGAATAGAAATATGTTCCTTTCCGAAAATGCGAAAGCAAAATACAGCATGATGCATATGTAGGCTAAAAGACGTAATAGAATAGTAACACGAGGGCAACGATTGTCCTGATTCCATGTATTATGCTGGCGGTGTATCAAAGAAAAAAAAATTAACAAAATTATACTCATACAAGCCCGCATCCCTTACCCGTGACAACTCTATTGCCAGATATTTGCCCTATAGACGTTCATACCATTTGACAGCTACAGGTATCTCTCATTAAAAGAACAAAGTAGAAAAGCCTTTTGAAAATTCGAGCGTCTTTGCGTATATCAAGTTCACCTAGGCGAAGTGGATTGCTTAAACTCCGTCTGTACTCGGATTCCGCTTAATGGTATATCGTCCCTTGTAAGGTCAGCCGGAAGCTCATCGGTCCGAAGGCTTTTGATAGTATTTCTATACCCTTTTGTGTCTGGCCGGAACTGGGAATTCATTACGACCGGTTGCGTGTCGATTGTGAAGCTGCCATCAGACTCGGTCTCGTCGTTGAGGCGATAGAAATTGTTGCCGTTCGTTCTATGCGTTGAGTCTGCATTGACGCTCTTATTCGGATTGAGGCTGCTCAAGTTTGACTTGTTCACGTTGGAAGCGCCGTTGGTTCCTCGTTGAGAAGAGAAAAAGTTCCGCTTGATACCGATTGTCTTGAGAAACAGTCGAATCACCGGGAGTAACGTAGGAAGACATGCGGATATGATACCGGCAGATATTTCGATGACGGTCCAGCCGACCGTTGGCGCAAGAGTGTAGGTCGGGTCATTGTTCGTATACGTAAACAGGACTGAGGTTCTGTATGCAGAGGCAAAGACAACGCTATTGTAGAATTGTTAGCTCATGTAATGAGGTAAGGCCATGGTTACCAATAACGAAGACGCGAGATTTGAATAGCAAAGCTTCACGTACAAAAAGCCTAGTCCAAAGGCAAAAGTCAAGCCCATCTTCTCTGCTGTTCGAAGTTGAAGATTCCAGATTTGGGGAATTGGTAATATCAGAATGGCGAGATCGGTAAAGATGGTCGAAGACGCGTTTGCGATCCAAGTGCCTACTTGATTGATGCAGTGGCCGGGGAGATCAGGGTACCACAGCTTCTGGACTGGTACACAGATGAAGATGAAGAGGAAGGTGATGCAGATAACCCACGCCATGACAAAACCGCCAACTGCCCATGCCATCTTCTTAAAGTATGGCACGTGGAAGATGCGATAGTACATGAGCAAGAGGCTGATCTTGGTCCAGCCAAGGTTCCAGGCGTACAGGATCTCAGCAACCAACAACCATTTTGCCATCATGACAATCCTCGGAAGCTCAACTTTATCCGCATGGAGGCCCATACCGTTGTCGTACATGGCGAAGATGAATCCGACAACAACCAGATACCAGCCCTGTTGCATTGGTTATCGTTAGTTATAACTCTCCATCACAAAAGCCCGCGAAGTCATGTCCGTTCGACATTCCTCGGAAAGAGAGTAGTTGGATATCAACAAGTCCCCTCGCTTTGAAGACCTACCATTGAGAAGATTATCATGTAGTCATCCCATCCCAAAGGTTGCTTTCTGAGGTTTCGGCTGACTATACGCAGCACGACGCAAAGCAGAGCCAGAACGGTCATGGACGCTGTTACCTGCACAGTCCATGGCTGGAGATTTTCCTGATTGAAGCCTGGAAGACCCGGGAGCACAGACGGCGTGTCTGCCGCCGCTGCCCTTACGATTCCCTCAAATGGAGCCATGTTGCATTTCGACGCTGAAAAGCGGACGGATATGTTGGTTCAAGGAGCTCAACAAAGTGAGGAGACCAAGCTCTTTCATATTACTATTACCTATGTCTTTCTTCCTTTTGCCCTTGACCTTTTCTTCATCGCTTATTCTTCCCCGTGGCTAGTGTCTGTCAATCAGCCGTCCTTGACAATGAGCTCCACGCCGCCAGCTCTTGTCAGGGGTGGAATGTACATAGCTGTGGGCACTCAACAGTGGATTCCAGACTATTAATTGTGGAAGCTGAGCAAGGTCATCTTCAGGGCACAAGGCTCGGCATTTCAGGTACGAACAGCCGGCATGGGTGATTTCTTTACGCGGTGGCACGACTCGTTAGACTAGAATATACTGTACTTAACTCGGCCATGGCGATGATCGGCTCTTCTCCGACGACCGACCGACTTGGTGCCTCATGCACACCACAGGTGCCCCATAAGAGCTACACGACGGCGTGGTTTTAAAGCTCAAAGCTCTCCTTTGCAATGCCGCCGTTATGCTAAAAACTAGCGTGATAACTGTGGACTACTCGGACCGTTACCCTATCTCAAGACAGCACCAGGCGTGGAAGGCAAGCAACTGAGTCTAGAAACTGCGCATATGCTCTACTAGCTATTGCTCATATGGGGATGGATTGATACTTGGATGAAGCTCTTTAAATACCTTCCTGAATCAGATAACATAATCAAGAATAGTAATCTAATACGGCAGATCAGCAGTCAGCAAACCATACGTGGGTTAGCGAGATGCTGAAGAACCATGAACAAGGATTTGTATGTATTTCGTATAAACTGCGCCTTTCTCTACAACTGCTCAGATCTTATTCGACTTAACCAAGAACAGATGAACCGCCACCTGAAGACAAGGGATACCGGGGAAGCCAGGGAAAAGAGAGCATGCCTGTACATAGTAAACTGGTCTGGTAGATCAACAGCCTTTTTCTTCAATAGCCTCAAACAAAGAATACCGGATCCCACGGACTCGGCGCGCGCCGTACCCTTGTCTCAGCCGTGGTGACCTTGCGTGACCTTGGTCGTGTGTTATTGGCTAAACAAGAAGGCATCGTTGCGCTTGGCGTCCACTTTTCAGTCGAGGGGGGGCGAGTCATTACTACTTTCAATCTCTTAGCATACTTGTACGCAAAATTGTCTCCGGCTCAACAACTCTTAGTTCCTTGATACAGTAATTCAACTGCTCAGCTCCGCCAATAAAAAGTCTGTTGCATGTTCCCATTAGCTCAATGCCAATTGTTGCTTTGTACTTAGTGGACTCAACCAAGTGGATAGCAGGGGCGGACCGCGTCTAGAATAGCCTCGAGTGTGTCTTGGCGGCAGAGAATTGCGTTAAAAGCGGAATGAAGTGAAGCTAGACAGCTTGAATCATTGCAGAAACCAACAAAGTGATTCCCAAAGAGGCACCGTGCGCCCCGCACATTGTTGCAAGGAATACCTAGCAACACTTTAGTAACAACCTTCTCCATTCTGCACATTGCCGTTGCCTACTCAAGTTACTCCACGCGCACAGACAACCTCTTCGCATGCCGCGAATACTCCGTACTCCGTACATCGGCAATGACTAGCTGTGGAACAAAGGAATCCACGGAGAGAAATGAAGCAGTACCGCTCTTGCTCTCCTGATAGGCAAGTTGAGACATGAATTATCATGCAGTTATCACGATAGCCACGGCAGACTCTAATTATAGGAGATATGTAACTACTCAAAAACAATTTTCATAACAGTTACAATGCATGATTGCCCAGAAGTAGCATTTTTCTCTATACATATGTAAGGTACATGTGGCTGCACCCATGACAGCACTAGCTGCATATGCAGACATACCACAGAATCTGCATACAAAGCACAGTATAGTACAGTATGTTGTAGTACTAGTTATTACAGCTACTCCATATACCCTGAATCCATGATAGACAGTCTTGTCCCCTATTCGGATACCATGACCACCGAGGCAGTTGCGGGTCATCCGATTGGAGGTTGCTCAATGCGGTTTCAAACTCCGCTGAGCTGGTTCCAAAGTTTGGGGCTCTCCCGAGGCTCAACTCAAAGGAGCGCTTGTTGGCCTTGGGGGGCTATTGCCTTGGCTCCCTTTTCGACCGGAAAGGTCAGTCAGGCGATGTCAGTGCAAAGTAAATAATTAGCCCCCACGCCTCGCCGATTTCTTTCTGTTTAACCACTTTTGACAATTCCAACAAACACACAAACGAGACAATAAAGAAGCTGTCTTATTTGTCGTAATTCGACTTCTATATTACAAAAGTTCAAACCACATACGCAAATCTATCCCTCCACCACCATCATGACTGCCGGAACTACCATCAGAGTGCCGCATCTGGGCGGAATCAATGCCGGCTACCGTCTGTCTAACGGCGCCGTCGACCCCGCCAAGCCTACTGTTGTGCTCATCAACTCCATGTGCACGACCACCTCTCTATTCAATTCACAGTTTAACAACACGGCTCTCACCGATGCTGCCAACCTACTGGCCATTGAGCCTCTTGGCCACGGATCCACTGAGTGTTCATCAGAGAACTACACCTACTGGGACACTGCCATCATGGCCGTCCAGGTGTTGGATGCCCTCGGTATCAAGAAGGCTTTTGCTCTTGGAACCAGCCAGGGAGGTTGGATCGTTACAAGAATGGCTCTTGTTGCCCCCGAGAAGGTACGTACTTTTGAAGTCGAGCGTAACGAGCACCACATATGCACATTGCATATCACTTGTGTTCACTCGATCTATCCCTGCCAATCCCCCAATTGTCTCCACGCTCTCCGTCCGGCTTCAATTCCGCAAAGTGTCTCACTTTACTTTCGCCTAAGCGGACCTACATCTATCATGTGCTGCATATTGAATGTCACTACAGGGGAAAGACCCCTGAGATTACGACAGTAACACGCAAACTAACAGAAATGAACTCAACTATAGATTCAGGGTCTGTTGATTCTTGGCAGCTCGCTCGACTACGAGTCTGCCGCCTCCCGAGAAAAGGGATGCTGGGATCCCGCAGCAACGCTGGGCCCAGTGGTTGACACCCTTTACAGCAAGGAGCCGACCCCAGACTTCCTCATTGACGAGGGCCTGCGTGAAAGCGTTGTCAACATTGGCTTCTCAGGTGTAATCTCGCCTGAGGACGTTGAGATGTGGAAGACGACACTCAACAAGATCTACTCTGGGGACGAAGGACGCAAGAAGCTGCGTGGCGCCTTTGTCAACCTCTTGGAGAGAGATGGCTTGTTGAGGCGGGCGGCGGATGTCAAGTGCCCTGTCTACTGGGTTCAGGTGAGTTGCCCTATTAAGTGTGTTTCGTCTTGGCTGTCAATTCTAACCATCTTACAGGGCAACCAAGATCCAGTTTATGGCGTTGAAGTACCAAAGGAGCACATCAAGGCCTTTTCGGGCTCTGTAGAGACAGAGCTGTCTTTTACCGACGGTGGCCACTACCTGAACGCTACCACTCCCAAGGATGTGGATGCGAAGTTACTTGAGCTGATTAACAAGTACTCTGCTTTGTAAACTCTGATGAAGTTGTAAGTAGTTTTTGAGTTTAGAATCATGAAATACCAAGCATAGCAATATCTAGTCTAGTCTTTTAATTAAAAACACCATACAGACAACAAACTTATGTGATTCAATGGTGACACTGTGGCTACCATATACACTTCGGAGCACTGCCAGCCGAACATCCTGCCCAAAGAAGATGTTGATATATTTTAAGTGCTTACTCTCCTCAATAAGATCTACGTACTAAAACAGAAGGATACAGGGGCTATCAGCAGCAATACCGTCGCTTAATAAAGCGTTGACATGTAGGTGGATACAAATGACATACTGCCATGAGTAGGGGCGATTGCGCGGATAACCAACACCAAAGGCGGTCCGCGCTCTCTTCAAGACGAAACTAAAACATCTGTGCGACGCCGTCCACTGTGTCTAAAGCCATTGCCGAGGTCTTGATCCCTGTCAGCCGGTCGACCGGCGCAGGTACTAGCTGGTAGCCATCAATCGGTGACAACTCCAAGGGGGGTTTGACTGGCGATCAATCGCGCCCTCCAAGGGGTCTTACAGCGTTATAGATTGGCCGATCACTCAAACCTGTTGCATCTCATCAGACCGAATCGCTGGTAGAAGCAGCCCGGGGTGGGCGAAGGAGCCGAACATTCTTAATGATCCTCTGCTGCGTGGCCGGCGGGGAATAGTCCGCTCAAACATGACCTGTTACATCCGACTCTGCGGCATTGGAAAATCCTGCAGAAATCAGGTTACGGTCACAAAAGACCGACGGCATAATCCTCTTTCGACGTTGAAACGGTCCGTGAAATGGTTGCTAAACTCTTTTCTTCGTCTTTTCTAAAATTAACCCAAATTGTAACCATTCCGTTAACGCAAAATTATGGGGACTCTGCTGGTTTTTCTACCCAGAGATCATGCCGTACCCACTTGCTTTGCCGTGGCCTATTCAGGAATGAGGTCGAATTATTCTCGACTTTGACGTTGCGTATGTGCATGGACGAGCAATTTGATACCTCGCCTGTTACTGGCGGTGGAGACTGCGAGAGGCGGAATCTTCCGTGCTGCAAACTCCGCGGAAGATATGCTCCTATTGTCTCGCCATCAAGTCTGCCAACCAAGTTTTGAGGCAGACTAGTTTCTAGGCTTCAAGGCTTTCATGCCGGGTTTAACTCCTATCCCGCGGCCGACAATCCAGAAGTGTCTGTGTAGGACCAGAAGCCATATTTGGGAGTCAACGCTTCTGTTACTACTCTTTATTACATGGCTAATTGCCAGAGGCCTACATTTGATGCATATCGGAAAGCTCTGGGCCAACGGTGTCTAAAATTTATCACTGAAAATGTATGAGCCGTCTGCGAATTTATCAAGTTGCCCAAATTGTAGCTTACATCTTGCTTACCACCAATCTTGGTGTCCTTCCCGTAATGCCTCTGCACGTCACAGGTTTGCTGTAAGTGGAAGGAGGATTCTATTCATGATAATGAAATCTTATCATCCCTGTTAACTTAGTAACCAGCTTCCTCTAAAAGACTTTCATATGCAATCTTACTCCTGGCAGAGGTCAGCAAAGTCACCATTAGCCTACGAAGCTATACGTCGTTTACCATGCGAGGTTTCGGAAAGCTTGATATCCATTCTACTAACAGATCAAGAATACATCTTTATAAATTGTAACATTGATATCTGTTCGGACAAAGTATTCAAGCTGAAAGCTATTCCGACGCCTTATAAACTGGCGTTCCCTCAAACCATGTTTCTTTCACAACGCCTTTGATCAAACTTTGCGGTGTCAACTCTACATCACAAACCACAAAATCAGCCTTGAGGCCCTTTTTCAAACATCCCGTCCACTCATCCGCAAAAGTCGAGTACGCGGATCCATGCGTTGCCCCCGCAACAGCCTGGCAGACAGTAAGGGCAAACTCGGGGTTGACAACAGTCTCCAATTCAGGCTCACGATAAGACCGTCTCGTCGTCGCAACATACATGTTGGGGATGGGAAGATGCGGAGCTGTAGGCGCGTCTGAGCCGAGAGCCAAAGGGGCACCGCCATCGGCAAATTCTCGATAGGCGAATGCTCGCTTGCAGCGGTGCTCGCCTATCAATCTTGGCCACGCTCGCAATATGGCAGGGTCAGAGTGCACGGGCTGGATAGATGCTGTGATGCCCAGCTTGCCAAGACGCACGGCATCTTCAGCGCTGGAGAGCTCAATGTGTTCTATCCGTGGACGTCGCGAGCGATCTGTATTCTTTTCTAGAACATCAATCGCCATGCGAATCGTCCGGTCGCCGATAGCATGCAGCGCAACTTGCAGCCCTGCGGCATGAGCCTTGGAGACCATGGGATTGAGGAACTCTTCCGACCAAATAGGGTTGGGGGTTGTTCCCGTTGAGTATGGTTCGGTAAGTGAAGCAGTACAGGCGTCAATAATCCCATCACAAATGACCTTGATGCCGACAATGCGGCAGTCTGGAGTGCTATGAGAGTTGTATTGTCCGGCCAACTCGATTGCACGATCAATTTGTGCCATCACAACCTCCAAGGAATCACTGGGCTTCATAAGCCAGTACGCTGCAATTCGCATACCGCCAAGACCTTGTTCGTTTCGCAACGCAATCAGGGGCTCCCAGATGAGCTCGTCCATGGCCATGTCGACCATTCCGGTATAACCCGCTGCGTTGAACGCCTTGATTGCTGCCTTGATGGACTCTTTTCTGTCATTGACCGAGGCAACTCTAGCAGTGAATGGCCAGATGTACTCAAACACGGCGCTCTCATTAAAGACCCCGTTGAGTTTGCCACTGTTATCGCGCTGAAAAGTGCCACCCACAGGATCTGGGGCATCATCGGCAATGTCCATAACACGACAAACCTCCTCCAACCCAACTGTGTTGCACCATGTGGAATGCAGGTCCTTTGTATCGACAAAGATTGGTCGAGGATCGAGCCCATCTAGCAAGGTGGAATCAACACCCTCGGGAGTCATTGAATGCATCCAGCCGCGGCAAAATATGCGTGGAACGTCTGGATGGGCCTTGGCATATCGCTTGATCTCGGCTTGAATGTCTTCTAGACTTGTGCACGCTTCCAAGCCAACCTTGGTGAGAGCCTGCCCGACTAGAAGGAGGTGTAAGTGGCCGTCGATGAATCCCGGGAGGACAGTCTGATGCTCCAGATTCTTTATCGTTGCGCCCGCAGCTTTAGCCGCGTCCACCTCGGCATCTGCTTCAGGGCCAACATACTGGATGATGCCATCTCGGATGATCATGCACTCTGTAAAGATGGGGCCATCATCCGCCGCTGAGCTGGGCAGCGTATTTGTCTGGTAGACTTTGCCGTTGACCAATACGGTAAAGCCACGAGATGGCAGTAAGTCACCCATTTGTACGAATGTTTCTCGGCTCAAGGAATGGAGGATGCACTGCAGTGAATCTTGTGTTTACCCCAGCTGAACATTCGAAACCCCCCCATAGTTAAGTAGCCCCAGATGAGAACATGGTGGAGCTGTGAGAGCCGAAGCCGGATCTGATAAGCGGCTGCCACCAAGACCGTTTAAAACCGAGTTGCAATGGCTGGGCGCTGTTTAAAAACTAGTCGGCGATGGCACAGGATCTAAAGCAGCGGCCACTTCAATCATTGACATCTGATGGGTTCTCTTCATTAAGTAGAATATTTCAGCAAGATACGTTTTAGTGCACGTACCATGCAAGCCGTATGCGACACGCCGATATAAACTCGAGATCTAGTCTGATTAGCGGAAGATGCAGCGGGCGCTGGACAGACTAAAGTGCTACGAAAAGAGGTGAGCAGCTCTAGAAACAAATTAGCTTCATGCACAACACCGTATCTATTTCCGCATCGTAGATCTAATGGCAGCAGATAGATTAGCCAACTTTCTACGGCCGGTCTTGTGCTGTGTATGCGCTACTCTGCAGATCTGTCAATTGTGCTGTCGGTCTTGGGGGAGTAACTCATAAATAACTGGAAGTACCTACATAAAAAGTCAAAGTAGCAGTAACATCAGTAGATTAAAAAGGCGGGCTGTAGATCTCCAGGGAACTGTCAGGGTTTTCCGGTGTTGAATCATCATTTAATGCTTCATTGAATGAAATATAATCATTATTATTGCATTGTCTATAGGCAGAAATGCATGTCATATTAGAAAGAAGAATAAAACCATTCTGATTATTCCAAGTTAATTGTAAAGGGGGTTTAATTATTTAATTTATATTTCCTTTCCATAATCTCCCGTGTTATCCTCCCAAAATAATATATCCGCAGTTTCATTTTCCCAGATAGTTTATTTACCCTATTGTAAGCAAATTATTAGCGCCAGGTTCATTTGAATTAACCTTCTTTAGCACCAAATCGTCTCTCCTAGTTGTAGAATTAGCTGTCTTGCTGTACTGAGTCGGAAAGAGACGGGTCCATGTATGCGCTTGATTTAATTTGCGCGGGAGGAGGAGGATTGAAGTCTATGTCTGGATAAGCTGAAATGTTTACTTAGTAATAAGCGGTAATAATAGTATTCAGTTAATTTGAATTAATAAATGATAGACTATTATTTCTAGGAATAATTTTACCGCCTTCAGCTACAGCCCGAACAACAAGAACAGCCCTCGCGCTCCTACATTAAAGGGTACAAATACACTAACACAACAGAATATAATTACTAACACGCAGCTCACAGCTGTCTTAACCAACCCGAAGGGGCATACCGCGTATACTTTAGATATCTCAAGCTACAAGTAACAGGCCACAACAGTTTGGCCTTACCTCTGTCTGCCTTGCTTTTCCGCCTAAGCTTCTGAGGCGTCTGTTTGCCTTGCTTTTTAGCCCAAGCTTCCAAGGCGTCTATCTGCCTTGCTTTTCAGCCCAAGCTTCCAAGGCGTCTGTCTGCCTTATCATATTTTTATAAGGCTCTTGGTTTCTATAGGTTGAACAAGTGGAACTATTGTATATGTTGATTGGTAGATAGATAGTCAGGTAGTAGCCTGCTTATATAAATATACACATATGCAGGTCGGCCTTACTGCTGCCTGACTTTTGAGGGATTTATATAAACACGGATCAAAAGCCCTTATAGTTTTATTAAATCGAATTCTATAACTCTTCATAAGAACTACTCCTGAATATAGTCTTTATTCTTCTTCTTCTTTCTATCCTTGACAATATTCTGTTGCTATTATGCCTGTAACTCTTACAATTGTTGATCATCCAGCGAAAAGCTGGGAGGCTGTTGAAGTAAAGACAGATAACGAATTTCTTGAAAAAGCTTGTCCGGCACAACATGATGCTGCTCAAGAAATCTTGGAATCTTCCTTTAGCCAAAGTTTTCTCAAGGAGAACCATGTTTCCGCTTCTCCAAACGGGTTCATTTGGTCCGCCTACATGGCATATAATCAGCATCATCACCTCACTATTAGGCCTGAAGATGTTTGGCTTGCAATTATTTCTCAATTTGGATTCTTTATAAAGAAGAATTCCGAGAAGTTCCGCCATCTCTTGGTTTCACACGAGGGGCAAAAAAGCCTCAAAGTAATTGATGGCTCTGGGCGGCGCAGTTTTGGAGAGCTCGTTCAATGGATGGCGCAGATGATTTTCAACGACATAAAAGATCCAAAGCTATTAGCCTGGGTTATTCCATCGTTTTCCACCACAACCAGTGTTGACCACGCTGTCGCTTCGGTGCTGCTGATGGGGGCAATGCAGCAGTATTACAGATTCACCTTTACACTACTGTGCGGAATTCCCTCGGTAACTCTCGCTGGTGAAATTTCGGACTGGGAAGGAATCCTCTCTAGAATTGATCATTTATATCAATTTGGGGATGAGCCCTCACGATTTGCCGATATGTTGCGTCCAATACTGCGATATATGATCCTTTCGTTTACCGATCCAACTAATGCAGAGGTCATTCGTTTTTGGAACACTATTGTGAATGAGGTTCCTAGAGGAAGTGGCCCACAGACATCGATATCTGGATGGATGTCAGCATTTTGCTTCTGGGATGAAGAGGGGCGGGTAAATCTGCCACAGTCTTGGAATGTCATTTTGGACGGGGTCGCATACCCATCAATTCCAACAGATGCAGTACCTGCAGGCTCTGCCGTTATTCCAGTAACAGTAGAAACTTCCAACTGTGAGGAAACTCTCAAGTGTACGCTGGTGGCCGGCTCTGTTGGAATCCAGGCGTTTTCTCCCGAGGTTCAACAAGAAGACATATCGCGTTCATTAACTTCAATTGAATCACCCCTTACAGCCGTCCAGCCAGTATCAGGGTGGTGGATATTCAGAAACAAAGGTTCTGATGGAGATGGTACTTCAGATGAATGCACAAGTGAACAGGCCTCTGGTAGTCAAGATTCGCAACAAGAGCTAGGCGCAGCTTTGTTATTATTAGATCAACCTAATTCGCCTGAACTGCATGCGAAACCTTCGACCCCATATTGCGCTGGAGCAGATGAACCTAAGCTATATCATGACGGAAATACTATTCCACTTCATACTGCTATTGCAGATTCCGACACTGAACTGGTTCGAACACTGCTTGCTGGAAATGCAAATGCAAATGTTCTCAATGATGAAGGCTACGCTCCATTGCATTTAGCAGCCAAAAAGCAAGACTCAACCTTTACGAGGTTATTACTAGAGCACGGTGCAGACCCTAATATTCGTCGAGCGATAGTACACTTTACTCAAGAGAGCGAAATCACCCCACTGTATATTGCGACAAAGACTGGAAACATTTCCGTGGTAAAGGAACTTCTTAAGAAATGCGATGTAAATGCTGCAGATACATCACATTTCTGGACCCCATTATTCGTCGCAGTACAGCAAGGGCATAAAGACATTATCAAACTACTTTTAGCACATGGCGCAAATGTTGATGGGGATCGCCGTTCAGAGCATAGTCCTCTCTTCCAAGCGGTTTTACTGCGTCGCACTGATTTAGTGGAAGAGCTGTGTGATAATGGTGCAGATGTCAATTTCAAGGATGAAGATGGAGATACCGCAATTATTCAAGCTGCCTATCAAGGATGCATGGACATTGTCCAGCTGCTCCTCAGAAGTAAAATAATCGATCTCAGAAATGCCTCTGAAAGGCCCTCTTGGTGGTATTCTGAGCTATCTGGCCACAATGAAATTACGAAACTTCTAAAGGAGGAAATGGCTCGCAGAAGCTATCCTGCGGATAACAGAAAGTGGCAGAGGGACTTGATAAATGATTCCACAAGCTCATTCCAAGAGATCGGAGGACAAAAGTTATTGTCAGATATTGCAAATGCCCAACGTTATATATACGCCATCAGAGATCCAACTAATCCAGCCATATGGAAAGAGCGCATACGATTTGTCATTCAAGCTCCATCACAAGAGGATTACGACCTTGAAGTGATTGAACCATATCGCGGTGGTAAAGACAGCGATAAGCCGTTCATTGCAGTTTCTTATTGCTGGACATCCGCCACAAGCAAAACGCTCAAGCGATTGAAAATAAAGGTTCCAAAGAAAGATGGCAGCGGTTACGATGTCCGAGAAACCCGTGCTAACACGGATATTATACGTCGAAGTCTCAAATTTGCTCATTCCAAGGGAATTAATCGCGTATGGATTGATCAAGAGTGCATTCACCAAGATGATGAGGAGGACAAGAAGGCTCTGGTACCAACAATGCATCGCCTGTATCAACAAGCAACTTTAACACTAGCCATTCTCGGACGACATATTGCGTCACTCGATGATGTTGAAGCCATTGAAGGTCTTTGGGAACCGTCTACTCGATGTGCTCATTTACGCGATCGCATCTTCACGGATAAGTGGTTTAGACGCGCTTGGACTGCACAGGAAGAAATCAGCACAGATGTTCGTAAAATGATATATCTGGTTGGTTGGGCTGATGACTTTGATACATCTGGATCAGAATGGAAGAAGATGTCACAGTCAATATCAACGCTGTTCCCTAAGCAAACGATTCAAAGAGAGCTTGTCCTTGATGGACATGATAAAACATCAATGTCATTTTTTGGCGTCGGGTCTCAACATATGATCCGTAGCTCAATTACTCTATCCATGAGCGGATTAAAAGATAATTTCACTTTAAGCTTTCCCAAACTGGATCAGTTTTCGTGGTATTCTGACAATACCAACATGTAAGAAATCAGAAATTGAGATGACGATATTAAGCTAATAACCAAATAGGGACAAAGCTCCTGAAAGACTTATAACAGACTCTAAAACGCAATCTTCTCGTCCTTCGGATCGGGATTACTCAGATCATAGCCATGTTTTAGCTGAGTGGCCACAAACCGATCATCATACAGTGGGTATGATCAGTGCCGTTTCCTTGATCCGAGGGAAGCGAAACCACTTGACGTCGGATAGACTGAGCATTTTAGCGAATATATCACGCTATGCTTATCATCTTGACGTCGCAGCACTTGTCAAGGAGCAGCCTCATAGCAGCTACTCCGCATGCATCATGGCCGTAGCATTTGCTAATGGAGATCTGAGCTTAATCTTCAAGAACCTTTTTGATAAGTCAACGCAGCCGTTCCGATTCTCAGCAAACAACGAATCCATCAACTCAATTTGCAGCGATTTCCAAACTCCTAATACATTGGGTAGTAGATGCTTGAGCCTCGGCAACCCATCCTTTGTCATCAATGACAAGCTTATGACACGAGGGGTGTTATGGGGCATTGAGGCTTGCAGAGATCTTTTGCCACTAAGAGATGAAATTTACACCTCTATCACCAACTGCCGAACTTTGACAAAGGAGATGCAACGCCATGCAGGCATTGAAATCCTTAAATCAGTCATAAAGCGGCTTTTTATATTAAAGAGAGAGCGATTAGTCGAGCTTATTGTATCTCTTGCTGTTGGCTGGTTCAAATCTCCCCAAACATTTCACTCCACAATGGAACAACTACGAAATTGGTTCTCAGAAGATGCCGATTGGCCCTCGCACGTTCAACTCTACAAAACTGGTGAAGTTCATCAGCCAGAAGATGCCTTACAGTCGGAGGGTAAACCCCCCCAGAGCGAGATGGCCATTTTACGTCTCCCTGAAGGCTTTAAATTTGCCAGCAATACCACCAAAAATGACGCCGACTGCGACGAAGAGTTTGACTGGTATGAAGCGGACGTTGATGATTCGCTTATCCCTGATGAATGGGGACACTCACCTTTGCTAAGATGGATTCTTTTAGGCATATACCATGGAATGCCTCTTCCGGTGGGTTCGTGTGTGTCCAAAGACGGAAACATCAACGAATACGCTATCTTTCAACTCAATCCCAATAAGATCACTTCGGTTTTCGTACCGTTGACGGAGCTTGATTATGAGTTTGGATATAACTTCGTAACTCAGTACAGCGCTAAGGGCGACTTTTGGCCTGTCCAAAAGACAAATATTAGCGTATCAAAGGAAGAAAAAGCACAAGCTCAAGCACGATTTGCTGCAATGAATATCAATGGATGGCCGATTGCAGAGAAATTACTAACTATTCAAGGCTCAAGGCGTCTTTCAGGAATATGGTCGCCAGTTCTGTGTGCAAATGGCTGTTTGAAATGGGACAATAAGACAAAATCATATAAGATGACTTTACTTGAAGATTGTAAGTTTATATTTATAAATGTTTTAAATATTACAACTAACAAAAATCAGCTGCCTCATACCATTTTCTGGATTTTCATTGGAATACTTAACAAGCAAGATAGTTTAGACTAATATACATTTGAAAATCCTTTTTTTTTTTGTTAGGTAAATTACATGAGACAAAGAAGCTGTGTCGCAACTACTTGGAACCTAGTTGCCACAAAAGAACACATATATAAAGAGGGACACAGCTCCCTTCTTTCTAAAGGAGAGGGCAGAGATAAATATAGTTTTTTCATGATATATAACTGCAATCTATCAGCAAGATAGCAACCAACCCGCTTGATCCTCTATCACTCTTCTTTGTGACCCGTCCATGACATCATCAGTAGCCATTTCATGCCCTGTCTTTCTTCTTCCCTAGACACACAATTTGTCCCTTGTTCATATTACCACATACAAGACTCTTTGCCCTACACAGTTTCAGAGCGGGTGTAAGAAGCTTGATTCAATCACTTATACATAATCAGCAATTTGAGGACTCATCCACCGCTCAATTCGGTTAATTTTCCTTCCCTAGTTTATCACGAAGCTCACATTTATTATCTTCCAAGTCATTCATGACAGTATTCGAACCGTTTTTCCTCCTTCACGTCACTCGCTAGCTCTGTAATCATTGTAACTCACCTATTTCCAACATTAATGAGTTGTATTACCATAGAGCAAATGCGCCTCATTTCTTCAATCCTGGACGAGGCAGATTCCGCCCCAGAGTAAAGAATATGTCGTGGTACTGGCGAAATTTCCACCAACGTATAAACTGCTACAAGATCTCATTGTATATTTCCACGCCGCCACCTGAAGCGGCCGGAGTCTACCTCTGCTCGTGAAGATCCTTGACTGAAAGATGCAAAGAAGAAGTCCTTGGGTGTGTGACTAGACTTTCTCTTTCAAGATGAGGCACATTTCAGACACATGCAAAGCATTGTACAGCCATCACTCACTATCTGTAAAGTGAAAATCGAAGAATCAGGTGCCTTGTTGTAGCGGTAGAAGCAGTAGAAGCAGCGGATTAAAATGGCTTTCCGGGCTATGCTGTAGACTTGACAGTGCCTAATGCCCTTGACATGAGATTGCCAGCTGCTGCCAGACGGTCATGTCCATCACATCATGCCATACAGCTGCGCGCGCCTATGTGCTAACTTTTCTTTTTTTTGGTATCAGAATTTGTGGTATGGACACAAAAGGGAAAAAGAAAAGGCAAACAAACGCGTACTTTCTTCTTCCCCAACCTGCCTGCATCACAACATCCTGGCGGCAATACGAGCACGCGACATACTTGCATTACGACAATTTTCAACACTGAATCTGACGATACCATTGAGAATGCCTCGAGCCCGCTGCAAGAGAAAATGCGTCGTTGTGGCCACGAGCAGAGCACCCAAAAGGAACCGCACCGATCCGCAATATCCACCAATTGTTGGAGAGGTCCTAAAGATCAACGACCACGAGAACCACGAAGAAGTTGTTGAAGAGAGAGACGGAGCTGAATTGGCAGCAGAAGAGATTCGAGCCGTCTGCGAAGCGCTCATCAGGCAAACGTTCAGCGCTATTGGGATGGACGTTGACTCGTACCTCGCCTGTTTCAATGCATGCGTCGAGAAAGCCATCAGCAATGCCATGGTCTACGCCACAGCATGGTCTAAATGGGGTGGTTACAGAGACCTTCTTTGCAAGATGGCTTACGTCGCCGATCTCTGCCAGACAACCGGGAAGCTTCATTGTCCAACTGCGCCAGCGATAGTCATGGCATATACTCTCCTCCGAATCTGCAAGGTTACGACAAGAGCAGCAGGCGGGTTGCCTCGCGTGATGGAGATTTGCAAGACGCTTGAATGTGCAGCGCCGGCCATTCGACACTACGAAGACCATCCAGATGTCATCTTGAGGCTGCCCGATTCCTTTGAGCCGCCGGAAGAATGGCCTGCAATGGTTTACAACAATGTTACGGAACAAGGAGGCCAAGTTGCAAAAGTGGACACGGGCTGTCTTGACATTGACAAGAAACATCGCGGTCAGTTACTGTTGAAGCTGAAGGACTTGGAGGCATCCGACGCCGTGGACAGTGATCAAACGTACAAGGTCGAAGTCTCCCGCACGGTTACAAGACAGGAAGCACAGCAAGTGCTTCAAAGCATCATCGAGCCTCTTAGAGAACTTGAAACGCCTGAAAGTTCCCTTTTCGACCATCTCACGCTCCCACGCCTCAAGGTACTTCCAGTTGGCGACAAAAGGTTGATCCTTTGGTGGATAAAGGACATCAAGCCTGAGATATTTGCGGAATGGAGAAAAGAGACTGAACAAGACATTGAGCAATACCAATGGACTGAGACGGTCAAGGGAAAGTTACCGGAGACGTGGGCCGACCATCCAGCGGATACAGTCTTCAAGCGAATTGAAGAGCGGGCCAAGACAGACCCAGACCCTTCCAACATCAAAGACTTGGTACTTTTGAAAGAAATCTTCAAGGATCAAGAGAGACAGGGGATGGACCCAGCCTTCTGCCAAAAGATGACCCAGTGGATGCTGAGAAGGGAGCACAAGGCGGACGAGCAAGCGGCGACCATTGCCAAACTACACAAGAAGCTGGACTTGGTGGATGAACAGGCGGCTGAACAGGCGGCAGCCAGTGCCAAAGTGCTCAAGAGGCTGGACTTGGTCTTGGCCAAGCTGGGCGAGACGTCCGAACCGATGACGGAAGACGCGGAGTCCCTCTTGGGCGATAGTCTGGTGGACTTTACCGATGCAAAGAGTCCCTTGTTTATCAATGAGTAACTCGGAGGAACTAGTATACAGAGAATCTATTGAAGGGGATAAAGGGACACGAGTTTGCGGGAAGGGACCTATAAAATGCGTAATGGCTACAGACCTACGTAGCAGTGCTGCACCATTGTGCCTGAGGATGTTCTTGCGAGATAGTTGCATCAAGGTTCGTTTGTATGATTGTCAATTTGTGGTACAGGTAGTGTAGGCAGTCAAGAGAATATATACCAAAAGCCAAAAATGCCTGTAAACCAGCTATGCATAGGATGTAAGTTGTTGACATCCTCCCCAGCCGTAGCCGAAGTCTGGAGCGAACACGTATTCTTCCAGACATGAGCACCTATGCTTCTACTACCTTAATTGCTAGTACTACCCGCCCTCTCTGTATCGTTGATCACACCGTTTCCTGCATCCTGTGAGAGTTTGGGTGACGAGTTAGCATATATTGTTACATCCATGGCCAAAACATCTGGCGCGTAGGCTCAATTCTGTACATCCAATGGTTAGTTTATCTTTGCGTCATATACTATGGAGACAAACTGACTGGATAAGCATTACCCATCTAGAGATACAGTAACCGACTTATTTCGACATGTTATGGTGCACTCTCCTTTTCATTATCGCTCAGACATGCAAAGTCTCACTCACATCATGCAGGACCCGACCAAGCGCCGCCTAATGCTCCAGATAAAGGAAATCGGCTCCCCGAAAGAAGTTTCATCATCCGACATGATCCCATTTCGAAACACCGCGACGAATCCCCAATAGGAAAAGGACTTTGGCGCCGTCGTCTGGAAAAGGCTGGCCTATACAAGCGTGGACTACAACTACAACATGATGAAGCATTCACCTATAATTCTTCTGGTCCGCACACACGTTCATCAAGCATTCATGGTCAAGTTAGAGAGCGACCCAACTTCAAAGCTGAAAAGGGTCTTTCTTACATTCACTCTAAAATTTTGGCGAGCACACATCTTTCTACCTGGCCTGTGATACAACAAATAACAACTGAAGCATATCATATTCTACGTCCCGCATGCCAGCCGGTTCCTTCACGGCGCCCTATTACAAAGAGGTGTCTACGCGGATTTGGTCTGCAACACTGCTGCACAACCCGCGTCCATCCCAATTGTATCAGTTGCTTGGCTCTCCATGGCGGCGGTAGCAAAACTACATACACAAAGCGCTACTGCTTCTACTGCCTAGGAGGCTCTTGCCAGCCACCCGATCATAGAAGATGGGCCCTCGAGGAATGATCGCCCAAGTGCGCGAGAGATGAAAGAAGACACCACCCCATGAATCAGACATTTATACAAGTTGGGCCCTCGAAGATGTAACGGAAGAGACATCCAAGAGGAGATCAATCAACAAGCCTGTGGGATCCTTGAACAAGCCACCACTACGCTGCCGGACACTTCAAAATATTGTCAGAGTTCAAAAGCCAGCAATACAGGGACTTCTCCAGCTTCAAGTCGCTTCCACAGCGCTGGAATACCTCCAATCTCCCTCCCAATCTTGCCTTCAATCACCGCCGGCGACATATCTGCTCTAGACGCGCCAATTCCCACACGACAAAGCCTACGATAGAACCGTCTACAAGATCATTCGCTTTCTCCGCCGAATGTATTCCGTGACAACAGAGTTTCAAGCCCAATTTGTTCAAGAAGAGGCGATGATTCGGATACAGCGGACATCGAGGAGGAACCGACAAGAAGTTATAACTAATAATCCACAGACGCTTAAAGAAGAGATGATGGCCAAACTCAAGAAGTAAGGCTTGCCAGAATATGCCATCTCATAGTTCACCGCAAATACTGTTGGAATTTTTGACATGAAAATATTGCTAGACATAAATACTAGGAATTCGTTAGCAGGGGTTTTACTAGTACGGAGATCTAATACGCAAGCATAATTTCTTTTTTTTTTCTTTTTCTTTACATAGCGCACGCCCGATTTCATATAATAGCAGCAGCAAAAAGAAATATATAAAGCGGTACTTTTGCTACTTCTGCTGCTATTGCTACTATATGTGTATTTATCTTTTGGCATTATTAGTTAATCTCTTTACCCTGCTGGTAACTATATCGGCATTTTAGATGATTTTGTATACTCTGTACATACTTTGTGTTCTATACAGGCCTTACTTGTGTTCGACTTGTAACTTGGGAGTCAAAGTATCCCAACAGGGTGATTCATACTTCTCAGCTCAGGCTTTAAAGTGTATCGCACACCTTCTGCCGTAAGGTCTTTTTTCTTATAATTTAGTAAATAATTGACTTCTTTACCATTTAAAACAATTTTTAGAGTCTTCCTGTTGATGAGTCGCGGCCTTTCATTAAATTTTGCATAACCATTCTTGCGTTGTGCTTCTCGGTTTTGCTCTATAGCATGTCGGCGTGATACTGGCTCGGTCGGGCGTCTTTTGACCAAGTATTGCGACCCGCGAAACTCACGGCTTCAAGACTCTTCTTTAGAGCTGGATGAGTGTTTACTGTTTGCGTCTCTCAGCTCTGCTCTTAGCCCTTTCGTACAGAGGTAGAAAGAGTAGAAAGAGTAAAAAGCATAGTAGAAGTGGTATGCGATTAGCCATGGTCGAGCCCTAGATATTAAAATGGTGTGCTAAGTAAGATGTGTAGATTAATAGTACACTTGTCAACTCACAAGCTAAAGTCTGAGCCGTTTCTCGGGTATTTACAAGAAACAGGCGACGTAAGACTTATCGAAGGCCAGCATCTCCGATGAATGGACCTCACAACAAAGACAGGACATAAAAGGTGCTGCACTCGAAGGTCTTTCCAACCGGGGACGGAGTTGTAATGTCCATGCCATTTACACCAGGAATCGATATCTCGGACCTCTACAGCGGCCATTCGGCGCATCCTCCCTAGATAGGAGGACATCTTGTCTTCCTTGTAGGGCAGTGAGATTTTCACCGCCATAGTCCTCACGCAAGGTTTCTTCCAACCAATCACAGAGCAAGACCGATGGAAGACATCTTCTGTCACACCACACCAAGACCACGAGCGCTTTACAGTCAGTGTCATAGCATTGGCAACAAGTCCAGCTTTGTTCCAACACAGGATGATATCCATCTTGAAACAACGTTTGTAAAAGTATTTGCCTACATAGACGACATCATAATCTTTTCACGCACCCTGGAGGACTATCGGGAATACCTTGGCCAAGTACTCAGAGCTCTCGCAAAATAAGGTTGCACACTGGTGTCTGTTTGAGTTGAACTTCACAGCTTTAAGCAGGCAGAGCCATCTATATAGTCCATTGTCTATGATACGACTACTCAAAATAAAACCGCTTTTGGGGGGAGTTTCGCATAGTAGCCGGTTATTTCTGCAACGACATTTTTTCGTCTTTTATCGCTGGCCAATGCCATGTAATACATTCCATGTGAATCAAATGCAACCTGAATCTAGTGCGGAATATTTGACTGCATTTCAGGCCAAGGAGTCCGAATAGCAGAAATAATATAGTCGTCTAGAACGCGCATCTTGAATATAGCTAGACAATATTGGAAATAATACTATCACGATCCAAGTCAGTAACAGATCTTTGAGCTTTAAATAAGTGCACTCACTATCCACCGTCGCCGATGCGCTTCAATTGTCGACTCTGTGGCTTCGGGATTCTTGCCCACAAAGTCCTCTCTGATGCTGTCCCAGTTTGCGTCAAAGTTGTCTTTCCAGCTTTGCAGTGTTTGAACGTAGTGAGGCCCAATGCTCTCAACCGTTTCTACTTCCAGCGTGCCGTTGGAGCCGCTGTGAATTGATGTCAAGAGCTGGTTGATGGTCGGAAGGTATCCTCCCGGAAAGATGTACTGGTAGAGAAAGTCACCTAGAGCTTGGCCACTGGCGTTCAGCTACAAATAGTCAGCAGCGTTCCTTTAAAACAGCCTTCTTCGTAAGACTAACAGAGTTAATTTTTGTAATGCCTTGAACTACCATGCGGCCTCCGTTTGGCTTCAAATATTTGGAAATGTGTTCAAAGTACGTATTCATAAACTTGTCACCAACGTGCTCCAGCATCTCGATGGAGATGATTCGGTCATATCCACCCTCGGGAACAGGGGCTTTGCGATAGTCACAGAGCAAGATGGTGATCTTGTCCTGCAGACCCGCAGCCTTGATCCGTTCTTCAGCAAGTGTTTTCTGCTCTGCCGACAGGGTGAGACCAGTTACCCGGCATCCAGTCTGCTGAACGGCAGTAATGGCCAAATTTCCCCAGCCGCATCCAATGTCCAAAACATGATTGGTGGATGATATGTCGGCTTTATCGAGGATATTCTGGACCTTGCGGCGCTGAGCTGACTCGAGCGATTCTCCCGGCTCGCCTGACCAGATAGCAGAACTGTAGTTCATATCAGGAGATAGAAAGCCGGCAAAATGTTTGTTGGAAGTATCATAATGGAACGATGCATTCTTGAGGGCATTTATGGTGTCATTGGTCGGTAAGAGATACTGCGCTGCGCGAGGTAGGAATGTATATAGAAGGCTACCAGCGGAGGCGCTCAAAAAGTCTTTATTCCTTATGTAAAGCTTTTTCCAAAATTTATGAGTTCATTTGTTTTATTCTTATAGTTGGCAAGGTAAAAAGCAAAGACAAACGCACCGAGAATAGACCAACAAGATTATCACATTCCAAGTCTTGTGCCATGTATGACTCTGCGACTCCCTATCAAAGCATGTAAGCCTCTACTTCCATTGACACAGGCTTTGGATCCCTACCAAGTCAAATCCTTGACAGAGCCGAACAAATACTTGAGGATTTTTGATAATAACTACGATAACAAGATCTGATTCGGAGCTTCCATTGCCAAAAGTTACGCTCTGACTCTTTTCGTTGGTGTACTTGGTTGCGATAGTTAAGCGGCCGTGTTGAAGGCGTTTTAAAACCTCAAAGACTGAGTTACGGGCAGCCGATTGAAGCCAAGTCTCTGCCATTTTGAGATGCAAGCTCAAAAAGATGTAAAAGCTGTTACAGTTTCTGATGTCTGCAGTCTTTAGTGAAGGCCTTTGGTACTGATATAGAGTTCTCCAAATACAAATCCATATACCTACTATGAGAGCAAGGGAGTCCGGGGGAAGGATCTGTAGCCTCCACAGATTCAAGGTCATGTGTACAAATTATATGGCTCAAAACAAGGCTGCAGAGCGTAGAGTCACATTATCACACGGCTTCGGAGAGTTTCACTTGTGCTCAACTCGCCACAACCACCATCGTGCTCGAGACTGCATCATAGATTTGTCACCGTAATCAGAGCCTCGCGGGCATGAGGCGAATCTGGATCAACTAGTAGCTATATCTGGAAATAGATGCATATGCCAAGCATGGGTGGAAGAATACGCCCGAGTTGCAAGCTCAGCTGCTGTACAGACGAGCATCCTGCATACGTAATGAGGTAACACAACGATTGCCACCTGGCGCCCAAGCTGATAAGCAGGTTTCAAAATAATAGCCATCAGTTCAGCTGAGAACTAGTCTCTTCATCGTATATGACTAGATCTAAATCCCGATTTGTTGCAGAGTTGATCTCATGGCCTTGCCGTATCTCCACCACTTCAACGTCACATCGCGGGTGCATGTGAGCAGGATCAGGCTGCGGGCGAATGATGCATAGACGATATGGCACGCATGACAAGGGTATAGCATATAAAAACAGGGCACAATGGAGACCCAAGTCTCAGCTACTACAGCATCCAACTATGAACAAGATTCTTCTTCTCAGCCGCCATGTGGTGGGCGTCTAGATCGATCTGGGGTCGTTTTGGCCGGCTTACATGCAGGCCCCATTGTAACGGCACTAACACGCAGCAAACAAAATCGAACCGGCCCCATCTTCCCAGCCATCGCCAATTCTGATTATTGACATGGGCAGAGCGCGAACCCTGAACGGAAAGAATAACAAGGAATAATGCAGGCATTCATAACTCGCGCCACATGAAGGGAGAACCCTGCCATCTCATCCAATACCGTGCACCAGCACCAGCACCAGCCCGCAGTTCCATCGACTTTGGACCGAGGCTCCTTATCAACTCCCTCAACGTGCCCGCATCGATTCGATACTGGGCGGAGCGAGCCGCACGCCAGCTGAACCACTGAGGCTCGTCTCCAGTTGGTTTCCATTCTCCGGGGAGCAGCAGCATCGGCATCGCCAGGGCAAATCATCGGCATGCACAACAACAGCAGCAACGGCCAGCGCGTTGGCACGTCGGCAGCAGCAGCGGGCGACGCAATTGTCATTGTCGGGTCAGCGCCATCAACTGTAGATCAACTGTGTTTGTGTCACTTGCTCACTGTGTTTCTAGCGCGGGCATCATCGGCCTGGACGTTGCTCTCGTGCTGGCTGAGCGGGGACTGGGCCCCTACATCACCGTCATTGCTGAGCATCTGCCGGGAGACACGGCTGCTACGTATACGTCGCCTTGGTGAGTTTTGTCTTGTTGACGGGTCTTGTTGCTTCGTTGCCATGTCTCCTTTCTTTCTGGCGATGCTGGGGCCGAGGCTGAAGCCGAGGCTGACATGTTGATGGCAGGGCTGGATGCAACTTTTCTGGCATCTCGGGCAACGACAAGAATGCGCTGAAATGGGACCGCCTCGGCTACACCCATCTCACAAAGCTGGCTTCTGAGCAGGGCGACGAGGCCTATATCCGGCGGACTCACTCAGTCGAGTATTGGGATGAGCACGTGCCCCACGAGAAGATCAAGGCCATATCCGAGTATCTGGAAGATGTAAGTCTTGCTTGTTTCATGCCCTTCTCTCCATGGCATCACTCACACTGCCACAGTTCCGCGAGCTGCCTAGCCATGAGCTCCCGCCCGGCGTCAAGTTTGGCATATCCTTCACCACCCTGACGCTCAATGCCCCCAAGCACATTGAGTATCTCTTCCGCCGGCTCAAGGAGCAGTACGGCGTGCACTTTGTGCGACACAGGTTCCCCACCATCCAAGCTGCATATGCCAGTCCCACCACAAAGGTCGTTGTGAACTGCACCGGTATCGCGGCAAAGACCTTGCCCGGCGTGGAAGATGAGAAGTGCTATCCCACCCGTGGCCAGGTTGTCCTTGTAAAGGCACCGCGCGTCAAGAGAAACATTATGCGCCATGGCAGGGACTATGAGACGTATGTGATTCCGCGGCCTGGTACGGATGGCCACGTTATCCTGGGAGGATACATGCAAAAGGGCTCGAGGTAAGGCCTATCTGTCTGCCCAAGTGACATTACGAATGCCGGCTGACACATGGTAATAGCGATGGATCAACGTATTCGTACGAGACGGAATCCATCGTCAACCGCTGCCTGAAACTGTGCCCCGAGCTGCAGCAATTCGACATCATCGCCTCCTTCGCCGGCCTGCGCCCATCCCGCGAGGGCGGTGCGCGCATTGAGCGAGAAGAGATTGTCATTGACGGCAAGAAAAAGGTGCTTGTGCACAATTACGGCGCTGGAGGCACAGGATATCAGGCGGGATATGGCATGGCCTTGGAGGCGGTTAGCCAGGTAGACGATGTATTGCGAGATTTGGAGCGGGCCAGTCGACGAGCGCGACTGTAGCAGTTGGGATATTGTCGAATATTAGTATTGCATTTTATTGTAGATAGAGCTGCATAAGGTTTCATTTTAGTCTCTTTTGTCGGTTTGTCTCTTCACAAGATGAGCCGGGTTGTAGATGTATGCATCCAAATATAGTCATCACACGGCGCAAAACTAAACTCTCACTGGCCATGTGCGAGTAATTTTGTCAGCTTCTGGAAGCTATAAGCCTTGGAGCTGTCTATAGATTGACTCCCAATGCTCAGGTACATACGCGTATAGAACGGCATGGCAATAGTATTCAGTAATAATCGGCGTATAAAGAGGCATTCACAACGCTACAACTTTCAGCCGAAACAGCCCTTGGCAATAGTGCCAACGGTATGGAACTGCCCAATTCTCATTACTGCTAATATTAGCCCGCAAAGTCTTGCAATCGTACCCATCGGAAATAACCTACTTTGCCCTTTTGAGGTGCAGCGTCCGGCCACCGGAGCGAAATATAGCGGGGGGAGCCGTTTTATCTTCCCCGCGCCGTTTATGATGTGATTGTGTTGCTGGATTCGGATAACTGGTGCTGTTAATCGTTGACTAATTGATAGATGGTGCACTGCAGCACGGTTAATTGCGCCGGGGCAAATCATGGATGCATGGACTCTTTTGCAGTCTATTCGCAGAGCTGTCTAGGATGTCTATCTTCTTTTCCCCTCTTCGACTTACATAGTTGACAGCGAAGACAGATGGAGTGAATCCAAGTGCTAAACAGGAGACTAAACAATTCAGATAACTCATCGTCGCAATGCCTCTCAGCAGCTCGTCTCTCTTCGAGGACCCAACCTACGACATGTTCAAGTTCCCTTCACGACGAAGCGTCGTCCACAGCACTGAGGGAATTGTCGCATGTTCACAGCCTCTGGCCGCCAAATGCGGTCTTGAAGTACTGCGAGCAGGAGGCAATGCTGCCGTAAGTAACGAAATGATGTGAATTATATAACAAACTCACTGACAAAGCCACAATGATAGGACGCTGCCGTAGCAGTTGGTGAGTTGAGTGTCCAAGACTCAAAATGTGACGCTATCTCACTACATCTTACTGACCAAGGGCCACTCGTCTTATACAGCCGCCGGCCTCAACATGACCGAGCCCTGCTCAACCGGCATCGGCGGCGACATGTTCATCCTCTACTGGGACGCCGCCAAGCAGCAAGTCTTTTCCATGAACGGCTCCGGCCGCTCGGGCGCAAACTGCACGCTCGAAAAGATCCGCGCCGACCTCGACATCGACGACGGCGACGTGGGCAAGATCCCCATGACGAGCGTCCATGCCGTGACTGTTCCCGGCGCGGCAGCCGGATGGGCGGATGCAGTTGAGCGGTTTGGCAGCGGCAGGCTGGATTTGAAGCAGATCCTGGACCCGGCGATTCGGCTGGGCGAGAAGGGATTCCCGGTGTCTGAAGTGACCGGCTACTACGTACGTTGGACTGGTCTTTTCTTTGATGTTGCAGGTATTTGATGTGTATGATGTAGGAGCCGTCTAGTGACGCCCTATAATCATTGCTTCCAGCCGTAGTTGAAGCTGCGAGTCTCCTTTTCAAACTGACAGCTATCAAGTGGTCCAGCGCAGAGCATCTCATCCGGGATGCTTCGCCCAACTATGCAGAAATGCTCAAAGTCGATCCCAGCCAAGCAGACGGCGTCAGAGCCCCCCGTCCAGGCGAAATCATGAAGAATCCCACCCTGGCACAGACATTCCGCACGCTGGCCGAAGAGGGCAAAAGGGGCTTCTACACTGGCAGAATCGCCCACGAGCTCGTCAAGGTCGTCCAGGATCTCGGCGGCCATCTCACATTGGAGGACCTGGAGCACCACCTTGAGCTGGGCAGCGAGCCCGTCGAGCCCATCTCTCTCAAGTTCCGCGGCCAGGGCCTCACCAAGGAATCTGCCGACGAGGGCATCGAGCTCTGGGAACACCCGCCCAACGGCCAGGGCATCATCGCCCTCATGGCCCTCGGCATCATCCAAGAGCTCGAGAAGCAGGGCGAGATCCCGACGTTCAAGCCCGACGACTTCAACACCACGCCCTATCTCCACGCCATCATCGAGGCCCTCCGCCTGTCCTTTGCCGACGGCAGCTGGTACATTGCCGACCCCAACGTCACGCCCGTGCCCATCGAGGGCCTCCTCTCGGAAAAGTATCTCTTCCAGCGCGCCTCGCTCTTCAACCCCAAGCGCGCCCTCGATCTCGTCGAGCACGGCGAGCCAAACTTCCCCTCGCCGGCCCTCCAGAGCAGCGACACCGTCTACTTCACCGTGTCTGATTCTCACGGCAACGCCGCCTCCTTCATCAACTCCAACTACGGCGGCTTCGGCACGTGCATCATCCCCAAGGGCTGCGGCTTCACGCTCCAGAACCGCGGCGCAAACTTTTCCCTCGACGCCAACCACCCGAACAAGCTGGAGCCTAGAAAGCGGCCGTATCACACCATCATCCCGGCCATGGCCACCAATCTCAAGGACGGCTCTCTGCACTCGTCCTTTGGCGTCATGGGCGGCTTCATGCAGCCCCAGGGACACGTCCAGGTCCTGCTAGGCCAGATTGTCGGCAAATTGAACCCGCAGCAGGCGCTGGATGCGCCGCGGATATGCGTCGGCGCGGGCTTCCCCGAGCCCGGCAAGCCGTTGGACTGGACGGTGAGCGTCGAGGAGACGATGGCGCCCGAGGTTATCGAGGGGCTGAGGCAGTTGGGCCACAAAGTGGTTGTTGTTGGCGGAGGGCCAAAGAGAGGCCTGTTTGGACGAGGGCAGATTATCAGATACACGCTTGATCCGGTTGAGAAGACGCCGATTTGGTCGGCGGGCAGTGACATGAGAGCAGATGGAGCGGCATACCCGTTGTAGACGGATGGATCATATAGCATAAGCGAAGAGATGGTGGTATGATATTTCTTAGAGAAGTTAGGTATCCAGCACTCTAGTTCTAATTACAAGTAATTACTACATGTCCTATGTACACTTGGAAGTAGCAGTAGCAATAGTAGCAATAGTAGCAATAGTAGCAATAGTAGCAATAGTAGCAATAGTAGCAATAGTAGCAATAGTACTACGTCTTCCAGTTATTCCAGTTCTTCCCAAAGGGTGACTTCTATCCAAGTATCCTCAGACTTATCCTCTGTAGCCTGATGGATGCATTCAATGACCCATTCTAGTTCATTATGCTCCGCCCACCTCAGAAGAACTTGCTTGTGTTCGGCTGGCAGGACGTTAATGATGTGTGGATCGAGGGTTTCAAGAAGAAGCTCGTCCAGATCCGAGTCTTCACCAGTTGCCATGGTACTTATGATGAAGCTACCAACGGTGTCTAAAGCCTGTTCCCGAGTTATGGATCGCGAGACTCCACGGGAAGGCTCTGGTGATTGAGAGTGCTCAACTTCGACGTCCATCAAGGTGCTTGTTTCCTCAGGCATCGAGTCTTCACTAGCAGTATCATCGGCTCCTGTGTCTTTCTCGGGCTCATCGTTTCAAGTTTCGCTCTCCGCTTCACTGATTCTTGCTTCTGTCGCCGTACTTTAGGCGGCTTTGGCTGCTGCGCGTTCGGGTCCTCGTGGAATTGCAGGTCGGTGCTCGTACACTTGCAGTCCCGACGATAATTCTCAATGGCAAAGGGGATAAAGTCCATCTACCGAAGGATTTCAAGAATAATGGAGGCATCGAGGCCTGGGTTAGACGGAATTCGTCTAAATTGGTGAAATGCAGCAATTGCAATAAGTGTTGGTGCAGGGAGAATATGTAGCCTCCCATGACGTTTTGCAAGCCGGTACATCTCTCGTATTTTCTGCGTAGCATCCGCAGACCCGCCCCGGACAGAGCAAGTCGAAGCATCTAGGATGCGTGTCTTCTTTAGTTTCTTAACAGAGTCGTTGAAGGCTTCGCGATGTAGTTTTCTGGATAGTTTGGCCATTGTGAAAATGTTGCGCACGATTTTCTTATGCCACTCTTCTCGTTGGTCTTCGGTGAGATTCTGGATGAATCATTCGGCGTTTGGGTTATCGAACCAGTAGTTGTAGTAATAGCAGTGATTGTTGTAACAGTTATAATAGCAGTAGTAGCAGTAGTAGCAGTAGTAGCAGTAGTAGCAGTAGTAGCAGTAGTAGCAGTAGTAGCAGTAGTAGCAGTAGTAGCAGTAGTAGCAGTAGTAGCAGTAGCAGTAGTAGCAGTAGCAGTAGTAGCATTAGTAGCCCATGTTATAGCCAGAGTGCCAGATGACTAGGTAGGGTGCTGGATATCTGTTCCCAGTTTCTTTCTTTTATTTCGCCATGTGCCTGATTCGTCCATGTTGGCAACGGCTTTGATGATTTCTCTTGTTGGCGGCGGCATTTTGATCTGATTCGTTCGTCAAGGTGCCGTGGTGACGGTACTTTCAGGAGGAAGAAAAGGACGAGGGAAAGAAGGAGACAGACAGAGAAGAAAGAAACAGACAGAGAAGAAAGAAACAGACAGAGAAGAAAGAAACAGACAGAGAAGAGAAAAACAGACAGAGAAGAGAAAAACAGACAGAGAAGAAAGAAAAGCCAGTCACCGCCTTTTCCTCGCCATGTTTGGCCACCTGGCAGCTTTCCCAAGTTGTGTAACATACAAGAGCCCGAGAAGCAGGGCAGTGACATGATGGTAGTAGGCGTAGAACAAGCAAGATAGCCATTGTAGACGTACATATACACCATATAGCATACAGCAAGATATGGTCTGGATAGTAATACAAGATTTATTTCTTTTATTCCCCAAGCATACAAAGGCTCTCGTGTATATCATAATGTGTATTTAGCGTAAGCCCTCTTTGTATAACGCCGTCGCATATCGTACACTTGAATCCATCCCTCAACCATATCCTTTCTTTTACATGTCCTTCCTACTGCTGCTCCTTCTTGTCGCCCTCCTCCGCCTCAACCAGGACCTTGTTCTCGTCAAACAGCTTCGCCAAGTCTCCATTCTGGTGCATCGAGACCAGGATGTCGCATCCGCCAACAAACTCCTTGTTCAGGTACAGCTGCGGGATGGTGGGCCAGTCCGAGTACTCCTTGATTCCCTCGCGCAGCTCCGGGTCCTCCAGGACGTTGAAGGCCGCAAACTTGTCGGGGCTGACGCCCTGGATGCCGAGGATCTGGATGACGGCGCGCGAGAAGCCGCACTGGGGCGTTTCGGGCGTTCCCTTCATGAAGAGCACGACGGGCGCCGAGGCAACGGCCTTGTCGATGGCGCCGCGAGTGGCATCGGACAGCAGCCGCATCTGGAAGGGCGTGAGAGGGACGGGCATGCGGAAGGCCGACAGGGGAGCTCGAACTGCCGGCCGGGCTGCTGGCCGGGCAGCTTGCCGCAGGAGGCTCTGCAGCAAGTCATTGTCAGCAGGTTGTTGTCTTTCCGTCTTTCAATCGGTACATCTTGTAGGGCGCACTCGGCTTACAGAAGCGACTGATCGTGAAAACATGGCTGGACGTGTCTGGTGTGCCAGATGATGCAGAAAACATCAGCCGAGCAAAGCCTGGGCCGAGCAGAAAAAAGCTGCGGCTTCTGGCGTTGATGACTTGACAGCTAAATTCGGAGGGGTGATGCAATCGGTGGCGCTGGCCAATCACCGGCCAGATCGGTAATCCGGAAATCGGTTCGCCTAGAACGCACGCAGAAGCGTGACAAATCTGGCTTAAAGAGCCGGAGCGCCCATCGCCACAGGGCCGGGACGCTGCAGTTCCTAGTGAATAACCCCTGTAAACCCGCTGTCGTGAGAATGGACGGCGTCCTGTCCAATATCCAGAACCAAGGCATCACGACAATCCTGCGCAGCTCCGTATTCGCAGCCGCAATAATCCACTGCATCATCGCCGTCGCCATGCCGCATCTTAACGAGCTCTCCTCCAGCTCTCCAGCGCAGGATGTCTCTGCAGCCCGTAGCGACGGCAAGGTGCATCTCCTGCTGGCCGCCTCTGGATCCGTAGCAGCCATAAAGATTCCCAACATCATCAGAGGACTGTCGCAGCATCCCAACCTGTCAATCCGCCTCGTACTCACCAGCTCAGCCGCCCATTTTCTGCAAGGCCAGGCAGATGAGCAGCCCAGCCTGGCGGAGATTCGCAAGTATCCCAATGTCGACGCCATATACACGGATGAGTCTGAGTGGGTGCAGCCATGGACTCGGGGCGCGCCAATCCTGCACATTGAGCTGAGAAAATGTGAGTCAAGTCATGTCTCGTGAATATTGTGTGAATATTGTCTGCTGCATACTAAACATTACTTGCTCAAATAGGGGCCGACCTATTGGGTATGTTAGACTCCCCTCATACCCTCTGGACGCGATTACTTACGTGAACATCAGTAATTGCACCACTCAGTGCAAATACCCTCGCCAAGATGGTGCACGGCATTAGCGATTCTCTCCTATTATCAATTGCCCTCGCCTGGGACACCGACGGCTCTGTTGACGGCAAAAAGAAGAAGATTCTCGTCGCCACAGCCATGAACACCGCCATGTTCCGGAGTCCCCTCACGCGGCGCAATCTCAAGACTCTCAACGACGTCATGGGCGGCCCGGATGGATGGGTTGAAGAGCTCCAGACCATCTCAAAGGGGCTTGCCTGCGGAGATGTTGGCCAGGGCGGAATGGCAACATGGGAGACGATTGTGGCGGCGATTCAGAGCAAGCTTGGGTTGGCGGCTGAAGGGAATGGAGATGATGAAAGTAGCAGATTAAAAGAAGACAACTCAGTTGGCCAGCAGACAGGCTCAACAGTGAATAAGAATAAATGACCAAATGAGTGCATTATCTGGTACCTACCTGGATTATGGAAGCGAACTCTGTCTCCAAACCAACATGAAGTTGAGCTTCCTGGACAAAAACACTTCTTCCCCGTTATCATTCCGTCGCATTTCCAAGCACCTGAGCTGGCACGTATTGGATGCTATACATGGCATACAAAGTAAGAGGGAAAAACACATGCAACAATTCTTTAATTTCTTGAAAGCAAATAATTAACCGTCCATTATCAACGTAGGTATTTCTGTTTTAGCAAAATGAAGTCCCGATTTCCCAAGTTTAATATATCCCAAATACCAAAGGCTTGTCTGCCGCCTAGGTAGGTAAGTATGTAGGTAGGTAAGAAGGGCTTTATATTTTTATCTCTAGCCTTATTCAAATAAAGCTGTATAAATAGTAAGATTTAATTAATGTTACTTATACTATTAGAAAGCTCTAAAGTTGCTAGATCTCTTTATATTAATAAAAGTTCATTTAGGTAAAGCATTTTAGTAAAAATTACTACTTAGTTAATAATTCGTGGTATAAATTACCTTGATACTACAAATGCAATATCGCGAGACGTGCGTTCAATACGCAACACAATAGTAAAACAAAGTCTTGTCTACTTTCAACAGCAGTAAGCTTGGCTAAAAACAACCAATTGCCAGTTGATATTTATTTAGACTTCCCTAGCGTTAGCTTTTTCCTTCTTTAGGAAGCACAATAACCATCTGCTCGGTCACTGCCTGTTGAAGTTGCTCACCCAGGGCTTTGTATTCTTCTTCCATAGCCTCTTGACCCTCGTCGTATATCACCGATATCCGTTTAACAAGTTCAGCGACGGCCTCCAAGGCTTCATCGCGCTTGATCTTGACTTCAACCATCTTGCGTGGTGGGTATATCGGCTGGGTGTCAACGGGCACTTGAGACTTGTCGGGTCTATTCGCATCCGCGGACGACAGGTTGCTTGAATTCTTCGCTGACTCGGCCGCCTTGCTCTTGGGCTTTGGGGTTGCTTGTGTGGTTTGAGGGTTGGTCTGGCTTGGCTGTTTGGCTGACTCGACCGCCTTACTCTTGGGCTTTTCCGGTTGTGTATTTTCCTGTTCTCGTTTTGCCCTTTCTTTCTCTTTCGCATTGTGTTTCGCCTCCTGAAATGCCTTATTATCTTTCACGTCTTCTGCCAGTTGGTCTTTCATTAGCTGAGGCTTTTTGACTGCTACTGCTACTACTGCTGCTACTATTTCTACTATTTCTACTATTTCTACTATTTCTACTATTTCTACTATTTCTACTATTTCTACTATTTCTACTATTTCTACTTTGCCTGATAGACTGCAGTGTATTTCTGCCAGTCCTTGTTCACCATCTCAAAGACAGACGTAACTAGCATGTGAACCCAGTCGTCCCGCTGGTCCTCCGTTAAAACTGCGACTGTGTCTTTATGCCGCGGGTTGTTCTTGGAGATGTCATAGAATGCGGTTTTGACTTCCGTCGACGGGTCCTGCCATTTGTCTGGCTGCTCCACGTTCTCGACATAGTCGACGCCCTTTCGGTTGTGCAGCGCCATTTGATAACAGGTCGTGTGGCGACGGTTGCGATGAAGGGGGAAATGAAAGAAAGAAGAGAAAAGAAATGAAGAGGAGAGGGGATTTATAGGAGTAGAATAAGGCATTGTACTTTTATGCCTTGCGTGCCTGGGTGCCTTACGCATATTCTTAATTGCCAGCTGGCGAGTTCTTATTTATTATATTCTGCCAGCTGGCGAGCGTTTTATATTTTTTGCCTACCTGGTCGTATCATACTACTAGTACCAAGGCGCGGTTGAGGTGTTCTGAGCACACGTGCCTTGTACCTCTTCTTTCCCCAGTCAATCTCGTCTCCTTCATTTTTTTGTCTTGCTTCATCCTCACATTCTTTCTCCTCTTCCACTCCCTCTCACTCCATCCATTTATCGTCCATCGTTAATAACCCAACCTATCTATCGTTAAGCCCGTCATCAATATCCCACCATGGCGCATCCCAGCCGACCATCCCTCATGAGCCGCCTCTTCCCCCAAGAAGATGGCCCAGCAGGTCGTCTCTCCTCCACCGAAGATCCATCGTCCTCTACACTATTCTCGGCGGAGAAAGCTCCATTTGGATCATCGTCGTCGGCATCATTCCAAGACGAAAGCATTCGCCGCAATAACCTGTATCAAGCATGTTTTGCTTCCTTCAGCAACACCGCAGCGCAAGACAGAGTGCAGCAGGACAGGGCCGTCGAAGAAGACATTCTGACATCTCTCAAAAGTACGTCAGCTATCAAGCCGCGACAAGTTCCTCGAGCGCATTGTCTCCGCCAGTTACTAATCCTTTACCTGTACAGAAGCCTTTGCCGAAGAGGCCGTCGAACTGCACACCTCCACCAGGGCCAAACTCTTCGAAGCTCAGCAGGATATCAATTCGAAAATCTCCGACTTCGAGACGCTTACGTCTTCCATCACCTCTGCCGTAGACGACATATACGCCAACTTGTCATATCCACCTTCTGCTACCCTGTGCAGCTCTGACAACTTCCCCTCGGTCACCGTCGCAACTCATCTTGCAAGCGCCAAAGCCCAATTAGAAGAGGCGAAGAAGCAGCTTCACGACCTACAAGACGAGTGGGAGGATACCGTTCGCTTGGAAGAAGGCCTTCGCAAAGAGCTTGCCAGCATAGAAAAGGCGCCTGGACAGAGTGATGCGGATGATGCCAGAATGATCAGCTTCAAGGAACAAGTGGAGCAGCTCGTGTTGAATAACATTCAGGCCCTTGACGAAATAGAAGATGTGAGTAGATTCGAATCATATGACTTGGAAGAACATGGCCTAACCCAGACTACAGACATACAAAGAAGAGGTCCAAGCAGAGAGAATGAAGATGATGCAGGCCATGTGGGACTAGAAATATGTGAAGAATCTTGTCTATTTTTTTCTTCTACCGCTACATATGTATCTATTTTCCTCAGCCATGACTTTAAATCACGCCGCCGCTGTGAGCGTATTCCCATTCGCCAATAAACTCCGTCCCTATATGATGATTTCAGAATCGTGAAATGAACAAGGCCATGCACTTGGCCATGCAAGAAAATAACAAAAGGAAATCATTCGCGTCAAATCATGCTTCTTCTTGTCGCTCGTCGTAAGGTTTTGTCTTTTTTTGTTTTTATTCCCTTTTTGGGCGGAAAAAAAGACTTTTACTGCTTCTCGGGAATCACAACACCCCACTTGTGGCTGACGTTGCCGTACATGATGTCGCCGATCCAAGTCTTGATCTTGGAGGTGATGACGTTGGGGGTGTTTTCAGGGCCCATGGGAATGTTGATATCCTTGCCGCGGTGGTGGATGGCAGAGACGGGGCAGACAAAGTACTAGGCGGTAATGCGTTAGCTTTCTATCCTTTACATCAGCATCAGCAGACTAAATCGACTTACAGCAGTTCCGGCGGCAAAAGACTCAATCAGTCGTCCCTCGGCATCGGCCTCAATGACCTCGTCAATGGTGTACTTGCGCTCGGTAATCTCCAGCTCGTCGCCCAGACGCTCGCGGGCCATCTCCAGGATGCTTCGGCGGGTGACGCCGTCCAGGATCAGCTTGTCGTCCAGGGGCGCGGTGATGAGCTCCTTCTTGCCGTCCTTGCGCGTCCAGACAATGAAGAAGTTGCTGGCACCGGCCTCGGTGCACTCGCCATCCTTGCCGTACAGCCACAGGATCTGGTGGTAGCCGCGGCGACGGGCATCCGAAGTGGCAGCCAGCGAAGGGCCGTAGTTGGCACCGACCTTGGCATAGCCGAAGCCGCCTACCCAGGCGCGGACCATGTCCTCGGGCGACGTGTGCAGGCGCATGCCGCCGACGGGGCTGTCGAGCTTGGGCATGTACGTGATGATGATGTACAGCATGGCCTCGCGGGGGGCCTGGACGCCGAGCTGCGACTGCGTGCCAATCAGGGTGGGACGGATGTACAGGTAGTTGCCGGGCTTGTCCTTGGGCAGCCATCGAGGGCCGTCGACGGAGAGCAGAGACAGGATCAGCTTCTCGAGCTCGGCCGGGTCAAAGATGGGCAGCGAGATGCGGCTGGCAGAGAGCAGCATGCGGGCGCAGTTGCAGTCCGGGCGGAAGGTGCGCAGCTTTCCATCATAGCCGCGGTAGACCTTGAGGCCCTCGAAGCACTCGGTGGCGTAGTGCAGCACAGAGGCCGTGGGCATGAGGCTCAGGGGGCCGTAGGGCTTGATTTCGGGGGCGGCCCAGCCTCCAGCGGCGGTCCAGGTGGCCGTGAGCATGTGGTCAGTGCAGATGGTGTGCTCGCTGGCATTGGCGACGGCCTCGTCGGGCACCTCCCGCGGGTTCTTGGTCAGGTTGTAGGTGAGCTTGGAGGCATCGAGGGGAGCCGGCAGGACGTCGTCGGTGGTGGGCTTGGTGGGCTGCGTGGCCTCCTTGACCTGGATGTTGGCGGCTGTCAGGTCGACATCCTGGGTTGGGATAGCGGAGGGGGCCATTGCTGCGGTTGAGAGGCAAAAACCAAACGTGGACTTGAAGCAAAAGTAAAGGTTGATGTTTTGGGAACAAGAGAAGAGAGGCTTCCTGTGTTCAAGGAGGGAAGGGAACAAGTCTCTTTATCTGTGGAATTGGGCCAGGTCCGGACTCTAGAGGAGTACCCGGCGGGTGCAGGGTCCGATGGTGGGTCAAGGCAATGGGGGAATGACTCAAATGGAGTAAAGAAAAATTCTTGTGGCTTGTTGTACCTGGACTGGGAGCGCGAGGTTGAGGAGGAGACTCTGGCGGAAGCTCCGTATCGGAGGCGGGAGCTGCTTCGGCAAGTTGCAAGTGCAAGGATACCAAAAGGGAAGTGCTCTTCTGTTTCTGGGGTTGGCAGGTGAGAATATGGGAATAGTAGACAGTCCCGGATTGGATAATTTTTAAGCACGGCAAAATAAAAATGAATACTGGATGGAAAATACAAAAACAAAAAATGTTGTCACTTGCTGCTCCAAAGAGGCAAATCGGCTCCGCCGTACCAGAAAAAAAAAGGTGCTTATCCCGTCCTGTTGGTTAGGATCCACCCCAAAGTCCGGCTGCCAGCCAACAAAAGTGATAGGAAACGGTAACTTGTGGTTCCCAGCTTCATTAGCTAGTTGGACAAAGCGGCTACTCAAGGAGCAAAGAAAGTCGGTGCGGCGTAAAGTGGGTTCTTGCTAGGGAAAAAAAAAAAACTTGTCGTTCCAGGTGCGGCGCTAGAAGCTGAAACTAGCAGATAGGCGACGATGAGAGACACTTGACAAAGGGCGTGGATGGGGATTGGACTAGCAATGGTATCGGATTATTATCAATCTCGCACAAGTACGTAGAAAGTAGTACAACTTGATGATGATAAGAGGAGGCTCCTAAAAACGGAGCTATTGTTTTCCAGTTACTGACACAGGATGCGGCTGTGGGGATCCGTGAGGAAGCACCAGTGACTTGATGAGGAAAGAGAAGAGACCCCCAGCCTGCAAGTAAGCAGAATTAAGTATTCGACACAAAGAAACATCAGCTATACGACAAGAAAGATTACAGTTTTGCTGAAATAGGGACGAACGGAGATGCAAGAAAGCCATGGGCCCCCTTGACTGGCTGCGCTGAAAACATGGGCAGGTGACCGCTGAAGGTTTTATCAACCCGCAACTTTGATATCGCGCCTGTACTATCCCGTGTCTGCCCGCGCCACCCATGTGCCGAGCTGTGTCTCAGCCTTTTTCTGTTATAAATAGCGTGTCATTGTTTGTTTTTCCTTAGCACGGTTTCTGTACGTAATTGTACTGATGCTGCTCATGACTGCTGATTTGTGTCATGAGATTCTTCCATCTCCAGTGAATGAATGATTCAATTGCCTCCGGCAGTTGTACTCTGCTGTAATACAGCGCCCATCGCTGTAAATTCCGCTCTTTTGTCGTCCCCCCGCCAAAGCGGATCCCCAAGAGCCGATGCCGAACAGCCCGGCCCAACTTTCCGGCGTGCGGAAATGCTCCGACCCGCTTGTTTTCGCTTAGGCCGCGGCCCCTCGTGCCAAATCAGGCGTGGGCGCAGTCAGATAAGATAGCTGGAGGATGGATTACAGTTGCAGCATGACGATGAGATACGGACAAAGGACATGATGTCGACGTGTATGTACGTAAGCCAATTGCATGTACTAATTGTAATTTAATCAATGCGCAGAGTGAGAATGTGGCATCCCTCCTTACTGTTAGCCCAATTGTATGCATTCCGATAAGGCAACTGCAGCTCTTTGACAAGACAATGCGGGGAAGGGCGCGCCAAGTTGATCAATTTTGATCAGTTTTTGAAGCCCTCCGTCTTCGGGACGTTGGGTTTAGCAGACAGATTCGCAGATTGTGCGATGAAACCTCGGAGTGGCATTCCACTGGCGCCGTCACCGGTCCGGGAGTCGAATCAACGGGAGTCACATCTTGTCCTCATTTTGTTCTTCTTCTTTTCTCTTCTCTTCTCTTTTCCTTTCTCAATTAATTGTAGAATTGCAATCATGCTCTTTTACTCCGCAAGTCCTCAAAACGCCTCTTTTCTCATATCACCTCTTCCGTTTCCGTTTCGCTATCACTAACCCATAGCGTCCTATCATCGATCCCCACTCAAAAAAATATCCTCAGAGTAAAAGGCGGAATAGTCGGTGCCGTCAATAGCCGTTGCCTCCATGTAAGGAACACAACAACGCCCAACAAAGAGCCCCCCTCTTTTCAATCTCATCGCGGTTACGCAACTGTGTTTGGCTGCGTATGACGGCTATGAGATCATCGATGGCCGCCGGCGCATAAGCCCGCCCTCATGTGGTCAGAAGCCGTGGCGGTGACATTCCGCCCAACCACAGCTCAGCAAGCAAAAGCCATCATTATTCGAATTTGGCCAATTGACAATTCGTCGCCAAGCCAACCCGCTTCTATGTAATACTACATACCTATGTACTTTGTACTCTAATATCTCTTCCCGATTCATTTTTTTCTCCTCTGGCCTGTTGAAGACTCTCTGTGGGTATTGCCCAAAACTCCAGAAAAAAAAAGTTGAAAAATCACATCGCCTGCTGTGACCATCTCTTCAATGCACGCAAACATGTCTTCTCTACACTCCTTCAGCTTGACATGACTCCTCTCTCCGCCTCCTTCTTGCGCTGCTCCTCCTCCAACAGCTCGCGAGCCCTCGCCGCCGCTTCCACCTCGGCCTTGACGCCCTTGGCCCGCTGTCGCGCCTCGTACATGTCGCGGCTCTTCATGATTCGCTGCACAATCTCGCCCGCATTGACGTGAGAGAACGTGTGCTCGCCGATCTGGCGGTATATGCCCATCGCTTTGGGCGCCGTGTACGGGTCATATGTCAAAGGCATGAATGCTGTTGGTCCGTGGTAGACTGCGTCGGGAATGCCCCACGGCAAATCCGAAAGGTAGCTCTCAGTCGGCGTAAACGGAGCCCCGAAAACAGTCGCATTAATATACTGGAGCAAGAATAAGCAATCGGTACAAGATGCAGAGGGAAGAAGGGATGGCTAGAAGTGGTCTTACCTTGCACTGAAGGACGCAGAGTCCACGCTCGTAGATGTTCATGATGGGGTAGTTAACGCCCTTCCACTCATTAATCACCCTGTCCTCGTGAACGCCCGCCACGACATATGCCGGGCCGTAGTCCTTTCCACCGTTTGCCTGCTTCCTCTTCTCCGTGGCCTCTGCAGAAAACCAGCCTGCCTCGCGCGCAAGCTTGTCTTCCTCTTCCAGTACCTTACACAGGAATGCAATGTGACCACTGGAGAAGAGATCGAACCCGCCATCGACATAGACCACGCGCTGGCCGGGCTTCTTGCCAGCTCCCTCGAGGAAGCTCTCGTAGGACCCGCGGACGCCCTCGCTAGACCCTGACTTGTCGGGTGTCGCAGAATGCCAGAACCAGACGTCGACACCGGGGTTCTTTGCAGTCTCGTCCGTTGCGTATAGCTTGATTCTGTCCAACATGGCCTCAGACTGGGCCTTGCGCTCCTCTGTCGTGCCTACGCCCTCTTCTCCGGCCAGCACCTTCTTCAGAGACTTGATGAAATGCGTCCTGGTGCATAACAGCATGCGTCCAACGAGGTCTGTGGTGGAAATTCCAGGAGAGCGCTTGACTACCTTGAACCGCCCAGCCTCCTTGACGAAGCGGTAGCAGTCATTTCCATCGCTGTCCGAGGTAATATCGTCGCCGTGAACAACGTATCTGCAACCATAGTGCGAGATGTAGGGGAGCTGCGTGACGTAGGGAGCATGGCCAACCGATTTGGTGACCCAACGACAGGCATCTGTAGCTGCGAGACTGCATGCCAATCTAGTCAGTATCTCTTGAATATTTTCGGTTTCTTGTACAATAGCCGCGAATGGGTCAACGTACCGCTCGTCGAGATCCATGACTGTAGGGCCCTTGTTGGCAAGGATCGATTCGTCCGAGTGGACACCGACGTATAGCTCATCGCCGAGCTGTCGAGCTTGAACCATGGCTCCAGCATGTCCTGAGAACCACGTCAAGACACGTCAGCAAAGACATGGCAGAGGGCCAATGGCAGAAATACGGGCACAAAATCGGAGTCTCACCATGATGGAAAAAGTCCCAACAGCCATCCACCCAGATGCGACCGTCGAGAAGCTCCGGCGCAGGCTCTCCTCGAGGCTGCTCGAGATCTTCAAAGCTCGGAGCGCTCATGATGGAAAGGCCGAGGACGAAAGGTGCTGATTCGGTCTAGTGGTGATGCAGGGATGCAATAAAATATTTGCAGTTGGTCGCGCAAACCGCGGAATGTCGATTCGCAGCTCGTTGGCACCTTGTGAAGCTCCAAAAGCGGCGTTGGTGAAGCTACCGCGGGTGCTGGGATTTCGAGAAAGCTGCTTGTTCAGGGGTTCAATCAAGTTACTCGACTGCGGGGAAATGAAGTGACATGCCACCGCTATCTTATCGGACAGGTTAGTGGGCGTTGGCGGCTTTGAGCGCTGTGGCTCCCCTAGAACCATCCAGCGAATGACGCTAGCACGTGAAGTTCAATGCCGCCTTGATGTTGAGGTATTGATCCATTTACTTCTTTGACGCTTCATCTGTTCATCATCTTCTCTTGTAGGACCTGAACACCATGTCTTCAATGAGATCGAGTTGAGAGCCTGATTATGAGGACCAATTGGTCGTTGCTCTCTTGGATTATCGGCTGGTCACTCAAACACGTGCTTTAGAATTCCACTTGACAATCTAGTATCCCGCCATGGGCCCTGTCTTGCTTCAAAAGTTCTCTCGTCCAAGGTCCTTCCGTCCAATTCTGGCAGCAGGATGGCTTCAACCCTAATATACAGCAATAGGTCAAGATCCACCTTGTCCGATCCAGGAACTGAAAATCGCCAGAAACACCGCCAAGCTGCTCCTACACGTGGGCGTCCAGGTGCATCACACACAATTTAGAGCCTCCAGCCCCGGCCTGGCCCGCCACGTTCCCGATCGATTGGAGCCTACAGGGCGCCTCATCTCCAGTGACATGTTGGCCGTTCTGCTCTCGACACCGACAACAGCACGCTAACAGCGGCTGCTCGGTCCAATTGCTGACAGGCCCCAGAGTCTCCAGAGTCTCCAGAGTAGCATCGGCGCTGCATATGACTTCATGGGCACCAACTGGCCCTGTCGATGTTACATTTCCCCGTTGCGACAGGCATTGACAGCGCAGCTCGACGCCATTATATAAGGCTGCGCAGCGCATCTTCTGCTCGGAGCTCGATCCGAACTCCTGCTAGTCAGCCAGCTTTGCGACGCCTCGAAACATCACAGCGTCTTCCGCCAAGATGAAGTCCTCTCTCCTGTCGGCTGTCCTGGCGCTTGCTCCCGGCGCCATTGCCTGGAAACAAGTCTCCAGCTGCGACGACATCAAGTACACGTCGGTCCCGGGCTTCTTCCTCCAGGACGACCCCAACACCAATCCCAGCACCTTTGACTATGTACGCAAAAATTACCCGCGAGATACGGAAGCAAGGCCAAACTCACACATGTCATAGGCAAGCCAGAACTTTGGCCTCCTCAACAGGACGTATCCCACCGATGCCAAGTTCGACCCTCGGCACAAGAAGACTCAGTGGCAGCGCTTTGCCAATTATGTCGACTCGCTGAACGAGGAGTGCAGAAGGGACAAGAAGACCACCTACAAGGTGCTCTTCATGGGCCGTCACGGCGAGGGATGGCACAACGCCGCCGAGACCTATTATGGCACTCCTGCGTGGAACGTGAGTATTGCAAATGCCCCCTTTGTTTTGTAGATAAGCCCTAGCCGGCTGCTAACATTTACTTTTCTCAGTGCTACTGGGGTGAACTCGATGGCAATGGCACTGCTACCTGGTCCGATGCCCAGTTGACTGCCAACGGTATTGCCCAGGCCAGCAAGGCCAACGCCTACTACAAGTCACGCTTTGAACAGGAAAAGATGCCGTACTTTGAGTCATACTACAGCTCGCCCCTCAAGCGATGCATCCAGACCGCCAACACCACCTTTGCCACTCTCAACCTGCCTCACTCACATGCCTTCAGGCCCACCATCAAGGAGCTCTTCCGTGAGAGCATCAGCATCCACACCTGCGACCGCCGCTCTACCAAGACTCAGATCCACGCATTTGCGCCCCATTTCCTGTTTGAGGAGGGCTTTTCCGAGGACGACCTGCTGTGGCGCGGCAGCGAGGACGAGGGCGAGACCTCTGCCCACCAGGTCGCGCGCAGCAAGATTGTCATTGACGACGTCTTTTCGCACGACGACAACACCTGGATCAGCATCACCAGCCACTCTGGTGAGATTGGCAGCATCCTGACTGTGCTGAACCACCAGTCTTTCGGCCTCAACACCGGCCAGATCATTCCTGTCCTTGTCAAGGCCGAGTTGGTTGAGCCCACTGTCGAGCCCACCACCACCTATGCTTCTTTCACTACCGAACCGACATGCAAGTCACCGCCCTTGACCAGTATCGCCGGCCAGGGTTGCGTTTGCGCCACCGTCACCACCACTACCTTTACCACTGCAAAGGCTACGTTGAAGGCCGAACTCTGAGGATTCCTGTCTTACTTGTACCAGGAGCAATTCTGCCAGGTGGCCGTCAGTGATGTTATTAAAAATACAAATGCTTAATACTGTATAAAGTACTTATAATTGATGATGATGTATAATACTTTATGAGCTGTGGTGTGCTGAGAGTTCTATGTCATTTAAATTATACCTCGGTTACTACTGCTACTGCTGATATAGACGCTACATTTAGTGTATATAAGATCCAAAACTTTTCTGTGTAGATTAACTGCTTCATCAGGTACATCTGGGCTGCTGGATAATCTCTTCCTCTTGTAAAACCAGATTCAGAGAGGAAAAAAAGTTTTTATCAACCATCCAGTGACACAATTGGAATAGATGTCCTAGCTGCCATGACACCGCGGATGAATCTGTAAACACAACTTCGTGTACTGTGTTCTCGTAGGAACTGGCTGCTACGCCAACGGTGAAATTTCGCCTTTACAAGGACCTCGAGATGAAACCTTCCTGGGCTAATTTCATCACATGTCGAGGCTTATATTCAAACAGTAGATCTGGAATTCAGTTGCCCTGGCGATGGGCGCTAACATGTGAGATTGCCAGCAACATATGTTTGAGGCTATCAAAGGCAACAAACTTGTTCAAGTTTGTGATTTATTCTACAGCTTTCCATTGTATGAAAAGGTAAGCTGAAGTTAAAGGAAGGCTAAATAAATAATGATAGAGCCACATGGCCACTTAACAGAGGTGCTTATTTATTCGGAATTTTTACTGAGCCATCCTCTTCTTTCTGTCCCCTTTCTCTCCTCTTTTATCGCCAAGCTTCCTCATATCACCTGGATAAGTAGCGCTGAACTAACACTGAAACAATCAGTTGCTTTCGATCAAACACGGCAGATTTGTTCAAACTGTGACAAGGGACGACGTCGGGGCGTTTGGCTATTAGACTTGACTGTAATCACTAGCATATCCGTTCTCACACCGCCGTGCACCAACTTGGTTCTTTGGTCATTACAATACAGACACATTCTACTCTTCTATTTATTACAACATGAATAAATATTATCCATAGCTGTCGTCAAGGATTTCGTCTACAAGATGGCCCCCCGCAGAAACGCACGTTTGAGCGGGACACACATTGAGCAAAATATATCGCCAAAAGCCAAAAGAATCGTCAACATGTCACCACCACGCCGCCGGATAGTGCAAAACGTCGCCGGAGCTCAACAGCGAGCGATGCAGAAAACGGATCCAAATGGTTCGACTTGTCGGCCTACAAGACGACTCCGCAGTAATGGAATACCTCCATTTTCTCACTAGGGTGTTGGATACCCAACCTTTTTTCCTATAATAAAGGCCGGTTAAATGAGGGAGAGGGAGTTATATAATCGTTGATTGCTATCAAAGCCTTCATCAACCATCCGCCGACAAAATTAAAACGAGAATCATGGCTGCCGTAATGTTTCAGAAAAGCCTCTGTAAATAGTCTCGTATACTGTGGTCTCATAAGGAACTGGCCATCATGCGGAATGTAAACCCCATTTACAGGGACCTCAAGATGAACCTCCGTGGCCCTACATGAAGTCATCATATCTTGAGCCCCGTATCCAACAAAGCAAAATCCCTTAATGAACTTCTTCATCCAATCTGTGAATCGCTTGACTGCGAAGACCTGACCACTTTTTTTTGTTGAATGCATCTGCTGTTGGTGAGGTTGCTACATTTCCTCTTATTGCAACTCGAGAGAGAGATTGTCAAACGCGTTTGAGCTAGAGCAAACACAGATCCAGTCCATCGCAATCGCATCTTCAGCTCGTCATATCGACACTGGCGTTCCAATTGCTCACAGACGGATCCCAACCACAGGGCCATGATCTTTCAATACCGCCCGCTGCCACTTTCCAGTTGCCTCCCGCCAGCTTTGGCGCCAAGTTGCAGCCTCGCAAAAACGTGCTTAGAGTGCTCAAGCCCTTCAATTCCCAGGACATTAAAATCTTGCTGCTGGAAAATGTTAACCAGGTGAGACTGTTTTCGACACTTGTGTTTGCGGTATACTCATTGTACAGTATTCCTTTGAGGTGAGCGGTTTTTATCAGTGAACAACGGATTGTTTAACGGAGAAGTCATTCAGCACCCTAATTTTATTATATAACACCCCAACTATAGTATAATAAGACAGCTAATTTATATATTAAATATACAGCTGCTAAATTCTTATTAAAATAATTATAATAGTAATAATAATAATAGTAGTAGCAGTAGTAGCAGTAGTAGCAGTAGTAGCAGTAGTAGCAGTAGTAGCAGTAGTAGCAGTAGTAGCAGTAGTAGCAGTAGTAGCAGTAGTAGCAGCAGTAGCAGTAGTAGTAGCAGTAGTAGCAGCAGCAGCCTAAGCTACAGCTGGAGTGCTAAATAATATGATCGGGGTGCTAGATAACTTCTCTCTTTATTTTTGGGGTGTTGGATAATAGAACTGGGGTGCTGGATAATGGCCCCCTTATTATAACCCACGAGTGCGAAATACCGCGAAAAGAGCACAACATTCCGACTCGATTTGTTACAATCGACAAGCCGGACATCAGACTGCCTGCTCTATAAACACCACAAACCAGAGCCATGGAAACAGAATACAAAGAGAAGAAGAATCCTGACCAATAGCAAAAATAAACACAAAAAGAAATGTTTACTGCGTAATCTGGGAATCGAACCCAGGGCTCCCCGACGTTGCGGATGGCAACGGAGAATTTTACCACTAAACCAATTACGCGGTTATGAGTTGTGATGGTGGCTCTCTGCGAAATCTCACATCTTGAACAAAACATACAGCGACATATCGACGCATTTGAGATACCGCCATCACCAAGTATTAACTCTCTACAAGCAGTCTCTCATATTCTAGAGGAGCTGGTCTGCCAGTATTGGTACATACATTGAAGTCCCAAATGTCATATCACACACCATGTGTATCTTATCTTAACGACGGATTGACTCCAACTACACGATCTCTCGGACCTAAAAGCCTACCTACAATGGTTTAGTCTACTGGCTCTATCGAACGGGTGAGTATGAGCGTTAACGAGTGGCAAGATAAGATGTGGCGTATTTGGAAGGCGTGTATCTTAGAATAAGCTTACTCAAGAAGGAGATAAGCAGCGGTATCGTGAGAAGATGAAGAATACTCAAAATCGTTTTCAAGAGGAGACTAAAGCTTCAAGTTTCCGAAGTCGCAAGGAAAACTCTTCAGAGAAAGGTGGCAGTGACTTCAAACCAATGCTTTGCAGGCGATCCAAGTGTCGTTTCAGTGTCTTCCATCTCTTCAGGTTCCTCTCTAGAATCTCGATATTTGGACTTGTGGATTTACTCGAGTAGAATAGTACTAGTAATTACCATATGTTCCAATAGCTCTCTATCTTCTCAAAGTTTTCGTATAAGCTGTAGTTCATGGTCTTATCCAAAGATACAATATTGGCCAAATAACCATCATATTGTTCGCAAAGGATACTCTTTTAAACTCAGCAGTCCCATGCCCTCCATTTCTTGAGGAGTGCCGTATACGCAATAGTAGCTTACTCTTCAACCATCCTGAATATTTCCACCTCACCAGCGGCAAAACTAGCTGTTCCCAATGCGTCGTCCCCTTTCCAGCTGACTTTAGGCAAAATAACAAATCGTTGTTTAATCACTATAAACATCATTACTAACAGAAAACATGTCATAGAAACATCGTGTCAGCAACGGGCAACTGTGCCTTCTCCCCGAATCCAACTTTATAACCAATTTAGCCGTTAGACAAGCTGCAGGCCAAGCCGCCTTCACCCCTCAAATCAGTGTCTTTGAGTCCCGGTTTTTTATTTCCCGGACTGCTTCATCGGCACTAGGCTGATAGGTAGGAACATTTTCTTGTCAAGAATCTTAGGGCGTATGCAGCTGTAGGCAGGGGTGTTGGAGAAGTTTATGGTTAAAAGAAGCATATGATAATAGTATATGTAATACATTCAGCTTAATATAGCTAATGCTGCATGGCTACCCATGACTGCTGCTACCATGACACGCTGTCTCTACCTTGCGGCAAAGATGGGACTATTCGCCATTTGAGACCAGGATATTGCAATTGCAGTGTAGCTATTCTGAATGCTTGATTTTGTTTCCCATTGTGGTTTACTGCGCCCCATATCTCTCCACATATGACTGTTATGAACAGCAGATACTACTTCAAAATAGCCCGTCCCTTCGCACGCTACTGGGTATGCCTTTTTCCTTTTATTTTCTTCTCCTTTTTTTTCTTCAGTTCGATCCCCGAGTTGCCAAGATCAAATTAGCCGTTAGCCAGTGAATGAAGTGTACCGGTTCTTGCATGTGCCGGAGCCAAGGACTTGAGTCCAGACGACGTCGATGCGAGCTGTAATTTAACAGTAGTTACTGCTCAGGCATTACCACGTCAGAATAAGAGAACAAGGCGTAATGGTTCCATGAAAACCAATTTCCCCATTGGCGCGGTAAAATGAATCATGACATGCACCTGGTCTGCTCTGAAGCCGTATGAGACAAGGTAGCCGTTGCTGTAATTATCCGCGAACCAACTTATAACGACGTCCCAGCCCGCTGTCAACCGGGGTCTTTTAGTGAATCAACAATCAAACAACCACATTCACATAGTCTACCACAGCAAGACAGAGAAGCCCATCAACACCATGGTCGCCTTCACATCTCTCCTCGCCGGCTTTGCCGCTGTTGCCGGAGTCCTGTCGGCTCCTACTGAAGACGTGCAAGTCGAAAAGCGTCAGGCCATTGGCCCCGGCACTGGCTTCAACAACGGCTACTACTACTCGTACTGGAACGACGGCCATGCCGGCGTGACTTACACCAACGGCGCTGGCGGCTCGTTCAGCGTCAACTGGGCCAACTCGGGCAACTTTGTGGGAGGCAAGGGATGGAACCCGGGCAGCAGCACCAGGTGAGTTTCTGTTTGCCACCCTTTGTACCACACATGTATCCGTGTCAGAGAGCTCACGCCACGCAAGAACCATCAACTTCTCCGGCAGCTACAGCCCCAACGGCAACAGCTACCTCTCCGTCTACGGCTGGTCCAAGAACCCGCTCATCGAGTACTACATTGTCGAGAACTTTGGCACCTACAACCCGTCGACGGGCGCCACCAAGCTGGGCGAGGTGACGTCTGACGGCAGCGTCTACGACATTTACCGCACGCAGCGCGTCAACCAGCCGTCCATCATCGGCACGGCCACCTTTTACCAGTACTGGTCGGTGCGCCGCAGCCACCGCTCCAGCGGCTCGGTCAACGTGGGCAACCACTTCAATGCCTGGCGCAATCTCGGCCTGACGCTGGGACAGCTGGACTACCAGATTATTGCCGTGGAGGGATATTTCAGCTCTGGCAGCGCCAACATTAACGTCAGCTAGGTGGCTGATGAGGAGGACATGTAGTCTTTGTTGAGGCAACTGATGGCAGCAATTAGCAGTGTACATGTGGACTCGTATACACATCATTTGACCAAGTAGGAAATTAAACGTGTTTGGGTACATTGTTGTTCACAGTGATCGAACCTATGAAGCGACCTCGATGCCATCTGTCCCAGGAAACATGCTTTGATAGAGATGCGTTGCTGATCCGCGACCCGAGCCGCCAACTCTAACGCTGGCTCGTCCACTAACAGCACTAAGCCGGCAGGCAGCGGACCCCAGTTGCGTGTAATCGAGAGAGCTGTTCATGTTAATGAAGACGGAATCGGCCAGATTAGCCTCGGTGGCGCCCAGTAGTTGAAAGTCGAAAGCCTCTGACTGGTGCATGTCTGGTGTTGATTACATCAATGTACCGCATCAGGTCCGCAGGGCTGCTGGGTACCTGCAGCTCTACCCGCTATACTTGTAGTCGCGCAGGTACTATTCGGCGTCTCTCACGCTTAGGCTGCGGGACATAGATGGCCCGGCGCAGCGTCAGTTCGCGACCGGCTCCAGCGCCAGCTCCAGGCATCCGTCACCAGACCACGCCTCACTTCGCGCCAGAGCCAAACTCTGTCGCCAAACATCATCAGCGTCCAGGCGCAACCGGAACCGCGACGCCCTTCTGCGCAGAATCGACACCGAAGCAAACGCCTGGCCGAGCCTCGTATCGTATCTGGTCCGCCGTGCCTGTCGCTTGAGCCCTCCCTAGCGCATAAAATGGGTTGAAACTTATCCCCCGGCCCGGCCACTCGTTGTTTCTCCCAGCCCTTTTCTCTCGCGCATCTCTGCCTGTCTGATCGCGACTCTCGCCTTCTTCTTCCTCTCCTCCTCCTCTCCTCCTCTCCTCCTCCTCTCGCCTTCCGCACCCAAACGACGCGTCGCATCGCAGCGCACAGCGGCCAGACGGGCTCGCAAACGCACGTCTTAGCGAGCACAAGCGAGTCAGCCAGCAGCACCCACTCGGGCAGGGAGCAGACAGCCAGTAAGTCCACAGCGCTCCAGCGACCCCCCAGTCCTGCAGTAGTGTCGTTTATACCGAGTTGGCTCGTTCTCCTGCATCTTCCAGCATCGTCCAATCCAGTCCATCCTTTTTGCCGTTGTCTGTGGTTTTGTCATTTTGTCGTTTTGTCATTTCGTCACTTTGTTTAGCCCGCATGGCATAGCATCTCGTTGTTGCCCTCCCGTCTCTGTTTTCTCGCGGCTCTGGCGTGCATTTCTTGTCCTCCATTCTCGGGTCCTTGGCTCGCACGGCTGGGGCCGGTCGGCGAAAACCGCGCGGCGCCCACCGAGAGAGTTGACGACGATGGCTAATCGTAAAGCGCACCAGCGCGAAGTCAGTAACCTGCACGAAGACCTCGGCCCCTACTACAGCCAGCCTGGCCGACGCGATATGTCGCAGCGAAACCGCAGCGGCCGCGGCTCGAACCGCAACAACGGCGGGGCCCACGGAGAGGAGGCCACGATATGGGAGTCGGCTAAAAACTCTTTCCAGGACCTCATCGGCGGCATCAACGCCGACAACGACAACCTGGACCAGCTGGTCGGCCTGGACAAGCAGGCCGGCACAATGGACCCCAACAGCGTGCCCACCGACATGATGAAGGCCATGGAGGCTCTCTGCCGCTCCGGCGTCAAAAACTCCGAGAACAACATCACCATGGCCAAGAATCTCATGGAGCAGCTCAAGCTGGTGCGTGCCGTTGTTGTTGCCAAGGAGCAAGCCGAAGCCGCATCGGCCGGCCCGTCCAAGAGGTCCACCACCCGGGACAGCGCCGCGGCCGCCTCTCTCTACGATTTCGACGGTGCCGGCGACTCCCCCGTGCCCAGCCCCATGGCGAGTGCTTCCCGAAAGCATGGTGACCGGAGCAGCAACCGTGACCGGGACAGCATCCCGCCCAAGGCAGACAGCGTCGAGCCGCCCGGGTCCGTAAGCGGTGCCGGCGGAGCTCCCGGCTCTCTAAACAAGTCCAAGATTCTCTTTCAAAAGGGCGACGAGGTAGCGTTCAAACCCAAGGCCGTCAACGGTGAACAGACGTCCGACTGGATTCTAGGCGAAGTCGCGCAGGTCCTCGGCGAAGGAAAGAGTCGGCGGTACAAGGTCCTCGACATTGAGCCGGATGACCAAAGCAAACAGAAAGAATACCGATCAAGCGCCAGCAGCATGATTCCCATTACGGCGGAAAGCCAGTCTAGCACCCTCAAAGACTACGAAGCGGGCCACATCGTCCTTGCCCTTTATCCCCAGACGACCACGTTCTACAAGGCCGAGGTCCATAGTATGGCGTCTACTGGCAAGGTTGATCTCAAATTCGAAGGGGAAAACGATTCTACCACCCTGCAGCAGGTAGAGCGACGATACGTTATCGAATATCGACCCTAGGCCGACGTATTCCCCTTCCATGTTGAATGTACATACCCATGTCTGATACCCCTTCAGTTGGGACTTTGTTTATCATGCCTGATACCTGGTTATGGAGTTTTTTTCGGATTGGAAATCGAGGTTAATTTTTCTTTTGGCCAGACAGTTGAGCGGCAACGCTTCTCACGGTGTTACGGAGGTTTCAAAAGGAAAAGGGAAAGCCGTGTTTATGGAATGAACTAGAGCTGGTAATTGCGGAGTTTTGGAGCACCCGGTGATTAATTATCTTGCTCAACTTTTTTTTTTTAGTAATACAACGACGATATACCAGTAACATGAATTTGGATCAACACATGTCCCCATTACCGTGCCGTGTACAAGACAAGCAACTTTCACGACTTCATCTTTACTGAATCTGTTTGATATACTGGGGACCCTGGCCGCCAAATGCGCTGTTGCTGATGGTGCCGTGGAAATTGGTGTCGAGCGAGCCATCCGTGGCGTTGCGAGAAATGGCCGCCACGCCGAGAGCACCGTCTTGGTTGGTTACAAACAGGGAGCTGCCGTCGTTGCTGATGCTGAACATTCTAGGTCCCGTGCCGCCCGACACCGAGTTGATCCACAGGAGCTGCACATTGTCGGCGCCGTTATCAATGAGCTTGATATGGGCAATGTTGTCGGTGGCCTGGCCGGTTAGACGGTTGGAGAGGTACAGGTCCTTGTTGTCAGGGGAGAGGACGAGCTCGCCGGCGCCCGCACCCGCTGGCTTCTGGCTGTTGGGGCCAAAGCTGTTAAGCACCTGCGTGGTGGTGAATTCAATGCCCTTGCCGTTGTCGGTGTAGTTGAGCTTGTACGAGATGACAACGTTGCCCATCTCGCAGAGCAAAAAGTAGTGAGTGGCCTTTGCGGTGCCAAAAGGGTAAAAGACGCCGTGGCGGGGGCCAGAGCCAGCGGGCACGACGGCCATGCGGTTGACGATGTTGAAGGCGTCGTTCTGCGAGTCTATGACGAGGATGGAGTCGGTGCCCAAGTCATTGGCGAAGAAGTAGCGGCCGGTGGGATCGTTGACGGTCTGGTGCGGGTGAGGCGCGTCTTGGCGATCGGGATCAGGGCCGAGGGGGCCCGGGGACGAGATGCTCTTGATGAGGGACAGCCCGCCGTTTTCAATGTTCCAGACGTCAATCTTGCCGGAGCCGTAGCCAGCGCCGAGCATGCGGGTTCCGGCCTTGTTGGTCTCGAGGTGGACGACGCCACCGGAGCCTTGCTTGTTGGTGACCTGCTTGATGGTGTTGGCGTTGGTGTCGATGTTGTAGAGGAAGGTGTTTGAGGCGATGTCGTTGACGGCGTAGAGGCTGTTGGGCGGGACAAAGGCGAGCCAGGAGGGGTCGGTGTTTTTGAAGGAGGAGTTGACGGCGGTGGTGAACTTGGAGCCGTCGTAGGAGGCGAGGTAGATGTGGCCGGAGTTGGCGTAGACGACTTTGGTGGAGGATGCTTGGGAGGTGGTGGGAGCGGCGAGGGAAGGGGAGGCGATGAGGGCCGCGGAGAGGGTGGAGATTTTCATTTTGATGGCTTTTGCTTTGAGCAACACGATTATACGATTGAGTGATGTATTTGGATCAGACGTTGGGAAACGAAGAATTTATAGGAGAAACTGGATCTACGAATATGACATTTGCAACCTGCCATCTCTGGCCTGGTAGCCTTTCTGTCCTTCTTTTACCGCTCATTGGGTGTGCCAAGAATTGTTTCAAAAAAGAGAGAGTCCAGATCATCTCTGCGGCTTTCGGTACGAGCTGACAGCATCCGATCTGCATGAGCTGGAGATGGTGAATGAGCGTCTACGTTGTCGATGTGGGCCATGGGAGAGGTGAGAGTTGCCGGATGGGGCAGGTGACGCAGGTTTTGGGGGTTGGAGTGTGAGTAGAGCCGAGTTTAAAAAATAAGCTTGAGTGGGAGGTTTTTTGATTAGTATTCATGTTGTTTATTCATGATATATGGGGGGCGTTGAGGAGTTGAGTTGTGAATTGCGTGTCTATTTAGGGGAGGTAGTTGGGAGTAAGTTATACGATGTATGAATTAGGTATGTAGTATCGTAGATGATTAGATCAAAAGATCTCAGAGTTTATCAGGTCTAGTCATGGTTAAGCTTGGATAAGGTATGTAGATGTAGGGGTTCTTTTTGTGTGTTGGTTGTCAATTGAAGAAATTGGGTTGTGGATGTTGTTACTTTAATATATACATTGGTGCAAATTTGGGTGAAGCTCAGGTGCAAACAGAAATGTAATGTAATGGTGCTAAACTACTCACAGACCAGCCAATGGACCCAACTGATGCTAATAATGGACGGTCCTCCTGGTTGGGCTGCTGTGGAGCTCAGCGAAAACTGCTTTTACACATTACTTGCATCATATGCGATATAGCAGCGCACAGGCCCTGAAGAATTTGATGCCGTCAGTTGAACCAGATTGAGAAGACGAAAAACAAAGAACAGGCGTGTCCAGGTACAGATACCTCGTGGCTTAAACAGCGACGAAGCGGAGATTATCAGGCGGCAACCCCTGAAAATGACTGCATGCGCTCCACAGCCGCCATTGGCCACCTCCCTAGCGGCGGGGGATGGGCGATACAAGGTTTAGGAGAGGCTTGCTGCTGTAGATGAGCTCCGGCGCTGTGCAGTGGCCGTAGGGGCTATTTCGGTGCTCAAGCTCCTGGTAGCTCCCTACTGGCGCTGCTAGGCCACCAATGGATGTATCGGTACCACCGCTGGGCGCAGCAACAAAAGGGCCCCAAATTGCGCTGTGCTGCGCTCCAATTTTTGCATTTGACCCAGATGCGCTGCATGAAGCACTTACATTTGCAGAAATGGATTCAAATCTTGGCTCAATGATTCAATGCCCCGTGCAGCCCCATCGCCCAGGCCGGGGCCCTGCCCAAAATTAGATTTGATGGCCCAGTAACTTGCTAGCTCGCTGTTCTGCACGCCTGAATGCTGCGCTGCTTCCCCCCCGATGCGATTCACAGGCGTCGATGAATTGATTGATTGATTTTCAAATTAGCGAGGGAAAAGAGGACACCTAATTCCCCTTGGCACTAGTGGCAGCACTGGCTAGAGCTTCTGCTGGTACCTGGCCTAGAGAACGGCGTGTACCTGTACCTGTACCTGTGCCTGTACCTGGACCTGTGCCTGGCCTCCACACTTCGTTTTTTAGCATCTGCCCATCCACACGTGCCGCGTCGCAATTGATCGCATCTTTCGTCCCTCCTTTGCCAGCAACCAAAACCCATCACCACAATTTGAGTCGAGCTCCTCGCGGCATCGCATTCCCCCACATTCTCTCTCTCTCTACTTCTCGCTCTCTCTAATTCGACTGTTTACTGCCATTCTTCATTCGTCTTCTCTTCGTTTGTGTCTCCTGTCGAGCTTGTATCTTCAGGGATTCCTTTTCACGCCATATTCGACCGAACCCCCCCGTTTTCTTCTAATATCCACGTTCCTTTGGCTCGCGCGCGATTTGCCTCGCCCTCATACGCTTGACTGTAATTCTCGTCTCTTCCAGTCGCTGGTAGTTGAGAATCGCCGACATCTTTTCGCTCATACCCCGAGTGCCACGTTTAGCATGTAAGTTGATGCCACCACAGCATCTATTTGCCCATCTCCTTTTCTCTACCTCTTCTTCCCCTCAAGCTTCCGCAGCGTTTTCCGCTTGGTCGCTTCGTTGAGCCTTGACAAATGATTGCTACAGAGAGGCAGCACAAGCAGAAAAGATTGGCTTGCAGTGCAAACGCGCTTGCGCATAAACTTGTTTCTGACCTGCTGCTAACTAAAAGTGTCTTGCCATAGAATTTGTTGCGCTCCCTGCATACAAACTCCGTTTCATTCGACTCGCACACTTGCACACTTGCGACTCGCTTCTGCAACCGCAAGCCCCTCCCTACTTTTTGCCTCCATCCGCCATTCTCGCGACGAAAACCAAACCACAACGAAGCTTCGATAACCGAACTCGCAACCATGGGTGGCCAACTTTCCAAGGTTATGAGCAAGATCTTCGGATCAAAGGAGATGCGACTGCTGATGCTGGGCCTCGACGCTGCCGGAAAAACAACAATCTTGTACAAGCTCAAGCTCGGCCAGGACGTCACCACCATTCCCACCGTCGGCTTCAACGTCGAGACAGTCACCTACAAGAACGTCAAGTTCAATGTTTGGGACGTTGGTGGCCAGGACAAGATTCGTCCTCTGTGGAGACACTACTTCAGCGGTATGTTTCCCTTGACCTTTGCGAACATCGCCATATCTCAAACGAGTTGAGAGCAGAGCACTAATTATACCTTTTACACATAGGCACTCAAGGTCTCATCTTCGTCATCGACTCTTCCGACCGCACCCGCATGGACGAGGCCCGACAAGAACTGCACCGCATCATCAACGACCGAGAAATGAAGGACAGCCTGCTTCTGGTGTTTGCCAACAAGCAGGATCTCAAAGAGGGTACGTCGCCTCTTGAATTATTTCCCCAAAAGACCATGCTAACATCCACCAGCCATGTCGCCCCAAGAAGTCACCGACGCTCTCCAGCTCTCCAAGCTCAAGGACAAGGTCTGGTATGTCGTGCCCAGCTGCGCCACCAGTGGTGAGGGTCTGCTGGAAGGCCTGGCTTGGCTCTCCAACAACGTCAAGGCCCCTGCCGCTCCCGTCAAGAAATAAATGATGAGACAAAACGATACATACCCTGCGCGCTTTGGTTTCGTTTCGCAACTACGACGTTTAATGGAAATCTTTCAATGATGCATACAACCCCTGGTACCCGCCTACGGATCGCCCCCCTCATTAATATTGCGTTGGGACTGCGTATTCAGTTCCAGCGGCCTAGTCTCAGCTTGGATGGTTATTGTCTATACACATGGACGATTGCTCTCCAGCTAGACATGCGCACCGCCACATATACAATTCGCCAAAGGAAAAGAAAGGAGAAATCGAGAGATGGAAGAAAAATAGGAGGCGAGAAGGAATCAACAGAGGAATGGAGAAGGAGGTGATGGAATCGCTGTATACCATGTCTGTGTGTTGCGGGAGGGACAAAATTGTTGTCTGTGCTTTTTTCTAACGCGGTTACTTTTTTGTGACATTTTTCTTTTTTTGTTCTTGTTGTCTCGCCAGCTTCTTCCTTTCTACATGAAGCGCGTATCAGCATTCTCTTTTTGTTGTTGTTCCTCTTTATAACGCAATACGCCTCTTTTTTTAGTTAATGCTCAAATACCCCGTGCTTATATCTTTTTGTACCATGCATTTTCTTGTGAAAGAAAGAGTGTGTGAGGGGAGCAGCACAAGACGGGGAGAAAAGTGTGGTTTTGAGGGGGAGGGTTGTGGAAGTGGTGAGAAGAGAGGTGGAAAAGAAGAGGTGTGGAAAAGAGAAAAAAAAGGGGGAAAGGATGAAGAAAATCAGAAAAATGAAAAGAAAAGAAAGAGGAGGAGGCGGAGGAGGAAGATGGCCTTATTCCATCACATCTATTATACCTGTCCTGTGGCTTCGTTGCCAGTGCATGATATTATTGCCTGGCACGTCACTGAACCTCTCGTTAATACTAATTTCCTTGAGTCGACAAAAACTTATATTCTCCTCACTGGATATACCATTATTGATTTCTATTCTTAATAGAGCAAACCCTTGTTTACCAACGCCTTGTAATTACCCGCTCGTTGATTCATAAAACCATTTAGCCCTTCCAAACCAATGAAGCCCTTCCAGTGTAAACGCCTTGAAATTCCAAGAGAAAATATCGAAATGAAGCTCCAACACTCATCTCTGCTGGATATCGCCCCTGTTCCACCATTGTCATTCCTACCTCTTCTAAACCCCCGTCTATACAAAATCTAGAATTGTCATTCCTTCATTCGCTTGGCCGGTCTTAGGAGAGTATCGTCCGGAAGGCCGCTGCGCTTCGTCCCCGGGAGACTGCTGGTCCTAATATCGTTGTCGTCCTGGCTGACACGCCGGTGCGGGTACTCGACCTTGATGCCCTCGAAGCAGTTTGAGCTGACGCGGTCTCCCGTGCTGAAGAATTCGTGCTGCAGGGACTGTGCGGCGGTGAGGCGCTTTTCCGGGTCGTACTCGAGGAGGCCGGCGAGGAGCCTGTATCCCTCTGCACCGAGGGACTGGAGTGCGGGCTGGCCGTTGGGCCCGGACGCGGCGGAACCGGCACCAGAATTGTTATTAATGGTGTTGTAGTACCACTTCTCGAGATGGGAGCTGGGCGGGTAGCCCCGGTTGGGCGGGTTCTGGTGGTGGTGATGGTGGTGGCTGTGGGTGTTGTGCTGCATGGTCGAGAGCGTGTTGAGCTGGCTGTACTCGGGCATCGATGGAAGCAAGGGCCACCGGTCTTTTGTCGGCAGGCCCACGATCTCGGCGATTTTGTGCATCTGGTTCCGCTGGAAGGGGACCGTCTTCTTACTATCCATCTTGGCCTCTTCTCCCTTGAAGATTGGTCGCAGGGACAAGAGCTCCGCAAAGATGCATCCCACCGCCCACATATCGATGGCGGGAGTGTAATGGTACGAGCCAAGGATCAGTTCGGGTGCTCGGTACCAGATTGTCACAACGACCTTATCGCCGCTAAAGAGCGAGTGCAGTGGTTTGTCGAAGCGGCGGGCCAGGCCCAAGTCGCCAATCTTGACCTCTCCGCCGGACGTGACCATGATGTTGGCGGGCTTGAGATCACGATGCAGGACCCAGTTGGTGTGCAGGTACTGGCAGCCGTTGAGGAGCTGGAACATGATGCTCTTGACCGTGGCTGGCGGTATGGGGTGGCGCGGCTGCTGCGTGTGATGATGGATGATTTGCAACAGGTCGTGCTCGGCATACTCAAACACCATGAAGATGCACTTGTCTTCGAGAATGATTTCCACCAGCCGGATGACGTTTGGGTGTCGGAGCTCGCTGCAGAGGCTCATCTCGCGGATAGCACTCTGTGAAATGCCCGTGTAGCTGACCTGCTCGCCCTCCTTGTCTGGCTTGAACTTTTTAATGGCCACCTCTATGGGGGCCGGCCCTGAGTTGGAGGTTGGCGTGAGGCCGCTGGATGTCCGGACAACGGCGATGCCCTCCGAGTTGCTGGTTCTGCTTACGGCTTTGTAAACACGTCCATATGTTCCACTGCTGATGAAGCCAATGATGCGGTAGCGTTCGGTGACACGCGCCTTGGGCTGGTAACCAGCCGACTGATCGCGACCATCTGCATATAATCGGTGAGCTGACGAAGAAGAGGATGAATAATAGTGATGCGGTGGCTGGTGAGGATAGGCGTGCCTCAGCTTCAGAGGCATGGCTGGGAGGCAGAAACAGGCGCGGTATTCAGAATAAGACGGTGGGCTTTTGTATGGAATAGTGCAGGGTGAGATTATATATATGAATAGGAGAAAGAATAGTAAGGCGCGCAAAGTATGCGTTGGGAATGTATACACGATACTTGAGTCTGTGAGGGTGGGTAAGGCGGAATGAGAAGAGGTTAAAGAGGTTAAAGCGAGGTTAGAGCTGGTTAAAAGAGTAGCCTTGCTGAGATGACCCAGATCGGGTATCGTCCTCATATAACCAACGCGGGTCCCTGGCACGGGCCTTGAAATCTGACTAGCAGACAAGATTGAGGAGAAGAGGGGCGGGTTTGAATAGTTTCTGATAAGAGGAAAGAGTCAAGATGACAAAGATGCGTGGCTTTGGCGAAACAAAAAGAAAGGAAAAAAGGGGAGGCTGAGCGTGGCGAATTCTGCCGCTTGTCAGATGCCGATGGTATTCCCGTCGGTAGATGAGATGAGAGATTTATTCGACGAGACTTGCCTCTTCGCTTGTGTCCTCTCTTTTGACCGGAGATGTTGATGCTGAGAGTAGAGACGCTATCCCGAGCAGCAAAATACTCCGAATACCCGCTCAAGACGGTGGATAGGACATGGACAAATAAAAAGCAGGTGTGATTGCACCAAAAAAGGATACAAGGGTGGGCTATGACCAGGGTGGACCTTGAGTGGGTAAGGATGAAGGGTGTTGGTTAAATCGTCGACTTGGACGAGAAGAGAAGAGATGAGACGAGATGAAGAAGCAATTGTCAGGGTTGAAAAACCCGGGGAAAATAAACTGGTAGTATCATGTAGGCATTACTCTTGATCGTCGGTGACTGTAGTTGGGCGGAAACAGAAAGCAAGAAATAAGCAAAGACAACAGGCGAGTCAGCTCCGCTCACCTTCAAAAGTCGCCATGACGCCGCGCTTAACCGTCTGGTAGGCCCTTGCATTGAGGAAGCTGGCGGTTTTGCCGGATCCAGGCCCAGAGGCCGCCGTGGACGGATTCGTCGGATTCATGGCCGCTGCCCAAGTCGGGAATTCTGTGGTGATGGATCAATTTGTGGTGGTTCTGCTGCTCCTTGCAGTATCGACGGGGCGATGACTAGTCGGCAGCAGATCTCGGGCACTGCCCATCGACGCGCCGAGCCTTGAGTGTTACGTTGAGGGTGGTCCTGGCCTCGCTGGCGAACGGGATGCCGCAATGTCTGTCCACATAGGCCTGATGATGCCGCAGATGTCGCTCAAATGCCGCCTGTCGATTCGGTGCCAACTTTGAGCGCTTCAGGACACAGTCGATCTGCAGCTCGCCCGAGAGAGAATGGGCGGAGTTGATAGTCGTATCTGTGTGGCTGCTGTTTGTCTGTCCTTCCGTTAGTTACGGAGCAGATGTTTCTCTGCCGAAAGTTTCCTCTGTGGCGGCGGGACTGCTGCGGATCTCAGATGCGATGCCGGGAAGCTGAGCCACCGGGACCGTATTTGCACGTGCAGAGCAGAGAGACGATGCTACGCTGGGAATCAGGCGGCGAGCGAGCGAGCGTTTGATAGACGCAGGGAGAGAGGCTGAATTGATGTCTGCTGGATGTCTCTGCTATTAGCCGGTGCGGAGTAATTGAATGTGGCGCTTGTGTAAAAAGTAGCAATGTTATATAAAGAGATGGGAGTCGAGAAGTAAGACAGAACAAGAGCAAAGAAAGGGCGGATAATCGAGGAAGAGCGAGCATTGAATGGGCTCGGATGACCAAGACGAGGAAATTATGTTGTTGTCTGAGAAGCTGGTCATCCAGGTTCACGTTGGCTGTAGTCGATGACTAAGCCTGTCACCAAAGCTTCACCACCACGGATGACATCTTATGGCTTCAAGCTTTATGATGCGGCCGCGTCTAATCTAGAGTGGGCTTTTGGCTTAAGCCACTAGTATGCTTGTTCTGCATTGCCACGTATCAAACTGCAGCAAATCAACAATGACTGTATAAACAAACAAATAAAAACCTCTTTTAATGCTTCATCTAGCCATACAATAAATGCCATCGACTGCTCCTCCTATTTAGATTCTAGATACTCCCCCATTCGTACTCTGTCTATATACATACGCAATAGACTAGGTAGTGTTCCCTCATCGCGGCCCAAGCTTCTCCAGAGCCCGCACGCCTTGCTCCTCCCACTCAGCCTTGGTCACCCACATGCTCTCGTTCTCAGCCATGATGTTGGCCAGCACAGCGCCTCCCAGAAACACCATGTGTCTTCTCCGGGGAGGATCCTCAATGCGCACCTTGAACTTGCTCAGACGCTCAGGGTTGCCCTGCAGCGCGCGCGTCAGCCACAGCTGCTTCAGCTCCTTCTCCAGTCGTGACGGGAGACCGGGGTACATGCTGCTGCCTCCAGACAGCACAATTGCCTTGAAGAGCGATGCTCGGATGTCCACGTCGGCAGACTGGATGGTGTTGAACAGGAACTCGCCCAGACCAGGGGACTCATTGTCCACAAGGTGAGGCTGGAACAGACACTCGGGTGCCTCGAACCGCTCGCTTCCCACGCGGATGACTCGGCCGTCGGGGAGGGTGTAGTCCTCGACCAGCACTGTGGTGTCTTCGCTCAGGCGCTTGTCCAGCTCGAGGTCGTACGAGACGTAGCAGAGCTTCTCCTTGATTTGGCGGACCGTTTCAAAGTCGGCGGTTCTGTTGAGTGCGTATCCTCGGCGGAGCAGCAGCTTGATCAGGTTGCGGGTGACATCTCGGCCAGCGACATCCAACCGCTTGGTAAGGTGGTTCAGCACGACGGATTCGTAGACGGGGACAATGTGGGTGACACCGTCACCAGAGTCGACGACGACACCAGAGCTCAGACCTGTGTGGTTTGGATATTAGCCAAGAGCTAGAGAGTAGCAGTGACATGCAGCATGCAGCGGCCAGACTGATCAAAAAGAAGGATAAGAGGGCCTCACCCTGTGCATATAGTGCAAGCACAGCCTGGATGGCAACGTAGACTCCGCCAAACCCGTATCGCTCAAACATGACCTCGCACATCTTCTCTCGGTTCTTTAGGGGATTCATCGGCGGCTCGGTCAGCAGGATCTTCTCGCCCTGCGGGTTGATCTGCAGCTTCTCGGAAAAGGTGTAGTCCCAGAGATGCTGCATGTCCTCCCAGTTCTTGACAATTCCGTTCTCCATGGGGTAGCTGATCTGGAGCATCGTCCGGGCCGCCGCCGCGTCGTCACCGCACATGATGTCCTTGATGACCACATCGTTGTCTGTCCGCTCTTCGGACCGGAGGATCGGCCGGCCGACAATCGACGGGTACTGGTGCTCGGGGAAGTTTTGGGCGGCGTATCCGACCTTGAGGAAGCCGGTGCCGCCGTCGAGAACTGCAGAGGCGCTCCCAGTGTCAGCAGTGAAGCGCACCCCTTGATTGTGGTGATGCCATCAGGGAGCAGCTAGCAGCAGCTACGGCCAGCTGCACAGCTTCAGGGGGGACAGCGTCACGGGGAAGAGGAGCGTTTGGAGCATTGAAGCTTTAAAGGCACGTACCGATGGGAGGGACCATGTTGGCGATGTTCAATGAGGGCGGAACAAGGAAGCGAGGGCGATGCGTTGGATAGAAGCGGTTGCTGGTGAGGAGTGGAGGCGTCGTCAGTCGTGTCTGGGCGGTGCTGCTAACTGAGCACCAGCGGCCATGGTGGGGGAGACCCGCGATGGCCTTCAGCGAGTTGTCGTCAGAGCTTGGGGGCGTCACGTGATACCCCGCAGCGTCAGCTTGAGCTATGGCTCTGAGCTCTGAGCTATGAGCTGAAGCTCGATGAAGCCATCATGAGTATCAAATTTGTTTCTTCCCCATTTGCTGTCTTCTCACTTGTTTAGCCAGCTACTTATTCACCTTGTTCCATTTCTTCCATTCTCCTCCTCCACCATGGCTCTCTCAAACTCCTCCATCAACATCCTCCTCCTCAACCCAAACTCGTCTCTCGCCATGACCAAGACCATGGAGGCAGCCGCCAACACAATCGCGGCTTTCTATCCAGTAATGCCTACCGCAAACCCACACAGCCCGTAGCTCGTCACCAAAACACTTGCTGACTCCTCCGAGTCCATGTCCATCAGCACATACACAGCCCCGGGGCAGGCTCCGGCGAGCATCGACAACCAACAAGGCATAGACGCCAGCGTTGAGGCCGTCACCAACGACCCCGGCTTCATGACCCGTCTCCGTTCCACGCCATTCGATGCTGTGCTCGTAGCGTGCTTCAGTGACCATCCCTTGGTCAAGCAATTGGCCTATACGCTGAAACCTGTGCCTGTAATCGGCATTTTCGAAGCCAGCATTCTGACCGCATTGGCTCTCATCCCCACGGCTGAAGCTGACGGAGTGCACGAGCAGCATAAATGGGGCATTGTGACTACGGGGGCATTCTGGGAGCCTCATCTTTCCAACGGTGTGGCCGCCTTTCTAGGCTCCTCCACGGCGTCCTCAAGCTTCAGCGACGCCAGATTCGCCGGCGTCTTTTCCACAGGCCTTAATGCAGGGGACTTTCACACCATGTCACAGGATGAAATCAACGTGCGTCTCAGGGAGGCTACTAAGCGGCTGCTCTCGTCTGGAAACATCACCTGTGTCGTCATGGGCTGCGGTGGTATGGGGGGCCTGCAAGACATGATTCGCACCATCGTCATCGAGGAATATGGCCAGGAGAGAGCCAAAGACGTGTGTATAGTGGATGGAGTCCAGGCCGGTGTGCTACAGCTGCAGCAGACGGTGCTCAGCCGGCGAGTCTTTGGCATCGTCGAATAGAGTGGCCAATCCTGGTATGCACGTATCTTCAGAGTGAGTACTAGCTGCATACAGAATGTCATTCTCATGACGATACCGTCTTGTCTTGTCCTGGCATGGCCTTGTACTCTTTAATGACTCGCTATATCAACGTTGCGGTGTGGAAGCGTTTCTTAAAATACCAACATACATGACGATGCTCGGCCAACCGGCTTTGCGTGTACAACCACTCAATGCAAGCATACCTATATGCATCTACATCGTTGACCGCCCATCCCCCGTCATCCCAGTGGCTGTCTTCAAATTAAGAAGCGCTACTGAATCTTAAACATGCCGTGTCAGACGCTCCAATCATACCAGCAGATAGAACATGTGCCTCTCAGACACAACGTCATTTACAACACCGCAACTCTATTATTACCCTCGACTTGCACAATGGTCTGCCTGTCTTGTCTTTGATTTGTCTTGGGCCGTCTCATCCTTCCCAAAGTGAGTGCTGCCATGACATTGATTTTGGCTTGTCACACGCCGTATTACCGGGCCTTTATCTGCACCTCTGCCCCTTGTTCTATTCCTACACCCTCATACGGCATCTAGCTTCCCTATATCCTTCTCCATGTCTTTCCGGCGATATGAAATGCCGTTATCCCGTTCATCTAGCCTACAAACCCCCGCGTATAAAAGAAGCTCCTCTTTGAAAAATACAGGAAAAGAAAGTAAAACAATCTCTTCTTCCTGCTACCACCTGTCTTCATGTGATTGCACAACCTCGTAAAGCACGACCTTTTATTTTGACACTTTACGCCGTGTATTCGATTCACGTTGCTCATCTCCGACTTGTCTACACACACACCTTGCCCCCTTTTTCCCTCTTCTAGTTCCAAGACAGTAGCAACATGGGACTCACGGCAAGCGACTTGATCTTCCAAAGAAAACGCAGCAACCCCAAGATGTGAAACAGATGGTGTCCTTGACGGCGCATGCCGTGTGACGGGGTCGCGATTTGACGTAACCACACTTGTACGTATTTTCTCTCCTCAGTGCTCTCCGTCATTCTAAGCTGTCTGGGCTTATCTTCAGTGGCACTGTGAAGTGTAATTGAGATGCGGGTAAATCCGGGTGGATTGTAGTTTTTTCCCTCCTTCGCCTCTTGTCTATACTGTAGCTTTCACTCGCTGTCTTTTTAGAGTTATAGTCATGCGGCGTGTTGCCTTTGATGTTGAAGGAAGAAATATTGAAATAGCTCTATTTATCTATCACCGTAGCCTTACATTACACCCCTTGAACAAAAAAGAAAAGGTAAGAAAAAAAAAAAATCCCAGACAAATCCATTAAATTAGAAAACACAACACGACCCATGCCCATCAGTAGCCTCTTTTTTTCATTCTCTCATGCAACCCCCCTTTTCTACCAGGCCCACCCTTCATCTTTTCTCCTTTTGTGCTCTTTTCTTTTCCTTTAGTGTTGAATCTCATAAATATTTTTCTTGTTCGTCGATATTACTCTTCAGCCGCCTTGGGCAGAAAATGCCGTCGAGATTGATGGAATTAACAGACGCTGGGTGTGAATATTGAAGGAGTGGAAGCGCCAAAGAAAAGAAGTAAACGCCGAGTTAAAGATTGAACAAGGCAACAGAGAAATAAATGAAAATCTCAAACGCAGCAGAGAGATGGAGATTAGGAGTTGACAAACTCAATCTGATTAAGAGGAAAAACACAGTTGCGAAAACGACCCAAAAAAGAAGAGTGAAAAGGGAACCAAGATAGTACAAAAGATTTGGTAAAAGCTTAAAGAAGCTTCGCCCCCGAATGTAAGCCATGCTTGTCAAGTCCGCATTCTAGGCTTGCGCTCGTGCTCATCGCTGCTGAGCGTGTAATTCGAAAGGCCCGGGCTGCTCGAAAGATAGCTTCCAATGGCCGCATTGTACTGGCTGTTGTACCGCCTCGTGGTATCCGCGTACTTGTACGTAAACTCAGGGGCAGTCATTCTCAGCGGCTCAATGACCGGCTCGATGATTGCTTCCAGAGACGAAGCTGCCGTGGTAGTGTATCCTTCACCGCTGCGTCCGTGATGGGAGGCTGGGGCAGAGGTGGGATAGGAGGCTAGGGGAGAGCTCTCGAAGCTGTTGTATGTGGTTGCTGCTTCGGAGAGAGCCGCTGGAGAAGAACTGCCTGTGGATGACTGGGACGTCTTGCTGTAGGCAGAGGAGATGGACTCTGCGCGGTAGGGATGCTGTTGAGGGGCACTTGTCAAGGAGCGTGTAGAAGGTGCTGGGAGGAGTCTTTCACTGGTGCCCATGTGGCTGGGGATTCCGGAAGCAACGCTTTGATAGGCATAGCCGGAGTTTGCATCGGTACTGGCAGCAGGGCGATGAATCATGGATGCCACTGTGGACGTTGCAGAAGGTCCGGCAGGATAGCCGTATGCAGCAGCGTTTGGCTCGACGTACAGCGGCGGAGCACCGGGGCCCTCGTGCTTCATGGGAGCAGGGGAACTTGTGCCCATTCGATAGCCCATCATGTACGAGGCATCCTGTTGCTGCACGGGGGGCTGGACGGCCGCTGGCTGGTAAGGCTGCGGATACACGGCGTAGTCGACGTTGCCGTCCTCGACGTAGCCGTTTGTCCAGGTCGACATGGGATAGTACTTGTTGCCGTAGGCGTAGGCAGAGCCGTTCTTATACGCCAAGGCCTCGCCGCTGGGCACATGCATGGGGTCTGCGTAGGAGGATGGCAGAGGAGGAGTTGGCATGGGGGGCATGATGGAGGCGCCGCGGGCCTGGTAGCTGCGGGCGACGTCGAGGTTGTAGCTGAAGGAATCGCTCTTGATGATGGGCGTCTCGTGAGAAGCCACCTGGAGCAATAACAAGGATTAGTCGTTGCTGGCTGAGTGTGTGGGGGGGAGAGAGTTTAATCATCGTCTTACCCGGAGGAACTGGCAGGGCTCGTGGCCGGCATTCTTGCAGTTGAGGCATGGCTGGCCGTTTCCGCTGTCGCCTGTGCATCGGATCTTTCTCTTACGACATCGTAGGCACTGTTGTTGTCAGTCGTTGGCACCTTGTATTTGTAAATTCGGTGCTAGGGGAATAACCGAAGATGGAAGAGGATAGAGAGCAACTTACTGCAACGGAGATTCTCTTGCGCGGAGTTGGCTCCTCGCCCTCCTGGTCACTCATGACGCTGCTCCGAGAGTGGGAGTCGCTCTGGGCGTACTGGTTGGATCTGCGTTCTGCATACGACGAGGCGTAGGGCGAGATGCTGTCCCGAGGAGAGGCGTACCGCTTGTGATGGCTGGAGTGAGAACCGCTTGATGAACCCATGATTAAATCCAAGCAAAGGGAGACGGAGATGGATGTTTATCTTTGTCTGTACAGACAGATGGATGTACCCCTCTCTTGCGGTCAGTCTTGTTCAGTGTCAGGGCTTGAAGTGGCGGGTGATCCGCAGCTGTTCCGAGATCTAGATGTTCAAGAGCAATATTGAACAGCTGCTCTTGATTACAATCCACTCTGATAGATGGCTTCTGATCTGATTTGCTCGTGCTTCGACTGCTTGAGCTAAAGGGAGAGACGGGGAAAGACGGGGCTGACGTCTTGTGTCGCCTCGATGTTGAAGGCTATGACTCGAGAAGGGCTGGGCACTGAGACAAAGAGCAACAAAGTATCTTGAGGCAAAAAAAAAAAAAAAAAGGATTTTGTTTGGGGATGGAAAAAAGGCAACCAGACGTAAAAAAAGCGCAAGGCCAAGGGAAAAGAGGCAGTCCTAAACTGGAAGAAGAGATGAAAAGGATTCAAGGCGAGGAAAAGTTTGGACGAAAGAGCAGTAGCTCGCAAGATAGTTATACATATTCGGTACACGCCGATCCCCTCCAACTTGATTTCCCGTGATTCTCATCGTTTGTTTGCTTGGGCTCCATTTTGTCGGCCCTGTTCGTCCAATTATTTTGCATCCACCGGTTCTCTTTCATTCCCTGTATTCGCCCTCAACAAAAAAAAAAGAAAAGAGCTGCCATGAGTGACTTGGGCCTGCTTCTTCTCTCTCTCTCTGTGCAGAGGCTGGCCCTTTGGTACACAGCAGCACGCTTAGTTGACAAACTCGTAGGTTTTGTTCTTGTCATCCCCTCCCCCAGAGACGCCCAGTCTCTTGCCTTTGTGAAGGCTACACGCAAAAACAAAGTGGAGGTTTCTGCTGTGCTTCCCTTCCTGGCCTGGTCCATCATGGTAGAGGACAGCGGAAGGGAGAGGCTCGATGCAGATCGAATCAAGTGCTTGTGGGTGGATTCTCTGAGTATGTACTTTGTCTTTCTGTTCGACTGTTTGAACCAAATACCGCACGTGGACGACCCCCCTCGTCCCCTCAAATCGATCTCACCGGACGGTCGGGCCGGTACTTTTGCCAGCCTTTGTTTGGGCGGCCCTGGGCAAGTCTCAGAAGGTCTGAGATCAGACACCCTGGCAAAACGGCTTGACTGCATGTATACAAAAAGGGCGTGGGGTGAAGCATCTTGTTTGGTTCTATTTTGAGCATTACACCCACGTCTCTTCTAGGCAGGGGGCGTGTAAGAGCTGCTTCAGATGGGCAACGCAGTGTTGGAAATAGAATCTATTCTTCGGAAGCTTCGTTTAGACCCTGGCGATACCGATCCAACAATCGACATGTACTAAAACCCTGTATAGGCGCGGAGAATCCATGTCTTGATCTAACACGTTGATCCGACTAACTTGCTATTATACGAATGTTTCCCATCGGTAGTTTGTTTGGCTCCAAGAACTGTAGGTACTGTGGCTTGTACTTGTTTCGTCCTTTTCACCGTGACAGTCAATAGAGTTGCTCGGTACGCCCGAACGAAGGCGCAAATAGACCAGCATGGCCATGTGTCGAGGCCAGGCCAGGCCAGGCCAGAGACACCCGCTGACGGAACGCAAACTTTGGGCCATCAAGGTCTCTGTTACCACAGCATGGGCGGTCAAGTAAATTGGGATCGAAATTCACCAGATTGTGGCTCTCTGTGGTACATCGCATAGCCGGCCTACAAGCAAGTCTCCATCTGCAAGTCGTACAAAACGCCCCCACCGGCTCCCGCCGCAAATACAGGTATCTTATTGCACTGGAGACTTTTGCTTCCGTCGTTGGCCCCTTGTGTAGCCTTACAAGTGGGGGGGAAGAGAGATTCAAAGTAGGTAGAACCAGATACATAGTAGCAGCACAAGAACAGGGGGGTTGAGCGGAGAAGGCCCTTGCACCAGCCATACGATAAGGGAGAATGTTCCATCTACTGCTTTGCTACGCCGAGCAAGCTCCGCCAGGGCCCTTGCAAAGCGTACAAGGTACAGGGCCGCTGCTCGGCGAGTAATGGAGTATTGCAGTTTGTTATTATATGACAGGGAGCTAGTAGCTTCCAGAAGGTTGAAGGAGTTTACGGTTAGATGGACGATGGAGAGAGCCTTGTAAACTGCTCTGCGTGAGTAGTACTCAACACGCATCAGAGTGGATTGTAGCAATTACACAGATATTCAAGTACGAGCAGCTTCAATGTACCCCCCAGTGCCCACGATCTGCAGATACTTGGAGTGGTCATTTCCCACCCTCCCATCGACGTCAGGGCCGCTTAGCACTGAGAAACATGGGCCATAGGCGTTCAAGGAAAGCATCTCAGGTATCGCAGGGGCTACGTCTCCGTCCAAGCCTGTCGTTTGGCCGATGCTGCATCATGCTGTGGCCGGACGAGTATGAGCTGGCCACCCCCTCCGTCTCTCATACGTAGGCACATCTGTCCGGGCACACGGCAGGGCCCAGTGCCTGTCTCGACCAAAAGCGCTTCTGAGCTACACTAGGCCGGCCAGGGCTTTCGAAAGCAAGGCACGCCAAAGCACAGCGTTTGATGGCGGAGGAGACGCCGTTTAGGTGCCGGCCCCTGCAGGAGACGTCCGAAACGACGCTGGAGCTGGGCAGAGGCGTTCCGCAAAGCAGCATAGCGTCGACGATGAGCCGGCCTCGAGCACATGGCAGTGGCGTGGGCAGAAGAGAGGCGTTTTGTCGTGGTACAGAGGCACTCCCTGGCCTCGTAGTGGAGAGATCTTGGATGTGCATGTCTCGGCTCCACGCAAGCAAAGCGATTACGCCCCATGTGTGCACATACATACACAATATAGAGATGCATGCATGTAAGTCATGTAAGTCGGCTGAGTCTTGGATGCTGCCCCTTGTCGCATACACACGCAGAGAGAAGCACCTGGGCGGTGAGAGAGTCGAGAGCTGCGCCCATGTTTCATCCCAGACTATGCATAAAATTGTCCTGGGCAGAAAACGGCCGGCGGCATCTATTACCGACATGACACTCTCTCATGTTTGTGTGGCCGATTCAGATAGAGGCAGAGGGTTGCATGGCCGTCGTATACACGTCGCGGTTGTTTGACGGAGCTCGTCATTTTACGTGCTTGCTCGCCTTTGGTTAAATTAAAACCGGTTGATGAAGTTGATGAATCATTTTATTCTCGGAATGCCCGATTCTTTAGCGAATCCCGGAGTTCTTCAACTTGGTCAGTGCTGGAGGGAAACAAACTGCGCTTTGGCCGTATCAGCTCCGGGATTATTGGAGCGTTGCCACTTACAAACACCCGCGGCGTCTCTTGATACTTGCGTGTCGTACTTTGGCTTACGAAAGGGAGATACAAAAAAGAAATGAAATTCTTATTTCCCCCTTTGTTATTTCTTAGATGCTCTCCCCACTGAATTGTCAAAGCAGCGGTCCTTTCACAGTACAACAAGAATCCCGTCAATGCTGCTGCATTTAGCCGATGTAGAACACCAGCACCGTTAGCGATTGGACGATACGTGCAAGGTGTGCAAAGTGTGCAAGGCGTGTATCAAGGAATAGAGATACATGGCGGTGGTCACTGTAGCAAACACAAGTCTGTACTCACAAGGCTGCAAATTGCAGGCCGAGCGGTGGATGGCGCTGGGACTCTTTCCGGGCTCCAGCCGGTGAGACGACGGTTCCAACGGAGAAGGGTTCTCGAACATGTGCGGGCTTCTACGACCAGGGTCTGGGGCTGAAGCCGTTGCCTGTATATTGCTTTACAGCTGGGATCTGAAGGATTGCTCTAAGCAGGGGTAGATTAGATAGTACCCCCAATAGTATAGAGGTAATTAACGGTGTGTGAGGAGTGCATATACAGTACATGTAATGGTATCTGGTGCTTGAGTCAGCCAGACACAGGTGCTGAGGGCGCTGAACAGCCTCACTGACAAGCTTGACTCTTGTACGTGACACTCACACACGCACGAGACGGTTTTATCTGCTGGCAGCTTATTTCCAGTCTTGCCCGTTGTAGCCAGCGTGAGATGGCAAGACGAACAAAACGGCATAAACAAGCAAGGTGCCAGTGCAACGGCACACCATCTTGTGATTTGACAGAGTGCACTATACACAATGTGTGGCGGTGACACGCTGGGAGGGAGCAAATGGCTGCATGGCCGTTATGCATGTCCGCCGCCCCTAGCCCAATGGATCTCGAGCGTTGCCCTTCTTGTAAATGGGAGGTCGGGATGAAGCAGAGCCAATCAAGCGAGAGGCAAACGAGGCGGTGACTGTGCATGCATAGGGCGGTATACTGACGCATTCGTGTCTTGAGAGTGTCGTATACATGTGTTGCCTGTTGACTTGTATGGAAGACTTGATTGTTACGGTGTGGTTGTGACGCAGGTTGAGCTTTGATTCTGCTTCAATGGACAATAACTGCATGTTTCTTCTCTTCTTTTCACTTGTTAGAGCAAGTCAACTGCACATCATGAGTAAAGCCAGAGCAGTATTCGCCGTAACACTCACCGAAACGACTACATCGGAGAGATGCAATGCGGTAGCACATGCGGGTCCCTTGCAGCCCGTAAAATGATGGAGCAGCCAACAGCATGTGACGTGAACAACATGTAAAGCAAAGTGTTACTATTGCCAGATTGCCAGCTCTGCTAGAAGCTGTACCATTACCGCATGGCTATATGACAGACACGGCCAGGCCTTGCACGTTTCTCGATCCACAGGCGTAATTCAGCGCTCAGCGTTTAGAAGAAACGAAACCAACCAACTCGTGTAAACAAAACTGCCCCCTCCCTAATTCCCTCCGCGTAACGGCGGGCTCGGCAAATGGCGGTAACAGAAAATGAAGATGAGCCTCTAGAAGCATCCACGGGCGGGACCCTAAACGACAGATTAACTTCTGGGGCCCAACGGCAATCTGAGATGGAATTATCCAGCTCTTCAGCCCCCCGTTTTTAAATCTGCGGGGAACCTGTCAGGTTCGACAGCATTGGCGACTGCGGAAGGGGCGCAAGTGAGTGTCTGGTGTGATGCCGGCAGCCATCGGGATGGAATCTGGGCAGTTCCAACGTCATATTACAAGCAAGTTGTTATGGAGTCTGTTCGTTACAGGGGCCATGGTGAAGAGCAGAGCAGGGGCTTCGGGAAGCAGTGGCCTTTGACGTGCTGCAGCTTTCCTTCAACTCACATTCACGAGTTATGCATCTTCACCGCATTCATTTCGTCTTCTCCCCCCTCCCTGTAAGCATTCTTCTCATTACAATCAGCCTGCAGGTGGTTTTATTCCAGTAGCCGGCGGTCTGTGGGCGCTGCTACATGTACTTGGTCCTGGCTTTTCTGTTCACGGGGCTACCGAGTCACGCAGGATAACGCTTTGACGTTACCGCCTCGATGCTCAGTTTTTTGTAACAAATGCGGTGAATGATGCATTGACGCTGGGAGAGTTTCGAAAAACGGGTGGGCCAGAGGAATGACTGTTTGAGTCAGGGCCTGTTGCGTAGTGGCCGGATGAGGGTGGCTGGTCTCTGCTACGTGGACTACGATTCGTAGATTTACGATGGGTGGTTTTCGATAGATTAATTCGCGTATCTGTAGGATTTGAGGCGTTTTTGTGATTTGTGGGCTGACAATTGGTAGTTGGCAGCATGGCGTAGGCATGTCCGGAGAATTGGCTACAGAGGGACTTGCACGATGAGATGGATCGAATCTGGAGGCAAGAATTGTAAAATCTACATTCGTTTCCCAACAGTTTTACCTATCAAGAAGATTGTATTGGCTTTTTCTTCCTTGATAAATTCCAACGCTTGTGTGTGGTTCATTCACCCTGGAGGCTAAAGTCTTGATCTGGCTTGGATGATGCTTCTATAGTAGAGACAAGCAGTAGCTAGCGAAGAGTAAACACCAATATACTCAGACAGATACGTGAATAGAATAGTATACAGGATGCACTTTCAAATATGATGATACGATGCTCTATTCAGGGTAGATAGTTACTGGTGATGCGGGCATGAAGTAGACATAAAGCGGACATGTATTAACAAACTTGACCAGGAATTACAAGATACAGTGAATCCCAAGGGGCCAAGATGGATCTCCACAAATATATCAACATCATACAATGTTAATTACCAAGTCAATAGACAGTGCTGTTGCTTGCTCTTGATCTCGGCCTCGCATGTCGAAACGGGTAAGCTAATGCACAAAGTTCAAAACGTGTTGGTTGAGAGTTCTCGGTATAATCATGCATCTGTAGGATCTCACTTAGTCAGCAATATCATCCCAATGCTTCCTTTCTGCCGCGTCTCAATTTGCTTACTCTTGTAGTCCAATGGCTATTCTCTACTTCAATCGCTAGAATGCCTCCGCAAAGGGCGTTGGCGCAGCGAGGCCAGCGCGGCTTGGACGACTCCGGTCACGATGCCGAAAGACGCCCCGAAAACATCTTTTTGTTCTGGCCCAATATCATCGGTAAAGCTATCAAGCTCCTCATGCTACCTGTACGCTGCTGATTTACTTGCCCAGAATATATCCGAGTCATCTTGGCCATCTCCTCTCTATACTACATGCCCCTCCATCCACGCACATGCTCTCTTCTCTACGCCATATCATGCCTTCTCGATGCCCTCGACGGATATGCTGCTCGAATCCTGAACCAGGGAACGCAATTCGGCGCAGTCTTGGACATGGTCACCGACCGCTGCACTACATCGTGTCTTTTGGTCTTCTTGGCGACGGCTATCCCTCGCTGGGCTCTTGTTTTCCAGGGGTTGATTGCGCTGGACTTTGCTAGCCATTATATGCACATGTACGCATCTTTGGTGGTTGGCGGTGCTGGCTCGAGCCATAAGAACATTGATAGGAGTCAGGGCTGGTTGATGAAGGTGTATTACTCGAACAAGGTATGTAGCAAGCAAATGACGTGAATATCAGTTGTCAGCTCCATACATCTAACCATTCAACTTTAGATTGTCTTGTTTTCTCTTTGTGCGTTCAACGAGCTCTTCTTCATCGCCTGCTACCTCTTGTCCTTTTCGTCACCCGTCATTCCTCTCTATCTCAACGCCGATATCGATGGACACGGCCCCTTGCACCCAAAAGTAGAAGTCGACACTTCGCTCTTGGCCAAGATGTTTCCTGATCCCTTCAGCTCTGCGGCACTTGAGCTGGCGCGCTCCAACAAGATTGACAAGTACTGGCCGAATGTTATAGCGACGGGATGCTTCCCCTTTATGGCGCTGAAGCAGGTGATTAATGTTATCCAGCTGGTTCAAGCTAGTCAGCGGCTGGCGAGGGTAGACGTGCAGCGAAGACGGGAGATGAAGCAAAGATGATTTTGTCAATGTCAATCTTATTCATGTGACAAGGAGCTCTTCCATTTAATCACACATAGATGTACTCAATTATATCGTTGATGCCAAGGATCAAATCACCTGTCTCTGCGCCTGTAGTCTCTGTCTCTCTCTCTGTCCCTGCCCCCTCTGTCTCCTCCACCTCTGTCTCTCCTGTCGTGTCGATACCCGTCCCTCGGCTTAAACTGTCCATCACGATCATTGTCTCTGCCTCCTCGACGGGGACTCCTGCTCCTGTTTCGAGACTGAAATCCATTATCCCGTGGCCGATGCCTATCGTCCTTCTTTCGCTCATATCGGTCCTGGCCCCCTCTGTCCTGTCTATCCTGCTTGTCATCGTCTCTTCGGGGCTTCGACCTTTGATCATGTCTTCCCTTCATCTCCTCCTTGCTATATACCATGTTATAGTCCTTTCCAGACCTCTTTTCATCCTCTTCTCGATACTGCCGTCGCTTCTCAAGCTCTTGTACTCCACCCCAGCCTCCTCGAGCCCTCGCTCTGCGTTTGCTGTTTGTGTCTGATCTCCATACATCGCTAAGCTTGCTGACGCTCTGTGAAAAGTCGACATGGATTCGCCGGTCATCAATGAGAACATCTTGCATTTTAGAATATGCCGCTTCGCACGATGCCTTGTCTTCGTATTCGATAAAAGCATACTGTAAGCTGTCGCCCGTCTTTTGGTCTCGAATCACCTCGCAGCTCAGAATCTTGCCAAAGCGGCCAAAGATGAGCTCCAGGTCTTCGTCTTGCGTGACTGGATTCAGTTTGCAGACGAACAAGACGTTTTCCGGCGGCTTCACCTCCGCAAAGGGAAGATCGCCCATGAGCTCCAGCGTCAAGGCCTGCGCCCTGGCCTCTCTCTCCCGCCTTCTCTTCTCCAGCTCCTCCTCATCCACGTCGTCGTTTTCGTGCAGTTCTTGTTCATTGGCGATCCGCACCGTCCTCAGCTGCTCATCTGACGGCGGAGGGCTCGAGCTGGGCTCCCTGAGGCCGGGAGGGTCAGGATAGGGATCGTCCAGGATGACGGTGTGCTTGATGCGAATATCGACAAACGGATAGCCCCTGTCGTCCACCATGGCCTCGTTGATCTTCTCCAGCGAGTCAAAGCCCTCGACAACCTTGCCAAACACGGCAGCCTTGCTGTCGAGAAAGTCCGTCTCTTCGCCCAGGGTGATGATGAACTGCGACGCCGCCACGCGCGTGTCCGGGTCCGAGGCCAGCGGCACGGTCGCCATGCTGACGGTGCCGCGCTCGAGATGCTTCAGCTTGGGGTGGAAGGGCGCCGTAAAGGTGCGCCGTGAGGGATCGCCCGACAGGTGGCCCCATATTGAGCAGCCGCCATCGGATTGCTTGGCCAGCGGGCCGAGGGGATCGCCGGTCTGAAAGGAGAAGTTCTTTTGGACGGAGTGGATGGGCGAGAAGTTGTAGTATTTGACCTTGCAGAGCTTGAGGAAGCTACTCAGAGTTAGCAGCTGCTTGGTGATGCTTTCAAAGGTTCTAGGTACTTACTTTTCGCACAGCTTTGGCGAGTGGTCCACCAGCAGATCAATGACGATGTCGCCAACGGTGGTCTCCAGCAGGACGGACATGGCGAATCTCAGTATCTCAAAGAAAAGGATTGTGGCTGTAGCCGCGTATCTCTGACGCGAGGCTGCGATCAATCAGATGAATGACAATTTTAGTGGAGAAGCACCAAGATCGGCCTGGCTTGATTACATAATGACATAATGATTTGCGCCATGACGCAGTAGAAGCAGTTTATTCAAGACAATAGTAGATAAAGTTTAGTAGGAGAAATTAATCAATAATTACTAAATTTCAAGTAAATAAAGAATTGTGCTGATGCATCTCAGTGGATACGCAACCAACTCTTCGGTGGTGTCGGCCATCATTACACCGCGATATCAGTAGCATTACACAGATGAGGCCTATCAAGATCAGCAAGAAATGCATCCATCACGATTCTACTCCCCAGACACCTTGGACAAGTCAGTACTTCAATCCAAGCAACCAATCGAGTACCTATAGAGGCCTATCTATCATCCTAGCGCGATCAAACGCATAATAAACCTGATACCACGAAGCCTCGCTTATTCCCAAAACAGCAGGCCTCTTGTTTCAGCCAGTAACAGTCGCCATATCCATGCAGCCATCTTTCGTCTCAAGTGGCAATTTTCGCTCAGGATTCATGCGCGCAGATCTGATTCATCACTTCAAGGGAAGCCTTGTTTGAACTCAATATTGTGTCAATTGTGACTGTCTCTTTGCCAGCCTTTTGGTGCCTGCTAATTTTTTGCCTGCTCGTTTGTTTGCTATCCAAAGCCACCTATAATATCGTAACCAGCAGAGTAAACAACAGGTGATAGTAATAAAAAAAATATCAGGTGCTACAAAATATATATGCAATAGCAGGCTCGCTCCCAAAGTCCCTTTTATCGATGAACCCCGCTTGTCCAAAAACACATCCTGTAAAACCCACCAATGCAAAAATCAGACAAATGATAAAAAGTAAAGAATATAGAAAAATAAACACTAAAAAAAATTCCGCAGGATTGCACGAGATGTGGTATGTACACAAGACATGCTATATGTACATATATGATAATGATGTGATTCAGCGCAAAGCCGCACGCAATGCGATGCCATCAACAAAAAAAGAAAAGCCTATTGCGTCAGGCAACGGACCACAACATACTAAATCAGGTAGGTGGGTAATAAAAAATGATGAAGTAGCAAAGAAAAAAAAAGCAACGTCTCCAAATTTGCGTTCTTTTTTTGTATCCCCCCATCAGTAATAGAAAAAGAGTAAATAGAAAACTCCGTGTCATCGAATGGGTGTCAGCTCTCCACCGTTGAGCCATTGGTATCTTTTGTTTGTTTCCCCCTTCTCCATACAAAAAAGAAAAAAATTGGTGCGTCCCGTTGTAAAAAAAGATGGTCCCCAGTGGTATAGAGGCTAAGCTGGCTAGCCATGATAGGATTAACATTAAGAATGTCGCAATCGAAAAAAAAAAAAAGAGTGACTGAATCGCAGGGCCAGAAAAGCTTGGCTTGTGCTCAAAATAGCTGATCGTCGGTGGCGGGTCCAATGAGTTTGTTTCCATTCCACTCCCCACAAATGGCTGCGTAATTCGCATTTTTGTTTGATCAATCAATTTGTTTGCTCTTTTGCTCTTTGGCCCAGCTCAGTCCCGGCTAGGGGAGCTTCGCCTCCGTCGCCCTGATCGGAGTTCCTTCTCAGTCTCCATCAGTCTGGTCTGAGCCCACATGCGGGTCGTCATGTCACTTCGCACGGCGTCGCAGTTGAGCAGCTCAGTCAAGGCCCGCTTGATGCTCTCGTTGACGTCAAACAGACGCTGCTCCTCGGCGGAGATCTGGAAGATGGTGTCTTCATCGACGATGGTGTCGAGCGAGTCTTCCCAGCCATTGTATCGTCCGTGCGCCCTTGAGGAGCGGCGTTGGCCAGAGCGGGAGTGTCGTCGTCCGGCAGAGGCGTAGATAGAAGAGCGGACGGGTGAGGTGCTGGGAGAAGAGATGGTGGAAAGGGTGCCGGTCGATGCAGTGCGCGGGCGGATCTGCTCGAGGCTGGTACAGAGTTGCTCGTGTTGCTCTTGCAAAAGCAGATACTTTTGCAGAGTGTAGGCGTAGTTGTGATAGCAGGTTTCGGAGTCCATCGTGGCTATGATGGGTGTGTGAAGATGTCGAGTTAAAGTATTTCCTTCTTGTGGAATCTGTCGTCGTGTCGTCGCTCTTGTACTTGCTTCAGCGGCTGCAGCGATATGATCGAGGTATTGCTCTTGTTCCTAGCAATGACGAAACCATCGGACACATAAAGTTTCCTCTCCACGCAGCAGGTGATTAAGCAAGTAAGATTGCAAGAGGAAGCGAAGTCGAAAATAGAATCGATAGAATTAACCAGCGGTGCTTCGTTGATATGATCGGGATCACAAGGGTTCGACGCCGGCGATGGTGGAAATAGCAGCACCGTGGCAATGACCAGGTAATAGATGGTTTTGTGTGCCTGTGAATCGAGGTTCAAGGGCTCGGCGGTAGTTGTGTTATGTGTCTAAGTAGATACCCTGTCGTATGGGGCTGGCAAGGGTCGAGGACGGATATTAAAGGTGCACGAAGCAGCTTCTTTTTATTCTAGGGCAACCAGGAGATTGCTCTTCTTGCCCAAGCGTAACGTTCCGCCGTGGGTATGTTATGGAAGTAGGTAGTAATGGTAGGTAGCCTGCTTAGTTGTAGTGGCAGTACTCTCACAAGGATGTGAAGATTGTGTGTAGATTGATAGATGTTGTTGAGCCAGGATCGTAGGGTCAGGCAAGGGTGGTGGTGGTTTATAACGACAACACGAGCGTGATGGAAGACTGACGTCGAGAGGCCAAGGTCAGGTCAAACTGCGAGCGGTTGGCGTGATGGGGAGTGTATAAGTGGGCGACTGAAGCAGCATCCGATGCAGAGGCGGCCTTGGATGCTCCCAGGAGAAGGTGGATCGGCCGGCGGTAGTGTAGTATTAGAATAGTGGGAACAGCCTTTTTATTCCCTGCCGCAACACTAACAAGTGATGTGCGCAAGACGTCGTTAATGAGGGTGTGGAGAAGGAAATAAGGCACGGAGTATCGATAAAATGAAGTGGTAGTCGTAGTAGCATGGGATGCCGCAAAAGGGTTGAATGTGCCCGTATTATACTGTTGCTGCCCGGCCGCTGCCTCAGTAACACGTCAATGGTCTCCCACGGTGTCAGTAATCGCAGAGCAAAAGTAACTTTCTGTGCCTATCTTGACGCCGAGCTACTGCAAACCGCAGGATAGCAACAAGCGGTACGGTAGCAAAGCTTGGAAGACGCAGGCGGGAGGAGCTCGCAATCGCCCGGTAACATGAACATGGGGCCCCGGGCAGCCAATGAAAGCCACTGCCAGAGCTTCGTGAAGGCCAAGCTGAAAGAAGGGGGGTTGCTTTTTTGGAATTCTGGTCTAGATCCTTCTTGGGCTGGTCCAGCCTCTAGTTTGATTCGCCCGCGGCCTGAACAATCTACTGTAACATTTGGGCGCCAAGGGGAGGCGAGAACAAGGAAGAGGAAGAGGAGGGCGATGCAATGCGAGACGGAGCTTCCTGTTGCCTCTGTTGTCTTGTCGGAGAATCTCTTCTGCCTTGTTCTCTGTACAGTAGGTACAGCATGCTAGTCTATAAGCCAAACATTAAGGTTCTGGACGTTGGGGAGGCAAAACCAGCCCAAACACACGCCAGCCCGTCCAATGGCGCAGATGCGGGTGGCGAGGATGGCGGGCTCAGCACCAGACACGCTGCAGCAGATGGGGCCCTTTGTTGGCAAAACTTGGCTTTCTGGATACGAGTCCACTCGGGTGGTTCTTAGCCAGCAACAAGCTTCTCGTTTGGGGGGGCCCTGCCTTGCCTTGCTGCTTTTGCGGCGGGCGAGTTGGACGATGGCGCTGCTGCACGTTTCGATGGCTGCTTGGCTTGGGTGCTTTTGCTCAGGGCTGGCCGCGGTGGGTCTTTGGAGGAGAGCCCGTTTCGAAGACAGGGAGGGGAGCCAGGGTCTCCGGTTTTTTGATTAATATTAGGCTTACACGCTGCGTGCTTTTTCGTTGCGCTGGTTTTCTGCGCACAGTGGATGAACTGACTTGATTGTATCCGCTTGAACGGAAGGGGTGAAGGCAATTAGCAAGTCAATATAATCTCAAAAACGCTCAATTGCCGTCACGCATCAAGGAGGCGAAGAAGCCGGTCCAAGACGCGGAAGCCTGGCTGGCTCAATATCAACACCAGCGGGTCATGAGGCCTCGCCTTCGAATCCCAATTGCTAGTACTAATAACACTGCAATGCAATGCATATGCCATGCAACTGCAGTCGCTCGAGATGGCGTTGGTGTGGCAAGTATCAAGGCAAACTGTGCAGCCGGACTCGCGGTGTGCGGCATGGAGGTGCATGGAGCGAGCTAATTGAACTCTTGCCTGCGTGGGACAAAGACAGGGCAAACTGAGTTTCTGTTCATTCAATGTTATCAGCACTTGGGCTCGTGCAATTTGCGCCATAGATAACGAAGCGCCCTGTCCCGTTTCCTGGCCCCCCTCCCGTCGAGTTTTCAAGATAACACGGCCAATGAGGCCGGGACGAAGCGATAACGACAGCCGGGCTGCTAGTGCTCCGTGATATTTGACACATCTCCAAGATATCTGCGTCTGTACCCAGGCAGATGAGCACTAGGTACTGCTTGGTGGCTGAGATTGAAGCCCATCCCCCTTTGCTCCCGCTTCATAGTTGCATTGCTGTAGCACTCATCTCGAGCCCAGAGATCGATCAGCAATCAGCGTGTACAACCGGCCCTGAGACAACTTTCTATTTTTGCCTCGTGATCCGCGTCCAGACCGAGTGATCGGCAGCAGCTCCAGAATACAGCACTCACTCGGCTGTATCAATAGACCCCCCTGAGTATCATTTCCACAAGACAGAGCCGATCACTGGATATAGGCCCAAATAGCGGCAAGATTGGCACAAAAAAGTCCACGGCATGCGGCCTGCAGCCGGAGCCGTGTCAGTTGACTCGAAGCTGTCTAGAACATTGGGCATCGAGCGTCAAGCAAGCGCAGGCCTTACTATACATGTCAGTTTTAGACTCCCGCGTCTGCTTGTAAAACATCGACGCCGGAGATGGTCTCCGACTTTGCAGCGTCGCATGCAGCATGTCCAAGTCTGGCGAGAAATCCTACCTCAGCCCACCTCGAGAGGCTTCAAAACTGTGCCCAAGGCTAAATATGCCCATGCCGTTGTGCTTCCGTACGTGCGGTATGTGCTACGCGTATTCTGTGCATCGCTTCTCACGGGACCACCGGATAGTGCTGCACATATGTGAGGATTTGCTCTCCAACGACGACGTTTTTACTCTCGCGACTCGGCAGCGTTGCAGTGACTCCAATAATTCCCCTCCTTCGTCGTCAGCTCAGCCCGTCAGGCCAGGCCACCAAAGCTTCAAGCTACCAAGAGGAACTCTCCTCCCATGTACTCCGTACAGCCGCTAAAAAGCTTATCACATCCGACTCTGAGCTTCTTTTCGTCTCAAAGCTGCGGCGGCCCCCAAAAGCTCACTCGAAAGCAGTTTCCTATAACAGGTCACGTTTATCTGAGACTCTGTGGCACTCTGCCGATCAGCGATGATCTCTCACCCACCAACGTGGGCTCGCTAAAGTCTTAAGAAAAATTTTCACTGAACAAAAACCCCAACGTTGACCGTTTTTTTCTGTTCCTTTATCCCTGCCGCTGCGGAGACTTTGTCACATTTCCTCGCTGTGAACAGCAAAGAAACGCAAGACAGGTCAAATTGGCTCATGTGGTGGAGCTTTTTTGGAGTCATGCAGGATACTGCAGGATGCTGTACCTTCACGGAGCTTTCTGTAACTCTACTAAACCATCGTCGACTTCCGAACCGGGGTATCAGTCTGGAGGCTGGAAACTCTACCCATTGACTTCTCCAACCGACGCCTGCCCGCTTCGAAACTGTGCTCTCTCCCCACCGGAAATGCACTGCTGCAGGGAAACCTAACGAAATGGCGGCGCAGTGCGTACAGCTTCCATCGCCTGCTCCAGACCACAATCTCGAGCAACCGGTGTAGGCCGCAGTTTGTTCCCATTTGCCAGCCAGCAACGTTAGTCTCTTTTTCCCCGCAAGTGCGACTCCCGCTTCAATGTCCGTATAGGCATGAGCAGAGTACGGAGTGCATATTCTCCCACACGCAACGAGATCCAATGGTTCCGGTGAACACACCACTGTCGGGCCATTACCCGTCTTCCGCCTCTGAAACCGTAAGATGGCATAGCTGCTTACCTACGACTTATACCGTACAAGCACTGTAAGCCAGGATGAAATCGGAAGCCCTGTCACCTCATGCCAATTGTGTCTTGTGTCTTACTTCCCCGGACTTTTGGGTCCTGTCCATGACTTCATCCTGTCTTGGCTAGAGCATTTTGTCGACGAAATTCCTCCGGCCAACAGGGTGTGCTCCGATGCCAAAGACCCAACAACTGCTGTTCCCATCCCTGTGCTTCACACATCTGTACATGGGTAAAACCGTTTTGCGGTTTACATGACGTCAACAGTCGGTGAGAATTGCATTTGCCATTGAGCAATCAGCCTATATTTACTTTTCATGTGTTGAGTTTGTGATGCCTTCGAAAAACTTCCGGTTGTGTCTCCCGACGATAGCCTGATGAGCCGCATCGGTTCCAAGAGCTCAAGAAAGCCAATTGCTGTGTGGCTTGACCCCCAACGCGCCACCGCCTTATTTCTTGTCCCTGTTGCCACGGCGTTGACTGGCGCCATCGCCGGCGCGTCCTAGGCGAAGTGATCTGTTGGAGCTACCCTGAAGGTTATAACCATTGACGTTGTATCGTTTCATGGCTTCATCAGCGGTTCGCCGAAGAAATCCAAAGGTTTGCCGCGGAGATTGCATTTGCAGCTTCCTTGATGGGGTTGTAATTTGTAAATTACTTTCTGTGCCGCAGTCAACTTACACTGTACATCACTATTGTAGCGCCCCCCGTTTGAGGTATCCGTGTAGTTCATGTCGGCGACATCAAGTTTAACGACGGGTTATGATTTGATCTAATTGGGTCAGAGCTTAGACACTTTGCAAATTCTAATGGCAACCTGGTCGTTGTAGAATGGGCCTTGTTGTTGGTCACGCGACGGTATCTCGAATGAGACATCTTCCACCTTTAGCTTCTCTTCCTCACACTTTTCTAAAAACACTTGGAACGTCTGCAGGTTTCGCTGAGTTGCCGCAATAATGACCTCAACATGAGGATACAGTTCAAATAGCTCCAGTAGCGTACTGACAAGGTCGGGGATGATGCTCGAGTCGTACGTAATATCAGCTCCGAGGACAAGGTCCAAGGGACGGCCGCCGTTCCACCGCTCTTCTTCGGTTCCCTTGAGTGCATATCCCCACTTGAGATCCATGGGCGTTATGGCACTTGAGCCTTCGAGTTGATTCAGAAAGAAATTCTCGGGGAGGTTGTTGATGACATCGTCTGACCCATCCGATGCTATGATGTGTGTTGAATTCAAGTACTTTGCGCATAAGATGGAAAGATATCCAGTGCCCGTCCCGAGTTCCAAGATTCGTTTCCCGGAAACAATGCTGGAGTCCTGGCAAAGAAGCTGTCCAAGGTGAAGTGCCGCTTCCCAGGTCCTCAGTCCAGTAGTTCCAGCGGCAGAGATGAGAGACCGATTCTCAAACAAGGTAATGTGAGCCTCGTGATCCGGTAATGATGCGACATGGTAGACGACATGACACTTTTGCTGCACGGCATCGGCCTCATCCGGGGCTGGTGTGGATAGCAACACTGAGAGGGAGGACATGAGACCATCGGAGACTCCCTGCTCTTCACGTCAGAGACAGTCTTATACGGCATCTGACGGACATGGGGTCGGGCAACTTACATGCTCATCCCAGTCCTCAATACTTGCCTCAACGCGGGAGACAAGCTCTTTGAGCACTCTCACTTGATATCGGAGCGGCGGAGGGCCAGCAGAAAGAGCGCCATCGGCAAACAGCCTCTCATAGATGGCATCTTGAACATCGGAGCATCGGAGGTGTTGAGGCTCGGGATAAGTCAAGGCCTGCTCAAGTTGGAGATATTGATAGCAGAAGCGGTCGACTTGACTCTGTGATAAGGCGTCCATGGTTAGACGTATACATGAAAAGTAATTAAACACGCCCTGAAAACACTGAGCTCTTTCGACATAGTCTTCACATTTTTGCTCAAGACTTGCTCTGCAAACCCTCATCCATGGCGATGCTACGATCGAAAATGGTGGAGCACGCAGTCGAGTATCCATAATCGCTTGCAAGGATTGATTGGCCAAGCGAGCGGGGACCGACAAGCTACAAAAATAGCAGCCAGGCCATTTGCCGAGCTTTACCCTGCACGTGAGCACACAACTAATTTTCGCTGCTTACATAACGCGCACACACGCACGCTCCGCAGCGCATCTTAGGGTTGGGACCCAGACTAAGCGACACGAGCGTGTGCTACGGAATTTTCAACGCCCCGGTTTTAGTTTTGCGGCGAGCCCTTTCTCCCACGACCGAACCACGACGCCAAACCGCCGAGTCTCTCCTTCGTCACTTTTCTCAACGAGACAAAGCATCGCAACCATGGCGGATAACGACGCTCCCGTTACCCTGCGAACTCGCAAGTTCATCCGCAACCCCCTGCTTGGCCGCAAGCAGATGGTGGTGTGAGTGAAATCCTCAAAAGCCTCTCGTCGTGCCGCCGCCAGATTCGAATTCGCCCGCCATTGAATCCCTATCCATGAGACATCCATCGATCTTCGAGCCTATTTGTGTGTGCGGAAAACCAAGACGGCTGCCATTTCTTGTCTGCGGATATTGATTTGCTGCCTCGCACAATCTCTGTTGCAGAATTGAGCAGCGACTTTCGATTGGGTATTGGATTGGATAGCGGACGATTTGGAGCGAACACAGCGAAGACGAATCCTGATGGACGGCGGCCAACGACTTGAACCACAACTTCAACTCTGAAAGTTTGACTGACCTGTGATTTTCAACGAATAGTGACATCCTCCACCCCGGCCGTGCCAACATCTCCAAGACTGAGCTCAGCGAGAAGCTCGGCAGCCTGTACAAGGCCCAGAAGGAGCAGGTCCAGGTCTTTGGCCTGCGCACCCACTTCGGTGGCGGCAAGACCACCGGCTTCGCCCTCATCTACGACTCCCCCGAGGCTCTGAAGAAGTTCGAGCCCAAGTACCGCCTGATCCGTGTCGGACTCGCCACCAAGCCCGAGCGTGCCAGCAGACAACAGCGTGCGTCCAACATTCCACTGGCTCTTCCTCTTTCCCATCTTGTGCTATTTTTTGGTTGGCTAACTTGACATTTATAATACAGGCAAGCAGCGCAAGAACCGACAGAAGACCCTGCGCGGAACCGCAAAGGTCAAGGGTGCCAAGGCGAAGAAGGAGAAATAAACGCACAATCTTTCAAATGGTTGCTTGCTGGTGCTGGAGAGGAGGTGCGGGCGTGGCGCTGCGGTACTACTGGGCATGATTGCGCACCTGCGAGTGCTGCAGACTTTTTTCTCGGCATTAAAAAAAATCTACATGTTTTTGTCGATGGAACCTCTAGAAACGGCTTTTGTTGGGATGGGAGTCCGTCCCATGGTGTGTGCCTTCGATACACTAGCATGAAATCAACGGTGTTTTCGGGTTTACGGTCCAAATCTGTGTCCTATTATTTGTGGATTTCCAGACATGTGCTGGATAAGATGATTTTGTTATGATGACCGGACTCTCCAAAATATCGGTGATGATCAGTGGGCAATTCAAATGAACAAAAAAAAAACTTATGAATGAACGCTGGACTATCGTAGCAAGTGGCTGTTTCCCAATATGGTCTTAATGATTTGATATTCACGCTGTCTAAGAAAGAAATCTTTACAATAGAGAAACACTCAATCGATGCATGCTAACAGTAGAATATATCTTTACCCAAACTACAACAAAACGCCAGAGGTTCCAATTTCACGTACGCACACAATTGTCAGTTAGTTACCGGTAGCTCCATGGAAGCGCAGAGATCTAAAGGACCAAGTCACAAATACAAAGGAAACAGCAGCCAAGCCAGCAAAGATAAAGTACACCCAGCCATGACCGCCCAGCCAGGTATTCAGAGCTTTGTTGACAATGGGGAAGAACTGAGCCACCAAAAAGGTCGCAACGTAATTGGCTCCGAGGCACCAGCTCTGAGTCGCGCCCACAGCCTCCTGGCCAACGAGCTCTGATGCCAGGATAAAAGGAACAGGGCCCAGGCCCACGGCGAAAAAGCCGACAAAGACAATCACGGCCAACGCTGACAGGATCTTGAAGCCGAACACAATGGACAGAGCCAGGACAAGAGCGCTGCTGCCCTGGCCAACGACGGATGCGATGAGGCATGTCTTTCGTCCCAGGCGATCTGGCAGGGGGGAACATGCGATGGTTGTCACCAGGTTGACCAGCGATACCAGGATGCTCAAGAGAGCAGACGAGATGGGCAAAAGGTCGGCAAGGAGGGAGACGGAGTACATGATGACGGAGTTGATGCCGCAGAACTGCTGCACGAACATGATGCCCACCAGAGCAATGATGACGGGCCGAGTGCTGGGATCCTTGGCAACTTGCAGGAAGCCGAGGTGGACGGGCTCGTTCTTGGCCGAGGTGGCATTGGGCGGGGGGACCTCGTCTGCGCTCTGAGCAAGAAGGCCCTCTTCCTCTCCAGAGGCGGATCCGTCACGGCCCCAGACTTCGCTCTCCTCTCTGATGTCGACGGCCACGCCGCGGATCCTCTGGAGCGTCTTCTTTGCGCCGGCGACGTCGTCGTGCGCGGCGAGCCATGCCGGGCTCTCAGGGACGATCAACAGGCCAATTCCTTGCGCGGCGGCAATGAATGCTCCAATGCCCAGGTTCCACCTCCAGGCGCTGCCGTAGCTCAGGAAGAAGCCCAGCGTCTGCGTGATGAGAATGCCAACGTTGATGGAAATTTGCGTCATGAAGCCAAAGAAGCCCCGTCGATCCGGCGGGCACACTTCGCTAATGTACAGCGGCACAATGACCGTCGACGCGCCAGCTCCGATACCCGACAGGAACCGACCCGATGCCATGACGAAGACGCTGCTGGCGATGGTCTCGACGGTGGATCCGGCGATGAAGAGCAGCGCCGTCACGCGCATGGCGAGGAGGCGGCCGCGGCGAGAGGAGAAGGGGCCGGCGGCCAGGGCGCCGATGAGGCCGCCGATGGTGAAGACGGAGGAGACGGTGGCGAAGGCAGCCTCGTCCATGGGGATGCAGTCGTCGACGGGGGCTTCGTGGACGGAGGTGACGAAGCTCCTGAGGAGCAGCCGGGCTGCGGAGATGGACTTTCGGTGGCAGGTGATGACATCTTGGGGAGCGTTGAGTTCGGCCTGTGTGGAAATTGATTTTGTATTAGCTTCTAGCTTCTTTGACAGACAAATGGATGGGCAGCAGAATGCTAGAGGTCATGTGTAGCTTGAGACATGAGAAGCAAGCGGTGAATGCGATGCGTTGAGGAGAGGAAACACGAAACGCACCAAGTGGAAGCCAAACTGCAGCGACCCGAGAGTCGAGATTGCGATGAGGATGACGAGATACGCGGTGACGCCCTGGCCCGCCATCTTTGCGAGTTGGGCTGTAGTGGTAGCTTTTGATAGCTGCCAATAGCTCGAGATGAAGCGATGATGGAGGTTGAAGCAGCTGGGTCGCTCTATGGGCAATGATCAGCTGCAGTCAGCTTTGGATAGGCCAATCAGCTGTGCCGTAGTGGGGGAGCCGCGTTTGGCAATCAGGGTCTTGGCCTCTTCAGCACTGATAGCTTCCAGTCTGCTGTCTATCTATATCAGAGAATATCGAATGTTGGTATTTGCGTGGAAACCATTCTTTATCATATAGCATCATACCAGCGTCTCATTAGAATTTTATTTTCTCTCCTGTCAAGGCAGTGTTGTGATCAACTCTTGTGCAACGTAAACCACGATGTGCGCATCGTGACCACGTTTGCACTACCCTAGAATTGGCTGAATGAAGCATGTGATTCTAAGTGTTGGCAGAGCTAGATGGTAATGATACATCGAGTAGGTAAAGATTAAATGTAATTCTTATTATGTCATTGGTAATTGAAATCCATATTACTATTGACTGGAAATATTGTTCTCGTATGATCTGTGCTTACTCTAGGTATTCTGTAGAAGATCACTTGTCATATGCTGCAAATGAATGACAAGCAGATAAATGCAAACGAGCGAGAGACAAACAGGTGCAGATGTCTTCACAAAGCGCCAATTTGTTGAATTGAATCTATACATTTCATTGATAGGGCGTCATCCATCCAAGTAAACATCTAACCAACTTTTACTCAAGCCTTCTTAATCATCTCATGGTATATCCTCAGCTTTTACCCATCTAAGCACCTACACGTAAAGCATCATCACAATCCCAGAAAATCAAGCATCATCTGCTCACCCAAATTCTTCAGCACCTTGCGCCCCCTGATGCTGTCCGCCTCAATCCGCGCCACGATGCCCGGCTCCGTGATGCCCTCGTCAACCCACTGCTGCACGGCCGGGTGGTCAAACAGCCGGTCGAGATACCTCCCTGCCTCGCCGTCCAGCTCAATGCCAAACGTCTTGCACCGAGACGCAATGGGCGCGTAAAAGGCGTCCGCCGCAGTGAACTCCTTGCCCGCGAGCCACGGGCCGCCAAACTTGCCGATGCCCTCGTCAAAGAGCTCCGTGAGGCGGTCAATGTCCCGCTGCAGAGCCTCGCTCCGGGGCCCGAGCTGGATGCGCAGCGCCACGTTCATGGAGCAGTCTGTGCGGATGCCGCCGAAGCCAGAGTGCATCTCGGCGGCGGCGCAGCGGGCAAAGGCGCGGGCGAGCTTGTCGCGCGGCCACACGGCTGGGTAGGCCTCGGCGATGTATTCGATGATGGCGAGTGAGTCGAAGATGGCGGCTGAGGAGGAGTCGTCGATGAGGCAGGGCACCTTGGCCGAGGGCGAGAAGCGGAGGAACTCGGTGCGCTGGCTGGCGAGGTCGGAGCCGAAGAAGACGAGCTTTTCGTCAAAGGGGATGTTGAGCGCCTTGAGGAGGACCCATGGCCGCATTGACCACGATGAGTATCGCTTGTTGCCGATGTAGAGCGTGTAAGTCATTTTGGTGGTTGTGGTTGGCGTTGATGTCTTTTCTTCGAGGTTGACAAGGACGATCCTAACAATACAATTGTGAAGACGTGGATTATTTATGTTGAAGAATAGATGGGCCAGATGGCTCTCGAGTCACTCGCAACTCTTGATTCACGGTCCAAACACGAGTGTATCAAAACAAAAAGCCCTTAAATTGACGAAACTAGTACAATTTTTTCAAGCCACTTCCTTTCCTGGTAGCAAACACCGAAGACTCATACATTTCTCGCTCTAAGCATATTGGAGTTCGTTTTTGGGCCAACGGACCGATTCGCATTCGTCAGACAGTGGCTACCAGTTGATTTCTTCTTTCTTCTCTTCTTTCAATTGTCATGGCTGGTCTTGTCGCATTGAGACATGGCAAATAGAGTGCGAGGTGAAGATGCATTAGTCAGCCATTTGTAGCCGAGGCGAGCTAGTTCTCTCTTCATGGGCCACAGGGCTGAATATTTCTTCCGGCATGATAGGTGGTAGCATTGAAGTAAGTGACACTCTGTATACAGATCTGATACACGGGTAAGATCTCTTTTAATCTTCTTTTTAAAGTTGATTACTCACTTCACATGCCAGCTGACACAGCTCCCTTCCCATCATCTGCTTCTCCGCGATTCGGACGCCTCAATCTCCAAAATTCGAGTCAGTCTGCCGCGGTTAGTTCGTCCCAACCCGTTTCACCCGTCAATCCCGCTTTGCCCGCTTATGCCGCTTGATAAGATGGGATTTACATAATGAGATGCGCCTTACCCCGTACAAAGCGGTTGGTTCTTCTCTGGACGACGGACTTTGCCCTCCGTCACTGCTAAAGATGCTCGCTACTTTTCGCTTTTGTTGGCTTGTAAGCGGCATTTGAGCGGCAATTAAATGCGATGCTAGGCTGGCTTGGGTGTAGACACGCCTTACCGTGGACCATTTGTGCGTGGAAATCATATTGCCGTTTCGGGCAAGTCTTGGTCATGCCGTTGGTTGGCCAATGGGTGCAAGGTCAAGCTCGCTTTTTAGATGCTATCTTTTAGTAATTGGCATCTCTGTCGGTTTATTTCAGGATTTCCCTTCTCCGGCTGGAGAAAACTGGACCCGCGCATCGTCTAGCAAGCAACGGGGTTCCCCCACAAGACACTGAGCGGCGATGCATTCATGACTTCGGAGATCGGACGGCTGTGCCCGCATCTGGATTTCCAATATCAATGGCTCGACCCCAGAAACTCGTAGTCCAACACATCTTGTCAGACACTTGTATATGATTGCTGCTTCTCGAATGCTTCTGTGCATGTAGTGGCTCCATTTCGCTGGCAAAGGTGTCATGAGCGCTTCACTTGTCTCGGCTTATATGTAAGCGTCGCATTCCTCCCGATTTATCATCCTTCTCCAGGGTCGTAGCAGCGACATCGGCACGATTCTCGAAAAACAAAACTCTAGCGACAATCAGGCTCTCATCACTTGGCTCTTACTACAAGGAACACGTTTGTTCTCCTGGAGAACTTGGGCCTGTCAGATACCTGGATTGGCGACTGACATCATGACACTTACACCGCCGGCAACGACAGACGCAGGATTCATCGAAGCGTCTTCAACAGACGACGATGTAGCCCTGGAGCAAAAGATCAACATGACGGACGAAAAAGCACGGGAATTGGGCCCTGAAGCGCCAGCCGCCACTGGACCGGCCGTAGGACCTCCTCCCGACGGCGGCCTCTGGGCATGGCTCCAAGTTGTCGCCGGCCATCTCGTCGTCTTCAACGTCTGGGGCTACACCATCAGCTACGGCATCTTCCAGCCCTACTACGTGGAAACGCTCAACCTGGGGCCCTCGGCCGTGTCTTGGATCGGAAGCATGCAGGCCTGTCTCATCTTCCTCGTCGGCACCGTTTCCGGCCGCGCCTTTGACGCCGGATATCTCAGACACGTCCTGGCTGCGGGTCTGCTGATGCAGCTGGTGGGCATCTTCACAACGAGCGTGTCGACCAAGTACTGGCAGCTCTTTCTCGCGCAGGGCCTGTGCCAGGGCATCGGCTGCGGCCTCACGTTTGCGCCAACAATTGCCCATGTGTCGACGTATTTCTCCAAGAAGCGGATGCTGGCGCTGGCGAGCGCGGCTTGCGGCGGTGCCACGGGAGGCGTCATCTTTCCCCTGATTGCGCAGCAGCTGATGCCCAAGATTGGTTTTGGATGGACGGTGCGAGCAATGGGGCTGGTGGTGCTGGTGGCCAGCGGCATTATCCTGTTGCTGGTGAGGCCGAGGCTGCCTCCGCGCAAGTCGGGCGCTCTGGTGGACTGGGCGGCGTTCAAGGAGGCGACGTATGTGCTGTTTGGAATCAGCATGTTCTTCACGCTCTGGGCAACCTATTTTGCGTACGACTATGTGAGTTCTCTCTCCATTCCCCTGATATGTCATGTTGTTGAAATGTTCTAACCGGCCTTGTTTCCAGGCACGCTCGTACTCCATCGACCGGCTTCACGGATCTCAGTCAACGTCCTTCAACATGCTCATGATCATCAACGTGGTTGGCGTTCCGGGACGACTCATACCCGCATACCTGGCCGACCGATACTTTGGCGCCGTCAACGTCTTCATCCCCACGATTGTCTGCACGGCCATTTGCATCTTTGCGTGGGCAGGTGTCGATTCCATCAGCGGAGACTATGCCTGGGTTGCCTTTTTTGGATATTTCGGCGCCGGCGTGCAAGCTCTGTTTCCAGCGACTACGGCCAGCCTGACCAAGGATCTGAGCAAGGCCGGGGTACGAATCGGCATGATCTTTTCGATTATCAGCGTTGCGGCACTGACGGGGCCGCCATTGGCAGGAAAGCTGATTGTTGTTGCGAATGGGCGTTATATCGGCTCGCAGATCTGGGGAGGTGTGTGCTTGCTGATTGGAGCTGCGTTTCTGATGGCTGCGAGGTGGACGAAAGAGCGGGAGCTGAGGAGCAAAGAGGACGTGGCGTCTGCATAAAACTGATTGATGAATAAAAAGTGAAGAAAATCATCAAAAGAGAAGAAAATCATCAAAAGAGAACGAGAAAGAAAAGCATAGCATTTTGTTGTTTGTTCAAGTATATAGAGCTTCGAGTTTCTGAGATGATGTTATGAAAGACCCCGCTACAATACCGGGAGAGCAGTTTAATCGTTAATGAATAGAGATACATACAAATTACAACGCCTTATGTTAACATGTGGTCTTATAGAAAATAATAATTGTGAATGAGACAACTGAGAAATTAGATGCAGGATTACAGGCTTACAGTGTGCTACAAATCTACTGGTGTAGAGCATGGTGCCTCTGCCCCGCCAATCTGAAAAATCTCCAACAGCATCAAGCCTCAACTTTCCCACCCCAAAACCGCAGCATCACAGCTGTCCTGCCCGTGGACAATGTCAGTAGCGCCTTGGATCTGCCGCAGCTGCTTCCGGGCTCTGCGACGCTCCCACCAGCTGCAGATTGTCCGCTTCTCCTCCAACGGTGCGCCGCAATCGCAAATCGCAGACTCTCCCTCTCTAGCTGACTGTTGAAACGCTCAAAAAGACGCCTCCACATCTCTGGCCCCGAGCCTCCTCCGGCGCGCCCAATCCCTCTCCGCAGAACACGATGACCTGCAAAAGAGCCTCAACAGCTCCTTCGACGCCGGCAAGGCCAAGCGCGCGGGCGAACTGGGCCGCGTAGCCTCTGCGCTGCGGGCCTGGGAAAAGGCCCAGTCGTCAATCACGGAGCTTGCGTCCATGGCGGAGGATCCAGAGCAGGACCCGGACCTGGCGTCGATTGCGCGGGATGAATTAGAGGGGGAGCGAGCAAAGTTGGATCTGTTGGAAAAGAGGCTCCAGGAGAGCCTTACGCCTAGACATGCCTTTGCCGATCTGCCCTGCATGGTTGAGTTTCGGCCTGGGCCGGGCGGTCTCGAGGGCAGATACTTCACCGATACGCTCTTCAAGATGTACAAGGCAATGTGCGTGCGACGAGGCTACCGCGCCAACGTGCTCAAGTACGAAATGGCCGAGGCCGCGGGCGACCAGTCCTCTTCCTCTGGCGAGCAGCCCGTCCAGGAAGCCATTCTCGAGATCCAGGATCCCGGCGCATACGACATTTTCCGCGGCGAGGCGGGGATGCACCGCGTGCAGCGCATCCCGAGCACGGAGAGCAAAGGCCGGGTGCACACGAGCGCGGTGGCCGTGTGGGTGCTGCCTTCGTTTCCCGAGGGCGGCACTGGCGGCGACAACGTCGACGTCGATGACCCGGAGAGCGACTTTTACGTCAAGCCGGAAGAGGTGAGGATTGAGACGATGCGGGCACGGGGTGCTGGCGGCCAGCACGTCAACAAGACCGAGTCGGCCATTCGCATGACGCACATCCCTACCGGCACCGTCGTCTCCATGCAAGATCATCGCTCGCAGCAGCGCAATCGTGAAGATGCATGGAAGGTGCTCCGTTCCCGCATTGCCACGCAGCGGGCCGAGCAGCGCGAGGAGGAGGCCGCCAAGCTTCGGAGCAGCGTGCTGTCGCAGGCGCAAATCACGCGAGGCGACAAGATCCGCACGTATAATTACAACCAGGATAGGTGTACGGACCACAGGGCTGGGCTGGATGTGCACAACTTGCCGAATGTGTTGGAGGGAGGGGAGACGCTGGATAGAGTGATGGAGGCTGCGAGGGAGTGGCTGGTGGCAAGGGAGGTTGAGCTGCTGGTTTTGGAGGAAGAGGCCAGGACGAAGAAATGAGCAATGAGTGTACGATGATGACTTGGACTGTATCATGTATGTCTTTGTTCTATAGATGGACCTTGTATGATATTCCCTACATGTATGTGCATGTATAGATGCCCGTTCCCAAAAAAGATGGAACAACGGCACATGTATTTGTATTCTCAGTATATAGATCCAATTGACGGCGGTTCACCGCTTTCGTCTTGAGCCAACTACCAATTATAGAGGTACTACGTACGCATATAAACATCTCCGCTTGTTTGTAACATTCCAGGTAGATACACGCATGTTCCCACCCATTATTCCATGATTCTTCTGTCCGCCGTAACTCCAGATGATTGAGCCGCTTCCCAAATAGCCCCAAATAAAGACAACCCTTTGCAATAGGTGGTGTCGTAATTCCAATATCGTACAGCAGAAAAGAAGAAGGCAGAAAAACCCAAAAAAATCAAAATCGCAAATTATCATTAAAACAGGCATGCCGTCGCTTGCAATGTAAGACCTTCACATTAACCCTCCCAGCACAACCTTGCCTATGCCCGCCACTTCAGACTTGACGTGCATCCTGCTGTGGTCTTCAAAGTCCTTCACCACGCCCTGCACAATGATTTTGCGAATCCTGGAATCCGCCTTTGTAAACAGCTCGGCCACTGGCGCCGTGCACTCCCTCGCCGACGGCACCAGCGCCAGAAACTTTGTGTAGCAGTCGATGAGCACATCGCACAGCGTCGCAAACGTCTCGAAAAAGTCCGGGTCAAAGGGCAGCGACGGCGTCAGCAGGTACGTGTACTCCTCGCCGGGGAGCAGGTCGGACTCCGAGGCCGCAAAGTTCATGACCGCCGGGGCCGGGCCGCCGTTTGTCGAGCCGGCGGCGGGCGATTGGTGGCCAGAGCCGGAGTCGTCAAAGGTGACGTCGGCGGATGTCGAGCGACGGGTCTTCATGCCGGGGCGGCGGAACATGTTGGGCAGGCGGGCGCGGCTGAGGGCGGCGTTGGAGGAGTCGCCGTGGAGCTGCTGGAAGGAGTCGAACTCGGCGAGCAGGGCGTTGAGGCAGCGCAGGAACTCGAGCGGCGTGGACGAGTAGAGGTCGTGGATGGTGGGGATGGAGAGGCCGAGGAGGAGGTAGTTTGTGGCCTTGCGGGAGAGCTTGCGGGGGTCGAAGCTGGGCATTCGCGAGAGGTCGGGCTTGTCGAAGAGGTATGTGTTGAACCAGTAGACGCGGCCTTCGTGGCTGTCGACGTGTTAGCCGTCATTCACACGACAAGTCATATCAGAAAGTCGTATTAAGAGTACAAGGAAAAAGGGGGGACACGGCACTCACGCCTTCCGCAGGTAGTCCAGCGTCGACATGCGCTTCTGGGCCAGCTCCGTGATCTGGTGATGCAGCACCTGCGTCTCGCCCTGCGCCAGCGCCCACATGGTGCTCGTCATGCCTGGGCGGCCCTCGATGGGCGTTGCAGGCGTCATGGCCGTCATGGCCGAGCCGCGGGGGATCATGGTGTTTGCCAGCTCTGCGGCCGAGGCGCCTTCCGCGGCGTCCCTGTGGTCTCTGTCCCGGTCCCTGTCCTTGTCCTTGGCCACAATCTTGGCCGCCGCGGCGAGGGCGTAGTCGGGCAGAGGCGGCGCAGAGGCGTTGGTGACACCGTTGCCGTTGCCGTTGGACGATGGCGTGGCAGTCCCGCTGGCGTTGCTGGCGTTGGCGCGGCGTCGCGAGCCGGGCAGCGAGGCCTTGAGCGACGAAAAGGACGCCTTGCGCTCCTTGCTGCTGGAGCGCACCACGGACAGCTGCTGGTCGGGGCGGTCGTGGCTTCGGTCGCGGTCTCGGTCTCGATCTCGGCCTCGTTCGCGGGTGGGCAGGTTGAGCGATGCTGGACTGAAGAGCGCGCCCGCAGCGGCGTTTGACGGCGCCATGTCCCTTTAATGGCTGGCACAGGCAATGGCACCACCGCTAATGATCCTTGGGATCAGATCAGGGCGATAAGCGGCGCTTAATTTTGGCTGCTGTTTTGGTGTTAGCGAAGATCATGCCGGTGGCGTTGGTCCAGTCTGCGGTTGGCTGGCTGCTAATTACGTCCATCAATTGAATGCAGGACAATTGATCTCTCGCAAAACACAACACTCCAGCTTCAAGGCAATCACTCACTCACTTACTGGCTGGTCGATGTCCCCCTTTTGGCCGCTTTGCCTTGCTCGTATATGCTCTCTTCTTCTTTCTCTCGCTCTTTTTTTTCTTCGCGTGTTCCGTGTCAGTTCATGGCACCAACAGTCGCGTCGATATCAAGCACGATGAATGGCATTTGGCGGTAGAGGAGACGTTGGCCTTTTGGCTTTGGTGCCAGAGTCGCATTCTCTGTGACATTGCCTATCTGGGCTGTGATGTGACGGAGGAAGCGTCCATGCGCCCAGGCCAGGGAAAAGCATTATTCCGGGTTCATGGTCAAGCCAGGCGGTTTCATCCCGACAGGCTCACTTTATCACGTTGAAACAGCCAAGGACTTGACAATGCAGATACTACGCGAGCACCATGGACAGGAAGAGCTTTGGATACTATGCACTGGTTCTGCGTTGATGGAAAATACAGCATAAATGTAAACAAAATTGGTATCACTGACAATTATAGCCGACTGCTCCTCATACGGAAAAACAACAACCATCGTCGTCGCCATAACATGCTCAGCTACACGGCCTTGTCGGCGGCAACATGGACTTCCTGCTCGACATGCTCCAGCTCGACGCCCTTGTTGAGCACATGCTCCACGTCCGCCTGGCGCTGGTCCTCGCTGACGAGGCCAAACAGCACGTCCATGTCCTCCAGCGTGCGGCCCTTGGTCTCCTTGATGAACAGGATGACAAAGGCGCACATTCCGCAGCAGAAGCATCCAAACATGATAAAGGTGCGCCAGCCAATGTGGTTGACGGCCGCGGGGGTGATTTCGGTAATGACAAAGTTGAACAGCCACTGCGTTGCGGCGGCGAGACCGACGCCGTATTCACGTAGACGGGTAGGGAAGATCTGTGTATCAGGGAAAAGACGTTAGCAGGTGGTATATCGTCAAGTTTTGCATGAGCCGCTTCTTACCTCGGAGACGTAGACCCAGGGCGTGGGCCCCCATGACGCAGAATACCCAATAACGTAAAGATAGATCATGACAACCATGGCGATGGACGCCGAGGAAACATTGGTGCTCTTTGGGTCCGGCGGGTGGGTTGCGAGGACGGCGCCGATGATGAACATCATGCTGGCCATCCAGATGGCACCGGCGATGAGACTCTTCTTGCGGCCCAGTCGGTCAATGCCGAGGATCAGGAAGAGGGCCGTGGCAACCACCTTGACGGTGCCGTACACTCCAGTTGCAAACAGCGACGAGTTTGTGCTGCTGACGCCAACTGTCTCAAAGATCTCGGGGGCATAGTATCCGATGCTGTTGGTTCCGGAAAACTGCTGCCAAAACATGATTCCAAAAGCCAGTGCGAAGCGGTTCCAGTTGCCCTTCTTCAAGCACTCCTTCCAGGTCACGCCCTCTGTAAGGGCCATCTCTTCCTCGATCGAGGCGCGAATCTCTGCAATTTCCTTGAGCACCTCGGGGCTGTCTGGAGCCTCGTTGCGAATGTAGGCTAGAGACCGCAGAGCCTCCTCGTGACGAGACTTCTTCATGAGCCACCGGGGCGACTCCTTGAGGAAGAAGAGGCCGCAGAGCATGAGGCCGCCTGGCACAAGCTGGAGACCGACGGGTATACGCCATTGTTTTGTACTCTGTTTAATGTGCAGGGCCACGCCGTAGTCGAGCCAGTAGGCGAATGTGCTTCCGATGACGAGGAACTCCTGGAACAGACCGGCGACACGGCCTCGGGTGGCGGGTGGGCAGTTTTCACTGACAAACACCGGGGTGATGGAGCTCATGCCTCCGACGCCGAAGCCGGCAATGACACGGCCGCCGTAGATTTGGCCAATCGAATGTGAGGCGCTGGTCTGGATGGCTGCGCCGACGAGGAAGATGATGGTGAAGAGCATGAGGGCATAGCGGCGACCGAAGCGTTCGTTGATGAATGCGGCGGTGATGGCGCCGAAGAAGCAGCCGGCTGTGAGGAGAGAAACTACATTGGATGCAATGTGGGCATTTTCGGATGAGGAGAAGCCGCTGGAGTCGGTAGGCAGGCCAAAGTCTTGTTTGAAGCTCTTGAGGGCGAGCACACTGCCCATGACACCCGTATCATAGCCTTGGGAGTTTACAAGTCAGCAGTGCTCATCTTGTCAAGGTTGCTTGAGAGAAGGGATAAAGTAAAACACTCTGTGAAAAGACGAGAGAAGACGTACCAAAGAGCAGTGAGCCCAGGTAGGCCACCGATGTGAGTACATAGACTCGATAATTCTTGAAGAACTGCATTGTGGCGACTGTTCTGGTGCAGCTTCCCAGCAACAACAAAGAACGAGTCCTCTACACGAGCTGGAGGGGGTCTGGTCCCCTTCATATATACACAGGCACGGCCGAGCACATGATTGGAACATGTATTTTAATTTTGCATTCCTCACTCATTGGGAAGTGAGTAGCACCACCCTTAAGCAGGCTGGTCATGCAATACTATATCGGAGTGGCACACTAACTTGACGTAGCTGTTCATCCGTTGGCGGGATAAAGGTGGATATACCACGAGCAGGGCCTTTTCTCTCAGTCTCCATCCACAAACAAGTACAAGTACCTACTTTTCACCTTCTTTTTGGCCTGGTAGCTGCTGGCCTCCTCCAACCCCCATGATACCCCATACTGGCACTCGGACAGATTCTGGGGTTCTGGGGCAGGGCTTTGTGGAGGAGCACAGATTGGGCGCGGCGCCTGTGTTTCCGCACCAACAAATCAGGAAGAAGCAGCTAAGCGATCCAATCCCGAGCAAACTCCCCGCATGAGGAGCAAAGTCCCCGCACGCCACGGCCCCCAGACACTTTTTTTCTTCGGCCAAGGCTCGAGATTGAGTAAAAGGGCCTCGCTCAGAACCACCCCGAGCTAACAAGTTCGCTGGGAGGCTTGCCGAGATGCCGGTGGCGCTGAGATGGATTTACCCGCCAATGAGGGCAGAGCGTTTATGCTACTAATGACCTCTATCAGTAAATCATTGTTTTTGCCCGCTCCTGGATGAGGTGAAGAGAGCTTTTCGCGACTCAGTAGAGAGACTGTTGGTTGTTGAACGCATGAGAACAAACACACGGTTGGGAAGCATCTCGGTCACAAGGCGCCATCTCCAAAGCTTGGGGCACTCCCTGTGGCCAGTCAGCTTCCATTCCATGGCCGGGGTGACATCCAACGCTACACGGGCACATGCCAAACCGCCGCATAAGCAATCTAGTTGCGCAAGGGGTAGCCTTCCCATAGGCCTGTTGTGGACGGTTGCGGATGGCTACATGTGCATCATGGAGATGCTAGCCTTCAATAATGCCGGAGTTAATGCTGCACCTCGGGGATCTTGTCCCGAGTTACACGTACTTTCCCTCAGCTAAAGACTCCTCCATCTTCACAGATGCTGTAGAAGCTCACAATTCGGTGAGGATATGGAATGGTTGAAGCGGATTCATGGAAAATTTGGCCCCGCAGTTCTAGCTGAGCTTGGTTTCTCGCACAGAAGCTATTGGAGATCCCTTTGTTAGAAAAAGTATATCTTATTACCGCGTTCCCCTCCTTCAACAAACCCTTGGTAACTTGTAACTATTAGGCGCCACTGGTGCTGTTCGATGGCATGAATCGTTTCTTGGCCCCACACGTCCTCTTATACTAGCTGTTGACTCTGAGAAGACTAGTTTGCTCGTGCGCAGAACCGCCTTGGGATTACCAGCTCAATACCCTTGGTTGAGGCTGCGTAGTAGCATCAGCTGGCACATCAGTTCTTCAAACGGAGATTGTCCAAGTCTTGTCTTTGAAGCAGAAAGTTTGTCGTTGGGGTGTTGGCTGTTTGTTTGATAAGAACAGCCTGGTCTTGGATCAAGATCATAGACACGAAGCTGCTTTGTCTCCTTCGATATAGATGTAAAGAGGGTCAAATAAGTCAACACGAGCGTCACTCGTCTTTTCTTACACTGATGCCCGATACTCTACCCAAGAAGAGCTAGCAGATGTATCTGCGAGATCTATATAGATCTACTAAAATTACCAATTATCATTGATTAGGTGTTATATATCGCATTAGGTCTACTTATAGTAGGTATTGGACATACCCGCATAATAATGTACCCTTGAAAATACGGTATTTCCTACCATGTGCAGAAGTATTTTAGCTGAATCAAAGCTGTCCAGCCACGTGCTACTCTCGACAGCCTTGTCTGCTTGTTTATTTGACATGAGCATACATATTAATTCTGTGTTACAAATTCAATCAGCTTTCTAAACTTAGAGTTGAACATTATGGGTCATCATGACCCCCCAAAATATGTTGGCTGTCTCGCATCAAGCAAGTTTATTAGTACCGTATTCCCTCGCAAAATTGGGCTTTAGGTACGTATCAAAGTACGTTGCTTAGCGTTATATAGGGACTATTCTATAGCAGGAAAAGCGAATTTTGGTACCTAGGATCCTACCGGGCCACAGCCAAAGTCCAAGTTGCCGTTTGACCCTGCAGACTGGACTTTGTTTATGGACTTAGGTAGTCTTATATGTATCTTCTAGTAAGAAACACATAGAAAATATAAATCACACCAGAAGATACATACCAGATTACCTGATTCCATACCTAAAGTCCAATTTTGCGAGGGAATACGGTATTGCATGATGCATCAGAGCCACAAATAGGGAGTAGCTGCTATACCTGGGCTGATTAGCTCTGATGAAGATGAGCCGCTCTTAGTACATCCTTTTGCCTAGTATACGTAGCGAAAAGTAGCATATTTAGTCACAAGGTGTTCAGCTGGATGTGGCTGTACTAAAAATGAAGTTGTAAATGAACTAAATTTGAAATGCTATCTGATGCAATAAATCTAATATGTAAACCCCATCTATACGGGTGCATATCCGCCAAAAAATATATTATATACAAAACAAACGTAAACACAAGTCGTTTACTGTGGCTTCAGGCCTTCTGCCATGGCCAGTAAAATGCCAACTGCCTTGTGAGCGGATGACAGGGTCTTCTTCTTACCAGCAGCTGTGGTAGAAGCCGGCTTAGAAGACGAAGTAGAAGAGGGCTTGTCATTGACGGAAAGGAGCGGTGGTGGAGGCGCAATAGAAAAGGCACACTCTCCCTTGCCCCAGATCGCGTTGGCGACGTTGGCCCAGTTGGCATCTGGCTTGAGGAGCGTCTCAGGGGTATAGAATATTCTGCAGTTGGCGGGTTGGTAGACAAATTGCGTAGGCACCTCGTCGTTGAACGGAGAAAAGGCGTTTCTGTAGTTGACACTTCCCGAGGCGATTCTCAATGGCAATTGATCCAGCGTCAAAGGGATATGGTCCTTGAACGCGTCCAATTCCTTTGACGTGAAGATGGGCTTCTTGGCATCCGTGGCATTCTGGACAACCTGGTTCGTGAACTCGGTGAATTGGGAAATATTATCCAATTCCAGGACTTGAGCGCCCTTGACGCCTCCAATCGCCTGCATGGGACCAACTTGTGGGCGGCCACCGTTTGCAACAACACGCACGCCGTATGGGATCATGTGGTTGATGAAGACGGTGCAAGTCGAGGAACATTGGCCGTCGGTAAGCTAGCGGAGGGTGTTAGCAGATAAGAAAAGAAAAGAAAAGAGAAAACCAGGGACATGAAATACTCACAATGATGATATCCTCGGGCTTGTAGGGCGGTTCCGTACCGTTGAGCACTCCTCCTGTGCCGAAAATGTTGATGGGGGTTGACGTCGCGTTGTTGAGTTTAAAGTTCTCTTCAGCCGAAATGGCCGTTGAGGGGACACCAAGTGTATCAAAAGGACCCAAGAAGTCGCCTTGACTAGCAAAGCCTGTGGCCTGGTCTGGTTGAAGAATTGATGAGATGAGGAAACCCGCTGATTCATATTGCGCCTTGAGTTCTGGATCCGTGACGCGGCTGGCAACCTCAAAATGGTATTGGGTTTCGGGCACAGAGCGGATTCTTGTCGCAGAAAAGAGGGTCATGTTGGGGAAGAAGATGCTGACAAGTGCAAAGCCTGAGACGACAGTGCCGCCAGGATTTCCAGTCACGTCGATGATAATCTTGGACTTGCCGGCAGCGACAGACTTTTCAACAAAATCCTGGGCCTTTACGGCAAAAGTGATAATCTCCTCGTTGCTAATCTCTCCCGTTCCAAAGGATCCCACTGTCATGACAGCAACGTCCTTGAGGCTTGTTTCTTCGGGGAAATATCCTACCATGAGGTTGTTGGGGTCTTGGACAACAGGCTTGGGAAATCCGCTCGGTGCTGCAAGAGGCTTCGCATCTGCCTCCCTCTTGGGGAGTTCCGCCATGCTTCCGTTTCTCTTGAACTTTTTGCTTGATGAATCAGTAGTGGTAGGAGTGCAAACTGCCTCGAACAGCTCTTCGCCAGTGGTAAAGGTGAAATTTCCAACCGAAGACCGAACTCGTCCTGTGAGCGGAAATGATGCTTGGGTCCCGTTCGCAAAGGTCATGTTGAATTCGTGCACTCCCGGGAAGCTCACGTACTCTGCAAAAGTACCAAAGTTTGTGCTGTCGCCACCTAGCAGACCATGTGGGACATTGGTTGTTAAACTGTTGTACCGGGCATCGGGATCTTGAAAACCAGCGCTATTGCTGAGCTGTTCGACGAATGCCTCTGCGCCAACTCCATTGATGAGCGTTACAGGAGATACGTCTTTGTTGCCGTTTGCTAGTAGTATGCCATCGTCTGTTGCCAGTAACTCGTTAGATGAAAAGCTTTTGAATGTAGCAAGAAGCGATATACGCACCCAATGTATAGAGCTTGGGAAGAGTCGCTCCATCGGGAGAAAGCGATGCCAATGAAGCCTCCACGTTTATAAAGTTCATGGTAAATGAGCAAGGCAAAAGAGCCAGATGGCCGTCGTTTGCAGAGCTTATGAGACTAAACAAATCCTGATCAAAGGCGTACTGAGACTTGTAAAGGTTCGAAGCTGCTCTCTGGCGAATAGTCGACATGCCGCCAACGAGATCGACTGTTGCGGATATAGCGCCGATGGGTGGATCTGAGTTCGGTTAGGGATATACAACAACGTAGCAGACAGCATGAGACATACTTCTGAGAATCTCGATAGTAGACTGCCATTGCACGTATTTGCTATACTCATCAACGAAGCTCACTGCGAGGTCGGACTTGAATGGTATCGATTCCAGGCAGGCTAGTGCAAGTTGACTGGAGAAGACCTCGGCTAAGATGTGTCAGTACTGTCGTATAACGCTCTGCCAAAGGGCACAGAAACTCACTTCCTGCTGCTGTTAATTTTGCAATCTGCGCACAGGGCTCAGCAGGCTTGGAAGCACTGACTGAGGCCGTGGCAGCGCTTGCCACTGCCGCAAGGGCCGCGACAGCGGAAAGTCGTGATATCCTGGGAGACATCACGTCCAAAAGCTGAAGTTGAAGGAAATGAAAAGACCAAACGCTCTATAGAACCAACAAGCGATGCAATAATGAGAAGAAAAGGGTATCAAAGGAGCACAGCGATAGTCTTTCTATACTTGTGACTGCTGTTGACTCTCAGATATTTATCCCAACAACGGCTTCATCGTAAGCTAATATAAGTCGGCTCTAACGGACCTGCGTTTCTTTTTTTAGCCCCATATCTTTCCCCAAAGAGCTCCATGGGGCTGTACGGAGCAAGTCGAGGCGTGATGATCGTTACAGCCCACCAGCCACCCCTGAGCTGACGGCGACCCGCCAGCTCAGCCCAACGTTCAAGCTAGGGCACAACACAAGACCAAGCGCTAGGTCAGAGCCGCAGAGGCATCAGGAATAGGATCACTAGTCATGACAACAGTAGTCGAGAATAGAAGATGTGAATCAGCACGACATTATTCTTCACATTCCCTGGCCTTTTGCTCTTCACTACTGACTGTAGTTACTACCTATCAGATCTCAACGATATGTCCTAACAAGCTAACAAGCAAGAAACCCAGGCCATAATACCTCCACTATCGAGTAGTATAGCTAATAGAGCTCGACTGCGTCGGAGTGAATCGCCTTTCTTCAAAGCGTGATAGACTTTCCTCAAAAGAGTCATAAAAATCGAGATAATGTTGTGAGTACTAGTATCACGATCCACCCCTGAGCTGACGGCGTCCCGCCAACGCAGCCCAACCTCACAATATGCGGCGATTTGCGGCAAATTGGGCCATTGTGTAGGACTTCAAAACACGCTTAAATCTGTTTTTAAATCTGGGATCGACTGTAATTTCAGCTAGTGATTACTCTTGTGGGGGTTACAATCTGTATTCTTACTCGGCAGACAAGGCTGCGTGGAATCTTTTCGGTTAGCTCCGTACAAGAGCAGCTTCTACGTAATATTAGTGGCGAGGAAATAACATGGATATGCAGCCTATTGCCTAGTAGTGATGGTAGAACTATTCAGGCGCGTGCGTGAGTAGAGTCTCGACGCATAATGGAAGGGACAGGCTGAGCAACTTTTGGGATGAGATCTCGCTATGCGTACAAATACCATAAACGGTTAGCAAGAAGAGAGGATGCTACCTAGTGGGTAGTGCGTTTGCTAGCTCACAACAATGGATCCCATCTCACGAACCAAAGCCTCTTTCGGATATAGAATGCGGCTCACTCACAGCCGAAAGAAGCGAGAGGCGAGGGCAAGAAGCGCACGTCCTGTTGATGCCAAACTATCTGCCATATGACTATTCACTGCGCCTTCAGACATCTATTCTGGATGTATATTTGGAAGGAAAGACTATAATATGACACGGCCTGCAGCAATGTCGAGAATTGCAACCCAACATGTATCGATCTACGGAGTATACTGTAGTTGTTTTGCTTGCTTGCGCATTGATATCTTATATGATTATTAATATATTAATATTTGCCCATATTTGATATTTGTCCAAGCTACTCCTGGTCCACATCGTCAACTAACTCCGGCCTATCTTTGCCGGTTTGATGAACTTTGCACGCCGGATATAGGCGTTTGCAAAGCCAGCTCAGCAACTATCGCCAGTTAGTCCTCCAATAGGAGATGCTAACGCGTTACTCCATACCAGGGCGGTCTGCTAGCGACTATGCTTATCCTAATTTTCTCGTCGTGTCATAGGGATTCTTCACGCTCCACTTGTCAGATGGTTTGATGCCGGCGTGGCTTAGCCCATGATGACCATGACCGGCCCGCTTTCTAGGCTGATTCTAATTTTATACCAAGGGTTGCCAAATAGGATTCAGCTCTGCATTGGCGTCAAACGGATGGTGGCGGCTCATTTATTCTAGTATTATGGCGCCTTTCGCTGCAGAAATCTTTACATCATATCATATACACTTGCTCTGCTCGCGTCTCGTCGTTTTTGTTGTTTTTGTTAGAGTGGCATAATATCTGAGAAGAAAGTGTTTGCTCTCAACGTTGATTGTTTTCTTTGTCCTTCATTCATTCGGTGTATTGCCATCTATTCGAAAATGGGCAAAGCAGGCCGCGTTGCGTGTATTGGGCTGCCATACCTATTAACAATAGGCTCATTGGTTGCCCTCATATTTGCGGGCATTGGATCTACTGATGAAGACTCCTCTACTCTAAACAAGATTTACTTTATGAGAGTGAGTTTCGGTGCCTCACGAAGATGCCCCCCTCGGCAAAAATTGCTAACCAACATCACAGGCTGATCTGTCAAATGTCACTGCGGCTGAAGCAAGTAATTTCGGAGACCGGCTACTGAATCTTACGTCGAATGCTATGAATAATGCCACGGAAGAGCTTGCCGCAGCCATCGAAGAGGCAGAGAAGGCGTCTGAACTGCGAGACTTTTACGACGTTGGCTTGTTCGGCTACTGCGAGGGAGAAAAGCACAGCGGCAGCTTTGACGTGGACTTTTGCAGCAAGCCCGTTGGCAGCTTCTGGTTCAATCCGCTTGTTGTCTGGCACTTGAACGTTAGCGGCGTTGACGATTTGTTCCCCTCTCACCTCCAGTCCAACTTGAAGACATACCAGAAGGTTTCTCACTGGATGTTTGTTGCGTACGTGCTTGCGTTTGCTACCATTGTTGTGCAACTGCTGGTGGGCATTTCGGCCATTTTCAGTCGTATTGGAAGCATCTTTACAACCATTGTGTCTGCGGTATGTCTAGATCCATCTACTCAATCAACCTCATCACTAACATCCATATCTCACAGGTCGCGACCGGCTTCCTCATCGCTGCAAACATCACGTCAACGGTTCTCTTTGCCACGCTCGTTGGCGTCTTCAATTCGTCGCTGAAGGAATATGGCGTAAAGTCCAGCTTGGGCGCCAACGCTTTTGCCGCGTCGTGGCTCGCTCTCGCCCTGTCCATGGTCAGCACATTCTTCTGGCTTTTCAGCTCATGTTGCTGCTCGGGCCGTACCGAAGCTCGACGCGCTCCCGTCCAGGGCAGTTACGAAAAGGTCGATTTCGGAAATGGCGGCGCAGCCTCTCATCACGGCCATACTTCTGCACCAGCACCTACTTTTGCAAACACCAACACTGCGTACGAACCCTATCGCCATCAAGGCTAACGGCCGTAATCTTTGTGTTGCAGAAATTACACAATGTATATATATAATATATCCTTTTGTCTTAGAATAGAATTGCCGTTGATCTGGATTTGAGACTGGTTAGGTTCATTCCCGGTGGCAAGGTTTACTCGAGTTGCCCACCCTGTTCAATACTCTGGCGTCGGGTACATGTTGATGTTAGAGATTTTATACTTGATTATATCCCAAATAAACTACTTGTTTTAGTTCACGCATATATTGTACTGCCGTTCTCAAATCCTAGAGGGAATTGTCTTCTGCCTATGTTTGCTTGGACACCCTATAGCGCTAAATAGCCACGGCTCGCAGGGAGAACATGCTGACATGAGTTACGAGAATACTGTGAACTGATATGCTGATCGGCAACTAGTACTTTACCGTGTGTTAGTGTATTGTTATTGACTTGGCGTATATATAACCTTGGAATTTTAGACAAGTCTTGGTTGCAGATTCATCTTAATGCTGTGTATTGGTGTAAATCGGCTCAGCCCTACAAAGATCTGGATTGCAATACGGCCCCATTAACAAGGTGGGTACAGAGCTGCATGTAAGGAAACGAAACTAGAGGCTTTGTGATGTTAGGGTCCCTTGCTCACATCGTATTCCATCCACTGGTCAATGAGAGTTACAGTGGGGATTGTGAAATAGAATACGAACAAATTATGCATATTTAGACTTTCAGCAAGTTCTCTTTTCTTGGTAGATCTCTATCAACTAGATTTGCGCTATGGCACATTTATCGCTTCCCTTTCCAAGCAGTTGCATATCCCTTTAAAGACGATATCCAACATTAAGCTCATGGCAGACTGAGTAAAAGATCCCTCAGCTTGGCAAAGTTAGGAGTGCCGAGTCCTGTAATCGGATCCCAGCCTTCAACGGCAGGAAACCCATCAGTACCACATCCATGATTCGCTCCCTCCGTGATGTCATCAAAAACTTCCGGATGACTGTACAGCACAGGGTTGAGGAAGCCAACTGATCCCTTTCCACTCTTGATTCTCTCGCCGTTAATCAGCGTAATCATGGCACCGAACAGTGGGCTTGCAGCTGAAGTACCACTAAAGGCCATGAAATCGCCTGCGAGTCCGGTAATGAAGCTTTGAGACGAGACGGCCAAGTCGGGGAATCCTCGCACTTGTTGCGTGTTGTTGTAAATAGAAGAGTTGTATCCGGGATCGTGGCTGGAATAGTATTCCGCAACAGCATTTGTTTGGTATGAAGGCAGGGCAAAGATGTTGCTGAAACCACCGCCAGATCCGAAATTATAAGCCGCCACCTGCTTGTCGGTGACGCTGCCGTTCTCAGGCAACGCACTGCCGCCAACTGAGGTAATCCAAGGGCAGGTTCCGGGCCACACTGCAGCATGGTTAGTGATCTAGAAACATTAAAGCAACATCTGAATACATATGCGTACTTGGGTTAAACCGGCCGTAATCGGCTCCTGGAGGTGTCCATGCACCATTTGGAAGAAGACATCTGCCGCTGATGCCTGACACGCCGGTATCTCCAGACGAAAATAGGACAGTCACTCCCATCAGCGCAAGCTTCATATACTCATTGCATTCGCGAGTTCTGTAGGAGATTGGGCGGTCGTTTTCATTGCTACCATAAGAGATGGAAATGACTTTGGTGGCATCGTACTTTCCACAATCAGGCTGGCCAAGATATTCTCCTGAGAGCTCGCCGTCATGAGGGTAAATTGCATCCCAGTCATGGTCATCGCCGCCTTCATACGTGCAATAGGCGCCATCGATAGCATCGAGGAAGTTGTTGTTAGTCGCCGGTTGGACAGGATCGTTATCGCCAACTTGGAAGAGCGTAACCGGTTGAGGGTGAACAAGACCAATTGCGTAACACAGATCAAGGTTTGACTCTCCACGAGTATCTACTGAAGAGTCATTCGAAAAGTAACCACCATCGATGCCGTCAATGATGGGTCCGGTGTTATTCGGAACATTGGAGGCGTATTTGGCATAAAAGACGTTTAAATCATCTTGGTTAAAGCTCTGAGGGGCAAATTCCACGATGCCATAGCTGTTGCCTTCAACAGCCTCGTCCGAGTCCGGTAGGCCGTATCTATAATGTGTTAGGAAGAAATCCAACTTCAACAGAAATGTTAAGAGTCTTACATTGCTCGTAAACAAGCAGGTGTTGTTGTCTCACTGCAGTTGGCAAGAGAGCTGGGATGCGGCACAGAGTCGAGAACCCGAAACTTGGGACTAAAGGTGTCTCGGCGGCTAAGCCCACGGCTGCTCGCTGCAAGGCCTCTGGTCTCAAATTGAATTGTCGGCATGATCAAGTCAATGTTGGGTTGAATATCCTCCGGAACGCTATACGATTCGCAGGCAACCACTTCGACGCTTTCTTCCTCGTTCCTATAGGTGTAGTAAGTTGTGTCTAGTAGCTTCTCGGCAACGGCTACTGTCGTGTTGAACTTGAGCCAGTTTCGACCGGCGGTTGGCTTGATGCGATTGCCATTGATTCCACCTTGTCGTAGCCACTGCATAGTCTCAGATATGACCTCTTGTGGCGCGGCGAATAGGTCAACGACCTGTTGTGCGGAAAGGAATTTGCCATATTTCTCAGACTTGGGGTGGGAAATCTGATTGGCGAGATCTTCGGCGTGCTCAAGGTTGCTCTGCTTCAGGCCAATACGGAGTTCAATCGCTGTATCAGGAACTGCACGGCCGAGTTTTGTCCATTCGGGAGGGACTTGGTCTCTCTTCTCATGCACCACCGACGCTCCCTGGGCGATTGAGGATAGGCCAATGGCCACGGCGGTAGATAGTGTCGATAGCTTCATTGTATTAGAGGACGATGATACTACTTGAGAGCAGGCATCGAAATACAACGGCGCAACGCTTGTTTATACTGATGCTGTTGCTATACACACCGCAACACGACCCAGGCTTGTTGCTGTGCATGGAAATCTCGTATTTAAAGGTGGATTATATCGAAAACAGCATTTGAACATGGGCCTGTAATTACTGATTATAGATAGGGCAACTCGTATTTCCCTAGTATGGGTCGGCAAACAGGGTTGCTATTCGTGCGATTTGGCGAATAGTATTACTAGCAGGATACTATTTGTCCAGCATAGTGGCATGCCAAGAGCAGCTCCATTTGCGATCTTCAGCCATACTGTAGGTGTGCAGCGACAGGGTTGTTACGGCTGTCAGGGTATTTTGAGCAGAATTTCAGTGGCTCGACTCTTACATGTGATTACTATTCGTTGAAATAATTTCTCCGGCGACAAATGATGAGATGAGGTAACCAGTTCTGCGAGAGCATTCACCTTGTCAAACATAATTCAGTACTATAGCGTCAAAATGGGCTCCAATGCTTCATGTTTGTATAATTCACTGTAAGCCTTACTCTTACTTGCGAACAAAACTTGCTGGGCTTGATATTTAACAAAAGTTAGAGAAAGTGCCGGAAGAACTACTCCGCTTATTACAAGGTCACGCATTGTAAGCAACTGCTGTCTTCTAGCACATGCTACTTTGCGTCTTCGACGAAAGACTTACCGTGATGTCTTCCAAAAAGTGTTGTGCGGGAAAGCAACGAGATGATAATATTCTTTGCACCAAGCACTGTGTCCGATTGTGCCATAAATGTTTGGAAGAGATTTATTAGTTTAGGCTTAGTTAAAAGACATCAAAGCTACGAGATGAGTTTTGCCTAACCTGTATTTGGTTCCCAGAGATACTGCCATTCGTACAAATCTCAAGATAGTGCGCCTTTATCTTGTAGAGCGGGCTCATATGTGAGATGCAGCTGCTTGGTCGGCCATTCGTGTACCTTGTACAACCAGAAGGCCAACTTTGCGTGATTAATTGACCACTTCTTGGGTACACGATGGAACCCTTTTCCAAAAAACCGTCTACTTCTGGATTTAGGGAGCATATAGTCATCTTTGACGAAGTAAATGTAAATATAACTACCCCAAAAGGTGTCACTGAAAGTGGAACCAACGGGTATCTAGGCACGAGAAATGGACGAGCTTAACTCGCATGACTATTTGCAACCTAAGCGGACATCTTCGGACCTCCGAGTCTCTCATACACGTCAAGGCCTTGAAAGATTTCGGGTGTAACGAATCCCCTGATGCCATTGCGTGGTGTGTTCATGCCGTTGCCTCTCTTAAGAAGGCCATCGACAAGGCTTTTGGCATGCTCTTCGCCGGAACGCCCGATGCCGAGTTCATAAATCCTCTCGCAGTAATTCCGAGCAGCATCTTTTCCCTTTAGTCATAGGAAAAGACAGAATTCGCATTTGTGATAGGTCCGTATGTAGCACCAGAACCTTTCAGAGCTCTGCTCATGTGCCATGTGTGCCTCAGAACTGGGGCTAGTGAAGCAGAGAATCACTTTTCTGGCGCGAATGGTTTACAGCGCATTTAATCCAGCAAGCTGAGTTACCATTCTACCATACTGAATTCAAGAACGTCGATTTCTTCTACATCAGTAAGATCGAGGAAGATGTGCATATCAGCCGTCATGTGTTCGACTGTCGAAGCAATTAGTCTGGTGCTTGCTTCAAAACCCGTGAGATACCCACAAAGAATGATGCTGCGACTCCTTATAATGGTGTCGACAATATAGGATCCTAGTGATCCATTGCTAATCTGAAATGGCCCAAGAAGAGCAACAAGGTCCTGTATTTCAATTTCAAGGGAGCATAATTGATCCTGTTGAGGGCCCGAACATATAAACCTTTGGCTGTCTGATGAGTTAACATCGAGCTGGCCTTTTGTCGCAAAGAGTATAAAATAGGATAGATATTTATACTAATAGAGTTTTTAGAATACGCGTGGCTTTTGTTGGCCTGTGCACTCCCGTCGTCGTTCGGCAAAAGGGCATCGTGGCAGTGCAGGCCCCGTCAAAGAAACAGCCTCGGTGAATGATCAGTTGGAGTTGGAGGAAAACTTCAAATGTGGCATTGAATGGCCATAAAGGGCATTGCATTAACAACACCATGATGCTGCGCCTCTCCCTCTTCTTTTTCCTGCCTTAAACCCGCACACCCTCCTTGTGCCCTGTCGAGTACTTTGTGAGTTATTAAGACAGGGGATAGAGAGTCACGCGGGCCATGTGCCCAAAGAACTATTTACAACGACAAGTGTCCTTTGAACCAACAGAATTGTAACAGAAAATGCTACTAAAGTAAGCTCGTAAAGAGAGGCTGAATAAATAGCCTTTTGTGCGTAGATATCGCAGGGATCTATCTTCTTTCTATAGCCCTTAGCCAGTGCCAAGCTTGGGAGCTAACAGCTTTTAGCAGCGGCAGGCAAATAGTCTAACCAAAGCAAACACCCCTGCTCGGCGGATTCATGGTTGTACGTATGTCATGACGACGACCTTTTCCTACCCACTCAGTACCAGACGGGTTTGACGTCCCAGGCACCAACATGGCATTTTAGGTGATTAATATTCTATCAATTGAAATGATATCTGTCTCTAGATATCTTGAAGCACGTGATTTCATTGCATCATCTACGATTTCTGAGGTGCTCACAGCTTACAAGGTTTGAGAATTAGACAGACTCACAACGGTGATATCGCTGGTTGACTCATGTTTCAAAAAGAGAAATAGCCGAGTAAAGAACAGTAAGACTTCTTTACAAAGAAATTCAAGCACGAAATGAAAGAAAGCACGTCTCTTTAGGAACTAAAAAAATACGGCGGCCACATCACTTTAGAACTAAAAGAATACGGCGGCCACATCAGCCTTTTGGGCGCAGCTCGTTGGCCGATCTGATAAACCCATAGCCCGAGAATAACATTCTTTTATTCGAGAATATGAATAGAAACAAAATCATTAGTTGCCAGGCTAGCTGGAACTAATCGAAGCAAACACTCCAGCGCTTAGTCGCTTAAGCCATTATCCAGAAGAAGTGGACGCGCCTCGCACATGTGGATATCCCTTGACATGCATCATTGGGTGTTCCCTAACTATTGGTCTTCATGATTATGGAAACTCCGTAGATTAGATGCTAGTGAACAGTTACATTACTTGAAGCGCAAAGTGAAATAGGAAGGCAAGCGGCATACCGCGACATGTCTCTTTGGAATGTTACGTCACACCTTCTTTCAATTTACAAAACAATCAGCTTGTCATCTGCATGATCATGATATGTTGTCCTTTTAACAATGGTTGCCTGGAGGCCTCTCCATCTCACGATGCAGAATCATCACGACAACTGGCGCAGTAAGAGGATAACCTCCGACGGAGAGTAGGACATGAAGGAAGAACGTGAAGGCGGTGCACGGACTAATGAAAACAACACTACTGACGTATGCCAGATGCCACAGCCCTGTATAATGGCTCTTGATGAGGCCATTATTGTTTTAGATAAATCTGGGGTTGTTGGCCACTCTGCTTTGTGATTTGCAACTCATAGATTTCTAACAACCACTGATATTCAGAAAGTCAAATTAACCAACTATTAAACATAACTCTATCGATAACTTAAAAAGATGGTGCCGCTGGGCATTTGCCAAGTTGCTGCTATTATCAGCTTGGCTTCTGCGGAAACTGTTTCTGGTGAATATTGCATAAATTCTACTGCGTGGTCCATCTGACACTAATACATAATAGTAACGTTCAATTCGCTCTACGACGACCCCTCTCGTTCGCTGAGTGAAGTCGCTTGTTGGAGAAAGGGCACCGGATTCATGCCTAACTTGGACTGGAAGATTCAGAAAGATGCATTGGACTTTATTGGAATCGACGCAATTCGTGGCTCCAGTGATGCTCAGTGCTTCTCCTGCTGGAAGCTCGAGTATGGTGATGAGCATGTATCACTGTTTGCAATTGACGGAGCCGACTCGGGCTTTGTTCTCTCTCTGAACGCTATGCAGTCTCTTACAGGCGGCCAGGCTCGCGAGCTAGTCCGGATTGATGTGGAGGCAACTCAAGTCGACGTGTCTAACTGCGGCGTATCTGCAGCTGAACTCCATAAATACGACTTCTAGTCAGTCGTATCTGCTATTGGGCCGCCGAGCGAACCTTTACGTAGTTTCAAAGACAAGTCAAGCTTTGTGTCTTCACCCTATAGCCTGGTGTGGAAACTATTTTTACGGGTTTTGCGAGACTACGGCTCCACATAGCCCAAACTTTACTTTCTAAAGTGGCATTAGTTACTATACTATGCATATTTACGACTTTATCTTGTATCACGGTCTGAGTGAAGACAACCTCAACTCTTGAGAGAGCGTCTGTAACTTAAGAGTAACTCACTCTGCCCATAATATATTGATATATTTTATATAAACTCATAAGGCAAATGTTCAAAGTGATATTGAAGAATGCAAAAGTCGCAGAATACGGTAATGATTACTTTGGACATGTGTATTGAGTACACGTACACAAACATTTTGTAATTGACAATTTTTGATGCAGCATAGCTGAAGTAGCATATTTACTTTCAATAGCCACATTTTTAATCTTTCAATGAATCCTCCGCATGAATTAAAGTTTTATAATTTTTTTTTCCCGTAGTTGAGAACGTCTCGTTGTTTACTTTGCTTCATGTTCTCTTGCTTAGTCAATCATGATGTGCCAATTTAAAGATGCCGTGTTGTATGTTTAATTGTGGGCGCCATGGACAAATAGAGTGCTCCTCCGTCATGAAAGACAATATCAAGACAAATTATGGTAAATTTTGTTTCCGGGATATCTCATCCATCATATTCGTTCAATTCCCGCGCATCGTGCAGCTTCACCTCTTCAGCTGGTACGAGACGTATCGGCGGCTGCGACTCTTAGAATGCGATTTAGAACAGCCTTAGTGGGGCCACGATCTCGCTACTATTGATGGCTCTACTTCACCAAGTCTTGCACCCTCTGGCCCAACATCTGGTAGTATCAAACAACAAAAGTAGAATAACAAGGCTCATTACGCTGCTGATATTGACTATATTAAAAATTAAGACCATCTCCTACTGCCCTTATCCGCTATTGCTAAAGACGTCGCATCCTACGCCTCCCCTGAACCCGGCTCTTTCCTCGGAATGTCAACGTCCTCAATGTAAGTGGCCGTGGGAGTTGTTGTGGCTTTGCTGAAGCTTCGAAGTGGCACGCCTGTCGCGAACAGTTCGTCAACTTCTTCCAGGCTTCGTCCTTTCATCTCAGGAATGAAGAAGAAGGCTACGATGACCATCACCACATTGATGGCACCGTAGATAAACCCGACCTTGGCCCCCAGCGCTGCATACGGCGCGTTGAGCAAGTACGGGATGGTGAACGAGGTTACGAATGTGGTAATGATGGAAATAACAGAAGCCAGGAGATTCGTCTTTTCCTTTACGCGAGTAGAGGCTGCTTCAGATACCACGACGTATGAAACAGGGGCCCAGGAAAGGTTGTAGGAGCAAGTGAATAAGATAAAAGATGCGACCTAGCAGCCGTCAGTATGCAATTTTACAAGAAAAAGGGGTTGTAAAGACTTACCAATCCTCCTCTCTCGGAGTTGCTGGGATTTTTGACAACTCCAACGCCGCCAACAACAAAGAGGAAGATGGCCATTCCCGTTCCACCAGTCATCAGCATCGGCCGTCTGCCCACTTGGTCGATGATGAACCAGGTAGCGATGAGACATACAAGGCCCGTGACGTTGCTTAAAATGTTGAACAAAAAGGCCTGGCTCTTGTACCCTTCCGACTGGTAGAAGACAACAGAGTACTGGCTGGAAAATGCCTGGCCGGTAATCTGCTGGCCAAACATGGCAATGACAGCAACCATGGTACGCTTTCTGTTATCTTTGTTAAAAACCTCTGCCCACGAGCCCTTTTGTTCCGTGGAATGCGCATGGCGTAAAATGTCAATTTCCTGGTCGATTTCAGCCTCGCTATGCTTTTTGTATAGTTTTCGAAGAGAAGTCTTTGCTTCTTCGAGTCGATTTTGAGTCAAGAGCCTAGGGGGAGAGAAAGTTAGATTACACAGACACTTTCAGGACTTTACTGAGAATAGTACTTACCATCGGGGTGATTCAGGAACCAGCGGTAGCAATGCGACGATGAGCGCTGGGGCAATGAACTGCAGGCCCACGGGGATCTGCCAGCCCCTATCACCAGAGATGTGCTGCGTTCCGAATGTAACCAGCGAAGCCACCAGCTGGCCAAATACAATCATGAGCTGCAACGTAGACGTCATCATACCACGTAGAACCTTGGGTGATGTCTCGGCCAGGTAAATCGGGACTACCACGATAGTCATGCCCGTCATGCCGAAGCTGATGAATCTGCCCACAGTGAATTGTGCGCTTGTCCTCGCTGTTGTCTGTAATAGAACACCACTGCAAAATTCGGCATCAGCAGGTTTTCTTCAACAAGAGAACATATTTCCCCGATGTGATATAAGGCTGACTCACATGAAAGACAAACAAGCCAAAACCAAGACGCACATCTTGCGTCCAAATCGCTCGGCAATCGGCCCACAAGCAATAGCACCCAGAGCCTTACCGAGGAAGGGAAGAGACGTCATCAGGGAGGACAGCCATGGAGGCAGCTTGCAGACGCCTGTTGTTGCATTACATTCGCCGAATCGCTTGCCGAAGCTCTGCATGCCCTGGACGCCGCCAAAGTTGCCAACATCATAGCCAAAGTTGAAGGCACAGGAGCACATGTACCTATAAGTCGATGGAACAGTTAGGGAGTGCATTGAGCTTGATGATGATGGAGTTTTGTATAGCACTTACAGCATGATGAACACAATCGTGCCATTAAACTGCCTCAGTCGGTAGCCTGCAGACAGGTTTACCGACGAAGATGAATCGACTGCCATGTTTGATATCAACCACTTGAAGTCGAAAAAAAGTCTTTTGCAATATATGGGATATCAAGACGGAGGTGAGTTGCAACTAATAGAGACGAAGACGAGATCAAGATGACCTTGTATACACTGGCAGCGAAAGGATGACCGCGTTTGGTCGCGTACCCGATGCTCCTGATGCTGCCACCATCTCCGGACCAAGAAAGACAGGATTATTCACAACATATATAGAATGTTTCAACATCAACGTTCTGCAGCCACAACTGTGTTGGCCTGTCGCCTCGTCAATCCTTGAACGCCTGGATCGTAGAGCATTGCACCATCCAAATGGATCAACTCGCCATGAACGCTGTCCGCTGCCAAAAGGCCTGGAGCCAGCGAAGACCGCAAACTAGGGCCCCGAAAGCCGGTGCGAAAGCCGGCAGCAGGCGAGGGCCGCGAGTCAGCCCCAGAAGTCGCGGCGGAGACGGTTGATGACCCCACGATCTCATGGCGAGATGCTGCTATTGCGTGCAGCGTCACCGTATACTACTATTCGAATGGCGTCTGTATGCCACGCTTTGCGAGAGCCAGAAAGCTGGGACATCGGTTCCGCCAAATCCCCGACTTCCAGGTGGCCACGCGCGGCTTTGACAAGAACAGCTGGGGAAAGCTATTTGAGTTTTTAGCAGCTGTACACTCCATCTGGATCCATACTTGTATTAGTCCCTGGATGATTAAAAAGAAAGTTGTTGCTCCATATATCCAACTTGGTCTTGTGGTCAACGGGTTGCGCGTTTCTTGAGTTTTGCTCCTTCAACTCTCCAACCTACTGTCTTGTATCGTCCGGCGTTGAACATCGAAAATGGGCGGCCAGAAGGACCCTCGACCCAATTTCCTCGTCATCGTCGCCGACGACCTTGGCTTCAGCGACCTTGGTTGCTATGGCTCCGAGATAGCTACCCCTCATATCGACTCGCTGGCCTCTCAGCAAGGATCTCTGCGCTTCACACAGTATCACGTTGCTGCGGCCTGCAGTCCAACTCGCTCGATGCTCATGACGGGAACAGACCATCACATTGCCGGGCTCGGACAGTTATACGAGCTCGTTCGCAGCTCACCTGCTCACAAGGGGCAACCAGGCCACGAGGGCTACCTCAACGAAAAGGTAGTTGCTCTCCCAGAGCTGTTGTCTGATGGAGGCTACTTCACTGTTATGAGTGGCAAATGGCACTTGGGTCTGCAAAAACAGCATCTGCCTATCAAGCGCGGCTTCAAGAAAAGCTTAGCGCTGCTGCCAGGGTGCGCGAATCATTACGGTATGAGCTTACCAGTTGCGAGCCCTGTTATGGTTGGATGAGACGAATGTTTTCTAATCAGGAGAACAGCCTATGAGCCTGAATACCAGGATCCCACCACAGAGCCGGGGCGCTTCTTCGAGACGGCAACGCGAGCGTTACATGCAGAAGATGATCGCTACTTGAGCGAGAAGGAACTTGGCGAAGACTGGTACTCATCTGACGGCTACGCAGGCCGGATGGTTTCATACCTGGAAAACCGCACTGAAGAGGAGCGCCAGCAGCCTTTCTTTGCCTATCTCCCCTTCAGCGCACCACACTGGCCCCTACAAGCGCCCAAAGAGACGTGTGACAAGTACAAGGGCCAGTACGCAGACGGGCCGGAAGTGCTGCGCCAGAAGCGCCTTGAGCGACTCAAGTCTCTCGGCCTTGTTGGTCAAGATGCAGTGGCTCACCCTGTTGTTACGACAGGGAACGAGGCAAAGAACTGGGAGTCTTTGGACGACGAAACACGCACCGCCTCCGCAAGGGCCATGGAGGTGTATGCGGGAATGGTCGACCGGATGGATTGGAACATTGGCCGCGTTATCGACTATCTGCGCAAGACGGGCGAGTATGACAACACTTTTATCCTGTTTATGAGCGACAACGGCGCTGAGGGAGCCAGCTACGAAGCGACCCCCTTGGTTGGCAGCAGCGTCATGGCCCATGTAAACAAATACTACGACAACAGCCTGGACAACATTGGCCGGGGCAACTCGTTTGTCTGGTATGGCCCTCTGTGGGCTCAGGCCGCAACCGCGCCATCGAGACTGTACAAGATGTTTTCTACTGAGGGAGGCTGCAGGGTGCCCCTGGTAGTGAAGCCTCATGCGGGAATCAACAGCCACCGTGGCAGTGATGATGGGGGCGTCATCACCGATGCGTTCTGCACCGTCATGGACATCGTGCCCACGGTGCTGGACTTTGCCGGGCTGAAACACCCCGGCACAGAGTACAATGGCCGCAAGATTGCGTCGCTGCGTGGCCAGAGCTGGAGGAGCTATCTAGAGTCTGTCAGTGGCTGGAGCCGCAAGTCGCCAATCCACGAGAAAGACTACGTGGCAGGCTTTGAGATTGCGGGATCGGGAGCTCTGCGTCGCGGCGACTGGAAGATAACTTATGTGCCTGCGCCCAAGGGTCCGCAGAAGTGGGAGCTGTTCAACCTCGTTTCAGACCCGGGCGAGACTGATGATCTGAGCGAAAAGGAGCCAAAAAGGCTGAAAGAGATGCTTGCATTGTGGGAGGAATATAGAAAAGACGTGGGCGTTGTTGGTCTGGCTGGGGAGTACCCAAAGGCCATTCAGGGCGCGCAGCAGACAACTCTGCAGGACGAGATGGAAGATCCGTATGCATGGATCAAGTATATTGGAAGGCCAGAAATAACGCCAAAGGAACTGGCGGGAATTGTTCCAGCTGTATAATTAGGAAAGAACCCTAGGCAGTTTGCTGTAACTAAAAAAAATGAAGAAAATTTTACTCTCTCTTTTGGAGATAATAGTAGTCGTATAGATGCTAGTTGTGGTTTCGCTCTTCCAGCTTATATGCTTACACGTATGCTTAATCGAGGCCAACAACTTGCCGTTTTCTTTCATCTTTCAAGTCCAATGGGCACTGCTGTCATATACTATTCGAGCTCATGTCGAAATCCAACCATGGCTGTGGCTCCGACATGTCCCAGGAGATATAGTTGGCCATCTCACCCGCCATCCGGATGTATTCTTCTGACAAGTCTGACAAATTCACCATTTCCTTCGCCAGTCCCCCCTGAATCTCTGCCGCTACGTCCAGTCCACTGGCGCCAGGAGGTGTAGGATGTGTTGTAGATGCTAGCTGCATGTGGTCTAGAGAGAAATTTGCGCTTCCTAGTAGACCGGCGTTTCCATCGGCACCGCTAATGCCGTCAAGGGCGTCTTTTTGGGGTAAGGAGATGATGGGCGGTGGGCGGACCATGGCTGGAGAGTCGGGCAAGTCGTTTCCTGCGGGGGAAGACCCTCTTCGTTGTCGTATCTGGGCGCGAATCTCTTCTTTTGCGAGTCGGAATGGAGCCAAGCTGCTCAGATACGCGGCATCTTCTGGTCCTGTGACTTCAGCTTGCTCCGAGTCCATTGATCTGAAACGAAAATGTTAGCAGCCGTTTTGAATGGGGGGATTCACATTGAAGAACGAACATTGGGCTTGGATAAGCTTGCCATTCGGCCACGACGTTATTAAAGTCGAATTTCTCTAGTAATGGTATTAAGGCTTTGTGCTGTAGCCTGGTCAGCATCATCTTACTGTTGATTTCACCGACTGGTTGGGGTGGACTGACATAAGGGTTCGATTTATCCTTCTGAAGATGAAGAATATCCAACGCTCGCATATTCAAACGGATGTTGTGGCTCGTGCGCTCTCGTATGTCAATAGAATTCGACGTAGCCGTCGCTGTGTGAATGATTTGGATCTTGGTTGACTCGAATGTGGCCATTAAGCTGTGCAAATCATCGAAAGCGCGGATGCCATAGCCAAACCCAGCGTGAACTAGTCGTGATATCTCGTCTGCATGAAATCGACATCGCTCTTGGCATTGTCGTCGAAACTCTTGAGGGCAGGAATGGAACGCGGCTGACAGCGGAAAGACATATCCCGGAAGCGAGACTCGTGTTAGATCGCAGACAATGGAGTGGTAAAGAAAATGCAGCATGAAAACAGCGCTAATGGTGTTGAGTTCTTTGTGGATGTATACGTTGAAGTCGGATATCACCAGTCGCTCAGGTAAGCCAGCATGCCAAATTTCTAATCGCTGAATGATGTCGAGAAACGGGGATCCAGGATCCCAAATGTTGACTTGCTGATTACTATTTCTGATGAGTCTAGAAACATCGTTAGTGGCACATCCAACGAAGCTGTGCTTGGACGACAGACCTCAGTACCCGCGTTCTCAGCTGTACAAGATATATCGTATGAGAACGAAGGTTTAGGTAGCTACGGTCCGGGTAAAGCTCGAATGCACTCAGCTTTGGAGCCTCAAAGTCGGCATATTGCTCCTGGGCGACGAAGCTCGCATCAGAGCAAGGCAGTGGCACGCATGGGAAGTCGTCTTTCCAGTACAGGTTCCCATCTACTCCGCCACCAAGGAAGCTATCCATGAGATAGCAAGACCACAGAAGCCTTCTCTCTGTTTCCAGCTGCGTCATACGCGCAAGGCCCGATGGAACAGCGGCCTTTTTCGGAGAGTCTAGGCTGAGTAATCTCATGATGCGGACGCAGCATCCAAAGATGACAAATGCGAGAGCATGTTGATCCATGAAAATGGAGTACTCACAGATGAGAACCATTGCCTATAAGTGAACGTTAGATATTGGTATTTTGAATCAGGTTGATAATATAGGCCACAAACCATCATCGTTGAAAGAGACGGGTTTGCTATCTCTCGCATAGTAAGGTCTCTAGCCCGTTCAGCCCACGCGGCCCCAGGAACGCCGAGAAATGGATTATTGAACTGATTGGGATCGTCTAGCAGATACATTCTATCATCATTGTTAGTAATGAAGAGCCTTAGCTTCAACATGGTAATGGCCTCTACCTCGCTCCAAGCGCAGCAACTATATAGACTACCGCTTCTCCAAAGTCCTCGCTGAGCGTGCCTCTGTCCAGTGCCTGGAAAAAGGTTGGTTTATGGATAAATCCCAAGCAGCGAAGCGTGGATATCCGATCAAAGTACAGGTCGGCCAGAGCCTGCAAGTGGAACTTGTCTTGTGGCAGAGTATCTGAATAGATCCTGTATGAGGAAGGGGGTGAGCATTCGTCTCGTATTGACCATGTTCGAGCACACATATCTGCTCGTTTATCTCTCACGAGGATATAAGTACATACCAGTGCATATGGTGCGGAATCGATGATAGAGGCATAGCCATCGTTTCAGACTGGCTCCCAGGTGTAGATGCGAGGCCGCTGCCATCGGAAGGGGCTGCTAACATGCCGGTTTCTGCCGCCGTTGATGGCTGCGGCGACGGACTAGTAGCAGTGGCATCGATACCGGCAGAAGCAGAAGCGTCGTATTTGGCGTTGTATTTACACGTAAACCCCTTCCTCGTGCATCGTTTGCAAACAGGCCGTGTGCGAGAGCAACGGCTCTTTGTCCGACGACATTCATCACAAGATCCAACTCTCCGCTTCTCTACCCCTGATGCCCGGTAGATGAAATCCACTGAATCCTGGAGCCGCTGCCGCGACCCATCCTTCTGCGATAAAAGTGCTGCTGTGTCACTATATCCCGGACAATTTACTCCCAGGCGAGTGCAGTTGTGACATGCCGGCGAGTTGCGGTCGCATCGAACCTGTTGGGCTGTAAGCACTCATGCTTGGGGAATTAGCCGCTCATGGCATTGGGTTGGTCAGCTTCCCTTTCGTGAGCGGCAGACGACACACCCAGTTGACATTGTATCTTCTCACAGGGAGAGATTGTGCATATGAAGGTGGGTGAGTTGGGGGCTTGAGAGCAAAATAAATGGAGATCTGGGGTAGCGGAGAAGTGGAGATTGGGCATGACACGCTGGATTACAGAATGCAGAATAGAAATGGCGTAATGGAATGTCCAGAAGGGGCTGCAGCTCGTAAGCACCGAGTTCTAACAGACAACAGCAATATGAAGCTATGCGGACTGTGGTTCCAGTCGTAGGCCATATACTTGGGCACCATTGGCATACACAAATTGATACTATATTCGCGAGGTTCTGTAAAAAGGGACAATCACACCCTCCCCATCAAGTGGCTGTCTGTGTGTTGCTGAGCAGAGCCGGTAAGGGTTGCATTCAGACCTCCACAACCTCTTGTCCAATAGTCCTCTGCGCTAATGTTGTCTAGCTCTCCAACCAGTTCATATACGGCTAAGAATCTTCATCTGCATGGGTACCTGCTAGTGCTCCGAACTCCGTAGCGCGCGTTCTCGTGATTTACTATGGCAAATACTGGCTATGGAGCATAACGCGGGTTAGTTGCGGTGATCCAGCCCCAGCTCCCTCTACACGATGCATTTACGCCGATATTGAGACTTTTGCTTTCTCCAAACACAATTAGCTACCGCAATTACTAATTCTCCATAGAGTGTGTCCATCAATGTATATGTATTGGAATTTTAATACTCTGCGTCATGGGTATATCCTCCCTTTGCTCTATTATAGCCTGTACGCCGTAAACTCCATCCCGTGCATAACTCATTACCGCGAAACCTCCACCTGTCGCTTTCATATATATACCTCTACCTGTGGATGTAGAAACAGCCGTCTTTTTTTCTCCTTTAAACCAAGACCATAAAGACCTGCAGCTCGCTCCTAACCGACATAATCATTGCTGTTTCAGACTGCCTGCTCTGGAATTTCTGCTTGGCTATCGGTACTGGGCTTTCTTCCGCGGATACGATCCAGGCGGCTAATAGCGGCTGATCGCACAGCCAGCCACATGTCGTGGAACAGATTCTTGCACGCCGTCCACGACATTGTAACATAGACGAGACAATTCCAAAATCCCTGCAGAGGAAGCACTAAAACGCTCATAAACTCTAGCGGGACGGAGGTAGATTTGTTATGCGTGAGAGAGTACAGGCGGTTGGCGCTCGACGGTATCCAGGTGATAAGCATGGCCGTGAAGAATAAGAGAGCACACTTGGTATAAGACCAGGCGGCGTTGTCTCGCTCGTGATTTCGCCGGCGAATAGAGCGAAAGGCTCGTGTTGCCACGTTGTTGTGGCCGCCGGTTCGTGGTGGGTTTGAGCCTCTATGAGGGGGTGATGACGCATAGTAGTAGGACCCATCAGACCGGTTTGACAGATTGGAAAGGTTGGTAGCAGCGTGGACAGATTGAGGTCTTGTGGTTGTTGCTGTTGCTGTTTCTGAGCTTGAACCGCCTCCATAGCCATAGTTGGGTGGACTCATGTTGTGGCCCAGTTTTGACGGCTCGATTCCTGACATGGACTCCATTGTCAGAGTTGCTGCATCGGTTGATTGGTGCGATGTGGTGACCTCGTCGATTGATATGGGATCCAGGTCAGACGACTGAAAGACGTAAACCTGCTTTCGTACTTTGTAAATAGTACGGCCAGCGCCAATATATATGGTCATCGTGATTACGATACACACCCTTGGGAATCTGTCATTAGCAATTACAATTTCCGCAATATAAGGCATGAGCCACTTACCACACAAGAGCATAAAAGGCCGCGACACGAAGGACGTCCCATTCATTCGATATCCAGCACCACGAAATTGCAGGTCCATAAATTCGAATTCCTTCTCGATTTTTTATGAAAATGAATACGAATGCTGGTATGAATGGGAGGCCGTAGCAGCATAGCAAATAGATGGGCTCTATCCTTCGCAAAGCTCTAGCGTCATATTTGTGATAAAAGGTCAGATAGACGTTGATGGCCATAGCCAGCGTCCAGTATACATCGGCTGGCATGAAGCTATGCGTCATCACTACATGTTAGCCTTGGCTGTGCTTGGGTCCCACGACATGGATTGGAAGGCCTTTGGGAGGACATACGTCTGGATCAAGAACGCCTGCGCTTGGCAACCTGCTGAATTCGGCGAGTCGATGTATGAGCGAGAAATCATGGTAGCGACATTCGTTATTAAGTTGCCGAAAGAGGCATAAAAAACTAGGCGATTAATGGATTTGCTAAAGTATTTCGAGAAGCAAAACGTGGAAATGGTGAACAAGCATCCTGCCATCGATATTGATGAACATACACGCTCAATAATGACGATGGCACGAAGCTGCCCCTCTGAGAGTCCTCCGGCCATGACTTGGTTAGGTCGATTACTGGATGCATCTGCGGGCTGTGACTGAGACGCTTGCTGACGCGGAGTTGATGTATATCGCCACGCAGCTTCGCGTGTTTGAGAGAGAGAGAGAGAGAGAGAGAGTAGGTTTGCGCACGTAAAGGCGATTACGATGGCGGAGAGCAGTAAGGATATCGCCAAGTTTGCGAAGAGTCTGAGCAAACGATCGCAGGAACTGCTGCTGTTTGATCGTCAACTAATTCCCTCCTATGGCTGATTTTGTCAATCGAGCTAATGAATACGAGTTCAGCAAAGCTGTGTCGCGGCCTTGGACGACTGCTTTCAGCATCCATGCTCGGTCATTCTGGCGCTGGGTTAAGACGAGGGCAGCAAGAATCGAGACTCTAGAGGACCGCGCAGACAACAAGAAATCATTGCGCCGATGGCTGTCGGTTTCAGAATTGCTTTTGATGTGTCGGTCAGAGTCCAAGCGAACACGCAAACCTGAGGCCGGGCTCGCCCTATGACGGCAACCACAATCTTGCCTAAGCTTCTTCAATCTCAAATTCACCGACGAGGTGTGGCGCCAAACTATCATTTATTCCTGCCCTGCCAGCTTCTGGGGGACCTGATCCTGCGACTACGCTGGATGGAGGAGGCACTGCCGGGAGTTGCAAACTCCGACAAGCTACTCGACACTGGCTGGAGCGGTGAAAGCAGCACCTCAGCCCAACTGACGGAGGAACTCCCAGCCCTTTGGGGAAAAATTGCCGACGATCTGGCCGTTGGCGAGTCCCTCCATTGGCTGCTGCCGGGCCACCCGCCAATCACTGGCTGCTGTGTGCATCGTTGCTTGTTGGGGGTGGCTGGCATGGCGGTCTTGAGCGATCTCGCCAAACTCATTTTGGGTGAGACACGCCTGCTTCTGAACAAGTACAGCATACAAAAGCCAACTGCCGGCTCAGGCATAATCCTGGCGCACGTATACTTGTACAAAGGGCCTCGTGCTAACTTATAAGAGTGTCGAGAGCCCTCACGTGGCTACGATGCTGCATGCGGGTAATGGCGAATGCTTCTTTCCGGCAGCTTAGCACGGCGCCAGATACGCTGGAATGCCAATCGGATACGCACTCGTTTGGCCGATGCTGCCTCATCAACTGCAGTAGTGCTCTGCAGTTCGCGGCGTTGCCGTCAACATGTACAGACAAGCAGTAGGCAGCGAGATACAACCCTGGCTGGGCGTATGGCGGCCCTCTCAGTTTCTTCAGCGATTTTATGGAGTGCGTCAGCAAATCATCACTTGGTTGGTCCAGCAGGCCTTGGAGCTGAAAGTAATTGGTGCCCGCTCCAAGCTTTTAATGCCGTTTCTGCGTAGCTAGCGCCACACAGGTGCCTTTTTTTCTCAAATTTATCCTTTTTGGAGGCATTGGGCTTGCTGTAAAGGCCGCGGGGCTGAGTCTACCCTTATCCGTTTCTTCCGCGAAGGGAATAAGGTCTGTTGTACTAGCATAAGCCTCACCTCGCGTCTTGTTACTAAGGACCTTACTAACTCGCAGTGTGGCATCACTATTATAGCACCGTAATTCGTTTCTGCCATATCGATAAGTCTATTACTAGCATTCACAGCCTTTGGAAAACGAGTTGGTCAACTCGAGTAAGCCATCGTCAGAAAGCCTTAACCCACGAATCAGTTATCAAGGCTTACGAGAGGCAATTTCCACGTCAGACTTTCTAATAATTTCTAGACATCTGTCTGCTTACACGCAGTTGAGATTTCAGAATATCCCAGGCCTCATTCTATTATAGGTATGCTTATTCAATTGATCAGCAGGACATGCGACCTTGACTAGCAAAAGAACCAAACTCGAGCTGGATCGCCAACCATGCTAGTTTGGTTCCTCCCAGGAATCAATATTTCACCGACGCGGACTTTCGCTAGCTCCCACAAGTTGCTCTCAAGTCGATACTAATATTCTCCAAGTGGTTGCGACACAATTTTGATATGAGGCGATTTTTGGATTTAGTATGAATAGCGAATATTTGAGATATGCTAACAGTAATGTATTAAAAAGGTTCTGTAGTCAATAGAGGTTTCGTATTGTTGGCATACGACAACTCTCGTGAGAACCATACAACCTCAACGATTGCCAATCTCAATGCCCGGCTGGTGGCGTGGCTGGAAACGAGTTCCATTGTGCCAAATAGTCGATCTAATGGCTTAGAAGAGTCGAGATTGTCCAACGTGCGCCCATTTGGATGGCCTTGGGCTTTAGTGTCTCGACAACGCCCCTACAACCTAGACCAGTCTCCAATGCCTGAAAAGCCGGTATCGTGACCAGCAAAGAGGACCGGCTATCGGCGTAGCCTGACTCTAAGACAGATTCGACACCGCTATATTCGACTAGGCTCTCCACCGTCTCACTGCAATTTTGGTATTCTTTGTACTGATAGTCACCCCACTGATCGATAATTTTGTAGAATGGGATTTGACTGAGAGTAACAGGCGAACTCTGTTAGATGTGTAGATTTGAGAAACAACTTGCATAGTGCACCATACCATCAAAGTGAATTATATGAATGATAAAGCATATCAGAATCACATTGCGTAACGCCTTGTTTTAGCTTACAGACAACTATGCAAAGGTTGCGCAACGCTAAGCAAATGCTAGCTGTTGCCCTAAACAAACATTGTCAACATTAAAATATCAAATCACTGGCGTAGTCTTTGCCGTGGATATATATATAATTTAATGTAAAACGCTGTGGAAGGCTTAAGCAGCATTATCCAGATGCGTGTTGTCAAGATCCAATGTGCACACTAACTTTCACATCCACTGCCATTAACTCTTCCTCCTGTAACCTTCGAGTATAAGAGGGGACGCTGTGGACAGCCGTCATCAAAGTCAACTTATAAATATCTAATTCTAGAGTAAGCCATTTAACTTGATACTAACTATAGTATCTAGAAACTCAAAGTTAGCTTTAGTGGTAACAGCGCTACCGCTCCTAGCCGTAATCAGATCATTCAGTCTACATACAGGCTTCAAACAGCAGCCGTCAAATAATCATATCCGAAATCACTACTATGGAGTGTTATAAATAATAATCAATGCTCTAGCGCTATGTAAAAATGCCATGCGGTTTCTCTATGTTGGAACAGCTGTTTGGGAACGGCTGCAGCAGGGAAGCAAGTGGATTATGGTGAACCAAGTAGCTTGCACATTGTCAATGCGTTCAGGCTGTTCTACAAGAGATGGTGAGGATGTTCTATCACAATATCCATCTTTGCCAAAAGAGTAATCAAATATTTAGAGTGGTTGCCTAGATTGCTGAAGCGATACTATGGGCCCCAAGGGCGGACTTGCCTATGCTTGAATGTAATGTTCTAAGCTAAATGTCTTGTTATATACTAATGGTGATTCTATGCTAATGTATGAGATAACTAGAAGTAGCCATCGCTAATATTAAATAGAAAGGTTTAAAGCGATGGATATAAAACTCTTAGATGACAAAAGTAGTCATTGAAGTTTCGGTTCGTATGCCACAGCGCTCCCTCAATGTTACTCGACTTGATTTGGCGTAAGAATCTGCATCTCTGTACTAGGCCTTGATGTTGTTGTTTAAAGGGGATCAAGAGAAACAGACACTAGCTTGCGTCTCTTTTAACCTCTCCATAGGAAAAGAAGATGAAAGAGCGGCAATACATAGGCCAGCTTCGAATCTATCTTAAGCATCTTGCCGCATGATGGCGGCCACTTGTGGTAATATCATAAGAGTCCAATGATATAGGTATACCTGAAGTCGTCGAGAATTCCTATTACTCTATCCATTACCTCTGTCGTCACTATTAGCAGCCCAGAACGGTGCTGTATCTGAGGCTGAGAGAACGCACTATACTCAAGGGTAGATATTAGGATCGACATAGGCGTAGGTCAGGCCCATTAGTATAAGGTTGTGGGGTAGCAGATGTATCTGGTCAGACTAACACTCAACTGCATATCTATTGGCCAATTCGAAAAATGTAAAATTGAACTAATTGCATGAATATCTATAGCAAGATCTATGTGCGGATTATTCATCTACCCAATGTTTATGTTTAGTATCAGCGACAAAATATTTGCGCTGGTCTCTTGTATTAGTAGCAAATGCATCAATTGGTCCAGGTTAATTAATGCTTCCCATAAGGCAGGCTGCAAGGCATATCATTCTTCTCCTCTATGCGAAATACCCCTCACCGTGTAACTATTTGGCCAATCAGCGTGCATTAATACATGTATCGAGTGCTTAGGCATTCTGTTGGGCAGAGCTACGAATCTTTTACTAATGCCTTTTAAAAGTATTAACTATGCCGGAAGGCTAGCACTTTATTCCAAAAGGGAAAAGAACAGAAAAGAAAATCTGATTGACAGTCATGGCCAACACTTCGCTTCGCGGCGTCAACTTGGACCACCTACCAAAGGTTATCCTCTCCTTCCAGGCTCTACTCAAATCATATCGACAAGGAAGCTAACCGCTAGTTGCTACGTTATTAGGACTCTTATAGCATACCTCATACATCTTCCTCATCTAAGGAAGAAGAAAAAAGCAATTATAGCATATCTGGTGCAATTTTCCCATTTAGGGAAGAGGGAAAAAATGATCCAGATCTAAGCCGTCATGACATTCTCAAAGGACCTCAGCAGAAGAACCCCCCCGGAGAAACTCAGGTAACGGAGCAGACCTCCGAAAAGGTGCCCCCTTTTATTCTCTCACACCTCCCATCCTGAGAGAAAAAGTCAACTAGGGCTTTCCTCCGAGTTACCTGCGAAGTAAAACTAACCGAAGCTTGCTCTTGCCTTAGTACGATGACGACCACAAACGACCCATGGCCTGGTACGATGTTCGCTCCAAGATCGAGCAACAGAACAACAGCAGTCTCATAAGAGTGCGCGAGGAGTTTAACATCTTGACTGAGAGGCAAGAGGTCCCGCAATACGTTAAGCTGAACATGAAAAAGGCCGAAGAGATGCAACGAAACCGATATTCCGTCCCAAAGGGATCTCTCGAGCGCCACGCTGGAACCGAAGAGGTTGATTTTGAGGAGCAATTTTCCCCTGGTATGGTGAACAAGTGACTATTTTCTACAAGTGCTAATATTTTATTTTCTCTGACTGCGCAGATGATGATGGAGCGGAAACCCAGGTATCACAGGAGCAGCAATTCACCTCTGCATCCTGGAGCCCAGAGGATGACCAGCTGCTGGTAATAGCTCACATGCTAGGCCTCACCTGGGCCGAGATTAAGGAGGATTACTTACAATCTAAGACCGCTAATGCCTGCCTCGAGCGTCATAAGTGGTTAATGAAGAGAAGGAGCGCTAATAACTGGGACTCTAATAAAATGCAAACGCTGGCTAAGGAGTATGTAAGCATGAATGAGGAGATTTGGAGCGGTTTGGCAGCTCGGGTCGGAGAGAACTGGAGGGTTATCGAGGAAAAGGTATGCCATCTCTATTTATTATTTCTTCATCTTAATGCATCCATCTACTTCAAAGATATCTCACACTATCTAGTGCATGTCTAGCGACCCCGAGACCTCCCAAAGTACCACTCATGAAGCTCGAACTATTCAAGGGGATCACCTTGTCAAGCTGACGCCCATTGCCGGAAGAGTCAGTCGGGCCAAGAAGGGTGTTCCATATCATACTTGTGATGTCTGCCGGCCTCCAAAGGTATTAACACTTCATCTTCTCTTTGCTCTTGTACTATCTAAACATACACTAACATGGGTCTATCTCTCTTTGCCTTGAAGACTTTCACAAGGGCTGAACATTTAAGGTATGTTGTTGCGTATTACTTTTCCTCGCTCTTTCTCACTTTGCTGAATGGATTGCTTACAGTATGAATTTTTAGACGACATCAATTGAGCCACAAGCCACCCGAGCTTTTCTGCACGGTTTCTGGTTGTGGGAAAGTCTTTCACCGGAAAGACTTGTTGGATCGACATATAGAGAGACAGTAAGCTTTTCTTATTCACCTCAAAGACCATACTAAGGGAGGAAGAGTACTAAATAGAAGTTAGTGGCCCTTCAAGTATGATCAAAGAGTATATGAGCATGCGAAAGGAGATCTGGAGCGGTCTGGCAGCTCGGATCGAAGAAGATTGGAGAGTTGTCGAGGAAAAGGTAGGCCTCTCCCATATATATGTCTCTGAATATTTATATCACCTTATATTTTCCGAGTTGCATAAACTCTATCACTAATACATCATGCATCTCTTTGTTCAGTGTATGTCCACCGGCCTCAATAGCCTTCAGAATACTGCCCGCAGACTGGAGATCCTTGCGAAGAAGGCAAAGTTGGCAGAGTTGAGAGTTACAAGGGAGATTCGTATGAAGCAAGACCCTTCGATCGATCGACCCATAGAGGCATTATTAATGAAAGTAACTGATACCCTACCACCTTATCCGCCCAAGCAAGGAATGCAGGAAGAGAATGCTGTGGCGCCGTACACCAATGAGAAACAGCCATCAAAAGATTTACATGGCGACCATGCCTCCATTACGCAACCGCCTATTCATCTAACCGAAGAACTAACAAGGCATCCAGCTGGGATATGCGAAGAAAGCACTGATTTGCCCAGTGTGAATGACAAACCATCATCAAAAGACTTGCGCAACGGCCAAATCTCGGATACAAACATTCAGTCGCCAAGTAGAGCTAAACAGAGATCCCAGCGGTATCTGAAGCACATACGTTTATTTTCTTGGATAAAAAAAATACTCAGGCCCAGGCTTAAACCGGGATATAGAAGAATTGAATGGACTTGCGTAAGTACAGAATAGCAGTACCCTAAATCTTTACTTTTAGGAGAACAGGGGCTAACATTGCTCCTTCAACGATTAGGATTGTGGTGTGGAACTATATGGCGATTTTATAATAGACAAGGCATCGGATTTAGACGGCCTAGAATTGTCATTACACGTGCCCGCTGAGAACACATCTAAAAGCAGCTCGAGTGATTCTGAACAATCGGTAGAAACAGGGACCAATCCGCGTCATATGATCTCAAGATCTAGATCTAGTTCGACCAGGACAGCCTTGTCTACCAGCAGCACCGATGCATCGAGTATTGATATAGCCGAATCCAAATTCCTCGCCCTATGCATCGATACCGGAAGCATATACAAAACACTGGCTGAATTGGACATGTCACGCCTAAATTCGGACGGGGAGGCCTTTTCGCAAATGAAGAAGGCGTACATACAGTACCGGGGCGTGCGTTCCCGGCTGCGTTTCCTGATCAAGCCGGTGACTGTTGAATTTGTTCGCGTAAGTCTTGATTAAGAGAATGACTCACCAGCAGCTCAAGTTGGCTACGTATAGGATATCCAGCATTCTAGCAATTGTTATATGCCTGGTCTTTCAAATGTCTCCTACTATCACAACTTTATGCTACTATCGCTACTTTCTTCCAGCACCACTGCCTTGTTCTAGTATCGCTACTCTATTCAAGTAGATATGCTAAATTTACAACACGAAATGCTGTATTTGTAGCCAACTTGAGGCACCGGCTAGCAAATCCGCTGATTAGACAGCTACTCATATGAACTTTACCCGCTAACATAAACCCTATTAGTTCACTCTCTGGAATTTGCGTCGCGGCTACATCTCCATACGCGACAGGCCCAGCTCGACGCCGCCTAATACCCGCATTGACTACGACTTCGTACCGCCGCCGATGCCTCCCGAAGTCTTCGTCCATTATCTCGAGCACGGTGACGGTGACCTTAGCCCGAACCGTTACACCTGGCTGCCGCGACTCCCTAAGAGGCTGAACAACAAGGTCATGGACTGTGGGGAGGCGACTGAGGGCTGGGGCATTCACGTCATAGAAGGTCCGAACCGCGAGGCTGTATTCTGGGTGCTCATGATTACCATCTCAGCGAGTGTATTGGCGAGTGTGTTGTGGACCACGCTGAAGGGGGATATCCAGGGCGGGACGGGGCTCGGGGCTCTCATCATAGCCTTGCCGCCTGCAATAATGGCTGCCTTTTTATTTCGTCTGGGTGCGACATGACTGGGTTAGTCCTATATTTGAGCTTAGGACGAATAATACGACTAGTGGAATCAAACAGGCGAGATTATCTGCGCCCGAAGTATCAGCAGGCAGTCTGCATTCTATCGCCAACTCAAGGCGTTTGAGAGCAGTGTGCAACTTCGTATCCATGTATTGCGTAGTCACTGGGTAGTGTATAAGCCGGTGTATGCATGTTTTACTTTAAACCCTGTAACTTTTTTTTAAAGAAAAATAAAATACAATCAAAATAATTCAGATTGATGACCAGCAGTATAATAATATTAGAACGCCAATAACTTAGAAAACCACGAGCTAATGCGTGATTTGATGGATCTCCTCCTTGAATCATCATCCAAATACATTGCCACTGTGGAATAGTACCCGCATTCCGGATGAGTTGGAGGCAAACTCCGAAGCTTTCCTTGTAACGTATCTTGTAAAGAAGCTAGACCATTCCTAGTTCTTGCCTGTAGGCTCGGCTGTTGGTCAAGTGTTTGAAGACCATCCCGTTTGATTCTTACCTGCAACCTCGATTGATGAAGTCCTTGATCCAATAGGAACTTCACGGTAGATAACCTCCGGTGAATCGGGATTTGAGGGCGATAGCTGTCGGAATCCGGGAAAAAGTAAGCGTATCCAAAGATTGCGTTTTCGAGAAGACCCGAACGATGCGAGGGAACTCTTTTAAATAGACGACTTCGATCTGTCAGTGCCACAGACTTGATGTAAGGCAGAATAGAGAACTGTGCAGCGAATCCTAGAACTGAACGCGGAATGCCCTGCCACCACCATCCGTAAGGTCCTGTAGTAATATTTCTTTCATAAACTCGAGAGAGGTGCTTAAAATAAGGATCGAGTAAGTGCAGACTGTTGACAAGGTCCGGCGTATTCTCTAGGTTATCGTTGACCTCGCCAGCATGCCAAAGAATTCTTGTCATTGCACCCCACAAGCCCATGTCATCGGGCGACGACGATGCTACGGGGGGCAACATCATGATCTTCGCTTTTAGGATACACAGATGTGGATCAAACTGCGCACCAGACGATGAACAGATCCGCTTCCAAGTTTCGGGCTTTACTGCCCAATCCCGAGCCGTGCGGTGAATGAAGTCAACAACACCACTGGTTGCATTGCCACTAACTTCCAAGATGCACTTTGTGCAAGCAGCAAGCTTCCTCGCTATAGATTTCAAAGCGACCTCTTTCAATTTGCCACTCTTTGGGAAGCGGTCCGCATTGAATTGATCAGATTTCGATTCTTCAATGGCCCAAAACGTAAGCCATTCCATTGGACCGTCATAGGCTCGCAGCACTTGTATCATGTGGGACGCATCGATAAGGTTTTCCGGACGGATAGCAGTCCAGATACCATCATACAAAGACGAAATGTCTGTAGGGAGAGCTTCTAGAGCTTTTCGAGCTTGAGAGATTGATTGTCCATCAGAAAAAAGGCTGGATAAGTGCTGCATCACTAACGAGACCCATAAGAAAACTCCATTTGCTCTTTCCACTATGTCTGCGAGCAGCTGAGAGGATGCTTCGGGCTCCAATTGCTTTCTCTCGACAAAGCCTTTGTTAATCTTCAAGTTTTCTTGAACGAATATTTCCATATCGGTTTTTGTTAGGAAATGCATTTGAAGCATTGGCCCTTCGTTGAACGTATCGTGAAATTCTGGCCACGGTCGGCTTGCAGCACATAATTTAAGCCCCTTGGGGCAGCGTGCTATCATACGTTGAATAAATTCAACGATCTCGACAGGTGGCATTTTAAATTCGTCAAGCCCATCAATAAATAAAGCAAGCTTGATGCTCTTTCCGCACGAAGACAGTAATGCCTCAAATGACTCTTCTATTTCCCGTGAGTCCCACACGGGAAGACCTGAAATGCTTTGTAACACTTGACAGAATGCCCAGCGCCTTGGGGCCAAGACTGGTGCTAATCCAGGATACTGTTTGAGCGCCTGGAATAAGATAGTTCTTTTGAGGCCATCGATCGACTTTTGTAAAGTTGTGCCTGCAAGCCAGGCATAGTATTTGACGAGAACAAGGTGCATTGATCCTAGCGATCGGGATAGCGAATCTCTCACGGACTGTTGTTGCAAGATGAGTTTCATTATCGTTGATTTGCCGGAACCTGGTTTTCCCGTGATCCAGTAAGGCTTTTCAGATTCATCTTGGAGCCAGCTAGGGAAGCTATGCCACATGGGCGCACCATCTTTCTTTAGAGGCTCGTCCTGAAATATCCAAGAATATGTTGCCTGAAAGCTTTTTGAGATAGCCTCTTCGCGTGTTTCAATGTTGCTGAATTGAATACCGGTGGCTATCGCATGCGCCGTTATGGTGGTGTCTATTTTAGCTGAGGCCATAGCATTATCCAGTTTCCAGTCATTCTTCCAGAGAACCTTGACAAGCTCCGCGCGAATTTCATTCTTTGCTTCGCCGTCGGTTTTAAAATATTGAACCATGTGTTTTGCCAGCTGCACCAGCGAAGTTGGTCCTTCTCCGGGCTGAATCACTGGCTGCAAAGCAATTCTCAGCCTGGCTGCCTCCCCGTCTACCTTTGTGGAGACGGTTGTTCCATGTTCCGGTATATATCCTTTAGGGCTTTCAACATCATCATTCCCGTTTTGGGTTAATCTTCTCTGGTTTGTTAACGCTGTTCTCAAGGAATTGTTCATCGACAAGTTTTCAGTACTCCCAAGCAATTCAATGAGCTTGTCTAGTTGGCTACTAAAATGCACCTCCCATTGTTCAGTTCGCTTTGAGTCATCCCTAAGATGTATTGACGAGTTAGTTTGTTGAATCAAGGATATAGTTGGTGAAGATATGTCGCTAGCTTAGACATGAAAGGGCATTAAAGCAGGTATGTTATGCAGATAAATGGGCGTAGAGAGGCGTATAGACAGATTGAACTATACCAAAGGAACGTACCACAGAGAGAGAAGTATGGCATCCATAATATTGCGCCTGAGAGGCTCCAATTTGCTCTTTATCTTTTCAAAATCTTTCTCGTTTCTTTGGAATTCCTCTTTCTCCACGTCTTTTGCCTTTTGGCAGTCCTTGCACTTTCCCTCTGGCATGTTTCGACGCAATACTAGACTAGCACCGACATGGTTGCGCAGATGAATCTCCGAGTTCGTTTCCCGGCTGTTAGGTAACTTCAACTGACTTTTGATCCGCTCGAAGTCACTGGAAAGCTTAGTGCATTGAGAGGATAGCTTCAATAACTGTGCTTGGCCGGGTGTTCGGGGCCGAGACGCCAATATCTCTTTGGAGATATTCCGGAACCATGAAACTTGAGAGGATAAATCCTCTAAGGCTGTTTGAAGTTCTTTTCCTTCTTCCGCAAGCATCTGGTCATCAAGTCTTTCCTGTTGTATATGTTTATACTTTTCCCAGGCTTTGATCCATAGCTTTCCGCCAAGCTCCAGAAATTGGAACGCTGCAGCTGCTATCGCTAGCGCGCTTAAAGGATCCATGTTTGGCAACAATGCGAGTGTTTGGCAGGCTCTAGATATTGGTGATACTCTAAGCTCTGTTAACCGGAAGTGACGTGGCTGGCATTACAAAATGCGGTGGAAAAAAACAAGGGCGAAAGTGTGAACAAAAAATGTTGGGGCTGTATTAAGTAGCCTCATTTCCTGAACATTGTCAGGCAGCCTTGTTGGGCATTCACGCATTACCTGCTGGACTTCTACAATGCTTTCAGGTCACGGGACTGGATGCATAACGGATATTATTACGAAAGATGCTGGGAAGCGCGGATTGGTTAGATTGAGCATGCGATAGAAGGTGGATGGGGTGGCGCATGTACATCATTGGCAGTGTCGAATATGGCAGAGGCTTACTAAATCGATATTATAAGATCGAGCACAATTGTAACAGTAATAAGATCGCAAAAGTTACCTGGGAAGAGAAATAATTACAATAGCTTACAGAATTGATGTTATGATCTTAAATAATTTTATTTGTCACGTATTAAATACTAAAGATGAACACCCAGGAGCTACCTAGCTGCTAGTAATTAAGTACTCAAGAAATACAAAAGGGTATTTTGATATCAATTTGTACTACTTATTTCTTCTCTGAATCTTCATGTCGACACCAAAGTGTTCTGCCGTATTATTGTGCCAATCATGGCAAGATGCCTGATTCATGGTTGCAGTTGTAGCAATGATTTAATACGACTATATGCGTATTAGCGACCAGCCTTACTGGGCCGTAACCTATTTCTCCCACTCTTCCCGAATCTTTTATTTTCTTTCTAAGATAGTAAATCAACCTAGCTATCATTTATAGTAGCCACTTGAAAACAGCAGTTGTAGCTCCCAAGGGCACCGCAACGTTCCTCATAATATTTTTCCACGCAGGCTCTTTCAGCAGCGGGGGTTCAATGCGATTTATTTTATAACTAAGAGAAAAAAACGAGATCAATACCCAGGCCACTGACCTTTCACGATTATCGTACATCGGACCATGAAAAATACTGATTGATAACCTTTACACCTATTCTCCATTGCGACATTGAAATCCAATGTATGGTCTTGACCTTTTTCAAATTGAGAGATTCAGGGCCAAATTGTATAATGTCCACCTCTCTTTGGAACTCATAATAGTTCAGATGTTACATTAGGCTCGCCAGGTGGCAGGGAGGCTAAACTATTAAGGGCATTAACTGTAATGCTTATTGTTTGTTTCACTATAAGTGTGCATTAACTAAGATCGTAACTAAATAGAAGAGCGAAAAAAGACCCTAGATGTTAGTCTTGTGTTTGTTATGTTGGACATAAAGGAAGAATTATGATGGTAATGTAAGTCTTACGGAGCAAAGACTACAAGGGCTAGTGTTCTTCACTAGCTCCTAGTAATATCTGTACTTTGGGTTTTAGAAAGTAGGGGAGAGGTCTTTCTCCGCCTACTGGAGGCTTCGAGAACTGATTTGTGTATGTTCGAACAGAATTTTCCAAACCAAACGTCTTGATATTTACTATTAATGATACTATGCTAATGTAGGAGGCAAATAAAAACAGCATTCATCAATACGAAGAAACCCAAAGTATGACCAGGACCTCGTATAAAAAGCGGTATTTCCAGTTGGCTATTCCCAGACGTGCGAGTGTTGGCCACCTTGCTACATTTCGAAATCTTGCTGACGGAGGATCCAGAATCCTACAAGATACCAGAAATCCACCAATTCCTACTACGAGTGACAGTATAATAGCTCATCGTTACATGAATAGTGCTACGACCACGGGAAGAGAGCGGCTCGGGGGTCGCATCCGGCTGAATTAAGTGCCAAGTAGAAAAAGAAGGCCCACCAAGCGAATATGTGCGTACAATACCATAATATGCACATCTTATACACATCTTGGCTCCTTGAATTACATGTGTATAAGCTTGCTGTTTGCGCATAAAATCTTTCTCATTCTCATTTTCTGTTTTTCTGTCCCCCATTTGGGTGCAGTGACAAGCTAGGAAATCGCCGCTTTTAGGGTCTAGACGTTGGCACTATGCAAAAAGGAGCACTAGCTACATGTAATCTAGCACTTGAGTTTTGTTTGACTAGGCACTGCCTAGGACCATTTGGTATGATACCCATCTTATGAGAGCTAGGGTTTCGGGACAGGCCCTGGAGGGAGCAAAGAGCTACAAGTGTCAATGACCAGCTACAACCTGGCTCCTTGTAACAAGCTGATCCCTTTTGCTCAATGGCAATCATGAGTACATGAAGTTACCGTACTTGGCTTGACTGGATGACATTCACGGATACCGGATTACTAGGCACTTTCAACCCGCCCTCTATACACCCGGTGGTTCACCAGCATTGACAATGCAGGAACGGCACCATGGCCTGCCACTGTATGTGTTCGCCGTTACGCGTGTCCGGGCCAGGGACCGGAACATTTGATGAGCGGACGCGGATCCTTTCCACATAGGAAGCTTCTTGTTTCGCGGTACTGTGGAGGGTAATATTCCCATTCCGCGGTACCCCTGGTGAGCAACAGTACTGTAGCATTGGCCCGGCCGCTAATAATCGAGAATGTCGGGAAGGCTGTTATAAGTAATACTTGGATACCTCTTGATGTGAATTGTGAATTGTCGGCTGCCATTCTTTGTTGCTTCTCCACCGGTCGAAGAGGAAGCCGTCGTCCCGAGTTTCAAGTCACCATGTCGGCGTATTTTCCATATACTCCGGAATTCAATGGACTCACGGGACAGCAGATTCAGAAGATTGCCGACTCTCAGTCGCCCATAAAGCCCGCGGGGGCTGGTATCGCCATCCAGGGAGTTGTCTACACGACGGCAATCTTGTGCACGACAGTCTTCAGTCTTCGCGTATGGGTACGATTTATTCGACGGGAACATGGAAGACCGATAGGTATCGATGATTATCTGGCCGTGGGAGGATTTGTATGGCGACCCAAAGATACTGTATGCAGCGGACGCTTGCTGACGGAATATTGTTCCACTGTAGGGCCCGTATCTTCCTGCCTGTGCTCTCGCCATCGCTGGCACATACTACGGCGTTGGAGCTCCAGATGATGCCGTCACTCCGTTTATGAAGATTAGAGCCAAGGAACTGCAGCTGTTGTACGAGCTGATTTACTTTGGATCGTCAACACTCACCAAGTTTTCCATTGCCTTTACCATCTTGAAGATATGCACGCAGAAACGCTACAGGTTTGCTCTTTATGGCGCAAGTAAGTATTTCTCAACGACATGGCCCTTTCCAAGTCCATCATGCTGACGAGTCTCGACAGTGGGCACCATGGCCCTCACTGCATTTGGTGCTCTCATCTTTCTCTTCTCCGACTGCAGGCCATTTGCAACCAGATGGAATCCGTTTTTGTTCGTACACACCTATCTAATGCTTCCAAAGACTTTACACATTCCTAACTCGATTACTCAGAGGAAAATGCTGGGCTCCGGCGCCGAGCGGCTGGTTCATCATGAGCTACATCGGAACATCTATCCAGGTTGCCACGGACTGGGTCGTCGCCATCACGCCCTTTTTCATCGTGCGTAACTTGCAAATGAACCGACGGAAGAAGATTTCAGTCTGTGCAATTCTCGGCCTTGGTGTGCTCGCCAGTTTTGCGGCCATTATGCGTATTGCCATGTATCCCCAGACAGACGAGAGATACCACCCAAAAGACAATCTGGGTAAGTACGCTTCTTCCTTGTTACTACCCAGCTGCTAAACAATGTACAGTCAAGGAGGCTCAGCTCGTCATTTGGTCGCACCTCGAGGGTAGCTTTGGGATCATCGCCTGCAACTTACCGCCCCTGAAACAGCTCTTCAAGGCTTACTACCGGGGCTCGTCTGGAAGGTCGGGTAACCAGTCTGCGCCCCTGTCTACTAATGGACGGGGGACGCAACTCGGCGACCTGGATGCCCAAGGCAAGTCGCACATGAAGGCCGGATCTCGCAACACCTGGAACAGAATCTCCGAAGACGACGACACCTCCAGCAAGCACCATATCATCCGAGAAACCGAAGTCAGGGTCGAAACGAGCAGTGTCGACCCCAGAGAAGATCGGCATGACCAATGGGAGACTGACGTGAAAGCCATAGTCTGACCAACACTCATGATATACCCATTACGTTTATTATTTTTTAATAATTTCATCAAAAAGTCATTAGATTTGCGGCCCAGGGCTATAGAGAAGCCGGCATACGACACTGGAAAAGGAGGAACTTGTGGGCTTTCGCCTGTATTTAGAAAACACGGCAGACAACTGCCTGTACTTTTGCAACTGCCACCACACTACTACAACTAATAGGTACAGTAATATAAAATGTCACGCAATTCTCCCCATCTGTGCGCCGGTTGAAGGCTCCACGCCCCTCTTGCCACGAGAGAGAGAACCCGTAAAACTGATAGCTGACACAAGCCACGCATGACTGGATCAATATACCCTGCCCTCATCGTATTCAGGAGAAAATTTTGTCACAAATTTCCATGGGCTCAAGCTGCGCCAACAGCACGTTGTATCCAACGGGGCGTTGCTGCCGTCGGATTAAAGAGAATTTACGTGCCGTAAAGGAGACATCATACAGGGAAAAGCAGGCTTGGAAAGACTCGGCCCCCCTTTTCTACTCCGCCAAGTTCTGGCGTAGGTCCACTCCATAGCGTTTGTCTAGCTGAGCGGATCGACATCCGGAGAACAGCTCCAGCTCTGAACCACCCCCAAGGAGATTTTCTCTCTCTACCGAGATTTCACATGTGAATGGGTATCACCGGAACCGTCTTTGGCAAGTTGTGCCGAGCAGGATCGAACTAAAGGACGAACTAACTTCCAAGCGAAGACGTTGAAGAAATATGTTGTCTCACGGCTGTTCATTGGGAGGGGCGGTCTAACCCGCAGCTAGTAGTGTCAGCTGTTGGTTCATCAGCCACGAGCAAAAGAGCAAAAGCCCCACCAATCATCTTCAACTGGCCCTGGTCTCGGATGAGATGCCGTGCAGGGATATTGAATGGGGTATTACGGCAGACATCAGCTGCATGAAGTGTCACTGCCCCGGGCACTGTCTGTTTTACTTGTACATTGCAGGACTCTACGGACAGACTCCTCCGTATAGACGCCCTATTAACAAGTACATTCAAGCCACAACCTTGTCTCTATAGAAGCGCACTGCACCCATGCACTCTGCTTGCCTCATTACCTATTTTTGCAACGGTATTAACAATCTTTTGTTATCATTATGTCCGCTACCCGGATCATAAAGGCCGACAGCGGCGCTGCCTATCAAATGCTTAAAACGGCAAAGCATGTTGCGTTCGATATCTGTGCCAATGGGACCTGCAGCGAGGAGTGTAGGAGAACTTGAAAGCCATTCCTGACTGAAATCGCTCGATTATACGTCTCATCTAGGGAAATCTACATAAGACGCAGTTAATTAGCATGTACCGACACTTTGCTATTCACGTAGGGATCAAACATTGCTCACTCCAGCTTCGGCAACTGTTGGCAATTCATACATACTGTAACACTAGCCCCCGAACCTGGCCACTGTAGAAAAGGATAGAGCTAGGCTTTAGTTATCCAGGCACCAGGGATGAAAGAGCCTGCAGCGGCGTTTCCAACCAGTATCGCTGACATATATATTGGCTGGCAAATTAGTGCGGCAGACTACGCTCTCCTTAACGAGGCGATCCAGCTGGCACTTTACTCTCCTGTAGCATCGAGACGCGACGTCATCTTGTTTGGTTCACGATTGAGAAATCTCTTACGATAACCTTTACTATTCACTATAGAAATTCGTTATGGGTATCTTTGGACGAGCCGCGCCGGCTCGCGTGGAGACCGATAAGGTCATCCCCGTGGGCTTCTTGGATAACAGCCCTTTGATGACCAGAATTGTCCTCTACAACTTGATGGTATTCGATGACGTTCTTGATCCCGAGAAACTTCGAGATGCCCTCGACCGGCTGGTACAAAGGCCCGGCTGGGGGAAGATGGGAGCTCGGCTCCGAAATAATGTAGGTTTCTCCTTTTCTTGCCATGTAGCTCGAATTGAGCTCTCTACAGACGATGGAGAACAGTATCTGACCATGACCAGGCCAAAGGGGTAATCGAATATCACGTCCCGGCCGTCTTCTCTCACGAACGTCCAGCCATCGGCTACACCCACATTGAGTATGATATGAAGAGGGAAGACCACCCCTTGGCAAGCAAGCTCCCCAAGCCAACAACCAATGCCGGCGCAACAATCGTGGCAGACCCCGATGAGTTTCTACCGCTGGCCAAAGGGCCCGACTGTCCAGCTGTCGCCGACGACTATCTATACTCAGACCGGCCCTTGTTCGGCCTCCACATCGTCTCTTTCACAGACTCAACGCTTGTCACGCTGCACTGGCTGCACGTTGCTTGCGACACGCTGGGCAACAAGGCCGTGATGCAGAACTGGATGCTGATGCTTGAGGGCCGAGACGACGAGGTTCTTCCGCAGGTCGGATTCGACAGCGATCCATGTGCTGACCTCGGCAAATATCCCATCGAGACACACGTGCTTGAGAAAGAGCGCATGTCCAATGGCGCCATGGCGGGCTGGGTCTTCAACAACTTGGGCGATCTGGCGTTCCGCGCCAAAGAGAACCGCATGGTCTGTCTGCCCGGCGCGTACGTGGACAAGATGTACGACACCGCCATGGACGAGCTCACAAGCCACGCCGAGTTGGACAAGAAGCCCTTCCTGAGCGAAAACGACATCCTCACGGCCTGGTGCACCCGAATGGCCCTGAGCCACCTCCCGCCAGACTCGGACACGCCCGTCACAGTTCAGCTGGCGGGCTCGATGAGAAAGGCGCTCAAGGTCGACCTGCTGCCCACCGACCAGCCGTACGTCGCAAACTGCTTCGGCTTCATGAACGTGCTGCTCCAGGCCGGCGACATCCTCAGCAAGCCGCTCAGCTACACGGCGGCCAAGATTCGCGAGGCCGTCAACGCCCAGCGGTCGCGCGGACAGCTCGAGGCCTACTGGTCCATGTTCCGAGAGCAGTCGGTTGCGTTGCCCATCTTCTTTGGCTCGAGCCGGACGCACCAGCTCAGCTACTCCAACTGGACCCAGTCCGACCTCTTTAACACGGACTTTTCGGCCGCTGCTGTCAATCCACGCAGCGAGCCGTGTCTGCCGTCGTATATTAACCACAGCCAGATGCCCTTCCAGTTTGGAGAGGGCTTCCTCTTCATGGGTAAAGACTCCAAGGGCAACTACTGGATGTGTGGATACCGTGTTAAAGGGAAGTGGGCGGAAATACAAAAGACTCTGGATGCCGAGGCCAGGGCCATGGCTTAATGAGTTTTGTTCTTTAATTATGAGTTAATATGCTTTGCTTCGCAACAGTGGGGACAAAATTGTTGGCCACTGCGGCTTCATCATGCTGAGGAAGTCTGATGACCTGTGGGAGGATTTTCTTTGAGCTTCATACATGTAAAGTACATAACCATCTAATGTTTTCTACCGGCAAATTGCCTTCATCATAGGCTATAGAGCGCTGCCACTACTTAATATATTTAGCGAATCACAATTGGACATTAAGTTTGACAATGAAATTTGCCGTCACGCCTCTTTGGTGTACATTAGATCGTGGTGGCTTGGGCACGTTTAGGTAAGCATAATTGGACCCGTGTGAGTGAAAAAGTCAAATAATGAGGCATCAGACATTTGGATTGAAATTTGTCCGAGACGGTCTTTGCACAGTGAAGTCTATTCTTTCAGGCTTATATTTAAGATGAGGTAGCATCAAACAAACTTTGGTGATCTGCGATGCAGACGAAGTAATTGAAGCTCTATTTGGAATACACGTCATGCTCTCCCGTAGTTTCCTCAAAAATAGTCATCTAGCTTTCTGCTTTCTGACGTGTATTCACAAATCTCACTCTGAGTGGCGCTGTTTCTGACACAGCACAAGAATTGATGCAATAGAATTCCTCCAGGAAACTGAATATAATGTGCAGAGCTGCCCCTGGGAATTCTAGATAGAAAGAGATTTGGGGATCCATCGCTTTCAACATTGGCCATTCAATTATCAATACTTCTTCACAAACTATTCACGCGTATCTCAAAAATGAGCGGGAATAAAAGCACTGCTGCCCCTTCTTTTAACGACGTGTGGCGAGTAACCGTTACAGGGAAGAAAAAGGAAGGACTGTCAGAGAAAGAATTCGCTCGCCGATATGCCCTTCACGGAAAGTTGGCTGGACCTCTAGTGGTCAAGTATAACGGCATCTCTTACCGCCTGGTATGGCCGTCACGATAAGCATTCAATTAATCATCATTGAACACGCGTACCTCTAACACTCATGAAACACTACAGCATCAGATACGTGGCTCTCATGCAGATGAGCTCAGAGAGAAACTTGGTCCGGAGCTTTCGTCGCAACTTGCTGTTGGCGATATAGACGGAGTCAGCACTCTCGTCTTTCCGACAGCCAAAGACTTGGCCGGATTCATCAGTGATCCCGAGTATGGCGCGAAATTGGTTCCGGATGCGTCTGAATTCGGCGAAGTGACTTCAATTCAATTTTCCGTTGGTGATGAGCTGGTTGTGGTGGACGATGGCAAATTTGTGTTATAAACTTGCCGATATTTTATCGAACTGGGTTCTTTCAGCTAGCTAAAATTAATTTGCTCATATAGCATTAAAATTGATTAATTATAAGCCATGTCGTCAATATGTGCCTGCCATACTTACCTATTTCCGCAATTGGCTGAATATGCCGAACAATCGACTCTTCCATCTCATCAGCCTGGATTTTGCTACTGCAGAGTCATCACTGCTATGACGGAATGCGATCAAATAGAGAAAAGGAAAAACTGTGTAAGCCACATTGCAACTGAAAATTCCAAAATTGGTTACTACTGCAACTTTGAGGCTGAACCGAAACTTCCGGTGTGTCTCAGCTTTGCTGCGATTACGGAGAAAGAGATTTGCTCTCCGCATCCCAATTCCCGACAGACTGGTACTACTACTAGTAGTGTATCTAAATTTTAATTCGTGCATTGTGATTAGTAACCGCATTACTTGTGTTGGATTTTCCCATATTTTATTCTCTTCTACTAAAAAGGCAGAATGTTGGTGGGCTTCAGAAAGTCCTCAGGTGATGTTGTAGTAGAAGGTGATAATGAGTAACATCTATGCCTAGTGTTCCATTTTTAAACCATATTACCAATTGAAGGCAATGGTCGAGGTAAAAGAACCCAGACCGTTTCCGTGAAACGACCTCATTTTGATGGACCCAGAAAATGACTGATCTGAAGTGGCCAATAAAGATGGATGGTCAGAGACCCAAGGCCGGCTACCACAAGGGCCAGCAGTAATTACTACAGCAAGAAAAGAAAAGAAAAGAGTCTAAGAGTCTAATAGGACGGAGAAATTGGCCATGTCTATCTTTATGGAGAAGACCATTTTCGAGTCAAGCAATCAACGCCTAAAAACTTGATCTTTTCGGCTAACAGGCGGACTAGAGAATTTTTTTTTTTTTTTTTTTTTTTTTTTGGTGATACGATTCCATCTAGCAGCAGATCATACCTAGTAGACAATGTTGCTGTTGGACTAGATTTGCATCAAGAGACATAGATGGTATGGTATACTGACTCTCAACCAGTAACAGCAGAGCTTGATGCCCGTGAAGAGCATCTGCTGGACGTGCATGACAGGGAGATCTGAATTACAGCATCGCGCTATCTAGTGCTCCGTCTTTAAACTCTACTGACTAATTTTGATTCCTCCGTTATTCGCTGGGTATCTACAGCCTCTGTTACAGCGACTTCATCACTATGTTACTCTGTTTTGGAATTCCTCCACAGCAAAGCTCGATTGTACGTTTGACAGAACTAACTCCACAACGCCCACATCACTGGAGTCGTCGCTGCTGCAGAAGAGATTCTCCATGTCTTATTAGTAGCCGTTGTACCATTCTCGGGAACTTGGACCCGATCGAGTCTCTCCATTAATGTGATCAACCTAAATTACCGTGGGACTTGGGATGGTGCTCTCCTGGTTAGAGCCCTCAGATAGTTTAGGGTGAGAACTATCTGAAGCATTCGCGGGAGAGTGGGGATCTATTAAGGCTGAACAGTTGACCAATGCGACGAGGCATTAGTCGGTAATGGCGAGGTGTCTTTGGGGAATTGAGGCAGCGCTAGGTACGCGATATGTGCCTCGTTCGATCTGAGCTTTTGATAGCCGTACGCCTCTAGAATTGTTACACGTGTTTCTGAAACAAGCTACGATCGTTTCCAAGCTCGCCTTCATTGTGGATAGTGATTAGTGCAACTTGTGTTCAAAGATCGCGGTAACTAACGTTGACGGATTGATCGAACGAGTAACCGCTAATTCGAGTTGGATCCATAGCAATTCGGTCTCTTGATGACCTTGGTACTTAATTTTCCTTGCTCTTGATGAGTAAAATCATGTGCATGAGTTATGTCAAGATACTAGAAAATTAATTACAGACAAGTTCAAGGCTCTGAGCATACGTCTCAAGCAGTTGAAAGTTGTTGCCAGTCCTAGCTCCTTACAGAAAATGCTCACAGGATGCGGTTGCAACTCTAGCTTTACTTGTACATGTCGTTCACAGAGCACAGACAACGAGATCCTCTGGTGTTCTCTGGGGTAGATCAATCTAGTTGTAGAAAGCAAGGGCCACCCTGTCTTTTGTCGCGTTGGCCACGAGATCTAAGATCAGATGCTAGATCTGGCACCATTTTAGGCCAAAGCAGGGTATCCCTGGGATGGAGACCTCTCCGACAGACCGGGGTCAACGGCTTCTCCAGCTTTCATCAAGTCTAAACTCATAAATCTTTTCAGCTTCAGAATTTTATCAATTTATTTACATGCTACTGTTAGTGGGCTCTGATTCAAGGCAATTACACGCTCCCATCTTCAAAACTGCCGTCGTAACCCACTTGTGCTGTATGCCTAGTACCGGGAGGATGGATCGTCAAAATTTCGCAACTCCAGAAGAAATTTCATCTACCGATGACTAAGAAGACAACTCCATAATTACTTGACTGCAAGTTGGCCCCTTTGTCTAGTGCCTGTTGCTTTTATCGCTCATTTCGGGTCTTTCCCTCCATACGCGGGCTCCACGATCGTGATGAACGAGCCAACTACCCCAGTTTAACATTGGGTATTTCACTAGGCATCGATGCTACCGTGTTGCTCTAGACAACTCCGCAGCACAGTGTAGTCCACTTGGGAAACTACAAAGTCATTCAGTTCAGCTGTGATTAGCCACTCTCTCGGCTGAATAAAATCTCTCAGTGAAAAATGTTTTAAAAAATCTTTCGAGAAAAAAAGGCACCAGAGTTATGACAAAGCTGATGGGTACATGTCCATTTAACCGACTGGGCCCACTTACTCTTTACAGACAATGGGCGTGTGAAGAATTGTTCGAGAAGAATTCTTTGGAAACAGGAGGCGATTTTGCATATAATTTAATGTTATGACTAAGACGAATTGTGGCTATTGTTTCAAACAGAGTTGAAAATAAAAAAAGGCGGTAGAAGTTTTCTTTGGCTTCGAAAACTTCTTTTGCCCCTGGGAGGCAAGAAGAGGCTTTGTTAAACAATGGTTCATGACTCTCCGAAGCCCCAGACTGGATCATCCACCTTTTCTGGAATATCCCGAAAAAAACGTGACGCGGCGTTATACGTATGCACTGACAGTTGGACGTTACGCTTTACAGTCCTTTTATTTCTAACCGTTGGCTAAAGAAATAGTGGTTCCGACCTGAGGTGGTGGCGTTTAACTCGTCCACTTTTTTTCGATTAAACAGCGAGCGACCCCCTCGCGGTTCAGAATTTTCATCCAACCAACGCCTTTGGAAAAATCTGAAGAATTTCCGGATTTGTACAGTCGACCGAATAATGGTCTTGATTTTAGTCCGGAGGTTTTATCCTAGTCATGTTGGTGGAACAGGGCGACTCAGCTGCCTGCGTAACAACTTGTTGGGCGTTTACGATGTAGTTTGAACGTTTTTCATCCCTTGTAAATCCTAGTGATCGGCAAAGATGAGAAATAAAGACGTTTCATATAAAATATTATATATGACAACATTTGTGACTCGGAAATAATTCAACTTGCATGTGTATTGCTGTTGGTGTCAACAATTGATCCGGCTGTTATTCGGGCAGTCATAGAAAAGCCATTTCCTATTGAGGACCATATCCCCGAATAAGCTCAGTTACCGACTTCGGAACTCATCAACAGCAGGCGTTTGAGTTTGCAAAGATCCATCAAGAACCACTCTTTGCACGCGACCAACTACTCACAACTGGGAGCTGAACACCGACCGCCCGGTAGAAGCACGTGGAATGGAAGCCTCAGGATCCAAGGCGCCGCGTACCTGCTTTTCCCCCTGGCCATGCCGCTGTCAGTAGTCACAACCGGAACACACAACGTGAGCCGGCCGGTTCGGTTCCTGGAGCCAAGCTCCGTTGAGTCTAGGTGAGCCATTTAAAATATGGAACCAGCTTTTCCCACAATGGAAGTCTGTTGCCAACGAGCGCTAGAGGTTGCCACACCGAGTCACCGTGAATGTCCCGAGAGTGTGGAACATGAGCAACTCGTCGACACTGTGATGGAAGACTGTGATGAAGATGGAAGCAACCAACGTCGACCCGCAACCCGCGCGGCGCTCCCAGCGTACCGTTCGGACCGTTGAGGGAAATCGGAGTCGATGGGTTTGAAATCTCTTCGACTTGCGGGGGAACATGGGTCGCTTCCATATGTCGACAAAGTGTATAAATAAGGGCGTTGATCCCTCCCTCGAACAGAAGAAATCATCACTCACTCCATTCTACAAGACAAACAGTCACTTGTATACAATCCTTTGCTTCGATTCATTCCTTCATATTGAAGCCTGTGTGTTCATTCCTTTGCACACATATATCCCACTTGTACAACTCTTTGGTTAGACAACCACTTTACCACACACTCCCTCTTTTACAAGACATTTAACTTGTCCAACAACATTCAAAATGTTTGCTACCTTCACTGCCATTCTTGCTGCCTCCGCGGCCTCTGTCTCAGCCGTTGCCATCCGTGGTAACAGCGGCAGCGCCAGCATCACTCCCCACGAGCAGTACTCGTCCTCCATCGGCGTCTTGGGCTGCAAGATCAACACCAACCGCGTTGCCTACTGGCCCATGGGCGTCAACTGCGACAACATCTGCGTCAAGGTCACCAACGGCGACCGCAGCCTGCACCTGCTCAAGATCGACCAGTCCGGCGGCGCCCACGACATCTCGTACGATGCCTGGAACTACCTGGGCTTCGGCGAGAGCGCCTCGTCCGACCCCCACACCGGCGGCGGCATCAACATGAACTACGAGTTTGTCGACGCCAGCGAGTGCGCCGGCCTCATGCACGGCGGAAAGCTGGCTCTCTCTGCCTCCAACAGCATGGACTACGTCGCCAGCTGCCTCAGCGAGCCCAACAGCTGGGTGGCCAAGAACCACGAGCTGATCAACATGGCCGATCCCCTGTGCAAGTACGGATACAACGAGGTCTGCTCCCTGGATCTGCAGAAGAGCAACCAGCCCAGCTGCCCGCACACTCTTGGAGCCCAGCACACTCCCACCGGCGAGTCTGTCACCAACATTGTGTACGGCACTGGCAAGGCCCAGTCTGCTTAAGTTGAGCTTGAGCAGTTGATTTGGGGGCGGGAACAGATCTAGACATGACCATTAGATTATAGAAGTACCGGTTAGAATAGAGTAGAATGAAAGTCCATTATGAATCTGGCAATCATGGCTTTGTCTTGAACGAATTGGTGACTGTAAGAGGACAATCTGAAAGCAGTTTAGCTTGCTAAAGCCTTCTGCTTAGGTAATAAGAAAAAGGAAAAAACCCTCCGACATCTGGTGAATAGTAAACCCGCGCTCCGGGAAATGACGTCCCAACGAAATCGGAGGCTCGGCTTGGTCGGCTTGAGTCGGCCACGCTGCTGATGCCAATGCTCGATGCTTATTCATGCGTGGTGCTTACAAGTATTTGCATCTGAGAATCTGCATGGAGAAGCACTGATGACGGCATAGCTGTAGAAAAAGGGTCCAGCCCGCCCAGCTAGCCTCAGACAATTGCTGGGGAACTGCGCGATTGTGCATGACTGCACGCAGATGATTGTTCAAGCAATTGATGTTTAACAGATGCTGCCCACGATGCTTTGTCTTGGGTATTGACCTTGCCAACCCCTTGGAGAAACAAGTCGCGGGGGCACAACTCCGCAGCTACTGCTCCTCTTAATCTGTCCCCGCGCATTATTGGCTTCAATCTGTGCGAGACGCCGCCTGGATCCACCGCTGGCTCGGGATTCCATCTCCATGTCTCGCCTCGGGCCAGTCCTTCGGTCGGCTTCTACGCGGGTTCTTTGGGGGGGTCCTGTCTCCGAGGTTGCAGCGACCGCCCAGCTAATAAGTCTGTAGTCGTAGGAATGGAATTAATTGCATGGCATGATCTGCACTCCAACCTCTGTCTCACGGAAGGATTCAGCTCAATCCAGACGTAATCGCATCCATCAGCCCAGATTCTCAGCGCATCCAGCGAAGCACCGAAGCTGCGCTCTCCGGGCCGCCGACCCCACCACAGCGCTCTAGCAGCCCGTTAGTAATTTTGCGAAAACATCACCGCGCAAATTGATAATCAGCATCAAACCTTCGCGCGCGCTTGTTTCTGCGCATCGAGGCATCGCCGCAGGCTCAGATAAGACGGTACGTCGCTGCATCCAGCAATTCTTTGCTCTTCATTCTCTTCTTCTTCTTCTTCTTCTTGCGTGCTTTTCCTCTGCTGCGCATCCTCGGCTTGTCCACTAATCATGCCCTCAGCTCTCCCGACTCAGCTCGTGCGACCCACGCATCCCATCATCGCCAAAATGCCGTCGAATGCGACATCAGGCGCCGGCGACAGCGCCACGCTGCCCTCGTTCTACTCCCCCCGAACCGCGGCCGCCGACACTCCCCAGAGCCGTGATGGCCAGCCCATCGACGAGCTTTCGCTGCCCCCCAGTCATGCCAGCGCCTCATCGGCCTCGCTGCCGCCCCCGCCATCGCTGCTATCGCCGGCCTTCACTCCCCCGGCCACCCCCGGAAACCAGACTCCAACCACGGCCGGACTGCGAGGAATTCCAGTCGACAGCTCGATTCCGTCTGGCGGATGCGGCAGCAAGAAGCCCCGGCTGCTGGAAACGCTGCCCGAGGTCAATTGCGTTGTCCGGGCCCGCATCCCCACCGTCAACGGAACCGAAATGTTCCTCCACCTGTACACCAACAACGTCGACAACAAGGAGCATCTGGCCATTGTTTTCGGCAATGACATCCGGAGCAAGTCGCTGGACGAGCCCCGCGAGGGCGAGACCGAAATGGACCGCATGATTCGAGGCGCCTATACAGGCCGGCTGTTCCCAGGCCGCACAACGAGTGGCATGGGCACTCCTTCATCCGAGTCTCAGCAGGAGCAGAACCAGCCCCAGAACCCGCCGCTGGTGCGGATACACTCAGAGTGCTACACTGGAGAGACTGCGTGGTCGGCGCGATGCGACTGCGGCGAGCAGCTTGACGAGGCCGCACGACTAATGGCCTTACCCGGCAACAAAGCTGGCGGCATCATCATATATTTGCGGCAAGAGGGCCGTGGTATTGGGCTTGGTGAAAAGCTAAAGGCTTATAACTTGCAAGATCTCGGATCCGATACTGTCGAGGCGAATCTGCTACTGCGACACCCGGCTGATGCGCGAAGCTACGGATTAGCCACTGCCATGCTCATGGATCTGGGCCAGACAGACGTGCGCTTGTTAACCAACAACCCTGACAAGGTTCGTGCCGTTGAGGGGCCAAACCGAGAGGTTGTCGTCAAGGAGCGAGTGGCCATGGTGCCGTTGTCATGGAAAGGAAAGGGTGGATTCCGAAGCCAGGAAGTAGAAGGCTATTTGAAGACAAAGGTAGGAAATTTTTTCCCTGATTAAAAGTAGACGAGACACATGTGCTAACAAGCTGTGCAGATTGAAAAGATGGGCCATATGTTGGACATGGGATCATTCCCTCACTAAGAAGTTGGACAGGGCGAAGACGACGAGAACGACGACGATGAAATTTGTTTGAGTATTGGGCAATGGGCATACTTGGAGTTTGTGTATTTTTTCTGGCTACAGGATGGAAATCGTCATTGTCATCTGTCAGCCGACGTTGTTTGGCACGTACATATACCATATATCCAAATCGACTGAGCGGAAGGATAGCCAGCCGCACATATAACTGCTGGTTAGCAATATTGAGCGACAACAAAAAAGATGGTTCATCTGAACCAGTATATGGAATGAGAAAAAGAAATAAAAGAGTAATTTAATCAAATTCACATCATCTCCATCTCTTTACCGAAATCCATCTCTCCAATATCGCTGAGGTAGCACAGATACAGGTGGGAAATTGGCCACCGCAAATGAGGCTACACGGCTGCCACTCCACAGCGGCGGCTCCACTAAAATTTCAGCAGCAAGGCAGCCAAACAGCTGAAGCGCTTCTGACAGCACGCGCCAAGGCAGCGCTGCACAGGCTCAATTTTGCACCAGATCTAGTAGTAGGTACCTGTCCAGCCTGCGATTTCTCTCCAGCGCAACATCTCGTGTCTCGTGCTTCTGCCTGCGCTACAAATACCCACGCTGCTCGCTGCTCGATTCGCCATCCTCGATTCTCGACTCTCTCTCGGTTTATCGGCAACCAACCGGCCATGCAGCTGCACCTGTCGAGCCGCTGAAGATGCAATCTCAGGACATCCGCCTGCGGCTGGTGATCCGCCGCCACGGGCTGCCCGAGATCAAGCTCCTCTGGCCGTGCTCTTGCGCCGAAGACGTCACCATCGCCAAAGTCTTGGAGCAGGTCAACGACGTCGTTCCCCTCGAGAGCGGCGAATGGGGCCTGGAAGACTACGCCGTGGAGCTGGAGGATGGCAAAGGCGGTAGCTTCGAGTGCCTCCACTTCCAGCAAGTTGGCCGGATTCTAAAGGACGAAGATCAAGTCATGTGAGTGTCGCCCGAGCTGTGCTTGGCTTCTCAGTATGGATTCTAATTTCTTTCCGCTTAGCATTCGATCTCTTCTCACCGGCGACTTGAAACGACGGCGACTCAGCGGGCGATGGCAGATCTCCGACGATGGCAGACACTTGATAGATGGCCTCGCCTTTGGCAGATCCTGGTTAAGAACACCTCGCGACCGCCCAAACATCGATCTGCCGCCACGAAAACGTGTTCGCTTCAGCAACGACGACGAAGATGACGATCAAGAGCAAGAGCAACTTTTGTTAGATACACTACCTTCGTCTCGGTACGGAATACCCAGTACTGTGCGAACCATGTACGATGACGACAGCGATGAGGATGAGGACGACGACGAAGATGAAGACGATGACGACTTTGACGCGTACCAAGCGTATGTTGATGGCAGAAGAAGAGATTTGGAGCTCGCGGAAGATAGTGACATGGACGAAGATGATGAAGAGGATGACGACGACGAAGATCTTGAAGAAGAACTACGCTTCCTGAAGCAAGATGAAGCCCCCCTGCCCGGCGGCCGCCTGCCTCGTGAACTTAGGAATATCGGGCGGTGTCTTGATCCGCTTGGAAAGGTAAAAATAGATACTGAGAGTGAGGATACAGAAGGCGCAGAAGACGATTTACCAGACAGCTTTCCTAGCGAAGAGTCAATAGCTACTCATGGCTATACTGGCGTACCCATCGACATGCTTGTTGCCGTGTTTCGATTGACATTTTCAGAGCTGTCAGACGAAGATATCAAATTTGCCCTCACTCGGACGAATAAGGATATGAGAAAGACTTATTTGTCACTGGCAATACTTCAAGATCCTTCTCAAGACTTTGATCTGATGATGGACGACGCTTCTTTCATTCTTGCTCATGAATCTCTTCAACAAGCCAAGGAGACCACCAGTGTCATCAATGGACTCGACGCCAACAGATTGCGCATTGAGAGTCGCGAGAAAGGCAAGGGACGATCGAAGCCGCTCATTCAAGAAGTCGAAGACTCTGAAGAAATCGAAGATTCCGAATTTCTTAGAGAATCTCAGTTGAACGGAGGCGTTTCAATCTCTCTCCCGAGATCGAATCAGAACCAAGATTTGAGTAGCGACGAAACTTCTGAATCTGACTTTGAAGAATCAGAATCAAACTCAGAAGAGAATACATCTTCTGAAGAAGAGAGTGAATCAGACTCTGAGGACGACTCTAGCGATGCCTCTGGGGACAGCTCCTCCGGTGAGGAAGAAGATCGAGGCCGTGCTAGCACATTACCGACAGCAACCGCGGCTCATAAGAAAGCACAAGATGCCTCATCAAAAAAAGGCTCGCATAGCGATGGCATTACCGGCAATGCTACCTTGGGTGCGGGGAACAAGAAGGGCCGTAGCAGCGATGCTCGCGCTTCTGCAAGCTCCTCCAGCGAGAGCAGTGACGACACAAGCGATTCGGACTCGACAGAGGAGTCAGACTCTGAATCAGAATCAGAATCTGAGTCGGGGTCTGAGTCTGAATCCGAGTCTGAAGTAGAAGAACTATCGTCGAAAAAGCCAGTAACGCCAGCAGCTCCAGCGCGCAAAATCCAGGACATCACAGCTGCACTGGCCACTCAAGCTCCAGCAACTGATACACCGCCAACATGTGGACTGACACGAACTCAAAAGCGAAATGCTAGAAGGAAACGTAACAAGGTCTTTAAAGAAAGCGGCCTTGAGCAGTCTCGGTTAGCAAATGGTGAGGGAGATGGTGTCGCACAAGATGACTTTTTGGCACGAAAAGAAGCTCTCTTGGCTGCTATCCTCAATGAATCCCCGAAAGAGGACGCAACAAACAATGAGGCAGAGATGGAAGATGCTTCTGTACCGGGTCAGGAGGTAAATGTCGATAAGGCGACTGAAGCGGAAACACAAAATCCGAAAGATACGCCAAGAAAACGCTCAACTCGCGTTGACGTGGGCGCTGGCCGCCGGCTTCTATTTGGCGCTCTAGGCCTGAAAGCCCCAGCAACCAAAGCCGACGAGCAAAAAATCCGTGACAGCCTCATGAAAAACGTGCGACCCTTGGTCAATCCACGCACTCTGCAAAATGGTGACGACGGCAAGGCCAGTGAAACTCTTGTGGAGGATGAAGAAGACCCTGAGGCTTGGAGAGAGAAAATCATCTACAAGGCTGTGGAATGCTGCCACGAGGACATGGTACTCAGCGAACCACCATTCCCCTTTGTCCAACGCTGGGATCCCCAGCAAAAGTATCAGACTATGCGAAAGCGAAAGCGCGCGTCAGAGAACTACCAAGCCGATACTTCGTACGACGACTCTGCCTTCTATTATAGCGCTCATGAACCCCAACAAGACTACTACGATGGAGATGCCGGAGAAACAACCAAAAAGAAGAAGAGAAAATCTGCAAACCTACAGAATGGTACCTTGGATCAGGATGAGCAAGACGTGACTCTCAACGACGACGAGCCGCCATTAAAGAGCAGCCAGTTTACGGACCTGGATGATCTGCCATCTTTGCCCAAGGATCTCAAGGCGTTGCCGTTGCTAACGCCTGAGTCGGCTCAGCCTGGGATGGTCATTACTTGGAATCAGCTCCTCATGTCGAAAGCTACAAAATGGCAGCCAGAATTGTTACCGATTACGGGTCTTATCATTCCTGGAGGCGAAGATGGTAGCATTCACGTCGTGTTGGCTAGGCGAGACCGCGAGAATAACGAAAAGATGTACGATGAAATCACCGGAAAGCGAGTATACGACAAATTCGAAGCTCCAGATCTGGATGAAGCAAGCGGGGAAGACGACGAGGAAGAAGATGATGGCTTCAGGTCATTGCAGTGGACGGAGATGCTGGAGCCTCGCATTCTGCAGCAAGCTCCTGTAAACGGCAACACGGAGGCGGCGGCTCCAGAGGGCGAGATGCCATCAGGGCATGACCAGGTAAGCGAACTCCAACCAGAGGTGGATGCTTTAGAGAGCCAGCCCAGTACGGGTCAAGTGCGGGCAGCTGTTGAAAATGATTTGATGCACGACTCGTTTGGTACAATACAGTCCGGCCAGCCATTGCCAAGACTGGATGCCTCCATGTCCGAAGTGCAAATCAGCACTGCCAGCAATAGCTTCGAATTTGTCGGACATTTGAATAGCAATAATGCCGCAAAAACACCAGGCGCTCAACTAGACCACCCGTTGACTGCTGCAGCCAATCCCTCAAATGCACACTCTGCAAAGTCGAATTATTTGGTAGAGCGAGAAGACGAAGCAGCTGCTGACCAAGAGGCAGAACTAGCACATAGCCTAGCGAATGCCGTGGCAGAGGGCGTCTCGAATTCTCACGAGCCCATGCCGAAGATAACGGAGCCGTCTGAAGATGAAGGAGGAGAGCAAGAAGGAGAGCAAGAAGGAGAGCAAGCAAGAGAAGAAGAGGAAGAACAGCAGGGAGAAGAACAGACATCTGGACAAAGCGGTAGCGCAATCCACTCCGACACCGTCATCGCCGCATCGCAGTTTAGTATTCCTAGTGGGCGGCAACCGCGGACTGCGTTTTCCATGGAAGAGGGTCCGCCTCATGGCACATTGATCCCCGAGACATTGCTACATCTACCCGAGAGCACAGCACAACCAAACGACTCGAAATCGCCGGCGTCCAGTTCCAGCAGAAGCAGCCCGTTCCCGTCGCTTGAGGAGATATTCATGTCTGCTCAGCCCACTCAAAATTCGGACAGGAAGTTGAATACCCCTTCTTTCTCGGCGAGCCAGGCCGTCCCTGCTCAGGATACGGAATACGAAGAAGCTATGCGCAAGCTTGATGAGGGACACGAGTCGGATCACTCTCCCGAGCAGAAGCAAGAAGAAGAAGAGAAAATGGACAGTAAAGTATTTCCCAACGCAACGCAGCCATCGGTCCGCACGAGGGTTGCAGATGAGGAGCTACCAGCACTATCGACTTCTCTTTCTCAGCCGGAAAAGACGAATGACAAAGCGCCATTTGCTATACCGGCTGGAAGTCAGGTCATTGTTCTGAGCTCCAGCCCAACCTCGAGCGCTGGCGTGCCAAATGAGAATAGGGAGCCGGAAGTTGGGAGACCGAGTCCGACCAAGGCAAAAAGAAAGCTGCCCACTGGTCCTGGGTGGGTTAGGAAAGGCACCCGGGACGAGAAAGATGCGCTGAGTAGCCCCAGAAGGAGTCGCCGAGGACGATCAGAGACAGAGGTGCCGCTTGTTAGCGCTGTGAATAAATACAAAGGGCGAAAGGGGAGGTAGAAGAGGATTGGCAGGGGAAATGGCTGTCGAGTAGACGACGATGTCTGAGAGAAAGAAGAGTCTTATAGTATATCACTGTATAAATGAAGAGGGCATATAGGACTGGCCGCCGATGGCAGGAATCCGCAAGATGGCATGGTTGCAGTAAATTTGCGCGAGCGGCATTTGTTGAGCGAGCATATTAGACGTGTCATTTCGTCTTAATAATTTGAACTAAATGCATGACAATCTACGAGTATAAAGTGAATTTTTTCAACTGCTTCATTGGTCGTTGCCGCCGGTTTCATACTGTGACAAATACGATGTCGCGCTGCGTGCAAATACTGCTACCCTGTCGTGATGCACGCTTTTCTCCCTTGCAGCCTTTATTTAAAAAGAAGAAAAGAGAAAAGAGAAAAGAGAAAGAAGAAAGGAATTAGGCTTACTTTACAATGCCAAGTGTCGCATTCTCAATGGCGCAATTTGTTGAACTGGTATGTTCAACAGAAGTCGAAAGTTAAAAAAGCTGGCGATGGGGGGAACAAGGTGGGAATGAAATGCACAATTGAGTTGTGGTAATCCTGACACGCTTCAGCCTAAGAAATGGGCGGGACGCAAGGGCTGATGTTGCAGCGGCTACTTCGTACGAGCAAGCAATTAAGCGGCATGCGGTGGAGGATCGTCGGCCAACCATTTTTTAGGAGGGAGAGGGGCGGTTTTGGGCAGCTGAGGATGCTGGATCGATTGGATGGTGAGGGCGAGTTGGACGGTATAGCGTGCATCGCCGTTGTTTCAGTAAACATGGAGCATAAAGCACTGAACTATTTGGTGTTGAGGCCTGTGATGGGGGAGAAGGGGTTGGCTTAGTTTGATGTTTTTGCTTTTACTTTGGGACCTACCTAATTGATGATGGCGATGGGCCTATGTTTGGTGTTTAGCAGCTCACATGTGCATTTATACGGGAAAAGGAAGGTAACAAAAGGCAGGCAGCTAGGTATTCATTGAGCACGAATGGCTGACTGGCCGATTCATTGTTTGTCTTGTATCTTTTTCTTCTTGCTAACTTATTTTTATTCTAATTGTGCACGCATCTTTTACTGCAGCCGCATGCGACATTGCAATGTTCAGAGTTCCCCGGTTTTCTCGTCTCCTGCTTCACTTACACGTGCATTCACGTATTGCTCGCCATTCAATTACATCAGACGGCGCTTTGGCGAGCCAAGATTCAGGAGACACGGCTTGATGCTTCTTTTCTTTTTCCTTGTCTCTACAAGTACATACTCGTATCCTTGTCGATCCCGTCCAAGACAAGCGTCTCGGATCTCTCACCTCTGACGTCGACGAATCGACAGAGTTTGGCAGCGGTGGGGCCCGTGCAAGCAATAGCTGAGCGGTTGATGCTTTACGGCATCAGCTTAGCCGTCATGCGCCACCGGGAGCCGGAACGAGAGCTCATGTGGTCTCGGTTGTTTTGCCGTCTTCAGTGACTTGTTCATCTTCTTCTTCTTTTCTTCTTCACGACAGCATCTGCATATTCCACTACACCTGCGGCATCTTCAGCGTCTTCTTCTACCTGTGCTGATTATACTGCTTATACTGCTACTCATACCCTCAGCTCTCATCTCGCAGCTCGGGCACGCGACCCCACCGTCTGCCGCAACCGCCGCATTCAATCGACGTGTGAAGCTCCAGCCAAGCTCAACGACTCGACTCGACAGCAGTAGATACTCTCCAGACCCAGCCCAGCTTTAGTTGCTCGTCTCTCTCGACAAAGGCTCCTCATACAATTCTCGCCATGTCCGACCTCGGCTTCCGGAGCAGCGACTACACCTGCACCACCATCGGCGGCGAGACGTTTTGCAGAGTGCACGTGCCGGTGCTCAAGGCCGATGCGCCGATGAGGGCGACGGACATGCGCGTCGTGCTGGCGGTGGTGAGTGGCCTGGCCGGGATTCTGGCCTGGGGGCTTGTTTGAGCAACGAAACAAGATGGACTGGGCGAGACCTTGGTGGCGAGACTGTCACGGCATATACCGTCTCATGCTCACGGCTGGCTGCATCTGCTACGGGCTACGGGCTACGTACCGACGGGAAGCAGTCAGTGGCTACGGAGATTGCATACTTTTCATGTCATGATTTCACAGCCGTCACTGGCTGAATGGGTTGATGTTTTTTTATCCAGGGTCAGGGCTGCGTTGGAATTCTTGGTTCCTTGGTTCTGGAGCCTTTAGGCTGGACATTGTCTCACAGCGGGACGGCCGATTTACACATCACTTTACTTGTATGGGCTTGGCGTTGGGGAACTTTATACCAAAGGAACTGGCATTGACTCATGGGGGTTTGTCATTTGGGAGTTGCTTCAGTTAGACAAACATCTCCATCTATTATCGCTACACGCAAAATATACGACGTTATGACACTGCACGCTGACATGCTCAACTCAACGCCGTCATTCATCGCATTCTCTCCCGCATGCAGTGAAACCACAAGCAGCTCCACAGCGGGGGTTCGTCGTTTACAGGCAGTTGGCAGCGGGGCGGCGGGGTCTTTGTGCGCCTGGAGCCAGCGATTCAAGCTTCTGATGCCAGCTCGGGGCCAATCAGAGCTCCAGCCACCGTCACGACGAACACGAACTCTTCCATTCGCTCTCCTGCCCACTTGGCACCGCCAGACTCACGTTTCTATCCCATACATGTCTCTTCTCGTCCTTCCTTTTACTTCTTCCCACAATTGAGATACCCCCAACCCCCTCCTCCAATTCACCATGGCGCAGGCTCCTCTGTTCCGTCTCCAGTGCGGCGTCAACTCGTACGAATGGGGCAAAAAGGGCAGCGAATCGGCCGCTGCCCGGTACGCCGCCGCCACGCCCTCGGACGACCTGACGATCCAAGCTGACAAGCCCTACGCCGAGGTACGATCTGGACATCGGTCTGCATGAATTCTGCTGCAGTGGCTTACCCTTTAATCGCTACAGCTGTGGATGGGCACTCACCCCTCCAACCCCTCCAGAGACCTCCAGACCGGCCGCACGCTCCTCGACCTCTGCTCCCAACACCAGGGCCTCCTCTCCGAGCCCGTCTCTGCCAAGTACGGCGCCAAGCTGCCCTTTCTCTTCAAGGTGCTGTCCGTCAACAAGGCCCTTTCCATCCAGGCCCATCCCAACAAGAAGCTCGCCGAGCAGCTGCACGCCCGAGACCCCAAAAACTACCCCGATGACAACCACAAGCCCGAGATGGCCATTGCCATCACTCCCTTCGAGGGCCTGTGTGGATTCAGGCCGCTGGGCGAAGTTGCACACTTTCTGGAGACGGTGAAGCCCCTAAGGACTCTGGTTGGCGAGGACGAGGCAGCGCAGTTTATTCAGGCTGCCAAGGACGAGGGCGGCGATGAGGCGCCCAAGAAGAAGGCTCTGCAAAAGGCCTTTGGCGGCCTCATGTCCTCTTCTGCCGACGAGGTTGAAAAGGAGATTAACAACCTTGTGGCGCTCGCCAAGTCTGAGGGAGCCGATTTCGCTGCCGGTGGCGTGCCCTCCACCAAGGGCGACGTCCTTGTCGAACTCGTCACCCGACTTCACGGCCAATACGGCTCCGATATTGGCATCTTTGTGCTCTTTTTCCTCAACTTTGTCACTCTGCAGCCCGGCGAGGCCCTGTTCCTCGTCGCCGACGACATCCATGCCTACGTCTCCGGCGACATCATCGAGTGCATGGCGGCCTCTGACAACGTTGTCCGTGCCGGCCTGACGCCAAAGTTCAAGGATGTGTCCACTCTGGTCGACATGCTCACGTACAACTATGCGCCCATCGACGAGCAGAAGATGAATCCCACCGAATACCCCTACGCAACACTTAACCGGACTGCTTACAGCTCTGGGTCAGAGGTCATGCTGTACGATCCCCCGATTGAGGAGTTTAGCGTCGTGCGTACTCTGCTCCACGGAGAGGGAGCAAAGGCTACATTTGACCCCCTCGAAGGCCCCAGCATCGTCATCTGCACCAACGGCAAAGGCACAATTGCTGTCGGGGATGCAAAGCACGAGATTGAGGAAGGACACGTCTATTTTGTCGGATCTACTGCAGAGCTGATCCTGGAGTCTGCAGTTGGCAAAGAGGAGGATTTTACGACATTCAAGGCTTTCTGCGAGATTGGATCAGAAAAGGAGAAGCTATGAAGATGTAGCACCAAGCATTTGCGACGCGTTTGAACCATGTACAGATGAAAAGAATTGCATGAATGCGATTTGGAATTTTTGTCGAGCGACGGGCTGCATAGTAGCAATGACATATAGAGATATGACGTCCATTCTTTTCTTCTTCCTCCGTGTTTCTAGCGCCGATGCCAGCCGTGCTCCCACTTGTACAGCCTCGAGTCTTGTAGAGTCACTCCCAACGCCACTTACACATGAAAAGTGATAAAGATCTGCGTCTATCATGAAATTGAACAATCGAAATCACGGCATCAGCATTTACAATCCACACATCATCGGCAATGGCCTGACTCACCACCGTGAAGTCTCCTGTTCTCGCGATTTCACGTGATTGCTGCCGGATGAGTCATCCAAACTGCCCCTCCAAAAAATCATTCAAGAAACACCCATTACCCCACGTTCGAGATACCAGCCAGACGTTATCGAATTTTGTGTCATCCGCAGTTCACAATGGCTGAAGAAACGAACCCCCCAACTCCAGCTCCTACAGCCGACAAGCCCGTCGACGCGACCGACGCGGCCGACGCCGGCCCCTCCAAGAAGGCTGCCAAGAAGGCCGAGGCCAAGGCGAAGAAGGAAGCCCTCAAGGCCCAGCGCGCCGCTGAGCGAGTTGCCGTGGCCTCAACCAGCAACGAGCCCGAAGAGGACCCCTCCAAGGACTACTACGGCGCTGCGACCCCGGCGCTGCTCACCAGCTTCTCAGCCGACGCCGAGGACGTCAGCCTCAAGGCCATCAACGAGTCGCACGTGGGCAAAAAGGTCGTCATCCGAGCATGGCTCCAGAACACGCGCATGCAGGGCGCCAAGATGGCCTTTGTCGAGCTGCGTGAGGAGGGCAATTGGGCCATCCAGGGCATCGTGGCCGCCACGGGCGAGCCCAAGGAGGGCGACGCGGCTCCCGTCATCAGCAAGCGCATGGTCAAGTGGGTGGGCGCTGTGAACCCGGAGAGCTTTGTCACGGTCGAGGCGACGGTTGAGAAGCCCTTTGCGCCCGTCAAGAGCTGCCGCGTGGCCGACTTCGAGCTGCACATTTCCAAGCTGTTCATCGTTGCGGCTGCGCCTGCGACGCTGGGCATGACCTTGGCGGCGGCGAACCGCGCCGTCACCAACTTTAGCGATGAAGAGGTCAAGCCGGAAGAGGCTGCTCAGGAGAAGGAGGCCGAGGGAGGTCCTCCGGCAGCGTCCATGCTGACTCACTTGGACAACATTGTCATGCACAAGCGCTCTCCCGTCCAGCAGGCCATTGCTGTATGTCATTCATGTCAACTGTTTCAACTCTAGCCGCTCTTGCTAACATGAGAATGCAGGACATTCGTGTCGAGGCCAAGCACCTGTTCCGCTCCTATCTGCGCGACCAGGGATTCAAGGAGTTTGAGCCGCCGTGCCTCATCGGAGCCGCTTCAGAGGGCGGTGCCAACGTCTTCGCCATGCCATACTTTAACCAAAAGGCCTACCTGGCGCAGTCGCCGCAGTTTTACAAGCAGTTTGAGATTGCTGGTGGTAGAAAGCGCGTCTTTAGCATTGGACCTGTGTTTAGAGCTGAGAACTCCAATACCCCGAGACACATGACTGAGGTATGGTTGCTGCTTTCCACATCGCGTTTCGCCTTGGAAGCTGACTTGTCCTTCTTTTGCTAGTTCACCGGTCTCGATATGGAGATGGAAATCCGAAAAGACTACAAGGAGGTCCTTCACATGCTGGAAGGCGTGCTTCTGCACATCTTCCGCGGCATCAAGGGTAAGTTTCTGTCTACGTTTCTCATTGAGCTCCACTAATGAAAACACACAGAGCACTGCGCTGCCGAGGTCGAACTCATCCGCTCCGTTTACCCCTCCCCTGAGCTTCTCCTCCCCGAACCTGGAAAGGAGGTGCGCTTGACTTTCGCAGAGGCCCAGAAGCTGCTCCGAGAGGAGGGCCCCGAAGAGTTCCGCAACGTTCGCGACGACGAGGACATGTCAACACCGCAAGAAAAGGCACTGGGCGCACTGGTTCGTGAAAAGTACAAGGTCGACTTCTTCGCAGTCGACAAGTTCCCCGAGGCCGCGAGACCCTTCTATGCCAGGGTTGATCCGGAGAGCAAGCCCGAAGAACAGGTGACAAACGCATTCGACATGTTTCTGCGTGGACAAGAGATCCTGTCTGGTGGTGAGCGTATTGCCGACCCAGTGGAGCTCGAGGCCCGCATCCGCTCCAAGGGTGTCGACCCTACCAGCTCTGGTATCAAGGAGTACATCAATGTCTTCCGCGAGGCCGGTGTACCGCCCCATGGTGGAGGTGGCATTGGTCTTGACCGTGTCGTTGCATGGTATCTTGCCCTGCCTAGCGTGCACTTGGCCGCGTATTACCCCCGAACGCCCAAGAGACTGTTGCCATAGATGTGTTTTTAGAATAAAGAAAAAAGTTATGAATACAATTGTGTGGAGGAGCTCATCTGATCAACGTAGATTACAGGAGGTATATAAATCCCGTGTTAGAGCAGAGCTTAACAGTGTACTATACCCGTGATTCCTTAGTTTGTCACCATTCAATTACATCTACCACCGTCCGTCTCATCAGTTCACCCTTATTTCTCGCTTAGCTATATGTCAGAGTCGCTTTCCGCTCGAAAACTGGCGATGCATTTGATATATGAGCCCAGCTTGGTCCACACAGCTTCGCACGTTTTGTAAGCCGAGAACTGCTGGGAGTTTCTCACTCGGAGGATTCCCTGTATCGGTAAAAGAGTAAGAAGACATGTGCCATTGGGTTACGAGCGATGCGCCGACATTCGATAAAGTCGAGAATATAGCTGACATCTCGGGTTTCGGTGTGCATTGTTTTTTTGAGTCGTGTATTTCCCATTTTTGTCCACCAACCATCTACTACTTCGGTCAAAGTACGCAATCTGCGTCATCTGGAGAACTCACCTGGGTAACCTGATGATCAAGGCGCAGGAACATCTTCTCTTCTAATGCCTTAATAGACATATATGGAAATTTGGGCGCTACAAGGACATCATTCTGATAGCAACGAGTTTTCTCGTCGTACTTGACATCGGACAGGGTTTTCATGCCGCTTTGGACGTGTGTGATGGCGGAGCAGTAGCTGCTTCGCATTGCCTACTGACAATGAGCAGGAGCAAGTTTGTTTACGAGATTGACTTGCTTACTTTGAGAGATGCAAACAGGATACAACATATCAGGCACACGTCGAATACTGGTCGGCTTTGTTGTGAGAGTGAAGTGACGAGCGTATTGATTGCCTGGCCGTAATTTTCTGAAGCAAACTTGTCCGCCCAATCACTTTCTATGACCATGCCCAGGATTACGCCTCGTATAAAGTCACAATAGGCTCAAAGACCAATGGTATCCAGCATGTGCCGTTTGATGTCCCGCTCACGGAAGAGATGGCACAAGTCATTAAAAGACAGACATAATGTGTGACACCGACACTGAACATTGGCAAAATTGTCACGGAGAACTCGATCATTGAATCAATCGTTTCTCAAGGAGTGAGCTTGACATACGAAGCAGGAGTGATGAGTGTGCAACGGCTGATACGTGCGGATGTCTCGATCCTTGCTGGAACCGACGCAGATGACGCAGCTGGAAACTTTCTTGAACGCGATCTGATTGGAATCACTCTACATCGAGAGCTTCAATATCTGGTAGAGGCCGGTATGAGTGAGGCGGACGTACTGAGGGCCGCGACGGTGGTTCCTAGTATTTTGCATAATATGACAGGAAGGATCTATTAAAGAGGGATATCGTGCCGATTTGATCTTGCTTCAACCAGGCAGTGACCCGCTAAAGAACATTTCAAAGACGATGGATATGGCAAGGGTTTGGACTGGGGGTTCTGAACATGTGCCAGCACTATAAAATAGTGAGGATACCTGTAGGTAGTGTTGGAAGATAGCATTCCTTGGTAAAAATCGCGCGTTGGCACCATGTGACAACTGAACCAACTGATGCTCGACATGATTGTGGTTTTCTTCGAATATACAGCATATTTCCCACTGTCTATTCAATAAGCATATAGAAGTAAGAAATCTGGATTCGCTGGGCTAGCTAATGTCGTCAGCAAACCCAGTGGACCCAGCAAGTTCTCCAGCAACAGGCCATGACAGATCTCCGGTAGCCGCCGTCCCGCCGAGCCTTGAGCTTGTATGGCTTACCAGGGCGGTAATCATCTCTGCGCTCTTGAAATAGAAGCCGAAAACGACGGAGAGCGTATTTGAAAAGAAGAGCGTGACGAGAAAAGAAGATGACAGTGGGCTTTGCTTATAACGATTTCTCTTTTGGCCTGGTGATGATTCCATAACTCATCACATGGCTTAATGTAGCCTGCAGACAACAATAAGCACGCATCAGAATTCTTTGTTTTTTCTTTGCAGATTCGGCACTCGGGCCATTGCAGGCCTGTCTCCAGTCTTCGCCGTTGACGGCTTCTGCCGCGTATTTACGCCCGTCTTCGCCTACCACGTTTTCTACATGATTCGCCACAACACCATGGTGCGATGTAGCGATTTGGCAGGACCCTGCAGGAAAAAAAAAAGGAAAAAACAAGGGTCAAATTACATCATAATCCTCCTCTTACTGATGGCACTAGCCTGTTTCTGTGACTTGTGGACCGCGGCAGATGCTCCATGCAGCGGCAGTGGGAGATTCAGAGATTGCTGGATATGGGATGAGGCATAATACGCAGGCCACAGGCAGCCAATCGCGCTGCCCGGAGACTGCAGCATGCAACGGCTTCGTTCGACGATGCCGGCTCTTCGGAGATGCAGGGCGGCGTCCTCCGTACCGGCACCGGGTTGATGGCAGATCACACAGCTAGCAGTAAACCTGCCTTGTAACGTGTACAACGTAGCTGAGCAGCCTGGCTCGCAAATTTTTCTTTTCTTCACCGCAAATGCTTCAGACCCTGACGCTAAACGGCTTGGCTGCCGTTAGTTCAAGGGCTCTTGTCCAACGGTGAAGCAATCATTGATGTTAATGGCTGTCTCGATTCCATTCCTGGGTACTGGAGCCGCGTGCCAGCCACGCGCTATTAATGTCACTGTGCCAGTCGAAGTGGCTGGTTCACGTCTTTAAAGCAACTCAGCTCGGTCCACTTTCGGCATCAAGCTCTCTTGGAGTTTTTTGCACGCCTGACCGAGTCATCCGGCTATGATGCAAGTGGAAGCAGTCTGGCCGGCTAGAAAAATGGGAGCGTATTCGACCAAGAGGAAAGGATTGCAATGTACTGCCTACTATATAAGTTAGATAATCTTTATTAATGGTCACCAACGCCCTCATCTGATCTTGAGTCAAAGTTCTCTTTGCTTCACCGTATTCGTGCTCGCTAATTGAGCTAGTACCTATAATACGCACCGGGCTCTTCCGCTCCCTGGCTCGGTTAGCAGCAGCTCATATCTCGACGCCCCTGTGCTAGGCCAAGAGCCAACTGTGGGTTCTCGAGATTAATAAAGGCGATGATTCCGGATCAAAACTGAGCTTGTTTATGTGCTTCTGAACATATATGCTTAATCTCTTCGCCAATCTTACACAAACACGATGATGCTTCTTTGACACGCCTGGTTGAATCGAGAAGAAATCACGCCGTATAGCAACACGCCACCCTCAAGACCCTTTAAGCATCTTACAGGCGGGACGATCACAATGGCGGCACCTGAAGATCTGGAAGCAGAGGGTGCAGCGCCGGCACAGGAGCCGAGCCTGGAAACGGCAACCACCAACACTACAAGTACTTTAAACGAGAATGAGCAGAACCAGCCTGTTCCAGGAGAAACAGGACAAGAGCCCAGCAAATTTCTCGAGCCCACCACGCGGTTTTCGGGTCGACAGATTTTCTACATCTTTGGCTTGGATGGCATTGGCGCATTGGCTCTGTCAGGGGGTGTCAATTTCGCCATCGCGTACGGTAAGCGTTGTGCTCTCGCTAACGAGATATTTCCTAACCCGCTCAAACATGAATTGCTTGCTAATGGACATCTCACAGCCATGTACACCACGCAAAACACAGTCAAGCGGCCTGTCCGCCTGTGGCAGCTCCCCAATACGCTGGCCGGTGATGCTGCTGTCACGATATTCGTGCAGTGCGTCATCACCTGGTTCGTCGAGCTGATTCTCCTTCGCTATGATCTCCGCCATCGCTCAGTGCAGCCCATCGGCTTCATCTCCCAGCCGACTAACCGGTGGCTGCGGATGTTCTTCTTCCTCCCTCGCGATCCGTCTGCCGGAGTTGGGAACCCGAATCGCAAGTGGACGTTTCTTGAATTTATCCAGCAGGCCTTACGGGGCCTCAGCTTCGGTGTCGTGAGCTTCCTGATACTGTGGCCCATTTTCATGGGTGCACTGACAGGATTCGGGAGAAAAGAGGGTGCCGACTATGTTTATCACGACAAATGGCTGCCTCAAGTCTTCAAATTAATATTGGGTGGCGTTTTGGGCCTGCTAACGACGCCGCTAATGGCCATGTTTTGGTTGATTAAAGCGGGCTGGGAATACAAAAAGGACGAAACTCCAGTGGCTGCAGAAGTATGAGGCTGCATCTGCGCAATGAAGAAATGAAATGCATAGACACCCAGATATATTTACGAATCTTTAATACTAATATATAATTCATGACGATTAAATGAATGCCACCTATATCTCGCGTCTGCAGGCTCATGCCGAATAATTGTTAAAGAACCGAGATATTTTATCTAACGGTTCATAGCGACTGAAATACTAGGTTCATTGCCGCAAGGCACTCTTCAACTTCATCAGTAAAAGATCCAGAGATTTAGTGCCCAACAGAAGCTGGTTAGAAAGAGCCTCCATTGAGCCACTTCAAGCTTGGTATCTGCGCATTCAATAACGGCGTGTTAAGTGCAATCGCGTAACTGTCATCGCCAACATCTTGTTTCGTTCTGTTCATTGGCTTAACTGCCCCAATTACAATGAAAATCTTCTGGGGAAAGACCCAACCAGACTACGAATGCAGGGTTTGAATATCAAATTCCGGCATTTACATACATACGCGTATGAACTGCCGATACGCTATTAACGCGGGAGAAGTAAATCTTGGTCTGCAAGTGCTTATATTCTTCCATTTTGCCAGACATGCGCCTAGGGAGCCAAGCTTCTGGGGCTATAACTACGTCTTGTCTGACTATATATACCTGTATTCATGAATCAAGAAATAAAGCGACTGTTAATGTTGCTAGTGGGCTGGTAGGCTCCTATAGGCGCGCCAGTGCAGAGTATTGTCTTCAATATTATATCTTCTGGGTTGAAAATAGCTAGTAGATGCCATGTCAAATTTCTCACCTAGGGTTAACGCTCTGCTAGCGTACTACAGCGGGCAACAAAAGTGCAACGACTTATACTATAGATGGAATCAAAATGAGTTCTGCAGTTTGGTGTGCTAGAATGGCGATTCCGGATATATTATTTTAGGCGACTCATGGTCATAAATATGTTACGTGGTTACTTTTACTGATGCGTGATAAACCACCTTTGAATGCGAAATCAGAGAATCTAGCGTTCCAAAACCCAGCGGAGGATCAAGGCAGCTACACTTTGACCAGCGCATCCAGCTTTAATATATCGTTTCAATTATCCTACACCAGACGTTGATCATGACTCTAAGCAATATGAAACGTTTGCCACGGCCCGTGAACACGCTTTTTGTATCGGAAAAGCTGGTCTATCGCAGTGTGCAGATGTCCGACCTGGACATATTCTACCAAATTATCAGCGAACCCGGGTGCATGGAAATGGGCCACCCGCTTATTTCCCGCCCACCAACCCAAAAGTCAATGGATCATTTTGTCGAATCCTACCAAAAGAAAGCCCTGATATTTGTCTTCATCTGGCTACAAGAAAAGTCGGAGAATGGGCACATCATAGCAGGCAAGCCGATTGGGTCTCTCAACATGTCCCCGCCATCGCTCCAAGCCAGGGAAGATCACCGTTCTACGAGCTTTTCCATTTGGCTTTTAGAAGAATATCGTGGTAAAGGCTATGGGGAAGAAGCTACTAATTGGGCTGTGGACTGGGCATTTATTTATGCTGGCGTGCACCGTATTGAACTCTGGTCCTTCAGCTTCAACGAGGCAGCAATACGGCTGTGGGAAAAGATTGGATTCAAATTGGAAGGCAGAAAGCGAGAAAATGTGTGGTTCTAACGTAGGTGGTTTGATACTGTGCTGTATTCTATTCTTGAGCAGCAATGGGAGAGAAGATAGAGGTTCGATGAAAATTATATATAAGAGTGTCTAGTGATCTTATTCTCGTATCAGCTACAGCTTTAGATCGCTTTCCTCTATATGTTTCTGGTTATTCAACAGCGTGATGGCATTCTGGTGCTGGACCCAAGATGTTTATGTCTTAAATATTGTTCATTTGCATTCTCTGTGAGCTGCTAATGACTGAGAAGAATTGATACATGACTTATGTACTTAGAATGGTAGACTAATGTAAAGCTCTCAGGCTGGCCCAAGAGCCCTCGAATAATTCAACTATTTACAGAGACAAGACCTGCTTATCTGCCTCTAATCGGTCACTCAATGATTGCCTGTCAACATCTTGTATGTTTACACACTGTTCAATCGCCAGCACAGCAGCAGTCGCCGCGCTCTGTCCCATTATCATATACGTTGGCTCCAGTCGGATGGCCGCAAACGCCACATGAGTGCCGCTCATTGTGACGGGATTCAGAAAGTTGGTGATGGAGTCTGAGGAAGGAATAATGCTGCCAAATGCAATGGGGAACGGATTCGGCACAGGGGTATGGACGAGCCCTTCATTCTGAATTTCAGACCCAATGACTATCCTTTCCGCCTCGTGCACGTCCATGGTATAAGATCCGAGACCAATGATGCTGTCTGTGCCGAAGCCCTTGGGGGTCTGTACGTCGCTTTGCGTCATGGTATAGTTTCCCTGCATGCGTCTTGCTTCTCGTATGTAAATCTCATACGGCCAATTTCCGTTGCTCGTCCATTCGTCCTTGGCATAGCCCCATGCGCCTGTCGCATTCCGAATCGTTGCAGGCACTCTTGGGTGGTTGGCAAGCGTCCAGAAAAAGCCTTGCGTGTATGTTTTATAATTGTTGGCGATTGTTTGCCGCTGTGCCAAACTCTCTTCAATGTAGTTTGTCTTCTTAACAGTGTCATAGTTTCCACCCAGAAAATCGGTGCTGACTTTTCCATTTGAGTTGCTGTCTGTCTTTTCATTTGGCATAAACTGCGATGTGAAAAATGGCACCGTTGCATCGCCCGCTTCAATGTAACGGAATAAGATCTCATAGGCATCTTCGTCGTATCCTTCTGGCTGAGAAAAAGGCACCAGGTTGTCAGACTGCTGCGTTAAGCTGATCCGATAATTGAAGGCTTGAAGTCGTAAATTATCGGCAGTACCATTTAGTTGCTGAGCCTCTGTGGCTGTAAGGACACGATCGATTCCTTGGATGAGGCCGCTGGCGGAATCTCCCTCGGTGATATACGGAGACATTCCTTGGTAGCTGCTGTCTGGCGCAATCTGGACTCCGGCCAAGGACTCTCCAAAGTCTGCCTCGCTTTCGCGGCCTATTGTGTATGGAACCCCGGCCGCAGCCATAAAATCACCTTCATAGCTGGCATCTATGAACATCAAGCCATCATACACATGACCTGACAGCGTTTTGATAGACTCAATCCGGTTGTTTTTCAGTATCACACTGTCAGCCGACGCATCAAGTGTCTCATTTCGAAAGATTGTAATGTTCAACTCCTCAACCCAGTCTTCCAATATCTGCTCGGCGACATGGGCCTCAAAAGTCCATTGTACTTGGTTGCTTTCGTCTATGGCAGGCCCTGGCTGAGCAGCTATATTCTGGCCGATGTATTGTGCTCTGGTCCCATGGGTCCATGCAGAACTAGACTCGTAGTAATTGTATACCCGAACAAAAAACTCTCTCGCGATACCACCGATGGCATTCCCGTTCTTGGAATCTGTCCACCCAAGACCAGAAACCAGCATTCCGCCAATATGGTTGGTCGGAGATACAATTGCGACGGTCTTATTCATACGCGTTGTCTGGATGGCGGCCACAAGCGCAGCTGAGGTTGACCCGTATATTACAACATCGTATGTTGCCGACACAGACCCAGAACAGCTTGTATCTTGTTTGCTTCGGCTATTCAGAGGAGCAGAAGCGCTAAGATGATATAACATGGTAAGGATTAATATTAAAAAAGGGTTAAGATGGAGATAAGAGAAGCATGGTGGCATTTCATACAGTCGCTTTCGTGCCATATTAAGATATTGGCTGTCGCTATACGCAATAGGCTCGAAAGAATAGGAAACTGCAGGTTGACTGCTCTTCAAATTCTACCGAGGGTACACTTGTCACATATATATAAAATTTATAAACATGGAGTTGCCCCTCCGCATGAAACTTGTTTCCTTGCTTTTTCCTTTTCCCCTTGGTCTTTTTTTTTTTAACTTCGAATCCAACATTAGTCTTCAACATTAAATTAAGGATAAAACGGCACAAAATGTTGCTTCTTACAGTATTGTATACTTGGCAGCCTTCTCTCTTTCGTCAAATGACCTGCTAGACCCCGCAGAGCGTGCGAAATATCTCTGTGAGCAAGAATGTCGATGCATCTCCGTCGCAGACTCGGGTATATTTATCCCATACCGATGCCCATGACGATGTATATGTATAGGCTGTAATGCCGTAATGTGACCAGATGAATACTACCACACAGGCAAGCAACCCCTCTCGGCATGCAACGCTAGCGTTGGATCAACCATCAGCAGGTACGGGCTCGTGGATAGCGTTACAGCCAAGATCGGTTGATGATGAGGTCCATTAGCTCTGGGGAACGTATGATGCTATTGATGTTTCTGTCCTGAAGTATACCTCGCATGCTGCTATTTGAACATTCTTTCTTGGCGCCAGTAACAACAGCGTAATAGCTCAGAGTCGGCTGGCTACTCGCTGCTGGTTCTATATGCAACTTCAGTTGTCGAGCGCTGCTTGGATCTGCCATGGTCAACCTAATGAGAACATTGTAAGATACTGTCATCTAAGAGTTCAATATTGGCCTCGACGAGTGCTTTTGAAAAGTGAATAACATGGTGGCGTGAATTAAAAGCTGCTTCAAGTTGCCATTCAAGTAGTCTACCTGCAATGTCGTATTAGATCTGCGGGGTAGAGGCTCTCCAAGATATTCCCCGCCTCGTAACATTGTCTTCTGTTCAAGCGCTGAATGACGCATCAAGCAGGGGTATCCGCATCAACGTTCATGGGCGCAGTGTATTTTCAAAGCTTTAAAGGCTCGTCAAGTTTGTTTATGTGGTGCATCGTAATCCGCCGGATTTCTCTTGAATACCAAAATTGTAAAGATCTCTTATTGAAGACTTACTTTGTCCGACGCCCGCTAGGAGCAGCTAATGTGTGTTTAGAGCTGGACATGGCTTGGATATCTGCAAGGGGTCCGTAGAAAGAGTTTAGTTGCGCTCCAGCGGGCGCCACAGATTCAAGTGCATACAGGCACAAAGACGAGGTCGCATGACGAGATTTTGTGTTAATACTAAATACTAGAAGTAATTATCAAATGCTGTTGCGAGCTATTACTCGAATTCTGTTTGGTACAAAACACCATCCGGTTTCTGTTCTCTTCACCTGCTCTGCAGCCCTCTTCAGCGGGAAGCCTAAAAATGACCTAAAAGAGCACAGCGGTAGTTGTATCAGCTGTAACAACTCAGAATGCGAACAACTATATTCCCCAACATCACATCACGATGACTCTTGGTTATAGTATCTATAGTGAATCTACGGAAACGAAGTCTCTGGTTAGTTTGCCGAGGACTACAGAGTGATTGTGTGCAATATCACCATGACTGTACACTCCAAGAAATCTCAGATGTCGCGTGACTAACACATGAATTCGGGCAACCTTCTCAAGCTACATAGGGTCATATGGATTCTCATTGCGTTGGCTCAGTTTTACTATTAACGTTTGAATGGAGCGATCTAGACCAAGTTCTTGATGAACAGCGTTATGGAAGCGTTCTCATTGCATCGTAATAGATGATGGCTACAAGTCGTGGGTTAAACTCGGGTTCGGTTACATGATATGGATTGTTTTTGCTGATGACTTAGAGCTAATGACTTGGACGTGGAGACCGTCCAGACGCATAACAGCCGCGACGTGTCTTGCCCGCTAAGTTTCGCTTTCCCAACTTTGAATGAAGCTTGGCAATCAGGGCTGGGTCTCTGCATTAAGAGTGACAGAAGACCCAGCGTGGCAAAAACTATTTTTATTACCCCTCTGCTGAAAAAGGTCGGAGGTCTTTATTTGTTTATATAGGTATCCTTTCTTGCAGCGACTTCCTGTGACTAGTTGTGGCCCGGATTTCTTGTGATCTGACATTAATGTTTTTTTCTATATCGCTCAATGCACGTTCATAAATTTTGCTTACTTTTATACCTCGATAGGCCTTCACGAGAAATGGTAACATGGTTTTTTTTTATGTTGCATATAATCTAGTGCACAGCGCCTCCTCCGGTTTTTTGTTCAATAGTTCAACGAGATTGGTCTCAAGCCTCCGAGAATTTGGGCTTTTGAATTATTAGAACAGTCATATCTCTTAAAAGAAATGCTTTGATATCGCGACCACTTTCCCCTCCTTTCCTTTTCCATCTTGTTCTTGGAATCAAAGGTAATTTTGTTTTCATTGCAGTTAACGGCAGAAACTTCCGACCCTGTTTCAGTTGCCAAAAGAAGTGTCTACGTTAGACATTAGTGAATGAATTACTTTAAAAAAGAGATAGAAAGAAAAAAGCAGAAGGGGCCAATTATGTGCCCTTGGAAGTTTGTTAATAAGCCCCAAAGTTAACGCGTGTTGATTGTCACAGTTTCTACTCAACATCGACGATACAAAGGGCTAGTTGTTCAACATGAAGAACAACCTTATTTTTAGCGAGACAATGATAACAGGTGTCTTTATAAAAGATGTGCATCTTCTTAATCGCCAACATAATCAAGAAAGTTTGTGGACACTACTCCACAGTACTCTTTTGGTCTTGGATTTATACGCGTAATTGACGGTGAGTTCAAAACCCAAGGTGCTGTCAACTCATTCCTAAGTCTGTCATAGTGTCTCTGAATACCTATTCACATCATAAACTAGGGATCTTTTGTTAACCATCTATTCACCTAAAGGTAACAAATAGGAAGCTGACAAAAGTTCGAACGCCTAGTCCCCCTGTAGGCTGACAGGGCAGAAATGGCGCCATATCCCCCAAATGCCAAGTGTGCTTTCCAGACAGCTAACAAGCGGTCTAGATGTTTCACGAAAAGTTCTGTACGAAGAGCCTCAAAGATCTGCAAGATTTAGAGAAAAGAGGGCTGACAGTTACTAGGTATCGCTATTGTCCGTTCACGTATAAGAGCCCCGAGTCATTCTTTTGCTCTGATTGGTCTGCTACAAGGAACTACAGTTCCATAATTTAGGACCACTTGCTATTTCTGGTGCGTCTGGGACTATTTGACGGGAAATCTACTCCGTATTAACTCCTTCTTTCCACCAGTTATCTTGATTCAACTTGTATCGGACCGAAAGCCTAAACAAACTCATCGTGATAAGTCACAATTGTCTTGGTGCTTTCGCAACTACCTCTACAGTACAATACATACACAGATCTAGGAAAAAAAATAGCACGCTCACCAGAATATAGTAAGAACAAAATCTTGATTGCGAAATCTTTAATTCGTAATTGTTCATGTTGACAAGCAGAGTTACACCCTGAAGCGAAATTAGGCGGGGTTGCAAAGGCAGTTTAGCAATTAGCGATGGGACACGAGATGGAGCTGACGCAACATTGATCATCGCAAACCTCGTGGAATACAATTGAAAAATAGCTGCCAACTGTGTAGCACAGTTGGTTCTCCTAGCTATACTCGCGGCTTCATTATTTAGACTTTATTAACGTAGCTGCGCTCAAGTACACCCATGTCCTGAGACTATCTTTTAGTGTACTACGCATTCAGTCGGAACTTCCCGTGATCTTTCTGTCATAAGTTTCGCGCAGTGGCCGCATAGCTCTAGAAAACGTGTAAACATAATGCTAGATATGTCACAAGATCAAACGATTGAATGTAGTTTTAGTGGCCTATTTTCTCGTATTTCGCGCATGAAACGGAGATACCTGTGGAGGCACCCTATTTAAGAAGTGTCTTAGACATGCTTACCTAGTTAGCAACCTTTGCACTTTTGTAAGATCGCAGACAACTCTGGGTTAACTCTGGGTTAACTCTGAATTAAGGGGTATCAGTGAGCCTTACCAGACGCACTAGGCTTCTAAAGAGATTTAGCGCTCTCGAAGCTCTACAGAGCAGCATACGGAGACTTCTTAGTTGCAGGGATTTAGAGGCGCTTGGGGAGCGCTGCTATCATATGCTGATCGGTTTCGTATTGTAACCAATGCGAAGGTCACAAGCATGTTGGTGGGCTTACCAACTTCTTATTTCATTTGCCACGACAGTGTAAACTGCCTTGTACATTACAGGAAACTTCTCATCTAGTTGTGAGAATCACCCATGCTGGACTATATTTAGTAAAAAATGTTCTGGCCCGCGAACGAGTCAAGAACTTCCGAAGCCTAACTTGGTATATTAAACAAGGTGTGCTTCCTATCCACCTAGAATCAATCTAACTAGAAGCCGTGGATTGGTATTGAGCGATATTGAACCAACTCGGACACTCATCAGCTAATAACAACACGGCTAAAGTTCAACGCAACAATCCAAAAACATGCCGTTGCGTAAACACACCAAAGCTCCGCCAAGATTCACCTTTGTTACCCCAGAGTTTGAAGGAAACGAAATAAGATGGTTGAAGACACATTCAGATGCTGCGAGAAGCCACGCGGCCTATTGGGGTGGTCCTGCTAGGCGCCAATGGCAGACCGGCAAAGAAAGCGAAGCAACAAAAGAAGACACCCCTGTTCATGACACCATGATGAAGAAGCGTGCTCGTCGACGCAACGCAAATCTTCAGTTTTACTGCTTCGCTTCTGAAACTATCCAGCCACATGAGGTTACCAGGCCGAAGAGTACGAAAGCTATGTCTTCAAAGACAGAATATGAAATAGCTAACTATCCAAGATGTCTTCCGCCTCTTATACCTGAAGGGCGAGCGTCAGGCGCCTTCTCAGTCGATCTGACGGCGTTCAAATTTTACAGTGAAGACTTCATAAAACGTTTTGTCATGGTTGACAATCAGGACTATCCCATGATACTAAGTAGTTGTCTTTTACTCAGCTACGCTCACTACATGGCGTTGACGGGGTGTGGAACGACTACGGCATTACTGGAACTTAAAAGCCAAGTTATGCACCGCCTGAGCGCAGAAATGAGTTTGTCGCATGGATTACTCAGTCCCCGATGCTTGACTGCAATTGTGGCTCTAGGCGCCCCGATTGTCTGTTTACTATCCAGGGATTTGCCACATGGCCTAAGCATCCGCGAGTACATCGATGCAACGCTGGAAGAGGATTACCTCTGCAATGAGCAATCCGCCGCTATCGCGCAGTGCTCACTTGAAGAACAGATTGTTCATCGACACGCATTAAGCAAACTGTTCCTGAAAACGAGCGCCAACTTTCAAGACGCAGACAGTTTAGCATTATTGCAGTATATCTCTAATTATATAAACATGCATGTATCCACTCCCATTTATTCTTGGATGCTTTCTAACAAGATTTCCAGATCAATAGCTCTAGAAGCAACGGATCGTCTCTATACCCCGCTGGAAGATGTTGAAAAGCTATTCCCAACAATAAGCTGTTCCCAACAATGCGCCATTCCAGAAGAGTGGACGTCGCCTATTACTCATCGACAGGCTGATACGATTCCTACGACACATATCGAGGCTCAGCTGCTACTCCTTACAAGCCTTGTACACACATGGCTTTCGACATTTCTAGACAAAGACAACGCTATGTCGGCCCTCACAGACGAGATCCTCCAGAAGCGGGTTGCACTTCGCCAAAGAATAGAAAGCTTTGAGCCAGCGACAGATAATGGCAGTAGCGAAGCAGAGATTATATATGAATGTTGTCGACGAGCCGGTTTGATTCTATTGGCTGTCGCAGAAGGAAAGATCCCGATTCATGTTGCGGCCAAGCATGTGGAAAATAAGCCTAGCATTACAAAACTTCTTCGTATGACTGACCTGCCAGGCCTCTGGGGAAATCACAAAGGATTATTGTTTTGGGTTGCCGCTACCCTTCAATTTGCCACGGCAAGACAGTGTTTCCCATTGCTGTCTACAACATTACTTGCGCAGTTGGTACAGGAGCTTTCAATGTCAACAGCATGCGCTGAAGCGGCCGTCAACTCTCTGAAAAGGCTTAAAACTTTTGAGAGTCTATGCTGCGGTTTATAGTTTTGGTAGTATGCCACAACATGAATAGAAATATGATACATAACAACAGATTCAGTCGCGTCGCAGTCCTCTACTTCACCTGGTTGGCGAGAAGGTGCTTGGAAAACGAAGTTCCTGGAGTTCGAAGAGCAATCGTTTGTTATTAGCCAAATTCATTTACTAATGGTGCGGCTATATGAGATTCTTCATAGCCAATTGATCTCTCATCCTTTGCCATGGTCATCTGAGTCATCATTAGCCCAACTCCTTCGCGAGTTATATGCTTACTGGTTCGTGCGACAATGAATCTGCAACTCTTCGGAATTAAGAGCGGGGTAAACTAATGCAAAACTACAAAATCATGCATATATAATTGTTGGTAACAGTGGTTTTCTGGCTTTAGTGTAACCAGCTACGTCTGACATGGAGCATCTTATCGGGCGTACCCAATGGCGCAGTTGTGATGCGTACTTGTAAATGTATGTGATGCTTTAGCCTATGATAGCACGGAGCCTAACGCCGTGCTGAATAACTCGCCCGAATGACCAGCGTTATTCAATTGCTTCCAGAGGTTGCAATCCAAATCCGAAAGATTCGTCAGCATCAGCGGCTACGTAATCTTCTCATGAGATTGCCAGTTATTTCCCATTGTAGACTCTGGCATTAACACCAGAGCTTGGCACGGCGCTAATATAGCAAAAAATAACGTGGAGTACTAGCTGTTGCTGTTATGTATATGCAAAATGATCACAATCTCATTTGTCTTGATGCAGCCACTCCACCTGGTGACGCCATATGCGAGCTTATTATAAGTTTAACTCATTAATAGTACCTTAGTGAAAGCGGAGAGCATTTCAGACGTCACAATAACATGATGCCACTGTTGAGTGTCTCGAAAAGGCTAGTTAAGTTTCTCAATACCAAATTTTTAAACAATGCGACTTGAAGTACAAATACCCCTTGTTAAGTCCAAAACAAAACAGTTTGTTGTTCGCCTAATGTCAGCAATACACCAGTACAGGACTCTAGTATCTGACAACCCACTCCAAGGTCTACATTTTGTTCTTTCGCCTGGCATTACCTTTAAAATGGTTATCCTCATTACCGGGAGCACCGGTTACCTTGGTGGTCAACTGATAAAAGAAGCATTTGCTCGAGGGCATAGTGTCCGCGCTGTTGTGCGATCGGAGGCATCTTTTAAGAAGCTCGCTGAACAATTTCCCGAATTCGCGCCAAAGCTTTCTTACGTTGTTGCCGCTGATATCACTAAGCCTGAATCATATGAGGGAGCATTCGAGGACGTGGTGGGCGTAATCCACGCCGCCTCTCCGTTCAACCTCGAGCCAAAAGACAACGAGGAAGACCTCCTTAAACCTGCCATTAGAGGCTCCGTCGCCATCCTGGATGCTGCCCTGCGTCATGGGAAAGACGTTAAAAGAGTAGTGATTACATCATCACACGCTTCTGTCGCAGATGTCACCAAAGGAAAGCGAGCAGGCTACGTATACAATGAGAAGGATTGGAACCCCATTACGTATGAGCAAGCTGCCGATCCTGCTACTGACGGCGTTACCGCATATTGTGCTTCCAAGGCTCTAGCCGAACGAGCAGTGTGGGAGTGGGCTGATAAGCACAAAGGCGCACACTTCGACGTGGCTACAATTACTCCCCCGTGGATCTTTGGTCCTTACGCCACGGAGTTGGCGTCTACAACGCATCTGAGTGAGAGCGTTCGGCTGATCTATAATCTGCTAGGCGCCAAGGAGGTGCCTGAATTTGACTTTGGTGGATATGCCGATGTACGAGAGGTCAGCGCAGCTCATCTCCTTGCCCTCGAAGTGCCGTCTGCAGGTGGACAACGTTTCTGGGTCGGGCAATCTCTTCGATGGCAAACCGTGGTAGACATTGCGCGCGAAGAGTTTCCTGAGCTAGTTACAAGACTCCCTGAAGGAAAGCCTGGATGGATAGAGGATGCGTATGGCGTGGATGGTAGCAAAGCGGAGAAGATCCTGGGCCTGAAATATCGGACATTGAGGGAAACTATTAGGGATACCTTCACACAGCTGCTCGCCGCTGAGCGGGCGGAAGCTGCATCATAGATTGTGCATCAGATAGTAATGAAGATCAGTATTGGAGAAAGCTATGACTATGAGTTTAACACATCTGACTTTGGCTCAAATCGGCCATTCAATGGCCTTGGTGCAAAATCTTTCTCGCGACCATCAATTTCTTACAGTACTAGGTACAAAAAGGTGGCAAAGGATACAAGATTCAAATCTCCTTCAGGAAACCCACCTCAATAAGCTTGTCAGCATCAATGTTAAGATCCGCCAGCTTCGTACGTGAGTTCTCCCGCATCCACAAGAATATATACAGCACAAAGTTCCTAAAGAATCCAGTCACGCGGCTAGTCATGGAACTGCCTGTCTTCAATTTCATCGCCTCTTTTCCGAGGATGTACACCATCTGAGATCTATACGCGGCCCGCAGCGTCTCGAGTTCCGCTGCATTAGGGCGACGACTGTGGGAGATGGTCAGCTCAATTTGCCCTACCAACTCGCGCGCCAGGCCTGGGTGTAGCACGTCATCCATATAGCCGTGCCGGAGAGTGACGTTGTAACAGTCAATGAGGCCGTGAGCGTGTGTAACGATATACCGTTCTTCAAGGGGTACCGAAGGCACAGTGAGAGGCCGCATGTGGAAGAAGATGATGACCGATGGCCGGGCGGCGAACTTGATAACAAAGTGCGTAAAGCATGCAGGCAGGTGAGTGGAGTCGCCAGTCTTATCGAAGAAGATGCCCAGGCCAGGCACAGTCGAGACGGGTACGCCACCAAACGTCTCATTCAAGACGAGAGAGTTTGACGATGACTGGTCCGACTTCATGAGAGCTGCAAGCGGGAGCTGATCCAGTGACTCGGCCTTCCACTGAGCCTCCTTTCCGAATCGCCAGACAAGGAAGATGGAGCAAAGAACGGCAGCCAGTACAATGGTAAACCACGCGCCCTCTGGGACCTTTTGCAGGACAGATGAGAGGTATGTGCCGTCGAGCGCAGCAAAGATCAACCAGACCGGTGTGACAATATAGAAAGGCAGTCTCCAAACGAGGATCGCAACGAGAGCAACCATACATGTTGTGACTACAAGCAAGGCTAGCTGGTAGATTTGATTAGAAACTCAGGCCGCTGGTAGACACGTACTGAAAGTAACCGCAATAACACAAACACCATAAGCGTTGCCGAGGGATGTGGTCTATGCAATGTGAGAGTCAAGAACGCCTAAATGGAGTCGGTGGGATACTTACATTGTTGTATACCGCAGCGACAATGACGGTGCCAATCATTAGAAGCCAATTTGCCAGTGGTATATACACTTGCTCGGAGAACTTTCGGCTTGTGTGAATGACCTTGATATGAGGAAAATATGAAAGCCGCATAATCTGTGTTAGCAACTGGAAGGTCGACGTGATCATGGCCTGCGAGGCGACAATCGCCGCCAGGATGGCCATGACCAAGCCGAAGTACAAGGTTCCGGGTGGTAGAGTGTGGAAGAAAGGGTTCGTGAAAGCCGTTTGTGTCTCATCGGTCGAGATGTACGCGGCCTGGCCAATGTAGGCAAGAAGCAAGCACGGGTAGGCCAGACACAGCCATGAGAGTTGCACGGCACGCTTGCTGAAAGCGCCCAAGTCAGCAAAGAGCGCCTCCACGCCGGTAAAGGCGAGGAGCAAGCCACCCAGAGAGGTCCAGCCGTCCTGTCCGTTACGGACAAGGTAAGTGAATGCGTAAGAGGGGCTGAAGGCCTTGAGTACTGTGTGGTCATGCTTGGCAAGATTGTAGATGCCAGCAACCATGTTGAAGAGGAGCCAAATGGTCACGATGGGTGCGAAGCTGGTTCCGAGTTTGGTAGTTCCAAATGGCTGGATCAAGAAGAGCACAATCAGGATGGCGCAAGTGATGCCGACAATGGCTGACAAAGACAAGTCAGGCTTGACGACTTCGAGACCCTGAATGGCACCGAGGACAGATTGTGCGGGTGTCAGGACACCGTCGGCCATGACCATGGTTACTCCCAGCACACCAACAAATTGTAGCATAATCTGGCAAAATTTGGATTTCTCGAGGAAGTTCCGGAGACTCTTGCCGCCAAGCGTAAGATCGTTGGTGCGATGTCTCTCCATGCGGACCATGACTGCCTCTCTAGGATCACGATTTCGCGCAATGTTGGTGTACCTCGCCAGGAGACTGTATAGGGCAAAGGTACCTCCTTGGCCATCATCATCGGCGCGTAAGACGATGAAGCAGTACTTGATCGTGACAATCACAGTCAGGGACCAGATGATAATGGACAAGGCGCCGACAAGATCGTCCCACGAGGGCTGGCTGGAAAAGGTCGACGAGAAGACATAAAGGGGGGAGGTTCCGATATCACCGTAGATCACTCCAGTGGCTTGAAAGCTGAGCCAGACGAGGAGGAAACCGCTGTAAGTCTGCCGCGAGATCAGAGAGGCATTGACGGCGATGGCTTCTCAAAGCCACCGCCAGGATAGTATCGGAGATTGGGGGAGGCAGGTTGTTCCATACTTGCTTACGGTGGCCTTGCAGGTCTTTTTCGGCGATTCTTCTTGCCTTTTCTTCCTCATCTAGATCCAGATCCGCCATCTTCTCAGAAGGCTCTGTCTCTGAGGTCGACACTTTGTCCTGTTTGGGGTCACTGCGATAGGCAATACCAGCCCTCGTGATCGAGCCGTCCGGTTCAATATCTAGATCGCCCATTGTTTAAACTTGATGATCGAGTTGGTTTTGAGAATTAGAAGAGGTGCAGAGAAACTCGAGGAATGATTACGAAGCTAGAACTACATGAGCCTGCGAAAGGGGGTGTCAGCTCTTTATTCCCTACGACAGAGACTAAAATCTAGGTTTAGCCACGCACGATAATACGAAAAATATCATTTACGCATTCCTATGGGCAAATTTTTTCCAATAGTGTGTTGCTGATAACTACCCGCGGCGTGTGGTGCCTCCAACCATTCAGGTGATCACAAGGAGCGTAATAGCAGGGAGCAAGGCCACCGGTCCAGTGCCGCATATCCATGCTTAGAGACGCAGGCTCTGTACACCCCTCAAGGATCTATTTGTTCTCTGAGTAGGAGCAATATAGATGGTATAGATTAGCAAAGGTGCTTTTGCTAATAGGTAATGAATACAAAGGAGATAAAGAAAAGTCCTCTAGGACAAGATAATCAATAAATACCAAGTGATATACCTTCATTGAAGCGAGATGTGTGCTTTTTCGCTGGTGATAAAGTATCATTGGATATAGCTCGCCGCGTTCATAGAATACAAGCAGATCACTAGAGATATAAATCCATAGACCTGATTTTCCTATTAAAAGTAGGTGGCAAAAGAGTTTCTATACTTGTGGCAGAATGTACCAAAATAACAATTTAGATCCTTGTGGGGTGTAAAGATGACAGACAATTAGCAGCCTGGGGTCTAGTTTTGGTTAGTGGGGAAATAAATGCCTCACGATAAGCGTGGGCTAGGCCTTATCAAGGGACCTTTGCAGCACTGGTGATAGGTACATCTGCCCTGTCTACAAGAGCAAAGAGCCTGCGAATTTTGTTGTTGAGGAACTTCTTCTCATATGCTAATAAGCCAGTAAATCCAGTATGTAAAATAGTCTACAGGTACTGATCATCCGCGCCTGGAGGTTTGCAAGAGTGTTTGAACAAAACTTCGATTCTGCTCCCAGCTAAAACCGTCGTGAAGCAAGAGAACAGATTGTAAGGGCATAAACTGTATAGCAAGGACTCGTGGGCTCTATACGACAAAAACTAAGTTTAGAATGTACAATTACCATGGGTTCATAGTTGCTCTCTTGGACTTCCTACCGCGCCAAGTATATGCTGACAATTCCGCGTCATCTTACTGCTTAAAATTGGGAAGTTTTATCCCCAAATAAAGACCTTGAGAGTTTAAGCATTGGCCAATATCCCCTTGAACAAGTATTCTGGGAAATCGTATATGACGTTCTGACTTCTGTTCACTTTTCATGTGAGAGTTTATATGGCTTTAAAAAAAAAAAAAAAGTCCCTACGCCCAACAGCCAGGGGTCCTTGCAGGGGCTATGTCCGTCAGCAACATCTAGATAGATAGCCTATCAATTCGTAGCGCGTGTGGCGATGTGGGTTTGGCAGCTATCCAGGTTGCTGGATGCTGGAAACAGAGACTTTATTATGGCTGGAAGCAAAGAAGTCCCATATCGAATGGATCGCTGTCGCGTCCCAAGGAACCGAATCTTCAAATCTCGGGGCAAGCCACTTGAAGATGGAGCTATGCGCGAGGCTGAAGGTTGTGGCGTCGATTTTAATCTCAACTCACTGTCACAAGAGTTCTTACACATTACATGGAGTTTTGTCGCTCAGTTTGGCACACTATATGAACGCGGAAAGCAAAGCCTAGCTGAGAATGGAAACAAAGCTCGATATGAACCCGTTCTTACCGAACCAGAAATACTGCTACGTAGATATTGACGGGCTTTGGAAGACGATACACATCGCCAGATCTTGATCTAATCCACCATGGACTTCCAGGATAAGGGTTATATCTCTCTGCTTCCGATAATGGTCCCTCGGCGACCCGACCCAAGATGCAGAGAAAGGGCAGAAAATCGCCTGTGTCGAGCTTCCAGTCAAGCAGTATGGAAGAGACTTTTCGAATTGAGATTGGCGACCTTCAGAAGGGCTCTAAAAGTTATATTCAAGACGTCTGTCTCCTCGCTTCCAACTCGTGGTCTCGGTGGGATAGGTCCTGCTGTCTCCACTTGAATGGTCGACCATGGCGCTTGTGAAATGTCTTAGAGCGCTGTCAAAGGTAGGGTCGTACCGGTAAAGATGGTGATTTTCAGTTCACTCACGAACTTGAGAGGATGGGCTGCACAGCTAAGCTCGTTCTTGGCGATGTTACTCAGGCCAAAGCGTTGCATTATCTTGCAGTCCACTGTTTGCGCGAGACCGATAATTTACTGTCCCTGACAAAATATAATGAAGCGCGCTTCTGCGGCCAATATTCAAGATGTCTTCTCACTGGTTGCTTTCGATGCCGCATATAGACGAACGCACGTCGTTTTCAGCGAATACAGCGATAGCGACGCCATGGCAACGCAGTTGTAACTACAACAATGCAGCCAGCAATGCTATCCAGTATTTTCTCCAGACTTATGATGCTTAGGTAAGTTAACGCTAACATTGGCCGTTGTCACTTTTGAAACAGCAACGATTACATGTGCTAGCCCCCTTTTTTTGCAACAGAGAGCTGTTTTACCCTGTAGCTGTGCGCATAGCTATCGTTGTCTTGATCCCATGCTTGCTTAATATGATAACAATGGTTACAATAAGAAAGATCATATGTACAACGTGCATATGGAAAAACTGTTGAATATTACAGCGCAGAGAAGAGGTGGTCTCAGGAACAAACTGTTTGTGGTGCGGAGCACGGACTTCCTAGAATAGAAAACAGAGAGCTAGTCCCAAAAGCAGAATTGCAGGCCAGTTGCACAACGGTTATGACTCTACAAAACAATATAAGTAGAGTATGAGTATCGCTATATGGAACGGAAAATTGTAATCACAACATTACTATTCTTGTCTCCTATTCAAGCAAACCGAAAACAAAAAATACAGTGGCAGTGTATTACCCAGTGCTCTTGGAGAGACCAACTGCGCATTTCATGTCCATAAGGTCGTGGCCAGTTTCTCATGGGTGCCAATGCGCATTTTATAAGAGTGCCTGTCTCTTAACATAAAACCGAGCGTGCTGAAACAGAAAAGGTCAAAAAGGACAGGGAACACGATGAAACTCCCCAAAGAAAAGAAAGAGAAAGAAAGTTATTCTGCGCAAGATTAGGTTCTCAACTGACCCTTACCTACCAGGCAGAAGTCATAGCCAAGTACAAATAAAGTCTCCATTGCACGACGAAGCAGAAACAAAAACAGCCATATAAAGTAGGTATGAGCTTGACAGCCATGATTAGTACAACGCACTGAAGGTCTTTTTAAAACTCCAGGTATGTTTATCTTACCCGTTTTCGTTTACAGGTTGTTAGCTCCCGTGCGTTGTATGATCGACTGTCGATCGCGAAGGTTATGAATCGTGGGAATTGGCTTGCAGGCGCGGATCCGCCAGGGTAGCGCAGATCTCCAAACAAGGTCTCGTGAAGCTTAAATGAAACCTCATACATCACTGCCTATTCTAACCTAAAATTTGAGAGGCTATTTATTCTACTTGGAAGAAAATTCATACTCACTGCTGAGCTGCTACCATTTCTAGCTTGTGTTTAGTATGGATAATGCTTATATACGAGGTGACCAGCTTATTTGCAGTCAACACTGCTTTTGATGATTACCGTATGGTAATATATCGGATTGAATCACATACAAGCTTGATACTATTAGAATACCAACTACCTAAAAAGGACGAAACAACTATGTCTGCCTGATCAGTTTGGATGTGAGGTATTAACTTCCAGTTGAGAGTTCCGAGAACTGCATGAAGTAGGTCTCTCTGGTGCTTGATATCGACTTTAGCCGACAGTCTAACTAAGTCTATACGCCAAGGATGCGAATAGTAAGCGGGGGATTTCAGAGCTTCCAAAAGAGGTTATACTTGGGCTCCCATTACTACTTAACTGAACCATTTGCCTTTTCATCGGATGAAGTTGACATTCTGCCACAGGATGCATCTATTCACACTATGCGCAGGAATTTGTGACAGGAAATGGGAGGTGGTTTTAGTCACAGTTTCCCTTTAAATTGATGACAATGAAACATGTCATGTTGGGTAGTATATACAAGTGATGTAACGTTGAAATGCTGGAATAGGACCGGTTACTATTGATCATACAAAGATTAACTAAGCTTAAATCTTACTCAACGGATTGTCCGGACTTGTTCTCGCAGCTGTCGGTACGAAATAGGCTGCCACCGAATCTCCTTAACCGAGCTCTGTGCCAAGCTGCTATGTACCTACAACTGTATGAGTATTGATTAGATGTAGTTACACGCTAAGAATGCGAATAAGAACCAGATTGCGCTTAGCCATTTTCAAGCAGGCCTGGAAAGTTTGAAAGTCTTCAAGACTAGAGATACTACAGCTGTGATGACACGGTATGGTTCAGAACCGTTCAGTCGACTATGAAATTCTCACAGCTGAAGAATGCTATTGAAACAACTCTCAAATGTCCAAATAGGCTGTTGTTCTACAAAGTGGCTCACGAGTGTAAGCAGAAAACAAACGTGCGATTATACTTAGACGGGACGGCTGCTGCGAAATGCCGATCATAGCCCTAAAAGAACAATGCAGGGGCTTTTCACGCTACTCGCATCATATGTACCCAGAGCGTTGCAACGGAATGGGGATGCCGAAACTACGGAGATTTCGCCGTGAGCCGCCCAATGCAGTGCACGGAATGTCACTCTATAGACTCTATAGTCGTGGCTACTGATTCGGTGCATGTATTGACGCTACAAAATAAGATGAGGGGCTTACACAGGGGCCGCGAGAGCCTCTAGCTTGGGCTGCTAATAGCATCTTTAGCACCTAGGCCCAGATTCTGTAATTGAATCATATGTTTATTCGCCAATGGGACCCCGTTATTTGCCGGCGTGCAATAACAGAGTGCCCAGTTGCACGTCGAGTCAGGTAGATTCGTATGAAGTTAATCCGTCTGAGAATGGTCCACGGCTACCGGCAACCACTGCCTTCCGTATTGAGCAAGTTTGTAACCTGGCGTAGGCACTCATGATAGTGCCTCTGTTTATACCCGGGTACTTCCTACAGCCTCGTTCATTAATTACCGTCGGCTGCTTTATACAGTAAATTGTCTAATTTGGGAAAGAGAAAGCTTACTCGGCCGAGTTGCTCGACGAAGGTGCTCAACGGCACAGAAGCGAGCAATCAGGGTACTCCATTCATAACCCCGTACATAAAGCGGCTAAGACTATACGATAACTGCTATGTTGCTCCTAGTATATACTGTAGATACATCCTCTAGGAATTCAAGCGGCTCGGCGCCGCGGCCCTAGCTGTGCCATCTTCCAGTGCTGCGTGCACCTCCCTTAACTGGTAAGGCATTCAAGTTTCCCTTACGATTGGAATTGCAAGCCGTGAAACGAAGCTGCTTACCTTCTATAAACGTTACAGTTCCAATGTATCCACCTGCTGTATTCGGTATAACATTCTCACCACGCCAACTGATTTCGCCGCAGAATTTACCGAGATCCGCGCTAAGGCCTGCCCCGTAAATTTGTACCGGCGTCTCAATAGTTGAATAGCCAGCCTTCCTGTGCCTATTGCGGCTCAAGGCTTCAATGTTGACAGGGGGTTAGGCGACTAGGCGCTCAGGGCAGATTGCAGTGCCTGGCCTACTGCGATCTGACGAACGCCACTAGGGGACAGGGATAGGCAAGATGTAAGGTACCACGGGCGACTGTACGGACTTTTCAACTCAATCTGGCAAGGCCAAGATAGGAAACCGCAAGAATAGGCTTTCAATTCGGGCTCTCGATATTAAGCTTGTGCCGTTTTTAAATTATAAGCTCCTTCTGCATGCTAAGTGGTGTGTAGCTGCAACGGGCAACCAGTGTGCAGTTAATTTGATGGTTGTGAACTAACAGAGTAGTTTCCTTTCCACAATGAATCATCAATGCGGACAGCCTGCAGCATATGTAGAAGTAGCAGTAGCAGTTGCAAGGAAGGCTATTGTATCTAGGTATTACCCAAGGATGGAAACTCTCATGACCTAGTATTATCATTTAGGGGAAGGTTGATTCATGGATCAAGCACTTGTAGCCTGTTCTTTACTAGCGATATCCGTAATTGCTCTGTTTGGTAAGGGTGGCCACCATAGGTAACATGTAACCAATGTTTACTCATCTTAACAGCCCATTAAATGAAAGGCCTTACCAAGTAGCCTTTCATGTATAACTCCAAGGCGAAACGAGTTCGAAATACAGGGGTTCAACGGAGCCGCTAAGAACACCATGGAGATGCCGCATTGCTCTATTCAGTTTGTTTGCCAGCCAACAGAGGCGTAAGCTGATGATTAGTAGACTACACTTGGCTTCCGACGATGCCATCGTTGAGATTACATACTTGCTTCAATAGGAAGCTGGTACGGATCGTATAATTCGCCTCAGCCTTTCGTAGTAGCCGTGATGTGTATATATATCAGACAACCGTCCTGTTCATTAGACACGACATCAGCACTCTCAACTCCAGCTTTGGCAGCAATCAACAGACTGACCTCTTCAATAACCCATTTTTGCAATACTTGAACGCATCATTCAAAATGGTCAACAAGGCTATCGTCGCTTCTCTGCTCTTTGGCGCTGCCATGGCTGTGCCTTACCCGCCTTCTGCCACAAACGGCGTCAGACATCCTGTGCCTGATCATGCCTACCCCCACAAGAAGGTCAACGGCGGTAACTACATGCCTTCTCGTACTGGCAAGACCACTGCCTCCAAGACGTCTGCTGCTCCTGCTGCCGCCAAGGACCAGGGCAAGCGATCCGCCGGAGAGACTGTCAACAACGCTGTGGCCCGATACGACAACTCCAACATCACCGACGGTGTTGGTGATGGTAACGACAGCTACACTCTGTACCTCGGCGACGGCAGCACCGGCGCTGGCTGGCCCGACCAGAGCCGATGGGTTTCTTTCGAGAACATGTTCAACAACTACAAGGACCAGATGTTCTCATCTTGCGACTGGATGGGCGTTGCCGACGACAGCGGCCCAGAGGTCGGAGCCATTTGGGACGGCATCCAGTCTGCTGCCGCTGCCACTGGTGTCGACCACCGTTTCATCCTTGCTGTCATCATGCAAGAGTCTGGTGGCTGTGTCCGTGTTTGGACCACCAACTACGGTGTCCGCAACCCTGGTTTGATGCAGGATCACAACGGTGCCGCTACCTGCAACGAGAACGGAAACGTTCAGAACCCTTGCCCCTCAGCCACCATCTACCAGATGATCAGCGAGGGTACTGCCGGTACCAACGATGGTGATGGTCTTGCCAACTGCATCAACGAGTCTGGCCGCAGCGACGTCTCGGCCTTCTACCGTGCCGCCCGTATCTACAACTCTGGCTCCATCTCCAGCACTGGCAACCTCCAGAGCAACGTTGCTACTCACTGCTATGCTAGCGATATTGCCAACCGTTTGACTGGTTGGAGAAACGCCCCCAGCACTTGCACTTGCGACAGCAACCCCGGCAGCTGCGGCTCTGTTAACTACTAAGCATCTCGGTATTTAAAGTCGATGTGTACTTTTTGATGTATATAAAACTTCTTCATTCGTGGTATCTTATTTATTCTAGGCGCATGTATATATATGTACATACTTGGCATTGGTATATAGCTCAAATTTTCAAATCATTCAAAATTCAATCTTCTAGAAATGAGTCTACTTTTGCTTCCTTTGTTTACTTTGATCTTTGATGTCACTGTTGGCGCCGTGCTACAGATAGCCATACTCTGGGCTGCGGCTAAACCCATCCCGTGGATAACACTAAGGGGTAACTGTTTCCGTAGTGATTGCATATTATCTGGGGGTAAATGTGGAAGGCTGAACACAATTGGTGTTTCTAGAATAGCGTAAGTTACTAGCTGCTCATTTTATTGCCTGAATGACAAACGGTAGAATCCAATGCTCTGTTGTAAATTCCTTTTTTCCAGCAGCACAATATATCTAGTATATGATGTATGGTATATGGAATACATGTAATTAATGTCTTTTTGAAGAGACATGAAGCCAAATTAAATTATCAATACTAGTCAATATAATATATCTCAACATTGAGTATCATAGGTGGTCTTGATTACGTACCAAGTAGTGGATACAACATCCATTACATAAAGTCACACTAATCGATATATACTCATGTGTATTTCCTATAATTATGCTTACTGACCCTTCACCATTTACTAATGTCCTCTCACAGATCTTTTATACGTTTCTCAATTTTCAGCTTGCATTATGGCTTTGTTATATTTTACAGAATATGATGTCTGGAACATCATGACTTTATGTGGTGGTTCAAAATAATAATTCTCTTGTTCTTAACTGCTTCAAGAATATTATTCATTGGGCAACCAAACTACCTTATGGGTTGGTTACTCGTACTGATCAGGGTCTACATCCGCGAAAGTAGTACCGACAGCAACCTCGTCGTACCATACTTGACGGAATCCCTGGTTACCAACCATCTTCTTATCGTCATGCCAGCCGTTAGCATACAAACCCACGCGGAATGCAAATACGGCATCATCGTTGGTTGTTGTAGCAATATTGTAGTGCTCATAGACTTTGTTTCCATCGAACCACATTTTATAGTAGCCTGAACTGTCGCTCGCCCACTTGGCTTGGATAATAACTTTGTGCCATGCGCCGGCAGAAACAGTAGCAATGTTTCCAGTACCCGTGAATGTACGGCTGCAGTCCGGCTGACGATAATTGCCGCTAACGATTCGGGAGTTGAGCTGATTGCCCTCTAGCCAGATGAGTGAGGAAGGCATCCAGTCGTCGTCGTCGCAGCCAGCTCCAAGTCGATCGGCGATGAACTGCGCGATGTTGTAAGACTGCTGATCGAATTCCCAAGCAGACGACAAGCGGAACATGAAGCCGTAGAACAGCTCATCTCCACGTTTATAGCCTTGGTTGTGATCCACCTCGGAGTGGTATCGGCCAGTGTAGCCCGGTGTGTATGTTTGCTGCATCAAGAGCGCCGAGTTGCCTTTGTATGTAATGTCTGCTACTTGTAGCACTTGGCCTTGGTTCTCATGTCGAACATAGTCGAATCCGGCTGTGGTACCTCCATTTTGGAAAGTCTGTGTGGCGATTGCAAGAGGTAAAGCCGCCAAGGCGGCGGCAAAGACGTTGACAATGCCCATGGCTATTTGGAGAAACGATATGGGTATATTAAGTTAAAGAAAAGAATGTGGGGGTTAAAAAATAAATACTGACACTAAGAGTTCCTCGAGTATTTATACTTGTCTGCCTATAAGGTAACTTCCGAAATGATGACCGTTTTGGTATGTCAATATAAAATATTTCGGATACGGTAATAAGTGATAGCTTTATTAGGATACCAATAGAAGTGATTTTATTTCAGCTTCTTAATTTGTGCTAGTCATAATCAATAGTCGTTGAAGATACGATTGAAGGGCAACGTTCATTTTGCCACCAATAGATTTCCTAGCTATCATTAACACAAAACGCTACTGACCAGATTGTATTATGGCTTACAAATAGAGAATTGAGCGGCAAACTGTAATTACTAGTATATAAGGAACAGACCGCATATCTCCTGTTTTCACAGTTCTATTAATAAGCTAGCATTTTGCCCTTAAGCCCCGGGTTAATAGCATAATCTGTGTATGACTGCCTTCTTTAATTTTTTTTTTGTATATTACGGTATTTTCAGCTATCGCATTGGTGGAAAAAGTTAGCACGAAAAAGTCCCCATCTTGATAGTTTATTTGGCAACTTCTTAAAATGGCAGTTCAGGTAACGCTGGTCGCCTGACGTGCTAGATACATTGCACTTGTATTGATGTAATATTAGCTTTTCAAGCTTGTTCGCTAACCGCAAATCCTAGCGTGCAAACAAATTTAAGCATTATTTTAAGTTCTCGCTCTGCAATACTGCGGGGCATGCGCATTGCAAAAACTCCTAAGATAGTTTATGATACAAGCGCCTTTAATTCATGACACATGTACATCAATTACGTACCGCCAGACTGCAACTATGGTTACACATTCTCTAGTGTCTCCTGTGTATGACTAGATATGAAGTATACGATAGAGACCAGGTGAATTCATAATTGAGTGATATTTTAGAGTCATGGAAACAACCATTTTCCTGAAACTAGGTATTACAAGTCATCCGCGTAACTGTTGTCGCCGGATATTCTGTCAAACATATCGCTTTACAAAAAGTCAAAAAAAGAAAGAACAGTGCGCTGATAAGATGATATTTATTCGAACTATCTTCGTTGTGAATGTAAATTGCATTATATATAAGCAAACGAAGACTCAAGCATCCTGAAGAGTAAGTTTGTTAAAGACCAAGGCGACAATTAAAATGACAGCGCATATCCAGACAGTGGCTGGTCCATCAAGTTAAAGTTGGAACAGTCCAGTCGATCCATTGGCTTTGTGAAAATGTAAAATCGCTTTGGAAGATGGCAGTATTCGTCGATTGGCCGAGCAAGAACTTTTGCACAAAAGCCGTTAGCTGAGATTGCTGATTCGATGGAAAGGCGCAGTGTGCGTGAGCTCCAATCTGGGAGTAGCCCATGTGGTCTGAAGCTCCAAGCGCTTGCCATGCCGTATGTGCCGCTGTCATGCATCCAAAGCAGCTCTGTGGGCCTAGCCAATCAATGTTGTTATCAATAACGAATAGTCCTCTTGGGGCAATCAATGCGGCCAAGGAGTGGTGGTCGAATGGTAAAACAGGTACTTGGTTAACGTAACTGTTGAAAGAAGTTGAAAACCAAGGGTCTTCTCCAATGATCTCAGATGCGGTCTGGATATTTGCTCCCTGGGACTTCAAGTAGTCGGAAATCCTCCAACATGCCGATCCACCTGCTCCCGATTCTTGGGGAAGTGTTAATGCGATGCGGCTATCGAATGCTCCTGCTAGCAGGGCACCCTTTCCGTTGCGCGAACATCCCGTTACCCCAATTCTCGTGGTATCAATCCTTGCTGCTGTCACTTGTTCGAGAGCGTCAATCACCCGACTGACTCCCCAAGCCCATGCTGTCATTGCGCCTGCAGAATGCCCACTTCCGTAGAGAGTGTAGAACTTTCCTTGGCCTCTACTGCCAGTATTGACCTGAGCTGCCATATCGTCGTTGTTGAAATTGATCATGGCAACGCCGGCAGGTGCTGGTAGACTGCCGCCTCCGTAGGCAATGATTGCAGGATAAGGAGCCGATCCTGAAGAAGGATAGGTAATTGTTACAGAGAAGGACATTGACTTCCCAGAATCTCCACAGTTAATTGTCAACGTATTTCCTGAAAAAGACGCCGTAAGAGTAGCGGGGCGTCCTGGCAGAGTTCCAAGCTCGTATCGCTGGACCAGCTGAGAAATTTCGGCTTGCCGGCACGCGAACTGGGCTTTTGTCGTTACTTTATCTCCATTAAACAATGTGAACAGGTCGTTCAGTTTAGAATTGCTCTTGAGAGATATGGAAGCCGGTAATGCAGAGCATGTAGCGGCAGATGTCGATGTTTGACTTCCAGAAACTGGTGTCGACGTTTTGGTGGTAGAGGTAGCGAAAGTGGTGGTTGTTGCAGCTGTGGTGGCTGATGATGCTTGTCCGTTAGGAATGCATTGAGAATAGTAAGGATTGTTGACTACACAGGTCGCGCCAGCGACGCATGTAGTTGGGCCAGTCCAGCCAATTCCACCACCTGTGCAGTGTATGAGTATAATTGAATGCAGATACTCATGATGGAGATGACTTACACTGCCCCCAAACTTGAGATTGGGCTAGAATTGGCACGGCGAGAACAAGAATCTTTAAAACCTGCATAGTCATGTTTTGATTTGTCAATGAGGACGAATCTATCAACGACTGTAAAAAATTGCTTAAACATCACTCTTTATATTGTCAGGGATCCGGTCGTCCGGGATCATATCATATATATCACCACTATTCGGCAGTGATATCTCTACATTTCTTTTCAAAAAAGCCTATACTCTACTTTCTCTTTCATGACATGGCACACTTGACTGACACCATTTCTCGCCACTCTGCCAATTAAGCGACGTTCCGCATATCCGCATTTGTAATTAGTCCATACATCGATATAGAGCTGTGTTTCCCCATGGGGAGAGCGGCTTAGCGGAGTTGGCTATTATGCGTATTCTGCATTATCAATACGACTGCATATGAGGAGAGTCGCGGGTCACGTTCCTTGACACTTCCTAATATAGCTAATTAAGCACAATGACTACAAAATACCACATAAACTTGCATAGAGCCTAAAAAGGAGACCTGAATCTAGAATTTATATCACCGGCTAAATAAAGTCATGTATCTATATCGGTATTATTGTTGTGTTTCAATTGATTGAGAAGTGTTGTTCACCGTCAAGTCCCCCGCTTGTATACTCTAGTGGGCAATACAGTGTCTGACAGGGTTTATTGATGTGGACATTATTTTGTTCCAGAATCCTCTTTGTATTTGGCTGTCTATGGTCTGGCCAAGAAATCTGGCGAGCTATCTGACGCAGAATAAGATTAGGTGGCATTATATTTACTTTAAAAATTAAGTTTTATTTAAACTTTTTAAGTTTTTAGTGGCTGCAAATAGAACTGATACCTGTCTGCAGACTTGTATATAGTAATTGGTCTTATATCTGTTCTTGACTGGATACCTGTTTCAATGAAGGCTATCATATGGCAGAGCCTTCTCTTGTTCAACATCGCGCTGAATTCTAGTTGCCGTTTATTGAACTGTCATTACACTCATACCAAGAAGATACTTGACTCTACAGTGAAAGATCCGATACGCGCTCTCTGAACAATTATTGTGACCAAGCATTGACCATTGAAATATGTTCAACGATCCCACGACGGATAAAATATGCAACAAAAATAGTTTAGGCGGAATGTGGTGCCTTGCCTCGTGGTCTGGTGCTAAGAATGCTGCCCGGCTCAATGAATTCTGGCTCCAAGAAGGGGGCGGATCAACGGAAACTAGACTTGCCTAAATCATGAAAACTGGCAATGGTCACTGGTAATTGCCCTTAAATGAGCACGTGTTAAGAATTGAGGACACTTTCCACATATTGGTCATCTTACTTTCTAAACTTACTAATTAGAACACTTTCGTATCAAGTCTATGATGACCTTGTGCTAATTTGGCGTATAAGGCGACCGAATCCTCTTACTTTCATATACGCGTGTGGCTTATTCTCTTATACAACAGAATGCTTTGCTCTCAAGTATTTGTATTGAAGCAAATGTAATCATTTGATTTGCCTCTCGACAAATAAGAAGTCCAATTATGGCAGAACGAAAGCTTTTTACCCGCAATTCGGCAAATATTTGCGAGACTGGATAAATGCTTGCCTTCCTAGCAGATGTTCCTCCACCTTGTCCCTTGGAGCACATTGCAGACGGTTCATTAATGCTGTTTCGGCGTTGATTTACCGAGATCGCTGTTAATGATACCGAGTAGTATCCTGCGGGTAAAATGGAAAGAAGCAGTATTACTATTTTAAATATGCCCGATAGGCACCACAGGCATTCCCAGTCTTGGCACTCAGATTCCTCTCGGCTCCTCATGAGATAATAGTTCTCGGACAAAGGGACTCAAGATGTTTGCTTCCAATCACTTGGCAATCTTGGCAAACTTTGCCGCCTTATGTGCAGCACAATCTGCAATCACTGTCAATGTTAATACCAGGTATCAGCAGATTGACGGCTTCGGCTTTTCTCAAGCATTTGGCCGCGCCAGCCAATTCCAGAGTGCCAATGCTAGCACTCAAAAGCAAGCTTTAGATTATCTGTTCAGTACCACTACTGGTGCTGGCTTTAGCATCATCCGCAACCGCATCGGATCAGGTGGTTCTGGGGACAGCATCGAGCCAAATAATCCAGGCTCTCCTTCTGCGACACCGAGTTATGTATGGGATAACAACGATAGTGGCCAAATATGGTTTACAAAACAAGCTGTTTCTTATGGAGTCAAGACAATCTATGCTGATGCATGGGGTGCTCCGGGGTTTATGAAAACCAGCGGCTCAGACTCGTCCCCTGGGTGAGCAAATAATATCGCCAACATATTGCTGGCGTTGAAATAGACAGTAACTGATTACGAGGCAGGTATCTTTGTGGCACTACAGGCCACTCGTGCTCATCTGGAGACTGGAGACAAGCGTATGCAAACTTTCTTGTGCAGTACGTCAAGTACTACGCATCAGCGGGCTACACGATCACGCATCTAGGGTTCTTGAATGAGCCGGATTTCCAGCCCTCATACTCTCAGATGCAGATCAGCTCGAATGCCCAAGAGGCTATATCATTTATACCAATTCTGTATAACACAGTCAAGGCTGCTGGCCTTGGTACCAAGATCACTTGCTGCGACGCAGTAGGCTGGACCGACCAGAGCACTTATACGACAAATCTAGTCAATGGGGGCTCAACTCAATATCTTGGTGTAATCACCTCTCACTCGTACAGCGCAGACGCCACTTCGCCACTGAGCCAGACCACGCTGCCGAAATGGAACACTGAAGGCGGACCCAGCACAGCATTCGTTACCACATGGTATGGCAGCGGCGGCACCAACGAAGGCTTCACCTGGGCCAATAAGTTGGCTGTTGCGATGGTCAACGCACAGCTCTCGGCGTATCTTTTCTGGGAAGGCTTTGAGATCCAACAATCACAGTCAGGCAGTCACTTGGTCGATGCTCTCGATGGGAAGACAGCTACGCCATCGGGTATCTTCTGGGCATTCGCCATGTGGTCCCGATACATTCGTCCTGGGGCCTATCGTGTTGCCACTACAGGATCCATATCGAACGTTATAATTGGCGCCTTCCAGAATACCGACAATTCCGTAATTCTTGTCTTTACAAACAGTGGAACTTCGGCACAGTCAGCTAAAGTGTCTTTTACTGGATTTTCTCCATCTTCTGCCGCCGCATACGTCACGGACAATACTCATACCTTTGCAACTACGTCCGCGACATTATCTGGCGGAGCCATCACGGTTTCTGTGCCTTTGCGAGGAGTCGTCACCGTAAAATTGACCTAGTAATCCTTTGAAAACACAATACTCCTTTCCAGACAAGTAATGTAGGCGGAATATTACCGACGGAAATGAGTATAATTCGTGGCCAATGACTCCTGTGAGCTGCGGCCTCCAAAGGATAGTGAAAGCTCAAAGAGTAAATACCACCGGATCAATAGTAAAGACATGAATTGAAAAGCGATGTCTTCGAGCATCATACACTCTTTCTTTTTCGACGTGAGATTTTGAGCAAAAGTACTGCAGGGGTGCGGCAGTTTAATGGTCATGGGCTTGTCAGCTTCAGTGAGAAAAACCTCGCAAATTCATGCTTTATTAACAATTAAAGGTTCAATGCTTGTCGGCAGCGTATATACAAGAACTATCCTTTCTCAATAACAATCTTAGCATTATATGCACTCTCTAAGATGTGTGTGAGTACAGATTCCTTGACTGTTTCAATGATGTGCTCTTCAGCATCGCTATTCAATCTGCCTTGGGCAAGAAAATCGACCTGTACTCGCAGGTCGTGGATATCCTCGTGTACTTCAAGCAAGGCAGCTTCATCAGCGTCTGCAGCGTCTGTAGCCTTCTCACAGCTGGCACGTAAGTCGTCTAATTCATCATTCAGATCTTTGTTCTCTCTCTCAAGTCGCTCAACTCGCTTCGTCAACTTGAGCATTTCTTTGCGCATATTGGTCATTAAAATCCACATGCTGTGGTAGTCATCAGCTTCGGAAGAAGTACTTGAATCATCCAGCCGGCGCCTCTTCTTCTCATTACGCCTACTACTTGTAGCTACAGATGATGGAGATTGGTCTGTGCTGAGTAGCGAGATTCCCGTCTTAGGAGGTAGACTTTCTAGCTGATCGTATGATGGCGGGTTTTCGCTCCGAGATGTTGACGCAAAAGCTTCTGAGAGGGTGATGATCTTCCCACCTCCCCCGCCGTACAATGAAGCTAGGCCAGTTGAAGTGTCGGTATGGATTGGATGTAATCGACTTTGAGAAATAGCTTCACAAAAGGCAGCCAGCCTGGGCAGAGAAATTTCTCTTGCCGAGATATAGATGTTGATGGCCGTAGCCGTGGCGAGCGATCGTAACGCATCGATGACTTGGCCAGACGGTCGTTTTCTGGGCTGTATCGGTTCTGTCGCTGCAGTCGGCGCGATGAGATCAAGAGGTTGACATAGGTCAAGATGCAAGCAAACTGCTTTGCAGTTGAGTTTCTTCCGCACGATGTCTGGAATTTCTGGATTCTCATCAAACTTGAGAGTGACGATGGAACGGATGTTTATTAGGCTTGTAATACACGAGTAGGATTCGATGCCTTTCACTCTGATGGGACAATGCAGCTGAAAAGATGCCACTGAGGATTGACTAGAAAAACAAGCTTCGAGCTTCACGCTATCTCTTTGCGGATCCGGGTCGATCAGATATTCCGTCGCATTGTCCAAAGTCCATTCTATACAGGCAGGCGTCTTGAAATTGAAGTCGAAGGAGGGAGTCGCCGACATTGTTCGTTCTCTCAAGGTCGAGATCTGCTATGTGAACAGGAGGACAGGAGTCAACGTACCAGATGAACGAGTCACAAACAACAGACAGAGCAAATTTCGCAGACAAGCAGCCTATTTGGAGCTCCAGAAAACCTGCGAGTCCAACTAGGCCCTTTCTCTAGGTCCCGGTTCTTCCAAAGAAGGAGTCAACCTCGTTCAGTGGGTAGAAAGCCGGACAGCTGACCAAGAGCGCGAAATTTGTTGGTCCGAAGAAGCAACAGAATGCAAAGAAAGAAGATGACCCAGAGGAGCGAGCTTCGCGAACAGGCGACCCGTCTAGAGCTCCAGAAAACCTGCGAGTCTAAACAGGCCCCTTCTCTTGGTCCCGGGTCTTCCAAAGAAGGAGAAAAAATCTCATTCAGTGGGTAGAAAGCCGGACAGTTGACCAAGTACGCATCGCTGGCTGCCTCGATGCCTGTGAATATGAATGCAACAGTGCCAGTGTGGTGTTGAAGATGAATACGTGCGCGCGCGGAGAAAAAGAAGGAGGCTGGGAGATTTGGCCGAAATGCACGTGACTGCATCAAATGGCCCCGCTTTTTAGAGGTGCGACGATCGTGCAGCTTCATTGGCTCAATTTTCTAGGTGGTTTCTATGCTTTTATAGTGGACTACTGCTAAAATATAGCGGCCTGTTGGATTTTGTATGTCGGCGCGTGCAATAAATCTCAATTCTATACACTCACCGAGTTGTATTTGCGAGACATTAGAATAAAAAAAAAAAAAGGCTTTCAGAAGGCTTTTTACAGCATAGTTTGATACTAATGGGCAACGTATATCTATCTCATAAAGGTCAATTCTCTTCCCTTTTCTCATTGACTAGAAGCGCGTCTTACGCTGCTCCTGTCTTTGGCTTTCCCCATCGATTCGCGAGTAGATATTGCCTGTGCAATTTCTCATGTTACAGTTGTACCGAGTCTACAGCAATTTCATCATGTCGCTGTTGGTATTTACAAAAATAGTAAAGTTTTGATGAATGGATTGTAATTAGTTTCTGGTTCTTGGCTATTGGCAGCTGTGAATGGCAGCTTCTTTTTTCACTTACGCAGCGGAAAGGATATGAGAAAGCAATATATATTCCTTCAGGCAAAAGAGATAGACATTGTATATAACGAGTGTTTCTCTTCTCTTTCTTCTCAACTCACAGGTTAAACAAACGCTCCAGTTCCGATCTACCTCTACACCTAGGTAGCCAGCTAAGCTCCCTACTAGGTAGCTATAGATGGTGTCTAGACCTGGTCTACAGACGGCAATTCATCCGCATCAGAGTTCCAATTTACATTCAGTGATGCTTCTCTCCGAATCTCCTTCATATCGACACACCCTTTCGGCTCTTCTGTAAATAAAGCTAATGAGACCCATGTAGAACGCTTCCTTCGTTTCTGCTGACCTGTCGCATACCATATTACTATTCTACATTCTTACACTTCCTTCGCTCCTGCATAAGCTATCATGGATGACATCCATCGGCATTCTACCACGTTGCAGCTTTGCAGCTCGGCAATTAATCCGTTCAGCTTCATGGGCGTAGACTGCGTGCTAAGAATAGCAGTGCACTAGCAGCGGACAAAGACCGAATCCGAGCGGGCACCAAAATCCTTCAGTTTCTAAATCACCCCTATTGGCCGATTGGCTCCCTCATCTCTACACTCTACAACTGCTACCTACAATCTTCACAACCTACAAGCCAACTCTAACTCTTGCTCACTGAGGAATTGCCGGCTTATTGTTGTTGATAACGTGCCTTTCCACATTGACATGGCCCTAATTGCGACTAGTACAGACCCAAATGCCAATGTCTCTGCAACTACCGATCCAAAAGAGGCGGCGGATTTAGAACAAAATCATGAAAAAGCAAATACTACAGTAACAACAACAATTGAACAAGAACTGCATTCTCAAGAGCAAAATGCATCAGAAATTACGGAAACGAGGATTAAAAAATCTTCGTCCTTTAAGCTCGCCTTCGTGGGAATTGCGGCGAGTCTTTTCGTTTTCCAGCTGGACGCAACCTGTTTGGGAATAGCTCTCCCTGTAAGCCTTGAGATACTTTCCTTCTTGGACATAACGCCTAGACATTTTCTAATACTTCTACTTAGACCATAGCCGGTGACCTAAATGGCACGAGCTTGGAGTCATTTTGGGCAAGTCTAGCTTATACTCTATGTGGGCTGACCATGCAATCGATTTGGGTCAGCATCTCTGACGCATTCGGCCGGAAGCCGCCTCTCTACGTATCATTAGGCTTGTTCTTCATTGGATCGGTCGTATTTGCCGTAGCGAAGAATATGGGCACCATCATTGCAGGGCGGGTCCTCCAAGGTCTTGGAGGCGGGGGAATTGATGTTCTGGCGCAAGTTATACTTGCAGACATGACAACGTTAGAAGAACGATCAAAATATATTGGCTTGATGGCTATTCCCACGGCTATTGGCAACATCATGGGACCTATAGTGGGTGCTCTTTTCTCAACGTTTGTCTCTTGGAGATGGATTGCATGGATCAACTTGCCAATCATAGCAACGGGGACGCTACTTGTGTTCTTTTTCCTCAAACTTAGGTCTATCCCTCTCGAAGCCACGCTCGCCAAGAACTTGAATCGACTTGATTGGATTGGCATGGCCCTCATCGTTGCCGGAGTCACGCTGTTTGTTGTGCCCCTCAGCTGGGCGGGTTCACTATTCCCGTGGGCCTCCTGGCAGACGCTCTTCCCTTTGCTCTTGGGAGCTACTCTGCTTGTAGTGTTTGTCATTTATGAGACCAAGCCTGCAGCACCTATCATGCCCCACCGCTTATTTCACACAAGAACTGGAAACGCAGCACTAATGGGAGGCTTCATTCACGGCATGATTCTGGTGTCTCTGTTGCAGTACATGCCTCTACTTTTACAAGCCGTTGAACTGGAGAGCGCAATCTCCTCAGCCGTTTCTCTGCTTCCCACAGTCATCGTTAGCGTTTTCATCGCGGCTGTCTCGATGATGATGGTCCCTTTCTTTGGTGGATATGTCTGGCTTTTACGGCTGTCGTGGGTCATACTTACACTGGGAACCGGATTGTTAGCTCTCTTTAAATTGAGATCTCCGCTATCAATGCGTTACGGGTTACCAATCCTTTGGGGCACAGGTGTCTCATTATTGCGCCTCAATCTCCTCCCTGTTCAAGCGAGCGTCAAGAATGTCAACGACACAGGCCTAGCTATTGGGCAGCTTCTCACTATTCGCATGTTCGGGGGCCTTGTAGGTCTTACTATATCTTCAGCAATATTTAACAATGTGTTCTCAGAATCCATCTCAAGTACTGCGGTCCAGCTGACGGGGGCTTTAGCGCCCCTGAAAGACGCCTCAAATGCGGTGAGTTTCATTGAAACACTCAGATCGCTAGATATCTCTTCTACAGCACTAGATGAAATCCTCAGTATTTACTTGAAATGTTTTCGGACAATCTTTTATACAATGACCGGCTTCGGTGGACTGGGCTTGTTGACTTCGATGCTCTTGAGAGAAATTGACCTCAAAGGGCACGGTCTCGGGAATCAGCGGTTTGAAGAGTAACTGGGACTTGGAAAGAGGAATAACGGTGTCATCACCATCTAATTCTATAGATATGATGTTTATGATATAATTTTTAATGCTAATACTATTTAAGGTGTCATCTGAGTTTAAAAGAAGAAAACTTCAGCGTCCTGGAATAGCGGCCCACTTCTCTCGTAGCTTCGTAGGTAAAATCTCCAAGGTATTGAGACAACGAACATGAACAACGGCGACGATTTCCGTGTAAGGGGAAAACGATTCCCAGAACGGACGACAACAAGCCCGAAATAAAGAAGAAACCCATTCTATTTACAGTCATACAGATTTCTTCGACTACTGCAGAAGTGTATCAAGCGAGACTACTTTCAGTATTTATAACCCTGTGTGTTTTCAATACTATTCACATTCTCGACTAAATGCAGTCTCAATAGGTTGGCTCTTAGGCAACCTGGAAATAAACGCGAGGATAATAAATGGAAGAAATTGGAATTTTTATTTCATAAATGAACAACTACAGCATGCCAATGAAAATGACTGTGATGGATCTAATGTCTATGAGAAATCAGGCTGTAAACAAACTTTTTCTGTAATACGAAAGTCACTTAATCAAAGTGAATTCTCCACAACTCTCTCTCGGCGCCTCCCTGGAAGTCGCTGCGAGTGTGCATGGCCAGGATGTTGTCGCTGACCAGCATGTCGCCCTTCTGCCACGCGTGATAATATGCGACACGTCGGTCGTGCAAAAGGCTGTCTAGCTCGCGGCAGATGGCGTCAGAGACCTCGGGTGTCTGGCCATCAATTGTGATGTTGGTGGCCTCGAAACTGGTCTTGTTTTCGGGCCAGGGCTCGTGATACCTCAAGCAAGGCTTTCCAGTGACGGGATGGTCAATGACCAGAGGCAGGCCGTCCAGTTTGGTCGACTCGAATGAAGAGGTTCGCACAGACCACGTAAGGTTCCTCAAGGTCTCCAGAGGGAGAGAAGAGGGCAGGTTCTTCAAAACAAACGTGGATGTGGAGAAGAGAGTGAACCCAGTGTCAGAGGGAGAGGGCGTGACAGCAGTGAACAATTGGAATCTAGAAACTCAGTTAGACTTGTATGTTGGCGGCAATATTAGGTGATACGACTACTTACCGTGGTGGGTTGGGAAGCTTGTATACGGTTCCATCCTCTCTAGTGTGGTCCAGCGTCTTGAACAGGCCGTCAAAGTGGAAGGGCATCCATTCGGCGGACAGAACGTTGTTCAGACCACGAGTGTCTGCGCCGCGGTCCTTGACCTCGAGCAGAATGCCAAACTTCCACGGAAGCGGGGTTCCAAACTCCGAGGCCTTCTCAATGTACTTCTCGCGGTTCTTAGTGCCGGAGAAACCGCGCAGAATGACCGGGGAGTTGATCTCCGAAAGTGCGCGGACCTTCTGAGCATCAATGTCTTGCATTGAGAGCTTGTTGGGCCCCTCAGCGGGCTGAATGACAACACCACAGGGATAGTTGGGAGTGACGGTGATGGCGCCAGAGGCCCAGGTATATAGGTCGCTCTTCTCGCGGAAAAATGATGGTCTGCCATCCTCGTAGACGAGCTCCCAGCTGGGATCGTCCCAGAACGTCTGAGCAAGACCCGAGGTGATGGTTCCGTCTTGTCGGACAGCCACGGCGCAGTGCCATGGAGTGGTGTATGTAGAGTCGGTAGGCAGAGTGCTGACGGAAACCTTGTTGTGTCCAGTGGAGGGGTGGATAGACAAACGAACGTGGTTTGAGAACTTGTCGCGAACTGCACGGGCAAATGCCTGACCACGAATAAGCATCTGCTTGGCAATGCTCTCGATACCCTTCTTATACTTCGACTTGGTGAAGGTTTCCGAAATGGGATATGTATCAGCAAGATCAGTCTGAAGGAATCTGAGATAGCCACGATATGTCAAGCAAATATCCTCGTCTGATGTGATCTTTTCGTTGACATCCCAATCCTTGCTTCGGAAGTTGTTGATGAGCGCAATGCGGAAGTTGGTGGCATTGGCAACATATGAAACCTCGTCCAAAACTGCAGGTACCTCAGTAGGCACAAGGTCCGAAAGTCGTGAAAAGCGGATGTGGGCAAAGCCCTTTGTCTTTGCCAAGTTTCGGAGAGTCTCTCCGTATCTCCAGACGTCCAAGTCTGAGACGCTCAAGAGGTCTAAAGGTCACAAATTGTTAGCCAAAGCCGTTGCTAGTTTGATTCAAGAGTAGATACTAACCATTGTATACGATACCATCGGAAATGATGGTAAGCTCCGCTCCAGGGCTGTATACGTCCTTAATAGCCGCACAGAGACCGTTGAGATGGGCCAGAGCAAACTCCTCGGCCTTGTCCGGGACGCGTCCAAGGACCTTGACCTTGGTGTTGGGAGACTTGAAGGGGAAGGCGGGAAGGCACATCTTGATGGGCTGGTTGGCCTTCACATGGCTGTATGCCTGCGCCAAACCAGCGAGCAGACCAATATCCGACTCAATACCTTCGCTGCCCGCACGCTTGTTCTGATACCTGTAGATAACCTCGATGATCTTTGCGGCCATGTCAATGTGAGAGTGATCGAGAATGCGGCCCGACAAGGGCAGGACGACGTGGTCTGGAGTGCCTCGGAGGGCAGACTCCATCGGTACCGGGTCCATCATCTTGAATTAGTGTGTGTTGAAGAGACTAAAGGCGTTTGAAGTCGTGTGTGTAGCGAGTGATGTAACTTGAAGATGAACTTTCTCCAAGCGAAACACTAGTCTTGTCGATGAGTGGTCTTAGTAAAAAGAGTAACAAGGAAAACGATTGTCCACGCTGGAGTCTATATAAGATTCAGCTGTCCTTGGCGGTGAGTTGTTTTTTATTTTTTTTTCTCATTGTCTATTCCGCCAGCGCCGTTTTGTATTGAATCAGATTCTCACATAATGAGTAACCTTGGCGGGCTAACCGGCATGTTGACCGCTTTTTTTGCCGAGCAGACTCGGTGTTTCAGCACTGACTGTAGGTAATTCAGATCCTTCACATCCGTTTACTAGTCCTCGATGCTTGTTGACTTACCAGTAGCATGTCTTACAGGCGCGAACCCCGGACCTCTATGCTGCTACTGTAGGCAGAGCTGATCCTTTCGATTCGAGACCCTTGTATATCTAGGATTGTGGGTATTATCCTCGAGGATCTTATTTCCCGGGGCCGTAAGTGCAACCGTAAGCTTACATGACAGTTTGACCAACCATCTATCACTGTAATACTGGCAAGTTTATCTATATCCTACAAATTTACGATACAGACTGGGATAAATATTACAACGGCGTCAGAGGGGCGATGTGTAGGACTCTGACTGCATGGCGTTTAACGGTACGAGGGTTATGGTGTGCCAGTTCCTGGGCATTGCACTATATTGACGGGAATAAGGCTCAAGATATTATGGATGATGTACTTAAACTGCGGTTATCAGCTGCCTTGATTTGGAAACGTAGTATGCAAATCACAAATTGACAGTGAAAATTTGTTCATACAAGCGCTTGTCTGATGGTTGGTGACTGGAATCTTTACTACCCAGTAATAAGTAGAACATGTGTTGGCTACAATGTCAATCCTAATATGTAATACAATACTGTTCATGTGTCACAATTCATGTCAGCTTTCAGAGAGCAAAACGGAATTGGCTAGATAGTTTTCTGGTCAGAGGGTAAACAAAAGATGCTCCAGCTGACAAACTACACATCATGTCCCAGGATTATGTAACAACTCAAAAGAGAAAACTAGTGTATATCAAATGTAGTAAGAGAAGACATTGTTTACAATTAAAGTTATATAAAAGAAATATTAAATAAATATTTTATAGTAAATTATTATAATATTATATATATTTGTATTTAACTTTAGCTATTAGTTTAGTAAAATTTTATAAAATACTAAAGTAATAATACTTAAAAACCCTTGAAATAAAAAGAATATTACTAATATCTTAAAAAAAAAAAAAAAGTGTCCAATGTTACACTGAAATCTGTTTATAAGCTATTACTAATTGCAAATTGTTTATACAGCAAAAAGTCGTAGTTATTACAGTCCCTTACAGTACACTTGGCTTGTGGGACCCTCGACAGTTCGCTAACTATAGCAAGTTAGCTGGCTACTCTGTTTGGCAAATCATGGGAAAGCCTTGATCAGATTGTGACGAACCCACCGGCCATTTTTTCGAGGGAATACGGCAATCAATCAGAATGCGGTATATACGTACATCAGCCCAGTTTTTACAAGATTTGGCTTACTACATCGTACTTTGGTCTATAGAGCTGAAGTGCTGACGTTTCTTTCTCTATTGGGGATAGACGGGTGTGTATTCTAGTATGGAACTTAGCAATTATGAGTCGAAAAGAATGTGTCACGGCTACAGTAAGGCTCTCGTGGAGCATGTGCATCCACAAGAGGATTCGAATTACATATTTCATGTATTTATGCCAAATGCATAATATAGGCTTTTATGAACATCAATATACTTACTTGTACTTGTTGGCTTTTATTAATCTCTGCAAAGTATTATACCGCGTGGATTAGTAGCACCGACCTGCTTGTACAAGCAGCACTTACAGAATAAGCTGCATATTAGCGCAAGGCACTTCTGCAAGTACAAGGATAGGGCAGGATCGGACAATGGTGCGGAATCAGAGCTCAGTGGGGCCACTTTCTTCAACAGATAAAGTCAGTCTTAGCGTAAGCCAGGGTAGCAAGTACCGCTAGTACGAATAAGCAGTGGCGGAAACCTTACGAGGCACTATGCGGAGACACCTATGCACGAATTCTACTACCTCCCTGAACAACAAGGTTCGGCCCGAATACAAGCCATCTTGATGGCGAATGATTGAAGAAACTACCCTAGAGAGAGGTGTAGATGGGAAATCTTGAAGTCCTGAAAGTCTGAATATCTGGCTAGAAGCTAAATGTATGAAAGAGAGAGACAGAATAAGGAACCAAACACTTTTTCCCGTTGGACGTTCCATCAAATTCATTTGACATCTATTGAATGAGCTCTTTGTCCCGCATGTATGGGAGGAAAGGAGATCTACATAAATCTGCAGATTGATTCTTTAATAAACATCAACACTGTTAAGTTTTGCAGTCTTTCACGGCTATATTGATGTTGGCGACGAGTTTTCATTTTGCAGTCTATACATGTAAAACTTGAGTGTACAAACTTGATCACGTAAAGCTGTCTTTACTACTCCTCTAGCATGTGTATTGTTCGCGAAGCAGAACTACTAGTAAGTGCATCACTCACCAGTAAAATGACACACTAGCACGTGGGTTACCGATATAAGTATAAGATGGGTGTAACTTTCACATATCCAACTTGCAGTAGTATTTAACTATCTAATAATGGCGCTGCATCTAACGTGAAGCTAAGAAGCGTGAAGCCACATGTAAATGAATAGCTGTGCGGGTCTGTTTATGAACAGCATAAATATCCTTTACACATCTACATCTATTGCACTGCCATGTCCAAAAGTTTTTGGCATAATATTTACAACAATATTTACACTCTATCATGGACGCAGTTCAATAAACCAGCCAGAGATCATAACCTAAGGGTGATAGTATCATGATGGATGGCCAACAGATGCAGCCGTATTATTCTAGTTCTGAACATGTGCGCAATTCAATCGGCTACAGTTTTATTTCACAGAATCACAAAAGCCATTAGTGGACCTGACCATATCTGCTATTGAGTGAACGATTTTCTAGAGAACATATTCTATTCTATATAATTGACCTGCTTTGTTAACGCCTGTATCGCTTGTAACTTGGCATCTCCTATGAACAGAGACAGCTGAAACGTCGAACCAGCCGTTTTTGTACCAAGATGATACTACAATCCACCGACTAAAAGCTCAGTTCGGACAGTAGCGTTAGACTCTCCCAACGCCTTTTTCAAGCGTTCAGAAATCTTAGTTGCAACGATAGGCGTGATAGCTACCTGCTGGTCCTTGATCCTTAGTTTTACCGCGCCGAAAACCTTTTCATTGTCTGTCATCCTGTTCAGCATGTTTAACTCGGCTTCAGATACCAGAGTATCAAGGCGTTGCGGTTTAAAGGCTACTCCATCTTCACTGGAAAGAAAGCAAACATCTTTCAACCAAAACTGTTGAAGTATACTGGCTGGGCCGGTTATCTTTTCAGTGTCGGGCCTGTCAAAACTTGCAGCATGAAAGACAGCAGCGACAGGTAACTCGATAACTCTTGTTGTTCCAAATGGTTTTGAAGAGAGAAATGATTCAAGTGTAGCAGGTGGACCGAATATCGTAGTTGCCCAGGCAGACGTTGCGCCAACATACGGTATTCTGCTTTCAGGCGTGCCCTTGGACAGTCAGATATGGACAGTTTACCGGATGGGAGGAAGACTCTACCTGGGCTTTGTGAAATTCATCAATAGATGCCTGAGCATCGGCCCCAGATACACCAATTACCGCGCGCGCCCAGCTTCCATTTCGGTCGTCGGAAAGGGCAGCACTTCGACGATCTACATCAAGCCCAACTCGCAGCGAGATGGCAACGATCTCGGGCGCCACTGCAACCAAATCATCAAGCGAATGAGTTGTTGCTGCTGCAGCGGCTGGAACCTGGCCCGCACAAGAGGCGACAATCAAGACGTTTTGTGAAGCCCATGAGTTTCGAAGATCAGAGTCGTTCTCCAGAGCACTTAATATTGCATTAGTAACTTCACTGCAAGAAAAGGGTGATTAAGAGATCTAACACTATAAGAGATCCAAGTTGCGCAACGCATAGAATGAGAGTGCGTAATACTATATCCGGCGTTTTCTCCTGCCTCACTTTTTCTGCGAGGCTCTGAAACGAATCAAACTTGAGTCGTTCTTTTTCGGCGTCACTTAAGCTGTCCAAAGTATTTTGTACTGCGATGAATGAGTCTTGAAGATACTGGCTTATATATTTGGATTTATCAGAGTACTGTAAAAGCTCATCCATAGGAATCGCCGTCTCAGTTTGGTCTCCGAAAACGAGTAAATGAACTTCCGACATTTTGTCAACCTGATTTCCCACCGGATAGTAAAGCGTGGTATATGAAATGGAAGCAAATTTAAGTAGGTATATATGCGGGTATGCGCGTGTATATCGTGAGTTGCAGATGAATGATAGTCTCAAAGGCGTCGAGTCAGCTACTTGTTTTTTTTTTTTTTTTTTTTTTTTTTTTTTGCGAGAACACAATTGCTAAGCAGGGTTGTCACAGACTATAGAATCCAACGAAAGATAGAACCATGAGTGCGTTTCGGATTAACCGAGGTAGAATGAAAGAGCGATGCGTATCTGCTCTTGCAGTACAGTACCGTAGAATCTCTGTAAGCATACCCATGGTACCTAGTAATAATACCTTGTAGTATTACGCTGTGCATGGAATTGCGAGGAATATCACTCTGACTCAGAGACATCAAGCTTAGGCGATCTGGGGAGTATATGCATGGTCTAAACTATTATAGGAAGTCTCGCAGCTTCAACAACCGCATTTATGAACTACTATGTAAACAGATAAATAAGTTTCACAGGTCATAATGAGTCTGGGGGCAAAAACAGAAAAAAGGTTCCATGCACTGTACAGTACGGGATATGTGGGATGTTTAGCGACCTACCCTTACTGCTTACAGTACAGTAGCAGATGGGCTGCACAGGAAGCAGGGATAGGAGAATAAACTAGCCCACGAGAGCTAACAACACTCCACCTAAAATGTGACGACAAGTCCATTTTGGGGCATTTGTATACTTATCTCTGTGTAACTATTTTGCTGCCCCCGCTTCGTCCCGCTTAACTCTTTCTACTTTACAATTCGCCAAGTAGTAGGTACCTAGGTACTATGTATTATTTGCTCTATACCTGATAGTATACGCACTGAATACTTGAATACAACAGACATTGCTTTTCTCGTTTGGCTGTGTGTGCTGACAATGAATGTTGACAGGCGCGGATTTGCCATAGATCCTTTGAGAGATACTAACTGGCAAGCGCTTACGCAGAACCAGTTTATAAGGATGCAACCTAACTATCCGACCGGTCCGCAGGTGTTGTAAGCCTACGCCTAAGCAATATATTTATAATAATAATATTCAGGTACTTTTTCGAAGGAATTATCTTTTGCTGTTGTCCTTGCATAAACAATTAATAGAAATCAAGTGATGAAACTCTGAGATAAAATTCCAGGAGCTTTACTAGAATTGGAAACAAAACTAGAACTAAAAGATAATCATTTATAATATAATATATGTAAAATTGTTATCTACTAGTAAGATTTTACAATTCGCTTTTTCCGGGCTTTCCACTCTCTCTTGCAGTGGCTGACATCTGTTATAAATTTCTTCAGTAGCTGTCTCTTTTAGACTAAGACAAGATTTGTTATTGATTGAAACGTGCACCTCTCAAAATGGCAAGCTCAAACACAACCAGCCACACACCGGACAAGCCATACTCTGTTGTCAGTGAGGCTGCAAATGTGCTGAAAGATGGCATCTTGAACCATCCGCAGACTGTACAACATCTCATCAGTGGCTTGGATAAATATGCCGACCTCATATCATTTGAGGGCTCTGACAACCCCTCCTTGCCTGTGAATTGGCGATTCGCAGAGAGCATAGCCGCTCTGAAAGGACTGGAGTCTATATACGTCAATGCCATTTTGGAGAAGGTTTATGGCGTGGCCCCTCAAAAAGTGAAGATCAATACGTTGGTTGCCCATACACTACTTATTCGATCTGGACCACAATACTAACGATAAAATAGCGACCATGCGCTGCTATTCATCATGTCTCTTATGCTTTGGTCCATTGACCCTGAGGGGCGTAATGTGACATTTGGGGATACTCGCAGCGATCCCTCTGCCAAGGAATTGTATCATAGCCTTTTCAAGGATTATGATGTGCACAGATCTTTGGATGGCCCTTACCGGTGCTGCACGTCAAGCATGTACAAGACCAAAGACGGCAAATTTTATCATATCCATGGATCTATGAACCCAGATAGAATTCTTGATATGTTGAATCTTCCTCGAGAGCCTCCCACAGAAGACACCTTTGAGAAGCTGGTGCCGATATTTGCGGAAAAAGTGGCACAATTGAATAGCGACGAGCTAGACAAATTATCAAACGACGTGTGGAAGCAAGCTGGGTCCATTTGCTATCCCACTGACGAATACAGGGCCACCGAGCACGGTAAAGCTAATGCCCATGTCGGCCTTTGGGAAACGTGGAAGGCAAATGAACACCAGCCTCCAACTTGGTGGACCGACAATGGAAAGAAGCCTAGCGACCCGTCTCGCCCCTTGGCAGGATTGAAAGTTCTAGACGCCACTAGAATTATTGCTGCTCCCATTGTCTCTCGTGGTCTGGCCGAGCTTGGAGCAAGTGTACTCCGTATAACCTCGCCATCTGTCCCAGATGCGACGTTATATCATCCAGAGCTTAATTGGGGCAAGTGGAATGCGTCCCTTGACTTTAAAAAGGAAGAAGACCGACAGAAAATGAAGGAGTTGATAATGGAGTGCGATGTTTTCATTTCGAGTTACCGCCCCAAAGCATTGGCGAAATATGGGTTTGACGCGGATGATGTGCTGGAAATGTGCAAGGGTCGTGAAAAGGGCATCATTGTCGTCAGAATGAACTCGTATGGTTGGAACGGACCACTCCAGGACCGGAGCGGTTGGCAGCAGATCTCCGACGCTGTAAGTTACAACAGTCTTTTGTCAAAATTCGCATCTCTAACTGCATATAGTTTTGTGGTGTTTCCTACGAGTTTGGTCGCGCCATGGGCAATGACGAGCCAGTGACTGCTATATTCCCCAATACCGACTTTTGGTAGGTTGCTTCATGAATATTGTCTCAAATGTTGTAGGGAACTGTTCTCACTCAGATTTTTAGTGCCGGTATCAGTGGCATTTGCGCCGTCATGGATGCAGTAGTGCGAAGAGGAGAGGCCGGTGGCTCGTACAAAGTAAATGTAAGTCACGGTTTGCCCAGCTTCATATATCTCGATTCGTTATATGTTGCAGTTATCTAACAAACAACCAATTCTTAGCTGGCTCTCGACTACTACACCAACTGGCTGATAAACAATGTCGGAACATACCCCGAAGACGTTTGGAAGCAGCTTTGGGGAAGATATGGATCACCAGTCTTCCGACACCACGACCATATGCTCCAGCTTCTGTTCAGGATTATGCCGCTACTGAAAGAGCGATCTGGTTACTTATTCGACCCATCCTACTTCGAGACACGCCCCGCTCCGAATCTTGGTGTCTCTTTGAGGACAGTAAAGCCTGTCTTGCAATTTCCGGATGGAGTGGTGAAGCCTGGTTTCACAATCGGAACTAGAGGAAATGCAGTGGATAAGCCACAGTGGCCTGCAGATTTGAAAACACAGGTGATTGTATAGTTTATGTGAATAAAAACAAGAATAGACAATAGACCATATAGAAATATATCGAGATGCTACAAGGTTGTCACTTATTGTTCGACTTTGTAGTTGAAAGCTCAATGAGGCAGCGTAGCTTATGCAATTTGTTGCAGAAGATCTAATTTGCAATGCTTTATATTCAAAAATCTTTCCATCGTTCGTACATTCAATACGCGCGTTACGCATCTTTCTTCAAACTCATACGACTGCAGAGCCAGTACTGGTCCAAATTTGATATCGGAACTTGGTGTATATGATATTAAATTTCACACTACAAGAAAATAATTTTACGATGCAAATTAATGCAATATCATTACTCATATGTGCCATATCTTCTAGTAGTACCTATCATTTGATGAAGCCAAGTACATGGTAAACGAATAAACAATAAAGTATCGTAAAGTGCTTTATTACACCACTGCTGTTTCTTTACCTCATGAAGTATTTCTGAATTGAAATGAGTAATACCCAGTACGGTTACTTAACACTTCCAGCCCAACTATCGGCTTTGACAGGGGTTAAATATTTTACTTGTCTACGTAAGGGCCAAATACTTGTAGTTTGTTACATTAGGGGTCAAATACTTTTCTGTTTACGCTGCAAACAATAGATTCCGCTTCAGTTAGAGTTGGTATACTGACTGACTTGATTATTAGACAGATGGTGAAGTATAAAATTGGCGTTCAGGTTGCCTCTACAAACAAACTCAGCATCCATCTTCAGCTTACACTCACCTCTCTTCCTCATTCAGCTCTGGTTCAATTTTGGAATTGCAATTATTCGAGCCCAAGAGAATTCGATCTTTGCAAAGAACGAAAGAATATCCAAGTAGCTAAGCTAAGAACTTCAAAATGTTGGAACAAACTGTCGACTTGGCTGTTGTTGGTGGTAGGTGATCCATGATATGGAGCATCTTTTTCGCTCTAGTTCAAAGGGCTAGAATAGTGTTATCTATTCTAACTTCTTTTTCTCTTCAATTGATGGAGCTAATCTCATGTCTCACTTTTAGGTGGACCCACTGGTCTCTTGACGGCTCTTCTCGCGAAACGACTTGGAGCTTCAGTCCTTGTCCTTGGTAAGTCAAGCCATCATCCAAGCCATAATACCCAGTCTCGCCGATTTGGACCCTTGTGCGAGGCGGAGATATTGCCCATCTCATGCACAGATCGCTGACAGATCACCTGCAACAGAAACCAAGCCCCAGCCCCTGCAGCTAGGTCGTGCAGATGCATTGAATGCCAGAAGTCAACAAGTCCTGGAAGTCGTTGGCATCCTCGACGAGCTCTTGGCCCAGGGACTCAAATGCAACAGTAAGTTGTATCACGTAATCTGATGATTCATAATTAACCACCTCATAGCGAGTTCCATCTTCGCAAATGGAGAATTCACTGCTCGCCGCAGCCACTGGTGGGAGAACCTGCAGAATGTCCACCACAAGAACTTCTTGATGATTGGACAGCCCATTGTCGAGCAGCTGCTGGCTGCCGCGCTTGGCGACTCAATTGTCTTTTCCGAGCCAGTAGAGTCTGTGCGTGAGACCTCGACAGGCGTTGATGTAACAGCAGTATCTGGCCGCATCGTCCACAGCACCTACTGTGTTGCCTCAGACGGAGCCCGCTCCATGGTCCGCCAGTCGCTTGGCATTCCTTTCACTGGTACTAAGCCTGAGATGACATGGGCTGTGCTTGATTGCTTCATCGACAGCGACTTCCCTCGCGTGCCGGAGATTATTACCTTTGAGCTGGACGGACAATCCCGCGTTGCATGGATTCCTCGAGAGCGGGACCTGTGCCGATTCTACATCTTACTGGACGGAGAAATCACGGAGGAAAAGTCAAAGGCGTCGATCAAGGCGCACTTGGCTCCTCACAGAGTCGAGTTTACTAAGACTGAATGGTTCAGCACTTTTGAAGGTGAGAAATCTCATTAATATCTAACCCTCGTCCCCCCAGACCCCTGCTCCTCCACCCTTCTATATCCACTCCACAGGGCTGGCTTAGCTAGCGATATTGCCACTTTGAGGCGGAAGCGATGAATATGCAAGTCAGACAGGCTAAGCTGACACCCACATTAGTCAAGGAGAGACTTGCCGAGACCTTTGTGTCACAAAGCCGCAACGGTCGAATCATCCTTGCCGGTGATGCTGCACATGCGCACTCCGTCAACGGCGGACAGGGTCTCAACACTGGCCTTTCAGATTCCTTCGGTCTTGGATGGCGCTTAGGTTATGTCTTGGCCCATGCCAACGAGCTGCAGCCAGGGGCTGCGCACAAGATCATTGCTAGTTTCGACACGGAGCGCCGCAAAGTTGCAGGGAACGTCATTTCAGTTGCTGCGCGTCTTGTGCGAGATACTCAGCACGAGGGTGAGCAATATGTCGGCAATGTGGAGAAGCATGCCGCATACATTACAGGAATGGGTATTACCTACAGCGGCCTTGAGTCAGAAATCGTGCAGGAGTCGGGTACTGGTGCCTGGAAGGCGGGCAACCCCTGCCCTGACTTTGACTTGGTTGCTGCGGGAGACTCTACTCCCAAGCGCCTCTACAGCTCGGTCCCATATGGCAACTTTTTGTTCCTTGTGAAGGGTGACATTACTGATCATGTTGGCAAGTTTGGTAAGCTCGTTACCGATATCAAGCTGGTGCCCAAGCACGCCATCCAAGGTAGCACCGGTGGAGACAAGGCCCTGGTCTACGGCACTGACTTTGTGGCCGATGACGATTCCTTCGTTGCAGCCGTGGTTCGCCCCGATATGTACGTCGGATATTCGGGCTCAGTAGATGGAGCGGTGAAGTACTTGGAAGAGTTGTTCGCTCCTGCAAAATAAATGTGCTCATAAAGGAAAATATATATATAAATTTATGTCTTACTAGAATTCAATAGACTGCTCAAGATTCTCTTTACTGTTCACTCAAGTTAAAGCTAGTTGTTTATCACCGGGCAATAAACGCTACTGAGTAATTTCAGATACCCTCTCAAAAAATTGTTTCAAAACCTCACAATACAATGGGTTCTACCAACACAGCAACCATTGAATCCAAAAACCTCTTCGATGTCTCCGGTCTCGTCGCTGTAATTACCGGCGGAGGTTCTGGTAAGTAATATACAATTTCCTCCACACTTCTCATCCTGTGAGATTCACCCGCCTCAACATCTCCTTTGGCATAACCTTGTCCGGATATAGAGTTAGGAATTGATGATCATATTTACGACTATCATTCAGGAATTGGTCGTATGATCACCCGTGCTCTTGCCGCAAATGGAGCACACAGAGTCTATATTATTGGTCGTCGTGTGAGCGTTCTGGAAAAGACAGCCACAGAATTTCCCGACATCGTCAAGGCTCTGGAGTGTGATGTCACCTCCAAAGAGTCGCTCAAGGCCGCCGCCGACCTTATCCAGAGCGAGGTTGGATACATCAACCTTTTGTGGTGTAACTCGGGAACTTCTGGACCCGAATCTAAGACCCTAAACAACAACTCTTCGCTAGAAGAGTTTATTGAAGAGAACTGGAAACACTCTGTGGATGAGTACGCCGACACCTTCAAAATTAACACTGCTGGTTTTTGGTACACTTCGCTTGCCTTCCTGAAGCTTCTCGATGCCGGCAATCGCCAGAAGAACGTGAATTTCAGCAGTCAAATCGTCGGCACCTGCAGCACGCTTGGTTTCGGAAGATTTGCTCCCACAGGACGCTTCGCGTACGGCCAGAGCAAGGCATCGCAGCAACACATGATGAAGCAGCTTTCCACACACATGGTTCCATACGGCATTCGAGTGAACTCTATTGCTCCAGGACGTGAGTGTTCAGTCCTAAACATCAGTTCTAATGAATGAGTAAACTGACTTCACAACAGTGTTCCCGACTGATATGACTTCGGCCATGACTACGAGTGGTTATGACCCTGCAAAATTGATCCCAGAGAAGAGAGCTGGTGAGGAAACTGACATTGCTGGCGTCGCCCTGTTCTTGGCTAGCAAGGCAGGCTCGTACCTCAATGGAAATGTGTTGGTGTGCGATGGTGGACGAACATCAATTGTTCCCTCAACGTACTAAGTTGCGTTGGGTGAAATAGTTAGGGAAAATAAATTTTAAATGGTCGAGAGTTTCTGAACATGCACTTGCTGAGATATATATTGACTGTTGTAGCACTAACCCTGTTCAAGCGGAATTATTAATATCGTTGCTTAAATATGGCTGAAACATTTTGAGCGTAGTTGACTATATGGAATTAATTTGGAATGTTGTGTAAGAAGAAAATGCTCCGGTAATTATAGGAATCAAAGTGCTATACTGTAAATACATGGAGCGTAGTAGTCTAATTAGTTGTTGTTATTATACAGAGGCAAATATGACCCGGATAGTATCTCAAGACATACTTATATGAATATTTCTCCCCCAACATAGGCCAAGTAAGAAGATATTGGACCTCCTCTTTTATACAATTATTACCTAATCCCCGGATTGGCTGATAGTTCTACGAAGAACACGTGTTTATCAATAGGGGTAAAGGAGGTAAATGCTTCTTCTATACACCGTTTGACGAGATGCTGTGTTGGGTGACTATCATTGTCAGGTTTGAGTTTAGCACTAGGGGGTAAAAAAGAAGTTTGACACAAGCAGAGTTCAAGTCTAGATTGCAATTGCCATTCAATAGCTGTTCTCGCCAGATGGTGAAGCGAGAAGAGAGTAGGTATTTACGAGTCACTTACGACAATGGCCAGGCCAGGGTGAACTGGACAGGGTCTGCCTGTCCTGACTTTTGCCGTTGCCGAGGAATCCACAGAGATATGATGTGCTTCGGAGAGTTTTTGCGCTAGTTTTCGGATTATATTGAACGATGGCAGCTTCCTACTGCAGTACGATTTCCCCTGGCTGTTGACATGCAGCCATAGCACCCTTGATCCACCTGTCGTAGCCTGAATGCGGATGGAAACTCATCCGGGACCAGCTTTAGCATCCTGATCCCCACTTCTACTTTCCCAGCTTTCATCACAAGAATCAATCCGGTCATGTTCACAAGTGATATGTTGTTGTAATGGGAGTATTGTGTATACGGTGCTTGTATTGGCCGTGGTCATGATTTCATCCCCTGAGAGATACAGAATCCATCTTCAATATCAACCTCGAAATAGGACGTGAACGATGAAATTGCTCTTCAATTATCCTATATCTTTCCCAGAAATTTCGGTTTAGTGATATCTTCAAATATGCGCGCAATACACTCAATCATATGAGCTTTCCTACGCAATCATACCATTAGTATCTTGATCCTTTTTGAAACACTATTAAATATCATGAAACAGACATATTCCATCGAAGCTCTTATACTACACACTGACAGCTTTAATTTGACATATTTCACAATGCATTTACATCCAGCTAAGCTAACGCTAAGCATCTGTCTACTTTCTCTGAGCAATCAGATTTTGTGAGATTGAAATATGTGGAGCGATTAGACTGCCTAGCCTTGCAATCATATTCATCAACTGGTGTCATTTTTGTCTATTATATCTAGCTTTCTTTTAACGTATAAGCTATATTTACTGAAGGTAACTTTAGACCTTCACGAAGAAGCTACTTTTGGTCCTCATGAGACGCGATACACACATAATGCAAGTACCAACCGCAGTCGTGACGCCAGTCCAAAGCCACACCCCTACAAATCCTCCCCTGGATTGAATGGCGCCGGCTATGGGATTGCTTACGAGCACCGCAAACGATAGGAAAGCCAAAGCAAGTCCAACCCGCGTCCCAATCAGCTTTGGATCGGGACACAGCCCAATCAGCACAACGGGTTGTAGCGCAAAGAATAAGCCAGTAACGCCTCCATAAAAGGCACTCACAACAATGAGCGAGGCAACATTGTGTGTGCCCTCAAAGCCGAATGCAAAGACGAATGTCAAGATGGTCGACAGTACTAGCATGTTGAACGGTCCTGTATAGGCGCTGACAAAATTTGGTAGTATACGTCCGATTGCTGAGGCTGCATTCATGATTGAGATGATGTAAAAGCTAAGATCCGCACTTGCAATCTTGGTTTGAACTGCGTATACCTCCACGTAAAAGAATGGGGTGAAAGCGCCGAGGAGATAGATGAAGTTACCACACAGGAATACAACAAATGGCCAGTCGGTAAATGCGGTCTTGTCAATGAGTTTCCGACCAGCACTAGGAATCATGCGTGGCTGAAGAAACAGCACTGGGAGCAGCAGAGTCGCGAGAAGAATAAACCCGATAACACGCACTGTCCAGGGAAAGCCAATCTTTGGTTCAAGTTCGCGGTAAACAATAGGCAGAATAATGCTTGCAGCCGAATCAAGTTAGTACACCCAGTTCCTGAGCCCAAAGTGTGTCAAGACTTCACTCACCCTCCAATTCCGGCCCCCGAGGCCGCAATTCCCTGCGCCAGAGGATAAAGCGTTGTGAAGTAGGTCGATAACACCGTAGGAGATAGGAACGACGTTAGGCCACCGCCAAACCCAATTAACAACGATTCGGCCAAGATAAACTGCCAGTATTCCGTGCAAAGACTCTGCATCATCGTGCCAAAGACAATGAGTATTGTCCCCACGACAACCAAGAGCCGTGTATGGCCGGCATCATACAAAGGTCCCGCAGCGCAATTGACAAAGAAAAGAAGAAAACTTTGGATTCCACCAATAAGAGATGCGCGGGAGGGGTCGAATCGAAAATGCTCTGTGTAATAATTCTGGTAGATGCCAAATGTGTTGATGAGGCCTGTCAATTCATTATTGGGTGGTCAGCAAAAAACAAGTAGTCCTGCTATAATCTAGTAGCTTTGTTTATCGAGGCTGTCATACCATATGTGTTGAACATTAACGCAAAACCACAGGCAACCTGGAGCCAAGCCTTCCACCCTCCATTTGGGCGCGTGGCCATCAAAGTGGCTTGATCTAGCTGAGATTCATTCTTCGATTCCAATGTGGCGCCATTTTTCTCTGGCTTGGCAGTAAAAGGCACCATCTCCGCAGGTTCGGCCCCTGTTCGCTCAACAGCTGATTCACTATCCGTGCCATTGGCATCGATTCCTCCCAGGCCGCTAGGCTTGGTGTCCGTCATGATTGGTAAAGATGATGGACTGTCGAAGTTTAGTTCTGACGAAAGGAATGTCACTAGTAATACGGGGCACCTCAGTTTATGGCCAGCCGAGAGGTAAAATGGATGAAAGCCGCTTATTCGTGTCAGCCTTCTCCACGTCGTTGCGTATACTACAAGGTCTTAGGTGCGGCCCGATACGGATCGGAGCGCTCGGATCTGGCAGACTAACTTGTGCTACTGATGCTTACTGAAGACCACTCCGGTAGTCGTCAGTTAAACTTATAGTAAGCTCATTAATCACAATTCATCACGATCAATCACCTCGGCCCATATAAATCACGGCGAGCGGCAGGGGTTAAGCCGCGGTGATCAGGCAACAAGGATTGAGCGGTAGGCAACAAGCGACGACGAAAAATCGACACAGGGCAAGGAATAAGCGGCAGCAAATAAGCAACAGGGATCTGTGATAAGGAATAAGCAGTGGAGAGAAGGAATCCGCAATAAGCGGTAACTATTACCGGCAGCATTGATGTGGGATGCTACGGTAGTGGTGACCTTTGCCAACGAAACAGGGTGTGCTGTACCCCTGCATGGCAACGTTAGACCCCTAGATCCAGCACCTTAATCTGGGTGTCAGGCAGTAAAGTTGCGGCGGAGTAATTGACCCTGGCACTCCACTGAGTCGATCACTAGCAAGCATAAGCAAAAGGCTGTAAGAGGAAAACGGTAAACAATGAAAACTTTTCTTTTTGTAATCACAGGTAAGAAAGAATACTGCGGTGCTTTAAAAGATTTAAAGGGAAATTATAGAGAAGGTAATAAATAATCTTTAATAATGTTTTTTTTTTTAAAAAAAAAAAGTTACATAATAAGCAATTGTAAGATAATTACAGTATATATATGTTGAATAATATATGTACTTTATTTTAGAGTAATAATTTATTACTAATTTACTCTAAGTTTAAGAAATCTTTACCTACTAGTTAATTACTATTACACAGGTGCTTGTATATATAAACATCCATGTTGCTGTTAAAAATGTGGAGAAAGTTTTATAATCAAGCTCCATCCACTAGATTTTAGAACTGGATGAATATACGTCTCTATTGCATTTGAACTCTGTTGCCAAGTGTGGCTTATATCAGCAGACTTACAGCACATCCCCCTGGCTCTAGTTATATCATTGCGCCTGGAGTGTAGCTGTTAGAAGAGGCATATATATCCGTCAAAAGACTACTCATGAATTGTAGAATCTGTGTCTGATACCCAAGTTTTACATTTCGTTCATCTGCAGTGCCAACCTGCGCTTGAAACAACAATAAAATCCTCTCGTGCCACGAGTATCTTACACAACTTATACATTCAGTTCCATCCAGCAATTAATCAATCCAAAATGGCTTTCAAGGTTATCATCATTGGTGGTGGCCCGGTTGGACTTTTCCTTGCAAACAGTCTGCAGGCCGCCGGAATCGACTATGCGCTTTTCGAAAAGCGAAGCGCTGTGGCTCCCACAACTGCATTTGGTATTTTCCTTATGCCTCAAGTCACGAGGATGATGGAACAGCTAGGTCTCTTGGAGAGCTTGAAGAAGGTGTCTCATCAGATGACGGGCATGGTGCACCGTGATGCCAACGCAAAGCACCTAAGCGAAGATCAGGATTATGCCGCGTTTTCTCAGATGTAAGTCGGGAATAACGAGATGCGTGGTTTCGAAACTAACATTCTTTCTGTTCAGTCACGGCTATCCTGTAGTTGTCACAGACCGTGCCAGCCTTTCTCAGGTTTTCCTTAGTGGCCTTGATAAACCAGAAGAGCATATCTTTACCAGGAAGGAACTTACCAACATTGTGCTCGGCAAAGATGGCGTGACTGTGGAATTCGCTGATGGCACAAGCCATGAAGGATCGATTGTCGTCGGCGCAGATGGCATTTGGAGCTCAGTTCGGGACCACTTGCGCAAGATCTCGCCCGCGGGTCTATTCGCCGAGAACCCGTTTACAGCGTCATTCACTGGCGTTTTTGGAAGAGGACCGTTGTTTGACGATATTCCTTCCGGGCAGGGAGCAGAGGTGCACGGAGATGACTGGGTGATCCAGGCGTTCCCTTCTCAGAAAGAGACGCACTTGTTTATCTATAAGCGCATCCCGAGATGCACCGACAGAGTTCCCTTTACGACAAATGTGCCGCAAGAATTGGTTGAGGAATTCGCAAACGTCAAATTGACACCCAAGGTCACATTTAAAGACTTGTGGGATAAGCGGTTTGCTGCAGGCCACGCAAATTTCGAAGAGGGTGTTGTGGAGCTGTGGCACTGGGACCGCGTTGCTCTTGTGGGGGACGCAGCTCACAAGGTACGCTGAAAAAGAAACGCCCTCTAGCACTGGAGATAAGTCACTAACATCATGCAGATGAACCCGAAATGGGGCGTTGGCGCTAACATCGGCATGGAGGCTTCTGCCAATCTCACTAACAAGCTTGCGGCCCTGTTGAAAAATGGCTCAACGCCTTCCACCCAGGAGCTTTCGCAACTGTTTAACAAATACCAAGGGGAGATGGAAGGCAAGGCCGGAACCTGGGAACGAATTTCCATTTCCAATCTTGACCAAGCCACTCACCCAGGCGGACCTCAGATTGAAGCCATGAGGCAAATGGCCATCATTCGTGCGCCTTCCATCATTTCAAAAGCATACAAGCTTGAAAATGCCCCTCACAAAGCAGAGAACCCATCTCAGCTCCCGTGGCTGTACTAAGAAAGATATATGCAAAATGGTATTCTGATTGAGTGGTTAGCGTTGGAAAATTATAGAGGATAAAAGTTCAAATGAATACAAACTTGCATGTAACAAAAACCATTAATTTACAGTAGGCAAGTCATGTGACGTTGCGCAATTTATCGCCTGTACCAATCTGCATGTCAAAGGAATACGAATAGCCTCACCAAGCTTGATTACATTGTACTTCTCCTTGTCCATTCTCAACGCACTGTTACAAAATGAACATGGCATCTACCTTATCTGCCTATGAGATTGGAGAAGGCTTTCCTGTTCTGCTTGTTCATGGATGGGAAGCGGAAGGAAAAGTTGAAGAGCTAGATTTTGAGCCAATTTTTGTTAAAGTGCCGGGACTTCTCCGTATTTACGTGGATCTTCCTGGTATGGGCGCGACAGCTGCCGATAATGTCAAAAATCTCGACGATATATACCTCCGCCTGGCCAATTTCATTGACTCTCGGCTGCAGAAGTCAAGATTCGCACTTATTGGTTCATCATTGGGCGGATACCTTGCACGCGCTATAGCTCAAAAATATCGCGATCAAGTCGATGGCTTACTACTCCGAGTACCGGTTATTGAGCCCGAGAATAGCAAACGAAATCTTGATCCTTACAGTCCATTGGTAGAAAACAAGGAGCTCATGTTGAATTTGTCAACGGAAGACAAAAGCCTTCTTGGAAATGTCCTTGTTCAAACGCCTGATTACGTCCAAACCCTGAAGGCAAAAGTTGACAAGGTTTACCTTCCGGCAGAGAGAGCCACTGATAAAAAGGCTTTGGACCCGATTCGATACGATCCGCAGCGATATCGCTTATCCATTCCTTTTATTGATGAAAATATCAAGTTCTTGGCGCCCACACTTATTATTTGCGGTCGGCAAGACGAAGTCGTGGGTTACCGAGATAGCCTTCGTCTCCTGGAGCTTTACCCTAGATCAACGTTTGCGGTTCTGGATCGTGGCACTCATGGCCTTCCTATCGATGAGACTGGTGTTTTTGAAGCGCTTGTTCGCGATTGGATATTCCGGGTCAATGAATGGCGAGGTCGCACAGAAAATTGAGAGCCATTAAGAACTTGCGTGAGCTTTCAGCTATGCGCAGGTTAAACAGCCTTGTCAACTTCGTACATGTACGTGCAAATGATCAAACATCTTACGGGATATTCAAGTTTTGCAATGAAGGGAAGAGGGTAAAGCAGTAGAATTCCGATTCGAGATAGTTCTATCTGGTATAGGGTAGTGTATATAGCATGGCTCTAGATCCTCTGTTATACACGCCGCCGCTTCACAGACAATGTTCGATGAGACAGGGAGGAAAAGAACCACATGAAAGGGTTCAGAAAATAGAAGAATATGATCAATTTTATTAACAACCGGGTATTTGGTACCGGAAGGAGAAGATGATTCATTACGCAATTATAAATAGAACTACTTATAAGCAAATAGCTTTTCTATTAAAGAACATTACTAGGTAGTTATATATTGTTTTGTGTTTTGGAGATATGTTATATACAAAAAATGCCTTGTCATAAAATCTCAACCAGCGCCGACTCGTCTCGGTAGTTACACCTAAGCTCCTGACAGCTTTGTTAGCTGGACTCACGCAACTGGAGTTCTGAAGGCAGGTGGTAGCACAGAGGGTTGGCATTGTTTACTGTAGCAGCTTTACTAAATGCCAGGCGGTATTTACGCCTGCTTCCTTAATAGACATGCAAATGAGACCTGCAGGGACGTTGGGTTTAACGGCCCTTGGGAGTGGGCTTGGCAGGGCTCTTGGCGGTGCTCTTGGCGGTGCTCTTGGCTGTGCTCTTGGCTGTGCTCTTGGCTGTGCTCTTAGCGGTACTCTTGGCAGTGCTTGTGCTCTTAGCTGTGCTCTTGGCAGTGCTCTTGGCAGTGCTTGTGCTCTTAGCAGTGCTCTTAGCAGTACTGGTAGACTTCGCAGTGCTCTTCGCAGTGCTGGAGCTCTTCGCAGTGCTGGAGCTCTTAGCAGTGCTTGTGCTCTTGCTTGTGCTCTTGGCGGTGCTTGTGCTCTTGGCAGTGCTTGTGCTCTTGGTACTGCTGGAGCTCTTGGTAGTGCTGGAGCTCTTTCCGCTAGCTGGGCCGGACTTGGAGCCCGAGCCGGAGTTTGAACCGGAGCCGGACATGCCAAGTCCGCCGCTGTTCAAGCCATTGCCGCCCATGCCGGCGCTAGAGCCGGTGCCCTGGGGAGTGTCTGAGTTGTCATCGGTGCCAGTGTTGACATATCCGATGCAGCCCTGAGCAATGGGAGCACTGACCTGAACAGGAATGAGGTCGTATGTGTCATCGCCGACGAAATCACCTTCGAGAACAGCCTGGAGGCTGTTCTCAAAATGAATGTCCCAAGCAATGCCGTAGCAGCTGCCGCCGAGACTGACATCGATTTCACCATCGTCTCCGACGGAGGCCGCGATTTCGAAGGAGCCCTCAGCAACGATGGAAGGAGTATCAACGATACCGGCGTCCAGCGAAAAGGTCCCGTCAAGAATATCGATGCCAACGCCTATCTCGATGGGCAAACCCAGCGACGCCCTAAGATTAAGCTCACCAGAAGCTTCGGCCATATGCGAGAATTGAGGTGAAAGGCCATTTGAGTGGCTGTTGCTAGAATCAAGCAAATCCAACATGATGTCAATGTTTGGCCAAGCTACGGAGGCGCCAATAGCCAGAGTGCCAGTTGCATCAATGGTCACCTCAGCGTCTACTGAGACGCTGATGAATGGACCGACATCGATGATTAGGGGGATCTCAAAGCCGCCCAAGCCAATTCGGGCCAGTTCCTTCTTCCACTCTTTCTCATATTTGAAAAACGCCTCCATTCCAAGGTTGAGTCCTGCTGCAAAGTTGGCGGTGAGTCCCACTTGCAGTGTGTCGACGCTAAGGTGTAAGATGGATGCGTCAATTTCACCCCAAAGTGTTGCTGAACCACCAAATCCACACTCAATACAGTAGAGAGCCAAACCATACTCGAGATCACGGGCAGAGTGAGCAGAAACGGAGGTATCGTTTGAGCGCTTATGGTGGCCGCTGGCGTCAGCAACTTCGCCCTTTGAGTAAGAATCATCCGGTTCGCCTCCATCAGAACCCCATTTATACAATGGAGCAGCATTTGGCCACGGGGCGTCGGGATCGGTACCGAGGTGGTCGTCGTCCTGAAGCCAGTAATCCCAGGATAAGGTAACTGATTCGGTATCTCGTGCAGCAAGAGCGTGCGGCTCGAACATCTAGAATGATGACGGTCGTGTTAGCAGATTTTAGCAATAGAAGCATGATGTAAGAAAACTGCAAGAGTAAAGAAAGCATCACGGAAACGATATATAACACTTACGTCTCTCTTATCAACAGCGCGCTTCGCCGATGTAGATCCGATGTTGCCCCATTTGAGATTCAGATGGAGAGCTACATCGGTGAAGGCAGCTGAGGCTCCAGTGGCAGTGAAGCTCTTATTGCTATCGGAGAAGGAGATCGATTTCGCATGAAAGAAGTCGTTTTGGTTATCCAGACCACAGCCGTCCACCGATGTTACAAACACAATATCTGTGGCCCCGGTCCACTCTTTCTTCGCAAATCCGTACGCGTTGTCGCTCAGAGTGCCAGTAAGGCTACCCTTTGTACAGCTAACATCGGTTACGAATAACGAATGGTCAAGCGGGATTGTCGGAAAGGCAAAAGTCATGAGGGCTTGAGACAAGATACCGCCGTCGCGCTTGAGCATTCGTCGCTGAGGGCTCGAGTCGGTGGAAGAGTTGTCAGGCGAGCCAGCCCATGCTAGGGTGACATTGGTATCAAGAGAGAGAACAAAGAGGTCTTCCGGGTCAACGCTTGGAGGAACAATGGGTTCCAGGCTCGTTTTTGTGCCATTTGTTGTAGAGTTGGAAGAGTCATCACGACTGTTGAGTTGAGGCACACTGGGGTATCGAGCCTCATGACCTTGCGGAGCGGCAGAGGCTGGATTGCCAAAGAGAAAGGCTGCTGCAAAGCCTAGGTAGGCGATGCCTTTAGGGGATAACATCTTGAATAAGAAGTCGCCAAAGATGGCGGGTGAAATCCACGAATAAGAAAAACCTGGATCTCACGGAAACACAGGGAACGAAGAGGGAATATCACGACGAAGAGGACGAAACTCCTTCCCTTTCACTGTATATTCTTTCTCTTGATCACGGTAGAAGCGGGACAAGGCCGTGAAGTCCCCTGATGATATATTCCATTGCTCTGTGGACAATCTTCCTCTTCAGCTACCCCGCTGCATGGCCTTGAGTTGTAACTATTAGACGGTTTATTGAAAAACTTGCAGTAGTACGCGCATTCAACCCCTTGTATTTTGACTATCGCGGTCCCAGCTGAGCCCTATCATTTTGGCTAGGCCGTCTTGGGCCTCCACCGTCCCGGCTGAAGGCGAGTTGCTTGTCAATAACGCTATTTTCGGATTTTAGTTTTTAACTCTTTACTTTACTCTTATTTTACCCTTGTGGGTCCAGGAGCTAAAAGCTTGACTTGGATGCAGGGTCTTAGTGTCAAGCAGCGCAGCTAAAGCTACTATCCACTGGTCTAGTATTGCCTAGAACGTTCGTCACCGTAAACTTGTTCCAATCTATTGATATATTTTCATGCGATGAAGAAGCGAGATATGAACGGCCATTGGTTAAAGAATCAGCTGTTTAGAATATTGATCTTAGCTATTCCAACATTACGCGAACACTGATTTGGTATCGTGATGAGCTGTTCTCGGTGTCCCATCGTAGTAATCTTGCGGGGATCTTGGAGCTGATACTGATCAAATATCGCTACCATGACTTCCTAGCACTCAATACTTATACTGCACATACAAGTAATACAAGCGAAATTGGTCATGGATGTTGGCCCAGCAATTCCCATCTAGACCCCAAAGCTCCCATCTGGACCCCAAAAACTCCCTGGTCTCGAATCGCGGAACCCGACAGCTGGGCACTGGACTAGCAGGGAATACAAGCCCGGCTTCTAATCAATCAACTTTACACCTTTTTCTATTCAATTTTGTCTTTTATTTTTTCTTCCTCTAATTGCACGAAGCTAGTCAGGGGTTCCGATGCCCATCTGAAGCCTCTCGCCCTGCGCCACCTTGGAGTAGTTGGAATCTGCCCTGATCTAACAGCGGTTGGCTTAGACCGGCAAATGGCCCCGTTCCTGGCGCCAAGAGATGCCTCGATCGCGCTATTGCTTGGCACTATTGCCTCGAGCTATTGCCTCTTAGTGTAAATATAGCATCGCCAGCACCTAGTCACGCTGGCCCTCTGTGGCCGTAGATCGCTGCGTGGCCAATTAGTAGTACTTTTCTACAAGCAAACTACTGGACAGCTGCGCCTGATATCCACTTAGCTTGATGCTACTCCATGACAGCTTGCGTCTAGAACGCGCCGACCGCTACGGCTGAGTGTTTGGAAGGTCTATCGCCCCGCGAGCAATTTTACCCATTGCCCGTGGTGCTGAAGGGATCAGCAAATGCTGCAAGCGAAGCTGGATCGCCACCCAAGACAGCGGATAGAGCTGTATAAATCGACATGCGTCTGTCTCTCGTCTCTCTCGAATGTTTGTAGCAGTGCATCCAGCTTCTCTTTCTTCTCAACCTCAAGGCACTGCTCAGTCCTTTCTCGTTCACCATGAAGACTGCACTTCAAGTTCTGGCAGTTTTGCCATTCTTGGCGACTTCAGTCGTTGCCACCAACCCGGTAACGACTTGTCGTACGGAGCTTGGCACCAAATCGACAAACCATGTGTCTACTGTCACCAAGACATCTACCAGCAGCCATCAGCCCACCACTACCCTCACTATTCGCCCGACGGTGACAAGCTATGTTGGCCTGTGGTACACTGTTACCGGATTCGCCACCAAGACCAAGACTGTCACGGATAGCACTGTGACCGATACCTTTTCCACCACGTCCACCGTGTTTGCTGTTGAGACGGACACAATCACGGCTACCGTGACTACCACTACCACAAACACTGACACTACCTCGTCAACCTCGACCACCGTGGTGCCAACTACTGCGGGCTTCCGAAACATTCAGGACACGGTCAACTCCGATACTCTGAACCGTCGTGCTCTCGACCACCCTCACCCTCCCCGGGCCCAGGTGAAGAAGCCCCAGGGTCTTAAGGCCTCAGTGTACCCTACCAAGGTGGATTGTAAGTTATCGCATTCACTTCTCACCAAGCAACAGGGGCGTTAGCTAACTCGCTTACAGGCACCAAGATTCTGCCCAACACCAAGACCAAGACTGTGCAGTCAACCGTCCACCCAGTCACAGAAACCATCTTCTACTGGAGAGAGACTACCAAGACCAACACTCTTACTTCTACCAAGACTGTTGTTCCCGCTGATGTCTCATCTACCATTACTTCCACTTACACATCCAGTGTGACAACTTTCACCACAACCTTTGAGACTAGCACTGTCACAGCCTCCACTACCACTACCGCCATTATTCCTGGCCCTACCGTCTATGACGCGTGTAGCGCACTGAACACCTTTGGCCCCAACTTCAGCAACAGTGGAAGAAACTACTATGCTGTCAACGTCGCCAACAACGGACCGGGCGTCGGTTCCGACTTCAGCACTGTCGCTGATGGCGCCACCACCGCAACCGACTGCTGCAATGCTTGCCAGCAATTCGGAACTTGCGAGACATTCATTTTCCGCCCGAGAAACCGAAACTGCTTCTTGCTGTACCACCCTGGCGAGACCTGCTCATCCCAGTTCAACCACCCTAACTTCATCCTCTCCATCTCCGGCAGCGACACTGGCGAAGGATATGTCGTTGGTAACGGTAACTGCGGCTACACTTATAGCGGCAACAGTGATGGCACCGTTTTCCCCGCCTACTAGTAAGGGAAATGTGATATGCCATCAATAGCGTGGAACAACAACAGGAGCTGTACTACTTCAACATCGATGTTAAAAAAATATCCGAGAAACTGTAAATAAAATAGATTAACATCATATCTCTTTTAAATATTCAGAATGTTAGTAATATTATAATTCATCATATCAATTGGATATTTGCCATCCCTGTGAGCCCGTGCAATTCTTTGGCTGGCACCCTGAGATCGAAATCGTTCAGCTTTTTACATGTACAATATGAGACTGAAAAGGTCGGCCTTGGCCATATAGCGATAGATGCGTATAGCATGACAACCGAATATCAAGGGGCAGACCTTCGAGATAATCCAAGTTATTTCGTGTCTTTTGCTTATTATTACGACATATTCAAGATTTCATTAAATGGGTATTCTTCGCTCTCAATAATCCGGGCTATTGGTATACAAACCACATTAAAATACTCATATGTTATTCGAACTCAGATTTTCTCACAATAGGGAATGTGTAACAGACCAATGCAAACTCTGCATCTAGAAGCTTGCTGGCCCTGGAGTACGTCTTCTCCAAACTTTTCGGGCTAGTACCTAGGTATCTACTTAGTGGGCTTGCATTCGTTTCTACAGTAACCTAAAGTTATTTCTCTCGATTGTGACCAACCGCCCCTGACTCGCCAGAAGTATCGTCTGATCCATATCTGCTGTCACAACTTATTCAAATGGTTGAGTGTATTACGTAGTGCGTCCCTCTGCACTCTCGTTGTCTTCTCCGAACGTTGCGCTGGGTATACCAAAACAACCAAGGAAGCAGAGTGCCATGAAAGGAATTTCCATTGCAAACACTGCCTGAAAACCTTTGAACTTGGCATAGGATATGTCTTGGTCCCAAGTTGTGGTTCCGGATCTCCACGTTCCCATCGTTACTTGCGAGAGCACTGAAGCTGGGATATTGTCGGGTAGAGCTGCTTGTGTAACGGCACTCTGTAAAGCAGATGCGATTGTCATGCCAATGACAGAACCGAGCATTCGGAAGAGGTTCCGCGTTGACGTCGCAACCGCACGATCTTTGGATGGACAATGTGCTTGCAGAGCCACGAGACCTAAACGCAGTGAGTGATCACGATATCATCGTCGTATACATGCAGGCATGTGTTAAGTAGACTGTACCTGGCTGGAAAACACATCCAATCCCCCACCCTTCAACTAACAAGGCGCCCAAATAAGTCCCAACGCTAGTATTCTGGTCGAACACCATCTTGAGGCAGACGCCTAGGAGCCACAGAAAGATGCCTGGATGGTATATATAGTCATACCTTCTGCCCGTCAGCCGCGTAAACGCACCCATTACCAGGAATTTGATGGATGATTAAACTTGCCTTCCGAGAATGGTCATAGCTGGGCCTGACAAAATGCCTGAAATGCTTGAGAACAAAAGTATAGGGAGCATCAACGCAGAAGCCTGTAGGGGGCTGAATCCTCCAACATCTTGAAAATATGCAGGCATAAAGTACATATCTACTTGCCATACTACGTTGTAAAAAGCGCTTTGGATGAGTAGAATTGCGCTAGCTCTGCTAGTAAAAAGCCGAAGAGGGATGAGAGGGATGCGTGCATATTTTTTCTCAATGATTGTGAAAGCAGCCACTGCAGCGCCGCCAATGATCATCAAAGAGATTACCGCGGGACTACTCCATGGCCAGGATGTTCCGCCTAAGTTCAGAGGGATCTATGAAAACAAAGATATCTCTATCAGCAGGAAGATCTCAATTTGAATCGGAGCTATGCATACCAGCATGCAAATAGTTGCTACTAGAGAAGCTGCAAGGCCCATCCAGTCGATTTGTCTTGCCTTCGCTTTCCAGCTTCCACTGATGCTTGTCAACGGTAAGAAAGCCATACAAGCTACAGTAGAAACGCAAGCCAGGATTGGCGGAATGTAGAAGATCCATCTCCAGCTCGATATCCCTCCTATTCTTGTCTTTTGTATCAGAGAGGCCGCAAGGAATGGCCCTATAGCTGATCCAGCGCCGATGGAGGCATTAAGCATTCCTTGGTACTTGCCTCTGTCTTTAAGGCTCACAAGATCACTAACAATGATTGATATGATAGAACTGATGCCTCCACCGCCAATTCCACTTATCGCTCGACATGCATAGAGCCAAGCGGGAGAGTGGGAGTTTGCGCATAAAATATCGCCAATGACGAGAAATCCAACGGAGAGCATCAAGACAGGCTTTCGACCGAAAATATCGGACAAGCGACCGTATAGAGGCTGAAAGGCGGCCTGGCCCATTAAATAGGCCGTTCCAGTCCAAGTAATGCTGCTGCCAGCGCCAAGATCGCGAGCGATTACAGGGAGAGCTAAAGCGACTGAATTGATGTCAAGCGAAGAGGTGAAGTAGATGGCTGAAAGACACAGATACGCGGCGATGAGGCGACGAAATGGTAGCCGAGATGACTGATCGTGTATGTCATCGCTAGATCTATCAGCCGAGTTTGCTACTCTAGACCGAACAGTACGCAGACGCTGAGATTGGGACGTCGCCGTGGTGACTGCTTCACGCTCGTTCGGAAGAGACGAGATATTGTTAGTCATCTGACCCTCGGTCAAGTCATCAGTGGTATCTGCATGATTCTGAGGCGACCGACTGGTCGTCAACTCCAGAAGAATGGTGGCAGACATGATAACGGCAAACTAATAAGGTCTTTAGGCAAAAGTGTTAAAGTAAAAGTAATTATCAAAGTAAGACCCCGGAAAGTTACATTTAAAGCACCAAAGGTGAAGCCGAACATCGGTCACCACCACGTCACCAAATAATGACAGACATGCGGTTTCGGTGATAGTTGCTTAGCTTAACAGAACTGGCTACCAGTTGGTTCCACTTTTAGCAATTAAGAATTAAAATGGTGAATGACAGTAAACCGAAAAGAAATGTTATTTACGTATGTATTCTGATAATGTAGAATGCGAAATAATAGTCACGTTGCTACGTTGAGTAATTGGCTGGCTATCAACGGTACTCTAGAGAATGGCTGTTCAGAATGTAGCCAACCAGTCCCTAACTATATATTACATATTAAAGAAGTAGTACGCTGGATAATTAAGTTGCAGGTTATCGAGATACCAGTCATTTGCGAGGCCCTTCCGAGGCTTGCAACTAATAGACCTCATTCTGCCTCATCTGTATCCGTGTACGGTATTGCTAATCTTCTTCCCTTATACCGTTATATGTATACTGATATCATATCATTTCATAAATAAAAGTTTATTCCTCTGAGAAAGTCATTGCGCGAGGTTCCCGATGCTGTAGAAGATACTGAGAAGAGCTAGGGTTGCTGCTGCCTTCGATGGTGGAGACGGTTGAAGTAGGCAGTCAACAGGAACACCCAAAATTGTATTGCGCTGCATCTCAGATATTTAGCAGCTGGATGTTTCTCTTGAACTCAAAGACATTGTGGAAGTTTCAGAAATGAGAGAATACCGAGGACGTGGGCTTGTAACGAAGGCGCCGCCATTAGGAGAGAAAGAAGGTGATGGCTGGCGCATTTGGTCACTTAGCGGAGTGTAAAACAGTGCCGGGATAGCGTCTCATATAGCTTGCCCACACGCTAATGCCACTAAGGTCACGTAATGCCGTGCTGTGACCCGCATCTTGTCGTTATTCGAGGCTTCCTCTAGATCAACCAGCAAGGGATAGAAACATGAGATCTACCTGCTTTAGCAGCAAGAACTGATCATCCGAGTTACGCCATTGTAGTAACAGAGATATTGTAGTCGATGTAAATGCTCTACTTTTTAACTCATTTGACTTCCGCTTGAGATCTAACTACACAACGAGGAGCTGGAAAGCAGATATAGTTGCTCAGACAGGGTTACCTTGGTTTATCAGCAGGCGGGACCGACACCGGCGCCACTGTCAGGTTGCCGCCTAATTATGGCAAGGGCTCCATTTAGTCAATCCCGATGTTTGAAAGCCTTCGCTATGAATTGTGCAACAGCAAAGATAATGTGATCTAAAACTACGGTGTGGTGCTTGTTTTTTTTCCCTCAAAGGAAAACCTCAAAAGAAAGCCTCCAGCTAATTGCTGCTGCGGAAAGGCAACTACTTGCGGATTGAGCGTACTTGGCAACTGTGTTACAACTGCTGATACGCCTGAGTAGCCAATCAACCTAAGATCGGTGGATTGCATGCGTGTTACGAGACCTAGGCATGTAAATAATAACATCGATCAATATGACAGATGAAAAAAAGGCGCTATTTGCAGCATGTTGGCAAAAGTCAACGACATGGCAGATAGGGACGATGGAATGACCTTGCAAAGGGAAAAATAGCCATCTCCAAGCTCCCGGAGACAGGAACCGATATGCTTCAAATTCTGTAAGGGGAGTGAGTGGCGATCGTATGCTTGGAAGCAATGCTGCTGGCGACTAGGCTATAAACGAACCAATGCGTGGTGATGTGCGCAACAGCGACGCGTAATTTGCCGCACCATTTCTGTCGAGTAGCGACATGATGTTTGCATCACCAATATCGCTGGTAAGACCTTCATCGACTCCTTCGGGCACGAGACTGATGTGATTCAAAATGGCGGAGGACATGTCCGGAACCGCTGGGAGATCGACATGAGGATACTCACACCGAATGCCTTTCTCTCTGCATCGCCGACAGGCCGGCGCCGCACAATTGCACCGTATCTTCGACCTTTTGCATGGCGCTTCATTGCGGTAAGAAAAGAACAAGATTTAGCCAGCGACCAGGCGAGCTACTATTGGAGTTGAGACGGGCAATGAGACAAGTAACAACACTACCTAGGTGGGTTAGGTGGGTAACTACAGCTAAGCCAGAGACCCATTCTATACCTTTCGCCTTTACTTCATAAGCTGAAAAGAGCTCAATTGCAATTGAGCAAGCAAAGATTATATCCACAAGTTGAACAGGGAATTTGTGTTAAATTGCTATGGGCCTCCCCTAAGCAGTAAAGCTGACCACCCTATGAGCGGCATGGTGCATGAAAGGCCGGTAGTGTTGTCCAAGTACAGCAATTGTCATTCCTGCTGCTGGTGTCTCTACTCGAATGCCTTTTCTAATTTCTAGACGAAGCATAAAGACAACAAATAAAGCATTTGCAGAGTCTGTGTACTAAGTAAGATTTACTGTTTATATTTACCCTCTTTCTCTGCATGTTTTCTTTCGTGACGGTATCATAAATATACTGACGTCTCCCACTTTTTTTCTACCTCTGAACCTCTAAGAAGTAGCTCTCTGGTGTCCCCTTGGAATCTTCTCTATCAAGAAATTTGTCCTTTAAAATGTTGTACAATTGTATAATGGTTTTCTATATTAACATGTGTAACTGTGAGAAGAATACATGGGCTTCAACAAGCATATCATAGATATCTGTACGCATGCAGCATTGTGGCTGCAGAGCGCCCAGCCACGCCGTGCAAAACAGTGAGAGCATAGCGCAGAGTGGAGCTCCCGCGCTACTACTCACCATTAAGCTCCATTGTACATTCCTATTTACGGCTACATACTGCGATAGATACAAGTATGCCTGCCTGCTGCCGGTGGCATCCAATAGCAGCATGTTCTGCTGGTGCTGTGCAGCCTGTTAGGCTTTCACGGCTTGCCCGACCAACAACAAGCACGGTTAGCCCGTGGGAGGCCTACAACTCGTACGCAAGTACATATCAAGGTCCAGCTGCATTTCGTTTTATGGTCTGGTTGCTTTCGCGACTATCAGTACAACTGGTTAGATTTTCGGTTGATGACAGTATTTCCTTGGAAAATACGTACGTCTCTTTGCTCACGACCAAGACTAATTACTAACGAAAAGTCTAGATATTCGAGCTGTTATACAATTTCTCTCTATTCCATAACGACGTACGCCGACGTACATCCAAACGCATTTTATCAGGAGGATATGATTACACGTACGACATGAACATAGAAGAAGCATCAAAATTGTCGCCCAAAGACATACAATATGTGGTGGAGAACATATTTTTGCCTCCAAAGCTCCCACAGAATGGTGATGATGCCTCTATTGTGTCTCACGAGGCTTCCATGCTAGCTATCGTCGCCGATGCGCTTCAGGAATTCAGCACTACCATCCAGCAAAGCGATAGGATTGCAATTGATGGGGCGGCAAAGGCCGTCCAGCGTTTTCGTAAGATCGTTGATGGAAGCGGATTCTTGAATGAAGACATGCTACGCGAGGGATTCGGTGACCTTGAGAAGAATGGTACGTTACCTGATCTATGCAAACTAGAGCGACGTTGTGTAGTAAGAACTAGCTTTGCTGACCGAATGGAAGGGGGTTTCTTGCTGCTTCATGTGAGGGCACAGAATGCCGGCATAGTCATAACTTGCGACAAAGATACCGCTGTGTTTGAACCTTTCGAACTGTCGCCAGAGAACGAAAGGGTAATGGCCATCTCGGGACGCCTCAAACGCTCTTTTCCAGCTTCTTCAACAGCTTTAAGCCTCGAGGTATTCAACCAAGAGCAATGCCAAGCGGGTCTTGCAAACACAATTGCGACAATGAGTCATCAAGAAGTGTCTGAGATGAAGCCAAAGATAACCAAGGCTGGTAACCAACATATTGAGGAAAGAGACACCACCACTCCAGCAATTGTAACTGATTTCTTGGTAGCTGGTCTAAGCGCTATTGGCCGGCCGTCTCAAGGATCTAGAATTTGGAAGAATACTCGGGAAGAAGTTCTCTGGTCTGGCGCCTATTCGCCGTGGCGTAGGTCTCCAGTCTGGCTACTTGTTCGCGTGGCAATCCAGCTGTACCTCTCACGCTTAGCTTCAAACAAAGGGCTATACAAGGAGTTTATGGTATTCTTGATGGCCTATATCTTGCAGTGTTGTGAGGGCCATGACCTCCCCAGCGATATATTCCACTGCATGATGGCCAAGATATCCAAGCGCCTGATCAAAATTGACCAGAATCAAGCCTATCCATGGATTGGGACAGTTGAGAGAGTTTTGCGCAATTGTCAAAGTCGAAATGAAGAGAGATGGAATGTTATTATGCGAAAAAATGAAACTCCTGTGGATATTCATCCATTGTCGGCCAACGAGACCTCACAAGGGAGGTTTGTAACATGCCAAACGCTTGACGAATTTCTTGAGCAAATTTACAGCCGACAAGTAATAGAGGCTGACAAAGATTTTACGCCACCATGGATCTTGTCAAAGAATGATAAAGACTACTTACCATCTCTTGAGGCTGTTAGCCCCAACGATCACAGCACAATTCCTTTCTATCTATCCGCGTTTGAAACCTGGATCGAAAGTTCTCTGTATACTTGGTTGGACTCTCATATTTTGCGTCAAGATACATGCGAGATGCTTTACAATTCTACTAAAGCCTATCATCATCTTGCGCTGAGCCAATACCATGAGGATCCGGAAAGTCTTTCCATCATGTTGCTAGTCATTATGGAGCTATGGGTTGCTTGCGACAAAGCCGCTACCCAGCATCATCCACTCATATTGAACTACAGGTCGGAAATGCCTCATGAACTACTGCAGTCTCTCATCTTGCCACTTAGAGGGCAGATGGAACGACTAAAAACAGTGGAAGATTATCTGGAAGAACGCCGCGCTCGAGCCTATTTCTCATACCCCTCCATCTTCCACTCGTTTGGGCACATGCATTCTTTTTCGGTCCAATATTTTCAGAGTTCTCCAGCCCATAAGACTTTGCTTCAGGACATTGAGCAAGAAGCGGAATCGGTGCGACAGAGAAAAAAGGACGAGTTTTCGAGGCTTAAAAATGAATACGAAAACTGGATGAATCTCTATAACGGCACTAGCCATGACTTTGAGGATGTAGTGGACTGGAAGACGGGGGTTTCAAATTCTGAGCACAGCTCTTCCTGCACGAAATGCATTTACTTGAATAGGGCTGAAAAACTGCACATTGACATTTATGAATGGCCCCTTCCCGAGAAGAAGCTCGACGCGCAATCAACGGTTTTTGAGTTGAGGGTGCCAAAATGCTTCAATGACTGGCGTAATATGTCATCATTCTGTCGAGTTGATGTCTTGGGGTCACTCTATGGTAGTGGCAGTCAGCCTGCTGATTGGACCTTGGGCAGTTACCTGACGTCTTATTACGATAACATCGCCCGTACGATAATTCTCGCGTCCACCACGAAACCAAATGCACATACTCACAGGAAAACCAAGCTGGTTAAAACTGCAGTGTTGCAAGATGTGTTGGTGGCGAATGGCATGAGATACGAGTATTACGATACTGAGCAACGTTGCTACATATCCGGGGTTCACTGTACAGACGAAGTTCCCAAAATGTGCACCTACACTCTTTCACAGCAGTGCGCCAGCCTCCAAGACTTCATTTTCCGGCCTCACAATGAACCAAACGGATTGACGCCAAACCATGTCATTTCGCGACAATCAATGTGCCCAGATCATCTTTCCCTTGAGGAATTCAAGGCCATGGCCAGTATTCCGGTTGGATACCGCGTTGGATGGAAGAACATCCTAGTGAGCCTCCATACACCAGCACTGGATTTCAGAAAGCTTGATACAGTATTGATTCTGCTGCAAACCAGCCGACAAGCTGGGCCTCCGTTACCGGAATCTGCCCTCAGAGGGAGCCACCAGGATCTGGACGATGAAAATTTCGCTGCCACGCTCCTGAAAGGTCTTCGGCTAGCAGTGGCCAGAATCAGCGAAAATTGGGAATCCTTCCAAGCACTGTATGCTTTCATCTCGCTCGCAACAAGACTGCTGTCTTGGGCACCATGTCTGGCTATATCGCGCGATTGTGTATCCTTCATTGGAGATTGTCGGAAAGTGGCCCTTGTGTGGCTCCGCAGCCTGCAGGACCGAGTGAAAGAAGCCCAAGATGAAACACAACGGATAGAGCTTATTGAAAGAGTGTTCCAAGTAGCTCTGGTGTGTATGAGCTCCTTTCATGTTGACGATGCGCATCTACGGCAGATTGTGAAAACTCCGGAAGAGGCTTGTATAATGATCGAGTCATCGATTGCTATTCAGTCAACCATGCAATTCGCGATGAAGCCGGAAGATGCGTTTTACCGTAGCGCAACTAATCGCTGGCATCAGTGCATGCACCAGGCTCATCAATTGTACATTGAAGAGATACGATGTGGCCGTAGCTCGTGGCTAGACGAAGCCATTGCAAATACTTGGTCAACATATCCTGGCGGTAGAGAATGGACAACTCTTTCTACCGCAGCCGATCACTGGCTTGTGACACGAACGGTGGCTGCAAACAGACTTGGGTCTTTGAACGTATATTTCAACCTCTTAACGGCTGAGCTGCTTGTCAACGGATTGCCATTGTCGCGACTGCCAGCGGAATACGAGAGGCATCAAAGTTACGAAACATATTTCGGAAGATCGATGGTGGAAGTAATGCCGACAGAGATGCCTGGTATGCAATTTTCCTCAAAAGGGGCTTACCACGACTGCAAAATATATCTTGGTCTTAGTGGTCCTGAAAATCAAGACCTTCTCTTGGTGGCGGTTAGGGCAGGAGATATGGAACAAGAGGAAACGTTTGACCTCATTCCACCAAGAGTCTTCGATCAAATATTACCAAGACACTTCATCGACGATTATTCTCATTGGTACCGTCGGAGAACGGGCGAGATCGAGTTTCGACCAAAGTCCTCGCCTTGGGATTTACCGTCAGAGTATTGGAGAATGAGGAAGCTGGAGCTATCCTTGAACTCAGGGTGGGTTATGGAGAAAAGTGGCCAGTTTCTCCTTGGCCTCACTGACGTGGCGGTGCAACGCCTTCATAAGCTGTTGGCTCCGCTTGAAAACTCAGACTACATCCACGTCATTGCCAACTCAGACTCCAACCGGGTTGACATTGAATTACCGAGGTTTCAGCTAGAGTTTTGGTATAATCAAGGATCAGATAAGATCTACAGTCGCCAATTTCGCGATATGCATATAGATTCTTGTCAAAACATTGATGCATTGATTGGGCTTGAGAGCAAATTAGTCTTGACAGATGGTCTGCAAAGGCGAAAGCTTCTCCTACCAAGCGGCAAAGCGAAGTGGCACGACTCTGAGGGTCATATCCGCGTCTTCATTCCTTATGGAATTTCCGAAAAAGTCCATTTCTACGATGTTGACACGCTCTTAGGGCGGATTGTGGACAATGGGAGCTTGCAGAGCAAGCTGATAATCTGCTATCTCCATGCTCTCACTTCATATTGCCTTCCTGACCCTCTGACTAGAATGACTGGCACGGAAACAGCTCTCACGATCCTTAATTCAGGAGCGGTTAGATCATTCCAGTGCTTATCAGAGGAAAACCTTGAACGTCTTGACTGCATAGCAAAACTATCTCCTATCAGACACTACTATCCAGATTACCTGAGAGTAATGGAAAGCACTTCATGGGATCCTTGTCTGAGTAGCCTGTCCCAGCACATTGGGTTCCATAGGTCTGTCCAGTCAATCCTATGCCAGTCCGCATCTTTTAAATTTTTCTACCCTGGCACTTATATTGGACCACCGGTTCTTGACAGGGTGGACCCGTTACTCGAAGAACGTCAAGTAATCCGATCTTCCTGTTTTCACCTTTTTGGATTCGGCGCTGAAGACTACACCTGTTCCAAAGATGTCCCTTATCATGGGCGTGATAGGCTTTCGCTTTCCGACAGATGTAATCGTTCCTTTAAAATAGCCAAATCTCTGTTCACAATGAAGGCCAATCTTTTTGAAGCTATTCCATCCAACTTTGCAGACACTCTTTGGCCCTACCTTTCTAAGAGCGACAGCATGCCAGGCCCAGACACCCCGCTGCCTGACAGTCTTATCTCTTATGATGCGAAATGGCTGGAAGATGCTAGTCCCCTTCTCAGCTCACACTGGTGCCAGCTCTACCACGCTCTGGGAAGAAAACAAAATGAGATGAACACGATTCAGGCTATGTTCTGTCTTGCTGCAATGGGCTATTCCGAGTCCTGTAATTTACAGGTTATACAAATCCTTGTCGCATGCGCAATCATGTCGCCTGTTGGAGGTATAACTGTACCTGATTCTCAATCCTATCAATTGTCTGACGGTCACAAGGCTGCCTCAGACTGGTTGCAGACTGTTGCTAGGTGCAATGCCAAGCCATTCTCAGACTCCCCTGATTCTCACATGAGCCCTTACAACAGGGAATCCACGTCAAGCTTAAGAAATAGGCGCTACCAAAATTTCCATCAAAATTTGGACGCGGCTGTAATGGACTTTTCATCTTCTTTGCAAAGCCAATGGATTTGCCAAAACCCGCAAAATCCATCTAGTTACACTATTCTGACGTATATTTATTACGAGCGAGCCATGGAAACCGTGCGAAAGAGGTGGATCAGCTGGCTCTCCAATAGCCGCCTGTATGATCACTTTGTTGAGATAGTGGATGTCCTTCGACGTTATTCTATTGCAGCGATTGACTGGGATCCACCTATTGAAACACCATTAATCCCCATGCAATCAGCCAAACGGAGATTTTTTAACGATTGCCATCTTTTCGAAATCTTCGATCCTGTGCTACCGCAACCGGTCATCCAGGGTACTAATCTAGAGCTTTTGAGTTATACTGCCGATCGCCCCAAAAACTATTCCAATGGGGCGGCTCTTGTAGAGCGACTACAACGGGACACTGCGCGACATAATCATCAGTCCAACTATGTATCAGATCTCGAAAAGAGTTTTGAGAAGTTGAGCCTTCAAGATCATCAGTATTTTATTAAAACTTCTGGCGACGATCTTGTTGATGAATTGGACAGGAATTTACAACGTTGCAAAGAGGATGCAGACCGGGTTTACCATGCTTTGGCGACAGCTATGCGACCCAGCACTGGCAATGCGCCAGACACCGAGGCAACGCTGGCAATATCGCTTTTCATGGCACCTAGGGTCTCTCCAGCCTTTTTCCTGCGGCAATTGGCGAGCCCATGGTGGAACGAAATATCTGATCAGTGGAAACAGGCTATCGTCGACTATGGGCTGGCATTGTCCAGACTACAGCGCGCTAAACGCATGAGATACTTGCACGACAACCAGGATGACCTTATGAAAGAGCTACTCAATGTTGGTCATCGCAACTGGCAACCTCTTGATTACCCCAAGTCTCTGCTACTAGAAATCGAAAGCGATATCTTAATCCGGGAGAATCAAGAAAGTGTAGCCGCAAATATGAGGACACCTCCGAATGACAAGAATGTCACGATGCAGCTAAATATGGGCGAAGGGAAATCATCCATCATTGTGCCTGCTATAGCAGCCCACTTGGCAAACGGATCTCGACTTGTACGGGTTATTGTTACAAAGCCACAGGCGAAGGAACTCCACCGCATTCTTGTCACCAAATTAGGCGGATGGTTGGGCAAACGGGTGTACTATATGCCCTTTTCTCGGTCTTTAAGACTGACGGCAAACGACACCATATCGTTGGACAGTATTTATAGAGATTGCATGAAGTCAGGTGGTGTCCTTCTCGCACAGCCAGAACACATACTTTCTCAAAAGCTCATGGGCATCGAATGCCTTATTTCTGGACGGGAAGAAGTTGGACGCGTTTTGTTGGATACACAACGATTTCTGGACAGCAACACTAGAGATATCGTCGACGAAAGTGACGAGAATTTCAGTGTAAAATTTGAACTAATTTACACGATGGGAGCTCAAGGGCCAATTGAGCTCAGCCCTGACCGCTGGATTCTCATTCAAAAAGTGCTAAGTCTCGTGGCGCGAATAGTGCCACAGATACAGAAGAGCTTCCCAGATTCTATCGAAGTCAATTACCATGCTGAAGGATGCTTCCCCAAAACGCGTATACTTCGACAGGACGCCCTAGACAGTCTGTTGAACCAACTGTCTCACGAAATATGCAACGTCGGGCTTCCTAGTTTTCCGGTTGTTCACCAGCAGAAAAGCACACGAGATGCTGTGCTCAAGTACATCTCAACTGCCCTTCTCTCCTCTGAACAGATAACCTCAGTGCAACAATGTTCTTGTTTTTATACTGAGTTGACCAAAGGGCCGTTGCTTCTCCTCAGAGGCCTTATAGCAGAGGGTATATTAGGATTCGTTTTCGAGCAGAAGCGATGGAGAGTCAACTATGGGCTTGCTCCGATCCGGCAGCCAGCTACGAGACTCGCTGTTCCCTACCGAGCAAAGGACAGCCCAACTCCACGATCCGAATTTAGTCATGTAGATGTTGTTATTATACTCACATGTTTGAGCTACTACTATGGAGGATTATCTAACGATGACCTCTTTTTGTGTTTCGAACATCTAATGAAGTTGGACCAAGCTGAAAACGAATATTCGGAGTGGGTCCAGTTTGCTCCAAGTCTTCCCGAGTCATTCCATCGCCTCGTCGGAGTGAACATCAAAGACCGTTACCAAGTCACCCATCATCTTTTCCCTCATCTCCGGTACTCAAAAAACGTAATTGATTACTTCCTAGCGCATATCATCTTTCCTAAAGAGATGAAGGAATTTCCAGAAAAGCTTTCCGCTTCCGGCTGGGACATTGGACAGCGAAAGATTCACCCTACAACAGGATTCAGCGGCACCAATGATTCACGTAATCTTTTGCCTCTTGAGATTCAACAGTTGGATCTTGACGATCAGCTACACACCAATGCCTTGGTCCTTGAAAGGTTGTTACAGCCTGAGAATAGCGTTGTACTTATGCTAAGATCAAAGGAAGAAGCACCGTCGGGCAACGCATTCTTAAAATTTGCTCGGTCTCTAGATCCCCCGGTTCATGTCATTCTTGATGTTGGAGCACAGATAATTGAACTCACCAATATCCAGGTCGCCCAAGAATGGCTAAAGATTGTCCCTGCCGAAAAAGAGAAGGAAGCTGTGGTATTTTTCGACGATGCAGATGAATTATGCACTATAGATCGCAAGGGATACGTGGAAAAGCTGCAAACATCTCCTTATTCTTGTCGACTGGATCTTTGTCTCGTTTACCTTGACGAAGCTCACACTAGAGGAACAGACCTCAAGCTTCCGACTGGCTACAGAGCTGCGGTTACTCTGGGTCCTAATCTGACCAAAGATAGATTAGTACAAGGTAAGTGGTTTTAATTGTGATGCAAAGTTCTACTGCTGATTGAATACAGCATGTATGAGAATGCGGAAACTTGGCCAAGGCCAATCCGTCGTATTTTGTGTACCAGAGGAGATCCAGACAAAGATTTGCTCGGCAACTGGCCTCTCAGGTAGCAACAAGATTAGCGTTATGAATGTCTTGCATTGGGCAATTTTAGAGACGTACGCCGACACGAGGCGAAATATGCCGCTGTGGGCCATGCAAGGACAGAGATTTGAGCGTCAAAAGGCTATATGGGGCGAAGTGAACGATCAAAAGTCACGCCAGTTATCCTTGGACGAAGCAAAAATGCTTCTCGAAGTTGAGGCGCAGTCGATGGAAGAGAGATACAGCCCTCGTTTGATGGCGCATACGAGCCCCAATATACCTTCTTCATCGGAAAACCGCGCTATGTTGGAAATACAAGCGCGATGCAAGCAATTCGATTGCTTGGGAAGTCAGCAATCAACTCTTCTTGAAGAACAAGAGCGAGAATTGTCACCAGAGATGGAGCAAGAACGACAGGTACAAAGGCCACATCCCGCTGATCCGAAAAAACATTCGCTGCATCCCGATGTTGTTGGATTTATTGAATCTGGCAAAATACCCTCTTCATCTCCAGCATTTATACCTGCTTTTCAGACTCTATGGAACACTAGTGCAGCAAACAGTTTCGACGTCAAAGAGTTTCCAGAAAGCATTGTTACGACACTGGATTACAAGGACACTGTTGCTCTGAGTGGGGACGCCCCATTGCTGGATTCTTATCAGCGGCCAGTGCAATGGATATTAAGTACCACTGGAAATCACAATACGGTTCAGCGCTTGGTGATCATCAGTCCCCATGAAGCTCAGGAGCTGATGCCATCTATCAAGACTTCAAATCATGTAACACTTCACCTATACGCCCCCCGACCAAACCTAGCCTTTTCGCCACTGGATTCACTGACACTCTACCCAACACCGCTTCTCGGGAGAGATTGGCAGCTGCCGTCTTCTATGAGACTACTGTTAAATATCTTCTCCGGCCAATTATATTTCGCTTCCTATGCCGACTATAAAGAGACATGCAAAATGTTGAGTATAGCATGGCAAGCAACAGAGAACGGAGCAATCGTGCAAGCGGATGGATTTATCCCTTCTAGGGCTCGTGATTTGGACGGAATATTCACAAAGAGTCCTGTTAAGTTCCTAAAAGTTCTTCTGACAAAGATTCGTCGAGACTGCGAGGGGATAGACAAAACGCACTGGGGGAGAATTTTTTCGGGCGAGACATTGCGCATGGAAGACTTTGGCACAGAAACAGCTGGTTGAAGGATCAGGGAAGTGGAACAAACGTGGGGGTTGAGGTTTCCTTCTTGTAACTATTCCGTTTCTTGCTAAATGAAATAATAGCTGTAAACTGTAGTTGACTTTATTTAATTTCAAAATTAATTTGAGTTTCATGTCGCAGAAATGTTAAGACTTGGGTCAGTTTTTTATTGGCCTCTGGTTAGTCCTTTTGAATGATAGTAAAGTCAACCACATATGTGCTTGGTAGTATTATATTAAAAGATAGATCAAGAGGCAGTTGCGATGCCTGCCTCTGATGTCCCTCAATTTATTGAGCACATAAGCACACTTTTGCGCAGACCCACAGGCGGCTAGCACGTACATGGACCACATCGCCAAAATCTCATTGCGTCTTCCCCTGCAACTGCCTAATACTACTATCAGCACTTCTGCTGCTTACTTGGCGTTTGGCAAGGATGTTTTAGTTGCCAAGTCATTTTGAGACTTGGTAATAAACTCTATCGGACTTCCAGAAAAGACTCCTGGTTCTGAGCCACCAATGAGCGTTTGAAGCTTGCTCCAGCTCTCCTGTAAACTAGTCATACCTGCGGTTCTCCTAGGGCTATAAAAGCTTATTGTTGATGTTTGCCATTCGCATTCAGTTATTATAATCACGCATAAAGTTCTTGGATTTGTTAGCCAGCCACTGTTTCGATTTGAAATCAGATCACTGGCTGTTTTGTAATAACCTTAGACTGGACTGTTCTCTAATCTTTTTTTCCAAAGTCAGGAAAAGGAGACTGCATGGTAGACAGGGTCATTCCATCTGTTGTTACGTACTAAGTTATTCGGGTAAGTATAGAATCTGTCAGAGAGACATACCATTAGTTTCATTCTCTGTCAGCTTTACACGGAATAGAGGAAATGAAAGGGCTAAGGGGAGAAGACCGCGATGATAAACGCGGCATGCACTGTGTCAGGACAATCTCAACCCTAATCTTTAACGTTAGTCTCACCCTATGCAGAGGAGCCATCTACATGCCAAACAGCAAGGGTTGGATTATCAACGACGGGATGGAAATTAACTAGCCGATACAAAGCTGATTTTGGGTTAGTATGGAACGCAGACTGATCCAGAGTGGTGCTGATGGGCAGCTTTTTTTGAGCTGGCAGACTTGGAATGGTTTTGTTGTCAGGCAATTGCCGGATTTCTTGGAAACAGTGGAAGCTGCCTATAATTAAGATCCAAGCTGTTAGCCCACTCACAAACAAAAACATAATGTATTGAAGTTAAAGATTTGGTAGGTAATGGTCAGCTTTTGACAAGTATAAGAAAACAGCATATTGAAACTGGCTGGAGTGGATGTTACATATGAGCAGCAGATCGACTGGAGTTGGCTTGGAACCTGTAGAAACCTGCGTATATTCCATCATACGAGAGATCTAATCTTATGGCCTTGCTTGCACTAACTGGTATAGCTCTGGACAAAGAGGTATACCAAGTAACCTTGAGGGGTGCTGGGATTGACTCCTAAATAAAACCTGGATTGGGAAAAAGCATGGGTGGCCGATGCAGGAGCACCCTCCTCCACGAGGAGGAAGATAAAATGCTCGAGATCCTGTGTTTTTGCCCCAAAACTCTCATTCATCATTTCTATAATAAAACAGACCAGCTCGCGCCATCGATGATGATTTTCTGGAAATTGGCCGTTCTGGTGACCCTTGCAAGCCTTTCGAGTGTCGTGCAAGCGGATGGATGTAAATGCGTAAGTGAACTACGACGTCGTAGGAGGCTCATACTGCGCTCGGCTGACTAACAAGTGTATAGATCCCAAGCGACGCAACCTGTTGGCCAAATGAAGCAGCACTGATTTCATTCAACGCATCACTTCCAGGGAAGCTTATTCAGAACTTTCCCGTAGCCGCCCCGTGCTACCCAGGGCCTCTGAACAACCCAGCTCAGTGCGCCAATATCCAGGCAAATTGGAACAGCTCGCTCTTTCATGCTCAATTTCCGACTGGCTATGACTACCCTTACAGTTTTAACTGTGATATCCCTGGGGGCAACACCTCTACCTGCTCGCTGGGAGACTCTCCTTACTATGCTGTCAATGTGACGAACGCAAATGACGTTTCTCTTGCACTCAGGTTCGCAGCACAACATAATATGCGCGTTTCTATCAAGCAGACTGGCCACGATTTTCTGGGTCGCTCAACAGGCTATGCCAGTCTAGAGATCTGGACACATAACCTCCGCCAAGGTCTCACTTTCCACGACTCATATCTTTCGACTACCCAGTGTTCCCCGCAGGAACCTGAGGGTATAGAATCTACCGGGGCGGCTCTTTGGGCCGGCAGCGCCATTACAATCGGTGGAGCATACACTTGGACAGAAGTGTATCAATATGCGCACGAACAAAACGTGATCGTCGTGGGCGGTACATGTACAGGAGTAGGTGCCCTTGGTGGCTACTTGCAAGGCGGTGGCCACTCGGCTTCTATGCGCGAATTTGGCATTGCTACGGATCAAGTCCTTGAGTATACAGTTGTGCTCGCAAATGGAGATGTCGTTACGGCGAATGCGTGCTCGAATGCTGATTTGTTCCGGGCGCTCAGGGGGGGAGGTGGTGGCACCTATGGCGTTGTCATTAACGCGACCATCAAGGCGTACCCGGAGATGCCTGTGACTGCCGCAGTTCTGACCATCGTCCCCCAGGATGGAAATGATGATTTAACTACTTTCTTGGATGCCGTTGCAACCTGGTATGAAACTACGCCTATGATCCTAGAGGCAAATCTTGGTGGTTACGCTGGCTGGGCGGCCTGGGATGGTGACACGCTCTTGGCTCCGAAAGTCAGAAGGCTAGAGTCTGCCTTTGGCGGCTTCAACCGCAGCATCGATGATGTCAAGGAAAGCATGGCACCAGTGGTAGCAAAGTTATCACCATTCAATTCCAAGGGCATGAATGTGACGGCGGAGTACATTGCGTTTCCCGATTACTTCACCTATTTTCACGACGTTCATGCGAACGGCATGAACGTTGGGCAGAGTATCATCATGAGCTCTCGATTTCTACGCAATATGCATCTAACAAATAGCACTGCCGTGCGCCAAATGGTCAATGTCACTGCAGGCCTCCCTGGCCAGAACGCGTTCACCGTGGTAGGTGTTAACGGCGGCGGTGCTGTGGCTTTGGATGTTCCCAATACTGCCATTAATCCGGCGTGGCGCGAGTCGTTGGTGAACAATCTTGTGGCTCGTAATTGGCCGGATACAACTCCCTACTTGGAAGTCAAAGCAGCACAGGACGATATAACCTACGTTAAAGGCGCCTCATTGGAATTGTTGGCACCAGACACAGGAACCTATATCAACGAAGCAAACTACAAGGATCCGAATTATCTTGTGAATTTCTACGGCACTACGAGACCAGCACTTGAAGAGATCAAGCAAAAATACGATCCCGATGATTTATTTTATTGCATAACGTGCATAAGATCAAACTATTGGTATCAGGAGGCCGATGGCCGCCTTTGCTATAAAGACAATTAGAGAAATATAACTCTTGTTGTTTCACAAGTTCTATGCACCTCTTCTGAGAACGCATGCTACTTTTATATACAGGCGCTCAGGCACTACTTGCAAATTTTCATCTTATGCTTCAAGACATCAGGAACGGCTTAGTCGTAACTCGACATGTAAATAGATAGACCTTTTTTTTTAAAGAAAGGTTTAATATGAACAGCACTAGACTTGAATAATAGTATATAAAACAAAGAAAAGAGGGCTTAGTTGGCTCTGCTCACGAGCTAACCCGACGAGTAAATCATTCAGAATGTTCCTGAGCAGGCTGCTGCAAGGCGCTTCGTGACGTCCCGTGGCTCCTAGAGCAGCCAAGAACACCCAGGTTTCTCTTGGGAACACAGATTTAGCGTTTGGTTTAGGGTGTATAGTAGCAGTTAGCCACCGACTCACCCGCATTGCCAACATCTTCCATAACATATTTGCTGGCAGTGATTCTATCTAAGCCGCCATTCTCGGGGTGGAACCTAGAGAATATGATCGGCCTGGATGCAATATGGCTAGGTTGGTTGTGGGCTGCGCCTCGAAGCTCTAAGCGTAACACGCCGCGAGAGAGGCCCTCTCTAGTCCCTCACACTAGCCAGCAAGAAACCTTTCTCTTCTTCTTCCGTTATCTTTTTAGTTTAACCTACCACTCATTCTTTGAGATGAGGCCCATTGAAGTTTAAGCAGGCGAGTGCGCCACAGCCGTCTCCTCATTCCGCCGTGACCAATGCAACAATCAGCATCAAGATTCAAGACTTATTATTAATATTATTGGTGTCCAGCTGTATAAAGGTGGGGCATAGCTGAGTTTCAAGTCACTTCGCTTAAGGCGAAAGAAGACGTACCAGGTGACTGGTGGGAACTCATTGAATATGTACTGGATAATGGAGTATTTGGCAACCTAGTTGTTGACGCGCAGGTTCATGGGGTTATTGACAGTTCATACTACATGCTAGAGATATTTCGTGTCCAGTGTTGCTGAGTGTTGGATTAGACGACAAGACGGACTGTAAATTACCGGACCGTTCTTGCGCCTACTCTTTGCAGAAATCTAGAGGTTGCAGCGTCCAATGGGCGTGGCGGGCGATGCATCTCTATCCAAAGTTCTTTCGTCAGTATCTCGTGTTGCGGCGCAGTCAAGTTGCTAACAATCCACTCGGTGTTGGCCATTGACTCAACATAAGGCACGGGACGTGCGACAGCCTTTGCTCGCATGATATCCCCACGTAAGCCCATGAGCCATGGATGCACGGCTGAGACTGATAGTTAGAACAGCTCTTCAAAGTCTTAAGGGCAAAACTTACCACTGACATAATCATGCACAGTGACAAAGTTGTTGCCTGCAGATGATGTAACTTTAATCTTTAGCCCTCCCTTCCTGAGCGGCCTATCGTTTTCGCAACAGCGTATGAGAAACTCAGCATCGGAGTCATCCTCCCAGCTGCCATCCTGATTGGGCTCATTTGCGTAGGGTCGCTCTTCATCGCTGAGATCTCCATAGGTGATATACTCAGCGCTAAACTCAGATGCAGTATGGTCCCTATGCCATGCTAGCCAATCAGATTCCCATTGATCAAGGTCGCGTAGTGAAGCCTCAACAGAAGAGACCTTTGGGTCGGTCAGAGGCAGCGATGAGATCTCATGCCAGGTGCCACTACCGCTGCCGCTGGTGTCTGGTCTGAAGAAGGGTTCAAGCTCGACCACGCTGCGAGAGGTCCTCATGACGGATATCGCGGAAGGAAAGACGCCTTCTAGAGGCCAGTAGAGACGCTTGGCGGCGGGAGAGAAGAGGACGCGCTCCTCATTGCTCCGAAGCTCCTCAAATGAGGGGTGTGGGGGCTCATCCGGTTGGCTCGAAGCAGCTGCCATATATATGATCTAAAAGCTTGTACGATGGTTTTACTGACTGGAGGCTCTGAACATTTAGTCCTTGTGCGGGTAGGGGTGGTTTAAGAAACGCAGATTTAGGGACCAATATGGCGGATATTTACGCTATTACGTTCTAGATCACAGCTTGTTATTGTCGAGCGCTGTAGGCCATACAGATACGCTATAGAGCAATATATCGCTTATAACGATAGAAGCTGAAGTACAAGACAGTAAAGATCGCTGAACCACTAATACAGCGCAAGTTGGTGTAAGGGTGGGAATTCACCAAGGTTCCACACTAAGCACAAACATGTGCTTCCACTTGATGCAAGCTCAAGGAGTCGCGATTTAATGAACAACCATATATTTATGTACACTCAGCTACTTTTAGCTGCGTTGTAGCTTCTGGGCCTAGAGGCCAGCCGCGCACCATGCACTCTTCCACAAATAGCCAGCACTGCCCCGTGCAGGCAAGCATGATCCTGCGCCGTTCCCATACGAAGCCCAGACTTGGTTGGCACCATCGCAGTTGTAACCGGAAAATAACGTACAACCGCCAGAATCTGCACCTCCACCGCTCTTCCACATGCCAGCTATATTAATCGACTGGGAATTACCGGGCATGTTGAGCTGGAAACAGTCGCCAGGGCCACCTCCCTCGTACGCCAGACCGATAAATGGTGTTTTATTCCACCAGCAGGCTACTTCTCCGTTGTAATGCGAGCACTTGGTATCCGTATAAAAGTTGATTTGCCCTCCTTTGCCGGGCGAGTAAGTTGCAAGGATGGGATGGGCCATGCTAGCAACCATGCTAATCAAGGCGATATATCCGAAGTTGCCCATTTTGAGGAGATTCAAGAGGTAGAATAGACTTGGGGATTGATATTCAGAAAGAGTGTAATTATGGTCTTCAAAGCTGGGTGTAATTAAATTCGAGAAGCATTTTTATTTTGAGTGGAAATACACACAGTTTATATAGACGAAACTCTGGAACAATACCCTAAATGTCACTTTTCTATTCTGATAGCAGCTGCAAATTTAAGCGCTTAGATGAGCTCGTAATCTGTAGCGGATATCATAAAGTAGTACAAAGCTATTTAGAATCGATGAGGTAGGATGCAGCGAAGGAGCAGTGAAGGCAGTGAAGGAATAGCTTGCACTTGGTAATAAGCTTACATGTAGGCATAAAGCTCGGTTGTAAGGGTGGATTTGCACCTACGATATTCCATAGCCAGATTGGACAGTGGAAATCTCAAGAGTAAGCCTTGTTTTAGTTTTACAAGGCCAGTAGCTTACTTGGTTCATTAGCATGATGCTATAACCGACCGCAATCCACCCTTGAGCTGCGCGAAGGAATACAGCATGCTGTTCGGTCATAAGAGTGGAGATGCACTGTCATCCTAATTTGCCTGGTCTCATCTCTCATCCAGCTCTGGTCGTATAGAGCCTCTATTTTGCGAATTAGGATACAAATGCCACTAATAAGGTTTGTTTCAACATTGTTGTATGCATTCTTCCTCTTCTGCAAACTCGCATGTGAATGGCTTTCGGATTCCAATGACGTATCGGATATGCATAACATATCTATCGAGAGCAACTTGGATTACCCTACGGGCACCCAGATCTACTAGACTGGCTGGGAAACTATTCTCGGCCCTACCTGTATATTCTCATGAGGTGTTTGGGTCGCGGTTGGCGCAAACGGCCCCGATCATCGTGGTACGGTAATGGGGTAAGCCTATTAACACTAGATGCAGACCAGTATGTAGAAGCATGAGCTAGTCACTCAACAGTTTTGCAAACACGAATATATTATGTATATACGCTGTGCGATTGCATGTTCGCTGCTGTTTATATATGGACTACTTGGACGATATGTTGGCGTTGCTGCTCTTCCCAGCTGTCTCCTATGTATACACATTTGGAAGCAGAATCAGTGTTCGAGGTTATAACTAGATAAAGTCGATAAGTGGGAACATTTCAGTTTCCATCCTGGGGGATGGCTCCGTGCTACTTGGCCAGTTAAGTAGATGACAAATGTGAATAATATAGCAAAGACAGAACTTTTTCTATGGAACATCGCATATCCGAGCTGTCGTTTTATGCTTTACGAAATAGTCTGATCTCCCCTCAATACCACCTCTTGTAAAAAATATACTTCTGGGAAAACATGTAGTGTTATAGTAAAACGCTGATAGCTAGATAAGCCTGGCCTCATAATTTCTTCTTAGTCTTGTGAATCAACACTTATTCTACGCATTAGTCTTCCGCTAGAGGTCTCTATCTCTAGGAAAAATGCTACTATCTGGTAGGGCTATCTGCGATACCACATTCTCACTGTTTTTGTTCGTCGAATCTTATTCTGCAACTGGAAAATTCCGTAAAGCAGCGCCTCAGCAGTCGGAGGGCAGCCTGGCACGTATATGTCCACAGGAACGACTCTATCCACACCTCTCACGACACTGTAGCTGTAATGGTAGTATCCTCCGCTGTTTGCGCAGGACCCCATACTTATTACCCACTTTGGATCTGGCATTTGATCATAGCATTGTCTGAGAGCTGGAGCCATCTTATTGGTGAGAGTTCCAGCAACAATCATGACGTCGGCCTGGCGAGGAGACGCACGAAAGATGATTCCCAAGCGATCCTGGTCATACCGTGGCATCGAGGCATGCATCATCTCTATACTGCAGCAGGCAAGACCGAAGCTTAGTGGCCACATTGATCCATTACGTGACCATGCAACAATCCGGTCCATCGTTGCTCTTAATTTGAAGCAACCGATCAGCTTAAAATATTCTTTGAATAATATGCTGTTTTAACGAACTTACACAGCATAGTCCATTAGCTTGTTCGGCCGGAGTTCGCGTGATACGGCCCGACCGGTAGTCATGCTCTTTGTAAGAGGTGTAGCGTAATGTTTTTGTGTCAAAATGGCACGTCGGTTCGACGAGCTTTGATATGCTCCGAGGGTTCTGATTGGTACGCCATATGCAGAAATGGAAGAACGAAAAACTGCATGGCATTAGTTGTTAGTCTATTATGTAGCGGAAAGTCAAGTGGTCAGATATATGCTTACTGGGGGTTGGAAGCAGGGCCATGAGAGTATTTCTGAAGAAAAAGCTGCGTATAAATAAGACTGATCGCAAGGAATAATAGGAAAGAATATAGGTTTATTTGATATACTTGTACAAGTATTATATATGGTAGGCTGGCTTTTTGAGGCGTCGGGAATTATACACATGTTTACAAAAGTGGAGCAATCGGTATTGGCATCGCTATAGGCCTCAGAGTCTTTGGCGTCGGAAAATTCACTCACTCCAGTCATCTTTATGTCCTTTTCAAACTCTCAGCCGGTGCGACATGTCAACCATACGCAACTCCCATTGTGCTCTTTGCCATCTTCCATTTGCACAAGCACAAAGCAATGGAAATCGCGCTGCGTGTCCCTTCTGCCAGCGGACCTTTACAAGAGCCGACGGTGCTCGGCGTCATGCCAGAACCTGCCGATCCAGAAAGAATCGCCCTTTGCCGCCAGATGCTAAACGGGGCAGAAAACTGCGTGCGTGCGATGGATGCTCGCAGGTAAAGGTCTTGTGTGACGCAAAGACGCCATGTAGTCGCTGTGCCGCACGAAATTTGACGTGTACCTACAGACATCTCTGTACAAATCCCTTGCACCAGCCATCCAGCCCACGACTCAACGAAACACGCGATGCTCCCAGGGAAGGATGTCTAAATCTGACTGCCCTGCTTAAGTGGACGGATCCAAAAATTGTTTCTCTAAGCGACATGATTGTTGAACAGCCAGAACAAGATACAGTGGAAACATCGCAGCAAGAACAAAAGACACCATCTTATGAACAATGGAATCTCTCATTTCGACATCTGGTGGATGATACAATAGATCCGAGGCTTTTACTATTAGGGCTGATAGAGTCGATTCCTGATGAAACAAGGGCATATGGCGACAACTGCAGCGGTAGTCCACCAAGCACACTCTTCCTTTCGCAAGCTTTGGAAGAAACTTCAGGTCATGGTCTTACTGAACAGATGTCACAACTAGCCGCCGAATTGCGACAATTTACTGTCTGCAAACCACACCTCCATCACATTCTTGAAATTGCTTCGCTTGATGAATTCTTGACCAGCACCAATTGCTTAGCACTTATAGCTGCGTACTCACGAAGGCAGTACTATCACCAGTGGCCCATCATCCATTGGCCGACATTCAACCCAGAGCAAGCAGCCTTGCCTTTACTATTAGCCATAATGCTGACTGGGGATACATATTCCTGTCGCCGAAATGGAACCTCTGGCTATGTCTCTCCCACGAGTGCGATGCAGAAAATAGCAGACAAGTATATCTTCAGTCACATAAAGAAGTGCACTAGTTTGGGAGGCCCTGCAACCAATCCCCACGAGGTCCTTGAGCTCTGCCAAGCTGCATTTCTTATGAACTGCCTCCATATCAATATGAACGATATGAATCTGCGCCAACGAGTCATTACAAATCGACACCCATTGCTGATCAACGCTCTGAGACGACGTGGCTTGACAGGGACCATACATGAACTTGCAGGGCCCGGCTTGGAATGGCATGCATTCATATACCGCGAGACGTGTATTAGACTGGTGACATGGACCTTTCTTATTGATTCATTATTGACAGTATATTTCAATCATCCTCCTCTTATGTCGCTTGCGGAGATGTCAAACCCTCTTCCGTGTAATGATGATATTTGGGATGCAGGCTCTATGTCAAGCTTCAAGGAGCTAATGAGATATGGACATTCATCATCACGTATGCTTTGTCTCAAAGTCCTTGTAGCAAATCTATTGAGCAAAGACTGGACAAACGCACTTAAAGAAGCGTATGATGAGCTTAGTACTCAGCACCTCTATATTATTCTTATGGGTGAGCAATTTGCGACCTAACGAGAGAGGAAAGCTGACACTCTGTTCCGTAGCCTTGCAACCAATTGTCTTCAACTATCATGCTTCCCTATTATGCACAGTGGATATATCTATTGTATCAGCTGCGCTGGATAGATGGGAGCCCATTTGGGACCGGGCCATAGACCGTGTTCCGAGTAATCAGCAACAGTGGCTAGGCATTGTCAGGTATAGTCGGGAGATAGCCTGGTTAACAAGGAAAATTATAGAGATTAGCATCACTAAAGAGAGTGGGCACTCAGACTACTTGCAGCAGATTGCAATTTATAGCCCTGTATCAATTCATCAGTTCATTCAACGTTGCAGGGATAGGTATTGAAGATAGAAAGATGTACATACCAAGCACTCTGCCGCAAGCGAACAAAATATACCTCTTGGTCGGTTTACTTAGTCAAGTAGTATTCATACTTCAATTTATGTCTGTTATCTCATCTTGCTGTCTATGAAATGAGTTTCCTCGCGTCGCTTGCTAGGTCAGTATTGTTAAACAAATCAAGGGATATATATACAGCCAATCGGATTGCATTTTATGTTATAAACTATATTCATTGTATAATACCAATTTTTCCTTTAGATATGCATTGCAATACGTGATGCTTGGAATACAAGGTTTCTGTCCTCCTAAAATGGAGTATATCCACTCTTTGCCATATTCACTCCTATCACTGTTGCATCATCCAAGTCCTCGTCCGGCAGACCAAACAAGCCATTATGAAGCTTCTCCTGGTAGATTGCAGGAGAATCAGGAGAGAAGACGCGAGAATAATAAGCTTTGGCTAGGCCCTTTGAATCACCTGCAGCAAACGCAGCCTTGCCGTCCTTGATACGCTTGGCTGTACTCTCATACTGGATATTCCAATCCGCATCTGATGTGCCTGTAACCCGCTCAACACTGTCCAGCATTTCGCGTTGGTTAATCATAAAACTTGACACGTAAATAGGCTTGTTTTGGAATTGCTGCAGTGTCGGAGTTGGGTCGTTGTCACCGTCGGGGCTCTTCTTCAGTCCCAGAAATGATGCGACGGCGCGTCCACACTGTGCCCATGTGGTAGTGTTGATTCGAGCCTGTCCATCATCAAAGATTGTGACTTCTCTCTTGTTGATGTCGAAACCAAACCAGTCAGGGGGACATGCCAAGCTAAATTCGTACCATAAACCCGTCACCAAGACAGTCCATGCCAAGCCAAGGCTCTCAATCTCGGACAGAAGCGGCCTAAAAGCTGGTCCCATTCCAGTTTCATCACCGATGGCTTTATTGTTCAATACAACATCCGCGGTGTAGATGTTGGGCATGAGGTGCGGTATTTTGGCCTTTGCTGCGGCCTGCACAATCTTGTTGTGAGTTTCAGTCCCAGCCGAATAAGCCAATGTGATTATGAGAAACTCATGGCCTTTCAGCGCGGAAACAATTGACTCTTCATCGTCATAGTCCACAAAAGCGACTTTGACGCCTTCCGGGAACTTGGAAGAGCCTCCCTTACGGGTAAGTGCCGTGATAGTATGTTTACCACTCTTAAGGATTTCCTGGGTGATGTGCCGACCCAGTTGCCCGGCTGCCTGCTCGTAGTTAATAGATAGTCATTCAACTTCTGTAGGTGATTCAAACGCACCCCAACAATTGCCACTCGCTCAACATGCGCCGTTAAGTTGGAGGATTGGTTTTTAGCAGTTGTTTGTCCAGCCATGATGTATAGCAGTTTGACTTGTTGCAAGTAACGGAATTGGGTGACTATTGAGAGGTACCAGTGGCCAATGCGTATCATTGAGACTCAAAATAAGACAGCGATAGATGGGATATATATACATCACATTGAACTTACAACCGTATTGACTTGCTTTGTTTTCAAGAATTGTTAATAGGCGCTGTTAATGTGCTTGGTTAGTCAGACTGGACTCCGGATCTCCGAGTTGACAAACATCAGCCCCGCCGCTCGCTTCACCGGACTCCGTGTAAGGTCGCTGACAATTTGCATCCTCTGTTCTATTACTAACACAAGATCTAATCAATCATTTTGTACGGCAATTGAAGACAAAAAGTGCTAATATTAGCGGACTCCGTCGGAGTTTGAGGCACGGGGTAATCGGTGGCACATAACACACATAGCTTGCTGTACAAATAGCGGCATGACTTTGTATATATAACTCTTGGGTCTCCCAAATATACCTTTGAGATTATGACATAAACATAATATCTCCCTGTTATCTCTCTGTGTCCTTTATATCCTGATTCTGACCTATTGACAACGGCACCTTGATTATGGATAATACTGACGAAATCGCGATCCCAAAATGGGTTTCCTTCACCAAAGAGTGGCATACAAAACCATACCCGGATATTTCCCCTAGTCGTAGGGGCCTGTCGGCTACTGGGAAGAACGTTGTTATTACAGGAGGAGGTACAGGCATTGGAAAAGCTGTTGCTATCGCGTTTGGACAAGCAGGGGCCAGGAGTGTCTCTATCCTAGGAAGGCGTCTGGATAGACTGAAAAGCAGCGTCATTGCGATTTCGGCCGCAGCTCAGTCACACACTGAAGTTCTTTATAGAACAGTAGATCTTACCGACCGTGCGCAGGTCGAAGACGCACTTGCGAGCATTACGAGCGCAGTAGGCAAAGTGGACATATTTGTTAACAATGCAGGCGCGCTCCCGCCGCTGAAGCCAGTGGCAAAATACGATGCAGCGACATTTATGCGAGCCTTTGAAATGAACGTCTTGACATCGCTCAACGCCATTCAAGCATTCCTTCCTTTAGCCGGGGCTGATCCAATACTGCTAAACATATCAACCAACCTCGCTCACATCAAACCTATGCTAGGCATGTCAGCATATGCGTCAAGCAAGGCGGGACAGCTTAAGATGGTCGAGCATTTTGCGGCAGAGAACCCAGAGTTGCATGTTGTCAGTATTCAGCCAGGGGTGATTGCAACGGAAATTGCCGGGCCTGACTCTAATGTACAGGGTCAAGACGAAGGTAGGCAGCAGACACAAATTTTCGACTTCTAATGTATAAAGCTAACAGTTTCATGAGTAGTGGAGTTGCCGGGGCATTTCTGCGTCTGGTTGGCATCAGCTGAGGCAAAGTTTTTGAAAGGAAAGTTTGTGTGGGCCAATTGGGATGTTCGTGAGCTACTACAACGTAAGGAGGAGATTCGCGACTCGCGGCTGCTCACGGTTGGTCTGGCTGGCGTCGCCATGTAAGAGACTGGTACTGGGTAGATGGGCATGGACGTGTAACTCAGCTTATGTAATGCTGGTCTGCCGGAACTCCGCTCGGAGTTCTTATGACATAACGAAGTCCGCACGGAGTCCGCCAAGATTCGGTATAGGAGGTCTTATCTGAGTTGTCTAATTTCAGGATCCAAATACTACAAAGTTTTTTTCAAGTGTTCAATCTTTTGCTGGAAGCAGTGCCGAGACCGCCTACTTGGAGAATAGATATAGTCTCCCATTTGAACAACCTCAAGGCGGCACACCCACCCACTACGGTATCCGCAACCTTCGCCGCGTTCGAGAACCGATATGGGCGAGGGGAGAATACAGAAGAGCCTTGGCAGAAGAAAGGTAACGCCTATAAAGATGAACATTAGAGTTGAAGAAGTTTCTGACGTTTATCCCCAGGCGTGCGATCTATGTTGTCGTCGGAAAATACGATGTGACGCCAATGTTCCCAAATGCTCCGCCTGCGTCTTACACGGCACATCATGCACATGGACTCCAGGCCTTCATGTAAAAGCGCCTACTAGAAAGATACAAGATGCGTAAGTACTCTTGAATTGAGGATCCTCTCAACGACGCTGACGGAGGCTAGCATGAGCTCACAAAACCGGCGCTTCGCCGATATTGAAAGTCGCTTAGCGGCTGTCGAACGCTCCCTTCACAATAATCCAGTGCCTCAAAACACGTTGGTGGAAGAACCTAGTTCTCCAGCATCTACCGTTACAAGCAATTGGGCAGGACTCATATCAACGATGTCGCCGACCGAATACAGCGACCATTTCGCTCTGCCACCACTAAACCAAGTGTCTGCGTTGGTAGATAAGTATTTTTCCGACTACAATCAGGCCATGCCTCTCTTCTATCAACCCCAATTCATGCGAATGTTGGACAATTGGTATCGGTGTCCCCATGAACAAAACGAGGCGTCATGGGCATCAATAAACGTCGTCCTCGCTTTGGCTCTGCAACACGCGCCATCTGCTGCAACAGCAACTGATGACCGGGTTTCTTCGGAATGCATCAAGAACGCTCAATCAGTACTGAATCATCTTGTTATCCGAGAGGAAGATTTACAAGGACTACAGGTCGTTCTGGCACTTGTAATTCTTTTCCTAGGTACCTCGCGGCCGCAACCCTCTTGTGTCCTAATCGGTACGGCAGTTAAATTGGCGCACCGACTTAAACTCCATCTCCGAGACGGGCTCAATGACATCAATATCGAGCTGGCGGCTCTGAAGGAAAGATTACTATGGATTACATACATCCTAGATAGAGACATATCCATGCGAACGGTGGAACCCTACGGGCTTCAAGACCACGACATGGAGATTGACGCTATTTCAGCAGTCTTGAAAGGCGATTCTGCTGGTGTTTTATCTCTCCCGGACGATCCCTCTCGGACTGCAAACATATTCCATCTCCGAATTCAACTGGCTCGTATTCAGGGGCAGATGTATGACCTCACATACTCTGTACGTGCGCGAAAATTTTCTAGCGACCAACAACAGGCCGCTGTAGAAAAGTTGACGCACTTACTCGAATGTTGGCGCAGCACTGTTCCTGAGGGCTTTCGTATTGAAGACCTTTCTACTTGTGCGTCGGATAATATTCTGAGTCAATTGTTACCCCTATATCTTGCGTATTTTCTATGCTTGTTTACTGCAAATCGACTGCAGAGTCGCAATTCAAGTTGGATGGAGCGCTTAACAGCTTTCTGTGACGGGATTGTGCATAGAGACGCTATAGCCCTTCCAACTGTATCTCCGTTACCTGCAACGTCGAAGATGAAGTTGCTGCCGACCGACTGGCCTAGCATAGTCCAGGCCGCAAGATCATGCATGAGTCTTTACCAATTCGTCAGCCGCAGCCGGTTATCTACACTCCCGTAAGTCGCCCAAGTGTCGATAGGATATGCTCGTAATATAAAAAGTATGACTCACAAAACCTGTTTAGTAGCATTGTTTGCAGTTACCAATCTGCACTCGTAATCCTTATTGCAAACAACCTGACCGTGGGAGAGCATCTTCTCGATGATCATATCGAAGATGACTCACAGCTCATAGAAGAAGCATTAGTAGCATTCGAGAAACAGGCTGTAGAAACCGGTGACGATCTTAAGCAAGCTCGCGTTCTGTCTATGTGCCGGAGATTGAACGACGGGTCAAGATTAGCTATATCGAGGTTTCGCCAGGACCAGCCCTCAGTGCCCTTTGCAAAAGGGTTATATAGTCTTGAGAATATGTTAGACTAAGCGCCTTTAATGTTAGTACCTGTTATGAAATATCATCACTCTGTCATCCAGTTAGCTGAAGGGTTGATACACTCTTAAGAGGCCGGACTTCCTAACATTGTTTCGTACTCATGTTCGTAGATATTTATGTTGAGACCAGGCCTTTAACGCAAGACATTATGCAGTTGCGCTAAAGTTTCCAGCGTCTCGTTCGCTTCGAGCTCGAGAAAAATCAACATGCATAGCCTCTGCAATATTTTGAGCTCAGCAGTTGGTGCAAGACCGAGTGTCACCTTGTGCCATTTCATATAGCAGGAAGAGGCCACATGCCCTCACGGCATGTGGCGTTTAGAGATTGTGCACAAGGTAGGTCAACTCCGACTGCTCAAGCTGTGGCCTAACAAGTTTAACATCTATTTAAATTTGTGAAACATTTACTTTGAAGATTGTTATCATTGCTATAATAATTAACCTCGACGAAATACTAATCGTAGAGGGAATATTATATACTACAAAAGTCCCCAGTATCCTTTCAGCATCCGCAACAAACTTCTGCCCAAACTCCATTGGCAAAATGCTTACACACGCCAACAGTAGCACTATCCCAAGCATTACATTGGGAATTCTTACACCATTTCACAACTGTTTCAGTATCAATACATTCCAGTCCATTCACATCAATTATCCTCATTGAGAATGAGCCAGCTGGTCCACTATCAAATCCATTAGTTCACTCCTGCAGGGACTGGTCAAAACTCAACGGGCGCCATACCCAACAACCTGGTTCAGGGAGAGTTTTTCATTGCCAGCTTCGAGCTGGCAGCCATTGTCATAGAAAAAAGCAACCTCTTGAGCTGCTGAAAGGTGCATTAGGGCAGCTAGGCTGGCGCAAAACGCAGAACTCGTGGAAAATCGCATGACTAATAAGCAGACCAGGAGATAGTAGGGCTTAGGAAAGTATATTGAATCTGTAACGAGTATAATGAACAAAATAGTGTTGATCATGAGCTGGTATATATACTTCTAGGTATATATAAGACGCTTTGTTAGTTACGGTAAGAAAGAGTGTCCAATAAGAAGCAGATACTGGCTAGTTTTTACCGTCGACACCGCTAATTCAGCACTAGAAATATAACAAATTATCTATATATAGAATGCTGCCGCGGAGATATATCGATGCCGGGAAATAGTTTCTAAATAGCAAGTGGAGGTTTTCCCCCCAATCGCGTTTGGAAACATACAAGGCCACTTTACCTGCTGTGAATAGTTTGTTTACAGTCCTCGCCCGCAGCAAAGTCCAGCGGCGCAGTGCATACAGGCAGCCCAGCAGCGCTTATTATCAAATGGCTAAACGGGCCTTCCTCGAATTGACTACCTAATAGCCATTTCGGTACCCGTGCCACATACAGTTAAAGGCGAAACTTGGATGGATATTATTACAATATCGATTGCTCACTTGGTGGTTCAGCAAGCGCATATATATCGTATCCGTCCAACACCCGTTGCAGAGATGCCGCACGCTGTCGGTACCGACTACCAATTTGGTCCAAATGCGGGTCAGCCTTATATGACGATTTATATTGCGCCTAGGATTGGGGACATCAGCCCACCCGGAAACTCCCCGTAGCAAAAACTTTACAAAGGTTCTCTCGAGCGATGCTAGGCTGGTAACCTCTCACAGCTTAGGGTCGCTTGCTGACAGCAGAGGGGGCTCTAATCCAGGCCACTATACAGAGCTCACGAAGTGTTTGGGCGCCCGCACTACATGTGTAGCGCTTTGGAATCAGTACGTTTGTAATTGCAGGTGCGGCGCAAATGCCTATGTTTACATTACTCTTACATGCAATACTAAGTTGAGGAGTCTAGCATAAACTGTTCTATTACGATTACAATCGATGTGTTCTCCACTGCTTCTAGGGCGAGCGAGCTGTGGAACGGATTCCCATCGGTAGGCCTCGTTGGGCAGATAGCTGTAGCTCGTACTCCAAGTGTGTTGCCGAAAATTACATTTCCGAAATTACAAATGATGACTGGAAATGCCTTGTCTATTTTAACAAGTTCGCTACATCAGATTCATCCGATTCATCCAACCAAGCAATGGAAATGGATTCCATCTAGATTGTGGTCTCATCCATTTTAATGATAACGCTCCCAACTCTTGATCGCCACATTACACAAAATTTCTCTTCGAGGGATAGGTTCAATCAGCAGAACACAACAAACGGCGTATCGCAATAAATTGGACGACATTATTAATTTATAGCCTCCAAGTCTGAAAAGCAGGGGGATATGATTAGCCTATACTTCTGCTTTGGCTTCAACCATGCCCTTTTACCTGCGTTGTGCATTGTCTAATATTTGCTCTTTCCACAGACGTAGCGGTGGCTGCTACAGAGTCTTGTTAGACTTTTCACATACGGCTATATACCTACGTAGTCATAGATCTCCTTAACTATGGTTCGCGAAACACTCCAGGATATTCTAGTTTAAGTAAATGACGTCGTGTGCAGTTCCAGATGGATCTTGATTCGACGTGTGAACTCTGTAAACTGGGTTTGCCATTTCTAATCTCTTATAACACGATTACTCGAAAGAAAAAAACTTCTAGATCCAAATCTTTGTCCTGTGCTTCATGTCTCACTCCGAAAGGAATGTCAACAAGCTGGCATGGTCCTATTGATTCCAGCAACGATTGAAGGTGTTGCTTCATTCTACTTTCGTTCATAACTAATTTAATCGACTTGTTTAATGGCCAGGGCAATCGGATAAATCATTCCAAAATGACAACCATATCTCAATGCCTTTTTGAAGTATTGCGCCATAATTCTGTTCATTTTTGCGACACGCAAAGCAATTTGAAGGAGCAGTTTCCAGACCTCAGCACTCGGCGCTAACCTGCAACGCTTAATAGAAGCCTTCTACTGGCCCTCAGTACTGGTTTGGTTAGGTTCCATATCAGCGGCTTTAGGATAATACTTCATTATGTGAAGATACAGCGTATAGAAAAAAGTGCGAACGAACCCCTTTCCTAAGGGTTGTACACTTGAATGGCAGTTGGACCAGTCAAGCATAACAACATGGATCTTTTCAACGCCAGTGTAATCTGTTGATTGGACATGACAATTAAACTCCGAAACACCGTGCCATTCTGTATATCAAGCCCGAGCTCCCCTTTCGTGCCATGTGCCAGTGGGCATTCATTCAGAAGACGGTATATCCACTCATGGCTATCTTTGTCCGCTCTAGTAACCTCCGGTTTAATGGGATGCATGGCGACTCCGGTTCGGCGATATGGAATATCCCGCCAAGGACAACCGGTAGCTTAGCACCTATCAAGCTCCTTGCACATAAAAGGATCCGTTGGGTCGCCAAAATCCCCTTACAAACATTTTAACAGACAGGGAGGGTGGTTAATTAATGCGGTATAATATACCTACCAATCGGCAGCTCGATGGAGTAATTGAACTTCCACCAGGCAATGCCTTGTCATTTTCGGTAATATGCCGTCATGGTGTAGACATCGTTAAGCAGACTATCGTTGCATCTCTATTCCTAGAGGCTCATGAATAAGCATCTTCTTCTGCGGAAATTGGTGGAGCCGGGCAGGCATGTGGCTTGTTGGCTTGCGGAGATCTACGGGGCTACGATGGCAGTGCATTTGTGGGATTGATGCTTGCCGCGCCGAAAGACAGGTATCAGGCCGAAGGATCGCATGAAGCTACTTAGATTTGAGTGACATGTTTCGTCTTGCGCAATTAGTTCAACCAGAAAAAAAACACATGTATGGACCACAATTCAATACAGTAAGAGTTGAAGACGGCCGCTATGCTATTTATGTATGTCATACAGAGAGTGAATCTTCAGTGTTGCTGTTAAGAATAGGCGGGAAAAGCAGAGCAGTGTCAGTCCATAAATGAGATACACTTTACATGGAGTCAGATAAAGCTTGGGCCATTGTGCGAGGATTCCAAGCTTTTGAAGATAAGGTAGGCATTTTCGCTTATGCCTACTGCAGAACTGTGATCATTTATCCAGAATTTGCCTGTTGTCTCTTATCTCTACTTCCTCGCTTGGCGATCATTATTCAGAAACGGTGTCTTTTGTTTAAAATCGCACGCCAGTTTTAGCCAGCTGTGTCTAATGCTGCCTCAGAGGAACCTTTGATAATATTCTTGGCCTTGCTAAGCAAAGGAGCTTGCGGCGTGAGGCATGTTTACAAACGTCTACATAAGACAAATGCCTATGACCGATGCCGAAGCTTCCCACACCGCTTTGAAGTCGTTTGGAATACAATTAACAGTGCCGGCGCCTTCCCCGATAAGGGCCTTCCGTTGAAAAGAGTCTCAAAATTTGGCAAAATGGGCTTAAAGTTGATATCCTTGGCACAACAACTGCGGCACAGCACTTTTCCCCTGATCAGGCCCAAGCAGATGAATGCCGTTGTCTATACCTTGATGTGACAAATCTAAATGCTCGTTTACGATTTTGCCCAATGGATATCTCAGGATATAATAAGAGTAAGATAGGATAAGCTCGTATCTTTGCGAGTATTCGCTTTCAACACCTCGGGGTTACATTCATTAAGATATATCTTCTTGTGATAATCGGCTTAAATCGCCACTTTCAGTCCGAATCTCCAGTGTTCTCCACCGGAAACGCTGAAGGGATTGTTACCAGGCTCTTTTTAGTGTAGTTTGCGTTCTAGGGAACGGATTTTTGAGGCAGCATATTTGCTTGGGCAAAAAGGAATGCCGAATAAGAAGCCGAGGAGGGAGTATTGGAGCATAATCTTCTTCTCACTAATATAGACGTATCTTAAGAAGTGATTTCGGCCAGTATGAATTGGACGGGAGGTGGGGGATACTATCTGTTAAATTGTAAGCACTGCATCTCGAAATCAGGAGGTATATGCATTACCTAGATGTACTAGGTCAACAATCCGAGTCCACCCTGCTTCATATCCAAGCTTCTTTGAATGATTCATGGTTAGCGTCTTCGCATTCAACCGAAATCAAGTGTTGTTACAGGAAATATGCACCTGTGCTTGTAAGACGGACCTCCTCCGATACGAATACGAGGTGAGAGATACCACGAGCTTCGCCCTTACTCGTACTCGCATGATGAGTTCACCGCCCTTGCAGCAATCATTGGTCGTGCCCGTAACAGATGGCATGGTTACATAACACAATAGACAAAAGTTATAAGTTCAAAGGATTCCAACTATGATACCTGGTTTTGAATAGAAGCACGTCTGCATTTACCTCTATTCACTTTAAAGTCACTTGTTGAGATCATGGAGTTGCTGTTAAGCCTTTTCGTCTGGATTCTTGGAGCTTTGGGAGCCATCATCGCCGTGAACCTGTTCCGACAGGCACTTCCACGAAGTAAAGACGAGCCGCCTACTGTATTTCACCTGTTGCCATTCATAGGAAATGCTGTGTCGTATGGCATAGACCCTCCTAGGTTCTTCAAAAAGTGCCAAGCCAAGGTAAGCCAGATCCGCTACTTGCGAAACGCTTTCATTCTCGCCATAAAATATATATGCTAATGTTGTTTTTTTAAAGCACGGAGATATTTTCACGTTCATTCTTCTTGGCAAGAGGATTACATGCTATTTTGGCATCGATGGCAACGATTTTATCTTGAATGGTAGCCACGATGATCTCAGCGCCGAGGAGATCTACTCCCCTTTAACGACGCCAGTCTTCGGTTCCGATGTCGTATACGATTGCCCGAATTCAAAACTGATGGAACAAAAAAAGTTTGTCAAATTTGGTTTGACGCAACGAGCCCTCGAGTGCCATGTTCCGCTCATTGAGCAGGAAGTTGTCAATTATATCGGAAGCGAGGCGTCTTTCCTGGGGAAGTCTGGCACAATGGATGTCTCAAAATCATTGGCTGAGATTACCATTTTCACTGCTGCCCGAGCTCTCCAAGGAGACGAAGTTCGTGAGAAATTGACGGCCGAATTCGCGACTTTATACCATGATCTCGATATGGGCTTCCAGCCGATTAACTTCTTGATGCCGTGGGCACCACTGCCACATAACCGCAAGAGGGACGCCGCGCATTCCAAGATGAGAGCCATATACACGAGTATCATAGAAAACCGCCGAAAAAGCAGACTCAAAGATGGATCGGACATGATATGGAGCCTGATGAACTGCAGTTACAAGAATGGCGCGCCAGTCCCAGATAAGGAGATAGCACATATCATGATCACGCTGCTTATGGCTGGACAGCATACCTCATCCTCGGCCAGCTCATGGATAATACTTCATCTCGCATCGCGCCCAGATATAACAGAACAGCTATACCAAGAACAAGTTCAAAATCTCGGCCATAACGGCAGACTCTCGCCGCTACAATATGCCGATCTAAGCAAGCTCCCCTTACTACACAATGTGGTGAAGGAGACGCTACGAGTCCACTCTTCAATTCATTCAGTCATGCGCAAAGTCAAACGGCCAATTGAAGTCCCGGGGACTCCCTATGTCATTACACCGGACAAGGTCCTCCTTTCATCGCCACTTGTAACAGCGCTGAGCAATGAATTTTTCCCCAATGCCCAAAAATGGGATCCACACCGATGGAGAAGTCTGGAGAAGGAGACTGATACCTCGGACGATTCCATATTCAAGGGAGCTAGAAGCCCATACTTGCCATTCGGCGCAGGTCGACACCGGTGCATCGGCGAAAAGTTTGCTTATTTGAACCTCAGCGTCATTGTGGCCACCATGATACGCAACTTTCGGTTCTTCCTACTAGATGAAAGCGGGAATCTCCCCCAGACAGACTATTCGTCTCTATTCTCCCGACCAAAGCAGCCGGCTATGATTGGCTGGGAACGCCGACATCACGAACATAACGGGCTGCCTTAAGATATTGCCCAACCGAAATGGTTGTTACCTACAGATTATGTAGTTTTAGCTATCATTAATGAATATTCAACTTTATTTTAGTAAAGACGTGCATATAAACGTAGTTACGACGCTGTCATTTGCCTGACCTACTCTCTAAGAGAAAAGCGACTCATTGTTTGCATCTAGATTAGACGTCTCGAGTTCTATCTTTTTCTTTTGTTTGTCTTTACGCGGCTGGATTTCGGATACTGTAAATCCTGTTAGGCTGCTCATGCTACCCAGTCCTTTGAATTATGTCTCTGACTTGTGTCTTGTCTTAGAAATTACGGCAACACTATACTCTGATACCCCTAGTTTAGCTCAACAAGCACATCGTGACTTGCAGAATATGCGCCAAGCGGATGCTTCGTTGGTAACAACAACGGCAACCTCACCAGGCCCGTTACCTGCTTTGAGAGGGATTAGTAGCAGGCTATCATCGCTCAAAGAGAACATCAATTTTTTCACCTCAAGGATTGCAGTCAGCGAATCTCAGCTAACGCTACCCTGAAGCAACGGCCGCCCTTCGGCTCACACACACTTGGCTAACTGGGCCGCTAAAAGAACATAGCTCGCAAGCCCTGCTGCTCGGCGTGCCCAGTGTACCACAGTTATATAATCCAAAACCGTTAGCAGACATTGGACTTGGAAATACTTTGTAATCGTCAAACTGCAGTGGGTTCCCATATACTACGGGAATATCGTTATGGCTGAAACGAAACTGTCTTTAAGCTTACGTGCGGACATTTATGGAGCAGTATATCTTGGTTGCTCCACACAATACCGCAGTCTTATGTAGAGACGAGAATGTATTTGTAACGAGCGTGGTGGAATTAAGTGGATCGTGAGGCAAACGAAGATCAACTGAGATCATCTTTACTATGGCGATTGACTGCAAGCAGCGTTACTACCGTTTTGTGATAAAAAGCTGCGTTACTCTCCTCTATATTTAGTATGGACCATATCCGATGGCAATAGCGTCTTTGTATCAACAACAATAAACATTGGCATTATGACTAGACAAATCACAGTTATCGGCGCAACCGGCATCCAAGGGGGGTCTGTCATTAGAGCCCTGTTAAAAGACAGCGGCTACTCGCTGACAGCCATCACTCGAAACAAATCAAGCGACAAAGCAAAAAGTCTTGCTTCAGATGGCGTTCGTGTCATTGAGGCTGATCTCGATGATATTGCCTCTCTCCAAGTAGCGTTTGCTGGAACATCCATCATTTTTGCCGCGACCAACTTCTTTGAGCCATTCATCAAATACGGTAATGAAGAGGCCATTGACATCGAGACAAGGCAGGGCATCAATATTGCTAAAGCTGCAGCTGCAACACCAACGCTAGAGCACTTTGTCTGGTCGACGCTTCCCAACGCCTACCGAATCAGCGATGCCCGGTTCGCTATTCCTCATTATGTGAGCAAAAACAGGATCGACGACTTCATCAAGGCGGATCCGATACTCCTCCAAAAGACGACATTTCTCTGGGTCCCCACTTACGCATCGAATATGAACTATCCATTCTATCAACCGTTTCCGATTCCAACGGCCGGGAAGAATCGGTATATCCAATTTCAACCAACTCCAGCATCTGTGCAATTCCCCATGATTGGCGATGCAACTATCAATATTGGACTTTTTGTGCGCGCCATTATAGAGCAACCTAAAAAGACGCTTGGCGGAAAATTTGTCAATGGCATCACCGACATTATGACGGCTGGAGAGATGCTTGCGACTTGGGCATCGGTGCGTGGCGTGGAGGTAGAGTACGTGCAGATAGACAAAGCGACGTATTATAGTTTATGGCCGCAATGGGGTAAAGCGATGAATAAGATGCATGAGTACTTGGAGTGGGCTAAGGATCGTAGCTTCTCGGGTGAAGACGGTATCCTCTCTATGGAAGATCTCGGTATCGTTGGATTAAGGGACACGCGGACTGCGTTTGCTGAGATGAGCCGATTGGATATTGGAAGGCAAATGTAGAGGGATGGAGCCATAGCACAGAGCACCTAGCTATAGGCACCAGCGGCCCTGTCTGAATAGAGAGAAATTTAGTAACAAGTGCCCTGTCTTGATGGAAGTGATGGAAGCTGGTGTGTGTACAAGTAAGCTGCGCTGCGTCTTCACATAATGACACTGCATAGTACGAGGTACTCGTATTCGTACGCCGGCGGTAGGCTGCAGTGAGAAGTCTGTCTGCGTATTGATTAGGGACGGTAATGATTAGCTAGGAGGAACCACTCCGCCTCTATTAGTAATGCAGAGCCGTTTAAATCGACTCGGTCGCTATGGTACAGCCATTAACTCCGAGATATGTTTGCACTGCTTGAGCATTTTCGCTGTTGATTGAGTAAGAACACATACATAACTGCTCAATGTCTCTCCGAAAAAAGGCATGTGCCGCCTGTGTTTCTTCAAAACGACGATGCGATCAGTCGCAGCCAGCATGCCATCGATGCGCCAAGCTACGTTTAACCTGTCAATACCCATCTTCGTCTGCGGGGATCACGCTTGAACCCCGTATAGCAATCTCGGACGGTTCAGTTTTGCCCTGTGACGAAACATCGGCCCCTTTCACTACCGATAGTTTGGCGTGGGATAGCTCCTGGGGCCAACAATGTCTTGGATTGGACTTCACAATTTCGCCGCATACAGTAACACTCCCTATGTCACACCTGGACACGGGAGACTTGAGAGATCTCGGGGAAACAGCGTTGCAAAGCAGTACCCTAGTCAACCAGTTTCAGGCTGCTTGCGATGAGAATGCCGGAGCCGAGCATATTTCCATTCAGGATAATCAACCAGCAGCATTGCCTCGCCACGGTGCATCTGAAGAGAACAATTTTTGCCCATCTTTTTGTCAGCGCACAGGTTTGCATCAAAATCAGTTAGTGCTGGCCGACTTCAGCGTTGTGCCTATGTTGCATGATGCAAACAGATGGACATTCTGCGCCAGTAAAATGGTGTCCTACATTACCGCATTTGCCAAGACGGCATCCACCGACTTCATTGCGTCGTACAACCTACAGTCCCCTCTAACGGCTGCACTAGGAGTATGCGCCGCTCATGAGACTCTGACTGGGCCAAGTCGCGTGGTTCTTGATAAGCTTATTGAAGCTGAGATAGAGAATCTGATTTGGCATGTACCACAGCGAACAACACTATCGGTGATTGATCCATCTATCTCCGGGGATATCCACAATTTTACTCCAATAGATGACTTGCAGCTTTTCAGGGAAGAACTTGCTCGGGTGCAGGCTATGACGCTGTACCATATCATAAGATCGTTTGGCAGCGATACCGCACAGAGGCGTCAAGCGGTACATAATGAGCCGCTACTAGCAGCTTGGACGACATCGCTGCAAGCGCGAATACATAAATTGTGTTGTACAGTGGATCAGAATATACCAGATCACGCAGTCTCGAGCCTTTCACCACGTTTGAGACCTGACCAGAGTACATGGGTACCTTCAAATGGGCAATATAGCCACCTTGATAATCGCGGCTTTGATTCGGGTCCACTCAGAGAGGAGGAACTTGAAAGTGCGCATCGTACTATTCTTATATCTTACTTCGTGCGAGCTATCTATATGGTAGTAACATTTGGGATTTGTCCCCTAATATCGGAGCTCGAGTCTTTAATGGTCTCTGTACCTGCGAGTGTGAGAGGGCGGAAACACAGCCTAGGAAGTGGCAGTCTGTTTCCGCCTTGTATCTTCTCATCTTTGGGCCTCCAAGGGTCTGATGGTTTAAGACTCTCGTACAAAGAACTTCTTGGGTTATGGGAGCAGGGCTACATGTCTACTTCGGATTTGGAAGATGAGTATACCCAGCTTCTACTGGTTGCATGTAAAGGAGTAAGCATCCTTTCAAGCGGTCCTGGGGAGTTTTAAATTTAATTATATGACACTGGAGTTCAGGGCTGGAAGTTCTTTTTTTCTACAATACAGCACCTTTCTTAACGCGGGGTCATCTTGGTGTGATAGAAAATTAGTCCCTCTTGGTTAGGAGCCTGTTTTCTCACATAAGCCTCGACCAGGGCTGCGTCTTAAAGTAACAGTAAATCAGCGCAACACATGACAGCTTTTGTAATTTGGAAACCTAGGTGTGTATTTCAAGCACTAGATATGGACTTGCTGCTATTCCAAAGTAACTTCCTATCAATGGTATTTTGCATAGCGCTATCCTATGTTTACGTTTAAGAGTCAATGTGATCCACACGCGGACAAGGTAAAAAGCTGCCAGTGTCTACAACGTTCTTTATAGAAAAGTAGGTGATTGATAAGATGTACAATGCGTTTTTCAGCCCATGTTAGGCTACTTAAGCAACGGAAATCGAGTATTGTGTTGTGGTAAATACAGCATTTGAACCTATTAGATCTGTTAGAGCAATTCCCAAATTACTGTCATCAAGATTTCAGTCACCTATAAATGGTTCTGTGCCTGCCTGAAGACTTGTCACAACCATACTTGTGCTTACACCCTGACTGGACGTGAGATAATTAAAAAAAAGCTTCAGGTCGCCATTCCAACTGTTGATATTGCTAGGTGCCACAAACGAGAAGACAGTAGTGCTACCGTTAGGGCCTTTAAATAGTTGCCACGAAACACCGTTGATTGTAGGCGTAGCAATTGGTGTACTTCCTGTGCTGGAGATAGGGCCTGCACCACCGTATTTGCCCAACCAAATCATTATCTCGTATTGATTGGCGGAAGATGCAGATGGTGCAAGCCATAGATCGTAGGCTACATCAGCGACAAGCTGAGATCCACTGTATCTACGGTAGCACTTAGCAAAAATTGTTTCATGAGTCCATGTTCTGCATACTTACTGCCAATTCCACGCTGATGGGATGGACATTATCCCAGATAGTGCTTTGTCGACGTTCTCCAGCGCAACATTGGAGTACGATTTCACGTTTGAGTTCCCGCCCGTCCAGGTCCATGAGGTTGACCACGAGACTGAATTGCCTTGAAGCGAGTTGAAAGTTGTGCACTGCTGTCCAGAAGTGGCGGTTGCAGCTCCCCAATTGTTGTGATATATAGTATATGGGCCTGCTTGTTGACTTCCAAAACTTCCACACCAAGTAATTGCCCGTGGTTCAATTGAAGATATAGGACTGGCTCCAGAAGAAGCAATAAGCCATCCAGGTATCAAGTATGAGCTGAACTTCATGCTTATGTTGCGAATAGGTTGGAGGGACAGTAAAACGAAGTGTTTCCACGGCATCAAGCCTAGAAGTTTTGGAGCGCTTTTGTGACATATAAGTAGTTTTTGAGTGTTGAGAAGCCCCATACAGTTGATCAACAGTCATAAGGTTGCATCCGATGACAGATTATCCGCCACATGCAAAAGGGTGCCACGGATGATCTACACCCGTATTGGATAATGCCGTAACCGTGTTAGGCGTTTCGGGCATCGCAGTCTTCTTGTTTTTACAAGTTGCGCACCAATAGCTTCAAAACGGTTAATTACCAGACTGTGATCCAAGAGAATCTTTTGTTTTCACCTTCCGTGCACGGTTAGATAGACATGTGTTTATCCTGGTAGATCCTTGGCCCTCCCTTCACAACCCCAACACAATTCGGATTGTTGTTAGCACGATTATTCTCGAACAATGAGTGGAGTTTACTCCACAACATTTAACTACGGACAAAAATGCCATGCTACATCTTTGCGATATACACGTTATTACGGGAGTGTGATCTATATAGCTGCATAGGAATTAGCTCGGAGAATCACTCAGTGGACTTTTACTCCGTTTAACCGGAGAGCAAGCTTGATATGGCATACGAACAAGGGAGTTGATAGGTGCGGCAAAGCTGAACGGCAATCAGACGATTTAATACTTCTACATCGGGTGAATGTGTACCGAGTAGTTTCATTGAACAAAGTGAGCTGAGGGTATACGTAAGGAGTGCAAAAGTTCTCTATTTATAATTATCTCCCGAGTTAAAAAGTAGGCTTTTATTTTGTACCGATTATACCTGGTGTCGAAATGGCATTGAAGCGTCTGAGACATACTTATCGAAATCTATACACTGTATGTCCACGGAAGGTGATGGTCGGCGCAGACATAGTCCTGCCGCTCGCAATACTTTGAACGATAGTCTTTCCTCGATTATTTATTTAACGCACTTCGAACGGCTTCGCTATTAAAGGAGGCTCTCTACGCTACAAAAAGACCCTGACTACCCTCAATCTGAACTGTATACATTTCACGTGCTGAAATATCGTAGACATCATTACCATACTTTGCTGCGGTTCAAAAGCCTCAAAAGGCTAGTATTGGATTTGATTATTATTATTTGCTTATTTGTCTTCTTCACAGTTAATTTACTCACAATATCGCACCACAGAGCCAATCTGTATGGTGGATTCAAATCACGTAGCCATGGTTGGTATGTCTGGCCTGTAAAAGTAGATTAATCTGCAAATTCTTTGTAAAGTGCAAAAGGACCTGAGCTATACATGGACAAGGAGATACAGCCAGATGGGTATCCCTGGTATGTAGAGACTGCTTGATAAAATGGCATGGGAGACAACACTGCCATGCGTTAAACATGGCGCTAAAACTTATTGTCTATCTGCAGATGAGTATGAAACCCGGAATAATAAAGTAAATATGAGCGGGCAAAAAGGCCAGGCCCGTGCTTTTGTCTTGCAGCAAAAATGAATTCAATCTAGGGTCAGATCATCTTGAAGCTTGGAAAGAAGCCAGAGATCAGTTAGCTAAGTCTGAAATGAAGATCTCTGCTTATACCACTACAGAAGAACGACCATGTGCCCACTGAACTTGTGTCAACTCTTATGACTAAAGGCCTAACGCCGAGCACTCGGCAAGCACTATCTATTCGTATGACGAGCAAAAGACAAGCTCCTTTCGCATGTTTAAGCTGTCCATCCAGAAAAGATCGCAGCGATATGATAATAATGGCGCCTTGTGCCAATTGTAGGCAGAATGGTAATGAATGCGTACCTAGGTAGTTAGGTAGCCCCCAAAGCATAAGTGGGTGATTATCGGCTCCAACCATTGCTTCGAGATGTACTGCATTATATGGATGCAATTAAGATTCTGTGTTTCTACAGCAGCTTAGCTATAAACAGACTTCCAATTTCCGAAGTATGTGTCGTCTTTTAAAGATTTGTCAGAACAGTAGCTCGATCTGCATGCTAATTGGAATGTCGGGATGTTGGAGTCTTGGTAAGTAGTAGTATCTAAGGAACGATACAATTTATCTTGATCTTTTGCACGGGAACTACATCCCGTAAAATAAGGATGCCTACTTGATGATAGCCAGTCACCTGAGAGCTGTGCTACTGATTTACGTGAGGCTTTGATTACATCAATTTGAATAGCTAATCAGTTATCTCGATATTGCCATTTATATATCTCTATTTGCCTTGACACTGCTAAACCTCCGGCATGTGCTTACAAAGAAGCTTTTGGTGCCTGTCGATTATCATCATGTGGTAGGCGCTCGATAATACCTGGAACTCCCCCCAACACAATCGCCAAACTGTGTTGCCCTATGTCGGCTAGACTTTTGCATCCTGACAACCTCATGCATACCTCAAACTCCTCCCTCAATACCTGCAAGGCTCTCTCAACACCATCTTGGCCATTGAAAGCGAGTCCCCAGTATGGGATTCTCCCAGCAAAACATATGTCGGCACCAAGCGCAAGAGCTTTGAAGACATCACTTCCCCTACGGATTCCACCATCAATGCCTATCATTAGCTGGCTTTCAGTCGACCGTTTGGAATTGATGCTTCGAGCCGCTGCTACGCAATCCGATAGAGCTTCAAGTGTAGCCGGAGCACTGTCGAGCTGGCGACCGCCGTGATTAGAGATAATGACTCCTTTCACGAAGGGATACTGAGCAACTGTAATGACATCCTCGGGTGTATAAATGCCTTTGAGCCAGATCTCCATGTCCGGCGGGGTGATTGAGCTAAGCCAAGGCAAATAGTCAGAGGCGGAAACGGTAGCATCCCTAATCGCATTCTTGAAGTTGTTGGGGTTATACGATATATTAGGAAATGCGAGGTGCTCCGGAAGGTCTGTGCCATTTCGAAGCCTTAAAACTTTGCCCTCAGTAACCACTTGTGTAATTTTTTAATGATGATTAGCTTACTCGTTCAATCGGCGTCCGACAGTAGGCGAATCCGCCGTGATGAGAAGGGCCCTGTAGCCTGCTTTGTGAGCCCGAGCAACAAGTTCTAATGTGTAGTCTTTCCGACTTGCACTCGATTTTTGGATAGCATAAGGTATCTTGCTTTCAACCTCATCGCAGGCGATAATAACCTCTTCGAGAGGTTTCGTCGCCCAGGCTGATAAGCACATGGCTATACCTGCCTTCGCGGCTGCGTGTGACGTTGCGACTTCGCCATCAGGATGTGCCAAGCAGTGCATTGCCGCAGGCGAGAATCCAAATGGCCAGGAAAGCTTTGTGCCAAAGATGACTTTACTAGTATCGATCTCTTCCACATCACGCAGAATTCTAGGCATAATGCGGTAGCGGTTATACTCCAGCTCGTTTGCTCTAAGAGTGGTGAGATCCTCTGCCCCTCCGTTGATATACTGTGCCCATTTGGGGTCCAGCTTGGCTAAAGCAGCGCTGCGTATATCGGAAATTGTCCAAACTTCGGAAATCGGCAGCATATTTTCTTAAACTTCAAGTAAAACGGGTTTGCAACTCGAATGAAGATTCTGGGAACTGTTACAAAATGAAAAACGCATTGGATAAAGAGTGCTGGGGCATACTTATAAAAGAGCTAATGGAGATGATTGTTCAAGACCAAAGATTGTTCAAGATAACAAGGCCTACAATCCATAACTGGTTGCCATGTCTGAAGTGTTACAAATCAAATCAACTATGGTGCATCGTAACAGCCAATCACCAACGGGACAAGTGCTTTCGAGGTTGGTCAATTTGAGATGTCCGGGAAGTCCGACAAATCCGTAAAACTGTTCTAGTTTCTAGAATATCCATTAGGCGTGACAAAACCGTTAACCGATAGGTAGCAGCCATGGTCTTCAGCAAAGTGGCTGCCCCGTCTTGCTCAAAAAGTAAGGTCAGCATTTCTACCGCTGGTGTGTTCGATTATCTCACTTTGCAGTCGAAATGTCTCTTATAGTCGGCCGTGTCTTGCACTTCTAGTTTCTCGATTCGCAGCTAATAACTCATCTCGCTATCTTGTTTCCGGTCGCATAGCGACCTCAGGATCGAAAGTGACACGATCCTATCACTCACCTGCGTAATTGTCAACTTAGTTCCCTCTATTTTGACCCTTACTACTGGTGACAAAAAAGGACAAATTGTTGAAAGAATTCTTCGGTATAATCCTCCTTTTTTACAAGATGTTTTGCATACTTGAGAAAAATATGTAGTTGTATCTTTGCTTCTTCCATCTCATCAAACAGGCCGCTTTCCTCAAGCGTAAGTGCTAGGCTAAAGTAACTTCGAGCTACAGCGCCTGCCTGAGACTCACAGTCTTTGAGAATATTAATTGCAGATTTAAAAAATATGCTAAATTGGTTAATACAACGGTCATATAAACTAAGTCAACAGGGGAACTTACGCGGCCTGAGTAAGATCTGCTCGAGAGCGCAAAAGAGAACCAAGTTTATGGCAGACAAAGGCTGTATATGAGTGGGTCGGCGACTTCAATTGCCGTATCCTCAGGCAATCTTCAAAAGCAGAAAATGCAGCGTCTTGCTTCATAGCAAGGAGCGTGTTGCCTGTATTAAATTGAACGCTGATATTGATTCGTGTTAGCAAGCCACCATGGTTGGTTATTGTACACCAAGCTCTCTGACTCAGAATACCAGGACTCTTACATGGCCATGCTCAAACTGTCAGTACCATATGCTTCTAGTGTCCAGTCACGGGCTTGACGACACCAGAACAGGGCATCCTCCAGTAGGCCTTTGGCACGATACGCAATGGATAAGTTCGCCGCCCAGTCTCCCCGCGAGCTTTTGTTTTGGAATGTATCCAGGAGTAACTTGAAGGCGTAAATGCTCGGCTCTGCTACACCACAAGCCAGGTGCGTAAGGGCAATGTTGCCATCAACAATGGCCATCACCTCGACGTCGTAAGACTCTAGTGTCCCATCCTCAATTAATGCAACACGATGATTGTCTGCCTTCTCAAACCACTGCCGGCCATGATCCGGAAGATTGAGTTCGTATTCAATAGTTCCAAACGTGTTGTACATATCAGCCGTCAACCGACGCATATACTGAGGGAAATAGCCAGGGTGATTTTTCTCCTCTATTGCAACCTGCAGGATTGAACATGCTTCTTTTACCATCTCAGTGGCTGTTCCAAAATTGCCTCGCTCAGATAAATACCTAAATCAGGGAAAGAGTTAGCAGCGCGGCATGCATAAGTTTCAATTGCGAGTAGGTAATACTGTACCATGCGCAGCGGCGAATCACCTCACACAGCATAATTGGTGGTCGTAAAATGTTTCGAAAGCGTCCATATATTTTCATCAGCGCGGAAAGATGAGGGTGAAGCAGCGCGCAGTCGTCCCATTCTTTGAGGAGGGGCGAGCCGCCTAATCCTTTTGGAAAGCACGCATTCAGGGCAAAGACCGCCCAATCGAACAGATAAGCAAGATCTTCAGACGCAATCGACTTTAAAACTGCTTCTCTTACAATCCTATGGCAACCGAATCTGTTGCCCTCTGGGCTCCTTGTCAAAAGTGAGATGCGTATTAGTGTAGACGCGGCTGTATCGACCGTTTGGCAACATGCTAAGTTAAGATAAATTACCCGCATAAAAAACGTGAGTCATACGTACAAGGATCTTTCTGGGAAAATGTCGCGCGTGCAGGCTACGAGCCGGGGAAATGCATCGCTGGGGCCATTGTGTGTTCTAGTCAAATGGTTAGTCAAATCCGCGTATAAGAAACAGAATAGTCGCTCACTTAGATTTATAATCATGGCACTCGATTAATTCGATAGGTACATCGTCAGGATCAAAAAAGGCAAGAATCTCCCTCTTAGCTTCTTCGTTGATATTGACCAGAGCCATTGTCCATGTGCGATGAATGGAGATTTCATAAAAGCGATCTGGGTTCCCAGGCTGGAAGAGTAAATTTGTGTCAAAATCGGTATAGTGTTGTAAGAAGCTGGTGTAAGACAGGTTCGCCATTCTGATATATGAGCCAATGGAATTCAGCACCAATGGCATGTTGCCGAGACGATCTGAAATGGATTGAGCGGCGCCAACCTCTTCTTTAGTAGCGTTTACATAAGGATTGATGTCAAGCATAAAACTCAAACTCTCTTTGGGGGTAAAGAGTGGAACTTCGAGGCATTCATGGCCATATGCTGCCGCCACTTCACGGTTCCGAGTGGTGAGAATGATTGATCCATGAGCTCCCACAGGCCAAGTCTGATCGATAGCATGCTCACCTTCGACGTTGTCGAAGACCATGAGCCACTTGACCCGTCGATTGGCCGAACCTAAGCATCAGTAACTATGATGTTCGATTGCGCCGCATTGTGCAGAAAATGATATGAGTCTGACCTATGGTGGCAGTCATGAGCCACTTAGTAAAAGTTCTAATCAGCGCTGCGTCCTGCCGAGAACCTGTTGGCGGCCCAAGCTGTAATAAACGAGCGTGAGTAAGGAACGACTCTCTAAGCTTCTCTTCTGTTTCGCCTCGGATCCAAAAAATAGCATCGTAATCGTCGGCATGCCCATATGCGAATTCTAGTGCTAGTTGGGTCTTGCCAACGCCTCCTAATCCGTATAAAGAGACTGCCAGCAGTCTCGAGACTTCTGTTCCAGGCATAAGGCAGCTTTTCATTCGGGCCATCAATTCTGCACGGAAGTGGAAGCGGAGATTGCGCCCATAGGGAAGTTCTTTATACGGGAGCTGATCAGTCATGGCGGTGAATGCGTTTGCGGATAATAGCTTGATGATGTTGTTGTGCTGTTCCTGTTGCACCTTGAATTTCGCCCAGTCTACTTCCGCTTCAACCCAGGCTGTCTTCTCCTGAAGAGCGACAAGGCGCTTCGACGCTTGGATACTAAAACGTGTCACACGACGATTCACAAAGAGAAAGTTTTCTGCGCAGCGAAGACTTGTTAGTTAAATGAGAGGACGGAGATGCCCCGATACCACAAACAATGATGGCGCCTGACACATGTGGTGATACAGCAGCAATGGAACTAAACGGCCATGAAGGGACTGAGAAATAAAAGGGAATAAGATGATTTATGGCACGTCTCGGTTGTTGCACGGAGTGATACTCCAACGGGATCAACTGACTTATTGGATGGGCTCTAAGGAACTCGATTGCATCCTGGTACTGGGCAATGAGCTCCGCGTAGTAGCATATCAATGCGTGCTGAAGCCTTGCCGACAGGTCTCGGGGACCAAATTCTTTCAAATACTCTTGGAAACGGGGTAGAGAGCGCTCCATCCGCTCAAATACATCTGTTGTTGCTTCAAGCGTTTCTTCGTGCTTTGCGGCAAGCTAGCTTCCGTTTTGAGCAGACAGGTTCAAGAGCCATGGACTGGCCCGCCAGTTATCCCGGGGCTTTGGCATAGAGAGTACGTAGCTCGAGTATCAGGGCTAGTGGACCCCACACAATGCCAGCAATGTCAGGCTTCGCCTGGACGGTCGTGTTTACGACAGTTGAAAAGGCTCTGAGTTGTGCCACGAACGTTTGCGTCTTTTTCAAGCTTTTTGCAGTTTTCGTCCCAGAATACTTGACAGTCAGCGCATGGTAATGGAGTAGGAGATCTTCTTGCGAAGTAATATGTCTTATCCGATTGCGTTCTTTGCTGCTGAGACGCGTGTTGTAATACTCCCATGCCCGACTCCAGACGTCGATAAATTCATTGTTCATAGTGTCCGCCGCTTAGAGCCCCTATACCGCACTGGCACGTCGGGTAGGTATAAGTAACAAATTGATTGTAAAATCTCTCTTGGCGGAAGTAGTTTGTACGGGATTTCGGCTTGTCTCAGGCACCGTGAGATTATAAGCTATTCGCCCACTAATGGCGTTCTAATTGGCAGTACTATATCTCCTTTTGAGTAATCCAAGGTTGCAGGGTTGCGCCAATGTTATATCTCGGGTACGTGAGGCTTACACAAGCCTATGTGTCGGGTACGCAAGGCTTACAGTATGTAACTCGGTGTTACACTTTAAGATTAATTATAGGAAGTCGTGCGTGCGGGACTAGATAATTCTACTCTACCACCATGTACATTTGGACTGACTGCTGTAGACAATGAACGTAATGCCCGAAGACATTGTCTTGCCGTTGCTTCAATATGAGGCCAATGGTAGCCATCTAGCGTTGCTAAACAAGAATTATGATGCAGGCGATGCCTGTGTTGAAATATTCTACTTGTCTAAAACATGAAGTTAACCGGTTACCCTACCATCATTTACCATAAAGTCTTGCCTGGCCAAAGCGGGGTGCCCCGCAGCTCAACACATCCATTACATATCACGTCAAGGACCACAGGAATCACATTACAAAACATAGAACATTCGGTCCCCTGCTGACAGTCTCTGGCTGGTCTCAAAGTCCAGTTCAACACATACCTCAGTTCAAAACTAGTCTAGTAATGGAGGGGGACAAGTAAGAATCTTCTCCCACCCAAGAAGCAGTGAACTCCTAACCATGCTCCAGGGAAGCAGTGAGGCGCCTTGACGCTGCTATGCAACACGTGGCCGAAGTGCAAAAGGTCTGCAAAGCGCCATCGATATCTATCGGCATCCTACACGAGGGCAAAGTGCTTTATCGCAGGAGTCTCGGCTTGAGAGATGTTGAGAATAACCTAGATGCTAATAGTGATACATCTTATTTGATTGGGTCTTGCTCCAAGCTCTTAACTTCTGCCGCCGTTGGTATCCTCGCAGAGACCCAGCTTTCTTGGAAAGACTTGATTAGCAAGCACGTTCCCGACTTCGATCCTGTTGGAGATCCTCGTATCGGTCAGCAGGCGACGATTTTGGATGCTTGTCGACACTCGACGGGGCTAGCAAATCCAAACGCAGTCTTTTTCGGCCCTCAGGGCGCCCTGACCATCAAGGAGGAGGATCACGTTGCCCTACTCAACGCACTCCCTACCTCCAATGACAGTGGCCAACGCTTTAACAGCTGGTGGAACTACAGCAATGCCGCATTTGGAGTGTTATCAAATGTCATAAAAGCTGTTTCTGGTATGCACTTCTGCGAATTTATACGCCAACGGCTCTGTCAGCCTCTCGCCATGGAGCAGACACTTGTTGCAAGAGCCGAAGTCCTCGGCAACAACAATATTGCATATCCTTACGTCCAGATGGAGGACGGGCACTGGGCTAAAATTGAGAATGGCTTGACCTCAGAAACGTATGCGCCGGGCGTAGCATCAATGGGAATGCGCAGTTCTGTCAACGATCTGCTTACGTTTTGCGCAGCAGTTATGAATCGATATGATTGTGAAAAGAATATCCATCCCCCGCAGGAGCTCCTTCATCCGGCGAAAGAGAATCCCCTTCGACAAATATCATCGATCTGGGGATGGTGGTGGACTCGACCATTGGATGATGGCTTCGACAATAACACTGCGTACATGCTTGGTTGGTGGCGAACCACGATGCCTACTTCTGCACTAGGGCAGCTCTCGTACAATGCCATTCACAGACGCGAAGATATCATTGGCAAAAATTCTGGATCTCGAACTCTTTATGGACATAATGGTGTTACTGAGGGATCAGTAGCAACAACGTACCTGATACCCTCCTCACATTCTGCCATTGTAGTGCTGAGCAATGCGGCTTACGCAGGAGATGCATCCGATGCGACAGCACAGATCATGCTTCAAGCTCTTTTTGATCTTCAACCATCCGTCGACCTCGTGGCTGCCGTTCAATTATCCAGAAATGAACGATTGGAGAGACATGAAAAGATGATCTCAACTTGGCAGGAAAACAGAGACGTGTCCAAATACAAAGCGACTCCGGACGAACTAGTTGGATCGTATATTGGTTTGAACGTGTCTCGGATCAACATTGTCAAAAGTGACAAGTCGCTTTCGGGGCTGGCAGTCGTTTTTGCGGACCAAGAAATCTCTCGCTGTGAGCTGGAACCCTATAATTCAGATTCGCTTAGCTATCTTCCTATGAAGTACGACGAAACTATAGCTCGTGGGATGATTGATTGGGATTATTGGACGGTCGGAATATTCAATTTTGTGCGGCAAGACCGAGACCGTCAACAAGGAGATATTGTGGGCTTAGAATGGAAATGGGACGAATATGACTATCCAGCACTATGGAGAAAAGAATAAAGCTTTGTATTTAATTACTAATGGCGTCAAAGACCTCTTAGTTACAAGAGAAAGACCAAGCAACTTAGTCGCTCTACAATAGGCTGTTAGTATTTTATACATGGATCGCGATTCTGCTTTGATAAGTACGAACAGATATAATAAATCCAAACTCTTCCACAGAGAGCTTGGGCAGAGCTTGAAGAGCTTGACAGTTCAGTCTTCCCACTAGCCCTTGTGATAAATATAGGTGTAAAAAATGCAGAAGTTTTTCTATTTGAAGTTTAGAAAGGTCAATTTTTCCCTTGAAACATTTCGACTCTAGGTGCCTGTATTACTAAGTAAGGGCGAGAACTACTTAGGTAGCTACGGGGCCTGGTTTTATAGGTGCTATCTATGCCCGGAGGGATGTTTAATAAGCCATCCCTATTACTAAGTAAGCATGAGTTCACGCCAATCAGCCCAGCACCTAATCAATCGACCAAGTCCACCGTTTACTTCTAGGCCAATCGCGCGAGATAAATGGATGAAAGCTTCGAACTAGGTACTCTCTTTTCCTAATATCTTTTATAGTGTTCTAGTCGCTTGCTGGTCCTTGAGGCATTGCCCAGAGCGGACTGTGGCGGCTACCGAGACGACTATGATGAATGGAGCGCATTCGCGTCGCATTGCATGCAAGGTGTGCCTATTACTCCTTAAGAACCGCCTATATAGCTAACGTAAAACAACAGTTATGCAGGGATCGAAAAGTTCGCTGTGGAGGAGAACAGCCAGCATGCGAGAAGTGCAGACGAGCTGGTGAGGAATGCGTGTATCTCTCAACTCAAAGGCCGACCAAGGCCGACCTACTCCAAACAGTAGAGGACTTACAAAAACGCCTAGGTAAGGGTTTCTCGTTATACAGCTACTCTCCTGATGTTAATGCTGCACTGCGTGATAACTAACATTGATTGTCCGACCAAATGGAAAGACGAAGCAGAAGCACACATTGCTAAAATGAGCGCTTCGATAAATGCCGTTGCTCTAACTGATATGGACCGATTACACCAACAACATAGTCTGCTCTCATCTGTGCCGTTGACCAATGGCTTCATAGAGCCATTACAAACAGCCATGTCCCAACAACAAAGCGGCTTGAGTCAATTCCGAGTGGACGGGGACATGATGCTCGATAGCTCGGATAATGGCTTTAACACACGAAGCGAACCCTTTATCCAAGGGGGAGACAGCCAGCTCTGGCACGCGGACATGCGCAATTGGCCCTGGTCTTCACCTGTACCAACACGCGATACCGACGAGGCAGCAAGAGTAAGCGAAGAAACTGGCGCCGCGATTCTTGACACTGTTGCCAAGTTTTCCTCAGCAGTGTTCCGCAGCCAGGCTGACGCGTGTGGCATGGCCACCTCCGTCGCCGACTACATCGCCTGGCTTCGCAATGCGCCGCAAGGCGGTAACGGCATGACGAATAAAGATCCGATATATATGGCCCTTCTAGGCACACTTGAGACTCGACTACGAGAGTTGTGCGAAGTTAGCCAGTCGAGTAATAGGAGCGCTTTACGAGAGCTGGTAACATCCCTCGAGGTGATTGCTCCGCCAGGCAGAGCCACGGCTATCAGGCTAGCCACCATTGAAGAGGACCTGAATAAAGAAGTCCAAGAGCGCGCCGACTTCTTCCGCACGCGGTATACCCCATGTGCGCTTCTCAAAGAGCAGCAAGCCCGAGATAGCCCATAGCTGGTTGGACATACGATCCAGAGGTGAATAGTAGAGAAACACTCCATATATATCTTGAAGGCATGGGGATTTAGTGAAAGCGCAGCGAGTGGGAGGTAGTGTTGTTTGAAACTAAGCATTTACACATGATCAGCTGCCTATGGCGTTCGCGGGGGGTGGGTTGAGAGTTTTTAAAAAGCTACGGTCAATAATCTACCTCATTCTAACATTTAATGAAAAAAAAAAAGCCGAGCGTTCAGTAGGTTTTGTAACAAATCATAGATTGTATCAAGGCTCATGCGGTTCATCTATAATGTTCTGGGGTTTATCCTTTTCACTAGATAGGAGATACAATCCCAGCGCACCTCGATACAGACGGCCGAGAACCACTACACCTTGCAAGCGACGGCTTATGCTATTGGATTCCGGCACAATGGAGAATAGATTCTATAAATCATTCTACGGGGGCGGATGTGGTTAACACGGTGAAAAGTTGCTCAACCAGCACATTTGATAGCTGCTATTTAATCCTCGAAATAGCTGTTAATTTAAATTAAATAGTGGTCAACGATCATGTACCTTCTTCAAGATTACAGGGCATGGATGTAATGAACGAAACCGATTCCATGACACTAGCTAAATTATCCTTGTGGTGCTCAATCCTCGCATGCTCATACGATGCACCATCTTACTACTAAGCAATTCGAAAGTTGCGCCCAGTCTGTAGTCAAGATCGACTACCACCTGCAGTTCTCGCCAGAGATTCATTCTATATATCGTAGCTCATCAGCTGCGGTGTAATAAGCTGCCCAGAACGCCATTTTGTATACGTTTCGTAGCTGGCTGTACACCGATTCAGAGTTCCGATATTGGCGCCTAATCGTCTCGTTTAGGCCACCGCGCCGCCGCTCTCAATGAACAGTTTCCTCCTCTGTGGTAAAATGTTAGTAGACAGAACGAATTCTTAGGGTCCAACGCTTTCTCAAAGATTACTTACACTCATAAATAGAGATGTTATGAAACCAATGGCAGTGATACCGACCAGGTAGTAGAAGCTATCGCGGATTGCTGCTGTTACCTGCTCGACAACCAAGAGCTTTTGCGCAGTATCCAGGCTCTTGTAAAAACTGCCACTAGTTCCCGTCACTAGCTGACTGATCTCGTCCCTTCGGGCATCTGGCAACGCAGCGGCGAGATAGGTTAGGGCCATATTCTGAAAAACTGAGCCTGACACGGAAAGGGCTAAAATAATTCCCAGAACTTGTGCTGGGTTGCGAATTTATTAGTGAGGGGATTCTTTAATGAGTGTGTTTTGTAACCTACCAATGGTCATGATTGATACCGCGTTGTTGACCTCTGAGGCCGGGGCGAGCGCCGACACAATACCAATCCCAGCACTCTGAAAACACCCGATCCCTAGGCCGATGAGCACCGTAAAGCCATAGAGGCGGGAGTTGGAAGTATTGACGTCGATAGTCGCTATTTATAAACACTCTCAGCACATTGGGTGTCGAAGCTTTTAACGTGGAATCAAGGCTCTGTACTTACTCATCAGAGAAGCGCCTGTTACTAACAAGGCGTTGCCGACGACGTACCAAGGTAAATAGTATCCGGTTTTGGGCATCACGAAACCATTCAACAGACAGCCAAAGACAATCATGCAAATCAGAGGCAAAATGCGCACCCCGCCTTGCAAAGGATCATCACCCTTAGTAAACTGGAAGATCAACGGCGTATAATAGATTGACATCATCATCGAGCCTGCAACAAGAAATGCTTGCAAAGGCAGCAGGAAGAGATCTTTGTTCTTCATAAACTGAGTTGGCATCATCCTGGCTTCTGGCGGCACAAACGGGTGATAAATGGTTACGAAGATGAAGGCAATCAGCAGCACAACAGTCATGACCCAGAGCGTAATCTCTGAGCCGCTATTCCACTCGTAAAGAGTGCCACCAAAGCTACCAGCCATGCAGAAACAGGCGCAAAAGGCAGTAAAGATGATTATGCCGATCCAATCCTGCATCCGTAGTTTCTCTCGGAAAGAAACGTCCGGCATGGCATTGATGCTGGGAAGAAAGAAGAGGTATCCGGGCGCGAACAGGCCCGCAATGGGGAGGTTGATGTAGAACCCCCAGCGCCAAGTGGCGGCACTCTGCGCGAGGGCACCGCCGATAATCGGGCCTAGAACGTTGCCAAATCCCCATATAGACATGACGCCGGCGAGGTATATGGGTCGCTCTGCATTCGTGGTCAAGACGCTGATGTACGTCAAGCCTCCGACATATACGCCACTGCCGCCGATGCCCGATACGACACGGCCAATGATGAGAGCTGCCATATTAGGCGAGGCACCGCAAATGGCGCTGCCGGCTTCAAATAGGAATAAGCTAACAAGGAAAAACGACTTCATGTTGAAGAGGCCGTAACCTTTTCCACTGTGAATGGCCACGGTAAGCACGAGTCCGAAACGAAGGGCAGTGATACGTACATAGGCAGAATGAGAGACTGGCCCAGCACGAAACTGACTCCGATCCATGCCAGAGCTGTCTGGTCGCCGAAGCTTTCGACAATGGTCGGTTGGATGGTCGCGATCTTTGAGCAGCTCCGTTAGAAGGTGATTTGGGTGGCCGATCTGGGCACTTACAATAGTATTATCTAAAGCGAAGAGCAAGACGGTAGACATGAGAGAGGTGTAAGCCAAAGCCCACTATGGAGAATAGTGTCAGCGCATTATGAAGTGACCCAGAATGTGTTATAATGAACAGACTCACCCTCCAGCCCCTTATGATTCTCTTCTCTTCTCTGGCCTGCTCCTCCTTATTGTTGTTCTTGGGAGAAATTCCAGTGCCTTCATTGGATGTATTATTGCGTGTCGTATCCATGTCTGAGACTTTTCCATTTTTTTCACTAATGTCAGCAGCATAGCCACTACGGGCGAATTTTTCTGTTATAGCCATCTTGCAGACGTATATACTTAGCCCGACGAGACTGTAAGGCGTTATCATGGCACAGCTTTCTGGAAGAGGGAGATGTTTTATGTTTTGTTGCAGTATCTTGGTAATTTTAAAAGCTTCGAATTTGTAATCAAAGATACTGTTACTCGCATAGATGTAACTCTCCTGGAGTAGTATCCGGGCTGTTGAATCCGGGCTGTTGAATCCGGACCGTAATTCATTTGCTGGTCTACCTATCGACACATCCCTCCTCTACAATTGGCTTAGCGGGATGTAACATGCATTGGGAGTCTGATCGCCCCATCTATTCTAGTCTTCCCATTGAAGCTCCGGGCCGAACTGACCGAGCGTTTTACTAAATGGACACAATGCCCGGGTCGTGAAGCTGTGGCACGGGGAGTTCTGGCCGAATCCTTGCTAGCCCTGAGAAATTCTCCGAATAATATTTGTGTTGGAAGAACTAGGATACCTTATGTATTGGTACATCACTACACAGAGAGAAGTGGTCACTTCAACTTTTGCCAGAGTGGTCTTTTCAACAATTTGTCTAGTATATAATCTGTGATACATTACATACTTTTCCATAGCAAACCTTTACTATCTTCTCTGGGGCTTAACTGCAAAGCTCGAGTAGCTGTTATTGCCAAGGACTCCCAACCTCCCCCCAGTCGCGCCCACGCTTGCTGCGCAAGTTGTGCTATCCACCCTTTTAGAAACCAGGTATCATCAAACCTAATCATTATAACACACCAATGCAAAAATATAGCAAGTGCAACTGAGCTATTCTCATGCTTACACTGCAGTTGGGCGACAAAAGTCTCGCTCACCAACGCCGGCCATGACAAGATGTGTAACCACGTCCTTGGCTGTCCCTGGATAGAAACGCACCAAGTCTGTAGCAATTCGGCAGCTTGAATTAGATATTCTTTGTTCGGCTCCACCATACGAATGTTTGTCTTCAAGAGTTTGATTCGCTCCAGAAACTCGAGGTCGATCTTTGCGCCCGTATCTTTCGTTCTGTCATGCGCTAGCCTTTGATCCTGCAGGAAACGAGGTGCGATAGCAATCGCAAGTCTTGCGGTGCCTCTAAGTAGGTGGAAGGTCTCAGCTATGGCGTCCTCTCTTGGATGAGTGACACACAAACGAATTTGGAAGACGGTGGTTGCTAAGCCAAAAATCCACTGCGCAAAGTAGGTACTGACTACTTTTCCGGCGACGGAGGCATGAAAACCTGCAGAGGCTTTTAGATGCCAGGCATGCGCCTTGTTACTGCTACTAGATACTTGGCCCTGACGAAATAGCACGGACAAGGCGTTGAGAGCTTGCATCGCAAAAACATGCTGCTGAGCCTCGTGAAATATCAAAGACGCCACGCATTGAGCAGACTTTGTCAATAGAAGCATCGAAGGTGACAGGCTATACACATTGTTGGACACAGACAGTCTTGAGTCCCATATTACAATACCTGCTGGCAAGGCTTCTGTTGTGGCTCCGCGAGCAGCGTTGGTGTCTGCAAATGAGCAGTGCTCTCCATTACGGTAGCATCTACCACAAACTGGCGTATTCATATCACACTAGCATTGTCATAAGTAGGTGTGCCGCGCAATTTCATATTGTGAGAGTCTTTACTTGCCTTGACACGACGTCTCTTGCATGACGCGCAACCAAGCCTAGACTTGCTATGCCACCTTCGCGAAGGCATGACTGGCCTTTGGAGAAACACAAGCAGTTATACCAGGCCTCAATAGCGGTGGCTCAATCTGTTCAATGTCTCACGCACGCTATCCAAGTATAAGTAACCGATGATAGTTGAAGTGTATTATGATCGTAGTGTCATTATTAATTGAGAATGTCTAGAAATTCCTTGGTTTCAAGGCCAGATTCCGCATGGGGCGGAGTTCTAGTCCGCTAGCCCCACCAACTGTAGCATACCCGGTACCATTTTGTTCGCCCCATTTGTCTCATGAAAGCGCTGCAATGGGCGTCAGTTTAATGACCAAACAGCAATTTGAGTGCATATGTAGACATGCTGGAGCAAAGCATTGCGTCATTCTCCGCCATCTATTGAGGTCAACATCATGTTGTCTTGCCCTGTAATCCAATTACTACTCGCCAAGCACGCTAGACCAATCTTCGCCCTTAATGTATTCCTCCATGGAGGTCGTCTTGATATTCGGGTCCAACTGGGCTGTAATGTCAGCGCATTCACTCGGATCACGACAAATGCATTATTATGGGAAAATCTCACCTCTTTTGGGTATATGACTTCAGGATCTCCACCAGTGTACCCAAACTCAATCATGTATTCATTCGTGTCCATCAACTCTCGACCAAGTGGCTCTGGGAAGTCCTTATAGAACTCATCAGGCGGCACTTCTTGGTAGGCAGCCTGGACACCTAATACACGTCCCCAAATCTCCATCCATGTCGGAAAGGTCATCATCTCGGATACACCGACGAGAGTCTTCCCAGGAGAAACATCCAGTAATGCCTTAACAAATGCTCCCGTATCTCTGCCTGGAACGACAAAAGGCATTTGCACGTCTGCAGAGAAAGGCCTCTTCGTGAGATACATCCCATCCGGTTGGCGCAGCGGAGCCATAGCTCGTACAGCTTGCCAGTTTGTGACGTAGTGGCCCATTTGCAGGGCACTCATACGCTTAGCCAGCTCCGGAAACTGACTTTGGATCAAGTCCATGGTTCTGGCCTTAGAGTCAAAGTGGTAAATAGTGGTGTACTTTCCTCCGCTGCACCGGGAGGCATCACTGAGGGATGAATATACAAAGTGCTCTAGTGTCCTAAGGACGCTAGAATCAGATGCAGCACGGGCAACATTCTCCCCATGTTCGACTTCCCTGTCGAAAGCATACTGCAACGCCGTATCAGGTCCGTGTGTGCCATCAAACATGTGGCTGAAGAAATCGGTGTTTGCAAATATGGCGTTGGCCCCTTGAAAGGCGGCTCGAAGGGAAGCTGTGTCATCTAGGTCGCCTTTCACGATTTCAACGCCCTCAGCCGCCCAATGAAGGGCATTTTGACTGGACGGATTTCTAGTGATACCCCGGACTTTCCAACTGGGCAAATCCAGGAATTGTCTGGCAATAGAAGACCCCTTTCTCTGTATCAGAATATTCCTCATGTTCTGTGCTGAGAACTACACATACCTGCTTGCCAGTAACGCCAATGATAACGATGAGCTTGGTCATCTTGATTTATATATAATTACGGGGATATAGGCTGTCTTGTTCAGAACTCGGAGGTGGCCAAACCAGATAAAGATGTTGAAACGCTTAGATGCGAAGTCTACCTGTCCTCATGTGTATTTATACCTTCCAGCTTTCTCAAATTTTCCTACCGACAAGCAATGCCGCATGGCTTGATGCTGCATTAGTCAGTTAAAATTCAGTGTCAAGGATGCGAACTGGTTCAATTGTTCCGTTCGGATGATTAATACAAGTAGGTATGAAGCCTTTCAGTGGAAATTATCCAATACGGGTATAGTATACGATGGGCAGCGGAGCCCGAGACCCCACGCCTCTTGCTTTTGGCTAGTGTACGACGCTCCCTCAATCCTTCGGCAATTGCAACTACCCCCTTTTTGTCACATGTTCAGTCAACCCAAGGCCTTTGGATCCTTTGCTGACCTTCCCTGTAATGTGAGAAATCTCTACCGCATAATCTGGTTTAAAGGTCAGACTAATAACCTCCGAGTGGCTAACTTTATTTGGAACCAAGCTTTTGGATAACCCACTTCTTCGGTGTAGCATTCACGAACGCACCAAGCTTCCTATCAATGTTGAAAAAAAACAATAGCAGTCGCTATGTGGGACGATAGCGGTATATAAACCAGCTTTCATACTCGTACATTTGAGAAACTAGAGTTTTGGACTAAATCACCCCTTACAGTGTTTTTTTTAGTATGAGTCGTTCCCAAGTACCCATTCCCTCCTGGTCTCACTCTTGCACGACTCTTAAGACTTGCAGGCATCGATTACATTGTATTCGAACGAGATGACTCAGCCAGATTCTCCAATGAACGTTCAAGCAGTAGAACCCTTGTTATTCATAAAGATTTAGGACGAGTTGCTTTAAAAGAAGCTAGCTTATTAGAAGAGTTCCAGTCCATCGTCCGCCATGATGTGCTGATCAAGATTGCTGATGCGCAAGGTACTATCCAGGCAGACATTTCTGGTGATAGTATTGATCGCAAAGATTTGAGAAACCTTCTCCTCGACTCTATTCCGGATACTAGAATTCGTTGGGGCTACCCTGTCCAGCATGCACAGAAAGAAAACGATGGCTCCATCTCGGTTCATACAACTGACTGTGTTGACCCTTGGTTCCGTCTTGTCGTTGGTGCAGACGGGGCTTGGCCAAAAGTAACAAAGCAGGTAAAATGCACATCGTTTCCATCAAAAGTTCAGAAATATTCTGTAGCTGATGCAAGTTCGCAGGTTACCCTTACTGAGCCGCAGTACTCTGGAATTCACTTTTTTACTGCATTCATCCAGCCTGGAGACCCGACATACTCTTCAGAACCTTCTATGGTTGGCAAGGAAAATTACCTAGCCATGGACAAAGGACGGCAAATATTTTTGCATTACCTAGGTGATGGATCTTATCTTCTCTCCGTTGGCGTAAAACTTCCTGACAGTCAGACGGTGAAGAATGCTGCCATTTTCCATGATCCATTGACGTTGTGGGAGTCGTTGCTTCTTACTGGATTCGCTGGATGGGCCCAAGAACTTACCGAGTTCATCAAGTCCAGCGCTTCACATTTTCGCTCCTGGCCATTGCACTCGACGCCAGAGACTTCTTTGCCATGGAATTCCATACCTGTATTGACGCTACTTGGAGATGCGGCCCATTTGACGTAAGATAAAGATGTTCAATACTTGGTATCGTGCCCAGCTAATAGTCTACCCCTTCCAGTGTGCCTACCGGAGACGTTGTCAATAATGTCTTATACGAGAGTGCTGAATTGGCCAAATAAATCATCAAAAATGGAATTGAAAACTTGGAAGCCGCTGTAGCGGACTACAAAAAGGAGATGCTTCCTCGCGCAATCACGGCAACTGAAAAGGGTCATTGGTTCATACAGCATTTCTTTGGAGCTGATTCGCCTCAAGACTTCCTCTACGCTGCCAACACATAGGGGAAAAGGTTAAAGGAAGTGAAGATCCTTGTAGAATATAGCTTATTGTGTCCTATTTATTGCTTGCCCAGATTGGCTGTGTTAATGCTGTTCCTGACTACAGCTATGTATCTCCAAATCGTAAGTAAACATATCATAATATAAATGGGCTTGAGAAAAGGTCCCGAGCATTATTAAGCGAATATAAAGAAAGATAAGGGATGTTGGTAGATTATTGATAACTGAGTTGCTATGAAAACTCTTTTTTCTTCTTTATTCTAGTATTAAGCTATTATATCTTTACATAGTACCCAGTTTATAACTTCTCCCATTCTACCAAAGTTTATATATTAATACATGGTGTTGGATAAATATCTCAAAAAATCCGATGCTTAGTTCTATTATGGTCTTCCGAACACTGCTAATTGGTAGCAACTAAGAAAGTCTCGATGCGAGGTAAAGCCGGGTTGTTGCATTCCTTCGCGGGGTGAACAGGGGTTGTACATCTCGGGGTAATAATACACCAGGCCGAGCCCCTTTAAACTAGGCTCCCTTTTACTTTTGTATAGCTTGAAATTGATCAATGCTGCCGAGTGGCTCAGGGACTGTCCTTTCTTGTCCATAACTCGGGGTAATAATAACCCTTACGAGCATCTCTGCTAAAACTGCTTTTTATGGTCAACCAGATAGACAGCTGCTACTCTACATTAGAGCTAAGACTTCTTACTAATAGTGTAAGTCTAAAATAATTGACGGGATTGTAGAAAGCTCGGGATAGAGATAGCTAAGGCCGAGCATCTAGCCACCCAAATTGGATACTGTTTTACTTATATATATAAACACTTCATTTGCTTTGAAAGTGAACAATTCAAACTCGCCTTGATAAAGTAGTCTTCTTTTGAATTCGCCCTGGGCTGGTCTTATTGCCACTATACAGTGTATTGCGAAAATATCCGAAGAAGTTCGTTCATCGTCCATCTTTTATTGGTACTTAGTTGCTATTGCTCAGCTAAGCTAGGCATGCGTCCTCTCCATCTTCTCGCTGCCTATTACTTCTTTTCATTCCATGCATCGGTGTCCGCGGCTGGGTGCTGGAGAAACTCAAATTGTGCTTATGGGCCATCTAGTCCGTCCTTTAGCGGCATCTGGGACAAGTACAACTACTCTCCAACTTCTCGTACTGTATCACCCATAACTATCTACTCCACTGGTTTCGATAACATTTCATCATTTCCTCCCGCCAACCCTTTAATTCTCTCCGGAAATGGATCAACCCTTATCTTCGACTTCGGCAAAGAGGTTGCCGGAATTGTCACAGTGGCATACACTGCTCAAGGGGAGGGGACAATGGGGTTAGCATTTTCTGAAGCACGAAACTGGACGGGACAATGGTCAGACGATTCGAATTCGTTTGATACCATCGACGGTGCTATCTACGCCAACATTACTGCCACATCTTCCGGCATGTACACAATGCCCGACGCCAAACTCCGTGGTGGCTTTCGCTACTTGACCCTCTTTACTGAAACATCTTCCTCCATCTCAGTCGCCATCTCCAATATTACTCTCGAAATCTCTTATGCACCAACCTGGTCCGACCTCCGCGCCTACGGCGGCTACTTCTACTCCAGTGATGATATGCTCAATCGAATTTGGTATGCGGGCGCTTATACTCTGCAAACAAACAGCATTGCTGCGACAACGGGCAGGGAGTTTCCAGTGCAGACCGCGGGATGGAAAAACGATGCCGACTTGCATCCTGGCGTTGTTGATCCGACCATCTACGTAGATGGCGCAAAAAGAGATAGGATTGTGTGGGCCGGAGACTTGAGCATCTCTATTCCCAGTATTCTCGCAGGAACGGGGGACTGGAATGGAGTACGATATACAATCGATGCTTTGTATGATGCCCAGGTATGTTCCTTTTCCCCATCTGCTGTTACCATTAGCCTCCGAAAGGATTTTCAAGCATGGAGATGCCTAGAAGTCTCCAATAATTCTTTTTTTTTTTTTAACATAACTCCGGAGATTGATTCCGAGCAACTCAAAATACTCCGTGTTGACCAATGCTAACTCAAACAAGGCGAGCAACGGCGGGCTTCCTTTTGCAGGTCCAGCAGCGTTTTTCTATAGCTCGGATACCTATCACCTAGCGACCATGCTAGGAACCTACGAATATATCCTCTGGACCAATGACGGCCCTTGGATAAATTATGTCTATCCCAAATACAAGGCCGCCATGGCATTTATCATTGGGAAGATGGATAGTTCGGGGATGCTATATGTGACGGGAACGAACGATTGGGGCCGCCTTGAGCAAGGAGGTCATAAGTGAGTACTCTCTTTGCTTGGGTTGGATTCAATGAATATGGGAGAAGGATGATTCAAATTCATGTTTCAAGAAACGAGGGAGGGCTAATTGTGTCTACTCTCAAATAGCACCGAAGCAAATGTACTCTTATACAGAGCCCTTACTACAGGATCCCAAATCGCCACTTGGGCCGGCGATTCGACCTCCTCGTCAACATGGGCATCTATCGCTGCCCAGCTCAAAATAACCATTAATAATAATCTCTGGGACTCTACTGCAGGGTAAAGTTGGCTCTTTATTTACTTCATATACTTTCTTCTCGAGCTACCTCTATATCCAGCTAACACGACCCTCCCCTTAGAGCATACAAGGACAGCGATACCAACGGAAATGTTCATCCCGAAGATGGAAATAGCATGGCCCTCCTCTTCGGCGTCGTTGCTTCTGATACCACCGCACAGTCTATTTCCAACCAGCTTACGACAAACTGGGGCCCCCTTGGCGCTATATCCCCCGAACTTCCAGGAAACCATGTCCCGTTCATACAATCTTTTGAGATCAAAGCCCACTTTGCTGCATCTCAACCTTTACGTGCACTAGATCTCATCCGTCGCTCCTGGGGCTGGTACCTTGATAACCCGTTTGGTACGCAGAGTACCTGTGTCGAGGGGTATCTTCCTGATGGTAGCTTTGGATACAGAGCAACTACTGGTTATAATGGAGATTCTAGCTTTACAAGTCATAGCCACGGGTGGAGTACCGGGCCTGTGGCCGCACTCAGTACGTACATAGTCGGCTTGTCGCTCACGGCACCGGCCGGTACTCAATGGAAGTTGGCACCTCAGTTTGGAAACTTAACCAGTGCGGAGGGGGGTTTTACAACTCCACTAGGGACATTTAGTGCCGGCTGGGAGTTGACAGAAGAGGGGAAGTATACACTGTGGTATCGGGTTCCCACAGGGACAACAGGGACTATTGTTACGCCTGGTAGTCAGTCCCATATTGTAATGGATGGAAATCCGAAACCTCAAGAACAAGGTAAAGGAGATAAAGGAGATAATATTGTTGTACTAACTGTACAGGGGGATAATGCAAGGCACGAAATAAAGTATAGTTAGTTTATACTCGAGTGTAAGAGTAGGAATTCAGTAAGTAGATGGCTGAGATGATTAAGCTAATAGCCCACCTCTCTATATTGTTTCCCGCCCTAGAATATCCATAAAATTATTAATAATAAAATCCTATCTTTACCTTATACAATTATAAACTTATGACCCTTTGGTTTACCTGCTAAAGAGTTATATAATATTATACTTGACTAAGAATATGTCCAGCGCATTTGACAATATGGGTTATTCGTCCGTAGATCTGATTAACCTCCCCAAGTCTTGTCATCCCAAGTCACGTCGATTTCTAGGACCGCAGCGCCAACAACACGAAGCTAGCCAAGACTAAGACTTTCCGTGCTGTCGCAATCACTTTGTAGTCTCGGTGTAAACCCTCTGTCGTGATGTATTTGCCAAAGTCGCTACTAGCCCCTGTGATGAACCAAACAAGATCCGACATTTTTTGAGTTCGGGAGAAAGTATTTCTTTTGGTGTTATACGTCTATTTGTACAATCAATATGGAATAAGGCCGGGTAAGAACAGGCGAATCAAGCTGCCTTTTCAAGGCCATTGTCTATTAATTGTTTACACTGAAATGAAGCCTATGGTATCAGTTACAGCCGCTAACTCCACGAAGGCCATTGAAATCATAGCTGCCACTTGAACTTAATTACCTCTGCTGATATACCATGCATGATTCGATGGGCGTAGAGATAATTAAAGAGCATCTTGCGATTTCAGTTACGATTGCATTAGTTCCATTGTCGTCGGGTAAAGCGGTAGTTGGTAATTTCGTTAGTGTCTTTGTCCGGGCGGCTGAATAAGCCCAATCAACCCTGGATCGGGAAAAACATTAGCTTTCTTATCTCCGTACTCATGGGGGAAAGTGCCAAAGTGATGAGCCCGCACTAAGATGTGGTTAACCGGCGTAACGAAGAAGAGGACAGAACGCCGACGTCAGGCTAGAAGCATTAGCAAAGCCCCACCCCACAAAGTCCAATAGCTAACACGCAAGTGAAAGTGACCGTCGGAATAAACACTAGTCTCTTGTGTGTATCTCCATCTGCAGCAAAATCTCTTCTTACAGGCCGAAAGTGGCGATCGGCGTTAGTATTTTGGTGGTCTATGTCAACAGTAATTACATCCACTACAGGTTGGCATAATGGCATACCATAAGCCGGGCATTATTATAATACATACTACAACTAGATAGTTATAATAAGTCCTAGTAGTAAAGCTTTGTTCCGGATTATAAGAGCTTGGCTGTTTAACCTGTGAGCAACAGCACTGGCACTCACTTTAGAGTAGACTTACAAAGAATTTTTATATTTTGGCTCCCAACAAAACTCCAGGTACTAGAACTCTCAACCTCGTGCTCTCATACACACGGACTTCAAACGTTCAAACCGTTCAAAAACATCTCACTGATTTACCAATGGCACCTCCGACGAGAGTACTGGGTAAGAATGGCCCTGAAGTCACAGCCATCGGCATGGGCTTCATGGGCTTAAGCGCTTTCTACGGGAAGGCTGCCCCGTTTGCAGAGCGCCTTCAGTTTCTTGACCAGCTCTATGCTTCTGGAGAGCGATTTTGGGATACAGCCGATGCATACGGCGACAGCGAGGAACTTCTCGGCATGTGGTTCAAGGCGAACCCCAAAAAGCGACAAGATATTATCTTGGCCACCAAATTCGGTAACATGGGCCACGGAGTCGCTCGGACTGATCCGGCCTATGTGCCTGAAGCATGTGCAAAGAGTTTAAAAGCACTGAATACGGATTACATTGACCTCTACTATGTTCATCGAGCCGACCCCCAAGTGCCTATCGAGCAGACTGTAGCGGCCATGGTTCAACTCAAAGAGTAAGTCTACCTATCATTATCATAAACCAACACTTTGTATGTGATCTAGTTGAATTAACATGTAACCTGTTATAGACAAGGAAAGATTAAGTACTTGGGCCTGTCGGAAGTTTCTTCTACAACCCTTCGCCGTGCCCACTCGGTTCATCCTATCACGGCAGTCCAGGTCGAATATAGCCCTTTCAGTCTTGAGATTGAGTCTGAGCAGACAGGAATACTGTCTACCTGCAAGGAACTGGGCATTGGCATCGTTGCATACTCGCCACTCGGCCGAGGTATGCTAACCGGGCAATTGCGGGGACCTGAAGATCTTGACAAGGACGACTGGCGCCGTACTATACCTCGCTTCTCTGCGGAGAACTTTTCGAAAAACTTGGAACTAGTGGATGAATTAACTTCCTTCGCTGAACGCAAGGGCTGCTCGACAGGCCAACTCGTCTTGGCATGGCTACTGAAGCAATGGGATATGGTGGTGCCAATTCCAGGTACTACAAAGATAGCCAATTTCAACGCTAATATGGGCGCGCTGGAAATTGAGCTCAGCGACACCGAGGTGCAGCAGATCAGATCCGCGGTTACCAAGGCTGAGATTATTGGTGACCGCTACCCGCCAGGTTGGAGCCGGACGCTGTTAGTAGATACGGTGGAATTGAAATAGAAGAGCAACCATTTGTAAATGGATAGCTCTTCGAGGAACAGGTTTGGATCTGCATATGTCTCCATACTTGTAGTGCTAGTTTATTACTGTCTACAATGTTAACCGCTCGAAAACCCGATTGTTTCTTTATAGTCCAACTTTACTAACTCAGTATTGCCAACTAAATATAGTCCTCTTCACGCGCTACTATTTGTTCTCCAGCATCTTACCTATCTATAATGCAGTGGTGAATGCATTCTAGATTGTTGGGGAAGCAAGTAAGGTTTGTTCAGCACAAATAGCATTGGCACCTCAATATAAATTGCCTTGTCGATTGTCATCTGTCATTCTGAAAATAATTTCAGTCTTACATGCGGTACATGTTCAGATTTCGAAACAACTGGTTCAATCTTGACTGGCGCGAGCGTAATGCCAAAGTTGACAGAACACTTGTTCAAAGGTACAGCGGAAAATAAGATCTCAGCTGCAATATCTACTAATCGTATTATAATAAGCACAGAGTGTCAGCAGCGTACTTGCAAGATCAATAATTTACTCAGGAAACCTCTTTGATGCCAGCTTAGACGGAGGTCTGGGATGGAAAAGATTATGACCCTTCTAGGTGTCCATATCTTAATGTCCTATACGCGAAGGAGCTCCATAGCTGGTATTGTTATGTCATCTCCTTATGACATTTCTTGAATAGTGTCTACCCACCGAGAAACTACATTTGGACAGAGTTCTTTTGATGATAAATTAACGCAAAGGGACTCCTGCCACCTGCTGCTGCCAATATCACGGTGTTAATTGAATTCAGCATTCAGTTCAAATTCAGGCGCCCAAACTACCTACTTTTTTTTTAGCTACAGAACTATATTCGCGTCTAACTAATTGTTTGATAGGTCCCGAATGGCCTTGCTCCAAAAGGGACTCACGATACATATCCCAACGTTACTATTATTGATCGGCCGAGTGAAATTAATGCCGGGCATAGTTTTGAGTTCCGGAAGTTATCAAGCTAAATAAGAAGGATGCCGATGATAATTACTGGCATTGTAACAGACCCTTGGAAGTAAAAGGTCAAAGATCGAGCTTAGACGCCCATCTGATTTGTATAGGTACTAATTTCCTCGCTTTGGTGCTGTGTAAAGGTTACTCCGTCTAGGCAAACGACAATGTCAATGGAAACGCTGACCTCAAAATAGCGTAGGATGCGAATGATCATATGCGATATGCGAGCGTTCACGTTCTTAGCATTTTCTCTCTTCTTACTAATTTACAGCAACATAATTCGTAAAAATTGTATTTCAACCCCAGAAAAAAAATGAAAATGATTTATATCTCACTGATTTCAGCTATTAGGAAGATGCTTTATTATTTGGGTATGTAGATACAAAAGCTATAGAACAAACTGTGACGGACTAGGTCCTGTAAATATATTTTATAGTTTAGCTAATTTCAACGGACTGCTGGCTTTTGTCCTTTGCTCTGAGTCGTATAGAACATTCTTTTCTGAAATAAGCTCGAGGTTCTAGACGATGTGTTGGTAAAACTGTTTTCATATCTCCATGTGGAGAGGTGATGAGATTGGTAGACATTTGCCATCATCCAGGTCTAGCAGAATTTTGTCTACCCGGAGGACATGAATGTAAAACTTATGGAAAACGTGAGTGTCCTGACTCGGGTAATTGGAACATAGAGCCAGACCGGCTTCTATCTCTCCTACTCTGTTGTCAACTTCTCATTGGCCATTTGAGTGCTACTCGGAGCTAAATTCAAGCTGCGTTTTCGACGGTTGCTACCTCAGTTTCCTCCTTTCTCAAGGCGTTGCTAAGCGGCTGAGATACTGCCACCGCATACTCCTTGTCAAAAATACCCAGAACGCCGATGTAGACAAAGTAGTATCGCCATTGGATCTCACGGAGCGCGATAGGATTCACATACTGGTTGAAGCAAATTGCTAGCGTTTGTGAGAGCCAATACACGGATGCGCCCTTGGCTCGAAGTTCTGTCGGCCAAATCTCATTGACGTATAAAATAGGGATTGGTGTGAAGCCGATGACATAGCCGCCTAGGAATAGGAACAGGAACACGATAACCGCTATACCGGAAGAAGTATTTCCTGTGTTGGCGAAGACTGCCGAGCATGTCAAGATGAGGATCATAAACAGTAACATTATGGACGACGATAGTATAAACAGCCTTCTACGGCCAACCTTCTCAGCCAGCATCGCCCCGGCAATTGACAAAAACCAGTTGTAAATCCGTAAGCCACGGTTGATGCCCTGCTATTAAGTTAGGTTGGATATGCCGACTATCTTAAGCATAGGTACAAAATAGTAGCTAATGATGCCATTACCAACCCACTCACTGCGTAGCGAGAACCAAGCCCGACACAGATGAAAACTCCCCTCTGGTTGCCGGGGGTAGCAAAAAACGAGGCCCAGGTCACCTTCGAGCTCTTGGCCAGCTCAACCGAGGCGCAAATCTCGGAAAATTCGACAATGACGAGCTCGTCAGTCTCGTCACCATTGGCGTGATACTTGGCCAAGATGCTTTTAGCCTTGTTTGGCTGCTGATTATTTACCAGCCAACGCGGAGACTCTGGGGTAAATAGGACAAAGACAGGCTGCACGCTCGTCCAAAAGAGCTGCGTAATGACAGGCGTCCTCCACGACCAGCTGTTGTCGATATGTGGCTCCCAAAGGATGTCCAAGTGGCCGTGATGGCGCCTACATAGAAAAAGGTGTTAAAGAGGGCGCCAACGATAGCTCGCTGGCGGGGATGGGCAAGCTCTGAGAGAAGCGCTGTTGAACTGATCGAGTTAAAAAGTGAGAAGAAGCCAAGGACGAGGCGGGTGCCTAGGAATTGAACGGCCGTCTTGCAGAAGCACTGCCCGATGACGGCCACAATTATGCCCACATCTCCAATTATAATTCCCCACCGACGGCCCAGTTGTCGGCCATCCAGGGTGCTGGAAAGAAAGAGACAACGCCGCCAAACGAGTAGGCCGCGATGAGGAGCCCGAGCGTGTTGGCATTCTTGGCGCCAGATATGTCATCAAACCAGCGGGGGATTGCCTCGAGTCCAGAGATGAGAGAGTTATCATAGCCGTTAGCCATTGAGTCGAGAAAACTCGACAACAAGATAATGTCGAGACTTCGTAAACCCGGGTCTCTCCACCACAGCCGGTGAGTGTTGTTAGTCGCATTCGACAGTAGCACAGCGTTGTCAGTGGAAGTGAGCGCAGATGGAGCCATGATTCAGCAAGTTGATGTATAATGACGTTGAAAGGGCGATTTATTGTGAGAATAGGAGATTTGTAATTCGTCAGCTACCCGCAAGCACTACTGATCGTAGCCCTGAGCACCGAATGCAATGTGTCATAATGTAGCTCTAGTTACTCAGGATGAAGTCGCGGGGAGAGGGTCCTTTTGTAGATCCTGAATTCTTTTGTGTGCCATTCTGCGGCAAGATTCTTGTCCCCCGTGCATGTTTTTTTAAGCCTGTGTAGCTTGAGTCGCCTCAACGGCGGCCGTGATGAAGATGATAGGTAGGACTGGTGGTGGCTGGATTTCGGATCTCGCAAATCAGAGAACTACATGTACGTTGCGGCGACATAAGTAGGCGTACCCAATCATGATACAGCAGAAGAATCTACTAACGCACCGTCCCTAATAGCTCACCCTGCGGAACCCAAATCTTTGGGGCCCCATGGGGTAGTTTTGGCTTACTCTCCGCAGCGAGATGTGGCACATCTCGGCTCTCGGGACTACGCGGAGCCTTCCATCGGTAGCATTTTCCCTGACAGTACAGTGGACACGGTACAGTAGTCTTGCCTGACTCCCTGAGAATTTTGGGCAATAATGTTGTTTAAGACTTCTAATTCGCTGGTCTCGGTCCGGTCCAGTCCAATTGATCAGAATTTGAAACCCCTCGGCCCTCGCTATCTGCGTTCACTTTTCAAATTCCCGAATCAATAGCCCACCGTTCAACGTTCTTGCACATCTCAACGACCGTTCGGGGTATTCCTTATTTATAACTACTAGGTTTATAACAAGGAAACAACTAGTAAGCCTTAGACATATATAAAAATTGAACCCGGTTGGATTTTTTTCCGAAAAATAAATAACTGCAGAAGAACAAGGGAAGAAAGGATAAGCCCAGGATCAATAGTAATATAAGAGCGTCCAATAAGGCAGGACCAAGACCTTCTGTTATCCATAATCACGCTAGCCCAAACCCAGAACGTGAAGGGATATATAAGGGCGTCCTCTGCTGTATAGTGCACTTGGTTGCATTGGCAAGTGGCACACCTGAAATTCTATCACTGAGCCATTTGAGCCACTCAGGCGCCGAAGCGGCCATTGACTCGTCGTGGGTGAGGTTGTGATACACGCTCAGGTGAACAATGTTACCTTTTTTGCAGGCGAAATCGTATGCTTTAATCGTAGCAGTGTAATTCACAATCTCATCTTCATGGGACTGTACAACAAGGAGATCCTTGTATCCTTTTCTCCCGGTCGCGGCGCCATACTGGTCTTGGAATTTGGTGTAAGCTTCGTGAATCGTCTTATTCTGCTCAGGAGTAGGCTTCAATATGCCATGGTTCGGGAGGTCGAAGTTGAGGCCCGCATATGAATTGTCGCAGAGCCCAAGCGCATTCATCAGCGGGTAACGCTTCATGGCCTCTGGGGTGAAGACGGGTGGCTGTATGGAGAAATTCAGGGACTGGAACATGTTCACAATCAGGGGGCCGAATCCATATCCCTCAGAAAGAGGAACGGCGGTCAGGAGATCATTCAGTCTCACACTAGGGCCTACGGCAACTCCTCCCACGTATTCACCACTCTGGTTAGAAGCGACACGGGGATTCTCCTCGAGACCCCATATGGCTCCAGCTCCTTGAGAATGACCGAGAGAAGCCCATTTAGTGGTGAAGACGTTTGGGAAAGCTTTGCGGGCGGCAACAACAGCGAAATATACGTCTTCTGAGTTAATGACTGGGTTTCCGTACTTGTGTGTGGTGTAGTTGTTGCCCAAGCCCGCGTAGTCTGTAGCAACCACGGCGAATCCGTGGGTTGGGAGAAGCTTCCAGCTGTCGTAATCGTACCCGTTATAAGAAGAGGACGCGGCGCAAGCAGCGACAGTTCCGATAGTACCATGCGCATATGAAATAAGCGGTGTTTTGTTGGATTCCTCACTCAAATAGGGAAGAAGGATAAACCCAGTGGATGGGACTGGCTGTCCACCAACACCGACGGATGTATATTGGATGAACCATAACGAGCTGCCAGGGGTAATATCATACAGAGTGGAATTCTGCCGCTGAAGCTTCAACAGGTCTCCAGGTTTAGATTTAGTAAAGTTATCTGCGGTGGCGTAGAAGTCGTAGTTGAAGGGAACATCTCCAAAGATCGGTCGGTCCAATGCCTCAAATGTTTGTAGGTTCTCTAGGCAGGCCTTAGAAGAACAGCCGTACGCATTACCTTGGGCCTGGGTGATGTTGAGGTCGTTTGGACGATTGGGCTGTTGCGCTTGAGCAAGGGCAGCCAAAGAGGCCAGCAGAAGCGCCAAGGAATAGACAGTCATTATGTTAGACAACAGTGCGGGATGTGTGTATTACTGCGGTTGAAAATGGATTTATGAATTGGCAACAAAGTTACAAAATAGAGCAGCAAGAGCGCGTAACGATTCTTTATAAACGTACATGTATGTAAGCTATTGTCGATGGAATGTGGCCATGAGATTAGGGACCGTGGACTGGATTGATTACTAGCTCTATTTGATCGGCCACTGAAGGTTAATTCTTATTGTAGCATAACGCGACACCGCACTTTTCCAAAACGGAAGACATTAAGAAGGTGGCGTTTACCTAAGCGTAGGCACCCACTGATTAGAAAGTCTGTTTTGAACACGCGAATGCTCTCCCAACGTCAATATTCACACAACGTCAGATTGACGCTCCAACCAGACATCAATATCACTTAATGCGACTACCGGTATATTGTCACTAAGCAAGCTAGTTTAGCGTTACCCCGCGGCTAGGACAGTTGGGAGAATAATGTTATTGGTTCCTCTGCACTAGAAACAAGCTGAAAATGGCTGCCGGTTGAACTATCCACTTATGCACTTATGCTTTGTGCATACATATCGGCACTTACTACTGTAGCAATCCTCGGTATTCGGCTCGCCAGCCAATCCAAGGAGGAGATATTAGATGCTAATAAAGCAGAGATCTTGCTTATCCTGTAATCTTGAATAGGAAGATCGGATTCTGGCAACTTCTGGATGGCGAGAAGCGTTTTCGTATTGGAATGCACTAGAACGATTACAATAGGATCGCTCAGCCGAGCACCTCGAATGTTGGCAATGCTGCGCCAAAAGTTACTCTGTTCCAAGGACGACTTGAGCACCTGCTGGCGGCATGTCTGTATAAAGTACGCATTCGCAGAAGTGGGCTTGACCGACTCGCGAAATCCGGGGAGGCTAAAGGTTACAGTAACACTTGTGCCACCAGGACTACTACTATATATTTAACGCCTCAAACTAGAAGCTAAAAATAGTATAAAATAATTAAGAATTAAATTTAAGAATATTTTAAGGCTTATATATTGCCTTATATAATAGTTAACGTGTTTCTATTCTTTGTTGCTATGAAATTTGCACTTTAATTCGTTGACCTCGTCGTCGATGATGAATATGCTAGCTAATTAGATTTTAGCGGTTAAAGCTAAACTCTTTTGAATTTCGCGGTCAACTAACCCCATTCAGGAATCCAGCACCCACCTTATACGCTAATAGATAACGCTAGCCAATTGGAGGCCAGGTCTTAGCAGTCTTACATGCACCCCTATTTACAGCATATCACAAGCTCTCTTATATATTCTTCAGGTAAAGAACCAAGAAAGCCTTGTTTTCTATATTTCCTGCCTTTCAACCTGTAGACTAGAAAATCTATCTGCCTTCCTCACCTATGGATAAACATATTATCTGCTTTCCTGACCTATACATTGAAAAGGCCCCTCTTCCTCTTTAATCTCTGGATTAACACTCTCTGCGCCTCCTCTTCTTCCTGTTCTACAGCTTCTATCGGCTCTTTATTCTACCTATATACTTCTACCTGAAAACCCGATTTTACTAGTAACAGCATTATGGATGACACGAGCTACGGAAATACCATGGGAAAGCGCAAGCGTGGTAGGCCCCGAAAATACTCAACAGCTAAGGCTAAAGCTGCAGCGGATGTAGAACGGAAGCGAGCGGCGCGGCGGGACGCTTCCTCTGCACAACATGACTTAACGCATACCAACTTCTACAACCCAGTCCTATCTCTACAATTGGCAGACACATTTGGCGGCTTCCATCCGCTAGTCAGTCCTACTGATGTGCCGCAACCAGACCAGAGAGATATATTACAGTTCCTCACCGCAGTTGATTAACAGCTGGAAGAGGGCGTGGAAGCACAGGTAACGCTTGACAATGAAACTCCCACAGGCGCTGCTGACCCTAGCCCTCCGGTGGACTACGTTGGTCCTGATCTAGATGAGGCCATTGGCTTTGATGCACCCCTTGAACCCTTACCCCAGCCAGAGGAGGATGAAGGAGGTCTAGTTGAGCGCCTCGCGCAGAAGCTGGCAGAGCAACTCACCAGGTTCCAAGGATGCTGCAACGACTGTCACCAGACAGCGAAGGAGCGTCGTATGCAAAGCCCGGCGGAGCAGATCAGCCTTACCCAGTACCTTGAGTCTACTGCTGGGTTAGGCGCTGACGTCCTCAGCAGCAAGACCCTCGCGGGCGGGAAAGATGACCTAGCCGGGAAAGTAAACGCCGAGTGTAGAAAGAAGATCTTCTGCGGCGTCGATTCCAGGTCCGAGGCGCCGCTCATCTGCCTAGACAATGACGAGAGAGTCTCGCGTACCGCAGGCGTTACCTTTGACGTGGACAGCATCATAGGTTTCCCAACCAGCCTGTCCGTCGCCAAGCGAGGCATTCGCTGGTCCCCTACGAGGATGACTGTGTCAGATCTTCAGTCTGACCTCCATCTACGGTCAATCCCGGTGACATATTTTACCGCAGATGGGGTGCAGCGTCAAGTCCAGCGGCCGGTGCACCAAGTCCCCCACTATACCTTTGGCCGCGTCATCGGCTTTGAGGACATTTCCCTCTACTTTCTCTTTCCCAAACTGTATTGAGCTGAGCAGAAGAGTAGCAAGCTCCGCGACGAAGACTTTCAGCTGTGGATGGATGGTATACTGCTCCCAGCTATCTACCGATGTTACAGCAGCGACCAGGTCCAGCACTACCCGTCAAGCTACAACCACAGCCAGTACAACTCCACGGCCCGCGGCGTAGAGTCGCTTACCCAGCATGTGCACCCGGTGGCGCGCGAGCAACAGCTGGTATACTGCCTGCCGCCGGAGTCGCTGGGAGATGTCTGGGCCGGTATCCTCAGCGCCACCCAAGAGCCGGGGTTTCATCAGTTCCAGAATGTTACCATCCTTCTGCAGGCGAAGAACCTAAAAACAATTACAAAGGATGTCACCTGGGAGAAGATGAATCTGCGGTTTGAAGACTACTGGACTAATGCAATCGACGAGAGTTATATGGCAGCCGACCTCTATATTGACGTTGGGAAGGAGACTTGCCCATGGCAGGCCTCGAGAGTTGCACCATGACGGCTCTCCTTACTACAGCTTTACCACCAACACCCTGCTTCAATGGGTACGGTGGAACGTTAACAAGTTCTGCATGGGGTTTGAAATGGTGCACAGCTTCCAAGACCCGCACTTCGTCACCTGGGAGCACACAAGAGTTATGCTCATGTTTCTGCGCTGCCTCCAGTTCTCCTACGCAGGCGGACTAATACAGAAGGTTGGTGGCTGCTGGCAAGACGTACGGCAGCAGCCTGACCCGCACTAGCCGAACGGACTGCGCCGATGGGAAGGCCTCGGGTTCAGGCGGACCATGGAGACCTACGGCTACGCCTGGTTCCTGGACAAGGTCGACTGGAGCACGCTTACCTTCCGCCAGCCACACGCAGCCTACATGATGTTCAATAACCCCTCTATGCAGACCGCCTACCGCGCGCGGTACCACCAGGTCCGAGACGTGCGCATCGACTTCATCAGGGTGAACAAGGCCTACCAGTGGATGCTCGAGTTTAGTGCCGTCCCCGCGTGCCTCGACCTCCTAGGGGACTACCTCCGAGAGCTCTGCCTCTGTGCGTTCCGGAAGGACGTGTTCTTCCACATAAAGGCGACGCTGAAGCCCGAGTGCGCAAAGGCCGCGCTGGCTGGGGAGATCCCCCTCTGCTACGACAGCGTAAAGGACGCCATGCTGACAGAACACCAGCCGCCTCAGCTCGCGGCAGGGAATAGGCTGGCAGTAAAGGATATCCACGTGTTGTTCGCCTGGCTCTGGAAGTCCAAGGACGACGAATTCGAACGCCAAGGCTGGAACGATAAGCCGTTCCGGATGCTCTTCCAACAGAGCTTCCAAGCCGTCAAGGCCGCGCGGGGGAAGGATGGCGCCTGCAAGTGGCGGCGGGAGCTAAAAAGGTCGTTCCTCGGGAGCCACTGGCTCCTCCCCTACCCGCACGGCCGGGGATTTATGCGCAGAGATAAGGAGGAAAAGCAGTTTCTGTGGTGGCCTAGTGTACACGACGGACTTGTTAAACATTATAGCAAGTCCTATGGTATTGGCACTCTTAAGCATCCACTGCCAGCATTTAACGTCAAGCTTCACCCTGTTGACGGCTGGAAACTAGGAAGCAAGTTTCCGCGGAAAGGTTACATGCCATACGTAATACAGCCGGAGCAGGAGCTGGTCCAAATGCCCGAGAGTGATCTTTACACCAGGCTGGTTAGTTTCCGCGAGCAAACGGTAGCCGGGCCTTCCAAGATTAGCCCGGCAGCATCCGTATTGGAAATAGATATCTCTTTTCAGGGCGAGTATTACCCCTCTAGGTGGTGTGATATAAGGTAGATGCGTGTTGCCAAGATCTTTGAGGAATGTGATAAGCTTAACGAATGCCTCCGGTTCTTGAAAAAGGAGCTGCAGACATATAAAAACCTTCAAAGTCACTAGCTAACCCGATGTAAGAGATGCCGAAAACGCACTGCAGCCTACCTAGACGATAACTCAGACTCAGTTATGGGAAGTGATGAAACTGAGGTTACGTCAGATGAAGAAAGTCTTGCTAGTATATGGAAAAAACAAGCACAGGTCGTACAGGTAATGAATACCCGAGTACGTAAGCTTATTAAAGAGTTTGACAAAAGATATTGTGATAAACCGTACACTAGTAAGTTAGTATAGGGTAGATTCCCAAGGGACAAACCTAGTAAATGATTCTGGGTTTATGTTAGCAGAGCAGTTAGGAAACCTAATAGGTAATATAGGCAATAGTAAATAAAAGTTACTAGAGTGTAAGTAGTATAAAGCGTGTTATAATCTTAATTCTATGTTAATAACTAGCTATTTAAGTTATTTAAATAAGCGTAAAAAAGTAAACTTATATATCCAGTTTTATAAAGGGTAATTATAGCTATAGTAGTAATCACAGGAGTGATTACTTAGTTAAAGTTGGTAAGCGCTATAGTAATTACCTATAGCGCAGTAATCACTTGCTTATAATTAATTAGGATAGGCTATAGTAATTCCCCCTAGGGCCTGTTAATATAATTAGGTATTATTAAGTTATAATATAATACTCCCTTTTATTAGTCTTATCCTTAAGATTAGTATAATTAGCTTGTCCTACTTTTACTAGTGTATCTTATTTTCCTGTTTTCCTTTTAATTTAGTTAGTACTATATTTAACTTTCTTTCTTTAGCTTCCCCTACAACTATTTATTATTATTATTTAGCAGATCTTATTGCTATTAAAGGCTTTAATATTATGCCTTATTCTTATTGTTTTTCTAGAGGTTTATGCTATTAAATAGCTAATTATTATTCTTTTAAATATAGTGAATATATAAGAGCTAGTTGCCTTTATAATAATTAAGGAGTGGCATTAAACTCCTATAAGTAGTTTTTTTATATATAAGATTTCCTTATTAACTTTATAGTGTCTTATATTATTTCTAAGTCCTATTAATTAAAGTCTGCTAAGGAGTTAGCTAAGCTTCTATTACTTTAGTGTTATAAGGCTTTTTATAAGGCTTAGGCTAAGATAAATAAGGCCTTGGATTATTTAAAGTAATTATATTATTAGAAGCGCTAGCTTTATACTAAGGGTAAGGAGATAGTGTAATATAGTTTAAGCTTATTAGATAAGCTTAAAGACCTTAAGCAGTAGGAATTAGAGATTCTTTCTGTAATATAGGATTATTAGGGAGTGGACCTTTTTAATTTTAATTTCTTACTTAACCCTTTCTTATTATTTTTAAAAAATAAAGGAACTTTATTATTAGCGTATAAGAATTAAAGTTTTCTTTAAGTTCCCATAAGTTTTCTATTTCTAGGTATTCCTTTTATTTAACTAGGTATTTTATATTATTTATATCTAGGTTTTAGTATATAGTAAGTATTTTTTTAATTTTATATTCTTCTTTAATATCTTAAATAATAATTTTATTTATAATTAGCTTACTTATTTTTTTATTTACTAGTGCTTTTTTAAGTAGTAATATATAAAAAATAGCTGTTTTTAACCTTATGTTTTTAAGTAGGTTTAATTTATAATTAACTTTATTAATTTTCTTTAAGATTTTAAATAGTTTAAGTTTTTTAAAATTTAATTTATTACTTAGCTTATTTATTTTAATATTTAGTAATTTTTTATTATATGAATATTATAGTAGGTAAATTATATCTCCCTTCTAAAGGGTTAGTCTTTTAATTCTTATATAATCTATATATTCTTTTAAGTATTATTTAAAGAATTTAAGTTAAACTTTAAGTTCTTTTTATAATTAAATTATATCTTCTATAAGAATATATATATTATTTGCATTTAGTTTATTATAAGGTAGTCTATAGGCTTCTAGTGTAAACCTATAGTTAATATAAAATAGTATAACTCCTATAGTTTTTATTATAGAGCTATTATACTATATTTATGCAATTAGTAGTATTTTAACCTAGTTATTTTACTAAAGGTTAATATAATATTATAGGTATACTTTAATAACTTAATTTATTTATTTTATTTATTTATTTATTTATAGGTGGAATATGGTGCTTAGCTTATAATAGGTTTTAAGTTTAGCTATTAGTTCTTACTAAAATTTAAATATAAAAGTACTTTCTTTATTTAATATAATTTCTTTTAGTATTTTATATTTTGCAAATATATATCTTATATAGAGATACACTAGGTTCTTTACTATATATGCTTTCTTATATGGTAAGAAGTATACTTACTTTAAGAGTTTATTTATAATAATAAAGATACTATTAAAGTATTTTCCTGTTAATAGATCTCTTAATTTAGGCAAGTTAGTAATATAGTTAAATATAATAGTGTGCTAATTCTTTTCTAGAACTAGGATTAGTTATAGTGTTTTATATAGCTAATGCCTTTTATCTTTTATTTTCTTATATATATTATATTTCTTAATAACTTTTAAGATTTTATTTTTTATTCCTGGAAATTTATAGTAATATATTATATAGTTTTATATTATTTTAACACTATAGTATGCTATTATGATTATACTATAATATAAATCTTGGATTGCTTTTAGTTATAATTCTAGTGGTACCTAGATTTTTCCTTTTTACTTTAGTAATTCTTCTTTAATAGTTATTTTTTTTAAGAGTTTATTTAGTTTTATAGTTATAATATATTCCCTTATTTTATTAAGAATAGGGTTATATTCTTTTATAATAAATAAAGTATTAATTTGTATTTATTTATAGTTTCTTTTATAATTTTTTCTAAGAATTTAAGCTTTAATTTCTAGGATTTCTTTAAAGTATTTCTCTTTTTTGCTTAGTGCGTCTGCTTTTCTGTTAATAGTGCCTTTGTAATAAGTAAGCTTATAATTGAAATTTAATAGTGTCTTAAAATAGTAGGTTTAGTGTGCAGAGAGCTTTTAAGTCTTAGTAAAGTATATAATATTATAGTAATTTATATATACCTTAACCTTATACTTACTTCCTAGGCAGTAGTATTACTATTCTTTAAATGCTTTAAGAATTACTATAAATTTTTTATTATAAATAGGGTATTTTAACTCTAGTCCATGTAGTTTTTATAAGAAGAATGCTATTAAATAGTTTTTCCCTTTTTTATCTTTTTATATTAGTACTCCTTTAATAGTAAAGTTTAATAAGTTAGTTTTAATCTTTAATAGTTTATTAGGATTATATATAATAAGTATAGGTTTACTAAAAAGTATATTCTTAAGTTATTTAAATGCTTTTTTTATCTTAAGTTTATATATAAGTTTCTTATCTTTTAGTTTCTTCTTGCCCTTCTTATCTTTTTTAAGTTAAGTAGTGTTAATAAGGGGCTTAGTAATTTTACTATAGCTTTTAATAAACCTTTGGTAATAGTTTACTAGGCCTAAGAAGCTTTATATTCCTTTTCTTGTTTCTGGAAATTCCTAGTCTTAGATTACCTTAAGCTTATTTAGGTTTATTTAGATTTAACCTAGTGAGATTAGGTGTCCTAGGAATTTAACTTTTTAAGCATAAAAATAATATTTTTTAAGTTTTACTAAAAGATTAGCATTTTATAATATTTATAATACCTAGTGGATGTGTTTCTTATATTCTTTAAGGGTTTTTAAGAAGATAAGAATATTATTAAGGTATATAATAATAAAGTTATTAATATATATTTATAGTATATAGTTAATTATTTATTAAAATATTACTAATATATTAGTAAGCCTAAATAATATAATTAAGTATTTAAATAATCTATAGTATATTTTAAATGTTATTTTTTATTTATCCCTTTTACGGATGCAAATTAGGTTATATACTCCCTTAAGGTCTAAGGTAGTAAACTAATTTGCATTAGTTAAGTGGTTTTATATTTCTATAATAAGCGGTAATAGGGTTTAATCTTTAATAGTAATCTTATTTAGCTATTTATAGTTAATAATTAGTTTAAGTTTTTTATTTTTCTTTAGTATAAATATAATAGGGTATTTAGCTGGTAAGGTAAATGGTTTAATATATTCTTTTTCTAGCTGTTCCTATATTTATTCCTAAAGTGTTTTAAGTTCTACTTTACTAAGGTTATAAATTAAAAAAAACTTTATTATTTTTTTATTTATAAGATTTATATAGTAATCCTATTATAAATAAAGTAGCTATACTATTTCTAATATTAGGCTAAATAGTTTTTTATATTTCCTTTAGTATTATTAAGGTGCTTTTTAAAGAGTTTCTTCTAGTTCTTTTAGTTTTTCCTTTTCTTTTACTTTTAATAGTGCTTTATTTAAAGCTTATAATTCTATTCTTATTTATATAATAATTCTATTAATGCGCACTTGTTCTCCTTTAACTCTTTTATAGTTATATTATGGTAGTACTAGTGATTTTTCTATATTAAATTTAACCTTTCTCTTAGGTTTTATTCTTATTTTTTCTAATTTTTCTTAATTTTATTATACATAAGATTTTATTTTTTAGTTTATAGGCGCGTCTTTGCCTTCCCTGCCTTTTCCATGGCTTAGTCACAGCTCCTAGGTAATGTCTTCTTCCTAGAGTATTTGTTTTATTTTCTAATTAATTAGTAGGTTACCTTATTTTAACTATAGGTATTTAAGTAAAATATTACAGTTATAAAAAGGTATAATATTAAACTTAATAGTCTTAGTATAACTAGTAATTATAATTAGGAGATAATTAGTCTTATAATTAATTATTACCTTAGTATTAGGTGTAGTAACACTAAACATATATATGGGTTATTTTTTCTTAGCGTATAGTAATTTAAGTAGGTTTACCACTTGGGGAGTAATAAGGTTATAATTTACACTATTATCCATGTATATTATTACTAGGTATTAGTTAATATATTCTTTAACTAATAATTTCTTATTATTGCATTTAATTAAGTTAATTTAAATGCTATTTAAATAGGTTTAGTCCTATATAATATTTTAGTATTTTGCATACTATTAGCACTTTAATTCTTTATTTTATTTTTAAATTATATAATAATATCTTTTAATAAGTCTTTTATATTCTTCTTAGGATTTATAATAACTTTCTAGGTTATAACCTTTTAACCTTAGCTTTCTTATTACTTGGTGATATTATTATTATTCTATTGCATATTTTTTATAATTTTATCTTTTATAGTTTAGGAAGTGGGTTTTTTAATATTTAATGGGTTAATAATATATTTATAAGTTATTATGCTATTTATTAATTTTATTATATATATATAGTTTATAGCATAGCTTATTATAGTATTTATAATTCTTTTCCTTATATTCCTTATTAAATCTATATTCTTTTATAAGTCTAGTCCTTAATAAGGTATAGGATTATAGTAAAATAATATAATTATATATGTTAAAGGTGTTAATTTTAGTAAATATTAGGAGGTTAATTTATACTAAGGGGTATTCCTCTAGGTATTAGTATTATTCCTTTTATTGTTTATGTTCCTTAACTAGTGCGTTAAGGATCTTATTGCAACTATAGTCTAAGTCCTATAAGCTGTAAGTTAGGTATCCCCTGTAATTATAGTTATAGTTTATAGTGCTATAAAGCTTATATTTATAAATATAGGGATTTATAATATACTTTCCTTTTTAGTAAGGTTTATAGTTTTTGCACTTTAGGTTATAAAAGAGTGTGTTTCTTCTATAATTAGGACTTGTTAGATTATATAAGTGGCATAAGAGCTTGCCTTTTTTATATATGTATCTCTGGCATCCTGGGGCATGTTGCTAGGCTATAATACTGCATTAGCTGCATTCTTTATTTAAGTTTAATCTATTATTTTTATTTCCCTTATTATTTTCATATATATAATTAATATCCTATAAGCTATAAGATAAATATTTATAAAGTGTATAAGTAAAACAGGGTTTTATTAAGCTATAGTCTTTATATTTTAGTTTCTTATAAAAGTTAAGGGTGTTAATTATTATAGTCTTATAAGCTTTTCTAGCTTATAGCTTCTTTAAATAATATCCTAATCCTTTTTTACTACTTTAGTGCATAAGATATAAATTATTATAGCAGGCTATTTAGCTAAGGTAATTATATAGTATTTCTATAATAGTGTTTATCTAAACCTTATCTTTAGTAGTCTTAGATTTTTTTTTATTCTTTTTAATATAGCAATAGCCTTTATTATAGCCTTTCTTACTATAAAATCCGCAGGTTATCTTAAATTAGCAGTTTACTTCCTTATAGCCTTTCTTACTATAAGTATTATAGGTTCTATTAAACTTCTTGTGGTTAATAGTGTTAATATTTATCTTTCCTAGTTAGGTTTTATTATCTTTAATAATATAATCTTTTTATTTTTTTCCTTAGTTAGCCTAGGGCTAATATTTAGTAGTCTAGCTACTTTTCTTATTCCTTTTCTCTTACTTTTATTTTTATTATTAGTTATTAATTATAATAGCTTCCTAGGTAAGTATAGTAAAGGTGACTTTCTATTAGTCTATTTTATAGATTTTATCCTTAACTTTTAACTTTAGGCTATAGTAGTATATTTCCTTTTTTAAGTCTTTAGTTTAATTAACTTTATTAAGTAGTTGGATAAAGGTTAAAGTGTGCTTATAGTATAGTCCTTTTTATTTAAGGTTTCTAAGTTTTTTTTCTACTTCTTAGGCTTTATTAGTAATTTTAAAGGATTTTTTTAGTTATTTTTTAAGGTTTTTATATCCCTTAAAGACTTCCTTTATTAGTTTACTTTATTTAGCTGGGTTATTTTTCTTATCCTTAAAGAGCGTTTTAAACTAATTAGCTATTATATCTTTAATGCATATTCTTATATATTAGATTCTTTTTTCTAGATTATCTTCTAGGAATATCTTTAGGTAATAGTATTTAAAGTATATTTATAGGTTCTTAAGGAACTAATAAAGCTTAGTGATATCTTTATTAAATTTTTCTAGTTATTTAATCTTTAGGATTTTTCCTAGTTTTAGTTTATTATTTATAGGGATTACTAGTGCTACTATAGGTGCTATAGTAGGTGCTATAGCAGGGGCTACTTAAGGTGCTATTACTAGCAGGTTATTAAGTTATTACTGCAGATTATTAATAGTTTGCATATACTAAGTAATAGTTTACTAGTCCATAAGGCATTATGCATATAAGTCTTAAATTATATGTTTTATATTCTTTATATAAGTTTTAGCGCTTTATTCTTATTACTTATATTATTTATATTCTTATTTAAGAGCTTTTATTAGAGTATTTTACTAGTTATAGGCTATTTCTACTAATGTGTTTTTAAATTTAGTAATACTATTTAACTAGTAATTACTTAAAGCTTAGCTCTTGTAATTAGTATTATATTCTAGGATATTAAAAGTTAGTATTCATATCCTTAATTCTATATTACCCATAAGGCCTAGTAATTATTTAAATAAGAGTTATTAATATATAATAAACTATACACTAGTAAGTTAATATAAGATAAATTCCTAAGGGATAAACCTAGTAAATAATTTTAGGTTTATATTAATAGAGTAGTTAGGAAACCTAATAGGTAATATAAGTAATAGTAAATAAAAGTCACTAAAGTGTAAGTAGTGCAAAGTGTATTGCAATTTTAATTCTATGTTAATAACTAGCTATTTAAGTTATTTAAATAAGTGTAGAGAAGTGAACTTATATATCCAGTTCTATAAGGGGTGATTACAGCTGTAGTAGTAATCGCAGGAGTGATCACTTAGTTGAAGTTAGTGAGCGCTGTAGTGATTACCTGTAGCGCAGTGATCACTTGCCTATAATTAGTTAGGATAGGCTATAGTAATTCCCCCTGGGGCCTGTTGGTGCGACCAGGTGTTGTTGGGTTGTGACAGATATCTGAAATAGTAGAAATCATATGAGCCTGATATAAGAGAGCTTGATTACCGTTTAGAAATAGCTGGTCTAATATAAGTAGATATAATATAAACAAGAAAGAAGGTAAATACAGTAGCAAATATAAACTATTATATAAAATAGATAAGGGGAGTAAGCCTTTTCAATCTATAGGTAGAAGATAAACTAGGCGAGTATACTAAGGGTTTAGCAAAGTCACATGATATTGAGTCAGATGACACCTAACCGCCATGTAATGCTACTAGTTAGTGCTGCGTAAGCGCTGTTTTTCAGGCGCTAATTACTCTATAGAGGCCCCCGCTATAAGATGTCTGTTCCCTTTGTTGTATTTCCTGCTTTCCAGCGCGGGAATCTAGACTGCAGCCCTTTAAACTTGACACGTCGCCATGAACCCGACTTTACATAAACTTGATCCAACAGGCGATACTCATCTTACTCTACTCAATCCGAACCCACTATTTGCCGCATATATTACCTTATTGGAAAATGCTATGCCACAGCATAACACCCCGTATGAAGCTTGGGAAGCAAATAACAACGAACGACGGTTATGGAACGCGCCAGTCGAATCACAGTTTAATGGATCTATCACAGGCTTTATACAAATGCAACTCTCATCAAAGCATCTGCAGCTAGCTTTTGATTATTTTAGCAAGATGATGGCTAATAAGAACTGGAAAGAATCTATACCCAAAGATGGATTTTCATTTTCTGCAACTGCAAGTGGCTGGAATGGAGAAGCGTTCCTTACCGTTATACGCATACTTCATGCTAAAACAACAATGTTACCACAAATAATTAATCTCGAAATGCTAGCTAAAGTAGCTGTTATTATTGATTACTATTAATGTCACAGGGCCACTGATTTCTTTACAAAAGCATGGATTAATAAGTTAGAAGAACCTCTACCCACTTCTTTTGGAAGGAGTCTTCTGCTTTGATTCTTGATATCTTGGGTGTTTTCAGAAGCCGATACTTTCCAGCACTTATCGCAGATCATTATACGAGAGAGCAGAGGTCTAGTTAACGCTAAAGACTTACTAATACCAGAGGCTATTATTAGTAAGACTAAATATTATCGGCCGGTGGTTATTTTAACTAATCATACCTCCAGACGCTCTTGATAAGCAAAGGCAAGATATTATATCTGGAATTATTTTAGGTCTCTATAACCTAAAGGTACAATTTTGTTAGAGAAAAGATAATTGCTTATTCAATTGCTCTTTAATATCATTGGGTGCCCTTATGATAGGCATGAATACATTGGGCTTGCTTGATCCTCCGCTGACGTCACCTTTTCACGGCTATAGCTTCATGGCCCTGGGAGAGGCTGTAAAAAATATCACGGAGCCAAATTACGTTGCCTCTTATGGCACATCTCTGACTGTTAGAGACTCTAAAACTGAGCCTTGAAGCTGTAGTCTTAAGGTAAAGATCAATTTCATAATTGATGAACAGCTTAGCAAGGTAAACGGATTGGAGTTAAACAGTTTTACTAATGAAAGCTGAGCAAGCAGACAAGCGCGCCACGAGGTAGACGCCGGTAAGCAAGCAACAGCAACACCAGTGCACTCAAGGGCAAAAAAAAAAAAAAAAAAGAAGTCATCAGGGTATTGATTATATATGAATCTGGATCTATCTTATAGTGAACAGCTAGATGAAATATAATATGGATCTGTTTGTTTATTTCCCCGATTCCCTGTTTGTTATTTGCAGCGTTTGCAAGTTTGCATGTGTGGCCAATGAAGTAACAGCCCATTTACAGCAACAGCATATCCCGGCAACAGCAACAGAGGTTAGACGAATTAGCGATGTGGTGAAAGCAATCCCGGGCATCATTAACACACAGGAAGAGTTACGCCAGTGGTCAGTGCCGCCACCAACAACACCACCAATCCCCATCATTCCACCGCCAGAACCGGATGGATTAGAATGCGATAAATGCCCGTATGTGGCCCGAACACCAAAGACCATAGGAGCATATTATCGGAACAAGCATAAGTGGGTCAACGCTCGGGGGCCGGGCCGGTGCGCCAAGAAGTTAGGGGCCGAGGAGGAGCGGGCCGTACCGTGGAGAACAGGCGTTCAATGCCAGAGATTTTTCCCATCGCGTGTGGCAAGTAGTTGGTTCGAGGTTGGCCGGGGATTGCCGCCGTCCGTCAAGCCAGATCAGCATACCGACGGAGTCGACAAGGAAGCCGAGTTTTTGAACCGAATCCACCGCGAAGATGAAGAGGCGTTTGTGAAAGAGTCCAGAGCAGCCATCAAAACGGCGGACGACAAATGGGAAGCCGATCGGTGGTTAAATCGCGTTGGGTGGGCGGCCCATTTGAAGGACGTTGACAGGGACGATTTGCAAAAGGCAGTACGTCCGATTGAGGAGCATGAGGTCGAATTACAGAAGATGTGGGCCGTTTTTGATCAGGTATTAGACACCGCATATGCCGTGGCCGTCAATCGCAGCCCGGGCACGGCCGAGTTATACGAAGTTGAGCGAAAGGAAATATTATACCCCAGGGTCTCGACTCGTCAATGTAGGGTTAGGTTCCTTATAGTAGCTTTTTTTTCTTCTTACTTCTACCTCCGGAGGTAGATTAGCCCCGCTTCCGCTTCTAAATACAGTAACCCTACTTCTACCTCCGGAGGCAGACTGATTCCACCTCTGCTGCTAAATGTAAAATAACCCTATTTCTAGTAGACTAATTCTACCTCTGCTGCTAAATGAAACCATTTTTACTTTTACCTCTGGAGGTAAACAAATTCCTCCTCTGCTTCTAAACATGGCCAATTTCACTTCTGCCTCCGGAAGTAGATTGTTCTTTTATAGATAGGCATATATAAGACCCATGTTACAACCCGACTCTTAAGAACCATAACGCAGTACGTACCCCGGGATAACCTCGGAACGAACAGCCAATCAGGAGAGGACCGACCTGTGAGAGCGGTCCTACGTACTGGACCGACGTACGCGAGCGGTCCTCACAATAGAGGACCGATGGGCTACAGCGGTCCCTATGAAACGACTTACTATATAAGTCAACAATAATTACACTCATTAAATAGCTTAGCTAGTCAGTCGTTAACACACTAATAGTACCAGATATGAGTTACATCTTATCTACCAACTACGTGACTACGCAACATGCTCAATAACAGATATCCTATCCTATCCCCATCTGCCAACATAGACATACGCATCTATCCCTTGGGAATCTCCCGATGATTAGCTTACCAAATGCGCCAGGCAGGGATACAGAATTCGGGCTAGTCTGTATCTTACCCTGAACATATTTATTCTTGACCAGTATCATCTAAAAAAGACCTACTCGAATGAAGCACAATTATTCTTTAGAAAGATTAATTTCAGAAAGCCTTTCTCAATCGATCGAGATAGGTTTATCTCGTGTACCGCCATGACAGAGTTAGGATACAAGAAAACGTCTTTTACTGCTCGTTTTGTGTTATGCGTATAACCCCGATGTCCCTCATATCCGCATTATAGCCGGTAAGTCCGATATCTGTTCATCCTACAACGAAATGCATGAACTCCTTTCGCTTCTCACTCTTGCGCTCAAAGCAACCCAGCATGCAGCTTGTCAAGGTTGTCGTATTCGTTTTCTTAACGCCACGCATCACCATGCATAGGTGGCTAGACTCCATAATAACGGCAACACCCTGAGGCTTCACGATATCCATAACGGCATGAGCAACCTCCTTGGTAAGGCGCTCCTGGATCTGTAAGCGACGAGAGAATACCTCGGCGATTCGAGCAAGCTTCGAAAGGCCGATAACGGTATTGGAGGGGATGTAACCAATGTGCATCTAGAAGCAATAATTAGCCGGCATACCCCAGAGTGGAGTGTATAGGACACATCGGGAGAAGGAAGAGCTTTCCTTTCCTGTAAATGGCACAAGGTGGTGCTCGCAAAGGCTAGATATGTCAACATCTTTGACAATGACCATCTCGTTATGACTCTCATGGAATAGCGCGTTATTCACAATATCTTCCACATTGACATTGTAGCCCTGGGTTAGGAACAGCAACGCCTTGGCATAACGTGAAGGCGTATCCAGCAGGCCTTTACGACTGGGATCCTCGCCGATGCACTCTAACAAAGTTCGCACAGCACCTTGCATCTTTTCTAGGCGTAAAACGGCCTGTTCCTGATTCTCTCCTCGGCGGCTTCTAGTTTCGATTGCTGGGAAGTACAAATGTGAGTCTCGATACAAAGAAACCCGTACCGAGCCGCAAGTGTACTCAGTAAGAGAGGAAGATTATAGTAACCTACAAAGACTATCAGAACTAGACACTGGGCCGGACGATTTCGTTGCTATGCCATCCTCAGAGACGAGAACCTTCTCAATGGATGAGTCGTCTCGGGTATCACTAGAGGCATTTCGCAGCGACTTCTTGCATAGATCGGGAGCAACAGGAACCCCGCTGCTGCTGGGCTTGTGTGTCTTCCGTCTTTTGCGCCCATCTTGCGTTAAATTATGGCTGGTCGGGGAAGAGACAGTGTTATGGCCCCGCTTCCTAGAGAGGACGCTACCGTTTTTGGGATTAGCCATGTTAACTGCTACAGACCGGGAGCAACAGAGGCAAGAAGTAAGATATTTAAGGAAAGAAATTAGACCTGAAAGCCCGAGCGACCTGAAAAGGCTCGGGAACGAAGACCAAAAGAATCTGATCTTGCAAAAGGGTTGCTTCTCAACTAAGCAAACATGCGAATAAATGAACTGGGCGATAGATATACCATTATGTCATCGCCTAACTTCCATCAAACAGAGCGCATTAACAACCATAAAATATCTCTCCTTTCGCCCTAGCAACCTTTGAAGCCGACCAATACATGTACCATTGTTTATGCATTAGACAAATTACAGTTATCCAAACCGATAAAATCGCTAGGCTTTGGCTCGATAACCCCCCTCTTTGAAATGGTCCTTTTGTTGCCTTTATGCGGGAGGCCGGCCACTATATGCGGGAGGCCGGCCACTATATGCGGGAGGCCGGCCACTATATGCGGGAGGCCAGCCACCAAGTGTCCTGCATGACACCACCAAACTCCCATGAGAGTTGTCCACTTGGAGTAAGGCGCTTCATGCTTATGGGTTATAGTGCTTTGTTTACCTTCAGGTGGAAATGGATTTCAATTTCGGATTACATGCAACTATCGGCGTACAACCTATTGAAATGGTGCATGATGCATGGATTCATGTATTGCACTTTTGTCTTGCAACGTGGATCTCGCCCCCCATCTTTTTCAATACAATCACATATAGACCATGCGGGAGGCCGGCCAAAACAGGTTTGTCCGCAGAAGGGGAACCCAGAAATCCTTTTGACACACCTCGCGGTAAACGTGGTCTTCGTTGATAGGGTGAGCTGGAAACCCCTTTACATAATGAAGTAGCTAACGTGGCCATGCATTATTGTCGTCGAGATCACATAACGCGCGCGCGTACATTAAAGTTCCACCCACTATCTAATGAGGACTTGATCATCTCAATAACCTCCAAGAGCGAATAGTTCACTGATAATAGAAAGCATGAGAATGACAATAAAGTGCTTTGACTGGTTAGTCAAAGGTTGAGATTTTATACTAGACAAATCTAAGATTCCAACCCTGCTAATACACCCAACATCGGGGCGGATAAGAAGCGGCAACAACTCCATAGGCACGCAATCCAGCTTAATTGATTCATCCTCATCCATACGCAAGCATACGCTGTTGTCTTTACCAGTACGAAAGCGTGCTCCTATCAAGCTGGTATGGCCACTCTCGATACCTTGAAGCAAGCCCTTAGGCAGACGGCGAGAGCGACAGCATCGTACGCAACACAGCCGTTGTCCCAGCCGCAGTACAGCGCTAGTTTCGACGTCTTGATGCAGGGCTCGGAATGGATGACATACCAAGACTTCATTGTCCCTCAGCTCTCTTCGCTTCTAGACCGTTTATTCGAATCGCGTGTTCATATCTCGGTGCTAGAAATCGGACCCGGCCCAAAGAGCGTTCTGGGATACTTGCCCTATCACGTCAGGTGCAAGATCTCGAGATATGTTGCATTCGAGCCTAACGACTTGTTTGCTGCGAGACTAGATGAATGGTTTCGCCCTAGCTCAGGGACAGAGCGCCCCCTGCCATGTCTGGAAGGCCTCCCCGATATTCATCCGATCCCATTCTCACCAGACAACGACAACAAAAACACAAGGAGCGATACCAGCATCGGGACAAGTGATAATGGGAAGTTTGATGTCGTCTTATTTTGCCATAGCATGTACGGCATGAAACCTAAGCGCAGATTTATCGAACACGCACTGAAATTACTTGACGAAGGCCCAGAAGGAGGAATAGTGGTGGTATTCCATCGTGATGGCGACCTGAACTTTGACGGCTTAGTGTGTCATCACACGGCTTCTTTTCCTACCGGGATCGTTCGGATAGCAACCGACGATGAGACATTGGACCGATTTACTTCTTTCATCGCGGGCTTTACCGTCCAAGACGAAGCTATCCGAGGCGAATGGCGTAAGCTATGCCACTTACTGGGCCGTCGTGAAGACGCATACCCCGACCATCTCTTGTTCAGTTCACCCAACGTCATGGCAACTTTTACTAAACATGCAACCGCATTACCCAACTTAACGGCGCATGTGCCCTTGATGACTGAAAGCAGGATGATAAAAAATCAGGAAGCCCGCCTCCACCGTCCCGCATCGATTGTGAGGCCAACAAAAATCGAGCACATCCAGCAGTGCGTGAAATGGGCCCTTACACATAATGTTAGCCTAACTGTCATCGGTGGGAGCCATAGCGGCCAGTGTCTTTGGCCTAACGTTGTTTCTATCGACATGAGTGCTTTTGATCAAGTACACATGGTCGCAGCTGAAACCGGGGGAGGAGAACTGAAATTCGATTCTACTACCCTGGTTGTCGCGGAGGCTGGTTGTAATACCGGAGACATTGTCCGCAAGACTATGGTGGCAGGCGTAACAGTACCTTTGGGAGCACGCCCAAGTGTAGGCTCAGGGTTATGGCTGCAAGGCGGCATTGGACACCTGGCCAGACTGCATGGGCTCGCGTGCGACGCCATTGTGGGTGCTGTGATGGTCAGCGTTGCCTCTGGTCAGGTTCTGTACGTCGGTCGCGTACCAAGTAAATATCGACCAGCCGGTGCCGTGCAGTCAGAAATCGAGACCGATCTGTTATGGGCTCTGAAAGGCGCGGGGACTAATTTTGGCATCGTTGTCAGCGTTGTCTTTGAAACACATGCAGCCCGGAAGTATTTGGTTCGAAATTGGAGTATCCCGTTGAAAGACGATCATGATACACGACTTAAGCTTCAGGTCTTCGATCATTATGCCAGAAGTCTCCCTCGAGACAATTCCGCGGATGCATATTTATTTTCAGATAACTCACAGATGCACCTTGGCGTGACAGTGATCGACTCTACTACGACTAAACTTCCATCCAACCCACTTCCTTCCAACCCACCTAGGCTTACAAGTACGATATTTGGGCCGGAAGATAGCTTCAAGATCGTTGACGGCGTCGATTTATTCGAAACTGAGATGTATATATCCGGGATGCATGACGGACACGGTAGGGGCAAAACCTCCTCATTCAAGCGGTGTTTATTCTTAAAACACATCGGGGCCACGAACATCGCGAATGCCTTAGCAGCAGCCATGGAGACTCGACCTTCTCCGCTCTGCTATCTTCATCTGCTACAAGGGGGTGGAGCTATCGGAGATGTGGCGGATGCTGCCACGGCTTTCGGCTGTCGCGACTGGGACTTTGCCTGCGTGATAACCGCTGTTTGGCCTCGTGGACGGAGCGGAACTAAGATTGCTCAGGCTGCCATACAGTGGGTGTATGGCGTCGCCAGGAGCTTGTTGCCCTTGAGCAGCGGAGCCTATGGTGCCGACCTTGGGCCAGACCCTAGAGACACCGCGCTGGCAGCTAAAGCTTTCGGGCCAAACGGACCGCGCCTGGCCCGGCTAAAACATAGCTTGGACTTACACAACGTGCTGGCTTACGCCTGTCCGCTCTCGAAACTGCCGAAGAAACAGACGCTCATTATTCTTGTTACAGGAGAAAGCGGCGTCGGCAAGGACTACTGCGCCGACATTTGGGTTCCTATGCTCGCTAAATCTGCTGACCAACCCCGCGAGGTACACAAGGCCAGTATCAGCGATGCCATCAAGCGAGAATATGTAGTAGCTACCGGCGCTGACTTGGATCGTGTGTTATGGGATCGGGCTTACAAGGAACAACACCGGCCGGCTTTGACGGCATTCTTCGAAGAACAGATGCGACAACAATCTTGGCTTCTAGAAAAGCAATTTCTGAATGTGGTGTCCGGAGCCGCAGATGCGGATGTGCTGGTGATCACTGGGATGAGAGATGAGGCGCCTACTGCAACCTTGTCGCATCTAGTTCCGAACAGCAGATTACTCGACATTCGTGTCACAGCTAGCGAAAAGACGCGGCAGACTCGCCGGAAGTGCCAAGCCGGCAACGATGATCGACACGAAAATCATGATTGCGAGGATCACAATAGTAGCGACAATGGCAGCAATTGTAAGTCAAATTCGACGACACTGGACTACTGCCCCAGCCTCGTCTTTGACAATGGAGCAACAGGAGATGAGGCGGTAAGGAGCTTTGCCGATACGTACCTGCTTCCCTTTCTCCATGGGGACCTGGAGCGACTGGCTAGTATGGTGCTCCCTGTGCCCGACTTCCCACGCCCAGGCATCGAGTTCCGCCATGTGCTCAACATCGCCCAACAGCAAGGCGGGTTAGCTTTATGCACTTCTTTACTACAAACTCACTTCATAAATGACTGGGATAAAATTGGTATGGTGGCCTGTTGCGAGGCGGGAGGCTTCGTGTATGCATCGGCATTGGCCCAGCAAGTTAGCGTCCCCTTGGCGCTAATCCGCGAAGCTGGCAAGCTTCCCCCACCCACCGTTTCCATCGACAAGCCTTTATCACACATTTCATCTTCTGAACCTAACAATTTGAAAGGGAAGAAGATTGAGATGAGCTTGGGTTTGATTCCAAGGGGCGCATCGGTGGTGGTGGTGGACGATGTACTTGCCACAGGAAGGACGCTTTATGCTATACTTCAACTATTAGCTGAAGCAGGTATCAGTAATGAGGATATAAGCATCATTGTTATAGCCGAATTCCCGGTTCACCGTGGTCGGGAGCTGTTGTATCGTCATGGCTCTGGTGGGATCAGAATTCAAAGTCTTTTGGTGTTTGGCGGGGCTTAGATAACAAGAGTAATTGGAATTTGGAGTGCAGCATTTCTTATCACATGTTTCTGTCCTAATTCTGCATCCGTACCGTTACTTTGAAAGCTTTATGTGACAGGCAGTGTTTACCTATTGAAGAAACTGCTGTATAAAGAGTTATTGCTGAATGCTGGCAATTTGAACTTGTTTCTTAATTTAATATCCGCTACTATATCTTTTGAGTATGTGTAATGACTTAAGTTACTAATATCCTAAATAGTTAGTGGCTTATGAGATTCCCAAGGGATAAACCTAGTCTATGGTTTATATTAGCGGATTAGTTAAGAGATCTATAGGTAAATAGTAAATAGTAAATAATATTACTTAAAGAGTAGGCTGTAAAGTGTATTATAATTTTAGTTTTATATTAATAACTAGCTATTTAAAACTATCTTTAAGTAAGTATAAGAAGTGTATATATATCTTATTATTTACTAGTATTTACTTTTCTAAAGTAAATATTCTTTATATTAGGAATTTATTTAC